CGCAGCTAGAAGCGCCCTGCATGGCACCGTGGCCCATGAACCCACGTTTGAATCGGACGCAACTTTGGGCGAGCAAAGTTGTTTTTCTTCCTGGATTTTAAGAGAGAACCAGGGAGATTATCATAACAAGAGCTAAACTTAGTTAGTTCGCAGTGGCGGGTTTTCCGTTCGAAGCTTCTTTTTTCTGGCATGCCGAAGCGAAGCGGCTTGACTTGACTTGACTTGACCGACTGACTGGCTGGCAAGCTAGTACCGCAACTGTTGATGCTAAAATACTTGGGCACTACTTTAGTTGCAACACAACGCCAGAGCCGGATGGCTTTTTTTGGTGTTACTCTGGCCTGGTAAGAAAGGTCGCCATGCACACTTCCCCAGCAGCTTTGCATTGGGCGACATGGATGATCCAAAGGGCTGAACCGCCCGAGCTTATACCAGACCGCAAATGTTCAAACAGCTAGCCCCCAAGCAGTTGCAGTACTAGTGAAATGTGCAAGGGGGGGGGGGGGGGGGGGGGGGGTTTGCACATCAGACTCCATGATGCGGATGGCTAATGTCGTTCTGGTGCAATGACTGAACAGACATGGAGGATCGAGGATACAGAGGCTCGTGTGAGTTCTGATGATGATGGTGTAGGAGGATAATCCTGATGAGATGCCGCTCTAGAGGAAACTGAGTAGAGCCAAGAGTTACGGGTAACGGGTGTACCTGATGGTATAAGACGAGGGTGGCTGGTCTTGGGTGTTCGGACTGAGCGCTGGGGAAGAGATGTACAGAGTATCCGCAGCGGCAAGGAGACACAGAAAAGAAATGTCTCATTTTGATCGATGGCTCCTGTGCAAGAGCCAGCGATTGGTTCCTGCGGGACTGCGGACCTATGAGGGAGGGAAAGGTGTTCGAGTCAAGACCTGGTGTTTTGGATGACATTATTGTTGGTGCAATGCAGTAACATGGTGCAGATATGACAGAAAGCATGTAATATGGGCGTCTATTATCATTCGGGAAGAGCCGATCAACAACAAAAATATCAACACCTCAAACAACAGTGGATTCTTTTTCAAGCTGTCTGAGGATGTCCACTAATAGAATAGCCTGAGGAGGGGGAAAAGAATAAAAAAGGAAAAAAAAAAGGGAAAAGCGCTCTACACCAGACTCTCCATGTCACTTTGATGGAACACATGCTCAGGCATGTGTGCTTAATTGAAGATTGGGAATACGAATTACGAAATATAACAGGCCCAGTGAGTAGAGAGAGGTCAGAGCAGTAGGATGGATGGATGGATAGGATCGGAACAGATGAGATGAGACAGGGCAAAAATGGGCCAAGAGAAATCGACGGGCTGCCTCACGAGGTCAGTTGCAGTGCAGCACAGGTGCAGGTGCAGGTGCAGTAGTGTAGCAGCAGCAGCAGCAGCTTGACGGAAGGAAGGGGGGTGAATGGGTGGGGTGGAGGTGAAAATGGTGCTGACTTGGACTGAGCGTAGCGTTATTCGGTGATTTTGTTCCCAGATTGTCGTTCCAAGATGAATCAGCGGTGACCTGGTGGTCGTACGAAGGAAGTATGGGGACGGCATGTCACTCGATTGTGAGATGAGCTAAGGCCAAGGTAAGGTCCGCAGGCTAGACAAGGGCGACCGATGCCTTCCAGGGAGGGAAAGAAGACGGATCCCGCGCGCCATCAAATCTCTCGCTGTTTCTCACCGTCAGATTCCGGCTCTCAGATGCGGCTGTGGTGGGTTTTTTTTCGGTTTTGTGCAGGTGAAATGGTGGTGCAGTGCAGGCTGGTCGGACAGTTTGCGAGATTCAGCATCCACCTCAAGCAATGTGGATTCAGTGACTTTCAAAGGAGGACCAACGAGAGAGACAGAGGGAGAATAAGACCCTACATGGTGTATGCAAAGAACCGGCCACTAGTTGACGGAGGATTGGTCACCAACCGAGGTGGAGCTGTGTCATCCATCCATACCCATGGATGTTCCATCTGTCTTGACTGGCAGAAACAGTCCGGAGGAAAATATGATTACATAGTCAATTGACGAATTCGATGGGGAGGCAAGTGGCAGTGTGGCAGGCAGGCAAGTGCGAGGCAAGTGCTAGTAAGGAGAGGGCAGGGCAGGGCAGGGGCGGGGCAGGGCAGCTCGGCGTGGGAGAGAGAATGGCTTCCAGTACGTACTTTGTATGGTAACACTTACATACAGAGCAGGACCTACCCATGTGCTCTGGGTGTCTGGCTGGCATGGTGAGGGAAGGAGTGAAGAGTACGTACCGGCAATTGCCCGGAAGGCGGTGATGCACCTTGGCGGCCTTGCCTTTCCCGGCCTCGCCAGCCTCGGTACACACTGTTTGAGCACGCACGGGCCAACGTCACAGTGGGAAATGCCGTCTTCTGAAGCGTTGCCGTTGGCTCCGTTTTCGGCTCGAAGCTTAGGTTTTCTTGGCGCGGTACCCGAGAAAAGCGACAGAGATGCCGTAGATTCCCGCAGGCTCGGTGGATTACTACGTAGTATTCAATGTCTCTTCAGCCGTGCGCCGCTTGTTGTTTCCACTTTGATCTACAGGTTTAAATCACTGCCTACACACTGTACGGGTCCCTTGACCTCCGATCACTCTCCATTTCCCGCAACTTCGCCCTGGCCCTGTTGATTTTTGACTGATGATGCTGGTCTTGTTTTCGCCTAGCCTCTTTTTGTTCTTTTTTCTTTCCAGTCCCTCTTTCTCTCTCAATCCTTCAATGGGGGGACTTTTCCTTGTGAAGGGGGGCCCCTGCGGCCACCCAAGAGACAGGCTCTACATCCCCGGGTTACCGGCTTAATTGGAGCCACCCCATCGACAACATGACACTGAGTTTCCTTTCTACTAGTACTAGTAATCCGTGCCACCCCCGACGACGGACGGGAGAAGACGCGAGAAGGGAAAAAAATTGAACAGCGCCAGAATCTCCACGGGAAAAAAAAATTGGTTGCAAAATTTTTTTGGGGACCAGCTCGGACCAGGGCAGCAATTGTTGAATTACCGGATGGGGCCCAGGCCAACCGTGTCTGTTAGCTGTAGTCAAAGGAGCTGGGAATGCCACGAAAGAAAAATCAATAACACGAGGTGGAAACATACACACAGAAAATTAAAAAAAAGGCTCCAAAAGGGAAAAGGGTAAATTGAGAAGCAAAGTGAAAAAAAAGCCGCATTGCAATAAAACCCTTCCTGCGCTTTGCTTGCATTTTGCATTAACTGTTGGCTTTACTTTCCTTTGCTCTTGGTGCTTCTTGCTGCTGTGTCTCTGCAGCGCCTCATTTGCCAAGCCTTTCAAACACCTTGAATTGCCAAGCCAAGCAACTCTCTCCCTTTTGCCTTTCACAGAATTAGAGGTCTGAGATTGCTGGAGCTGAAGCTGGACCCAAGCTCTGCCTTTTTTCACTCAATTTTTTTTTTTTCTCCTTCTTTCTCGGGCTGTCTCCGCGCCTTTGGCACCCCCACTCAATCCCCTTGTCCTACCTTTCCTGCAGAAACAGACAAAGAGAGGGACCCCAGAAAATAAAAAAACACCTTACACCAGACACACCAATCGCACCTTATTTGGCTGCGAGTGTTTCCCCTTGGTACACACTACATACGGAGTAGTAGCCACACCCCCCGGTTTGGCCCGCCTGACCAACGAGGGCAACGCGGAAAAAGAAGCAGAGAAAGACAGACATACACAGGTGGACTTACGAAGACGAATTTCCTTCCGTGCTGGGCATTACCCGTATCCCACGCCCTCTTACGGCATAACACACCCACATACCCGCTGGGTCGACCTGCTGGCGTCCACACCCACTGTTGACACACACACCACGCAACACACCCACCCGACCACACTTTCCGAAGCAACGGGCAGCACCAACAAGGCGGTAAAGGGTTTTTTCTCATTTGCCTTTGCCTTACAAACAAAAAGCTGGCCGACTGACCTCCCTAACCGCTGTTTGTTGTCTCTTACTACCCGTCGCCACTCCCACCTCTCTGTCAGGTCCTGGCCCTGTCAGGTCTTCCCGGCAAATACATATCGATCTGCCCCTACCTCCCAAAATTTCCCCAAGGACAGACGTACACACTTTCACTCTCCCTCTTACAGAGCAAAGAGACACCAAGGAAAATTAAAAAGAGCGTCCAAGCCCTCAGCCTCTGCGAATCTTGGATTCATCCCACGTTAATCCCCGAACACGCCAAGAATATCTCGGAACTTGTTTAACTTGTTCCAACCCGACCGGACCATCCATCCCAGCGCACAGCACTTTACTGCCTACGACCCGGTGCCCCCTTATCCTCCCATCTTCCCTTCCTGCCTCACACACACGCCCGACCCAAGCAACTCTACTCAACCTTTCCCTGCGCCACGCTAGGCCCGACGTCATCTGCTTGCCCTCAGCACAGTCATCCTTGTGCCACGCCCACGTCCGCCCTTTTCATTTGGGATCTGCACGCCGATTCAGTTATTCTTGTACCCCCAGGACCCTGAATCGACCTGTTCGCATCGCCCTCCTACGCCTCGAATTGAGGCAACGCCCGGTCATCCTATAATCTCCCTTCCCATCCCACCACTACTTCAGAATCCAATCCCTTCAAACGATGTTCGTTCTGTTCTTATAGCCTCACGGTCCCTAGGGACACGACTTGGTCAGCCTTAATTGTCTTTCGAGACGATCTTACAGGCTGCACGTCCTCTTCAGGACCACCCGCTCTTATACAACACAGAAGAACAACACAGAAGAACAACACAAACTACCCCATATTATTATCATATCAACAACAAGACGCCGCCTACTGCGAGCAGTTCTCAACATAACCCAACCTAACCCTCTTACCTCCAACACACCACACGTTCTTACGAAGTCGATCTTCGACCGGTTACGCCTGCTAGAAGCATCGTTGAACGATTTGGCCTGGATTACCGACTTTCGCCACACCCGAGCCGAGAGCCCGATTTCACTCACCCCCTGCCACCACATCTTGACCGACATCACCAATCCACAATGACGCACAGCACAACACAAGACGCTGCGAGGTCACACGTCCTGGCTTGGTCGACACAATGTGCCAACATGCCCGCCACGGTCGAGGATGAGACCGCCGACGTTGACGAGCCCCCGGATGCTCAGGTGCCCATCTCCCCCATGAGCAGCATGTTCAAGCGGAACCCCATCCGCCGCGGCACTTTGGACAACAACACCTCCCTCTTGACCAGGGCGCTCCACAGCCCTTCCGAGGATGAGGACCCCGAGGCTCGCCCCGGCATGTCCTTCTTCGCTCGCCGTCGCTCCATGGCTAGCAATATCAGCCTGGCTTCCACCGCCGACCTGACGAGTGACACTGGCCTTACCAGCCCGTCCCGCGCCAACACACCTAGCCCTCCCATCCCTGAGATGCGCTACCTCCAGCTCAACGACGAGCCGCGCAAGTTTGCTCTGCAGCAAGCCCCTACCATTCGCCCTCAGGAGCCTGCCAAAGAGGCACCCAAGAAGCGATGCATTCAGTTTGCTTGCGGCGCGAAGCCCAAGCCTGCTGAGCCCATCCAAGCCCAGCCCATGGTCAAGGCACCCTCTGCCCAGGAGCCCCAACGCAGAACTTGCATCAAGTTCGCCTGCCCTGTTCCTCAGCGCCCTGCCTCTACCCAAAACACGCCTCCCCAGCGATTGGAGATGGCTGCTGCGATGCTCCAACCTCCCTCCCTCAAGGAGAGCTCTCCGGCAACGGTTCGCAAGACTCGCTCGCGCTCTCCCCGACCTGCTCTTGCACCTCGTGCGGCCGCAGACACCAAGTCTCCCACCACCAAGAGGTACATTACCGCCAACGACAATGACCTGCAGAATGAGTCTTCTCATTTCCACGAGTTCGCCAGTGACATTCCCCGCGAAGACGACTGGATTCGCCAGGCTTTTGCTTCCCACGGACGCCGTATCACTATTGACGACACCCTCCAGAAGGAGAACGCTATCCGCAAGCTGGCGGCTGAAGCGGAAGAGGAGGCGGAGCAGGAAGAAGAAGACATGGAGACTGCCATGGGCGATGACGACGACGAGGACCTTGACAACGACGTCGACGACCAAGACGATGAGGATGAGGAGCAGGAAGAAGAGGACGAGGACGATGATGATGAGGATGAAGACGATAACTCCGATGGCTACAAGACTGACGAGGAAACTGGATTCGCCGACTCTGACGAAGAGGAGGAGGAAGACGAAGACCTTCGCTTGTGGACCCCTGGTCGCTCTACCATCCAAAACATCGACACCACCCCTGTTGCTCGCCGTCTTTCCATGACTGAGCAGCTCTCCGACTCCTCAATTGTCTCTCGCAATAGCCTCCGCGTCCGTCGCGGCAAGACCCAGCGCATGAAGATCCGCCCTGGCACTCCCGAGCTTCCCGACAGCACCGACTTTGTCTGCGGTACCCTCGATGAAGACCGTCCTATGGAAGACGCCTACATCTCCTGCTTGGCTGCTCGTCGCCGCGAGAAGCTTCAGCTCATTCCTCAGGACATCGATCCCAGCTTTCCGGCTTCGGATCCCGAGGATGAGGGTGACGAGGAAATCTACAATCCCGTCCATCACAGCAGCGATGATGAGATGTTCCTCCACGGCAAGATGGACGACCTTCACCATGAGCAGGACAGAAGCCGCCGTCGCAAGAAGTCGGAGCATACGTCACCGAAGCGCTTCCGCTCCCCGCCTCCCATGAAGCGTCGCGCCTCTCCCGCTCCCAAGGCTCGTGTTCGTTCCCCCCGTCGCCTTTTCGACGGCCCATCTCCCCGTCGTCTGCGGTCCCCCCCTCCCCCCCAGATGTTGAGGTCTCCTCCCGCCTCACCTCGCAACGCTCAGGGTGCCATTGCCTTCAAGACTTTGGCTTCCCGTCCTGGCCTTACCGTTACCAAGTCTCTCCCTCGACCCCCTTCCATGTTCCCGCACATGGCCAAGGGACGTCGATCCAAGGCTTCCGCACATGCTGCCAATGACATTCACGTCCGTGGCGCCATTGACATCGTTAAGGGCTTGGAAAGAAAGCGACAACGTCGCAAGGAGAAGTTTTATCAAAAGTACTGCAACCGCGCCCGCAAGGGACAGATTCCCGAGCGCAAGCCGCAGCGCGGTCTCGGTTACGAACGTATGAAAGAGCTCGGTCTGCTCATGGCCGGCAAGATCGACCAGGGCAACTATGTCCTTTCCGTCTAAGCAACGGATGACGACCTTTTCTGTATGGAGAGGTGTTTTGACACAAATTCTTTTTGTTTTTTTTTTTAACCGCATTTACAGCAAGACTAGATCTGTTTTGCACGGCGTTTTAGCATTGGAAGGTGCATTGGCATGGGAGTGGGATTCATGACATATATGATACTATTTATTGTCCTTTGGGCTGTACATATCTTTTATACTGAAGCCAACCCGACGAACGGGGCTTCGTACATGTTCTTTCGCTTCATTTTTCTTTCTATCGTTTTGGAGTCCAGAGGCACTGGACGGAGCACGAATACCCCTGGAATAGCGTGTTTGAAGGCTTGTATGGTTGTTGAGCGAACACATAGCATTAGGGAGCCTGATCAACTGCATTCCTGCGAGATATCGCAGACCTCCAATAATTCTTTCTCATGACCTTTTTGTGATGTGGCGGCCTATGTGTGTGTATAGGAAAGGGCTAGTTGCTTTCAAGTGTGCCGTGATGCAGGCAACAGTCACGCCATCATCGTAGTTCTGAACAGGCACCGTCCCAAATGCTCTTATGACAGCCCATCAGTTTTCACCGCATATCATTGGTGCAATATGAGCCATATTGGCTTGGTGCAGATTTGAATACTGAGGTAAGCCTGATACGCCAACAGAAAACATGTCGTGTAAGTGGGAGGACAGAGTGGCGATGGCACCGCAACGTGGTCAATTTGAGGGCACAACTAAGACGGCGACTTTTGCACGCTCTCGAAAATGGGATACATTTACTACCTAGTATTCAACTACGAAAACATTTTCATTCACCCAAAAATCTCGGCTTCCCACTGCGCCCTTCCCCCCAAAAACAGGTCAAAGTGAGTTTCGCTTGACGCACCAACACTTTGCGACTCTTTGGCAACCACGGTGAAAGTAGTGGAGCATCTCCGCTAGTGGTGGCCCAAAATATAAGGCATTACCACCTGAGCATCAGCACCGACCAGCACCACAGCGCACACACACACACCAGCAGTAGCAACAGCACTCCACTTGGTTCTGTCCCAACTGCTGATAGCCCAGTCCAGCCAGCAAGCACCGTTCGCCGCCTCGTCTCTTGGGAGCAAAAGTCCGAACAACGACACCTCCCCGGCCTCAACCTCCCTAATCGCTCCACCACATCTACAAACCACCTTCACAAACCTCGATCTCGTGTCGTCAAGATGTGGATTATTGATTGGTGTACGTATTCATCAATGCCTGTCATTTTCTTCTTCTTCTAGTCCAGTAGCAGCTGTGCGATGTCGCCGCCTCTGCCACCGCCGCTTCTGGGCCAAGCAATCATCCCTGGTTGAATGGCAATGAACTGACTTGTGCTCTCATCATAGTCTACAACGTCCTCTCGAGCCTTGGCCTGCTCAACAAGCACGCCAAGCTCCTCTTCCTCGGTCTGGATAATGCCGGAAAGACGACGCTTCTTCACATGTTGAAGGTACGATACTCTCCGGAAACCCTACTTGGGCCGCATCTCTGGCACACTCTCCTGCTCACCGGACGCCGGATGCGCCCGATATGGATTACCAAAGGGATGCGATGCCAATGGAAAGACCCCTAGCTAACGTGTATATCAGAACGACCGTGTCGCTATCCTGCAGCCAACTCTTCACCCCAGTGAGTACCTCCCTGTCCCCAACAACAACACGATAACACCAAGAAGCCGTGCGCACGTGTCCTCGAGCCTGGAAGAAATAGACTGACCACTCCCGTGTCTTAAGCCTCCGAGGAGCTTGCCATCGGCAATGTGCGCTTCACCACCTTCGATCTCGGCGGTCACCAGCAGGCCCGCCGCCTCTGGAAGGATTACTTCCCCGAAGTCAACGGCATTGTCTTCCTTGTCGATGCCAAGGACCATGAGCGGTTCCCCGAGGCCAAGGCCGAGCTCGACGCCCTTCTGTCCATGGAGGAGCTGGCCAAGGTTCCCTTTGTGATCCTCGGCAACAAGATTGACCACCCTGACGCCATTTCCGAGGACGAGCTCCGTCACCAGCTCGGCATGTACCAGACGACCGGTAAGGGCAAGGTGCCCCTGGAGGGAATCCGGCCGATCGAGGTCTTCATGTGCTCGGTTGTCCTCAGACAAGGTAAGTTGGAACATTATTTCTTGGGGTTTGTCGTCTACGAGTTGAACACAGGACTGATCTGGGACTAGGTTACGGTGATGGTATCCGGTGGCTGTCCCAATACGTCTAAACATGGGACCGACTGCTCTGGGAGGAGCTGGTCTGGCGGTGTTTATGGCGGAAATGGAGTACACGGGCGGTTGACAAGAGCAGCAAACACCCAAGGGAAACGTCCGTACGGGAACGAATTCATGGTGCCACGTCTATGATACTCCGGTTCAAAGTGCTCGAAGGGGCCGAGTCCTCGCTCAGCTCGTTTCGAACTTGATATTCTTGGGGAAGTGGAAGTGCATAATGGGACTGATTTACTGCTTTAGGAGGAGCTCGGCAGGTTGGGTTTACGACGAAGAAGTCCACGACCTGATGCACGAGTTCGCTGCTCAGTCAGCCCGGCAGTCAGCCCAGTCGAGTCAAACATGAGGCAGTGTGTACGGTTGTTAGGCTAGAATACTCGTTCAAGCCCGGTGACTTGGAATCTGGTTATTGTGTGTTTCAATCGTTAGCCTGCTATGCTAGTTCTTGCTACATCATCAACAAACATCAAATCTTCAATCCAAGTCCCAAAAACCAACAACTGTGTATGTCACTGTGTAATGCATTTTCTGGGACCGCGACGTAATGCCCAGGACAACTGTCCCGCAGGACGCCGTGTCGCCGTACCCATGGTGATCCCGGCGGAGACTGTGATGCAACCGAGGCCACCGTGTCAGCAGCAGCCCGCGTAGGTTTGAGGTGGGAGGTCTATGGATACGTAAGTGTGTGGCAGTTAGCATTTGCAAGCCACAGCCAAGATGGCTAGTATTAACTGTACACGTCTGAATGAGTTCAACTTGCCAAGTTTATTACCAGAGACGGAAAACAGGACGGCCCCCGCCATGCCCACTCAGCCTCCGTGATCATCGCGTCCCGCCCCCCGACCACTTTGTCGTCGATCTGAGCTCATACATTCCGCACCCCAGCAGGGCTAGACTTCATCGGTGCGGTTATGTAACATTTGCAGAGGATTCCGAAGAGGCGGGAAGGGGTCCATTGTCAAGCGAGGCGAGGGTCCAGCGCTGCTGACCAGTCGCCAACTGTTTTATCTCAGCGTCTACTCATTTAGTATACGGTTCAATGTCTATAGATGTACCCTGCAGTAATCAATACTTTCTATTCCCAGCATCGCCGCCGCCCGATGACCCGAGGCACTCTCAAAAATCCTTATCTTATCTTACGTAAGAATTGGACCCGAAGCACATGCGTTCTGCTGTTCGTTTGGCTAGTGGCACAACGACTGCCCGGGAAAGGTGCAGATGAGCACCTACTAGCCCTCTTCGTACCGCCCAAAATGCTTTTTTCTTCAGGCGCATCATCCACTGAAGAACGCCGCTGTACAGTTCATTAGCGGACGACAGGCCATCGGCTCCAGTCCCGGCTATGTGAAAGAACTGGGGACCTCTCACTCTTCCCTCCACTTGCCCCAACGAAATCCAATTCGAGCTACTGCCGACGTCATCCGACCCGTGGCATCACGGGCGCATTCCCTAGGGAGGAGGCGCGCATCTTCAGAAAAGGCTCCGGCCGCCGAACAAACCCCCAAAGCCTTCAAGTGTCCCCCAACAAATGTCCAGAAATCACCCGTTCGTAATCGGCAAACATACAAATTATTACCGCTTACATCCAACTAGTCTCACACACATACCACTTTGTTGTTCCTCCCGATCCTCCTTTTGCTAGGAATTTCCTTTTCCCCCTGTCGTATTCTTCATCTCATTGTCTCTTTTCTTCTTCCAAGATTCATCCTGTTTTAGACTTTCCTGCTGCAATATCATGTGCCTAGACCTCCTAAACTACGAAGCCCGCAGACATGGCTGAGCATCAACAACAACAACAGCAGCAGCAGCAGCAGCAGCACCATAGAGTTACCTTCGCCGCGAACTCGCCGAGCAGCAGCAACAACTACAACACCGATAGCTACGGCTTCCCGCCTGAGTCTTTCACCGGCGATGGCCTGCCCGACTTCAACACCAAATTCCTCGATGATGCTGATCTCGAGGCCTTCATCCAGGCCCTGCACGCCCCGGATCCTCTGCAATCGCCTGCTGATGACACAACCTCCCTACGGTCTCCCGGCTTGAGGAGCAACAGCTCGATCGACTTCACGAAACGTGGATCTGTTTATGAAGATGAGAAGGAGGATCCGCAGGCTGTTGCGGCTGCGGCTGCGGCCGCCGCGGGAGATGTGACTGCTCCCGGGCCAGCAGCAAACGGGAACGTCTACGCCAGCCAACCCAACATGTTCATCACGGCGCAGAACGATTGGGCGCCTGTTAATCAGAGAATATCGAAACGGGGGTCACGGAAGAGGAGGAACAGAGCCAAGGGCGCCGCTGAGGCGTTGCTCGGCACGCGGACTAAAGACGAGACTCGGGAGGGCATATTCTACGCCCTTCTTAAATGGCCGATGCTATTCTTTGTGGGAGCATGGCTTGGAGGTCTCGCGATGACGTACCTTTATACAAGACTGTATATATGGGTGTATGAACATTTCGTCACCTGGCGGGGCACGAGGGAGCGACTTAGACGCAGCATGAGGCAGACGAATAACTACCGCGATTGGGTCGTCGCAGCCAAGGAACTAGACAGCTATCTCGACCGGCAGCGATGGAAGGAGGAGAATGACTTTGCGTACTACGACTCTAAGACCGTAAAGAGGGTATGGGAGCAGATGCGCAAGTGCAGGCAGCGAGCTGAGGCGCTAGAGAACGGAGAGGCAGACGACGAGAGCCAGGCGAAAGAGGGTAAGCCTGCTGTCGAGGAGCTTCATACGTTGCTCTCAGCTTGCGTGAAGAGCAACTTTGTTGGGGTTGAAAACCCTAGGCTGTATAGTCAGACGTATTATGGCACAAAGAATCTGGTGCAGAACTTTGTCGATGAGGGTACGCATTCCTGTCTGGCTGGTTTCACGGAGAACTCAATACTAACTGTTGTCTAGTTGAGAGGAGCATCAAGTTCATCCTCAACACCAAGCAGCTCACCATCGAGGAGAAGCGGGGCATCTTCAAGGGCATGCATGCCAATTACGGTCGGACTGCTCTGTGTCTTTCTGGCGGCGCGGCGTTTGCATACTATCATTTTGGCGTCATCAAAGGTCTTCTTGAGGCGGACTTGCTTCCGGATGTCATCACTGGTACTAGCGGCGGCGCCCTCGTTGCTGCCCTAGTCGCAACGCGTACCAACGACGAGCTGAAGAAGCTGCTGGTCCCAGCGCTCGCTGATAAGATCACTGCTTGCCGCGAGAGTTTTACGACCTGGATACCTCGCTGGTGGAGGACAGGCGCCCGGTTTGATTCTGTCGACTGGGCGCGACAGTGCAGCTGGTGGACTCGGGGTTCAATGACCTTCCGCGAAGCATACGAGCGTACCGGCCGCATATTGAACGTCTCGTGCGTGCCGGCTGACCCTCACTCGCCTACCATCCTTTGCAACTACCTCACCAGCCCCGACTGCGTCATTTGGTCTGCTGTCCTCGCCTCCGCCGCTGTTCCTGGAATCCTCAACCCTGTAGTTCTGATGATGAAGCAGCGTGACGGGACGTTGGTACCGTATTCTTTCGGACACAAGTGGAAGGACGGCAGTCTAAGGACGGACATCCCTATCAAGGCTCTCAACCTGCACTTCAACGTCAACTTTACGATTGTGAGCCAGGTGAACCCGCATATCAACCTCTTTTTCTTCTCCTCGCGCGGGTCAGTCGGACATCCCGTCACACACCGCAAAGGAAAGGGTTGGAGAGGAGGGTACGTTATGTCCGCAGTCGAGCACTATCTCAAGCTTGACATGACAAAGTGGTTGAAATTCATCCGACACGCGGAGCTTCTGCCGAGACCGCTGGGCCAGGACTGGAGTCAGCTCTTCCTGCAGCAGTTCAGCGGGACGATCACCATCTGGCCCAAGACCGTGCCATCCGACTTCTACCATATCCTATCTGACCCGGACCCTCCAAGACTGGCAAGGATGATTCACGAGGGTCAGCAGCGCGCGTTCCCCATCCTCAAGTTTGTGAGCAACAGGTTGAAGGTGGAGCGTGTTATTGAGCAAGGTCGACGGGAGACGAGACCGTGGATCAGGAGGGGTAGCATCGAGACCATCCTCAGCGAAGACGACCTCAGGAGCCTGCTCATCACGGGCAGCACGGACGTCGAAGAGGACACAACGGACGCGGAGGGGGAGACGATGCTGGAGAACGAGGAGGCTATCATTGACGACGAGGAAGAACAGTTCGAGAGGGGGATCAAAAGAGATTAGATGTAGGATTATAACACCGTCCTCCACCCCACCCTGAGATTAGAGGGAGGGGATATACATGTGAGAGTGTGGGATTCGTGTAGCATAGCTTGGCGTTTTATACCTGGAGTTGTCCTCTATGCTAGTTGCTGGTTTTCCGAGACCCGTGATTCTGTAAGCTTTGTAATGATTCTTGACGCATTCTCCCAGTCTCGTGAAAGGCTGCGGCGTCTCTGTTCATTGTCCTAGCGGTTGAGATGTTGACTAGACTACGTCGTTTGGCTTGTCGAATTACTTCTCCCATGTGCTGTGAAGTGATGGGATCCTGGTTAGGAGGAGTTTTGGCAGTTCATTTGCAACTAGCCTACCCAGTCCTTTTTTTTTTTTCTTTTTCACATATCTAAAGGCTCTTTCGGCGGGGGTGAACTGAGGAGGTACCACGGGAATGTAACAACGCCGAATCCCTTAATCATTGATCACTACTTTTTGTGTGGAGTTTAGTGTTGTGTGCCGATTATCCATTTGTTTTAGTTGGGTCCAGCTGACACTTGTTCACAGCCGTGTGAGCAAGTGTGTTTTGCTTAGCAGTATAGCACCCCGTGACAGAATCTTCTGGAAATAGGGGGTCATTTGAAGCCAGCTAGCTATACTATTTTGCTTGCTTTTGCTTGCTTCTCTTATGGATTGCAAGAGCCATAGATACAGCTACAGCCTGGGTATGGTATAGCGCAGTCACATGTGCATTTATAGGCCGGACCAGACGTTGGCCACCGAGGCAGTGTACGCGACTCGTGTGGTTCTTGTTGCAGGAAATCTGTCCTTCAGATTGGTTTTATGCTGATAACATTTGAGCAAGTCCATAACAAATCGTAAAGAATCGCTCGATTTTCAAAGCAAGCGTTTTGCGAAGCCATGCTGGTTGTCGGAATATAGACAACTGGCCAGGCCAATGGCAACGGAAGAAGTTACTCCGCAACTGAGAGTTGGCCGCTATTAAGGTTAGATATAGTGAAAACAACAGGGTTTCGCAGCACCACTAGGTCCCCTTTCGTAAGATACGTGGCTTGGTTTCAACGACGAGACGCTGCGCTGTGTTCGTCGGAGCCGAAGACTTGAAAAGACTGAACAACTCCATATCCGAAAAGCCCATACCGTGAGACTACAACGGCAATCAAGACACATCTCAGAATAGGATCTAAGTTTGCATGCAATAAAAGCCATGGCATAGCCTAGCTGCGAAGTTACCGGTTGGCCGTTTATTATTAGGCGCAAGGCGGACGAATGACGGCGAGTCGGGTACCTGGAGGAAATAAGACAGTGGGCCAGTTTAGGAGCTAGCCAACAAAGCTCCAGGCGGGCCAGGTTCAAGTAAAGTCCGAGTTGGGGAAGGACAGATAATCCATTTGCCGCGTCGGAGGCGAAAGCAGCCAGGTAGGAGCCCAGTGGTGGGGCGCGCAAGACGCACTGACTGGACAATGAGCCGTAAACCCCCCTGTCCGGAAACCATCACGCAGCATTTCGAGGCCACGATTGTCAAAAGGAAGTGACCTAGCAAGACTAAGCAAGAGACTGTGTGCGGACGGACACTTTTGCTTTCCAGAAAGTCCCCTACGAGGCACAAACCCCCAGAAAAGGCCATATACACGCTTTTGCTGTTGTGTTCTTTCCCAGGGCTTCTATATTCTTCTCTTTCTTTTTTCCTAGTCTGTCCCTGTTACGACCTATTTCCTCGTGCTGGCTACGCCGCTCGTTCCTACATCTTTTTACCCTCCCGTCATACAACACCATCTTTGACGTGGCATCTTCCGCGCGACTCAACCGCCCGGCTTCAGTCCCAAACCCGCCCTCACCAAAGCCTTCCAGAGCTCTCGAGCTCGCCACGTCGCCAAGATGAGCTCCGACTACTCGTACGACAACGACGCACAATTCTACCCCTTCTTCATCCTCGCCATCACCAGTATCGTCACCCTGCCCCTCGGCTACACACTCGTCTTCCCCTCCAAGGACATCGAAGCGAAAGCCCCGCGCATTCAGAGCGACTTCAAGCCCGAACATGCAGACCTGATCGGAGCTCAGCGCAAGGCGCACGACAAGAAGCAGCGCCGTATTGTGCGCGCCATCTTCGTCATCCTCGGCCTGGCCCTCATGGCCGGTATGGTCTACCTCATCATCCACGTCCAGACCGTTATCCCCAAGATCTGGAACCCTTATGATATCCTTGGTCTCCCTGACGTACGTTTGCTTTCGGTACCACTCAAATCCTGTCGTCACTGACACTGACAATTGCTCTAGTCTGCCGACGAGAAGACCATTAAGAAGGTCTACAAGAACCTTTCAAGAAGACTGCACCCCGACAAGGTCAGGCCCGACCCGGCCAAGAACGAGACCGTTGAATCTCTAAACGCCGCCTACGTCGAGATCTCCAAGGCCTACCAGGCGCTTACCGACGAGGAGGTCCGCAACAACTATATTCAGTACGGTCACCCCGACGGAAAGCAGAGCTTCAGCATCGGCATTGCGCTCCCCCAGTTCATGGTCTCTGATGGCAACGGCAAGTACGTCGTTCTCGCTTACACCCTGCTTCTCGGCGTCCTCCTGCCTTACCTCGTCGGATCCTGGTGGTACGGCACTCAGCGCATGTCCAAGGATGGCGTCCTCATGGAGAGCGCCAACAACCTGTTCCGCGCCTACGAGGAGGAAGTAGACGAGGGTGGTGTTATTACTGCCCTCAGCAGCGGCAAGGAGTTCGAGGCTGTCCTCAAGGGCGACAAGGCCGAATCTGGCCTTTCCAAGCTCGAGTCCAAGCTCTTCGCCAACGCCGACAAGGCCGGTCTCACCCAGAAGGACAAGCAGGCTCTTCAGGATCTCGACAGTGGTGTGCGCCGCAAGGCCCTGGCACTTTTGTGGTCGTACCTCGGCCGCGTCGAGCTCGAGGACCCTGCTCTTGACAGTGCCAAGTACGAGGTCGCCCCCATCGCCCACGCCCTGACCCGGTCATTCTCTGCTATTGCCCAGGCCTACGGCAACACTGGTCCTATTCTCGCCGCCTACTCTACCGGTCAGCACCTGATCCAGGCCCTGCCTCCCAAGTCCTCGCCCCTTCTTCAGCTTCCTCACTTCACCCAGGACGTCGTCCGCGCTGTCGAGGGCGGTGATGAGAAGATCCACGTCTCTCTCCAGCAGTTTATGGACCTGCCAGACAACCTGCGTAGAAACCTGACGGTGAAGAACGGCCTCCTTACCGAGGAGCAGTACAAGACTGCCCTTAGCGTTTCCAAGCAGCTCCCTCAACTCCGTGTCGCCAAGGCGTTCTTCAAGGTCACCGGCGAGCGATTCATTATTCCCTCTTCCCTCGTCACACTCGTTGTCAAGGGCCGCATCATCCCCCCTGGCAGCGAAAACGTCCCCGAAATCAACGAATTGGATCTGGAAGACATTGACCCCGCGGAGGACGACCTCGACGCCTTCCTCGGCCGCAAGAAGACCACCAAGGGCCCTGACGGCAAGCCCGTCCCCGCTGACGACAAGCCAATTCTGCCTCCTCTCGCCCACGCTCCTTACTTTGCCCGCGACCACGCCCCCAAGTGGTATGTCTTCTTGACCGACTCCAAGCAGGGCAAGATGGCCGTTCCCCCCTTCACCTTCACCCAGTTCGACCAGCCCATCTTCGGCGAAGACGGCAAGCCCACTTTCAATATGCAGACCCTCAAGGCCCAGTTCGCCGCACCTCCCCAAGCCGGTCACTACACTTTCGTCATGCATGTTGTGTGCGACAGCTATGTTGGTTTCGATACCAAGATGGAGGTAACATTGGTGGTTGAGGAGGCCAACAAGGCGGCGGCCATGGTTGCCGAGGATGAGATCAGCGAGCCTGATGAGGGTAAGTCACATCAACTCCCTTTCATTGATTGCGGCACAGCAGCTAACAGTACACCAGACTCAATCGCCGGTCAAATGCAAGCCCTCAAGGGCGGAAGCGTTCCTGGCACCACCAAGCCCCGCAGGAAACCTGTCGAAGAGGACTCGGACGAGGAGAGTGGCACCGATGACGACGTGGAGGATGACGACACAAGCGCGACGAACACTGACACTGAAGACGAGTCATAAAGGGCTAGTCCTCTTTTCCAAAACTTGAAGTTTCAACGATGGACGAAGCCCAGTGGGAGGGGTGTGTGTGTATGAGAGTACAATGTTAGAAGAAAAGAACCAGAAAAAGCAAGAAACCAGGAGTGGTAAGACTCGCAAACAATATACCCCAAAGTCACAACAACAACACCGTGGGGCTTTCATGCTCGGCATTCGAGAGAACCAAAAAAGGATAAATGAGGCGATGTTTAAGAAGGGGAGATGGTTTAGCGATAGTTACAAGAGGGGAAACGAACGGAAGGAAGGCGAGGGAAGGGAAAAAACGGACCCATTCATGCGTCGTCGATGCTTAGCTTGCTTGCTTGACACGCCCGCGTCCTGTGCATAAAAACAAGGTGCCTTGTCACCGGAACACCCCCTCCGAATCAAGCGTACATAGATTACCGGCGTTTGTTTAGGAAGTTGTATGGGATTTCAACTTTTTTTTTTTTCGGTTATTCTTTTTTCTTCTTTCTTCTGATCCATGGGAGTAGTAATTCAGTAGCAAGAATCCATCTCGGCCACTTTCAAAATCATCAAAACCTCATCATTCCATGTGTATGATGAATATTTGAGAACTGTAAATTTAAATGATGTGATTTCATCCACGACGCCAACCCAGCAGATTGGTGGTGGTGGTGATGGTGTTTAAAACGCTGCTGCATCTCTTGTTTTACATGATCAATCAGCCAGCCACGAATAAGTGTTGTGTGTTGTAAAAAAGTGTAAACGCCGATCGCCGCCTCCTTGGAAACCCTGCGAATGCAACAACAAACGAAATATGTACAACAGAAGTTTCCCACCCATCTTGACAGTGCTTTTTCTCCAAGCATCCGGGTATTTGTTATGAAAGAGGGAAAAATATCGAACCCGCCGCCTGCTTGCCAGCTTGCAAACTCCGTCCGTTCATCCATCCATTCATCCCATACATCCATCCGTGCTGTTGCCGCCTCGTCATCTTCCTAAAGTGCATTGCTTCATTTACTCACTAAGCGCCTGGAGCGCCTGCGTAAGGGGTACAACGCGCAGACTCCTTCCACGCTTCAAGGGACTACCCGCATTCCTCTGGGGCATGATGGTCGGGCTGGCCTCGTCACGCCACTTGCGGAACACGCTCTTAAGGTCCTTGGGGATGCCCTCCAATACAACCGTCGAAATGGGGATGAAGGGGCGGTCCTCCATGCCGCTGGCCAGAATAGCATACTCCTGCGCGAAGTCGAGGGCGATGCGGAAAGAGCTGTATTGACTCTGTGCAGTTCTGCCGACGATGATGTACATCTCGAAGAAGGCGTCCAGGACGTAGATTCCGGAGGGATCAAGATCGGCTTGAGTGAATGGAGCAATTTCGACGATCTGAGTTGGTAAAGCGTTAGTCCCAAATCCAACCTGTGTTTTAGGGTGTCGGTTTTCTTACCTGCTGCTTTGAAGCCGCATTAGACCGGAACAGTCTTTGGCAGTACTTGTCGTAGTTGGGCTTCAAGCGCCAGTGGTCCGCCGAATGAGGCTTTGAGCCGCCGTGGAAGATATCCCAGAAGCTGTCCGGCTCGCTGCCGTCTTCAACTTCCAGGAGCTCGCCCGTCAAAGTCAAGTCCATACCAATGAGACGGGCGCAGCTGAGCTCATCCACATCACTACCTTTACCCTTCCACAGGTAACACTTTCCTGACGTCGTGATCAAAAAGGGGAATCCGGAGCAGAGGCTCGACGAGGAGAAGTCGACTTCATCAAAGACGAAAGTATGTTGGCCAAGGATGCGACGACCGCAGAGCATACTTGGTGCTAAAGAGTCATACTTTGTGCTGGAGCCCCGGCGAGTGATTACCATACCTCCAAGCGCCAAGATGAACTCTGGTGTCTCTCTGCCCTGGCGCATCTTGACAACTCTTCCGCCAAGAGATCTGGCTTCACGGTTCACGAAAAGAGCGGCATCTTCCACCGTTGCTTCTGGCACCTCATCACCAGCCCAGAAGTACACTTCCGTTGCTTTCTTTCCAGCCTCATTGGTAAAGGTGTAAGAGCAGATGTACATCTCGCGTTCGAATAGGATACGCTCGTTGTGTGCCGGGACAGGAATCTTCTTTCCGTCACCGGTCATTTGGAAGAGTCGCGCTCCCTGGCCATGAATGTTGCGAGCACGGGGTTTGTTCATCAAAACCTCGGCGGTGTCGAGCTGATACTCCCTCTGCGGACGCGGTGTGCCGAAGAAGTCGTCCAGCACGGTGGACACGTCTGACAACTGCTTAGTCGGTGATCGCACTGGCGATGCCACTGGCGTTGGGGATGATGGCTTAGGCGGGAGCGGCAGGGGCCTGGCAGCAGCCTTGGGGGTGCTAGTCCTTTCAACGGGTGGTGCTGGGCTGTCAAACCGCGACTTTGTCTCGGAAGGCGGCGACTGCATTGGTGACTTAACAGGGGGAGGCGATTTCATGGGAGGAGGCGACTTGACCGAAGGCGGTGAGTGTACGACGGACCCTCCGAACATGGCGGTAGCATTCTTGACAGATACGACAGGGTCGCTGTCTACTTTGTCGTTAAACATCTTCTGGGGCGAGCTGGGTCTTGAGATTCTAAGAGGGGCCACATGAGGACTGTACTCGTTCGGCGGTGGAGACCGAATCGGAGACCTGGGAGTTGGATCAGGCAAAGGCCGGCCGAACGTCTTAGCAGGGCCCACAGGTTCCTCGCGAGTCTCTGAAAACGACTGTTTTGCGGGGCTAGGCGTGGGTTCCGGCAGAGGCCGTCCGAATTTCTTGACGGGAGAAACCTCCTCAGACTTTTGTGCTACTGGGCTTGGGGGCTTCTCAAAGACCGGCTTGGGCTTAATGCTCGGCGTTGAAGCAGGACTCTCGTTCTTGGGGGGTTCAGCATTCTTCGGGCTCTCAACTCTCTTGGGGCTCTCGGCTCTCTTGGGGCTCTCGGCTCTCTTGAAGCTCTCAACCCTCTTAGGACTCTCGGCCCTTTTGGGACTTTCAGCTTTGGGGCTTGATGGGCTGTTGTCATCCAAAAATCTCGACATTCTCTTCATATCCAGCTTTTTGGGCGAGGTGGGCTGAGAAGTAGGCTCGGTCGGCTTCTCCTCTTGAAGTTTGATAGGAGAAGCTTGAAGTTTCATGGTGGGTGAGCGAGCTCTACGGGTGGGCACAGGCTCTGCATCCTTAGGGCTGAAGGTTGGCTTCTCAGCAGACTTTTCAGCTGGTTTCTCGGGGGACTTCTCAGCAGGCTTCTCAGGCTCCTCAGCAGGCTTGCTGAAGGGTTTGAGGGGAGCGGGCCTGCTTTTGAGGGCTGCCTGAGCTGCCACTTGGGCATGAATCGACGGCGGCGCCTCCTTCTCGGGGCTCTTTGGAGATTGCTCAGCCATAACGGGTGCCTCTTCCTTGACTGGTGATGCCACCGCAGGGCTTGGTTTTGATTCAGTAGCCGGCGCTGGGCTGCCTGTGGACTGGCCTTTCGAAGACGGTGCTTTTCTCTTCGGACCGCGAGCACGGCCCTTAGTCATATGCGTCAATTGCGGACCGGGAGCTGTTGGCTCAGTAGCCGAAGCGCCAGAGCCCTCTGGCTTTTGGTCGTCTTTGCCTCCGTTTGATGCCATCGGCGGCGGGCCGCGGGCCAATAGGCCCGCAAGCGCGGGATTGAAGCGGTTCGCCAGTCCTCCGGCTGCAGCGCGCCCTTGCAAGCGGGCCGGTGCACTGGTCTCCTTCTGGAGTGTTGGAGAAGTGACGGATTCAGTAGGGGACTTCACCGTGGCAGCAGCCTCACTTAGTTCATCCTTTTGCTGATTCTTCGACAGTGATGTTGGCCGCCCGCTGACAGATTTGCGGTGCTCGATCGTAGAGTCCGAGTCCACAGTGGTTGGTCTGGAAGAAAGGGATTTGCTGAATTCAGCTCTCTTCAGGAGAGCCTCGGGTACCGGCTTATCAGCCGCGTTGGATTTACTGCGGGCAATGCCCCTGCCTTGTTCTTGAGCAGCCTTGAAATCTTCCTTTTTCTTCAAGATTGCATCCTTGAACTCGTCTTTACGCTCGCTCGGCTTCGGTCCGCCAGTGATATTCAAACCGGCTTTACCGCGCGTGATATTGTTCTTGAGTTCGTCTGGCGCAACGTAATTCTGGGTCTTTGTCCGGCGCAAGTTACCAAAGACATTTTGCAGCTCGTTGGGCTGCTCTTTAGAGCCTCCAGCATCGCCAGAGGGGTTTCGGGATTTGAGACTGGCACGGAAGTCCTTCTTCGGAGGTGTCTCAGGCTTAACTTTAGCTACAGCAGGACTGTCGCTGGCCGAAAATCGCTTCGGTATATCTCCGGTACTTTCCTCTCCCTCCGGCTTGTCGTCACTTGTTGGGCTCTTGATCTGGCTATTGCGGAAGTTGGCTCCGCTGATGCTACCACTAGACCGATGAGATGATTCGGTAGGCGACGAGAAGATGCCCTTTAGACCGCTCACAGAAGGCTTCGAATTATGGCCGCCCATTGGCGACGATCGCATGAGGCCACCGATATTGACTTCGTGCTTTTGCGACGATACAGAACCGGTCCGGCCCAGATCGGCGCTTGGGTTGGCGGCCTTGTGTGCCTTCGCCTTGTTGAGCTCGACCATCCAGGCGGGTTGGTTTGCCGTGGGTGGTGGCTTCGGCTTCGACGTTTCTGGCTTGTTCAACGCAGTCTCCAGCCAACTGGCCTTGGTGGGGCTCCATCTCCTAGTATCCAAAGTCTTTGACGGGCTGGATGGCGGTGTTACTTTCTCCTCCTTTTCCTCATTCTCCTCGGCGGCTGGCTTCGGCTCTGGTTTAGGGTCCACGGCAAGCGCTTTAGGGGTGGTTTCCACCTCGCTTTCTTCCTCCTGAGCCCCATGACGAGAAGCAGGGCGAGAGGCATGGCGAGATGCAGGGCGAGAAAGGGAACGAGACATGCTAGTGGGTGTGGCTGCACCATCACGGATGACCATGCTCTGTGGTCGTGAACGAGACTCACCAGCCCGGGTGGAGGCGGCAGAGTCGGCGCGTACAAGGCCGGTGGGGGAGGTCACACTCCATCTTTTTACGCTGTCTGATCTCTTCATCATGGCACTTTGGACGAAGCCGCCCATGCCCTTTGTAGGCGAGACAGGTCTCGTGGGCGACATGCGACCCGATCCTGACGACAAGACCGACGACCGTCTGGCCGGGTTGTCGGGTTCGGAGGAAATCTCAGCCGGGGGGTCGAGTCTCTGTGCGCTGGTCAACGACAAAGGGGAGCCCAGTCTGTTTTCTTTTGTCGGGCTCGACTGCTCCGGGGGGAGATCAGTGGAAGAGCTGCGGCTCATGCCGGGAAGCTGATGGGCGCGCATCGACGACATGTCAGTGGTATCGGTATCCTCCACTTGGCTCTTGCGATTGGCGGCTGACCCAACGCTGGCTCGGTCGGCCGTCTGGCGAAACCAAGATGGGTCTTTGGATCCCAATGCCTGAGCAATCTGATCCTTGGAGAAGGTCTGCTCGGTGGCAGATGAAGGGTCAGAGACGGGGTTTGGTGAGGTCCTGGCAGCATTCTCGGCGGCAACCACTGACAAAGGACGGCTCTTGGACCGATCCGAATGCTGGGAGTTGGGGCGCCTCTGCCAGGAGAGCGGGCGGGCGCCTTGTACGCTGCCGGTAGGAGAGGTTACACTCGTTCGCTTGATATCGGCATCGAAGGGGGATTCGTTCTCCTTGGTCGGAGAGGTCGACGATAGGCTTTCCATGGTATCAGAGACCGCGGCACCACGAGAACGAGGGCTTCCGGTGAGATCAAGACCAGGAGAAGACAGCTTCAGGTCATCGGAAAGCTGAGTCGTGTTGCGTTGAGACGAGGGTGGTGGGGTATTGGCTGGGGATGACTTCTGAGGGGAAATAGACCGGGCGCGTTCTGTCAATGTTGTCTGTCAGAGGAGGGGATGATGCAATACTGGCAGGCACAACGAGCGCAAGAGGAAAAAACAGAAACAGGGCAACTGCAGTTGCACGGGGTATGTGTTGATAATTTTTCTGCAGGGCGCAAGGTGGGCAACAATGGACGAAGGACGTGGGTGCTTGGTACGTGTGCCCATTTGGGGTGCCGTGGGTTTGTGTCAAGGCGTTGAGGCGTCGCCGCGTCCTGACCAGTGCGGCGGCGGTCCCGATAGTAGCTCAGCTTTCTCTGGCCGATAATCACCTAAACCTGAATAATGGCACGGCACCCGAGCACTCTCGCACGAGGATGGGTAGGGCGGCGAGGTAGGATTCGTTGCCTTCCTTGGCCAAGTTGGGAAAAGAAAGCTTATAAAAAAGGCAAGACACGAGGTAAGGAGGAGGGGGAGTTGGGGCAGAGACGGAAGCAAACGTACCGGCACGACGAGCCTGGCGCTCCCGCTTCTCTTGCTGGATCTTCTCGTCAAGTTCGCGTTGACGGGCGTCGTCCTCCTCTGTGCGGCGGGCATTCATCTCCTTGACATCCTGCAAAAACTTGGAGACGTCGTCCATGGCTTGTTCCGACATATCGAGGAGAGAGACAGAGTCATGACACGGCAGCGGTGGGGGAAGAATGGAAACAGGTGGTTCTGTATGCGCAGGTAGCCCCCCGGTAGGAAAGGTATGGCGTGGCAAGGCGAGCAAGCGTGGGTTGAGGTCCTTTCGTCGGAGAAGGGATATGTTGTCTTTCTTCGCGTGGACGGGATCAGGTAGGTTGTGAGAGGTACTTCGTCACCACCTTCCAGGTCGAATCTGGGATGGGATGGGACAGGATAGCGCCGCTAAGAACCGGACTGGGTGCGGCAGGGTGCAGGACTGGAGGTTCCGAGTGTCTGGAGGGGGTGCGGCGAGGCTAAGGAAGCAAAGGGGGCCTTTAGGTAATGCAGGGAAATGCAGCCTCGATGACAGGCGACAAAATGGGACCTGCGTTTTGTTGTTTTGATTTTCTGCCCAGCAACAAATGGGAAGCTGACGGCAGCTGAGTTGAAAGGAAGCAGGTTTTTTTTCCCCTTCTCTCCCCCTACCCAAGTTGGAGGTTCGCACTTCGGGTCGAGGGCTTGTGAACAGTTGCATCCCGAGCTGGCAGCCTGACCTACCTTGGCCCCCCAGTAGCTCCTGCTGCTTGCTGCATGTACTACGTAGTTAGTGGTACTATGTAAGGTGCCCCGTAAGGTTGAGGTAGTTAGGTACCTTCCCTCAACTTACTACGTAGTATTCTAGTCGGGTACCTGTCCAGACCGTGCCGATGTGCTGAGGCTTGGCCTTATCTTAGGTACCGTCAGGCACACGACGAACACTCCAATAATTTCCATCCACCGAGAACAGACATTGGCGCCCCAAAGGGCCCGTTGAATTTTAATTCACAGTAAGCGCCATCGCCAATTTCTCTGAGATTGAGATAGAGAGAGATAGAGAGAGAGAAACTTGAGCCATTCATTTCATTCCCACTTGGGCGGTCAATTGTCTCATTGGAAAGGCGCCTTTGGCAGCACAGTCAGCTCCATAAGCTGGTTCGGCGCAAGTCAAGGTTCCAACTCGTAAAAACCACGCCAAGTTACTCAGAAAATGGTACGTACCCATCTCCCCCCCTCCTTTCCCTTCCCCTCTGCCCCCCCTCTGCAGCTACTACTACGTACTCCAAAGCTTCAGTCCAGCTTCGTCCTAAGGCAGAAGAAAGACGCTATGACCAGATGCCTCTCCCTCCCCCCCTGTCTCACATTTGGACTGTGGTATATCACTCGTACCTGAGATCCCTTGGTTTGGGGCCACACCAAATTTCGCCATTCAAGCACCTCACTGGCTAGCGGGAGCGTTTCAATCACGTCGTTTCAAACCGTGATTTTCTCGAGGGATGTCCTGGCATTCAATCCACTACCAAGTAGAGTGCTGTAATTTCTCTGCTGTAATGGTTTTTAATTCCCAGACATACCGGACTCCATCGCTGGCTGTCTTCACTACACTGCACTGCCTGCGTCACTGACTTTCCTGTTCTTAGTCGCCATTCGGGCAAAAACTCGACGGAGTATGGGGCAGCAAGGGGGCCCCAAAATATCTCATCTATCCCATCCATCCGCATTCGTTCTTTCTAGCCATCATCGGACCAGCAAGGGCCCGGTTTTTAGCAGCAGGACGCAATGAACTAATCAAAGTACTCCATCCGAAGAGAGACGAAAAAAAAAAGAAAGAAAAAAAAGCCCTTCACTCTCAGCCTCACCATATACTGGCTTCCTAGTATTGATGATCCATTTTTTTTTCAGCCTGGGTTCGCCATCGTCATCCGGGTCACCCATTTATCTGCCACCTCTTGCACAACGCCAATCCCGGTCTTCTAGAGCCGCTACAGACCTTCGGACCTGTTTCTCCCGGGACCGCCCTTTCAGAACCTCCGTCATGTCATACTTTCTCTTCCCTCTTTGGGGCCTCCTGAGCTGCATGCCCGTCCGCTCATCCCGGATTATCCCAGCAACCAACGGCTCAGCCGGGAGCTCGCTGCACCGACGGCCAGGCCATCCTCGGGTGTCGCCCAAGTGAGAGAACCTCCTTTCTCCCGACTCCCTGAGCCTCACTCGGTCGGCGCTCAATACAGGAATAGCCTCTTCTTTGCATCTTCCACAACCCACGCTAGGCCTTCTTTGAGATTGGCGCCCGTCATGGCACTGCACCGCAGAATGTGCCAACCATGTGTTCTAATCGATTCTAATTGCAACCCCTGACCAAAGAAGTAAAAATCTGTCAGCGTGCAACTCGCAGATCCTGGAATGGTTCGCGGCTAACCTCTAGGATTTCCTGCTCATCCATGCACCCGTTGACATCTGTCTTGTTGGCAAATACTAAAAGACTAGCTCCGGATAGTCGCTGTCAACCAAGTCAGCAGATCCTGTAAGATGGAGCTCGAATCTAACGAACCTCCTCTTGCAAGAGGCCATGAAGCTCCTCTCTACAATCTTGTATTCTCAACCGGTCCGTGGCGTCAACTACCCATATCAATGCATCTGTCTTCTCAAAGTAGTTGCGCCAGTATGACCGCAACGTCTTCTGGCCACCCACGTCCCCTGCAATAGTCAGATGGTCGTCCAAGGGCACACAGATAGATAACAACATACATATGTTCAACTTGTATCTGATGGGAGTCAGTAACCATAACTGGAAGGCGGGGGCCGATCACGTACCCGTCATAGTTGATAGTTTTAATGATGAAGCCCAAAGTAGGGCTAACTGTGTTAACATCTTCACCCATGATCTTTTTAACTATTGTCGTCTTTCCTGCGTTGTCGAGACCCCTAGACTACTTGTGAGTAGAATGAGCCAAGTTGAGATAGCAACACACTGACAGCATCAGGATACGCATCTCCTTGTCCTTAAGACGAGCTTTTCGCAAGATCGAGAGCATTTTGTAGGCAAATGGAGTTTGGATCGTTTGTATTACAACGGATAGTGGACCGGGATTCTCAAAATGCTTGGTTTGTTTGTTGCGACGCTGTCCTGCTTTGCGGTGTCTAAGCTGGCTGGCCAAGGCAGTACAGGTTCAGTGTAGTGCTTGACTGGAGCACAGTGGAGGCACGTGACAGTTCCACCACTGAGCAACTCGGTCTGGATTCGGTGAGTGACGGCGACACACCGACCTCACCGAACACATCAAGCCAACTTATCGTACAGCTTAATCACAACCCCTCATAATGATGAAAATACAAGCTTTTTGCGATAGAAATAACTTGGAATACATCTCTATGAGCTTTGAACCAGACTATTTGAACATGATTCTTTCCAAGGAATGACGAACAGACACCGACGGCTATTAGGAAGTAGCAAGGTAGACAGACTATCAACTTGATAGCAGAGTCCTACTCAATAGCGACGCAAATTTCTAAATTCTACCTTACTTTTTGGAAAAAAAAAAAAAAAAAAAGGGTGCGGCACATTATTGTGTCTAAAGCATGCAAGAAAGAAGGAGCTATGCGCAAGTTCCTTTTTCGGCAGGGACTCTTCCTGCCTTCCACAAGTGGTAGGTCTTCACCTTGATCTGAGATAGCAACTTTCCTCTTTTTACTTACTTCCACCTTCCAGTCAAAGTCGTATCTCAGTCAAAGAAACATCATCAAATACCAGAGAAATTCACGCTGCAAGCAGTGCTTCACCACAACCTCAGCGCCATTCACCGACTAAACGATCCCGACTGGTTGTGGTAGAAGGGCAAAAGACAAAGGGGCAAATCACTGTCCATTTCCCATAATTCGTCACAACACTGACCAGATGGTATTGCGGCATTATTGAGCGTACGACTACCCTTTTCCTTGGATCTCTCAAATGAAACTGAAGCTTGAACGAGATATTTGCTAGAAGTACCTACCGACCTTTTCTTCCATCATTATTAGCCGTCCAGGTATGCGAACCCTTTGTCAATACGCTTGATAATACCAAGAGTTGATGTTAATTCGGGCTTCAAGATGATCACAATGCCGGGTACTGAAGTGCATGACGACAAAAGTCAGTCAGCAAACACAGTGCAGCACCAACATTGTGCGCCTCCGCGGCCTAAAAGTCCATATCCTCGTCCAGCCCCTAAAACCAACTCTCACGAGGACAATACAAAGTGCTCTAAAGCAGCATCCTTGGGAGAGGCAAAGCTGGCCGTCGAAAATCGGTTTCAGACTCCCCTATCTCATTCCTCAAACAACACTTCGGTCAACACAAGCGGATCCAGCAGACTTCCTTCCATTCGATGGGACAAGAACCTCCCAGTGCCTGATCGGAAAGTTCCTGCCTTCCCTATTGGGAACAATCCTTCATTTGGCCCTGAACTGCAAAGAGCCCAAGTGTCACACAACAAACACGAACTCCACAGCGAGCCCTGTCCCCAGAGCCCAAGGCATGACAATTTTACTACCAAACGACAGGAGCACGAGGTAGAAGAGCTAAATTTCAAGAACAAGAGTAAAGTTATTGAGACTCAGAGTCAGCAGAGAAAAATATCTACCACGTCGCAATCCTCCCAAAACAGCAACATCAATATGGCTTATGCTGGGTCTTTGCGTCATCATGCGTCTTTTGGACGCCCTGTCGCACCAATTACTCGTGCCTACAATGAGGAAGCTGACATCCAAAAACACACAAGGACCTTTTTCGGCATCGAATCTGATACAGAGTCATCTGGGGATTGTCAGGACGGTTCTCCTAACTCCCTTACCTTCCAGGTCTTGAAGGACCTTCCTGAGAGGCAAGGCGCTACAAACAAGACCAAGAAGAGCCATCCATCTTGGGACATCAGTGATGGAGACAGCGATAATTCCAGCGATGGACATTACTCAAGTCGATCAGGTTACAATACTGGTAAAGAAGGCAAGCCCACACTATCTGTCGCTGTGTCCTCCTGGCTTGCAGGGTGGCTGCAAAACCTCCCATCTCAGGCTACAGTTAGCTCATTCTGGTATGATAACTCTTGGGATCATTGGAATAGCAGTATCGACCCAGAGACTGGAGAGTTGATGGAGGCTGTTGTTCAACCTGATACCTATGTCGACCATGAGAAGGAGCGGATGATGGATCCGAAAATGATTCAACGTCGCCAAAACTGGACTAGCAACCTGATTATACGTCGCGAAATAACGGTTCGGCAGAATCTTAGGCGTCTTCAAAAGCAGAAGATGGAAGAGGAGGAACGCTTCAGTCCGGTTGTTAAAATGACACCGCAGCCGGCCGATATGTCATCGTCGGCCATTGCGAACTCGGGTGCTCTGGACTCAGCTGCCTCCAAACGACAGCTTCTGCATGAATGCACACTCCGACCTGGTCTACTAAGTGACATAGAGGGCTGTGTGGATATTTACAACATGGCTGCTGCGTCCCATTCGCCTCTTGCCGACACCAAGCCGGTTTCTTACCAACAATTTGAATCCATTTTTAGCGCCTGCAGCAAAGAAAGGCTTCCATTTGTGGTTGCGGCAATGCAGAGGGCTGATTTGACTGATGCGAAGAACTGGCCGTCACTAGATGCTTACAGGCAATATATGAAATGGAAGCAGGCCCAACCTCAGGAAGACGAGCCTTCCGAAGCCATTATTTACGGATTTGCTTTCCTTACTCCGTACGAGACAGGTCTGGCGCTCGGAGCTGGTGCCGCCACCGAGACTGTCAAAGCGACCATCTTTGTCCACCCAGAGCATCGCCGCAATGGTGTTGGAAGCGCTTTGCTTCACCGTCTCCTCACTCAAACGTCGATTCTCTTCCATGGTGACGTTCACTATGATTGGAAGGACCCCTCTGCAGCTCAGGATTCGTTTTACCGACCGGACTTCCGGCCGATTCATCGTGAGTTTCTCCGAGGGCTGGACTATAAGCTTGCTAACCCGGGTGTGTATGCAGGCATTGTTATTCACGGTATGGTCAACGGCGAGAGCGAGGAGCTCAAGTGGATGGACAACTTTTTGAAGGTGTTCCAATTTGAAAAGGCCGGACACCTCAGCCAAGTATACAAAGTGGTCAAACCACACGGCGTCGACTGGTACGACCAAGCCATTTGGGTGCACTGGGCCAACAAAATTGATGTCAGCCGCACGTTCTATGTCGGGGATGAATCTGAATGTTCTTATGACTATCCCGGAAAGGCCCGTTCGCCCGTACTCCGGCGCGTTCACCCATACCAAGTCTGATTCTTGGCCATAAGATCGACATGCTTCCCCAGTGGGAAGCAAATAGCTGACGTCGGGGTGTCTTGAACTGAGCCTTGTCTGATGCCTGCCAGTTTCGGCCCAACTCTCATGACAACAACCATGGTAAGCTAGCTTCTCCAATAACAGTAAGAAGTAGTGCTGACACTTGCATCAGACGGATGATCCTCAACACTCATATGCCTACTTACAATCAGCATTTTCCAAGTTGGACCAAGCCTCCAAACGTGATGGGAAATGGCTGATGCTGACACAACTAATTGAGGCTATCAGATCAGACCTAACTCCATCTCCCTCTTTGTCATTGTACTGTTCGTTTCCTTTGTCCCTTCAGAATTCATGGTTGTTTGTCAAGCACTCTCGGTCTTATCTCTACATCAACCTGAGAAACATTTTCTCAAAAAGGTTTGACGTGTTTGGTGGAACATTTGCGCAGAGAGTCCTGCAGATGGCTATTAACAGCCTCAATATTGCTCGGCCGGGTTCAAGTTTCGGGCACGTCGCTCTCGACTACCATAGAAGACAGAGGAGACATGACCACGAGACAGATATTGGCAGTTGACCGTTCAGGTAGAAAAAAGAACGAGAAATAGTGCATTATTCATTATTGTCTTTGAGGGTAACAAACGATTAGCAAAATATAGTGAAAATCACTTGATGTTGGCATCCTAAAAACACAAAATGGACATGGTAGAATGGCTTGGTCGAAAACTTCTCCATAAATGCAAAGAGTATGGAAAAACCTACCATCGTGCTCACCACCGGAAGTCTATCCCAAACTGAGAGGGATACAAATGCGGCCCTCAATCCACCTTCCTAAAAAATAAAAGAGGAAAAGAAAAAGGAAAAGCTTCACCTCTCAAAGCATTACCTACCTCAGAAACTTACCGGCGCGCAGTAGACCCAGACATCACCGTCGTAGCATCATCCTCATACACAACCCGGCCGCCTCTCAGAACATCCACAACCTGGGCCCACATGTCGTTCTGGTGTTCCGCATCCGTAGAGTATATCGACGAGGCCGAGGACGCCACATCATCTTGTCTACTAGACCACTCCGAGTTAGACCGGTGCGAAGTCGAAGACCGCCGAGACCGCGCTGCTGACGTCTCGTTGCTCGAGTTGTATTCACTCGCAAACCGGGCCTGCCACGCTTCACGCGCGGTGGCAGCAGCATCGCTCACTGCTGTCCGAGCCGGGGCATGTGGAGCCGACGAAGACGGCCAGCAAGAGGCTGCTGACGAGTCCTGTGTCATTGCGTTACTCGCGGGGCTGGGAGGGGGATAACTTACTGCTTCGCTTACGCGGGAGCTGGAACGTTTAGCTGAGCCTGTCGGCCGGTTTTTGCTGTCGGTGGCGTCGGGGGTTGCCAACTCCTGAAGGCGAGACCGGGCTCGGGACTCGCGCTGGACCATTGAGGCGGGGACCGAGTACGCCGAGCTTGCGGAGGATTGCAGCTGCGGCAGGGGGTCGTCGGAAAGAGCTGCTATGAATGCAGCGTTCAATCTCCGTTGCTCTTCTTGTGTCAATTCATTAACGTTTCTTGCGCTGTAGACGCTGGCTTCCTCCCAGAGGGAGCGTGTGTCGGTGGTGGGCTCCCTCCGCGATGTGCCTGCGGTTGTGAGTGGTGGCGGTGCGCGGGTGGACAGACTGGAGCTGGGCCCTGCGACTCTGTTCTGCGCGTCTCTGCTGGTTGCTGATGATGGTGTGGCAGGCTGGTCACGTATGGTCTCTCTTTGTGACCGAGATGTCTCACCGTCATTGGCAATAGAAGGTGAGTCCGAGTTCCGGAAGGCGGGATGCACTGAAGAATTATCAAACGCAGGCTCATTGCTCTGAGCCGCCTGACGTTCGTAGAAGCCGCTCAACTGCTCCATCCAGATTGGGTTTCCTGCGTTAGCATCTTGGTCATCAGCAAAAGCCTCCTCATCATCGTCCTCATGCTCATCTCCAAATGGGTTAGAATATGCATTATCATTAGTAGCAGGCATGCGCGACGAATGCGTGGGGTAGAGGTACGATGTATCTAAGGTGTGCTCGCCGAAACGACTGGTGCTTGGGTGAACGGAGCCCGAAGCTGCTGACGGACGTCTAGAGGCCGAACCCCGGTTGTTTTTGGGAGCAAGTCCTACGTTTGAGTTATCGTTGTGTTTTGCTTTGGAATACGGCAAGCTCTTTCCCGCTTGTCGACATCTTTCCCGTCTGCGATGTCTCCGAATCCCAATCTCGACGCGGATCCTCCGTAACTCCTCGGCTAACAGAGCGCTCTCGCCCAGCAGACTTTCAGCCTTGTCTTCAAAAGCATTGATCCACGCCTCCACGACCCGGAGAAGAACGGGAACAAATTCTCTGCCGCGCGAGAGCAGATGCGCTCGAAGGTCAACCAGCAAACGTGTGTCGCCGCCGACGACAGCACATATACATGCCTCGCACTGCGAAACAACCTTTTCCATTACGACAGGCGCATGACCAAACAGTTGCTCGAATGTGTCGCGGTCCATCCACAAGGCTTGGATGCTGGTCATACGGCGGACATGCTGTCGGAAGAACGGGCTTTGGGCCAGGTCGGAGTTGTTTCGAACCAGTCGGCGCATACGTTCGAATTTGTCCATAACCTCAGAAGCAAGCAACGCGAAGAGACTGCGGATTCGCCAGGGGTTAAGGGCCCTGTGCGTGCGGCAGAGCCATGCCGAGTCCGGGACGAAGGGGAGAGATTGCTTCTCGCTCAACTTCATTAGGCCGCGCCTCAGGAGGTTAATCATGTTCAGCGAGTTGATCGAAGGTCGGAGACAAACGCCCGGCAGCTCGCAGAGTCTTGCCTCTTGCTCGCGGAACCATTCTTCGGAGGGGTTAGCGATGTTTTCGTGGGCTGGGAGGGAGAGATAGCGTGCGAGCCTCTTGATGTTGCCATATGTTAGTTCGTTGATTAATTGGTTAGTCATAGCAGCGCTTCAGGAATGCATCAAAACAATACGGGTCAATAAACACAACTCGTCAATTGGTGTGAAAAGTCTCTAGCGTTGATTGAGAGAATCGATGTGTTGTCTGTTGAACCTGGTCTAATCATTTTCGCTGGAGTCGAAGAGCGCGCCTCTATATATATAGTACACCCGCGAGATACTAAGCCTGCCTGTCACAGAAGCACCTGGTGCTGTATAGTCTGCTCTGTCTTGACTTTGCTTCTGAGCAGGAACAGCGAAACTGATCATCGCAAAGCATGCTGGACAATAAAGAATCAGGGGTTTCGGTAAAAGACAACGCCATTGACCGATCTAAGAACAAAACAGCTTCACCAAATGGTCTTTGTAGGTGTTAAGCTTGCCGCTGCCTGGTCAACGCACTCTGGAGAACCTGCGAGTGTCAAAGCGGGATGAGGTCAAGGCCAAAACACCTCGGTCGGGGTTTGGGCTGCATCGCAGGAACAACGTATATAGCCAGCCAATGGTGTTAATGCTGAGGAATCAGGAGCCTTTTGCCGCACCTGTACATGATCACGTGTATAGAGGGGGCTAGGGGCGAAGTGGCATCTGCTTTGACAAGGTTAATATCAAAGAGTTGTTCAACGACAAACAATTCAACCCTAAAAAGGTGTAAGTACCAATTCCGAAACATAGACGGGAAACAAGAACTGCAACTTACGAGATGACAAAACACCCACACACTTGCACACTGAAGTATGCTGACTACCCATTGTCAAAGCAAGAAGCCCAGTGGTCAACCGAAAATGGAACTAGATATGTGGCGAGCCGGAAAAGCCCGCCGTGGCTAAGGGAATCGCTCTATTGGGCCTGGCGATAAGGCACGTTCTCTCACCGAGACATCTCTACGAAGCAACGTTTGTCCTGCGCGCGCATCGATCGTTCCTGGTTTACTCAATCGTGTTGCTGCGGAGCTTGGTCCTTCCTATCCATCCCGAAAAACAAAAAACCACGTGGTCCTACCGACGTCCCATCAAGCCTACTAATTAGAGGCGGAACGAGGCTGGCATCTTCCGAGACTTAATGCCGAAAAAAATCAAGTTGCACGAGCGCCATGCCCCCAGGTTCCTTTCCACATCGTACAGACCTGATAAAAACCGGCCAACTCCCATATCATGCTCGACTTTGTTCGTTATAGACGTTAGGGTTCAAAAGTAGCTCAGTGTAGCTAAGAAATCATGTGTGTATCCGGTGAGACTCCTCCGCCCGCATCCGCTCTAGTCGGATCTTGGCAGCTTCAGTGCCATCGTCTGGCGTCGCAGGTTCCTTAAACCAGGGGTGCTGCAATGCCTGTTTTGCTGTGATGCGGTGCTGAGGGTCGTAAACAAAGATCTTCCGGAGGAGGTCCAAAAAGTTCTTGAAATAGGTAGTATTCGAAGGGATGATGTCCTGCGGCGTGTTAGATGACTGAGATTGCTGAAAGTGCTGCAAAAGTGGTGGTCCAACCTCGAGGCGCTTCATGGCCTTGACGAATCGCTTTGAAGCGCGTGTTGTCTCTGCGGTAGGGTAGTCGAGCTTCAGCCGCTTGAAGTACCTGCAGATGTGGGAATTAGTAGTGCCCTCCGAAACCTGTGACGCGCACTTACTTGGAGGCGGGGTTGCCGCCACTTCTTGTGGCCATTTTATTGACCGCCTGGACCAGGCTGGAGTCGATCCGATGGCCAACGACCATCTCCATCATTGCCAGGTGTTCGAGATTATCGTGGGTCTGGAAAAGAGCGTCGCCGGTGAAGAATTCTACAAGAATGCAGCCGATGCTCCAGATGTCGCAGGGAAACGACCATCCGAGACCCAAAATGATCTCGGGAGCTCTGTAATGTCGGGTCGACACTACGGAGCTGTGGTACTCGTCCTGAAATGTCGCTGAGCCGAAATCAATTAACCGGATTTCAGTGTCCAGCAAAACTCGGCGTTGGTTGGCTTGCCGATTCACGGTCTGCGATGACGAGGGTATCTTTCGGTTGTAGGTAAAAGTCTGGTAAGCACTGTCGCAGAGAAGAATATTTTCCGGTTTCAAATCGGTATGAATTAAGTTGAGGTCATGGAGGACTAGATGAAATGTCAGCACATGTACTGGGATAATACGCGTAAAGCAATGTGCTACTTACAAGCCACGCTGGTAAAGAGCTGCCGAGCGAAACTCTGGATTTGGCTGTTGGGGAAGGGCACAAAGCTGTTGCTCTTTAGGAAGTCAAAGACGCTTTGTCCTAGAAGATCCATAACGATGCAGATGTGGCCGCGGTAGTCGAAGCAGTCTTTCAGATGAATACACCGATTGCGGTTCTCGCCGTCATTTTGCTTCAGCGTTTCCAACACCCGTAGTTCTATTCGCGATGCATCTCGGTACTTTTGCACTGATCGAATAATCTTGATGGCAACGGCCTTGTTCCTCTTTCGGTCTCGGGCCTGGACGACTTTTCCAAAAGTGCCCTGGCCAAGCAGCTTCACCATCTGATCTGAAGAAAAATGTCAGCGTTATGCGAAGACACAGTAATGATGAGTGCATCTTACATCTGTCGGTCAAATCTGCGTCCGGGACAACAATGTAGTGTCCATCATCGTCGTCAACCTTGGCATTCTTGTTGTATGCATGCTACGATCGAGTTAGTATGGATAGTTGGGGGTGCAAGACTCGAGACTCACATCGTGCACGACTTTGACGTGGACATCAGATGCCTTCTTCGGAGGATAAGGAGGAGGCTTATAGCAGACGAAGGGATCTGCGAGTTCGATTTCACGTTTCTTTGCTTCTTGAGCAATTTGCTGTCGGGTTCGCTTCCGCTTCTGGCCGGGTTGCACATCGTAGTATTCCTGGCCATTTGAGGACAGAGACGTGGCAGCGGTTGTGTGAATAGCAGAACTAGTCGTCCTGTCGGTAGAGATAGTTGACCCTGTAGGGGTGCCGTTGTGATGAGGGGTGGTGGTATGGGAGCCGGCATACTTGTTATGGTAAACAGGATCGTACGGCTGAGGCTCGTCGTCTCGCTTCCTCTTCTTGGGGACGGGACGAGTGGAGGATGCACCGTTGGTGGTGATGCCATTGACGTTACCGTTGGACACAACCCTTACTCCGTTGCCGGTGACTTTGCCCTGCTCTGGCTCGGGAGTGTCGTCAATAACAATGACTTCTTTGGGCAGACCATTTTGGTAAAACTTGTTCCAATCGGGGCCTTTCGATCGCCTTCGCTTGCGACCGGAAGACTGTGAAGAATGGGCATGGGAGGAGGTAGGCATTGTGTTAACAGAGTAGTTCGTGTCGGGACTCGAGGCGTCGTGTACGGTCCTCGAAGTGGCAGACGAGGCTGAAAGGCCTAGGCCATTTGTACCGGCGTGACTGGCAGAGGAGGAAGTGGTATAAGAGGAGACGCCTGAATGGTTAGGGTATGAAGGAGGCAATCTCGTCGTCGCTGTCGACGAAGAAGTGGGGAGGATTGGGTTCGCCGGCTGACGGTACGAGGAGCCTGTGGCGGTTGACGCTTGGTACGGCTGGTGCGAGTAGGGATAATGGGGATGATGGTAATGCGAGTGAGGAGGTAATGTCGCTGTAGCCGTGGTCGGAGTCGACATGGTTCTCCTCGTGTAGTTCCAGTGTCGTGAGTGTCACCAAATAGGAAGAGTGATGGCGAGGAAAAGAAGGTTGGCCGGCTGAAGAAAGGCGCAGAGAAAGAGAGCGAGGGTGGTGTTTCGCACGCAGGTCTTCTCTGTTGCTGGTGGGTGTGTGTTGGTGCTGGGCGCTGGGTTCTGGGAACGTGCCCAGTGGATGGTGCTGCTGGGGGGGCTCTCTCAAATCCAAACAGTGGAGGCAAGCGTTCGCTGTGGTCCAAGATGGGGTTCTTGGGGGGGGAGGACGAAGGGAAGTAGGCGAGGGATAGAGTGGTGTGTGCACCTCAGTGTCCAGCGTTCATCAGCGTATGCCTTGTTGTGAGGTCTTCTGGGGGACCTTGGGGTCGCTGTGGTATGCTTTTGCTGGGCAAAAAGCAGCGTGCGTCTTGGGTGGGCGTCTGCGTCTGTTGCGGTACCGCTAAGCTCGAAAGGGCTCCCAGGGTCTTCGGCGTGGGTTTGCCGAGTCGTGCACGAACTGTGGCTGGTAAGGTTCGGTCGGTGGAGTGATGGGGTTTAATGGGTGGTAGATGGCATTGAATTTGGTTGAGAAGAGTTGAGGTCGAAAGAATGCACTCGTTCGTACCAGAGCGAGATATCGGTACTGGCATGGAGGCAAGTGACGATGTCATCAAAGATGGTCGTAGTTGAGGCGGAAGAAGGAAGAATAGAGGAGAAAGAGGCAAGAGCTGAGAGAAAAACAAGCAGCCCAGCGGTCGTTGTGGTCAAAAGTGACGAGGTTCCGAGGGATGGCGCCTGGTTGCTGGCTCGTCCGTGGGAGTTGGCGGAGGGCCCTTGACGAGAGGAGGCGACCAGTGTGGGGACTTTGTACAGCGAGTACTACCTATGTGTGGTATGTATGGGTGAGAGACTGACGGGTCAGGAAGATGGAGGGCGTGGGCTGGGCTAGGCGAGGATGTGTGGACGCGAGCGAAGGGTGTGTGTGTGTGTGCGTGTGCGCGGAAGTGGAATTGGAAGTGGACGAGGGAGGGTGCGGGTGTGAGAAACATGGAGATAGACAGGAGATACTTGGATCGGACAGCTATTTTGGTGTAGTGTCTAGGTACCTTTTGGTGTACCGACCTGCTTGCCGTTCTCCTTTGGGCAATTCGAGGAAGGATGAACAACCAATGCAGACAAGAAGCCGGCCAAGGACGAGATTTGATGATTTGACCGGGTCCAATTAATCCCACTTTGAATTCAAAGAATGGACAAGGAAGACGAACCGACAATTCAGTAGCAGTTATGAGCACCAGCATAAAAAACAAATAAACATATTTAAGGAGGCTATCTTGCTGAGGTGCAACGTCCGTAGTGCACACACCTGGAAAGGCCAGTGCTGCTGTTTGGGTCTGGCTCTGACTGTGGCTCTGCTGGTGCTGGTGCTGGTGCTGGTGCTGGTGCTGGTGCTGGTGCTGGTGCTGGTTCTTACTTGCCCGAGGGAGTTGAGGCGAAGCGTAAGGCACTGTAAATGCAGCCCAGAAACAACAGCAAGGCATACATTAAGAGATGGTGACGTACCTTCCCTAAGGCAGGTACTTACAACAGACTGCAGATTGACGTGAGTGGGGAGGTACCAGGCACGGGTATGAGGGGCGGAAAGTCCACCCCTGACACACAGCGGGAGTAGTGCAGTGCAGCGCAGTGCATCATCAGTTGGGGCCGTGACTTGGATACTGTATTGGCTGCCTGAGGAGAGGACTAGTGTAAGAAAAGTGCCTTAATCCGACGCGTGAATTGGTGATTTGGGGTTATTTTATACATACTTTCAATGGGCCCCATCAGTTACGACATCCTGTGAGTTAGGCGAGAGAAAAAGAGGGAGACAGGGACAGGCTGTGTATGTGAGAAAAGAGAGAGAGGGAGAGAGAGTGTGTGAACGAGAGCGACTGACAGAAAGGGTTGAGACGTCGGGTTCGGGGATTTGCTATGCTCTTACTTTCCCAAATTGCGGGAGCTGCAGCTACATTGTTTGGGCTGGCCTCAAGGAAAGTGTTTCCGTGCTTTTAGCCTCTCCTCCACTGTAGATCCGGCAGGGACTAAAGTCCCTGTCAGTGGTGAGATGTATTTCATTTGCGGCCGCTATTTCCTGAATCCGTATCCGTCCGTTCTCCCCTGTGTGTTACCTTCCTTGACTTTTTTTTTTTTGGTCCATTGTCGACGTTAACCCCCCGATGTTCCTTCCCGTTTTCAGGTCTGGGGGTTTCATTCCAGTGTTTCGTTAAAACAGCCTGACTAAAGGCATACAGAAGTGATATTAAAAAAGGCATTTTAAAAATAAAAACCAAACCCCCTCAAGATAGATCAGAGATGCTTATGTCATGAAGTATGTGTGTGAGTAGCATGGAAGGTGCGCTAGCGAATGGAAGGGACAACTACTACTAGGAAGGCGCGAAGGAAGCAAACACACTGGAACAGTCCGTATGGCCGGATTTTGCGCCATGGTTTGGCACGGTGGGCTTACGGGACAGTCTCGGTGTTCTGAAAATACTGTACTTTATCACCATGCACTGCAGCCCATTCGCCGTGCTGATATGCCCTCCATTCCACATCGGTTCCGTCAAACGGTTTCTATCGTCCAGCATCTGGGCCCCCTCTCGAACCGGACGTCACCACAGCGCGCTTTCCTTTTCCATCCCAAAAAAACACACCACCAGTCAAAGCCAGAACCGCCTCACCATCACCACAACCCAACCCCCAAGCCTTTGACCCATTCATCCTCCGTCCTCTATTCTCCTACGGCTCCCAGGATAAAGAAATCCCCGCAACTACTATTCTACCACTACCACCACTGATACAACCACTAATACATCCCAGCCCCCCAGGCGTGCTGCTGCTGCTGCTGCTTCTCCACGCCCAAATGTCTTGTCTTACTCCTCAGAGGACGCCTTGCCCACCATCCCAAAACGCAGTAGTCACCTTGCCGGACACAAGTCATTAAGACGGTAATCGCCCCCAGTGGTCTCTCCCCCCCCAAGTATCGTGGACCCCAGGGCCCTATGACTTCGTCCAAGCCTTGTCACGCTCGTGAAATCAAGACACGCCAAATCCACCGGCCGGGGACGGACGGCTTCGAGTCTCTATTTCTCCTCACCCACTTTACGCACACTGCGGGTCGCTTTTGGAGATAGCCCTCCACCCAACCTGCGAGCTGCCAATCTTCCTCCACGACAACCACCCAAACGGGCTTAGCGTCCCGTCGACCTGGACAGTCGCCTCTTCGGAAGTCACGTCGTCGCGCCCTGGCTTGCACACCTCGCCTCTAGCACTCTGCCCACCACACCGCGGCAACGCTACAGCAGGTGTGAACAGTCTCACGCTGGCTTACCATGGTACTTTGGACTGGGATTGGGACTCGACTGCCTAGCCTGGTCTGGTCTGACCTGGCCCAGTCTGGCCTGAAAAACATAACTGAACCAAAACCTCCAGCCCGATCATGTTGAGTGAATGGATACATGATGGGCAGAAAGAATGAATGAATGGATAAAGGATTGACGGTTGGGTCCCCGCTAACCGGGCCCCCGTGTTACCGCTCCCCAGCAGGCTTCAGGTTGACTGACCAAGCAAGCTGGCAGGGCAGGTCCTTACCGTCTCCGCTGCTGACAAAACAGATAGACGCTACAATCAATGCCTTGCTGCGTGATAAAGTACCTATCCGCACCTTAATTCCAGCGGAAACACGACCCAGTCACCACTTCGAATCCCCCGATATCTCATGTGCTGCCTACTATGGCATACTGCAATACGTCAATAGGGTCGTGAACACACCTACATGGTTGGTGGGGCTGCGGATAGAACCCCGAACAAAGTCACGACTCAAACTCTACACTTCTTGCGTATTGTGAGAGCACTCCCCGTCGCCTTTTCATTGCTCGTTAGCTGGTCTTTTTGTGCTTACTTGGCTTGCCTGTTGCATTACTGCCTCGTGGCACTTCGGGTCACCGCGCGCTGTAGGCTGGTTCCAGTCCAAACATGGCCCAAAGCATGATCCACACATTCCAGGCAGTCGGCCAAGATCTGATCCCACCGAAAAAGCTAAAAAAGATACACTGCTCGGTTATAGCAAACCTCCTGTAAGGATAGATTCAGCAGAGCCACACGCTCACGGTGATGGAAACGTTTAATCATTGGTGCTTGTCAAACCAGCACTGGACGTTCTGGGCCATCGATATCCCTCCCGGATACGTTGCTTTCGACCTGATCCCAACATCCTTCTCTCGAGCAACTTCCTGGCGCGCACTCTCACAGTGCACCCCGGCCGCATCTCCAAGCATCTCCTAGCGTTTAGATCCTTGCCTCCCGTCCAAAGATGCGCCAATGAAGCCCTGGGGGGACAGCACCTTCAACAGCCCTGACCAACCACAGACGCAGGCCGCGCCGCAGTGGGGGAAGGGGGCGAAGGGTCGCAGCCATCGCAACGCTTGTGAGCAAAAGAAAAAGGAAGGCATACTGGGGTTTAGGCCAACGTGAGAAAGACAGGGCAAAGACAACACGCCATCAGGACCCAGAAGCTGCTCTTTCGCTTTAACCCTTCATCCACGTACTATGTAGGGCAGGGCAGGGCATGACAGGCAGACACGCTCTGGTTCAGTCATCAGCCCCTCCGCTCCACTTTCTCTCTCTCTCTTTGCCAGGCTGGTCGTCTGCTCCATCGTCCACGAGGTCCAACCCTTCCCATGTCCAAGTCCCACTGCAACGCGATCTATTATCCCTTCGCTCATGGTTAGACTCTGCGGTCACGGCTAACGCTGGCCAACATACTCCTGACTTTTTTTTTGGTTATCCTCTGGACAACAGATAATTGGCGTCCGAGAGGTCGACCCACTGCCATGGCGACCTTGTTCACGGGCTCTGCAAAGTGTGCTTCCCTCCTTTTGGACGTGGCGTAAAGTGCCTGCATGACTCCAGGCCATCGATCCGTGGCGACCGAGACCAGACAGGCATGGCATAGATACCGTGCCTCGCCGCGAAACACAAGCGACGGGAAAGCTTAGAAAGAATCTTCCTATAAGTCGCCCTTATTAGTAGGCCTTGATTGAGGATTGTTTGGCCATTTCCGTAAGCACCGATGATACGAAGCTGCGGTGCCTGTTTTTCTTATCCATTGACACATTCATAATCATTAGCATACGATAAGGAATCGCATCCGAAATGATCAAGGGTCTCGATCGCCTCTCTCTCTCTCTCTTTTTTTACACCGTTCTCACCTCGCCATTCATCCCAGCCTGAGGGCGATGATGCTCTCTGCCACCCAAACTGACGGCTGCGAGGTTTCAGCTCCTCGAGTGAAAACACGCCGCCGGACCATTCAGCTTTCTTTTCTGTTTACACTCTTGATCCGTGCTCATGTCACAAACTCCAACCTGTCGTTCGCATACTCACCTGGGTTTGGCACGTTTTAAATGTACTCCTTTTCAGCTGCTGAAATTCATTTCTTTAAAAAAGGGGGTTGTGTTGATGCGCCAATTGTTGCAACCGGCAACTCACCAGACATTATCGGCCCTGGAGAAAACCCTGTCATTTTCTCAACCTCAGTCATCGGTAACAGTTCCGAAGCGGTGGTGGGAACAACATGCATTGGAAAGGTAAAATGCGTTTTCAACAACATTCAATGATACTTGACACAGCATAGCGCCCTTCCTGGCTGCTGAGGGGCCATGACTAGCACACGAAGTTACTCTGCTGACTATGCATTCAATGCGCCAGACGGACTCCTTCGTCTGAGCTCCGAGCAACTTAGCGCAGCTAGCGTCCTGTGGGTGCAATGTCATCCTCGAAATAGTTTCTTGAGGGAGAGAAACGGGCCGTCCTCGGGAACAAACTAGAAGGGCACAAAAGACGCCTTGTGAAATACCGTCATGATGGGCATCCATGGTAGCGTAATCTGGCAAACGCCTCCAGCCCCAAAAACCCAAAACCCCGCCGACCCCTCTCCATCTCTCGGCTGGTGGCAATTCCCTAGCCAAGTACAGCATCCCAAGCCGGCTAAGGTGGTGTGCTAGTGGCACCAAATGCCCACCGTATGATTTCATCGCTGCCATTTCGAAAGCCTGCAGCCGTCACGGCATATGATATACCCGCTGGTCCTAACAAACTGGAGGCTTCATGATCAAGAGTGTCTGAACCAACACGCAGATCAACGTCAGCAACAGCAAAGGCGTCTTTGGGCTAGAGCGTCAGCAGCTGAAACGGCATGCACATGCCTTTTGTTGTTTCTCAAGAGATCGAAATCATACTATTCCTGACCGTTGACTTGGTTTGCCTGGGCTGCGCAGAATACTTGGCTGCGCCATTATCCACGCAGTCACTATGAAGCCCATTGCACGCCAGCCCAAGCCCTACCTGCTTGCTTACACCCCGTCACAAGTTCAAAGGCAGAATTACGCAAATGGAAAATAATACGGTATGCTATATTACGCGCACGTTGTATTGCCTTGAAAACGGCCTAGACCTTATTTTTATGACAGGCTTACTTTCAGGTCTCTCATCTGTGATTCGCCCTGTCTAGTGTAACCTCACGTATCTGTAAGCAGGCTATGCACAGCTAATAGTAGTATCCAACAACATTATCGAGACGTTGATGCCTCGCCAGAGACGGCCCAGTCTTTCTTTGTACAGTCCGCCCTGTTGCTTCGACTTCTTACCTGGCCAGACACGAAGCAACGCCAGACAGACAAGATCGGCGGAGTCCCCGCGCCAGGAGAAACTTGGGAAAGCGCGAAATGCCTCTCAAGCCTAAAATTTACATCGACTTGCAGTTCTACATTGTGTTCTTCCAAGGACGAAAGATCCCTCTGACTGACGGGGCACGATGGCGACGAGTATCTAAGAAAGAGCAGCAGATTTCTCTGCAGAGTCTTCCCGTCGCTCCTCTATGATTTACGATGTGATACGCATCATAACGACCGAAACCCTGGAAACCTGCTCACTTGTGTGATTCTACGATGACCGTGTCAAATGCATGGTGAATAGTCTAGATACCCCTGTTGAACACCACCATGCCGTTCTCACCGCCGCGACCGTGGAACTCAGGCTCCAGCTTGTCAGCACTGATGCTCTGCTGCTGGGGGAAAACGGCAAGGGCAAGCGGAAGCACGGCGTAGCTAGTCACCAAGATGAGACCAAGATTGACGGGCACCGTCATACGAGGGCGCTGCTTGAGCCAGTCTGTCTTTTGCAGGCGAACAAGGAGCAGGGGCGGGATCACCATGATGGGCGTAGAGTTGAAGACACGGCTGGCGGCAGTCTCGCCGACAGCAATGGTGGCGGCCTTTTTGCTGCGGCCGAGGGACTGGACCTGGCTGTCACCGCCTTCCTTTTCCCTCTTCGCACGCTCAGCCTCGGAGAGCACAGGGAAGACGTCGATACCGGTACGCATCTCCTCGCCGCGCATGAGGAGGACATTGAGGAAACCAGCGGAGGCGACGGCGGCGAAGGGGACAAGGCGGGTGAGGGTCGTGCGGGTTGTCGGGGAGATGGAACGGAGGCGGGGGACGAGCTTGTTGAGACCAACAGCTACACCGCACGAGACGGATACAGCCATGGCATAAGACTCTCCCAGCTTACGCCAGCTCAAGGGGGAGGACTTGTTCGCGTTGGCTGAGTTGATGGCGACGTTGAGGGACTGGTTGACCACCTGCCACGCGACTGTTCCTGCGGTCTAGAGGGGGGGGATGTTAGGACTCAGCCAGTCCATATTATAGGTATCAGGGATAAGAAAGAGGAACTGACTCCAAGACCGGGCTGGAGCATACCAGCCGTGACAACTAAGTTGGTCAGGACATAGGCGGACATGCGGAACGGGAGAAGGATCGGTTCGCCGGTATCTGGGAGAGCGCGCGCGCGTGTTAGTCGGACCGCAGCGCGGGCAAAATGCGAGGGGGCCATGGGAGCTCGTCGCACCTGGGTGGAGGGTCGAGTCGACGACCTTCTTGGCCTTCCAGAGCTCCGGCGTCATCGACGGGATCTTTCCTTGCTTGTAGTCGGTGAGGAGGGACTTGGCTCGCTCGAAACCGGAGCTGCTGACGAACAGGGTGCTGCAAGAAGACAAAGTGGCTTGTTAGCTTTTGGTCTGGGTCTAGGCAGGTGTATTTGGATGTGGCGTGAGGCACGCGATATGGGCATCGTGGGTTTCTTTTGCGCGGCGCAACGCGCGCAGGACAACTGGAGAAGCTCGTACCTCGGATCAGTCAGGCCCATGATATGTCGTACACGGCCCCAGTACGTGTTGAGATCATACCGCGAGGCGGGCAGCTCGCGACTGCCGGGGAGAGAAGCCGACATTGTCGGTATCGAGGGAGGTGAAAGAACAGAGATATGACGATGACGCAAAATTGACAAAAACGACGCCGACCGGCCCCAATTGAACGCCGCGGAGGTGGTGGGGGAGTGATTTAAAGAGCGTGGGAGGAAGACGGAAGCGATGCCGACTCAGCGGTACGGTTCGCGGGGTAAGTCTTAAAGGTGAGGCGGGTTTACGCTACTGGGCCGGCGGTGAAGTTTTGGGTGAAAAGGCGCGGATGGCACACACATTTGACATTTAGAAATGGGTATCGTCGGATGTGCTCCCGATCTCGGTGCAGGGTCTCTAGTGCAGAAGGGGTCCCCGGGATTACGGTCGTTGTGAGTGGTCCAGAGGAGATGGGGGGGTTGTGACGGATAGTGCCGGGTGGTGGCAACTGCAGCTTTTCGCGCTCGCATCTGCATCAATAGAACGAAAATAGGGTCATGATTAAACATGACAATTGATTTTAGAAAAGTGACTGCAAGTGCAGGATTGAGATTGACTTGCATCACAAAATACTAAACAGAATGGAATACCAATTGAAGATGGGTTGTTATTAGTTCGGGTTTAAAAAAAAAAACAAAAGATACAACGACCTACCTAGGGATCGAACCTAGAATCTTCAGAGTATGACTTGAGAGGAGCCGAAATCTGACGCGATGCCATTTCGCCAGCAGGCCAATTGCTGGATGTTGACAGCCTAGACGAATTTTAGGCTTATGTAGTGTTGGAAAAAATGTGGGGAAAGAGTTTGTTTGCGTTTGTGAGCCTGCCGGGTTGGGGTGGACGGGGCTGCTGCCGGTGGACCATCCGTCGTTCGAGATCAAGTTCACGTTTAGGCCTCATGGAGTGATTCGTGAGATCGTTGAAGAGGTCAATAAATGTTATGTTTTACATAAGTGAATTCATTCGTAAACATTGAACGTCTTTTCTCCCTTTCTTTCTCGGTCGTATGGAGACATGACATTCGATGTAAGCCGGTGCGGGCCGTTGGGTTACGGTCTAGTTGAAGCAGCCGTAGGTGGGTAGCTAGTTTTCGTATCTCCGAACTAGTTGACCTGGTCTTGTTGCGTTGTTTGCCAAATTTTCCTATAGATATTTTCTCATGTGTCTGTGTATTGGCGCTTTGGTAGAAGTGGCCCGGCTGGACATGGCGGGTGTCTGCCTTTCGACGAACGGGAAGCCTGAAGATGTGGTTCCGGTGAGACTTGCACGCGAAAGCAAGTCCTTGTCTTCGGATAGAAGTGATGGATTCTGGAAAATTCTTCTTCATCGCGACGTGAGCGTGGCCTCTAGGTAGAGCCTCATTTCTGCGACACAAAGAACGATTGCGTGAGCGTGTCGTCCATGTGGCAAGGCAGAGCACTTGATGTTGAGGTTTTATTATCTATTAGAAGCCATAACAAGAGACTCATCATCAATACCAAGCCATCGATGTCTTGGGGCTGTCACGGCTGCTTGCTGGATCGCCGTTGAGAGAGACTTGACGGGGAACTCTGGGGATTGGGACCACATATCCTTCAACTGCCATATTGAGAGCGTTGGAGTTAATACAGAGAAGTCTTTGGCATCGGTTTCTTGTCTAGATATGATTGTGCCGGAGAAAGCAGCGCCGTAGACCCGAGATATGCCGAGGAGGACAAGGCTAGGCCTTCTCAGCGGGCGCACCCCTACCCATGGGATTCCAACATTCACAGCGGGGACCAGACGCATAAACTCTTGTGATCCGATCAACTTCCACGTAGGAAAAGGAAATTTCCGTAAACGGCCTACCTTTAAGGATGAGAAAACCGTCAGACTTGAATTAAGAAGGATCGTGACAGCTTAGTGGCCTGATCAATGCGAAGCACTGAAGGAAGTCACCCTTTTGAGCTTCGGGGACTGTAAATGACTTTCTCACTCAAAAGTTAGCATTGTTACTCCAACCTAGGCATCTGAATATGTGGTAGTCGCTCTCACCCGTAGGTTCTGCCAAGCCGGAGGATATCGAGGGGTGAAAAGCAATCAATTTCCTTCACTGAGACACCTTACCCTGGAAATGCGTCAGCAGGGCAATCGATTTGATGAATACTTTAGACATCATAACTCGCCTGGGCCAGTCAAGCCTTTAATGGAAATCACGTTTGACTGAAATATCGGACTATAACCTTGGTGGACATCATGCAGCTCTTTCCTCTGCTGGTTGGACACGTTGAAGCTCATAGCGAGTCCACCATTGCCTGGAAATGCTGGTGTACGAGGACATGGAATATTGATCACAATCAACAAGCTCTTCGATAAGACGAGTTCTCAACCTAAGGACATATGTTACAAGTGTTGCCCGACAACCCCGCCGACAAACCGGACCACGGATCCGGCCAGCCGGAAGCCCGAGATAACTTCCGAAGCATTTCGGCACATTCGGTATCGGAGTGGATGACAGTCAAGTTGCCGTGACTGCACGGCGATCTCAGACCCTGGTCTTTTCTCCGCTGTGCCACTTCCATGCGTCGGCTTGGCATTGGCTTGCAGAGCCCTCTCGGCATCGGACGACCCTTCCGATTAACAACGGCATGCACAACCTCCGGTGGGGCTAAAGGACGGAGGCATCCGGGCTTGAGATGGGTATAATAACCTACAGCCAACAAAATGCACGCATTATTCGCAAGATTTTGCAAAGTTGGCCGATAAAGATCGCTGGCGGAGATTTTGTGCTGTTTCAATTTCATGACTGGTGTTTCTGATCAGCCAAAACTACATGCGCCTGATCTCCGGGAGGGACTTCGCCTGTGCAAAGATATGACCCCAAAACAAAAGTTGAAAACCGTTTCCTTTCAATCCCTTGCCGTTGACTTAACCACAACCTCGGACTTGACCCAAATGTCATGGTTGCCCCCCTTCGCTGATCCGTTGGACCATCCCCGTGTGTGTCCATCGCGTGTCTGGCCCTGCCTTAGTTCAGGCCCCAAGATGGATTCAACACTGTTATCGTCGCCAAAAACCTTTGCAGAACGCTCGGTACCGCTCGTTTCATAACCACTGCGCTCGCCGGCGCGCCCTCCCAGGTCCAACTCTGGCGTTTTCAGTCCAACTCTAACCGTGTAGTCAGTACCGCCAATCGTCCGCATCATGAAGTTGCCGTTCGATCCGGTCATATCCTTCGTGTATGGCCCAGTGGGCTTGCTTCCGTTTCGTGATGTCCATAGGTTTAGCCAACCCTTGAACAAGGGGCGGCAAACAGGAATGCCGATGCACACCTGGAAAAGATATCAGTACTTGATTCCCGGACAAGATCGAAGGACAATTTTACCATTGTAACGGCTAATTCAGCTGCATGCCATACAATCAAACCAACAGTATCCCCTAAAACGCAGATTCAAATGTTAGTAGGCTGCTGTAAACATCCGCAGGACGGTATCTATTGGGCACAATGAAATACCCGTCTAACGACCAGCTTGGTTTCGGGTTATGCAACTTACTTGTAAAATTCGTGCTACCCAGATTCTTTAGTTCCAGTGCTCTCTGGATTCCACATGCCCCGGCGCTGAAAGTCGATTAGTTTCCATTGACGGCGAAATTCCTGGCGAGAAAGCAGACATACATGACACCCAAACTCATACTGATGTTAATGAGTAGCTTCTCTCTCTTGGCCATCTGGACGTTCCAGAGCAACGCCCATGGTGTGATGGCATACCAGAAATCGACAACAACACTCCAAGCTCCGGCAGCCGTTGAAATTGGGCCCGGGTCGATCGGGCATGTGCCACCTGGGAGAAATCGGTTCCAGAGAAATTCCACTGGTTTGCATGAGAACCAGAAGACGACGAGCGAGATCACCACAAAGAGCCCAAGGATGATGACCGGAACGAGGATGATGAACTGATGTAGACGAGTGGTCACGAGGCGGAGGAGGAACAACGCGAGAGAGGTCTTGGAGACGACAGTGCCGACGACAAGGATGGTCTGGCCGATGGCTTCAAACAGGATCGCGTGGGAGACGTCGTGTGGTGATTCGAGTTCTGAAATATTTCTGCCAAATCCATAGAATGAGGCGACAGTGATCATAACGTCGTATGCAACGAAAAGCACCTGTGGAGCCAATCTGTTAGAGGTCTACTTGAAGCTGCTCACGATAGCGTCGTTGCTTGATACAGAAACGATGCCATCATCGGAAACACCTACAAAAGCAAAGTTAAAGAAATGATCGTCCATGCCGTAGGCCTGAAGAACACCCAATCGCGTCCAAAGGCGCAATATGACGAAGCATAATGTCATGCCAGTCAGGCCCCAAAGGACACCCAACACCATGGGCGCCTCGCCGCCCGGTCCTATCATCGTCTCTACGTTCTTGACTTTGAATAGGGACAACGAAGGAGAGGAGACGGAAGAGACTCGACTTTGGATGCAGCTAGGCGAAGACAAATAAACCTTTATGGTTCATATGTCCATCCCTACACCTCCACGAGTCAATCTGGAGGAAGCGGAAGATCAGTAGTACTGAATCTGGGGAACTGCAATGAAGACCAGACTTCCCTCTCCTTTCCTTGAAGGACTCACAAAACCGCCGCGTGAAATACTGCTTAGCAGGTTCATGGGGCTTCATGTCCGAACCCACCACCTGCGGTGACATCGCTTGACAGGTCGATCCTTAACCCAACAAAGGCACACCGAAGCCCTCAGTGGATAGTTTCAACTGACCCTGGACTAAGTCAAACGAAGGGCCAAGGGGATCACCATCATCAATACAAGGGTGCCATTTCATGGTATCCACCCAAGGTCAAAGCACATGCCCGGCAATGGAGGTTTGTCCAAGATTTCGAGAAACTGACCCGCCTTGCATGGTGTCAGCAACGGGTCGGGGACCATTTTTTCTTCAACGGTTTTTGATTATCCACAGTCTTGATTTCGTCAGTATTCCTCTTTCGGCCGCCACGAGAAAGGGGTTACTGCAAGTTACCTTACAAAGAGCGTGAATGGTAGCCCCATTCCAGAAATATTTCACATCCTGCCCTGAAGTCGACATGGGTAAGTGGCATACTAACATGAGATGCCTAGGGTCTTGAACTGAAACCTTTTCACCAGAGGTAAGATTCACTTGAGGATTTCCTCGTTTATTACGGTGTATCCCGGATGCACTCGGATGTTCTTGATACGGAGTACACCAGACGCGCCTACACTACCATCAGACTTTAACACGCTAAGTTGCCGGCATAAAGTAGTACGACGTACCATCCTGGTAAGTTGTTATTGATAGCCACTCAAGGCAAAGGCAATCGTATATCGCCGTGACATCGCCTTTTAGATTTCTCCGTGGCTCGTCCAACCGAACGGAGATAGAGCCTCACACGGCGGTGGCGCTGTTAGATGTCTTCGGATCTGCTTCGGCCAACCAATGACAACTTCCAGATTTGCTGTACTCTGCGAGGTCCGAGAGCCGGGCCTGGGATCGTTGCCGTGCTTCCTTCAACCCCCGCTGCCGAAGACTTCGCCCATCCACCATCTACGTATCAAAGAAATCTAAAGGCAGAAATTGCCTCTAGGATTTCCTGCGTCAGTTTCGGAGTGTAGAGCAAAGGCGTTTGTAAAGAAATAAACACTCTTGTGCATGTGTCTTTGAATAAACTTGGCATCAAAATCAGGATAGTACTCCTTCACCATCGACATCTGATAGCGCCAGCCAGCGCCTTTAACCACTAAAGACCTAGATTTTGTGGGTGTCAAGTGCGGATGGACAGCGGCCGGAAGCCCTGCCGGTTCCATTTTTCAAATAACACATTACTGACCGCAGATTACGGAGATTGTGGGGTTTCCACTGCCAGGGTGACATCGTCAACAGAACGAATAAGAGTCGTCCTCATGACGCATTAGCGAAGGAGCATTTGACCAATTTCGCAATGGCACTGAAATACGCAGACTGATAACCAAATCCTTCGGGTGTCTGGAAGTAACTCAGCGTCAACCTACTGCGCCAAGTCTAGAACTGCCGCACGTGGGGTGCCACGCGGAAGAGATGGGATTTACATCGACGAACATGGTAATAGATGAGCAGACATGGGGCAGCCGAGAAATGCCTGAAACCTGTACTGGTGGAGCATATTTGCTCCGGTCAAGCTATCAAGCGTTTTCCGTGTTGTACTAGTGTAGATGCTCACACAAGCCCGTGGAGCTCGCATTTACTCGAAGCCTCGCAATTCTTCGTAAAAACTCCACATTAGCAACTGGCTTACAGGGCCCATTGTCAGAAACAATGTATTGGATTGTTTCTGCAGACACATTAGGTGACATCTGCCCGCACCTGACTTAAATGGCCGCATCGTGTACAATGTGTCAGGCTTTTGAGCCAGGTTGTGAGTCAGTTCTCAACTATTGACCATTTTGTCTGATCCTCCACATGTCTTTCACGTGTCTGGGTTGTATCGGAAACTTGGCCTGCTCGTCAACCCTGATTCTTGCGGTGTTCATTCGCCTTGCCTGTTCTATCCCCTTTTCTGGTCTCCCCCCGCGTACACAAAATTGGACTTGGCTAAAGCCATATAATGGATCTTCGCCAACACCGGCGGCAGCATGACCCAAACCTTTGGAACTTAGCATTCTGAACATATCAATCCATTGTCGTCGTCTGTTACTCCTAAAAAACCAGCGGATTTTTTCATTTCTTGGTAGGTAAAATGAGTGGTCTATCTAGTGCTAGGTGCCTGCTGGCAAACTATTAAACGGTGTCATAAGTAAGGAAGGATTGGTGGTTACACGTAAGCTTCCGCAGAACATCAGCGGTTATAAGCACTAAAAAGGGACCGAAAATAATCAACTTATTAGTTGCCTTTAAGGATATGTATCCATGTTTTAGCTATCTGTGTGACTGGTCATGCCTGGTGTCTAGAGATAACTGCGGTGCAACATCTATCAATGCAAAAGATATCCAAGGTGTCTAGATTCTGAAAGCCCCCAAAGTCAAATTCTAGACAGTAGTTGAAATTAAAATACCGTCGAATTGGTTGGTTAAGTGCTAGATTTCCCCAACCATCATATGTGTGGTCGTGTAGGGTAGTGTTACTGTTGCGATAGTTGGAATACGGAGTCGTGTGGCACTTCCAGCCACACGCCCGCCAGGCTGAGAGGCCCAAGCCTCCCAGACCCACGTGACAGGCCAAGGGGGAATATTGTCACACGGACCACTGCATATATCGGGGCATGCATTCAACCCATGCACCCGGCTATTGTTTCCCATATAAAACTAACGGGGATGTCATTTTGTGCATGAAAACCTTCAAATCGGTAATTACCGAATAGACGGTTATATAATCAACCCAATAACCCCTAGACAGTCTCTAAGGAATGGAAGCATCTTTTTTTACCCCATAAGTGGTGGGCAAATTGACTGCGTGACAGTTATGAGCCCAGTACCTCATGGTGACAATTACCAATTGAAAAACCGACTTCCAGAAGGGAGCAGTTCAGACTTATGCCATAGACAAGGGCACTCAATTGACGAAGTTACCGACCCATGAGACTTTGGCAGTCAAGTCCACCAAACAAAACATCAATTCCAATCACACAAGGCTGAACGTTGAAGTGTTGAAACATTCAATCACAAAAGAACTTCTGGTCATCAATTCATATCATCAACACTTATCAAAAAATCACAAAAAGTTCATCTCAACTCAGGGGGACTTACCACATCTGAGGAGTTGAACCCAGGACTCTTAACTTGAACCTTATATAAGTTCATGCTCGACCATACCACTGATACGCAGCCAGGAGGGTTGGAATTACGAAACGGAAGAGACACCTAGTTGCTCATTTTATGCCTCTGAAAGCTTCGGGCAGATAAGACGAACAGGTGGTTCACTTTATAGTCTTCGTGTAACGGAACCGATAAGACTTTTTACAAATTGCGAAAACTCCACAACCCTGAATTGAACCCACGAAGGGGAGCTTGCCAGTCTTACGGTCCTTGCGAATAGCTACAAGTTGGGTGGCTAGACCAACTACACTAAACGGCAGGTTCATTAGACAGGGGGGGCGTCTTGCGTTTTGTTGAGAATTGAGGCGTTGAGATTGGCTATATACCCTCAAACCTCTAGGCAACAATCGACAAAATCACCAACTTGAAACAAGAAGTGTCTAGTCACGAACTCAATCTTGGCCACGGCGAAAAACCAACTGCACAACGATCAGAAGAAAGAGACCAGTTCTCTTTTCAAGAGAGATCATGAATTCAACTACGGAAACTGCAAAATACACACAGCGGCTACAGACTAACAGCGACTGGAACCACTGGTTCAACAACTTACAGATGCTGGCAAACGTTCATGAAGTCTGGGACTATGTGAATCCAAAAGGAACCAAGATTAATACTAAGCCAAGATTGGAATTCCCAGACCCAAAAGACCTCAGACAAGAAGAACGAGCAAACTATAGCAACGTTATCAGCTATGGAAAAGCTATCTATCAAGAAGAAAAAGACCAATACAACCAGGTTCGGCGAAGTCTTCTAGAAATTCACAGTTGGATCATGAACACTGTAGCAGCCACTTATATCAGCCAAGTCAGCAAGGAGCAAACAGTCAGGGATATCATAAAAGCTCTTGAAAAACAGCTAGCGCCAGACAACTTTGGGAGACAACAAATGGTATTGGAAAGATATAACAAGCATATGCTATCAATCAAAAGAGCAAAACTTGGAGGATGGCTCATAATCTATCGAGAAATCATGGATGAAGCCCAAACAATCGGAATCCCTGCTCTCAGCGATCCAGTTACTCAAGTCTCTGAGTTCTTGAAAGCAGTCAAGCAAATTGCACCAGATTACTACACATCTGCCTCTTACGACTTCACAAAGCGATACAAGGATGACCCAACCTACAGTTCGATCAGCAAGACTGCTGGAATTGAGCAAGCTAACGATTTCCGCAGTTGGGTGAGAACTTTCCACCCAGACTGGCTGAATGCTGCTCCATTAAAAGACACGAGTTTCGCTACTTGGCAAGGAGAAAACGAACAAGGAATAAAACAGGGGGCAAAACGAGAGCAAAAGTGTGCAGCTTGCCCAAACGAAAGTCACCGATTTGTTGATTGCAAACATGCCAACCCTAAGAAGCGAGGCCCAAACTATCATGAAGATAATCCAGAAAATAAGAAAGCACTAGAAAGATTGAATAAGTATCTCCAGAAGAAACCACACTTAAAGAGAATAGTTGAAAAACTACGAAAAGGGGCAAGCGATCAGCAGTCTCAAAAGTCCCCAGATCGAGCAACATCTTCCTCAAACTGGAGAAACACTACACAATCATCATCCCACTATACTCAAGAAGTGTCTGATGGAGAAGGATCACTCTCATCTTTCGTCACTATCGTCAATCAAGGAGAAGCAAGTCTCTATTCAGGATTCCCACTGTCAGACAGTGTGATAGTAGACTCAGGAACAGGATTCCACATCTGCAACGACTCCTCAAGACTTCATGATCTCGACTACACAGTCACAAAAGACTTCACCACTGGAGGAGGAGATGTACATGCAATTGCGAAAGGCACAATGATCATCAAACCAAACCAAGGCGGCAAATCCAACAACAAGGAGATCAAAGTCAGAAATGTATGGCTTGTGCCTGGATACCCAACATCGCTCCTTGGGACAGAACCGCTGAAGCAAAAAGGGATCATCTTTACAACAGGAATACCGGGTCTTATCGACTCAAAAGGCAGACTTCTATTCAAAACACCAAACCGATATGGTCAATACATTATTGAAGCTAGCCCAGCTCTGCTGAACAATACCTCGTTCAGCAATACCGAGAAGACTGTGAGATTCAGCCCAACCGTAGAAAGGAAACCAACCAAAGGTTTTCAGTCAACAAGACAACCACTCCCAACATCATCAGCAGAAGCCAAGTTGTGGCATGAGAGACTTGGTCATCCAGGCGCTGAGGGACTGGAACAGCTACTTAAAACAGCTCTTGGGATACAGATAAAAGGAATCACAAAAGTGGAATGTGATGCCTGTGCTGTTGGGAAGGCAACTCGCCAAATTTCCCGCAGAAACCCAGACCATTGGCCAACTGCTGTAGGAGATTATCTATCTCTCGACTTCTTTACACTTAGCAAAGCATACAATGGGGAGAAGGTAATCCTGCTGGTCAGCGATGGCTGGTCAGGGTTCTTCTGGATAAGAACTCTTCGTACTCGAAAGGAGGGACTACAAGCTATGACAGAATTAGCAGCATACCTCGAGAGACAGTGCTTTATCAAAATCTCTATTCTACGCCTAGATTGGGAGGTTGCTTTACGCAATGCGTTTGAACTATGGGCAGCTGTGAATGGATATATGATTGAAAGATCAGCTGAGTACACTGGTGCTCAAAACCCAGCAGAAAGAGCTGGAGGTGCTGTGTTTATGATCATGAGAGCACTTCGATTTCAATCTCGCTTTCCTGAATTGATGGCACCAGAGCTGGCAAAAGCAGCAGTTTATCTGTCAAACAGATTGCCTCGAAGACGCCACAAGTGGCAGACACCATTGGGGTTGGTCAACACTTGGCTGAACTCTCATCAACAGTCTACCCACAAGAGGGCTGAAAAGCCACAACTAGCACACTTGAGGCGATATGGCTGCAGAGCTTACCCCTTGACACAAAACTACAAGAGAGGAATAGAAAAGTCAAACAAAACTGCGCCAAGAGCTCATATTGGCTATCTATGTGGTTATGACAGCACAAATATCTACAGAATCTGGATCCCAGCAATAGGAAAAGTCATGAGAACTAGAGACGTTACTTTCGACGAAAACACGCTGTATGATCCAAGGATTGAGGATACCAGCAAGTTAAGCCAAATGGAACTTGAATTCCAGTTCACAGAAATGGATATCCTATTCATAAATCCAATTGAACAAGACCTAGACACAGCTGGCTGGGATGGAGAAGATTTCAGCGATAATATTACCGGGCCACTACCCGCCTCGAATCCAGCCGCTCAAGAAACAACACCGGCAACACCGATGCAGGAGAAAGAATCAGGGGATTTTCAATTACCTACACCCACTTCTCTATCACCAACAGTACAGCTGTCAGATTCTCAAACAACTGAGGGGGTGAGGGAGACTCCAGAAACTCCAGAAGTATCGCCAACTCTAGAACAATCGGATCAAAGTGAGACCATAGAGGAAACCTCAACAGACCGACTCGAACTACAACAGACACCAGTCATAGAATTGGAACCAGAAGAAATCATACCACAAGATTCCTCCACAGTAATCCCAAACATAGCGAGAAGGGGAAGACCTCGTGGCAGCAGAAATCACAACATCTACAATCGATCAGCCCCTCTTGGTCAAACAAATCAACAGCCACCAGAAGCAACAAGATCATCACAAAGACTGAGAAGAGCAAGAGAATCCCACTTCACACTGCAATCTACGGATACAGTAAAAGGAAGAGATCAATGGGATGCATCAGCAGATGATTTAGGCAATCCACACCAAAAGACACTTCCACCAGTTCCAAAGAATTACAGTGAAGCGATCAAACACCAATACAGTCACAAATGGATTGCTGCAATGAATATTGAGAACAGATCACTATGGCAAATGGGCACGTTTGAAATGATTGATCTTGGCAATATTGATCAAGACACTCAGCGAATTATCCCATTGAAGTGGGTATTCACATATAAGGGCAGCAAAGGATATCTCAAGAAGTTCAAAGCGAGGATCTGTGTTCGAGGAGATCTCCAACCGACAAATGAACTAGAGACCTATGCCTCAACGCTTGCTGGTATATCGCTGCGAAGTCTCATGGCAATTGTGGCGAGATTTGACTTAGAGACTCTTCAATTGGACGCAGTCAACGCATTTACACATGCCACAATTGATGAGGAAGTCTATGTTTGGTTTCCTCCAGGATTCAGACAAGAGGGATACTGTCTTGCCCTGCGAAAAGCACTATATGGATTGAGACGAAGCCCACTGCTATGGCAAAAGAATCTGGAGAGATCATTCAAGAAGCTTGGCCTTATCCCACTCCAAGAAGATGACTGTATCTACACCAATCAATACTTCATAGTATTCCACTTTGTGGACGATATTGGGGTTATATACCATAAAAAGCATGAAACCAAAGTAAAAGAAGCAGTTCAACAACTCAAAAAGGAGTATGAAATGAAAGATATGGGAGAATTGAGTATCTTCCTAGGAGTCAGAATAATAAGAGAACGAAAAACCCGTCAACTATGGATGAGTCTCGACAACTATATATCTAAGGTCACTGAAGAATTCAAGATCAGAACCTCAACCAAGCGACGCCAAACACCTATGGCAATAGATAACCTGGTCCCAAGTCCTGGTCAGGCTACGCCAGAGGAAATCAACTACTATCAACGGAAGGTTGGATCAATCAACTATGCTGGAGTGATTGGCAGACCAGATATAGCTCGAACAAGCTCGAGACTAGCAGAATTCCTATCAAATCCATCTTCTGAACACCAGAAAGCAGCATATGAATGCTTACAATATCTTGAGGACAACAAATACCTCGCTATCGAGTTCAACTGCAAAGGGAAAGGAGTCCTCTACTGCGCCTCAGACGCTTCATTCGCTGATGACTCTGTCACTCGAAAAAGCACTCAAGGATATGTGATGATGCTATTCGGAGGTCCAATTCATTGGAAAGCAGTCAAACAACGAAGAGTAGTCACTTCAAGCACAGAAGCTGAGCTTGCTGCTTTGACAGCAGCCACAAGAGAATATATGGCAACCATTCGACTCATGGAACAATTGAATCTCCAATTAGATGATAAATACATCATGCAATGCGACAATAAGCAAACTCTTCGACTATTGATTGCTGAAAGACCCCAAGCGACTAGCAAATTACGCCATATCAATATCAACAACTTATGGCTTCGCCAGGAATTACAGAAGGGATCAATTGACTTTCAATGGGTTCCAACCAACGAAATGGTGGCAGACGGTATGACTAAAGCAATGCCAGCCCAAAAACACAACCACTTTATCGCCCAATTGGGTATGGCGAATATTGAACATTTGATCGAGAAGAACGCAGTATGAATCTGGAATTTGGTAGTAAGTATACGGAGTTCTGAATAGTATCATTTCTGTATTTGAATGAGAATACAGAGAATCAACCTACAACAGGTTGCCTCTCTGAGGGGGTGTGTCACACGGACCACTGCATATATCGGGGCATGCATTCAACCCATGCACCCGGCTATTGTTTCCCATATAAAACTAACGGGGATGTCATTTTGTGCATGAAAACCTTCAAATCGGTAATTACCGAATAGACGGTTATATAATCAACCCAATAACCCCTAGACAGTCTCTAAGGAATGGAAGCATCTTTTTTTACCCCATAAGTGGTGGGCAAATTGACTGCGTGACAAATATCCCCACCTTCTAGTCAACAACACCACTTTCAACTATCATGAACCATCGATTAGAACCAATTTACTGTTATTTGTTATTGACGAACGGAATTCCGTTTCACCCCCTGTGAAACCTACAGTTACCCATACAAAGACATGAGCAGTAAGGCTCCATCCCATGGAACCGGAAGGAAGAACTGCAATTTGGAGAATTGTAGAATGTTGGATTGTGCAAGCCAAACGAGACCGCTTATATATCTGAACTTCGATTGGCACGAAGTTACTAGGATACAGATCCTGTCAGCATTGCAAGAAGCGAATAAAAGGTTGAGCTTATTCCTGTGCTTCAGGTTTTTTGATAGTTCTTTTTATCCCATCACACATATTCATCATAAAATGGCGAACAAAGGCATTATTACAGAAGAACTGATTTCCCTCCTTCAGGAGGAGCAGAACGGAATCGGCCTCTCCACTATTCAGTTACTACTGCCTGGATCCGAGCATTACGCTAAGCGCCGCAAGCTGCGTGATGGAGCCCTGGGATTCGATCACATCAAGCCCGCAGCCATAGCCGTGCCTCGAAACGGTTCGGAAGTGGCTCGAGTTATACGGTGGGTTAAGAATGCCGGTCTTGGGTTCACCATCCGCGGAGGAGGTAACGACTTCTGGGCACGTAGCATAGCCCAGGATGCGGTTGTGATCGATATGCGTGATATCAACAGTGTTGAAGTAGCAGACGACCGTCAAACAGCCGTTATTGGAGGTGGAATACTTCATAGAGACCTGACTATCGCTCTCGATAAAGTCGGCCTAATGACGCCCGCGGCAAATACCTGGATTATTGGATACACGGGTTGGATGTCAAACGGTGGTTATGGACCTAGTACCCATCTCTACGGAATGGGAATCGAGCAGGTCATTGGGGCAGAGCTGGTGAATGCGGACGGCGAACAGGTCGTTGCAAATGAGGAGATGCTAGAGGGTATCAGGGGCATATGTGGCCACCTAGGTGTGATCACGAGCTTGACTATCAAGGTATACCCTAAGTACGATGTAAGTGACATTGGGTGAATTTCGCCACAACGTCTTCTATTTGCTAATAGTTGGCCCAAAAGCCCCTTGGCGGCATGCTGGTTTTCGAATCTACCGACATTAGGGGAACAATCAAGGCATATCTTGAGGCCGCACCTATGCTTCCGTATCCTGAACAGCTCACAGTCCACCATTTCATTGGCTTTCAACCCCAATTTGGAGTCGTCTTCAGCGTTATGTGGACATGGACAGGTCCAGATGTCGAAAAGGGCAGGGCGGTGCTCCAGACCTGGAAAGATAATTCCCCGCCTCTCCTAATGTCCACCGTGGACGTGCTGCCCGATAAGGTGCGCCAGGAGCAGATGCCTTCACCTCTCCCCATGGGAGGCGGCCAGCGGAACTGCTTCCTAGCGCGTCTTCCCACTGCCGAGCCCGATGATGCGCTTACGGAAACGATCATTGACGCTGCTGAGAGTATGCCAAAGACCTTGGGCCCAAATATTGCGTGGGGAGGGATGGTGGATATCGACTCAACCAAGATGCCGCCGAATTGCTTCGTTGACCGGAACCATTCTTACTTCTCCTGCTCCTATCAGTATCCTTCTGAGGAATACGCTGAGGAGACGTCTTCTTGGAGCAAGTCTTTGATTGAAAAGCTTCGGTCACTAGGCAAGGACACGGTTCTGGAAAGAGGCTACCCAGCTACGAACCCACCGGGGGAGAAGACCGCGGAGGATCTTTACGGGGAGAAATGGAAACGAGTGAAGGAGATCAAGATGAAATTTGATCCAAGGAACGTCTTCAATCATGCGTACCCGAACTTCAATCTTGGATAGAACCTGCATTGAGACAACACGGGAGTAAAGGGTTGCGATGTAACCTGGAGGTGCTCAACCCTGCATGTAATTATACTACTCCCTAGTTTAGTAAAAACTCAATAATACTTGTCTTAGTACGATGACTTTGAACCAAATCCTCCTGGGATTGTGTGCATTAGGCGCTACAAACCATACTCTTCTCCAGTCATAAAAACATGCTTGGATTGTTGGGTCAAATTGTAGACTTGACGGATTGCACTCATTCTATATCATGATGTTACCGTTACTATTTATAAGAAAATTAAACCCATATATAATTAGACTAGTGACATATATTCTTACACTCCATTATTAACATTACGCTAGGCTTGAACGACTTTGAGAAATCAAACGTAAGGTTCCAGCTCCTTTTCGGTCCAGTCCCACAGTTTCTCGGCGAGTTCATCGTCCTTGGCGGGCTTAGAATCCTTCCCTGTCAAGCCTACAGGCCAGTAAAACACCCCAGTTTGAGCCTCCGGGCTGACTGCAGCCCAAAGCTGGTTTCTGGCACCGTTCTCGACAGACGTTGTAAAAAGCCATGACCCAATGTAGAACAGTGGTTTAAAAAGTGGCCAGCTGGCAAGTGGTCCGCTTCCGAGATTTGTGCTAACAACTCCTGGATGAACGGCGATACAGCGTAGCTCTGGATGTCTCTTGGCAAGAGCGCGGATGTGGTGAATATTGGCCAGCTTCGAGGCACCGTAGCGCGCCCAAGTACTCGTGGAGGCCATGTCGGTCTTGAGCTCATCAAAATTGTACACGTCCTTTGGTGGCCACGCCTCTGCAGCTGATGAGAGTGAGACAATGCGTACGTCTTTGTCTTTGTCAGACTTTGCGGTCTTTGTCAGGACGGGAAGCAAGAGTTTAACGAGGAGGGCATGGCCCATGTGATTTGTGCCAAACTGAATCTCATATCCCTCCTTCGTTGTATCTGCAGGCCAGGCCATAATGCCCGCGTTGTTGATGAGAATATGCAATTTTTGCTCCTTAGAGAGGAACTCTTTGGCTGCGCGCTTGATGCTCTCAAAAGAGGTCAGGTCGAGTTCGAGGAAAGTGATGGGTGCAGCGTTGAGGACTTTCTTTTTGATGTCGTCAATAGCAGCCAGAGCTTTGGACTCATTCCTAGCGGCAAGGTAGATGTTTGCTGGATTGCGCTTGCTGAGCTGCGTGATGGTCTCTTTGCCGAGGCCGATGTTGCCTCCAGTGACGACGATGACCTTGCCTGAAAGGTCAGGAATGTCCTTGTTTACATCGAAGTTGACCATGTTGAGAGTTGCAAAATAGGCACTTGATAATCTAGGTTTTGACTTGGTAAAAAGGCCTAATATCAAGTTTGTCTGTTTGTGATCGGTGTTGCTGCAATTTTTGAAATGGTGAACAGCCCAAAACTGCGACTACCTATGCTTAATATTTATAAGAAAAACCGGAGAGCCAATCAAAGAATAGGGAGACAAAGAGGAGATTGGTGAAACCTTGTCCAAAGTCTAAAACACGGACCCGACAGACATGGAGATACGTGAATGTCGTGGCCTAAGTCCGACGGCGGACTTGCGCCACAGCGCGGGTCTCCGTCAAAGGTTACTAGCAAATGTTCCGGCCGCTCCGAACTCCGCCGGCTCTCTGCCGATACGACTGGGGTTGAGTCGCTCCGCCGCTGTGTGGCGGAACTCTAAAAAGGTTAGAAAAGTGTCACGCAGTCAATTTGCCCACCACTTATGGGGTAAAAAAAGATGCTTCCATTCATTAGAGACTGTCTAGGGGTTATTGGGTTGATTATATAACCGTCTATTCGGTAATTACCGATTTGAAGGTTTTCATGCACAAAATGACATCCCCGTTAGTTTTATATGGGAAACAATAGCCGGGTGCATGGGTTGAATGCATGCCCCGATATATGCAGTGGTCCGTGTGACACACCCCCTCAGAGAGGCAACCTGTTGTAGGTTGATTCTCTGTATTCTCATTCAAATACAGAAATGATACTATTCAGAACTCCGTATACTTACTACCAAATTCCAGATTCATACTGCGTTCTTCTCGATCAAATGTTCAATATTCGCCATACCCAATTGGGCGATAAAGTGGTTGTGTTTTTGGGCTGGCATTGCTTTAGTCATACCGTCTGCCACCATTTCGTTGGTTGGAACCCATTGAAAGTCAATTGATCCCTTCTGTAATTCCTGGCGAAGCCATAAGTTGTTGATATTGATATGGCGTAATTTGCTAGTCGCTTGGGGTCTTTCAGCAATCAATAGTCGAAGAGTTTGCTTATTGTCGCATTGCATGATGTATTTATCATCTAATTGGAGATTCAATTGTTCCATGAGTCGAATGGTTGCCATATATTCTCTTGTGGCTGCTGTCAAAGCAGCAAGCTCAGCTTCTGTGCTTGAAGTGACTACTCTTCGTTGTTTGACTGCTTTCCAATGAATTGGACCTCCGAATAGCATCATCACATATCCTTGAGTGCTTTTTCGAGTGACAGAGTCATCAGCGAATGAAGCGTCTGAGGCGCAGTAGAGGACTCCTTTCCCTTTGCAGTTGAACTCGATAGCGAGGTATTTGTTGTCCTCAAGATATTGTAAGCATTCATATGCTGCTTTCTGGTGTTCAGAAGATGGATTTGATAGGAATTCTGCTAGTCTCGAGCTTGTTCGAGCTATATCTGGTCTGCCAATCACTCCAGCATAGTTGATTGATCCAACCTTCCGTTGATAGTAGTTGATTTCCTCTGGCGTAGCCTGACCAGGACTTGGGACCAGGTTATCTATTGCCATAGGTGTTTGGCGTCGCTTGGTTGAGGTTCTGATCTTGAATTCTTCAGTGACCTTAGATATATAGTTGTCGAGACTCATCCATAGTTGACGGGTTTTTCGTTCTCTTATTATTCTGACTCCTAGGAAGATACTCAATTCTCCCATATCTTTCATTTCATACTCCTTTTTGAGTTGTTGAACTGCTTCTTTTACTTTGGTTTCATGCTTTTTATGGTATATAACCCCAATATCGTCCACAAAGTGGAATACTATGAAGTATTGATTGGTGTAGATACAGTCATCTTCTTGGAGTGGGATAAGGCCAAGCTTCTTGAATGATCTCTCCAGATTCTTTTGCCATAGCAGTGGGCTTCGTCTCAATCCATATAGTGCTTTTCGCAGGGCAAGACAGTATCCCTCTTGTCTGAATCCTGGAGGAAACCAAACATAGACTTCCTCATCAATTGTGGCATGTGTAAATGCGTTGACTGCGTCCAATTGAAGAGTCTCTAAGTCAAATCTCGCCACAATTGCCATGAGACTTCGCAGCGATATACCAGCAAGCGTTGAGGCATAGGTCTCTAGTTCATTTGTCGGTTGGAGATCTCCTCGAACACAGATCCTCGCTTTGAACTTCTTGAGATATCCTTTGCTGCCCTTATATGTGAATACCCACTTCAATGGGATAATTCGCTGAGTGTCTTGATCAATATTGCCAAGATCAATCATTTCAAACGTGCCCATTTGCCATAGTGATCTGTTCTCAATATTCATTGCAGCAATCCATTTGTGACTGTATTGGTGTTTGATCGCTTCACTGTAATTCTTTGGAACTGGTGGAAGTGTCTTTTGGTGTGGATTGCCTAAATCATCTGCTGATGCATCCCATTGATCTCTTCCTTTTACTGTATCCGTAGATTGCAGTGTGAAGTGGGATTCTCTTGCTCTTCTCAGTCTTTGTGATGATCTTGTTGCTTCTGGTGGCTGTTGATTTGTTTGACCAAGAGGGGCTGATCGATTGTAGATGTTGTGATTTCTGCTGCCACGAGGTCTTCCCCTTCTCGCTATGTTTGGGATTACTGTGGAGGAATCTTGTGGTATGATTTCTTCTGGTTCCAATTCTATGACTGGTGTCTGTTGTAGTTCGAGTCGGTCTGTTGAGGTTTCCTCTATGGTCTCACTTTGATCCGATTGTTCTAGAGTTGGCGATACTTCTGGAGTTTCTGGAGTCTCCCTCACCCCCTCAGTTGTTTGAGAATCTGACAGCTGTACTGTTGGTGATAGAGAAGTGGGTGTAGGTAATTGAAAATCCCCTGATTCTTTCTCCTGCATCGGTGTTGCCGGTGTTGTTTCTTGAGCGGCTGGATTCGAGGCGGGTAGTGGCCCGGTAATATTATCGCTGAAATCTTCTCCATCCCAGCCAGCTGTGTCTAGGTCTTGTTCAATTGGATTTATGAATAGGATATCCATTTCTGTGAACTGGAATTCAAGTTCCATTTGGCTTAACTTGCTGGTATCCTCAATCCTTGGATCATACAGCGTGTTTTCGTCGAAAGTAACGTCTCTAGTTCTCATGACTTTTCCTATTGCTGGGATCCAGATTCTGTAGATATTTGTGCTGTCATAACCACATAGATAGCCAATATGAGCTCTTGGCGCAGTTTTGTTTGACTTTTCTATTCCTCTCTTGTAGTTTTGTGTCAAGGGGTAAGCTCTGCAGCCATATCGCCTCAAGTGTGCTAGTTGTGGCTTTTCAGCCCTCTTGTGGGTAGACTGTTGATGAGAGTTCAGCCAAGTGTTGACCAACCCCAATGGTGTCTGCCACTTGTGGCGTCTTCGAGGCAATCTGTTTGACAGATAAACTGCTGCTTTTGCCAGCTCTGGTGCCATCAATTCAGGAAAGCGAGATTGAAATCGAAGTGCTCTCATGATCATAAACACAGCACCTCCAGCTCTTTCTGCTGGGTTTTGAGCACCAGTGTACTCAGCTGATCTTTCAATCATATATCCATTCACAGCTGCCCATAGTTCAAACGCATTGCGTAAAGCAACCTCCCAATCTAGGCGTAGAATAGAGATTTTGATAAAGCACTGTCTCTCGAGGTATGCTGCTAATTCTGTCATAGCTTGTAGTCCCTCCTTTCGAGTACGAAGAGTTCTTATCCAGAAGAACCCTGACCAGCCATCGCTGACCAGCAGGATTACCTTCTCCCCATTGTATGCTTTGCTAAGTGTAAAGAAGTCGAGAGATAGATAATCTCCTACAGCAGTTGGCCAATGGTCTGGGTTTCTGCGGGAAATTTGGCGAGTTGCCTTCCCAACAGCACAGGCATCACATTCCACTTTTGTGATTCCTTTTATCTGTATCCCAAGAGCTGTTTTAAGTAGCTGTTCCAGTCCCTCAGCGCCTGGATGACCAAGTCTCTCATGCCACAACTTGGCTTCTGCTGATGATGTTGGGAGTGGTTGTCTTGTTGACTGAAAACCTTTGGTTGGTTTCCTTTCTACGGTTGGGCTGAATCTCACAGTCTTCTCGGTATTGCTGAACGAGGTATTGTTCAGCAGAGCTGGGCCAGCTTCAATAATGTATTGACCATATCGGTTTGGTGTTTTGAATAGAAGTCTGCCTTTTGAGTCGATAAGACCCGGTATTCCTGTTGTAAAGATGATCCCTTTTTGCTTCAGCGGTTCTGTCCCAAGGAGCGATGTTGGGTATCCAGGCACAAGCCATACATTTCTGACTTTGATCTCCTTGTTGTTGGATTTGCCGCCTTGGTTTGGTTTGATGATCATTGTGCCTTTCGCAATTGCATGTACATCTCCTCCTCCAGTGGTGAAGTCTTTTGTGACTGTGTAGTCGAGATCATGAAGTCTTGAGGAGTCGTTGCAGATGTGGAATCCTGTTCCTGAGTCTACTATCACACTGTCTGACAGTGGGAATCCTGAATAGAGACTTGCTTCTCCTTGATTGACGATAGTGACGAAAGATGAGAGTGATCCTTCTCTATCAGACACTTCTTGAGTATAGTGGGATGATGATTGTGTAGTGTTTCTCCAGTTTGAGGAAGATGTTGCTCGATCTGGGGACTTTTGAGACTGCTGATCGCTTGCCCCTTTTCGTAGTTTTTCAACTATTCTCTTTAAGTGTGGTTTCTTCTGGAGATACTTATTCAATCTTTCTAGTGCTTTCTTATTTTCTGGATTATCTTCATGATAGTTTGGGCCTCGCTTCTTAGGGTTGGCATGTTTGCAATCAACAAATCGGTGACTTTCGTTTGGGCAAGCTGCACACTTTTGCTCTCGTTTTGCCCCCTGTTTTATTCCTTGTTCGTTTTCTCCTTGCCAAGTAGCGAAACTCGTGTCTTTTAATGGAGCAGCATTCAGCCAGTCTGGGTGGAAAGTTCTCACCCAACTGCGGAAATCGTTAGCTTGCTCAATTCCAGCAGTCTTGCTGATCGAACTGTAGGTTGGGTCATCCTTGTATCGCTTTGTGAAGTCGTAAGAGGCAGATGTGTAGTAATCTGGTGCAATTTGCTTGACTGCTTTCAAGAACTCAGAGACTTGAGTAACTGGATCGCTGAGAGCAGGGATTCCGATTGTTTGGGCTTCATCCATGATTTCTCGATAGATTATGAGCCATCCTCCAAGTTTTGCTCTTTTGATTGATAGCATATGCTTGTTATATCTTTCCAATACCATTTGTTGTCTCCCAAAGTTGTCTGGCGCTAGCTGTTTTTCAAGAGCTTTTATGATATCCCTGACTGTTTGCTCCTTGCTGACTTGGCTGATATAAGTGGCTGCTACAGTGTTCATGATCCAACTGTGAATTTCTAGAAGACTTCGCCGAACCTGGTTGTATTGGTCTTTTTCTTCTTGATAGATAGCTTTTCCATAGCTGATAACGTTGCTATAGTTTGCTCGTTCTTCTTGTCTGAGGTCTTTTGGGTCTGGGAATTCCAATCTTGGCTTAGTATTAATCTTGGTTCCTTTTGGATTCACATAGTCCCAGACTTCATGAACGTTTGCCAGCATCTGTAAGTTGTTGAACCAGTGGTTCCAGTCGCTGTTAGTCTGTAGCCGCTGTGTGTATTTTGCAGTTTCCGTAGTTGAATTCATGATCTCTCTTGAAAAGAGAACTGGTCTCTTTCTTCTGATCGTTGTGCAGTTGGTTTTTCGCCGTGGCCAAGATTGAGTTCGTGACTAGACACTTCTTGTTTCAAGTTGGTGATTTTGTCGATTGTTGCCTAGAGGTTTGAGGGTATATAGCCAATCTCAACGCCTCAATTCTCAACAAAACGCAAGACGCCCCCCCTGTCTAATGAACCTGCCGTTTAGTGTAGTTGGTCTAGCCACCCAACTTGTAGCTATTCGCAAGGACCGTAAGACTGGCAAGCTCCCCTTCGTGGGTTCAATTCAGGGTTGTGGAGTTTTCGCAATTTGTAAAAAGTCTTATCGGTTCCGTTACACGAAGACTATAAAGTGAACCACCTGTTCGTCTTATCTGCCCGAAGCTTTCAGAGGCATAAAATGAGCAACTAGGTGTCTCTTCCGTTTCGTAATTCCAACCCTCCTGGCTGCGTATCAGTGGTATGGTCGAGCATGAACTTATATAAGGTTCAAGTTAAGAGTCCTGGGTTCAACTCCTCAGATGTGGTAAGTCCCCCTGAGTTGAGATGAACTTTTTGTGATTTTTTGATAAGTGTTGATGATATGAATTGATGACCAGAAGTTCTTTTGTGATTGAATGTTTCAACACTTCAACGTTCAGCCTTGTGTGATTGGAATTGATGTTTTGTTTGGTGGACTTGACTGCCAAAGTCTCATGGGTCGGTAACTTCGTCAATTGAGTGCCCTTGTCTATGGCATAAGTCTGAACTGCTCCCTTCTGGAAGTCGGTTTTTCAATTGGTAATTGTCACCATGAGGTACTGGGCTCATAACTGTCACGCAGTCAATTTGCCCACCACTTATGGGGTAAAAAAAGATGCTTCCATTCCTTAGAGACTGTCTAGGGGTTATTGGGTTGATTATATAACCGTCTATTCGGTAATTACCGATTTGAAGGTTTTCATGCACAAAATGACATCCCCGTTAGTTTTATATGGGAAACAATAGCCGGGTGCATGGGTTGAATGCATGCCCCGATATATGCAGTGGTCCGTGTGACAAAAAGCAAAGTGTGGGGTAATTTTTGTGTTGGGCAACCATAGACAACAAGAAATTGACGGCATCAGTACCAACATTTCGCTATTTCCTCCTCAAGAGCTGGCTTTAACAATGAAGGGCGACGTGTTGCCGTTGTGCCAAATAAGATTAGCCGAACTTCTGGGCAATCGAATGGGTAATTTTGACTAAGTCAACACACTCTGTTATTTGATTTTGGCATCGGGTTCGAGCTCAATGTCATTCTGGGTCAACTCCAAGAAACAGAGATAGTTGAAAGGATCGTTGATTATGCCGTGTCTATGGAGAAAACACATACCATTATTCCAAGGAAGAGAAAACTCGCGGTGCAGGTCACTTGAACCCAAGCTACCAAGATAATAACTAACAAAGCACACACCAAAAAAAGAAATTATATAAATAAAACAAACAGAAAAAAAGAAGAAAAACGAATTTGAATTGCCACCGAAAACCATATTTGCAGCTGTTGGCCACGAGTAAAGTTGTAGGCAGAAACCAAAGAGAACTTATCCGGAAACCCTTCGTTTGAACAGCCAATTAAGAGCATTGGATGTTGCCATATTTATTCTTGGTTGCCTCCCACCACGCCGAGGCTATCATTCCCGCGTTACAACTTGAAGCTGTCATGAATCTCAGGTTCAGTACGCCGTCAACATTCTCGCAATTGGGCACTGATACGGTACACGAATGCTTGAATTGGTTCAGGCCTGTCCAGAAATCTCCGCACATCTTCGGAGCGTCTGGGACATTATGCGCTTTGATTGTATATTGGAAAGCGACAAGATAGTTGTACTGTCTGCAGGAGGCTGTTGATTTTGCCAATGACAGTGGTATCGCTGAGAGTGAAATTGCGACTGCTTGGAGAAACTTGAACCTCATGCTGAGAGTGTTGTGGCTTGTGTGAATATAAGTGCTGTGCTGACCGAGTGGGTATCGCAGTGAAGATTCAGTTTGAGGCTAGCACTGGAAAAGATGGCTGAATCTTGGGAATCATGAGCTGCAATCGGCTGCTAAGACAGTAAATCTCTATAAGCCTGGGAGCAAGCTGGAAGGGTTTTATGCGGCGAGGAGTCTTGCTGAAGCGCCTGACAGAGACTTAAAATATGTTGCTTTAACGGAGTGTCTTCATCGACTCCATTCATCGGCGGCTCTACGGGCTATTGTACTTGGGGATGAAAATGCATACAGAAGCGAAAACCGAGATTAATTGATTGACCCCTTGGCTCACAAATATTTTGAGGCCTGCTTCTTTGTTCTGTTTGCTGTTTGGCAGTCGTTTTTATCGAGCACAAATACACATTTTTAAAGGAAATCATTTATTACAATTGAAGGGCAAAAGTGTCAACCAAGCTTCACAAAGAATCTTCTTCAGCAGGGATAGCTTTACCCATGCATTCTAGCCATCTTCTCGGGAGCTTCTCGGAAACTTCTCGGCTGAAAATCTAACCTGCGTGTGATGGGTTGTGTTGACTGTGCTTTAGCCATGGCGATCTTGCAAGCCGAACTTGTGTAGGCATTGAAACGTTGCTTCTCCCTGAGGTAAGGCCCTCAAAGACCCACGTGATTGGTTATTCGAACGAACATGATACGCATTTTTATTGTTTTACCATTAACCCTCAACTCAATTTAGCTTTGTTTTCTAGAGCTGAAGTTTCGGTCGATTGGCTGAATAACAATTCTACGATAGCTCGTCAAAGGAGGCGAGCCGCTGTCTTGAACCTCAAGAATCAAGTGGAGGGGAAGACCCCTTTCAAGCGGAATCTTTTCCCTAAACACCAAACACGACTTTTCTGCCGGAGCAATAACAACTTCGACCTTGCTTTTCTCCTCATTCAGTGGTTTAATTTCAAGATCAGAGACCTCTAGGCCGTGATACGTCTGCAGCGAACTAGGCTCGCGGTACTGGTACCACTTGTAGCTAAGTTTGTCACCATCAGGGTCATAGCTCTCGGATGCATCGAATGAAACAACACCTCCTGCGTCGGCGTCGACATGAATCGGTGTCAAACCAAGGTCGCCGTTGACTGAAAGAACTGGGTGGTGATTGACTTTGCTAAAATCGGATGTCAAGGTCCATTGCATGCGTGCCGCAAAGTCATCCTGGAAAGTGTTTCTCCAGCGCCAGATGGTGGCCTGGTTCGATCTGTGCGGCTTGCCATCAATACCAATAACGGTGTCAATAGCATCGGCAAAATGACCTCTTGCAGGAAGGCCCTTTGAGCTGACATTGGCCGGAATATAGCGCCCTCCCCAAGAACCGTAAATTGGCTCCTCGGGAACACCAAGGCCGTTTTGGATCAGATAAAGAAATGTGGGTGTATCTCCCTCGATTATGAACTCGAAGTTTGGGTAGGCCGCTCCCAACGGGCCGATTTGGACGTTTTCCTTGACCCATTCATGTGTCACCTTGGAGCCGTCGGGCCCTCCTTGGTCACCGGAGCAAGGGGCGGAGATTCCGGTCCATGCGGCGCACTGGTATTGGTTCCAGCCATGAACGGAACAGATGTAAAAGATTTCGGGCCACTGCTGGCGAATCCAAGCACCGCAGTCGTCCTGGTCGGAAATTGTGTAGACTCGCAATTTCTGACGCAGTGCGGCAGCGTCTGGGCGGTCGCGGATCTTGTGGAGGACTTGCGCAAGCACATTCACACCACCCCATACCAGAACCCAGAGGGGATCGGTGTCAGAAGATGTAAGTCGCTCGAGGAGCAGTTCACCACCTTCGCTGAGAGGAATATCGTCGCCGACAGCTTCCATGCCGTACACCTAATCATGCGACCAAGTCAGGAAATGGACGGTGAAGAGACAATCCGCATGAAGTGGGACAGCTTGTGACTCACAGGAGGACCAGACTTAATGAGGTCCCTCACGCTCTGGGCAGAGGGATATAGAGAACCGGAATGGGTATGGGCATTGAGGTTATCGACGACCTTCTCGTAGGCATCAACGATGTCATGGAGATTTTGCGGCGCAACCTTGTTTTTGAGCCATGTGGATGTAACGGCGACAACACCTTCTGTGCGGAACTGATTGGAATAGGTAAGATAACGGCAAAAAGATTCGGCGTCATCGGGCTCGTTGGTAATATCTGTCAAGATAAAAACTCTAGGCTTCGAAGGGAATTGCGTAAGGGCTGCTGTCCCTTGAGCTGTAGATTGCGCCATATTGTGCGGGGGGTTGTTCGCTGAGTCTATTGTAGTAGGATGGCTGGCCGGGTTTATCTTGGGGATTGACTCGGGATCGATTTGGTAATTCGGCCTGATGTTTTGGGGCGTCGAGTGGTATTAACGTTGTCGTTGTTGTTGTCGTCGTCGTCGTCGCCGTTAGTCTCCAAGCTTCAGGCTCACTTCTATGAGTTAAAATGACGGTTATCCGCTCGTTTAAAAGGGCCAAACTCTAATTCTTGGCGCTAAAATCTACAGTTCCCGCTCATCAACCTGTTATCGACGGAATAGGCAGTCAGAGGCTCCGACGAACGTTATGCGAGGGGTAAATCCAAGGATGTGGGCTACCGAATTATGGGGCAACTAAAATAGCACCGACTTAACTACTTGCGGTTGCCGCGATTGGGTAACTTGAACCACCATCGAACCCTTCCATCGAACCGACCCATCGTAACTGAGAAGTGAGAGCCTACAAATTCCGTATTGGTCCGGGGTCACACCACATTGCTTCCTTGGTTATTCCCTGGTCACGTCCCACCTCCGCATAATCCTGATACCCCACGGGGGCAGTTGGCCACGGTAGAAGTCTGTTGATGGTTCCCCTCAACTGGACTGATGGGCCCCATCCCCAGACTAGACCCCAGACGTCCGAATCGAGAACCAGAAGCTAATAATTATGATACTGTTTCGATCCTTAGTCCGTGAATCGCGTATTAAAGTCATACTTAGCCCTCAGTCTGAACTATTTGCCTCTTCGTCTTGAAAGTTGTAGCCTCAACATCTCTGCTGGTTTTCTCTTGTTTTGTCAGCAGATGAAGTACCTCAGTCATTCATCATGACTACATACAACGACGGCTACGAAGCCGAAAAAGTTGACTCACAGGCTAAACACGTCGAGCTGGGTGCCGACTCTCAACTGGCTCACGTTGCCGACCACGAAGACCATGAGACTGGCATCCTGAAGTCGTTTATACGTTATCCTTGGGCGTCGGCCTGGTGTGTCTACGCGTGTTGGACCATAATCCTTCTCAGCTTTGATACCCAAGCTGCCAGTTCCGTTGTGGGCATTCCGGAGTTTCGCAAAGATTTGTACGCCAAGCCCGGAGTTCCTGGGACCGAATCATATACTATGTTGGCCAACCAGTGCTAATTGCATTTACAGTGGTTACCTGTACAAGGGAGACTATGTCCTCCATGCCGTATGGCAATCGGCCTTCAATGGCGCCCCAGTTGCATCGTAAGCCTAGTGACCAGGTATCAGCCCTGCAATAACATACTAATGGCCGTTTATTTAGAGCTGTCATATCGTCGATTGCCTCCGCTGAGCTTGCTGATTACATTGGACGGAAGAAAGTCCTCGCCCTCGCCCTCATCATCTCTTTCATCGCTGTTGCCGTCGAGTTCGTCGCCACAACCAATGCCGTATTTTTTGCTGGAAAACTTCTTAATGGCATCATGGTTGGTGCTGTTGGCACCGTCATGATCAGCTACATTGGCGAGGTACAACTATTCCTCTGCTCATGACGTTAGCATAGCAGTGGTTAACATAATTTCTCTTTTCTAGATCACACCACTAGCACTTCGCGGCATCTTCACATGCGGCGTCGGTGTAGCTTATGGTATCGGCCCATTGGTTGCGTTCATCGTCATCAATTACACTGGACAGGTTCAGTCCCGCTGGGCATACCGTACCGTGTTTTGCTGTCAGTTCGGCTTCGCAGGAGTTGCAGCTCTCTTGTGGCCTTTCATGCCCGAGTAAGTATCCATTAACTTTGACCGCGGTGAAAGCATTTCGATCTAAACTAACCGTTGAAGATCTCCATGGTGGCTTGTTTCCAAGGGGAAGAAGGAAAAGGCACTCAAGAGCCTCCACAGACTTGGCCACACTGGCGAAGAGGGAAAAGCAAAACTTGCCCTCATTGAGCTCACCCTCGAGGAGGTTCGCGCCGAAACCCAGGGTGTGACATACTTGGAATGCTTCAAGAAGTCGAACCTACGTCGCACCATCATTAGCATTATGCCTCTAATTATCCAGGCTTTTAGCGGCATCTCGTTTGTGGCAGGATATTTTACGTATGTTTGGTCAACAGTTTCCTTCTCCCCGATATCCCTTGGCTAATAACACACTAGCTATTATCTTCAATTGGCCGGTTATTCGACTTCAATGAGTTACCAACTGCAAATCGCCCAGCCAGTCCTGTCCATCGTAGGCAACTTGATGGCCGCTGCTGTGGTCGATAGATTAGGCCGGCGGAACCTGACGTTCTATGGCCTCGCCATCCTGACGACGTTTCTTCTCATCACTGGAGGTCTTGGAACTGGCACCAGCCAGCCAATGATCAAAGGGACTGTGGCCTTCATTCTCATTTACAGCTGGTGGTACAACGTGTCAATCGGGTCAACCGCCTTTTCCCTTCTCTGCGAAACCTCCACGTCCCGTCTGCGCGTCAAGACTGTCGCTATTGGCTACGCCTCACAAAACTCCATTAATGTCATGTGGCAGTTTGTCATTCCATACATGTTCAACCCTGATAAGGCCAACCTCGGCGCCAAGATTGCCTTTATCTTTGGTGGTTTGTGCTTCTTCTCGCTGATCTACCTCTGGTACTTCCAGCCCGAGACAGGAGGTCGGTCTTACCAGGAACTCGACGAGATGTTTGCCAAGGGAATCCCAGCCCGAAAGTTCAAGACATACAAGACAACGGTGCAGCAGCAGAATGAGAGTGCTGCATTGGACATGGCGCGTTGAGGTTTAATACCGGGATTATCTTGAGTCCACTTTGTTTGTTTAGTGTGGGTGCTAATGCAGAGGCAGTTGATAAAGGGGTTATATAGGTATTCAAAGTCATCTTCTCAGGAAACTCACTTACAAATGGTGGCTACCTAGTTCGCCCAAGCTTGACATTTAAAACGAGACACTTCTTGAAGCCTCGGTTACAAATATCCTTCAATTAACAACTGGTCGTACTAATTGTGCAAGAGAACATCCTTCTGAGCATTTCTGACACGTTCCTGCACCCAGTGAGGCCATGCACGCAATCCCGCAACCCACGTGTACTCTTCCGGAATACAAACGTGACCACTGCGCCCTGATATAATTTGCTGAAATATCCGGTCTACCACAAGCTCAGGCTCAAGTAGTAAGGCCTTGAATTTTCCCTTGCTGTGGACTTTCTCGATGAGGGCTGTTCTGATGTACGTTGGATATATGATGCTGTAACACCAGATAGACGTAAACTGTTAGTCCTGATTTGAAACACTACTTGTCTAAGGGGGAAAAGAAAGTTAAATTACCTCGTTCGGACTTTTGGTGCATTGTAACGATGCCGGAGTTCCTGCGCAAGACCCTCGTGGAACGCAATAGCGCCAATCTTAGAGCTGGCATAGTCTACATTCTGTACGCCAGTGACGAAGCTCGCCATACTGCCGACAGTAACAATGTGGCCATGGTTTCGCTTGATCATTGACGGTAGAAACTCCTTGACAAGCAGGAAACTTGCAATGATATTCACGTCAAATACATGGCGGATTTGCTCCTCGGTTTCATCGAGGATGGTGGAGATTTTCATCACGCCGGCGTTGTTTACCAAGACCGTGGGTTCGCCATGATCATGTCGGATGCGGCTTGCAACTTCCCTAATGGAGTTCGTATTGGTGATATCAGCTTCGTAGAAATACGCGTTTGATGCTGGCTAAATGTCAACTTGGAAAGTTTTTTAAGATATCGCTAAAAAGCGAGAAACAGCCAATCGACTCACGTAATGGAGTTGGCGGTGAGGCTACATCAATACTGATGACTTTGACGCAGTTCTTTGCCAGCTTTCGAACCAGCAAGTCTCCCAAGCCACCGGAACCGCCGGTAACTAAAACCAGTTCTCTTCGCCAGTCGTAGGTGTCCTGAGTGAAGTTGTTCAACATGGCAGCACCCAGCAAACTGCTGGCTTTCTTGGTGGCTGTCCATCCCAGTACTATCGCAACAGCAACTCTGAACCAAACCTTGCGAGGTAGCAGCTGCAAGAGGTTCAATAAATTTAGGTTTCGAAGCGAACTAGGTAGTTTACTGGATATGCCGGAGGGAGCATGGCTGATTGATTTAGACATGATACCGCGCAGAACAGTGACGACAACGATGGAATAGTATGTTGATAGGTCTCAAGGTAAGCTGATTCTCATCATGAGAGAAGGCTGCGTTAATTGATTATCATGCGGTAATTAAACCTTATGGTGGTCGGCTTGATCTCACCCCCGCAGCTGTAATAGCCTTTAAGCTTCGACTGCGACGTCAGTTGGTCTCACTCCGCATTGTAAGCCGAGGCTTCGGTGTAGCATATTCTCCCAAAAAAACAGCCCCCAAATATCTTGTGCAGGATAATTTTGCGCATCTCATCACATTGCATAATTCAACTGACGCCCGACCCTCCAGTGGACTTCACCCGGATTGACACTTTTGATTTTTCGTGCTCTGCAGCTGATTATCCAAGTGTACATACGCAAAATCCGTCACGAGTCCAAATTATTATCAAAGTCCCAAGGGCAGATTACAATACAATCCATTTCACTTGGCACAAGTCGTGCACATGGGTTACACCATTGAAGATCGGTTTATCAGGTCGAGTCGAAATGAACTGAAAATCGCCATCTCCATTTACAAACCGGATGGTCTAAGACGACCGGTTCCGACTATTGTTATGGGCCATGGAATCGGAGCCATCAAGGCCGCGGGCCTGTCTCCCTTTGCCAGCGCCTTTACCTCCGAAGGCTATGTGGCTGTCACGTTTGACTATATTGGCTTTGGAGAAAGCGATGGCTCTCCACGAAACGTACTCAACGTCCAGGATGAGCTGCAGGACTTCCGCGACGTCTTGAGTTGGGTACGTGAGCCGGAACAAGACGATTGGGTCGATTCTTCCCGCATTGTTGCATGGGGGAGCAGTTTCGGTGGCATGCACGTTACGGCTCTCTTGAGCGAAGACCGCGACCTTGCTGCGGGAATTTCGCAATGTCCTCTAGTAGATGGCCTCGCGGGTTGTCTGAAGATTCCGTTGTTTAGGTCGCTGAAGCTGGCCGCTACAGCGACAGCAGATATTTTTGGCTGGCTTACGGGAGCCACGGAGCCACAGTATGTCAAACTGGTCAGTGATGGGTCCACGACGGCCATTATGGCTTCGCCGGAAGTCGCAGAGGGATGGAATAGACTAGCACCGGAAAATGGGACAGAGTGGCCGAACATGATTGCTGGGAGGTCTCTGTTGAGTATCCTCACATCCCGACCGCTATTTCAAATTCATAAGAGCACCCAGCCTTACCTTATTGTGCTACCGACATGGGACCATGAAGCTTCGCTGGATGCTGCGGAGGAGTGTGTGAGGCGGGCGCCTTTCGGAGAGGCACTTAGAGTCGACGGCGGTCACTTTGACCTTTATGAAGGTGGTATTTCGTTTGAAAAGAATGTCGAAGGACAAAAGCAATTTCTGAGGCGAGTCCTTGGAACATGAGTTGGCTCAGCCATGTTAGCTTTGTTTCTCGGGGAATTGCAAAGCAAGAGCATGAAGCTATACTTAAATCACTAACGTCGCACACCCACTTCTCGCACACCCCCACATTTCGCACACCCATAAATTGGGTCATCATGAGGTATTCATCAACTTCATAACTATAAGTCTGATTCGTCTCCTGCAACTGTGATACTATCGCCAGTTTTAATAGGTAATTCAGGCTCGCTAGATTCATCTGAGCTATCCTCAATTTCGCCAGCCTCAATTTGGGCTTTGTGAATTGCCTCAATGTTGGCAAACTTCGAATTTGGGCTCATTTGGACCTTACGCCGCTTCCGTACCATTCCAGCCTCAACTTCTGCTTCCAACATTGCAATCTTCTTCTCTGCTGTAGCCAATTGATAGTCCTTTTCATCAAATCCCTTTTGAACCTTCCGAAACAACAGTCGCTGGGTTTGCTGATCTTTATCCAACTTGCTGAATAAGCTAAGTTGATCATATAGATCAACTGTCTTCTTGGGCGTTGACCAGGCTACTATGGATGTAGCAGATGCCCAGTTTTCGTCTTTTCCACCATCAGAGGCCCTCATAGGCGTAGAATAGCCTGGCTTTGAGGGCTTGGAAGCATTCTCAAGCAGTAGAGGGCTCATGAGCGGTCGAGCTATCGAAATGGGCCATAGTCCTGTTGCTTTCCAGCCGCTTCTGATATTCTTGCTTGAAAATGCCATCTGGCGTGCTTTTCCATAGCAGGTAAGAAAGTTCCGTTTGCCTACAACTGTAGAATCGTTGTGTTGAATGAGGTATCCAAGCTCTTTTCGATAGGTCGCCTTGAGAGGCCCAAAGACTGCTTGGTCTAGAGGTTGGAGAACGTGGGATGTATGTGGCGGTAGGAAAAGGAGATATATCTTGTGTTTATAACAGAGATACATAAATTCTGTTGTTTCATGACTGCCATGACCGTCTAGGATCAATAGTCTCTGCTCAGAGGGATGATCAGGCTTAGTCAGAGGGATAAAGATGTTCTCAAGCCATTCCACAGCTGTAGAGTCTGAAGTCCAGCCATTCTCAGTTGCTGTGAACTTCCAACCACTGTAAATATCACGTTTATGGATATCAAGAGGAAACCATTGTTGTTGAACCGATTTCCCTCGATAAATAACAAGTGGAGGAAGCGCCTGACCAGTTGCAGAGACACACTCAAGCATAGTTGTCCAAGCCCGAGACCCAGGCTGTTTTTTTCGCATTGATGAGCTTTCTGATGATCCCAGTACTAAGCCATTTGATCCTCTGCCTTCTAGGATACCAGTTTCATCCATGTTATAGCGATGATGTGGTTTGATCGCCTTGATCTCTGGAAGGGCGAGTTGTTGAAACCATTGCCTGATTACATTAGTTGAGGCCCCATTGACACGCTTAGAATCGATGGCTCTAGCTCTATGAACCTTGATTGATGGATTTCTCTTAATAAAGAACTGAATCCAGTTTCTCCCAAGTGGCTGGGTAGTGCCTCTGATGTCTAGGATTCGCTGGGCAAATTCCTTGAGTTGTTGATGTGTTGGCGGCAGCCCTAACGCCGCCTGGATACGCACCCATTCAGCTAAGTGACTTTCCTGTGCTGGAGATAGCTTCTGGAAGCTAGAGAAAGCTACATTTCTTGCCTGTGAACCCTTTAATCGAGACTGGAGGGTTGATGGTGGAATTCCAGCATCATGAGCTGCCTTTCGGACACTCTGCCCACTTGCAACTGCATTGAGAGCTTGATTGACTTCTGTTTCCGTATACTGGCCCATTAAGCGTATAAGAGTAACTATTCAAAGAATTATAATAATCGCTGTAAAAGTGGTGAAGATATTAAAGAATGTTGAAGAGGGTAAAATTCTACATGAGCGATTTATGGGTGTGCGAAATGTGGGGGTGTGCGAGAAGTGGGTGTGCGACGTTAACACGGTCCATTGATGTCCCCAAAAATGGCCTCGACCGCGAGTAGCGAATGTGGTTAGTGGCGGTTTTCTCTTAGTTTTCAAGTTGTGGGAAACGGGGTGGTATTATCTCAGAGTGAAAGTTAAGTGTCAGGGCACCGTACCTGCCAACCCGGTTATGCTTTGTATTTTCTAACTTAGTCATATTATACTCTTTAAGCACCAAATGTCGAATGTAGTTCGATGCCTTATCAATGAGCCAGATCAATGATTGGCGTGGGAGAAGATCAGGGTACTAGAATACGTGATACGAGGAGCAATTAGGTACACTTCCAAGTGTTCTACAGAACAAAAATGATCCGGCAGTTCCATTCAGAATAGCTGCGAATTATCGTCATTGATGGAAATGACCGATAAGACCGTTTGATAGAGTTCTGCTGTTTGTAAAGGCGTCTTAGTACCATGGTTTTCTGAAAGTAAACCGTCAACCGTCCATCTACATGGATAGTAATGTGTGGGCTCGCTATATGATAAACTTACTTTTGCTGGCTATCTCCGGTTTGTAAAATTTTACTTATATCAACAAACATTTCTAATTCAAGGGCCAGATTAACAAACACCCGAAAGCATACTTCACCCCCAAAAGAAAACAACAGAGAACCATCAATGAAAATGCACTGGTTTGGAATAACTATGATCAGCCTCGGGCTTGCACAAGTTAGCTTCGGGTTCGACCACCATCATGATGGTTTAAATGTCAACGAGCGCCTTGACTGTTACCGGGAAACAGGCTGCTTCAACATAAGAAACTATCAGTGCAAAGACGGATACACCTATGTCGGGTTTGATCGGCATGTATGCGACATCGTAAGTACACAGCACTTTTGACTGATGTTGGTAACCGGCATTTACCGAAGCAAGGGCTGACAATGTCGGGAACAGAATGGTCTTTTTATCAAACAGCCTGGATTTGGGCTCCCAATCTGTTGCAGCAACCGCACTGTTGCGTCTTTCGGGGTTAATGAAAAGGGAAAGCCCCGACGCTGTGAATGGAGAGGAAAGCCAGATCACTGTAACGGAGCCGGAATTGCCAATGAAGTTGTTTTATTCAAATCAGCCAGAGGCGGGTTCCCTTCCGAGTTCAACGGAGGCTTGGAAGATTATTATTGCTGGTTCGGTTCCAAGTACTTCACGTGTCCGTTGCCTGGCTGGGATGAACTCACGAAAGAATGCCGATGGACCGAGTGGTAAGTTACTGTGACACTTTTCGGCGGCATAGCATTTCCGTCCACGATTGTTACTTGAACAGCTAACATTCAGCACCAACAGCCAAGGAAATTGTGAAGAAGGCGAAACCGAAATAGCCCACGCTGTCGATGTAGACAACAAGTGCCCTCCTGAAGCCGTACGTAATCAGAAGACTCGAGTAAGGTACTGCTGCAAGAACAAAAAGCGGCCATTTTCAAACTGCCACTGGGTCGGGCAGGGGAATTGCGATGATAATACTTGCAACCCGAGTGAGGTCACCGTCAAGAGAAGCGGCGTGGGTGATAGCGATAGTTGTAAATGTGAGTATTGATCGCCGGGGTTAAAGTTACTGAGCTAATTTAAATCAGCTGGGCGTGAGAAAAGTTTATGCTGTACGCCGGAGTTTTAAGCAAATTGCCGTCATTGGATACTTAATTATTACAAAGTAAAGACAACTTCACCTCTAATCAAATCACGTCCGAAGCTCACACGATTCAAGTTGTTATTTGTACAAAGACTACTTGACGAAGCTGGAAGCCAAAGAATTATATGTTACCTAAGGTAATTCAGGTAGAGACCAGAACAAGGCAATATGATTGGTAGTCTCCTCTCCTAGCTAGCAAGTCATGCCAGTGAGAAAGGGAAGGAGCAATCAAATATAGTATAAATACTGAGCTGCTAAAGCAGGTTTTGTGGAACATGGATATAGAATAACACTATTATCAACTCATGTATGCCACTAACTTCGAGGCTTAGTCCCAAGCAAAAAGAACCCGTCGACCTGTAAATGGTTTACCTCGCAACACAGTCACATCCAGCCAGTAGCCGCAAGCCAATGGGATGTAAGCTGTCCTGTCTGGGCTACGATAGCCCCAAAATCCATGCCTACTTGCCTTTTGACGAGCGAGCTTAAGGGAAAATACACCAAATACGGTCTTTTTGTATGAGAATTGTTTGACACATTGAGTACTTTTCACTTTATTCTGTAGATGCTCTACGAGAGAATCGTTCGACAAAAAGTAGAAAGCGTGGGTATTATTTGCACGCAGCTGAGCTTAAGGAAGCAACTAAACGAAAACAACAACATCTCAAACACTCTATCTCGACTCGGCAAACTTCATCCACAATGGCTCATGCATCAACCTGTCCAAGCAGTTCTCTTCAACCCCGACAAGGATCTCCATTCCTCCATTCGGCAATATTGGAAGAATAGTCTGCAGTCCATTGATAAATCCAACGTGCGGTGAGCGAACAGCTTCAATACTATTACCAAGGACTGAGCCCCATTGAACATCATAAAGTGAAAAGCTAACCCACGAGGTCAGAATGCAGTTGTTACCTGGAACGTCGAGAAGCGCAGTGGGAAGAATGCGATTGATGTCCTCCAGGCTATCAATCAGCGTTGTAACGTCATCAACAAACTGGTTGTCTGCACGAAGTAACGCTTCGCGAACCATGATGGCTAGGTCAGCGAGGTTTGCCGATCCAATAATCTTACGAATCGGAGCAGAGGCCGCAACATAGCCGAGGAAGCAGCCCATAGTATCCGGATGAACTGGTGGATCAGTGCGCTGGCGACCGTCGACGGCAATGTTGAAAACAGACACCGGGTCGCCCTCCAAAGTCTCAAGAGGGGATTGCACAGCCATGACTGTGCGCCATAGCAGAGCCGCGAGGGCGTCGTTGGTGGAGATCCAAGTCTGCTTCGTCGGCACCGTTGCGTTTTGCGGTGAGGCTTCGGCCTTGAGTCTAGCAAGGGACTCGGGTGAAAAGTAGAAGACCTGTCCGCGGTGGTTCTCTGAGAGCATATTGGGAGGCATACCCTGCGGCGTAAAGGGCAAAACAGTATATTCCGGGTGATCTTCAATTTGTCCCTTGTTCTCGCCAGAAGGGCTCATAACCCGTTGGCGGTCTTTGAGAAGAGCTTCGCTGAGATTGAAAGGGTTGGCGACCTCCAGGCCTTGTGCACGGCGGCACTCTTCCGCCCATATCTTGGTCCAGATAAGGAATGTCTTTCCATCGCCAAACATGTGATAAAAACACCAAGACAGGATGAGGCCGCCTTGAATGAAGTTGGCTTGGGGCAGTGAAACAGGGAGGCGCTCGCCAGGGTACGGCCAGACGGACCGACGCATGAAGGTGTCTGCATTGAAGGAGGACATAGGGAAGGCCTTGGACTTGAGCTCGGCGTATGTCATTGGGAAGGCACTCGGTGCTCTTAGGTCCTTGACTGTGATACCCTCTACTTCTCCAGGAGGGAGTCTTTGAAGCTTCAAGATCCCGCCTTGTCTTGCGTTTACATCGGGGACAGCTTCACAGTCCATGACTGCAATTCTCCTTTGAGCGGCTTCATAACCTTCTCTAAGGATGGAAACCGTCTTTTCAATGTCGTAGTCTTCTGGTAGCTGAAAGGGGAAGATGTACCGGATGTAGCCCTTGGGGCCGATACGCTCCAGAGGCGTAAGACCAGGGATTTCTGTCCAACCTGATGAAGAACCCATGATGGATAGATGAAAACGGTATAAAATTACAAACAAAGATGCTATATGCTTGGCTAGAAAAACTGGAAGAGACGATATGAAGGGGATACGGTAGATTTATTCAAGCGCGGTGCATCATAGTGGTCGCCCTCTTCTGCAGAGCGCGGAAAACAACTCTTTCAGCCAGGAGCAATGTGGCCGCGCCCCGGCCCTACATTCGGATCGTGTTGGAAGCTGCCATATTGAGCACCAGGGTTTCATTCAAGGTGTCGGGTTGTCGTGCTGGGTTGCATAATGACAGCAGGTGGAACTGGCCAAGTCCTTAACCCTGGCCACTCTGGTTGAGGCATTTCAGCCGATCAAGATGTGGTATCATCTTTCCAACAAAACCCTGGTTCACTCTTAGCGAAAAAGGATGGCATAAATTCTGTGTAAGTGAGACAGAGTACTACTAGAGTATTAGTGCAGAATTCTGAGCTTAGCAAAGTTTGACCTGCCCAAAGGAGTTTTGAAGGATAACTTGAAAACCCCATTCAACCCTGAGTCCGGTCATTTACGTATTCCTCGACACTTGTGATTCGAGATATGCCTAATAAAGTGTTAAAGGCAACCTGGTGTTCGTACTTTGGAGATCTTTCAATGCCCTGACCGGAGCAGTTTTTGTCTGTTGATATTTACCCAAATATCAACCCACGCTTAAGAACACTTATCATTACGAAAAAAGGCCTCCTTCTGTTCCTGAATCTCAAGGTAAGGGTGGTTGTGCAAGATCCAGCTTTCAAGAGTAGCAACCCCACATTTCCCTCGGAGCGCCTTCTAGATCTGTTCATCTGATAATTTTGGCTGCATGCGAAGCGGTGGTTGTGCTTCTCGCGTATCCAGGGTGCTTAATTTCGTTACGAAACACTTGCACCAACAGTAACTACGACTCCTGGTTGGAGGGAAGAATAGACATTTCGTTCAAACATGCATATATCCCTTGTCCGGGGAGACTGGATATGCGGAACGAGTCCCACCTACCGGGCTACAATCGTATCATTGCGATGTTTATCAACCAACAACAACTTTTGACCCTTGCACAGCGGACAGGCCTACAACATCCCAGTAAATTCAGTCGATCAAAGGGCAACGATCAACAAGTTTCTCTCATTTACCAAGACGTGGCCACATCCAAGAACACATGATTGACATTGCTGGCAAGTCAAACTGAAGACCCAGCAGGAGGCTTCAATCTCGGTTACCTTCCCATCCATGAGTTTCATCTTTCTGTCAGCCTCTATAAGGCCTTTCCTTCAATTTCTCATACTATCTTTGCATATGCTAGTACCATTCCCCCCAGGTATATATCAAAAGAAGGAAGATCATGCGGGCTAGTCCGTGGTGTGGGTGGGTGTATCTGTGGAGCCATCGTCTAGGATATTCGACAACCAACAACCAACACGAGTCCAGACTCACCCTAGAGATATAATTTCTTTTCTCGCGACCGGAACACCTTCCCCGCGAAGAATGCACGCGAGGTAAGCACCTTGTTAGTCAATTGCAGCTGCAAGACGTAGAGAAAAAAAAAATCGCGTTTTAGGTGAGGAATACGCACATGTAAAGATGTGATAGATTTCGTCCCATTCGCCATGATTTCTCGTCTTGCTTGACTCTAAGGCGTTTCCCCTTTGATGATGGAACCCAATGGCGACATTGTCGAGGTTTTTGGTCCGCCGCCGGACGGTTTGGACATTTTTGAAAGCAGCGTCGCGCAGAACAATGCTGCGGTCATTATTCTCGCGGTTTTAGCATCCGCTGCCGTGGGACTGCGAATCTTGGCCAGATGCCTCCAAGGAAGCAGTCTGAAAGCTGATGACTGGACCATTATCATATCTCTGGTAAGTCTTCAAGAATTTGCTTAAACTACTAATCATTCCGTGCAAGGTGGCGCTGACATTCCGGTAAATAGCTCCTCGTAGGAGCCACTGTTGCTCTGAGCATCGCTGGCGGCATATACGGCGCCGGAAACCACATTTGGTCATTCACGCTCCCTGGAGTCACACAGATATTCAAAGTAAGCAAGATTTCCGTTGTTTTCATTGTGCTTACCGTTTCCTAACAACTTTACCCTCCTACAGATCCTTTACGCCTACACGTTTGTGTACGGAACAGCCTGCGCCGCCATCAAAATTTCCATATTGCTCTTTTACCAGCGCATATTCGTTTCGAGAGCCGCTTCCTTCAAGTTGTCTATACTATTCGGCTATTTCCTCTCCATATCCTACCCCATAATCATATGGGGGACGATGGGCACCGCCTGCAAGCCCCTATCATTCTATTGGAACCAGTTCATCGGCACCAAGGGGAAGTGCATTGACCTAAACACATTCTATCTCGCCCTGGGTATCATCAACATGCTCAACGACGTCATCATTCTACTGATACCGATTCCACAAATCCTAAAGCTCCAGATGTCTGGGAGAAAGAAGTTTGCTGTGTGTACCATCATGCTTCTGGGCAGTTTGTATGATCCTACCGTTTTTAGGCGCGACTACCTACAAGGAATCCCGAGAAAGCGATGCTAACTTTCAAAAAAGTGTCTGCGTCGCCAGCGTCGTCCGAATATGGTTTCTTCACAAGCTCTCCATTGCCATCGACATCACTTTCGCGATGGGAAACGTCTTCATATGGTCAGCGCTCGAACCTTCTGTCGCCATCGTCTCCGCGTGTCTTCCGCACCTGGCGCCCCTCAGCCACCTCGTGCGCCGCAAGATCTCGTCCAAGAACCGCAGCAATGGCCACTCTGCCCCGTTGCCGGACAGAGCGCCATGGAGATCAGGGAGGAGTGGCGCGGAGGATAGGTCGCAAACTGGGGCCGGCGCGCTGTTCACGTATGGAGGATCGCGCTTCGCTTTTGGGAATAGCAAGGATGGTAGGGCGAAACTCGGCGAGGTGGATGATGAGATTGGGCTTACCAACCGGATTCCCGTGGGTGACGTCGTAGTCAAGAGTATGTCTGCCGCATCGGGTTCGGATGAAAATATCAACAGTCGGTCGGTCGTTGTCCAGTCTAGCTTTACGCAGGAGAGTACGAGAGTACGGTAGCTGCAGAGCTGGACACTTAACAGCTATGACATTCTTAGCCAAAGCAAAAAAAAAATCAAGAAAAAAGAAAATAAAAAAGAAAAGGCATTGAACATTATACTTCCGTTCAACAACCTGTGCTTGCATAGTCCACTTCGAGAATAGCCAGGGTTTCTGCGATGACCAAGAAACTAGAATCCAAAGAGGTTGTTCTTCTTGTCAACATGGTGGGGTTATTAAAACTTCATTTCCATCAACTTGCTATGGTATCTCGTTCGGGAAAGTTACAAACATACACATTATCCAGGTCCACGGGTAAATAAGGCTGAATGGACAATCGCAGCGGAAGCATATTTAATCAGGCAACGGGCGAGAAATATTCATCATCTTGATTATATATCTATCGTTGCTTTATTCCGAGTCTAGTTCGAAGTAGCGCCTGATCGCAGGTAAGAACGTCTGGGCTTGCTTGAATTCGCCCAGCTTCACGCGCATTTGATCAAAGGCAAGCAATACAGCTTGGTCTGCCCCATTCTCCGTTTCCCGCTTCTCGATAATGGGCACCTTGGCATAACGCTGTGAAAAATGGGTGAGCAGCACACGGCGGGCTCCCATGCGGTACCCGACGTCAAGTGCCTCTGACATGGTCGAGTGCTTCTTAGCCTTGGCGTCGCTGAGCTTGTCGTCGTCGAATGTGCTCTCGTGAATTAGCAAAGTAGCTCCTTTGCCGACCTTGACGAAATTATCACTAGGACGGCAGTCACCCGAGTAGGCAATCTTCAGGCCTGAAGGCCAAGTAAGGACGCCAGCATATGCATTTACACAATGATTGACCGGGACAAGAAGAGCGGCGGAAAGTCCGGTGGGGTCGTTGTCCGGCAGGCGACCATCACCGCTCTCAGGCCAGACAGGCCTATGAAAGACAACACGGTCCAAGTCTATCTCATCAATCTTGCTATACTCCCTCATGAAGTGGTGCATGCTGCTGGGGGAGATCAAGCCAAGCTTAGGCTTTGAGTCAAGATGGGCGGTTGCCTCGCTCCAAGCACGTACAATGCTTACCAAGCCAAGGTGGTGGTCCGCATGCATATGGCTGATAAATACACAGCGAAGGTCTTGAAGAATCTTGGTGACTTCTTCAGCAGGGAAGGCACGGCGCAGTTGACCAAGCGTGTTCTCACCACAGTCGAGCAGGTAGTTGCCATATTGAGGAATGCGAATAAGGGTTGCAGAGACATTGCGGTATTTGGACGGAAGGGCGGAGCCAGTGCCGAGAGGAATGATTTCGGCATCTCTATTCGGGATGTCGCGCTCCGACTGTTCAATGTCCGCCAAAAACTTGGGCTCTTTAACCGCGGCCCTCGCCTGATCAGCCAGCGCTAATACCTCTTCTGGGACATTGTTTGCCTCTTGAAAGGTGGGAAACGGGACAATTTCGTTGTCTTTGATGTTAAAAGCAGGCGAAAGGAAAGCCTTCATACCCGTACGACCCGTCTCGACGTTCGGACCGATGGAGGAAAGGTCTCGACATGTGTTGTTGAATTCGAGGAGAGGGAATCGGTCGGCGTCAATACGTCGCAACTTTGTCAACAGAAGGGCATACGATTCCATTGCCACCATGTTAGGGCAGGTATCCGAAGACATGACTACATGCTTGACATCGGGTCTCTCCTTCATGAAGTTCTGAACTCGTGGATCGTCCACAACTTGGCTGCCCAGAAGCCAGTAAAAGATGGGGACATTGTCCATTAGCGCCGAGTTCTTCCATTCTGGCCTGTTGATGAACGATTCTACGGCAGATATACTAGGAATGTCAAGTACTGCGAATCCTGAGGGCTTCAACGGCGCTTCCAACACCATTTCAGGCGTCACTTCATTGCCTTCTGCGCCCGTGACACTCTGGCCCGCCGCCAGAAGCTTGAAATCTGTCGGTTTGACGCCAAGCTGTTTCGCAACAGCAGGATTGAACTTGCCACGGCGGCCCCTGTTTTTCACGACGTAGCAGACAGACATATCGGAAGCTGACTTTGGCGGTGGGAGTGTTCGAACCTTGGTCGCAGGCCAGGGGAATCTCACCAATACATCAATGTCAGGAACATCGTCTTTGCTGCCGGGAAGAGGACCCGTATACCTCTGGATTTGGCCGTCCTTCCGAACAAAGATGGTAGCGGGAAGTTCCACTTGGTGAAGCTTTGTCTCGCATAAGGCGTCCATGGTCCAATTGGAGCTAAACATGTCCTCCACAACGGTGTTTATAGCTTCTTGATCGATATTGTGTTGTTCTTCGAGAGAAGGAAGGCCTGCGGGACGATTTTGCAGGTCCTTGTCTTCTGCAACCATATCCTCGTGGCTCCTCTTGCGCGAAGTCCCGCGACCCAAAGAGGGCTCATCAGCGATGACAGGAACTTTCCAGACCTGGATGGCATCGTCTTCCCAATCAGGAGTAGAAGCCTTGGGGTTGGCAATTCTCGGATCTTTGTCAACCTCAATAGGCCGAATGGGCAAGCCCTTCCTGAAAACGAAGCCCCTCGCTGTCCCAATAGAGTAGGCAAGGTTGCGACTGCCGTGGATCTCCAAGCGTTCGGGGCCTTTGAGCGGCAGTTGAGCCTTTCCGGTCTTTTTCCTCGCCGCATTCTGCTGTTCTATCTCTCTCCGGCTACCGTCGAGGACGTCGGCTACAGTGAGCATCATGCCAATCATGCCGCCCGTGTTTTCCCATTTTGTCTGGCCTGAGAGAAACAAGGTCTCGAGCTTTGCTAGGGGAAGCTTGCGCTGGCTCAACGCGCGCTGTGTTCCTTCCGAAAGATGGCCGAACAGATACCGCCGGTGGTCAAAGTGTAGCAGCAGACTACTGCCTGTATCCGCCGTCGGAGTGCTGGCGACTTGAATGTAGTTCGTCATGGCGTCAACTCGAGGGTTCGGTTTGACAAAAGTGGGCGTTTTAGGCGACGATCCGACTAAGAGAGTGAAGGACTCGGCCCAACGTACCGGCTCCAGAGACGTTCGAGACCGGCCGCTTGGAAAAAGGTAGGCTCTCTTGCCAGCGAAGGATCTGGGCTCGCCTCTTAGGACTCGGCGTGCATTCAAATGATGGTCAGGCTTGCTTCGAGCGACGAAAGATTCGGATGGACGGGTTCGGACTTGGCGCGACGGTTGAGTAGAGGAAACGTCGGAGGGTGCTTTCGTGGGTGACTTCCCTGCGGACGGGCTCGACGTGATCTGTGATTTCTCAAGTGTCGATTTTGACTCTTTCGTTGGTGTTCTGGCCGAACTAGAGGCCGGTGCAGATTCGACCCTGCTTTGGTTTGGCTGTGGCGACGTAGAGTCTCCCTCAACTATTTTTTGAAAAGGGCGAGGCGGCACAGGGTTTGAGCGGCGAGTGATTGCTTGTCCCAGATTCTTTGGAACAAGTCCACGAGACATGGAGGAGGGAAATGAGAGTGGGGAGCGCGAGGCTCAAAGGAGGGGGGAAAAATTGGTGGATATCAACACATTTGAGAGAGAGTCCAACTATATCCAACGCCGAAGCTAACTGGCTGGTGTGGAACTGAGGTATGACTATCGCGGCGTCGGCGAGTGACTGCGTACCGTACCTGCAGTTGACGCAAAAACTTCTTAGGACCCTTGCAGTGGGGACTGATAAGTGCTTATCGGAGAAAATGCACGTGACAGCTGAGTCATCATTCATTCCTGGTCATTTGCATTGCACCTTGATCTCACCTCACGAAAATGGTCCTAATAAGCAGGGTTGAGTAACAGAAAATAACATCTACAAATCATATTAAGAGGATTTTTTTTTTTTTTTTTGGTAATAGGTATCTCATAGTTGCTCAATACATGTTAACTTTCAATTTTTATTTTTATTTTCCAGCCCGAAATACTAGCACTCGCTGTTGCGCCAGACACCAAACTGCCAACTCCAATTCCAGGATTGTTATCCTGTTCCATCCAGAACTCCATCAAAAAAGATATCTTGTTGCCACCGTCGTCCTCACAAATTGCGACGACTCCCCAGTAAAACCGGACTGCTAAGTGCCCGGGCTGTGTATTGCCGATTGTGACTTAGGACGACAGCAACCATCTCGTCCGCAGACTGGGGTCGTGCTGATGATCCGTCACCCATTCGAAGCCGTGAAGGAATCGTTGACATTGTCACGACTTGTGCCGCCGTGCGTGGAAGTCATAAAGCCTGGCTCTGCCAACCAAGTATCGCTGTTGAAGGCCCCGAGCTCCTCTTGCTAGCGTTTTGTGTCGGTGATGGTGCGGTCCAGTTGCTGGCTGGGCCCAGGGGTTGCTGCATATACCCCAGTTCTGCATTGGCCGCGTGCGATGCGGAGGTGCGCTGTGGAAACTGATTGCGGACGGAGGCGGCCCCGGGAAGGGTTGCAACGCCCCCAATAAGAAGAAGTGCCGATGAAGAAGATCGAATGGCACTCATGATGTGTGGTTTGGATACGATTGTATAAAGTGGAAGTTCTATCAAGTGGAGGAACCTTTGGCCCGGATTGCCTCTGGGTTGGAGCTGTCCAGACGGCCATACTTATACTGCTCTGCAGATTGTTGAGGTCGCAACTACACACTCACCACTCTCCCTCGAGCATTTCACAGGCGACCGTTCTTGGAAAGTGGCCACCCGGAGGCATTCCACGGACGGCACAGAGAGACCCTGCATGGAGAAACAGAGCCAATAATGGTCCACGCAGATGACCCCATCAAGCCATGCACCATATCGATGGGAATGGCGGGGGCAGAACATGTTGGCAAAAGCTGAGGTTTGGATATGATCAAGTCCAATGGGCATTGGGGAAGAATGCCGTCCTGGTTATTCCCCCACGGTGGTTCTCCATGTTGGCAATCAGATCGCGGCCAGTCGGGGAACGTTGATGTCTCTCCCGGTTTCTCAACGCTCAAGTTAACTGGCTGAATAGTGTTTCAGATAGCAGCACTGACTCTCGATTACCACCAGTTCTTCCCCCCCGCGTCGAGATGTTGAGACATTTATATTGCTGCTGCAAACCCAACCCCAACAACGCGGGCATGCGGACAAGAGACAGTGGGCGTCGTTTGTAAGTGGCCATGTTCTGCATCTTGAACTCAGAATCATGCGCACTGGATTCTTTGTGGTGATGATTCTGTCGTTATCGTCCAAAACTGACACCAGAGACTTTATTAAACACCGATCCGCAGATATTCTGGCGATCCCATAGCTGACCCGTTTCAGTTCTCTGTGTCGCTCACGAAGCAATGTATCTATCAAAAGTTCAAGGCAACCTTATCTTATCAGCATCCCGCCATCGCCCCACCGCCGTCTTTAGCGTTCCTTATTCTGGAGAGGGTGTGGTCAAGGCGACCATTGGGGGGGGGGGATAACCTGACCAATTACCCACTTATTTTGTGATTTGTGGGGCTACCCTGAGATCAGCTGACCATGGTCAGCTAGTTAGCTATGGTCAGGTTGAAATTCCTTAGCGCGGTTTGAAACCTTACCCTTGACATACTTTTTGTAAGAACATACGACATTTAAACGCTTCTAAATCCGTTCCGAATCGATTTACAATGGCTTTTTAATCGATTGAAAATCTCTTCCCTCGCCTAGAGGGAATAAGTCCTCTATTAGAACCTACTAGTCTTGATGTAGAAGCTGAAGAAGACTTAAATCTTTACTATCAACTACCAGCCCAGGCCCAGTCTGGCTTACTAGTAAATGAGGAGGTAGGGATATATGAGAACGACTTTGGAATTAGTTCTAAATCGATTCAGGATCAACTCGAAACCGATTCAGAAATACCTCCAACACTTGTTTCATCAGAGGCAACCCGTTCTGGGCATAATAGCCTCAGGGATGTTCATGTACTTGCTCAAAAAGTAATCTTTCTACCTACATTTATAGAATATCCAGAAACAAGTGAGAATGGAGTCCTTTATGTTATTGATATAAGGACTTTAAATGAGGAGGATATTAAATCGCCTTGGAGAATGGTAAACGAACTACTTTTGAATCGATCCGGGATCGATCCCGAACTACTTCAGAACTAATTACATCACAGATTTAGTACAACCATGCCCGGCAATTCCCACCAAAACGGACGACTTCAGCATTCCTTCAAAATGCTGTTTGTTTACGTTCAACTTACACTTGTACAGGTGGAAAGGCATGCTCTTATTTCGATCAGAATCTTCCATGCTGGAAGCATCAGAAAGTTACCCCAGAAATCTTGCAAAGTATTGAAGCATTACGAACAGAGGTACTACAGTATGATCTCAAACGGAAAGCAGTTTCGTAAGCATTCAGAATCGATTCCGAACGGGTTCGGAACCCTTTTAGAAATAATATACTAATACTTATAAATAGATGGGCATAAGCATAGATAAAACGTTTCCAACAACATACCGCCTGCCGACCGTTTACAGAAAGATGTAGTCTTGAAGTAGTTAATACAGAGTATGGGGTAAGAAGCCTTTCTGAATGGATTGGGAATCAATTTGGAACTGATTCGGAATCACTTTAGTATATTCCAGGAACTTCCCAGATTACAGCCCGCTGCATCTGCTGGTCACAAAGTCTCCAAGGAGAAAACCATTATATTGGCTTTCCTCCAATCGAATTCCAGCTATATTTACCTCTAATCAAAACTATACTTCAAGGGGGAAGTATAGAAGAAAGCTCCCCTACTGATAGCTGTTATCTTTTTGCTAGCAATAAGAGGAGAATTACACGATGCGGTAAGTAAATTAGTATCGAATCGATTCCAAATGGGTTCCCAACTGATTCTGAATCAATCTAGACGCTAATCATATCGTTCCTGAAACAATTCTTCAAATTACGTGTTCAGTAAAATGGAACTTCTGGGTCCCGCTTGATCTAGAAGCTACCCCAGTTATTCTTCTAACTTCTCATGGGGTCCATTTACATCCACCACCACCACCAGTTAGAGCCCCAGCTAGTATTATATCTAGGCTGCAACAGGTAGTCCAGAAGATCAATCAACCTAGAACGGGGTTAAGTGAGAATCCTTTTAGAATCGTTTCCGAACCGATTCAGAACTAATCCAGTATTGATTCTAGATGCATTCCTACAATCTCGCGAACTTCAGGAATTCTGTGATACTTATAATAGCCAGACTATTACAAGCGTTCATCAAAGTCTAGCAAATACAGACTTCTTACGCTCAATTATCCGTAAACAAAAAGCAATTAGCTTTCCAGCAGGCTGTTCACGTCTAGCGATTTGGTATGAATACCAGTATGCTCAAACTAGGCGTCAAATTCGGGTATGAAGTGATTCTGAATCGGTTCTGAGCGGGTTCAATACTAATTTACTTATAGTATATTCAGTACTTTAATGATGACGGCAATACATACCTATGTATTGTATTTCATGCAGAGCAAGCTGAATTATGGAAGAAAGAGGCTTTTAATACTTTCCAGGTAGATACAAACTATAAACATCTAGCTGGAAAGGAGGAAGTTGAGGTTATTTGGGGATGGTATAATTCGATATCTTCGAAAGGTGCGTAATCGCTTCTAAATCGATTTAGAACGGATTCTTAACAGATTCCTAACTATTTTAGCAATTCCACTTATCCGAGTTTTTACCAATTCTGAAAGTACAGAAATGTATCAGCAGATGTATACAATTGTGTTTAAACTACTTTATAAGAAATTTGGATATAAAGTCAAGTGGAAACACCTTCATGGTAGGGGTCTACTAGGTATTACAGTTGATCAAGACCATAAAAACCTTATTGGTATGGGTTCTTAATAGTTTCTAAACCGATTTAGAACCGATTTATAACTAATTATCTAGGGTTTAGGAAATATCTATCTCTAGAATGTAACCTAGAGCATAGACCATGGGCATGGCAGGTTGAACGCTCTGTACGCTTCTGTTTAATTTATTTCTAACGAGGGATTGAGGCATACTGTATAGAAGACCGTAGCCTTGACTCTCTATGGAATTAAATGCGTAGCCTACTATTCTGCCGTTCCTTAGAAGACTACTTTGCTTTATGTTAGGCATTTGAGAGTAAGGATTAATTCTATATCGCTTCCGAATCGCTTTAGAATTACTTAGGAACTAATTTACTTAGCTGAACCTCAAATAAAAGCATGGGCTCAACATAAAGCCCGAAAAACAATTGCAGCTGGACTTAATCAGAACTGCTCTAAAATCCCCTTATCAGATTGGAGTCAATTCATACCTAATACAAATACTGTTGAGGTTTTACATGAAGCCTCATATACTTGGAGTAATCGGTATTTACCATTACTTACATGTATCCAGAAGTAAGTTTGGAATCCCTTCTGAATTGATTCGGAATTGGTTTGGAATGCGTTGAGAACTAATTCAAAAGTACTTAGATGTGCAGAATACGATCGCCATCTTTTAGAGCAGGATACAGTGTTTACAACACTAGGAATCCGGCTTTCCTGGAAAGATGTTTCTATTATTAGCCGTTATAATACAGCTGCAAGCCGTTTACGTAAGTTAAAAATACTTTAATATTTATTAATAATTATTTCTAAATTATTTTAGAACTTAAACGCCAACGCCAGAGGGAATCCCGTGAGCAACTAGATAATGAACGTGTTGAAAGGCTTTTATCAACCCGACTCTTTACGTCTAGTCCCTCAAGGGGTACTAATTCAAGAAGTCCATCCTCAATTCCGAATCGATCCCGAAGTCTTTTAGAAGCGATTCGGAATCGATCCCCTCGTCTTTCCCATGCTTCATCTTCTGGGGTTATTAGGTCAAATACTCTCCAAAGAACATCTATTTCTAACTTAAGAAACGAAATCAGACAGGGATAATAAGATAACTTTGACTTATAGAAGCAAAGTCTAGAATTAGAAGAAAAGCGATTAGAATTAGAAGTAAGAAAACTTCTAGTTGAAAAACAGAAGCTTAAACTATAAGAAAAGGAACTAGTGTCGAATTGAGGGTTCAGAACGATGTATATTCCGTTATGTGTGTAACTGTCTAAGGGCCCTTCAGGGGCGCGTAGGGAAGGGGGTATGCCACCCCCTGACCCGGGGCTCGGCGCTCGGAAATAGTGTTCTGCCGAGCGTTGCCGAAGCCTCGCGTAGCGCGCTCAATCTGACACACCCCCTCAGGGGAGCGCCGAATCGGGGCTTCCCTGCCCTCGAGTCGCCCTCTCCCCCTCGTATTTAGATTACACTGCGTTCAGAGCTCTTCTTTCGCTCATCCCTCGGCTGGTAGGCTTTCTACTGCGCTGTCTCCTCTCCTTCTGCTAAGAGGACGTTTTATACGTACAACTCGCGTACCACAGCAAGTCACGAGCTTCCCGTGGCACTCGGAGCGCGCTTCTCGTGGTCTTCGACCGCCCAGACGTCTTCCTGCGCGGCTCTCTTGGCCCACGCTTCTTCGTCTTCTTCTAATTCGCGTCTCCGATTCCGCTTCAGGAGCTCTGCCTGTTCGCTCATACGGACCTGCTTCCGGAACTCGCGGAACTATAGGAGCGCGAGACTCTTCGTCAGACCGTCTGCCATAAGCTCTGACGACGGTGTGTATGCCACGGATACGCGCTTCGCTACGACCTCTTGTCGTAGCCAGTGGTTGTGAATATCCACGTGCCGTAAGCGCGTCTGAAGGGTCACTAGATCCGTTGTCACCAGTCGAACGGTCTGTAAGTTGTCGCATTGGATCTGAATCGTGGGTACGCTGCGCTTTTCTGCGGGAAACGTCGCTTCCGGCGCTTCTTCTGTTGGAAGGTGTACGTTTAGCGCGGAGATCAGGCGGCTTGCAAATAGCGCTTCCTTTGCTGCTTGCGAGAGGGATAGCAGCTCAGCTTCCGTCGTAGATGTGGTGACCGTGGCCTGTTTGTTAGCGCGCCACGCAACGAGCCCGCCGAATAGCTTCATAGCGAGCGCCTGAGAGCTCTTCCGATCCAGGGAGTTGTCTGCGAAGCTGGCATCTGACGCCACGATAAGCGTGTCTTCCTCGCTGCCGGGTTCGCAGCCGTATTCGAGGCAGAGGTAGCGGGTGGAATAGAGGTAGGCGAGCGCTCTGTCCGCTGCGCGTTGGTGTTTCGGCCCGGGATTCTGGTTGAAGCGCGCGAGACGGCTTGCCGCGAACGCGACGTCGGGTCTCGTCATTATTGCGGCGTATAGGAGAGTCCCGACCTTCTTCTGGTACTGGTTGACTTCCCACGCGCTGGCCTCTCCTTCGTAGGGTAGAAGCTCCTCCAGGACCATAGGAGTGTACGAGCGCGCTTCAGAACCGTCTTCTAACGCGTTAGCTGTGGGTGGAAGCAGCCGCCTCACCTTCTCGGCGTAAACTGCCTGCGAGAGCCATAATCGGCGTGTGGCTCGGTCTCGTATGACCTCGATTCCTAAAAACCACTGGAGGTCTCCGCCTCCTTCGAAGTGGTAGCGCTTCTGTAGCTCAGAGACCTCCCGCAGCGCTGCCTCCTTGCGCGCGCGGGGAAACGCCAGTACGCAGTCGTCCACGTAGAAGAAGAACATGACTTCGCCTTTTTGCCAGCAGCAATTCTCGCCTGCCACGCGTTCGAATCCACGTTCTACGAGTCCCTTTTCTAAGTGGCGTTGCCACAGGAGAGGGGAACGTCGTAGGCCGTATAGCGCCTTTCTCAATCGCAGGATTCTTCCTGGAACGCGGTAGCCCGGCGGAAGCTCCATATAGACGGTCTCGTCTAGATCCGCGTGGACGAAGGCGTTTACCGCATCGTATTGTAGTAATTCTAGGTCAAAGCGCGCGGCAACGGCCATCAGAACTCGGAACGACATACCTGCGAGCGTCGCGGCGTACGTCTCCCGCGCGTCTCTTGCTTGCTGGTCTCCTCGAATAACCAGGCGTGCCTTGAATTTGGCTAATCGCCCGTGCTTATCAAGCTTGTAAGTGTATACCCAGTGGCATCCGAGGACCTGGTAGCCGCGCGAGGCGCTTCTTGCGACCTCTTCCCACGAGCGGGACTCCTTGTGCCCGTCTAGGTGGCTTCTTTCAGCGCGCAGGAACTCCTCCCGGAAAGGGTAACGTTGCAACTGATCGTGAGACGTTGGCAAAGGGGCCAGATCCCTCCAGTAGGCGCCTTTCTTTCGGCCTTGCGCTTCCACGCGGGAGCGGAGCTCGGTCGGCGCCAACGCAGTCACCACATCCCGGTTACCGCGCGCTCTGAGATCCTTCGTCTCTTCTGCAAGCGTCTGGCTCCGGTCTCTGTAGGAGCTGGGCTCACTTGTCTCAAACGCTTCTACCACGGAGCAACCTTCCTGGGATTCACTTGCCTCTTGCTGACCTGTAACTTGGTCTTCCAAAGGGCCTTCATCCGCGCCGTCATTCCCGGATTTCACGGTGAAGGTTGCCTCGGAAACCCTCTCAGGGGCGCGCGGCTAGCCAGGCACAACGCGATCCCTTCGTGGGCCGTCTTGACGTCTAGGGTTTTGTTTATAAAGCGTCGTTCCAGCTAGAAAAGCAGCTTTGTACGACGTCCGTAGTGTGACCTTCTTATAGATGGGCTTCGTAGCGGGGATATCCCGCGTATGCTCTTCTCCCCACCCCCTCACGTCGAGCTCGGTAAGCACCGCGAGAAAGGATGTAGGAGGCGACGCCTCCGGCGTCGGAAAGGGCTCAAACCGCGCTCCCGTGTATTGCCCTTCCACTTGCTTAGGCGCGTCCGCTTCAGCGTTATGGTGCCCGAGCGCTTCTGCTGCTTCCAGGGCAGGCTCACCGGGATCGGCGTGCTCTGAGACTTCTTCTGCTTCTTCGTTAGCGCTTTGTATATAGTTTTCTGAGCCTGTGGTCTGTCTGATCAGCTCCTCTATGCGCTGCTGAATCGCCTGCAGGTCGAGGTAGTTGATTTCTTCCACTAGGGACCTGACGTTGCCGTCGAAGTGGCATTTCTCGTTAAACACCATATCGCGCGTGGTAAATACTTCACTACGCAGGGGATTCCATATCCGGAACGAGTTGCTTGATGTGTAGCCGACTATGTAGCCTATCCAGGCACGCGGAGCGAGTTTCTGGCGCCTGTTGCGCTTTCCTGACAGTGTGGTGAACCACGAGGGGTCGTTGAATACATGGATCGTTGATCCAGAGTCCAGGATCGCCGATCTGAAGAGCTCGTATGTCTCCGGAGCGGTGTGGAAGGCACTCGGGACGGTCCCCTTGCTTCGGCCATATAGTCAGTGTTCTTCTTTCGCTGGTTCTCTCACCTTCCTGACACGGTTTGCGAGCGTTTCGTCTTTTCTCATCCGCTCGTCGAGGTTCGCGAGAAGCTCTCTACTCGGCTCGTACCACTCAGGGCGCTCCCGTTCGTTGACGAGCCAGCACTTCGAGAGCGGGTGAGGTTTCAGGCACGCAGGGCACAGCCGGTTGCCCTCGCTCTCCCCATCGCTTCTCTTCCGCGACCGGTCTCTGCAAGCTCCTCCTCTGGAGCGCGTGTTTCCTCGAGATCTCCGGCTGCTTCTCATTGGTACCGTTAGGCGCGCGGGGGAAGTTCGTTCCCCTTCCTCTTCGTTTCTTGAAGTGGCTTCTGTGGTAGGACCAAACGCTCCGCGTCCGGCCTGCTTCTTCGGGTTGTGTTGAGAGGTTGTTTGTAGGAACCGCCGCGCGTCTGACAGGACTTCTCCAACGCTCAGTTTCTCGCTTTCGACGCGTTCGTCCTTGACGGTCTGGTATGAGAAGATCCATGTATCGGCGTAGCTGTGGCTCACGGCGTAGGTGAATTCCGGGAACCATATACTGGGGAGCTCGGTACCCGGGACGCCCGCCGCTGCTGCTTCGTGGATTGATTCTTCCCACTTCGTAAGCCACTCTTCCAGCTCTTTCTTCGTTGCGAGTCGCTTCCGCTCCGGTATCTGGAGCGCTTTCTTATATGCTTCGCTCGCGGCGGTGCGTCTCTCACGAGTGGTTATCCCTACGCGTTCCTTCAACGCGTAGACCCAGCGGTCCAGTGCGCGGTCCGCGGTACAGCAGCTCTTGAGGAGAGAGGTGCTGACTGTATCTCGGACCCAGTCTTCGAGCACGCGAATCCCTTTCAGGAACGCTTCATGGGTCTTGGAGCGCTCTATATATTCAGACCGACGTTCCTTATACAGGGCGAGATTGGCTGCCGAGAGCTCCTCCAGCGCTTGTGCGCGCGTTTCGTAGTCGGCGTCTTCGTTTAGCACTTCGGCTTTGCCGGTCTTGGGGTGATCGTATATTTCGGGGCGCTTCAGCCGCTCCATCCGCCGCTCGAGACGCGTTTGTCCCGTGTTTAAGGCGCCTGGGCGCTGGGGATCGATATATCGCCAGAGGTCGTAGGACTTGGCCTTCGACTGCAGCTGGTCGATCCATAGGATCCAGTCGGCAGGGGTATTCAGGGTGATTTTCGCGCTTGAGGAGGACATTTCGACGATAGGGGTTCAATTGGGCGCGTAGAAAGGGCTTTCGTATACGTAGAATAGATGGCTAGCGGCGTTTAACGTAAACGCAGCACGTATCAGACTGTTAATTGTCGAATTGAGGGTTCAGAACGATGTATATTCCGTTATGTGTGTAACTGTCTAAGGGCCCTTCAGGGGCGCGTAGGGAAGGGGGTATGCCACCCCCTGACCCGGGGCTCGGCGCTCGGAAATAGTGTTCTGCCGAGCGTTGCCGAAGCCTCGCGTAGCGCGCTCAATCTGACAACTAGAGTTAGCAAAGCGGCGGAGAAGGTTAGGACTTTGATAGCATATAGGATAGGTAGAGAATCGATTCTAAATTATTTCTATATTGATTTAGAAATGCTTTTTTAAAAAAAAAGCTTAAAAACCGAACGCCTCGGGTATTTATAAAGAATTAATTCTAAAGCGGTTCTAAATCAGTCCCGAAAGAAGTCCTAAACTAGTTCCAAACCGATCCTGAATTGATTCAGGCCTTATCTTCTTCATTATCCTTAAAGCAGGCCTAGACCTTACATTCCTGATCGCGAAGGGCGGGAGGACATTCTGAATCGATTCGTAATTAGTTCTGAACTGCTTCAAGACTGATTCTAAACTTACTAGCATTGCAGGCAATGGTGCAGTAGGTGTACTTGCCCTTGGCAGGGAAGCCGGCGGCGCGACGTATTTTAGCGAAGTTGATCTGTTGCAGATTCGATTCAGAATGGGTTCTAAAAGGATTCCGGATCGATTGAGAATTACTTACTATAGTTTGGTTGCCCCGCTTGCGCGTAGGCACGGCAAGAAGGGGGGGAGGGGTCTGCGCCTTCCGTTTCTTAGAAAGAGTCTGCAGCTTGCTGTCATCGCGAGCGCCGATAGCGATGCCGTAGATACGGTCGTAGAATTCTATTCATAATCAGTTTAGAACTAGTTTAGAATCGGTATAGGATCAGTTCAGAATTACTTACTAGCTGTATTATCGTTCTCCTCGACGGAGTTCGCGCCGGACTTGCGGCTCTTAACCTTGGCCGGGACCCTGTCGAGCTTGTGCTTCTTGATGTGGTTCTTGAGGTTCGACTCGCTCGAGAACCGCTGTCTAATCGATTCGAAATTAGTTCTGAACTGATCCGGAACTGATTCTGAATTACCTTGGTGTACGTGATGCTGCTGGATCTACTACCCTAGCGGTAGTAGAGTTCGCCAGGGGCGAGCTTGACTTCGCTAGCCTGAATCGATTCAGAACTGTTTCTGAATCGTTGTGGAATCGCTTCTGAATTACTTACCTCGTTAAACTCGAAGGGAGGAAGATCCTCTATGCGGTGGTTCTTGCCGCCCTGGAGAAGACCTTCTTTGTAGGTCTTGTAATCGTCTTGATTCTGAATCAGTTCTGAATCGATCCTAAACCGATTCTATTGTACTTACAGAATCCTTGTATGAAGGTATGATGTCGGATTTCTGAACTGATTCGGAAGTAATTAGGAATCGGTGCGCTAGGGGGGGGGGGGGGGGCGTATACGATTTGAAAGGGTTACGGAGGGAAAAGGAAGAGAATCAGAATGGAATAGGGATTTAAATATTAATATGGGGTATGCACCCTAATCAGTAGTGGGACGCAATCAGTAACTGGTCCGTGCACCTGACCGATTAAAAATTCCATGGTCAGGTGGACCCACTTCACCTCAATACAGCCAATCATAAAATTGGTCAGATAGACCCATAATTCATTTAAATAAGTGGGTAATTGGTCAGGTTATCCCCCCCCCCCAATGGTCGCCTTGACCACACCCTCATTCTGGAGCCTCACTCCTCCGCATGGACTCTCTGCCCCCCCGACCTCCCTCCCGCTCCCTTCAAGGCGTTCCGAGTTCCGATTTCCATGCCCCGAGCTTGACTCCCGGGGAGAACCCCAGCTCACGGAACGAATTACAAATGACCAATTTGACAATGCAGAAGCATTCAATTGGCTCTCCGAACTGCGTTATTGAATGTTCGCAAGTCGGAACGAGTTCTGGACGGTATTTGGGGCCAGAAATCTACCAAAGCCGACCCCCCAACCTTGGCCCGCCAGGTCAATTGCATCATGGACAAGGCCCCCTCCACGAACCCTGCGCTGACATTTCCTTACCCCTCCATGCATTAGCCCCTCCAATGTTTCCCCCTCTCGGCACCGACTCCACCATCCGAAAGCTAGGTAGGTCGGCAGCCGCTCAGCTAAGGTAAAGCAAGCATCAGTAAGGGCCACCAGGGTGAGAACTGATTTACCCCTTCAGCGCGCTCCTTGCGACGGCCGTGAAGGAAGTGGGTTTTCCTGCGTCCCGCATCGCAGAATTGACTCGCGCCCCTCCCGTTTCGCCGGACCCTGCGATATATGATATATATTTAACCCACCGCCCATCCGCGCACAAACAATGCCCAGCAACAACCGTAGCCGTAACCTCCTCCGTCTCCTCTCCACGATACCCTCTCGCGCTCCTCCTTCTCATCCTTCTCCTGCTCGTTTCTTCTTTCCAAACTCCCCATTGAAAACGTTCAATACCCGCCGCACATATTCCAAAATGGCCCAACAAAACACAAACTTCGCAGGCGGCGCCTCCGCCCAGCACAACCCCCACCCAGACTTCAAATCCGTCGAGGCCAGCCGCCCGCCCTTCGACACCTCGCTCAACGTGAACTGGACGAAAACGGTCGACCCGGAGTGGAAATACGGCTCCGGCGCCAACGCCCTGGGCAAGTCCTCGGCATCCCACGTCGCCATCGACCCCCACGAGGAGGGCCGCCCCGCGGGCTTCAACTACAAGCTCCTGATCAGCGGCATCGTGCCCCGCCCCATCGCCTTCGTGTCCACGCGGTCCGCCGACGGCACCGTCACGAACCTGGCGCCCTTCAGCTACTTCAACATGGTCAACCACGACCCGCCCCTGTTCGTCGTCGGCTTCGCCGCCAGCGTCGAGAAGCCCAAGGACTCCCTCAAGAACCTGCTCGAGAGCAAGGAGTGCGTCATCAACATCATCTCCGAGGGCTTCCTCGAGGCCGCCAACGCCACCAGCGTCAACGCTCCCTACGGCAAGAGCGAGTGGGACGTCAGCGGTCTGACCCCCGTGTACGACTGCAAGCACGTCAAGGCGGCGAGAGTCAAGGAGGCCATCTTCAGCGTCGAGGGAACCCTCGACTCCTTCAAGGAGTACGACTCAAAAGCCACCCCCGGCAAGAAGAGCGGTGTTGTCTGCATCATTGAGGGAAGGAATTTCTGGGTGAGGGAGGATGCCATCAATGAGCAGAAGAACATTGTTGATCCTGCAGTAAGTCTTTCTTTATTTTCTTTTCTTCCTCTTCCCCCCTTTTTTTTTGGGTGGTTATTATCAAAACGTTGGCTGGGATGAGACATCATCTGACTTTCTCTTTTCCCCGCGATATAGGTCCTTCGTCCCATTAGCAGACTAGGCGGCATCACATATGGCCGCGTCACAGAGGTCCTCGAGATCCCGAGGGCAGACTGGGAGGCCAACATTGGCGGCGAGGAGGGGTACGAGAAGATCAAGAAATCGGAGCAGTAGAGCCTCTCGTGCGGCGGTTTTTGTGGTTATTGTAATACAGAATGGGGGGGACACACATAGACGGACACTTAGAGCCGGGCATGTATAAATCAGAGAATGACGGCTTCGACACAAAACACATTGCGGCGGCCCGTGATCGGGCGTCCGACGGATATATAGAATGCCTAGAATAGGCGCACAGGGACAAAAAAATAAAAAAATAAATACACAAGAGACACACGGTATATGCCCATGCCTTTTCGCCTCCCATTCCCCGCCCCCTTTGGACCAAACTCCAGAGCACCTCCCCAACCTGGTATCCGACCGGTTTCGTGAGATTCCTCATGCAAGTCATACTCCTTCAGGTCTAAGTCATCAGGAGAAAAATACAAAAATCACAAAGAAAAATGTAGGGGTAAAACCAAAAAGATGAAAGGAAAAAAGCCAGGTTCTCAGCCTGTCTTTTCCATTACAGATACAGACTTTGCCCCGGCTGCGAAATGATGAATTCGCAACCCAACTGGGCCTCCTCTTCGTATGCCTCCAGCTCCTGCTGAATCACGTCGCCAACTTCTCCTCCATCCAGGCGCTCCTTGACATGGATGATGACGATCTTGACGCCTTTCAGAGGGGGCCCCCGGGGGTGCCCGTCCTCGGACTCGCTCATCGCGGCCTCGGCTTCTCTAAGCGATAGCTCCTGTGTCGGGGTAGTGAGATGTGGGCTCTCTATCGACGTCGCGGCAGGCGGGAGCGGCGGGACGGGGGCAATGTCGGCCGACATCGCGCGCTTGGCAATGGACTTGGGGCTGACGGGGGACTCGTCTCCTCCCGCCAGGCGCGAGAAGGCGCCACCTGTTCTCCGCCTAGGTGTGTGATCGGCGTCGGCGACGCGCTTGCGCTTGCGGGAGAGGTGAGCTACCTGCCGTGCGACCTCAACTTCTTGGGCCAGAGTTCGCAGTTCCTCCATCACAAAGCAGGGCTTGAGGTGGCCAAAGAGGCGGTCGACGGACTGCGAGTCATCGTAGGAACACTCGATGAAGATGGCGGCCAACTGGCCTGCTGCAATTTTGGGTGCAGCTTCCTGCCATATTAGGAGGTTACGAGGGGAGAGTGAGAGAGAGTCGGGTTCGACGTCACCGAAGACGAGGATCTCATGATTTGTGGCCAAATCGAGGATGAAGTAGGCCGAGGAATCATAGACGCATACGCTTGCTTGGGGTTCAGGTGCAACAGAGGGTGCGCGAGGGATCGGGGGAGCTGTACTGGGAGGGATGCCATGAGGGAGTATGCGCGGGGATGCGACGGAGGCGGCATCGACGGAGGGATAACGAAGGGGTGTCGCTGTTGATGATGTTGAGCCGCGGTGAGGGTGTCGCTCGATGCAATGACCGTGCGAAACGGACCATGCCTTTACTGCTAGACGGTCGGCTACTTCGAGGTAGCCCTTGGCTTCGCCGTCGCCGATGGCTGGAGACCCGCCCTCAACTAGACGAGTATATGTTACGAGACCTGCTCCGTTGTTCTCATCGGACAGGTTGGGCCATATGACATTGTTAAAGATGTGAGTTTTGAAAGCGGCAATGGTGGAAGGAAGGGCGGCCAAGCGCTTAGGGCGGGTTAATCCTGCTGTGTTAACCACGAAGCCGGCGATGTGATCCAGATGAGGGTGCGTGATGAGATATGTGTCAATGAGAGATCGTGTGATGTGCGCGGCGATAGATGATGGATAAATAGATGTCGTTTCGTGGGTGAGTTCTAATCCGGCGAATGGCCCGGTGGCCAGAGTGTGGGGAAGGGCGATGTCAGTGCCGAGACCTGGGGGAATCGTCCGCTCGAGTATGCGCGTTATTGCGGAGAGGTGGACTCCAGCATCGACAGCGATAGTTGACCCTTTGGTCCATCCGGAGGCGACTGAGCGGACAAGAAGGGCGGTTGTGTTAGATTCCTGAGGACCACCACCGGCACCCTATTAATAGTTAGTAGTGGCCCGGCGGAAACAAGCTCGGTGATGGGGATTCAGGAAAAGACGCTGGTTGCACGCAACCCATCACAACGGCGCATCTGGTCAACCCTGCGCAGACCGCTGCGCTTCATTACAGAATTTGCCGCGACCTTTCTAATAATGCGGATTGCACTTGCAGAAGATCCAGGGCAACATATACCTGCAAAGTGAATTGCCTATTTGGTGTGATTGGCAGTCCCGATAAAGACGTCTGCATGAGCCGCCGAGGATGCGCCAGCTAACTGGGTCGGACTGATCTTAAAGTGGCTGCTCTGCCTGATGAGGTAACTACCTCACATATTCCGGCGATCCGTAGAATAAAAGCAGCCCGGAAAACAAACAGAGCTTTCGAGACAAGGTGTAACTGTGAAAGCGAGAACCATCCTTGCCATAAGAACAGCAAGGGCGACGGCAATAAGAACGATAAAGCAACAGAAACATGGTAGGAATAAGATGGACGAACAGGAAGACAAAATGAGATGGACGTACCAGGATGATGACCTGCAAAGCCGGCCTACGAGCCTTCTCTGGCTCGCCATTCGTGCCCTCCATGGCAGGGGGTATCTTCAGATCGCGGCGCAAGGCAGATGAGCCCTATGCGATGCGCGTGGGAAAGATAAGATATCTGCCAGTGGTTCGAGTGCAGCCAATGCCGCCTTTGAAAGCCACCACCCCCAGCGACACAAGATTGTCGCAATGAGGTAATGCGGCGGGTGGCAGGCGAGACGGCACGGCACGGCAGATGCTATTGGCGTGCGACCACGTTTCGAGTGCGGGCGCGTTGGGTTCCGTAAGGCGCAAGTTGGCGGGTGTGAGATTGATGGTCGCAGGGACCAGCAGATTTGGAATCCAGAATCCGGCCCCCCCAACTCTGCAGTCAAAAAGCGTTCAGAATGAGGATACAAGCATGAGCGAGGTTGAATGAGCGTCGTCAGTGGGTGAGCGAGGGAGTGGTCGTTGATACCGAGGCAATTGGGCGGAGCTATCCAGACGCAAAGTGAAGGCGAGGAAACGCAAAAGTAAGATGGATGGCCTTTGGATTGACTGGTGTGTGCCCCCAAGAATAACCAGTGTATCCTTAAAGGGAAGCGTACGACTAGACAGGGCGGAATGGACGTAAGAAGGACACCGTTTCGAAGTAGTCGAATCGAAACAGGGCTAGGGCGCAAGCCTGATGTTTGCGCCGACTTGTCCCTTTTTGATATTTTTTTTCTTCTCGTCTCAATCCTTCCTTGGAAGTTGGCGACAACTACCAGAGCCCACCTCTTGGGAAAATGGTGATTGGAGACTGGAGATGTACGTAGTAGATGAGATGGCCGGCTTCCCCGATGCGCCCGACGTCGTGGACCTGCGAGGTGGGTAAGGCAGGGAGGTGTGCAGCCGGTGGTCGGTACAGGTAAATGCAGGAGGAGACAGGGAACGGAGTACCCTCGTAAGGTGTTAATTGGACTAGGTGGAGGGTCTTTGGTGGTGTCCAAGTCCGGCGAGCAGTTTTTGAATGGCTTTGTTTCTTGTATGGGAGGGGGCCCGGGGCCTAGCAAAGCGAAAGGGAAAGCCCAAGCAGCGCACCGTCTCGGTCAGATGCAGTGACAATGAAGCCGGGTAACTGTATGTTTGTAAGAAGTTGGCGTGTGCAGTACAAGTGCTGTGCTTTACTGGTGAGGTAGGTGCAGGTACCGGTATTTGGTGCTGATGTTGGCGTTGGTGTCGGTGTCAGTGTTGTTGGTGGTAGTATTTTGTCTGAGCTGCTGCTGCTGCTGCTGGTGTTGCGGGGTAATTTTTGACGAGGTTCTGGGAGTACGTATGGCACCAAGATGTACCGATTCAGTGGTTGTTTGGTGGAGAGGTACCAACCGTTGCAGGTGTCAAACCCTGTACTGCAGGTTGAGGTGCAGCTACGGCAATGGATGGGGCTAGCTAAGTATGGTAGGGGTAGGTGCTCAGCTGGCTCGTGCTGAGCTCTCCAGGTCCTTTCCCCAACCTACAAATCTAAGTGAGCTGCAGGTGCGCTTGTCGTGTGCTCCTGCAGTGGTCGCCGCTGTGTCCGTGTTGCCCTTGCTGCCCTTGCCTTTTTTTTTTTTTGTCAGTTAATACTAGGCGGAATATTGCCAAGCCTACGTAGCTAGGCAAGCAAGTTAAGAAGGTAGGGGTATCCGTACTATAGGCAAGAGGTAACTCTTTCTCTCTCTGACTCTGTCTCTGTCCCTGTCTCTCCTTCTGTCTCCTGCCTCCCCTCCTAGTAAACGTTGCGTGACTTTCCAACTGGAACCCCGAAGAAAGAGCGGGAAAAAAAAGGGCAAGAAGCAAAGAAGAAGTAAGAATTAGTCAAGGTTCCGGTTGCCGTTTCCCGAATCTATCGGATCGAAGACCGCACTGTTCATCTCCTGCCTTTCCGCCCTTTGCTTTTTATTTTCTTTCTTTATTTTCTTTCTAACTCCCTCTTCCAACTGAGTGTTCTATTGACAGGCGCTTCCGATGTCGATGTAGCCGTAGGCGTAGGGAGGGGTATCGTAGTTGGCGAACTTGCCACCTTGTAATAGCTCGTCACGAATCTCTTGTCGCATCAATTTTCGCTTCCCGTAAATCCTGACACCGTCTCTTGTTCATGAATCTCAAACTCAATTGCTGTATGAATTGCGCAGAGTTGAGGCGAGTTTTTTTAGCTCTGTTCGCCAATGATCGCTCAAGTTTCCCAGTCGTCAACAGAATTATGATCCCTGAGTTCTCTTGGGGATCTCCCGGTTACAGCTACAGAGTAGACTTCGAGCCAGTGTTCCAGCTCTTTGCCATCTGATAACTGATCGCCAATAGCTCGCCGGGGTGGGCGGGCTTCGAAGCCGGGAAATCAATCTCAACCTTGGGACGAAGTAAATCACCACCTCAAGGCAGCGTCACCCCTTCCTCGTCGAGTCTCGTGAACCTCTCAACACCTATTGTCTGTCTTTCGCGTATTCGGAGGTTGAAGTGATGGGCCCAGTCACACTTTGAGCCTGCAGCGAACCGTCAAAGTCTGAAAAGAAAGAACAGCCAAAACGAAAGGCTCCAAGTCAGGCGAAAGTGTCTTTCGGCTAAACCTTGAGTCAAGATGGCCTCATCGGCTTTTCGAGAACACAAATGTCCCAAATCCTTCGTATCAATTGCAGCCCGACAAGGACCACGTCTTCATATTTGTACCTCGGCAGCAAATGTACATTGGGTATCCCATCGTGTCAGTTTCCAACCAATCACCATTATTACTACGTGCATCGCTCTTCTTCAGTTGCCTCGTTTCATTCAGTCTCTCATTCTCAGCGTTGTCCCCGACCCCCGACGCCACTTTGCGCCCGTCTCATTCTATCCCAGTTCAGCCCTGCAACCACAGGGCTCAAAACGCCATCGGCCGTTCGACTACAGCTACATACGGATACTGCTACATCAAGTCTGATTGATTGGTCACCCCTCGACGACAAGACCATGGACAAGCCGCCTTCAGCGGCGGGCATTAGTTCTTACTTGCCCTTCACACTCCATCCACCACTAGCGTCCCTTGCCAGCCTTCGGCCTCGCCGCTGCAGTTGTGTGCTAACGATTCCCACTCAGCAAAACTGCAACTCGTTTGTGGATTCGCCAATCCGCTTTCACCTTTTGGGTGCCTGTCCTGGTTTGTCTCTGTTGAGCCTCTGCCCGCCCACAAACCGTGCTATTAAGTTCCCCTCGATATTGTTCACGCTATCCATGTCACCGCCTCCAGTTATCCCCAGCCGACCCTGCAGATGTTCCAATTTGCACCTCTAGCGTGCCATGAGGCTGTTCCAAACAGAGCTCTCTTATTTTGATGCCCCGCTATCATGGGCGCCACGGCCCACTGCCCCCTGTCCAATATCTGGTGCTTCTCCAGCCGCCTCCTGCAGCCGCTGGGGGACGGTAGTCCAAGCTTCCCCCATCTCCCTCTCAATCCAAGATCGAATCGACGCCCTTAGCGTGGGCGCGTGCTCTGCACCGATGTCTTGTGTCCGACTGTTTGGGACCGGCGTCGGACAGTGCGTTTTGCGGCTGCCCCGGCCCAACAGCCTTCAACCCTTGGCTTGAGCGTGGATAGTGAGTCAAGTCTCACAGCTGCGACGAGAGGAATCGTCGATGTGCATCCCTTGGCGGGACTTTTGGGTATCCATTGATAGAAGACCCCTTCTGCTTTTGTTTACTCTTATCATTTTTTTGTCTACTTGGTTTCATGCCTTGGTGACCATTACCTTATTCCACCATTCATCGAATACAACCGAGTCCTTATTGAGAGAAGATACTGGGCATTCCAACCCTCAAAGATATGAGAGGAAAGAGAGAGAAACAAAAAGCTCGCTCTTGATACAAAATAACCGGGGAAAACCTCTCTGCTTTAAAGATAAGGATGAGCCTATCCCCATACCAGTTCCAAGAAGGCAAACAAAGACAATACCATGGAAACTCCGTGCTATCTTTGGTCTTCAAGGCCGAACGCCAGCTCACATGGGTCTTCATATCGAACGGCACAGACGCCGCTGACGCTTGTAGTCACTCTCGAATTCGCACTTGTCCGCCATGCAGCGCTGACGCTTGTTGCCGGAAATCTCCGCCAGCTCGCAGCTACTCCCCTCATCAGTAGCATCGCCACTCCAGTGGCGTTTGGTCTTGCAGGGTGAGCGTCTCCCCATGTTCTCGTTGTCGATGACGCCCTTGCCTCCCTCTCTTGTTGCTGTGGTCTCTACATCTCGACGAGGCCACCCGCTCACTTGGGTCTGTGCAATGTCGTCCTCGTCGTCAAGGAAGCCCTCGCAGTCGCCCAGTCGCGCAAGTGCCCTCGACCCAATATCCCTTTGTGCCCTGGTCTGCTTCTTCCTCGCGTTCACCATTCTGCTGTACCAACCAAGATCGCCCTTGTGCTGGTCGATGGAGATGCCCCCTCGGTTGTTTCGCATGGTCTGTCGTACCACGGTCTCGAGGGCTAGGTGTCTAGTGGTGAGTATGTACCACAGCTTCTGCTCGCGTTGCACGATGCGGTTCTCGGTGGGGAGGCCAAGCGTCTTATTCGTCTCCGAGAGGGCGCGCCACGCCTCGTAAGACTTGTGCTGCTCGGCGCGCCAGTCCTCATACTCCACGACCAGTTCGTCGTGGTCCCGCGTCATGGCCATCGGGTTCCGCTCCTCCTTCTCAAAGTGCCGCGTGTCGGGTCTGAGATCGAAGGCCTGGGATATCTCGTAGAGGTCGAAGCACCGGTCCAGACACCACAGGTGCATGTACCCCGCGTTGTGGAACGGGTTGTGCTGTTTCCCGGAGGTTGCGGGCCGCTCGTCGAAACAGACCCGCCAGAACCCCTTGAGGATCGTCCCGTTCTGCGCCGGGCAGCCGTCCCACCGACACTTGAGGGTCCTCCCATCCGTCACACGTTTTACGCACCCGTGGGGCAGGTTCTGGATCCAGAGGGTAAGCGGGAGGGAAAGGCGTTTGCGCTCGGTGAGGTAATATAGGATCTCGTCGCGGGAAAAGCGCTGACAGGGGAGCCACTCGCCGTGGGCGTTGTATTGGAAGATGGGGTTGTTGACGGGGTCCGGGCCGCCCCAGGGCGAGGGGGCAGAGGGGAGGGTGTCGTACCAGTCTGCCGCGTTGACGTCTTTTGCTTTCGCGGGGCGAGGGATGCGTTTTAATACCTTGCCGTTCACGACGGGTGTTGCCAGGTCACGTCTTGAGGCACCTGAAGCGAGAGTAGTGGGAGGGACTGGGGTTGCTTTTATAAAGCCCTGAGCGTCGATGATGCTCGACGGAGCGAGGTCTGCGCAGAAAGGCGAGGTTTCATGGATGAACGTGGGCAGTGCGGGGGTGATTGGGCGCGGATGTTGGAGAAGAGCTGTGTTGTTGGCTGGGAGGATTTCCTGATGTTGAGGGGTGACGGACTGCGGAGAGGTCAGGGAGACAGTCGGTGGCAGGGCATATATGGAAGTCGCCTCTTCGTCAAAGGTGAAGGGAATCTCACCGGATGCAATGGAAGGAAAGTCTGGGAAGAGGGGAATGTTCATGTTGGTCTGTAAGGTAAGTTCGGTCTCGTTTGGGACAAAGGCTTCATTGATGTTGGCCAACAGGTCTGGACTTTCCGTGAAGAAGTCTTGGTTCGTGAGGAGATCGAGGGGGGCCCAGTTGAAAGACTCGATTTCGTCCGTGGGCCATGATTCTAACGGTAAAGAAAAAACATCCTGAGGGGCAATGCCTTTTGGTTCTGGCGGGGGGGCCGCTGGGGCTGAGTGGTTGGCGTGAAAAGCGTCAAAGTCGCCCCTGGAACAATCGTCTTTATCCTCGGTGCTTGTTGCGGCTGCGAGATCTGCCGGTAGCACGAGCGTGAGGGAGGGCTGTATGCTCTGCATTGGTTTCCCCTCGGGGAGAGTGAGCATGGTCTCTTCAAGAGGCGGCAATTCCAAAGACTCCATGTCTCCAAAGAGGGACGAACAGTCATTGATTTGAGAGGTAGATTCGTGGGTTCGTGGGATGCTTGCGTTTGCTGAAGTCTCAGGGGCTGACTCGGGGAAGGCATTGAAGTCAAAGAACATGTTTGGGTCTGTCAGTGTGTCGAAGGACGGCGAGGGGAGGAGCGAACTATCGAAATTCATGGTTTCCATATTGCTGACTTCCTGGCGCGTCTCTTCGTTGTTCGATCTCTTCTTTCCCGTCAATCTCGGTATTCTGCTGATGTGAATCGAGTAGCTACTGTGAGTTTGGTATGCGGCAAAGGTAGGGGATGAGTAGGAACAGTGGGATATCAAGTTTAAATGTTCAGGATGTTGAATTCGAATCAACACATATAATGCCATCAAAAGCGAGAGGAAACCATCCAGTAAACAATAGAAAGAGGTTCTTGGACAAAGATTGATTATGCTATTATGGATATAGACAAAGTGGTGCTTAATTAGAGCAAGGCTGTGAGGACAACAATAGATGCTCTGCGAGGGTAAACAATGCTCTTCTTGACTACTCCAAAGGAACTGTCCTTGAAGTGAAAGCTTCCGAGTCAAAGAACGAGGCAGAGTTGTCTGTGTGTAAAAAGCCTAATACCATTCGTTAGTTACTGGGTATCCAGAGGTTCCGAATGAAGGTAAAATTGAGTGCAAGATCAGGAGCTAAAAGCAAATTTCTCGACACAAGGAATTCCGAACAGGTCTGTGTATATGCATTGTCTCATCATTTGAGGAAGGGGAAAGGAACAGGCTTGGCTTACCAGTTGGATGCTGATCTTGGGGTTGACGACTTGGTTAGTATAGGTCCAGGTGAGGTTGCTGGGACTGTCGACCAGCTGGCAGGCACCACTTGGTGCTCACCGGAGCTCTCGCGGGTAAATCTCTCGGCGGAGATCCATCTTATCATCACCATGTCGTCCTAACCATGGAAACTTATGAACAAAAGCAGTTCCATGCTGCGGCCTCCTGTCTCAAGAACTGGATAATGCAGATATTCAGCGGCTCGAGAGAAGGTACGTACGACCCATATCGATGGAATATTGTAGCTGCCAGCTACATCTTTCAATAAGACTTGGATAGTGGCATTCTGAAAAGATGGAAAGAGAGTCTATCTCGTGGATGAAATTGAAAAAGTTTTTGTAGCGGATGGGTAAGTGAAGAAGAAAAAAGGTCGGTGACGAAGTGATAGAGCCCCGCAGTCCTTCCTCGACAGGTCAGTTGGCTCGTGCGCAATGAATGTAGTCAAGCAAAAGGGAAAAATAAGAAGGGAAGGTGTCACCCCTGTTCTTCAATTGACGCCATACCGTTTTAGGAGACCAGGCTTTATGGAGCGTGTTAACCGAGCCAATGACGCAGTGTATCGTTAGACAAGCTGGATCTGCAAGTGCCAGCGAGAACCGTTACAACTGGTGTAGCCTCGAGACATTCAGGGCACATGGAAATTTTTAGATAAAATACGTTTGCAAAAAAACGTGTCGTTAAATTCCACTCTTCTCTTAGGGAATGGTCTAGTTTGCAAGTGTGGTCCCTGAATGCAAGCCGACAAAAATAACTCGTTGGGGACATGCAGTAGCTGGGCTTGGTACAAAAAGTATAAGCAAGGTTGTTGGCAAGGCCCCAAAAACAGCAGCAGCAGTTGGCTGGGTATGGACAGCAAGAGCGGTCGATAATACGCAATAGGGAAGCATTCGATGGAAGGTGCTGGACCCCCGCCCAGGAACCCGCAGGTGCATCCATAGCATGAGCATTCGAGGGTGTATCCCATTTGGGTCATCTTCCGACTGACTTTCTGGGCCCATTTCCTGATTTTCGGGCTGTTCTTATCGGCCGCATCCCGGATTTAATCCTCGACAGTGCTACAACTGGCTTTTCCTATGACGCTATCTCCATCACCTATGTTTTTGTTTCTTGTTTTTCTTTTTTACCTCTTCTTCGTCTTCTTTGTTTCTTTAGTGCCTGCAAAGTTTTGTCACTGTTGGGGGTGGCGGGCAGTGTCTCCAAATTTGCCTTGCGGGTACGTGAAAGTCTGCCGGGACTTGGGACCCGGGATAAGGACGCTAATCATCAGTTTGACACCCGCTGTCGGCCTTTACCAAGACATGAGTTGGATGAACTTGTTAAGGATACCTTCTCTCATCTGCCGACGTAGGTACATGTGACCATGTGGTGTGTTTCCCTGATCGCTGTCTGGAGCCTATTTCTGCTACCATACGCAATGCTGCATTGCTGTAATTTATACTTGTTTCCCCAAAAGGTAGAAAGTGCGTTTGCACTAGTCGCTACAGAAGACAATCTTTCCCTTGGCCACCTTGGCTGGTCCTTTCCTTTCCTGGGCCACTAACCAACCCGTATTCAGTGACTGGGGCGTCTGTGCCGCACCACCAAAATTCCCCGTGTTCTGCCCCGAACCCTGAGTCGCCCAAGGATCGGTCATCTTCACCCACCCATCATCATCCACCACTACCACCACCCTCGCCTTGGCCCAAACCCAGTATAGTAACCAGCGTTCCTTTCCTGGCTCCGACCTACGTCACGAGACTTTACGGAGTACTGGGTGGAGGAGACAAACGACCTGCACCCACTCCCGCTCCTGGGCGCTGCACACTGACTGGACTACCACCACCAACCTTTTCCCACTCTGCATTGAGAGTGAGAGAGAGAAAGCCACCACCAGTCGGGGAACCGAGTTGGGGACAGCGACCACAGACATCTACAACTGTGGTGCCCTGACTTGCGATCGTCCCTCTTTTACCTTAACTCTGGACGACTCCCACCCCCTCTCCACAAAGCCCTTAACCCGGGGGTGTCGGGCAATTTCAGACCCTCTTCGCATTCCTTTACAATTATTATTGTCGCTGTCGCCGACTTACCATCGCCGGCAACATGGCGCAATTAGATGCCCATTTGCAGGACAAGCTCGAGGAGCTTGAGAAGGAGTTGGAGGTACGTTTGCGATCCCTGTGGCGCCATGTTGCCCTCCCATTCCCCCCCCGCAAACCGCCTCGGCAACAACGTCTTGCGCCCACGCAGCGTGCCCGAGCACCTGCAGGGCTTTTCGCTGTCTCTTACATCTGTCGCATTGACTGACGCGTTCTTGTGGCTATAGGAAGGCGACATCACAGAGAAAGGGTGTGCATTTCTTCCTCTCCTTCTGACCAGTCCGATTCTCACGGCAGCGCGATGGCGGCTAACGAACCCCTCTCTCCCCCCGCAGGTACCAGAAGCGACGAACACAGCTCCTTTCCCAGTACATGGGACCTGGCTCAGCAGGTTTTCCCATCGCCCCCGAGCCTAGAGGCGGGCTCGGTATACACTCACCAGACAGTTCTGGACACCCTTCGAGCGATGGCCACCGCGCAGCCGCTCTCGCAGCTCTTGGCGGCAGAGATTCCGATCCTACGAGCCCGACGTCGACAAGCTCACACAGACCGCAGTCGCCCTTCGGCGGACCTGGCTCTGGCGGTTATGGTTCGGGAGGATATGCCTCGCCCACCGGTTATGGCTCTCCCGACTTGAATCCCGCAGGTCTTCTCCGGCCTGGCGGTCCCGTAGCTGAGCACCGGCCGAGTATGAAGCAGCACGATTCCCTTTTCCTGGCCAACCCCAACGAACCTCCGACCCGATCGGGAACCATGGTATCGACCGACTACGCATTCAACCCCGACCAGCAGGGAGCCTACATGGACCACATGCATAACCAATACGACAGCCGGACCGGCACCATGCTTGACTCGACAGGGTACTTCTCGGGCTTCACTGGAGGCCAAAATTTTGACCAGCCCCAGGAAGAGTATGGCGGAGGGCATCGGTATTCGTCTGGAGAGGCCTTCTCACCCACGGCGGCTATGGCACCGCCTATGCTCACCGCCAACGATCTGCCCCCGCCAGAGGTCCTAGAATACCAAATGCCCTTGGAACCCCGCGATCTGCCGTTTGCGATATCCGACCCACATGACAGCAATACCCCAATGTCCAAGTTTGATAATATCGCTGCGGTCTTGAGGCACAGAGGAAAAACGACAGCGAAACTCCCGGCATATTGGGTGCTTGACAGCAAGGGTAAAGAGATAGCATCCATTACGTGGGACAAGCTCGCATCGAGAGCCGAAAAGGTGGCACAGGTCATAAGAGACAAGAGCTCACTCTATCGTGGCGATCGTGTTGCGCTTATCTACCGTGACACAGAAGTCATCGATTTTGCGATTGCATTGCTTGGGTGCTTCATTGCTGGCGTGGTCGCAGTACCTATTAACGACCTACAAGATTACCAGAAGCTTAACTTGATTCTTACATCGACCCAGGCGCACTTGGCACTCACAACTGATAATAATCTTAAAACCTTCCAACGAGATATTACGACGCAAAAGTTGAACTGGCCCAAAGGAGTCGAATGGTGGAAGACAAACGAGTTCGGCAGTTTTCACCCTAAGCGCAAAGATGATGTGCCACCACTGACGGTTCCGGACCTGGCTTATATCGAGTTCTCAAGAGCTCCTACTGGCGACCTGAGGGGCGTGGTTCTGAGCCACAGGACTATCATGCATCAAATGGCATGTTTGAGCGCCATCATTTCTACCGTGCCAGGAAACGGTCCCGGAGACACCTTCAACCGGACCCTGCGCGACAAGAATGGCAGGCTTATTGGTGCTGGATCAACCAGCGAGACGCTTCTCTCATACTTAGACCCCCGCCAGGGCATCGGCATGATTCTTGGTGTTCTGCTCACCGTTTACGGAGGCCACACAACCGTCTGGCTGGAAAACAAGGCCGTTGATGTCCCAGGACTTTACGCTCATCTCATCACCAAGTATAAGGCGTCCTTGATGATTGCGGACTATCCCGGTCTCAAGCGTGCTGCTTACAACTATCAACAAGACCCCATGACAACCCGAAACTTCAAGAAGGGCATGGAGCCTAACTTTCAAACCGTCAAGCTGTGTCTCATTGACACCTTGACTGTCGACAGTGAGTTCCACGAAGTGCTGGCAGACCGATGGCTGAGGCCGCTACGAAACCCGCGGGCCCGTGAGGTTGTTGCGCCTATGCTTTGTCTACCAGAACACGGTGGAATGGTTATTAGCATCCGCGACTGGCTGGGAGGCGAAGAGCGAATGGGATGTCCGCTGAAGCTTGATATGGGTTCAGATGTTGAATCCGATTTGGAGGAGAAAGAAGAAGTGAAACCGGCACCATCCAACGGCTTTGGCAGTCTCCTGGGAGGCGGCGGCACGACAAGGACCGAACAGCGCGCTAAGAACGAGCTCAGTGAAGTTCTCCTGGACAGAGAAGCATTGAAAACAAACGAAGTAGTCGTAGTTGCCATCGGAAACGAGGCCAGAAAGAGGGCAACTAGCGAGCAGGGCACAGTCCGCGTTGGCGCTTTTGGTTATCCTATCCCTGATGCAACAATGGCTGTCGTCGATCCCGAAACCGGTCTGCTGGCTTCACCACACTCAGTTGGAGAGATTTGGGTGGACTCTCCGTCACTCTCAGGTGGTTTCTGGGCGCTTCCGAAACACACGGAGCAAATATTCCACGCCCGCCCTTACAAATTCGACCCTGGTGAGCCCACACCGACTCCTGTGGAACCCGAATTCCTACGCACAGGTTTGCTTGGTACTGTAATCGAGGGCAAGATCTTCGTCCTCGGCCTTTACGAGGACCGGATTCGCCAAAAGGTTGAGTGGGTTGAGCACGGCACTGAGATCGCTGAGCACCGCTACTTCTTCGTGCAGCATCTCGTCGTCAGCATTGTCAAGAACGTACCTAAAATCTATGACTGCTCGGCTTTCGATGTTTTCGTTAATGAGGAGCATCTGCCGATTGTGGTTTTAGAATCTCAAGCCGCATCGACGGCTCCCTTGACATCGGGTGGTCCACCCAGACAGCTTGATACTGCGCTCTTGGACTCCCTCGCCGAGAGATGCATGGACGTGTTGATGCAAGAGCATCACTTGAGGCTTTACTGTGTTATGATTACTGCACCTAACTCTCTACCTCGAGTGGTGAAGAACGGACGAAGGGATATTGGCAACATGCTCTGTAGACGGGAGTTCGACCTCGGCAACCTTCCCTGTGTCCACGTCAAGTTTGGCGTGGAGCACGCCGTGCTCAACCTTCCCATCGGTGTCGACCCCATTGGCGGCATTTGGTCGCCAATCTCATCCAATTCGCGCGCAGACATCCTCATGTCTGCCGACAAGCAGTATTCTGGGATCGACCGAAGAGAGGTTGTCATTGACGACCGGACGTCAACGCCGCTCAACAACTTCGGTTGCATTACTGACCTCATTCAGTGGCGTGTCGCCCGGCAACCTGAAGAGCTGGCCTATTGCACCATAGATGGTCGCGGTAGAGAAGGCAAGGGCGTTACCTGGAAGAAGTTCGACATGAAAGTCGCTGCTGTGGCGCTGTACTTGAAGAATAAGGTCAAGGTCCGTCCAGGCGATCATCTGATCCTCATGTATACGCATTCGGAGGAGTTTGTTTTCGCCATTCATGCATGCATCAACTTGGGCGCTATCGTCATCCCAATGGCTCCCCTGGACCAAAACCGTCTCAACGAGGATGTGCCGGCGTTCCTGCACGTAGTTTCCGATTTCCAAGTCAAGGCTGTCTTGGTTAATCAGGACGTCGACCACCTCGTCAAACTAAAGCCTGTCTCAAACCACATCAAGCAGGCTGCTTCTATTCTCAAGACCCCGATACCCCACTACTACAATACCACGAAGCCACCTAAGCAGAGCAGCGGGTTGAGAGATCTTGGAATCACAATGCAACCTGCCTGGATCCAGTCTGGCTACCCTGTCATCATCTGGACATACTGGACGCCCGATCAACGACGAATTGCTGTCCAGCTTGGGCATGATACCATTCTAGGCATGTGCAAGGTGCAGAAGGAAACCTGCCAGATGACGAGCTCGCGCCCTGTTCTCGGCTGTGTGCGTAGTACCACTGGTCTTGGATTCATTCACTCATGCTTGATGGGTATCTACATTGGCACCCCTACCTATCTCTTGTCTCCCGTTGAGTTTGCCCAGAACCCAATGTCGCTATTTGTGACCTTGTCGAGATACAAGATCAAGGACACCTACGCTACCCCGCAAATGTTGGATCATGCTATGGCCATGATGCAAGGTAAGGGCTTCACGCTACATGAGCTCAAGAACATGATGATCTCGGCAGAGAGTCGGCCACGCGTAGACGTATTCCAAAAGGTGCGACTCCACTTCGCTGCCACTGGTCTTGACAGGACTGCCATCAACACTGTCTACTCGCATGTCCTTAATCCCATGGTTGCTTCGAGATCCTACATGTGTATCGAGCCTATCGAGCTCTGGTTAGACACAAAGGCGCTACGGCGAGGACTTATCTACCCTGTGGATCCCGAGCAGGACCCCAAGGCTCTTCTTATTCAAGACTCTGGCATGGTACCCGTATCCACACAGATTGCCATCGTCAACCCTGAGAGCCGACTTCTCTGTCACGACGGCGAGTATGGTGAGATCTGGGTAGACTCAGAAGCCTGCGTTAAGGGCTTTTACGGCTCTAAGGATATCTTCGATGCAGAGCGCTTCGACGGCCGGACGGTGGACGGCGACCCAAGTATTCAGTACGTCCGCACAGGAGACTTGGGCTTCCTACACAATGTAAGTAGGCCTATTGGTCCTGGAGGCGCGCAAGTCGATATGCAAGTATTGTTCGTTCTTGGGAACATCGGCGAGACATTCGAGATCAATGGTTTGAGCCACTTCCCGATGGACATTGAAGCCTCCGTGGAGCGGTGCCACCGGAACATCGTTAGTGGTGGATGGTAAGTCAAGTAATCCGTATATTAGATTGATGTCACATTGCTGACCGTCGCAGCGCCGTATTCCAAGCCGGTGGTCTTGTCGTTGTCCTCGCCGAAATTACTCGCAAAGCTTACCTGGGCTCTGTTGTTCCAGTCATCGTTAACTCTATCTTGAATGAGCATCAGATAATTGTCGACATCGTCGCCTTCGTGAACAAGGGCGACTTCCCCCGCTCTCGTCTGGGTGAGAAGCAACGTGGCAAGATCCTGGCCGGATGGGTCACTCGCAAGATGCGCACGCTGGCTCAATTCGCCATCCGAGACATGGATCCTGCAAACATGGGAGGCGACCCCAGTGGCGTCCCCGATGGACCGGATCCTAACAGAGCCTCTATTAGCAGTCAACGCAGCATGGGTGGTCTCGCACCTGGCTCTTCAAGTCTGCGTAATGTTGAACATGCGCCGCAAATCTTGGAACAGGAGGAGTTCGATCAACAGCACGGACATATGGCTTCCCTTCCACCCCAGGCCGGCATTGCAGAGATGCCCGGAGATGAAGGCCAGATCTATCAGGGCCAAGCGCATGTACCGCCAAGCCACGGATACGTCCTTCCCGACTTTGACCAATTCGGCCGCGATGAGGGCCCGCCGCCAGTTGGAGCGAAACCGGGCTCAAGGGCAGGACAACCACCACAAATCAACCTGCCCAACGCCGATGGACGCGGCAATTCCTGGAAGGGAAAGGATGGCGCGCAGGATGAGGAGGACTGGACGGCTCAGGCCCTGATGCACATGAACCTTGCCAGTGATTTGGAAAAGAGGCAAGGACATAACTGAGATGTTTTGTGCGGTCTTGCCTGGTGTGGTCGGTGTTGTTCTATTTTTGCAGCCTTGGGAGGCAGTCTGCGGCGTCTGATATGGGTATGATACAGCCGTTGCGGGATATGAAGTATTTGGATAGAGGATTCCCTGTGCATACCTCAAAAGACCATTGATAATTCATTCTTATTACCGAATTCTGGAAGGCCAACCTTTCGTTATTATGTTGTGTTCTCTTGCAGGTCTTTGATGTCGTTGATGTCGCTTCTTCATTTGATACAGTAGTAAATGTGACACGGAAGGAGAAGTGCTGACAGTGGCTTCGTCTACATCGTTATACTATATCGTTCCACAGAAGAGCGGCCATCTATCGCTTCATCTACCGCTTGAGTGTTTCAACAATGGAGTCAAGTGACGGCCGGTTTGCGTGTTGGATCGAGCCAAGCCTTCCAGCATGCATCACAGAGCACTGTAACACACTAGGATGTCTCTCATCTCTGATGTTAGGTGAGATTGTAGCTGTGGAATAAGTCCAAGTGCATGATTGGCAAGTATGAAACCTGTTTGAATGCTCCTGAAAAGTCCAATTATACTCCGACATGAGACGGGTTTAAATATCAATGTCTTATGACTATTCTTCCCCCCCCCCCCAATGGTAAACAAAGTCGTCATGTAAACAAGAAATGAATAACCATCTCTCATAAGACAAAATTGAAGCCGCTTTAGATGCTGTTTCGATACCCTCCTGATCGATTCTGTAAAGCCTGTCAACAATTTAGCATGTTTCGAAGGAGCTGTATCGATATCATTCAAAGTGGCACGCAGCAAGTCCAAAAAGGTCAATAGCGTGATCAATCTCGTGACACCCTGCAGCCGCACCACGTCAGCAAATGCGGCATGTCAAACTAAAACTAGCTTGTGGAATTTCTCATCCACAACTACGATGCTCTATTGATGAGTCCACGATAAGCTTAACATTACACCATTCACATGCTCAGCCTGAAACAGTGAACGCAAAGTAAAATCTCTTCCGTCGATTTTGTCAATTTCGTCGCGGCAAGATGAGAATTGAACATCAGAATCGCATCTTTCCCGCATCCCAATATCGAGCTTTAGACCCTGATCTGAACGAGATTCGCCTCATTCAGGTAGATCCTCTTATAACCAACGACCCAGGCCCCGACAATGGGTTCTCGCAAGTAGTTCGTTGCCGCCTAAAGCACGTCAGTCTCAATGACAGTCCAAACTACACGGCACTGTCTTACGTCTGGGGGGACCCGACCATCACTCGAACCATCATCGTCGACGACCAGCCAGTTCAAGTAACTGAAAACCTGGAGTCAGCGCTGAGACACCTGGCGACAGGGAGGTGGCACGATGCAGAGCTCGGCTGGACGCTCTGGGTCGACGCCATATGTATCGACCAGCATAACTCGGCCGAGCGGACGCAGCAGGTCTCTCTGATGAAGGCCATTTTCCGGTCCGCCTTCAAAACGCTGATTTGGCTGGGGCCCACGAGCGAGGACAGTAGGCTCGCCTTTAATACTCTGGAAAGACTGAGCAGGAAAGCGAACGTGATCAGTCGCCGGTTCCCCACGTGGGCCCAGTTCCCATTCTCCGAGACGACCGCCGACCCCCTGGTTGCTGCTGTCCAGAATGATCTGGAAAAGACCATTGGCGAGCTGTGTGCCGATGATTCCGCCGCGTTGAAGGCAATCAGCTCGCTCTTTGACAGGCCGTGGTTTCGACGGGTATGGGTCATCCAGGAGCGTGTGCTGTCACTGTCTCCCTTTGTGTGTTGTGGCACGAGGTGCATCACTTGGGCAACCTTCTTTGGTGGGTTCTGGTTGATTTGTGGTCTCCGTGACTATCTCAACTTCGTGGGCAGTATTACCGGGAGGAGTAATAACTCTGCGCTCGCGGCGGTTCTCACAGCAGCCCTGGACAGAGTGACTCCTGTCGCCTTCACGCAGTCTCGGTCTTCGTTTCTGTCGCTCTTTTCCCTGCTGTCTAGGATGGCGGCGAAGGCGCAACTTCAAGCTTCAGATCAACGAGACTACGTATTCGCACTTCTGGGCCTGATTGATCGGAATACGAGCCCACTTATTCCGGTTGAGTACGACAAGAGCTGGGCGGCAGTCCGAGTCAACGTCGCCAAAGCCTGTTTGGCGTACTACGGACCCAGGCTGCTATCATTCGCTGGCTATAGCAATGACATGGAAACTGCCGTCACCCAGACCCAGTACATACCATCCTGGGCTCCAGACTGGTCATCGGAGCGTCTTCCTCAACCGCTAAGCGTAGACTCAATCTTCGTTGTAAGAGGCCAGTATAGGCCAAGGGCCTATTCAGCTTCGGCAGGCGCGGTACAAGACCTTTCATGGTCTTTCTCTGTGGAAAACCGACTATCATTAGCAGCGTTACTGGTTGACTACATCGAACATGTGGGGAGTCCGTTCATAGGGGCAGATGACGAATATGTGGATGATACGACGCTAGTCGCGTCCCTGGATCTCTGGCTCCGCGATTTTGAAACCATGTTATTGTGCCCCAACGAGATCTATCAGACGGCGGAGAGTATAAGCGAGGCCCTGTGGAGGACGCCCATTGCAGATCGCGCTTTCGCGTATAACTGGGAAAGGGAACGGGCATCCGCGCAGACGCTCTCGGCATATCGGGCACTAAGGGCGGGCGAGGTCGCCAAGGGGGTCAAGTACGCGCACATTGCCAGCGTTAAATTACATAGGACTTGCCCATTCAGATCTGCGAAGGGCTATGTCGGGCTGGGCCCACTGCGAGTGTCTAGGGGGGATTCTATCTGGATTATACCCGGGTCTGACGTGCCTTTTGTCCTCCGCCCTTCAGGCTGCGGCGGCTTCCACGTTATCGGCGAGGCTTACGTTCATGGAATCATGGATGGGGAGTTTCTACAAAAGGGGGCCGAGCATGAGAAAATAGAGCTTGTTTGATTACTATTCAACTTTCTGCTGCCTGCTAGGACGGTTCTGGTGCTTTGATGAAAGAAAAACGAGTACAAGCTTTACAAGATTGTCTCGACAACTTGGAACCCATCCTAGGGGCCTTTTAACTCGGCATGCGAGCGTGTAAGCACGATGAGGTCCCTGACGGGGATTATACAGACAACGACGGATCCGCGACCGGGACTCGGCCGCGAGAATTGCCGCGTATGCCCCATCCCACTCCGGTCCCGATAAAAAGTTGCCCCGTGGTCCCCACCCGTATACCCACAACGAGGGCTGGGAAATCCTCACGCACGAAAAAATGACAGCATGATATTCTGATTTCTCACCGGTCGCCTCCACAACACCAAGGCATAGCAGCTTCTGGTTCACATGGTCTATTAGTCTAGTTGGTTAGGACGTCGGATTCTGATGATGACCACCATCGGATCTCTTCCGTAAGCCCAGGTTCGAATCCTGGATGGACCTAATGCCTCCTCACCGGAGCTCCCGGGGCTGCTGCATGCCATCTTCTCCCTATTCTTTCGGTCTATTAGTCTAGTTGGTTAGGACGTCGGATTCTGACTTCACAATTGGTTGGAATGTTCCGTAAGCCCAGGTTCGAATCCTGGATGGACCTTCTCTTTTGGCTCTCCTTCGATGAAGGAAGGGATGTGCCTGTGTTTTTTATCTTTTCTTCCTTACATGGTGACTCGCTAAACCTGTCAATTTGCGCAATGGTGGGAGAGACCCGTGGGAGTGAAAGTAGGAAGCGTGTTTGAAGTTAAGGTGCCGAGCTCAACTGTCAAACTTTATCTTGAAGACAATTAAAGTAGCGTTGTGGTATGTTTATATGTGGCATTGTATTAGTCTGTCACGAACACATTACGTTTGTAGTTGTGAAACGACGATGTTGAATTTCGGTTAGGGACCTGGCTCAAAAATACTGGGGAAAGCTGGTCTGGCAGATTACCCATACATACATCCTGCTGTGTGCCTACATGGGATGGCATTTTCGTATCTCAAAACTTGATTCATTGACGGTACGACGATGGCTTTTGTCCTACCTAGGCCGAATCATGGTATTAAAACCACGCCTCAGCTTTTAACCAAGAAACGGCCATACCGTGTTGCATCGCCTTGAAATACGGAGAAAGAAGGCTCCAGCCGAAGCCCCATAAGGTAAACGAACCATTCCAGAAAGCGAGAATTCCCAAAACTGGAAATCTAGCCGGGTCTACCGGGATGCACGGGCCGGGGTCAGGGTTCTATCCTCCGTTTGCCGAGTACCACTGTGGGAGCATGAACGGATTCATCTCGTATCGCAAAGCAGATCACTCCCGCCAAATTGGCTCGGTCTAATAATAGGGTTCATGTGGGTTCCTGACCTCTGTGATAAAGACATGGGAATGTCCGCAACAGCATCATGCGAAGCTGGTCCAGCAGCTTTAGCTCAACTCTCATTGACATCAAGCTGAACTGCTCGCCTTTGTGCAGCTTTCTATCGTTAAACTATGTACTCTCATTCGTTTCTTGGTCTCTTGACCTCTTGTCTTTCTTTATGTTCTGTTTCTCTCGCTATCCCTACCGAGCGTCGTGCCGCCAACGTCAGCTCTGTCGATGTCCAGACTTATATTAACCTCAACGGTGCCGCCCACGGCGAGAAGACCAAGTCTCTGACAGCCGACGGCTACCGGATGATCTCTTTGAGCGCTTACGGAACAGCCCCGAATGCAAACTACGCCGCCGTCTGGATTAAGAGGGACGGAAACCCCTTTGAAGCAATCTACGATGCTGACGAAACAACATACAATGCCTGGTTCGATTCATGGAAATCCAAGGGCTACGTCTCCACGCACGTCTCCGCCACAGGACCGGCCGGCAGCGCCGTCTTCGCTGGAGTCATGGAGAAGGCCAACGTCACGAACTGGGCTCAGCTCTGTGACATTACCAATCCTTACGCCTACTACAACGCCACGCTAGGCATCCCGATGCTCATCAAAGACTTCCGCATGTACGGCACCCCCTCCGACCGCCGATACTGCATCCTTGGCCACGAGAACATTGGCAACCAGCTCGCCACTATCTATCCCAGCACGAACTACACTATTGATTATCCCGAAGTCTATGCCAGCGAGCTTGGGAAGCGCTTCTGGAGACCCTCCCGTTTGTTTCTCTCCGATGACCTTGTCATTACGCCGCAGTTCGTAGACAATGAGGTCGGCAAGTGGGTGGCTAAGGACAACCTCACTGCTGCTGAGTTGTCTGCTGAGATTGAGACGCAAAAGACGAAGGGCCTGTACCCAATCGATCTTCATGGCGGCGTCTCCGGAACCGACACTCGTTTCACCGTTATCTTTGCTGAGAAGGACATTCCCGAGCCCCGTAAGTGGGCAGCTACGGGAAATTTCACTGGCTTCAAGGACAACGAGGCTGCACTGGCTGATTTCGACACGACCATGAAGACATGGATGCAGAAGAACGGTGTGCGCCAGGCCCAGATTGCCGTTGCACTTAACAGCTCCGTCATCGCGGAGCGCAGCTACACATGGGCAGAGAGTAACCGTGCCGTCGTCAAGCCGGACGACATCTTCCTTCTTGCCAGTGTTAGCAAGATCTTCCTCCACGCCGCCGTCTTCAACCTCATCGAGGCTGGCAAACTCAACTACTCAACCCCTGTCTACCCACTCCTCGGCTACAAGCCCACAGAGGAACGAGCGAACGAAATCACCATCGATCACCTCCTGCGACACTCCGCCGGCTACGACCGTGCCAAGTCAGGAGACGTAGCCTTCTTGTTCCGCGACATTGCCTATAAGCTCTTCAACGGCAGTCGCGCCGCAACACTGCGTGACATGATCGAATACCAAATCACCCAACCCCTCGACTTCGCCCCCGGATCAAGCTACGCATACTCCAACTACGGCACCATGCTGGCAAGCTACGTCGTGAGCAACGTCACCGGTATGCCATACCTCGACTTCCTCAAGGAGAACATCTTTGACGGCCTCGACGTGAGGCTGTACGAGACCGCCGCCGAGAAGCATGCCGACGACCGCATCGTCCAGGAGACCCAGTACTTGGGCTACGACCCCGTCCACCCGCAGTCATTCCACCGCGTTCCCGGTCCCCACGGCGGTGACGGAGCCATCAAGGAGGAGAGCATCGGCGGGTTCTCGCTTGCGGCGAGCGCGAGCACCGTTGCCAAGTTCATTGGCACCCACGCCGTGGCCGGCACTGGCGGTCGTGCGGTCTACTCGGAGCGTGACGGTACGGTCGTGGGCGCGCGTGCGTTTGCCGCGAGCCGGCCTGATCTTGACTGGGCCCTGACGCTCAACACGCGGGAATACATTTCCGAGGCCGAGTTTGACGACCTGAGATACTGGAAGATACCGCGTGTTTTTGAGGACCATGCCGCGGTCTTGTGAGGAGAGTAGTTTGGGATTAATAGTCTGAGGAATAGTTGGCGTCTAGCGCTCTTGCTGAATATTTATATGGTGAAACTACCTTACCTACACTTTAGGGCGCGATAATACATAATCCATTCTAAGCTATTACTTGTGTTACATGCTGGGGAATTTGCAACTCAGGATTGCGTCTTTCAGCGCCTTTGATTTCTTGGGGTACCTTAGTTGCATAGTTTACCACAGTTAAATGCTGCTTATGAAAATATACAGTGTGACGTTATTCGAACTGTAAAAAGTAAATGCCGCTATGTACTAGTATAAAATCCTCTTCTGCTGGCTTGTCAGTATGATATTGAGTCGCTTTACTTGATACGCTTTAGTCAACTGCCGGCAGTCATGCTGCAGAAGTCTGATAATTATGTATACCTCGACGCCATACTTGTTTGGAGGTGATTCTAGTCGGGAGAAAGTTAGTCTCAATCAGGCGACCCTCAAAGGCCGAGTCTGATTCACATAAACTAAACAGTGTTGCGTCGAGAGCTGGTCGTGCAACCCTTTTTGTGTCTCATGACAACCTATTTTAAACACTTCAGACCTATTCTAGATAGCATTGATTTTTTATCTAACATTAATTTGCCAACTTTCAAGAATGAAAAAATCTTTTGGCCAAAGGCTTAATAGGATTGCGATCCTGGGCTGTCATGATCTAGATTTGAACTGTTCAGACTTACTCGACTTAAGACCCTGGTGCAGTAGAGGATTGCACCCCGTGGCATTTTCCGGATCCTCGAATACTTGCAAAGCTATTGCATGCTCTTATGGTTCTTATGCCTCTGCGTTTGCCTAAGGTAAGGTGTTGGTGTCTGTTTTCTCAGTAGCTGATTCAGTAAAGAAACGACCGATTAATGTATTCTCTGGGACTGTATCGTAAGTTAACCACCGGTAACTCTTGAGAGAAACTGTGCTTTGCAAAATTGTATGCCCCAAATTTCCTTGAACCACCATCGGGCCTTGCGTATGCGTTGAAGAGGTAACATGTCAAGTAGTCAGCCAGACGTACCTAAGTAGCTAATTCCTACATCCTACCCGTTTCACGACTTAAGTATCGATAGAGTATCTCATCACTTTCTTCTCAAAATTCTTAATCATGATTCGAATCTGGCCCCTGGCCACACCTATGTTGTATCTACAAGTCTATCTTATGTACATATTCCCACCACAAGTATGTACACTTCAGATCGCTCCAAAAGTAAATCTAGGATAGTTGTTGCAGCCGCCTAAAAGCTGGCTATTCCCCTCGCGTCATAACCTAGCACCCGCTAGTCTTGACAGAAGTAGCAACACAACTCTTCCCATCAGGTCCCTTGCTGATCAACTTCGGCTCAGCGCCATTGCTGTTGCCCTGGAACAGCTCGCAGGCATCGGCACCGCCCAGGACGCACGAGTTCGTAATTTGCGTAGTGTCTCCCATGTTGCCGTTGATGCCCGCGAGAACCTTTCCTCCGTCCAGTCGGATATTTTCAAAAGTGGAATGGCGACCTCCGCTCTGGCCCTTGCAGTTACCGCAGCTGCGGTACATCTTGCTGCAGTTCTTGCAAAAGTAGTTCTTGACAGCCACCGTGCCGCCGCCGTTGTGCTGCAGGACCTTATCATCGGCGTTCTGCGCGCCGCCGCCGTTGACATAGGAGGTGCCGGAGGTTTGCTTGAAGGTGATTGCGTCCTCGCAGACGTCTTGGAACCAACTGTTAACCCCCCCTCCGTGTTAGTTATATATACTTCTGGTTTGGGGACGTAAATATGTAACTTACACATTGTTGATTGTGCAGCTGCCCAGACAATGAATACCCTCGCCGTTGTTGGGTCCGATGACGACGTTGCTGATTGTGGCACCTTCCATGAGAATGAAGACGGCATCCTTGTTACCGCCCTCAGTCTGTCCCTTGCACGTGCTCGGGCTTCTATCCCAGAGTTGCATACCACCGTCGAAGGATTCGCCCGCGGCAATCGTTTTCACGGCGCTCAAGTCCTGCTTGCCCTTCGGAGTGGGGAAGACGGTCTGAAGCTCCGTGTTAGCTCCGCCGGTTCCGTTGTTAGCAGCCGAGCCGCCTCCGCCTCCAGATGAACCGGAAGCACCGCCGGTGCTAACAGGCACGCTGGGCTTCGTATGAGAGCCACTGCTCCCGCCTTTCTTGGGAGAATGCTTCGGGGTCTTATGGTCTTTGGCTTTACCCTTGGACCCGCTACTCTTAGAGGCGGTTGGAGAGGCGATGACAGTGACTGAGAGAGCCAAGAGGAGGACGTGTCGGAGATACATGTTTGTGGAGGTCGTGATGGATACTCGTGGGGACTGTCTAGCGTCTTGGCCGAGGAATAAAGTGGACAAAAAAAGGCTTGGCCTCGTAAGCTCGTGGTGGAACGGTTCAAAGAGAAAAGATGAGATGATAGACCAGCTTGTCACTTGAGACGAACCAGTCGTGGAGAAGAGATTGGAAAGACGAGAGAGGATGATCTTGAAGAATATAAGAAACTGATGCTGCTGATGATGACTCAAGAGATCGAGAGCTGTTGAAACTGCGAACTTTATTCTCTTTATATATCTGTCCAAACCCTCTGTTCCAGCGTGCGTGCGCTCACAAACACCCCTATACTCCCCGTCCAGTATGAAAACTCAATCGTAACTTGGCTTTTTGCGATTGACAGCCACACCGACTACCTCAGAGCCCAAGCTCCAGTGAGCCGACTTTCCCTATCCAGCCATGCACGGCATGTTTCGTTGAGGACGAAAGGGGGTGGTGGTGGTGGTGGAAGCCCTTCATGGCGTGTCTATCTCAAATTGACGATGTGCCTCACTTAAACAGAGTCACCCCATATCGTCTGAAACTAACACGAATAAGCTTTCTCTGACATTCTCTAGTCTGATTCCTTATGGCCCGTGTGGTTGGTCGGGCAATCTCTCAACTGAAGGAAATAGAGTAAGACCAGACGGAAAGGCCACCAATCCCCTTTGCGCAACGCTGCCAGCCAGCCGGCCAGCCACATGGTCACCGCCGCCAAAAGTGTGCTGACCTAACAACGTCCATCTGATCTCGGTGTCATGCAGCAGGATCGATCCCCTACTCACGGGCCTTCATCTGCCGGAGCTAACGGCATTGCCCCAAGGTCCGCCCCTGCGCAGAGCCGCAAGTTCTAGACCGTTGTGCCGCCCTGGGTCGTTCGTGACTGGGCGAGAGAGAAAACTCATTTACCTCTTTCTGGTGCGTGCGGGCTCTTACACGTTAATATTCTTCAAACTGCCCTCCTTATGGGGCTTGTGTATTATACATACAGTAGTTCGGTTACTATCCCGAAAACGGTTCCCTCGTGGCCCTGCGGACCCAGAGCTGCTTTGAGAGAAACCCCCCTTGATCCATGTCCGTAGCCGGCTGTCATTCAGCTCGTATTTCTTCTAGAATAATGGGAGAGAGAAGAAAAAAAAAATCATGTGTTTGTCGAAATGACAGAATACATGACTTGTGCAAGTGGGAGCCCGCGGAAAGGAAATACGTCAAAAGTTAATTACGATGATGCGAACCCCTCGGGACAATGCTCGTTGTTGTTTCGAACAATTTCATGCTTGATTGCAAATATCTACTTGAATCACTCCCGCCAACGTCCAATTATTCCGTTTTTTCCCCGGCGCTTCTGTTGACCCAACTTCTAACAGGAGGTTGCTATGCGAGATGCATTTGGACGAAATCATCTCCTCGGCTGTGGAGGTTGCCGTGGTTGCTGATGATACTGCTGCTGCTGCTGCTGCTGCTGGTGCTGTTCCCTTTTCAGCTGCTTCTCGAATCTCTTCCCCTCCGTCCGCGCATCCTTCTCACCCCCTTTTCCTAATTTCCTCAACTCTTCCTTCACCATGCCTACCGCCTCCGCCACGACGTCGTCGCCTCTGCGCCAGGTGTACAGTGCCACACCATGGTTTTCCAATATCTCCTGCGCCCGCTGGAGTCGGCGCATCCATAATTCATGCTTCCTGTTGGGGTACGTTGGTCCCAGCGTAGGCGAGCCCAAAGTCGGGGAGGTAGCTCCCGACTTCATGCTTCCAGACTTGGTCTTCGCAAACGGAGGTGGTTGAGATGCTGCAGACGGTGGTAGGGCCTCGAAGTCGATGTCATCATTGCTTGACAGCCTTCGCCTGTTGTTGATTGTCCGCGGGCTAAGGCTCCGAGAGCTTGACGGGGTATCCCGACGCCGGGGTGGCGGGGGAGGAGGTGCAGCTTTTACCGCCTTACTCGTGTCGTTGGATGGCGTCCTTGCTGGTATTTTGGTTATCTTTGGCACGCTGCTGGTGCTGGCTACTGTTTGCTGGGATGCGTTGTGGATTTGCGACAGCGGATGAGGGGCCGATCTATCTGCTGACGGCTTTCTGGATCGTGGCACCGGCGGAGGTGTGGAACCGCCGTTTGACCCAACGGTAGGCACCTTCGTATCCGAGGGCGAACTGCGGAGGGCTGCTGGCTTGACTGGCCGAGGTGGAGGGGGTTTCCGGAGAGCAAGATCTGAGGTACTTGCATTGGGCTTTGCTCCCGCCGCCCTGAGTTGGGCGAGTGCTGCCGCATCGTCCAAGGCCGCCTCCTCCGGCTCATCTGAGAAATCGATCAGATCCCCCATGACGGGGCCAGCAGACTTAGCCTCGGTTCGCGGAGGAAGGCCAGGTCTCTTGGATGGCTCATCACTCCTGTCTTGAAGCCTTATTGTTGGAACGTTCTGGCGTGCAGGGCCACTCTCGAAGGATGAGTCGAAATAGCCGCTCTGCTCAGGGGTTGTGACGTCGCGGATGAAGACTGCAATGATCCGACCAGGATGTGACTCGACTAACTCCGTGTAAACTTCCAGGTCTGCCTCACCACTGTCGCCAACAAGCAGGAATTTGCGCTCGGGGAAGTCCTTCATCAGCCGTGTTAGCGTGCTCTTCTTTCTCTCTGCTACGGGCTCGAAGATTCCCTGAAGCATGCCGCTGTACTGCTTGAGATGAAGCGACCCCGGAGGTAGGCCAGCAATCATGAAGTAACTGGCCAGCACCGGGAACAGCTGCCACGGGCTGTTGGAGCAATAATGTATGCTGACGCCCAATGAATGCAGCTCATTGTACCACTCCTTGACACCTTCGATGGTAAGATCCTTCAGCTCCCGGATGAACGTGTTGCGGAAGATCTCTTTGGCGCCGCCCGAAATATTAGATCGCTTAATGGTGTCGTCGATATCGCTGATGAGACTAACACCCTTAGGCTCAATGATCTTAACTTCCTGGGTTGCTGAGAGACTCTCATTCGCTAGTACACGAACATGCGTAGGGACAAAGTCTAGGGCGGCACGGATGATGAAGTGTCCCGCGTCATTTGTTTGTACTGTCCGAGATGCCGACTTCTCATCGTTGTAAAAGAAGATGGTGATAGGTAGCTGGACCAGCGGCGTCGTCATGAACGGTGCTATCCTAGCCATGAGATTCGCATTCGCGACAGACAGCTCGGCATCCGACAAGTCAGTGCTGGTTGTGTACTGCTTGGCCGGCATCTTGGGGGATCCCGGGGCTGTCATGGGCGTTCGGGTACCGCTACGGGACCTCGATTTTGATGGGTATATGCTACCAGAGTCGTCATCAGAGTCGTCTCTCGCAGGTTCGCTGAAGCCACCTCTATTAGCTACCCGCCTTTCCTCTTGGCCCCTCTTCTCGATCTCTGCGGCCTCTTTGGCGATCTTCTCTTGCTCTCTCCTCTCTTCGTGAGACTGATGCAGCGCTCCTAGTGAGTCCATTGGCGGCGCATCCTGTCTAGGTGCTGGGATGCCGCTTAGCTGGCGCGCGAGGCCGATAAGAATACGGTTGCGCCTCGTCATCGGGCCCTTGTGCGGAGAATAGATCCATCCTCGGACGTCGATATCAACTATCGCCCTCTCATCCTCGTTGCGCTCCCACTCTTTCCTCCAATACTCTGGATCTCTAATGCTTCCATGGGGGTCGTTTGAAATGAACTCGTTCTCGTCGCCCCAGTTCTGTTTAACGTGTCGTTTCGCATATGACGGGAATATAACCATCTGATCGTCGCCTTGTACAGTAATTGCAACGCCGGGGAATGATCCAGGTATCGTTGTCCTTGGTTGACCATCCTCCGGTTCCAGCGCCCGCACCCGTGTTTGCGCATAACCTTCTCTTATCTCATTCATAGCAACGGCTCCAGCACGGTACATACTGCCCGCCTTTGCCGCCAGCCATTTGCGACGGTAGCCTCGCTCGCCTGGGGTCGGCACTTCTCCTGATGCTGCATCATACTCATAGCCGTTGCCGTTGCCGTTGCCGTTGCCATTATCGTTTCTGCTGCCGCCACCGGTGGCCCCCCCTCCTCCATAGCCTGTGTAATCTGACCAAGTTGGCATCTTCTTGCCTATATTTCCTCCCCTGGCATGACGTGCCGGCCTGGCTAGTGGTGGGCCCAAGAGCAGGCGGCGACTTTGCCGCGCAAAGACGTCGACGAGCCTCGACTTCTCGTTCCGCTTACGTTGGCGCTCGAGGATATACCGATAGATGCGAGACTGGAAGCGATGCTTAAGCTGCGGGAGGGTATCGAGCCTGAAGTTGAGAACGCGCTCACGGTACCGATCTCGGAGTGTTCGCGGGAAGAGATATCTAAGTAGGCTCGTACGGTTGTGAGGATGCGGATGCGGGGGACCGAATCGTCTGAAGGGAGCCAGCTTGATCGTTGTATGTGCCTTGGATGAAGTTCCAAGACGAGTCGCGGGCGCGGGACGGCCCAGGTTTTGTTCGTTATGTAGGAAAGGTTCGCCGAACGGACAGTCGTGGGCTTTAGCGGCGTTCGATTACTGGACGAAAGACATACGAAGGCAGTTTAGAGGTCTGCACAAACAAAAGGCTCGCAGGCGACAACGTCTTCTGACCCCCACGCTCTACAGCTGATGAGAAACGACCTCGAAATGATGGAGGCACATGATCTCGCAGCGATTCTGGGAGGGCGAAATTGGTGCAAAAAGGTCAAGTCAACGGAGCGGGAGCACGCGGTAGGGATGGGAGCTCGTGACGGTGGGCGGGCGAAGCTTTAGGTTGCTTATGGTCTCAGAAAGCTGCTGGCGCCGGGTTTTGCAACTCTTCGATCGTCCAAATGCGACCAAGTGCCAGAACGTTGATTATGCGGGCAGTGCAAGGCACACACTTATTACGGCACCATCCTGCCGAGCGGCGGTGGTAGTGGTGCCTACTGGCCGCCTTTGCTTGGTGCTGGGGTTGGGGACGTGCCTTCAAGCGAAACGAGACATTACGTCATCCATAAGCTCACGCAGGTACCTACTTCTATCTTTTGAGGCCTGATGCAGCGACAATCTTCAGTGGTGGTGCAAGTAAATCCACTGTACCAAGAGGCTTAATGTAACCTTGAATCATCCTCGGCACCTAAATCTACAGTGCACAGGCCAAAGTCTATCAAGAAAGAAAAGACTCGTGCACCCAGCATGTGAGGTCTAGAAAAACAACTCGATGTAACTCACTGTTACATTTTCGCCCTTTGGTTTTGTTTTCACTCTTTTTTCTGTCGCATTTTGCTCATGATGGGCAAAAACTCGTGCCAAGAATTATATGGTATTTTGAACATGGTATTTTGATCTAGATTTCCAGCTAACTCCACCCACTACCGCTTGCCACGAGCCAACTTCGCCCTCACTCTGCCATTCTTGGGGACCTTCTTCTTCTTGAGGTTGAGCACAGCTCCTTGTCCAGCACGCTCTGCCTTGCCCTTCTTCCATACGGGGCCCTCGCTTCTCATGGCCTTGGAGTCGAGCTTCTTTCTGTCCTTGTTGCTGAGTTTCTGCTTCTTCTTGCTGTCCTTGGGGCCGTTGAGTTCGCTGCGTCCAGCCTCCTTGGCCTTCTTCTTGTCCTCCTGCGTCTCGAACCATGTCCTCTTCGGCCGCGCCTTGATCTCGGCCTCATGCTGAAGGATGTTCTCTCCCTTCCTGACCTGCATCTCGGCCTGTGCGAACTGCTTCTCCTGCTTCTCTTCGATCATAATCTCCTCAATCTCGTCATCCAACTCGTCGACCTGTGCCTGCCACTTGTCCGCCTCCGCGGGCTCGATGACGCGGCTCATAATCTTCGCACCTTGCGACTTGCCGGCCTTGACTGCTGCCTTGACGACCTTGCGGTCTGGCTCGGCAGCCAGCGTGACGGCGGTACCGGTTCTGCCGGCACGAGCCGTACGACCGACTCTGTGGACGTAAATCTCTAGTTTTTGAGGTGCCTCGTAGTTGATGACGGTGTCGACGCCCTTGATATCAAGACCACGAGAGGCAAGATCCGTAGCCAGGAGGTAGTTGACCTTACCGTCACGGAAGTTTTCGACACTGGCAATTCTCTTGAGAGGATGTTAGCTCATATTCATGATTGCACTAGTTCGAAGTGTGCTTACCTGTGCTTGGTTCATGCTACCGTGGAGCTCGGCACATGACAAGCCGAGAAGACCAAAGATGATTCTTGCCCTGTGAGCATCCTTCTTTTGACGGAAGAAGATGATGACCCTTTCGGTGTGCATCGTCTTGCAAATGTGAATAAGGTAGCCCATACGCTTCTCCTCTCGACCGGGACGCAAGCGAATGAACTCTTGTACCAGGGTGCCGACTGTCTTCTTCTGAGAGTCCACCATTACCCTGGCAGGCTTGTTCATTCCGACGCGGACCAGACGATCGACGGAGGATGTCATTGTTGCGGAGAACAACATGGTTTGTCTTGACTTGGGGAGGGTTGTCAAGATCTCGTTCAGTTCGTCAGCGAAACCGTCTTCGAGCATGCGATCGGCTTCATCCAGCACGAGAATCTCCACCGTGTCGACGTTGAAGCTGGCGGAGTTCCTCATGTGATCGATGAAACGACCAGGCGTGGCGATAATGACATCGGGCCTCAGCCTCAGCTCAATCTCCTGTGCCTTAAGACTCAGACCACCAACAGCCAGGGTGAACTTGATGTCCGTAAAAGCGGCAAGTTTCGTGGCGACAGCATGGCACTGAATAGCCAATTCACGGGTAGGGGTAAGAATGACTACACGGCTGGTAGGCACCTTCTTGGGCCTATAGATGAGACGCTCGAGGATGGGGACGACAAAGGCCGCCGTCTTTCCGGAACCAGTCACGGCACCACCAACAACATCCTTGCCCATGAGAGCAATGGGCACAGTCTTGGCCTGAATGGGGGTCGGTTTCGAGAAGCCAACTGCAGCGAGACCTCTAAGAATGGGACGCGACAGAGACATGCCCTGGAAAGACGTCGCTGTGTCCTTCTTGCCGGGCTTTGCGGGTTCCTCGGGCGCGAAGAAAGCATCACGCTTCGCCTGTTCTTCTGCGTCTTCCTCCTCGCTGTCCGACGAGTCACGAACGTCATCGGGGTGGTCCACTGGCGTCGCAACAGAGTCATTATCGGATGCCGCATCGTCGTTGTCTTCTTCCGCTTCGGATGCCTCGTCGTCATCCTCCTCAGCGTCAGCACCCATGCCAAAGGCGTCGTCGGCAAGGACTCCGTCCTCATCGTCGTCCAGGTCAATATCCATATCGTTGTTCAACTCGTCATCCAACTCGTCGTCGGCACCGTCCTTCTCTGTTAACTCAGGCTCGGATTTGCCGTTCTTCTTCTCGCGTCTTCTGCGAATGATTTCATCCAAATCCACGCCAAGCGACTCTGAGTTCTTCATGGACTTCTTCGCACCGTCGAAGCCCCATCCTTCAAAATCCGCTGCCTCGAATTCGACAGCGCCATCCTGGGCAAACTCGAAGTCGGAGTCCATAGCTCCATCGTCATTGTCGTTCTTTCCCCAAATACCCTCGCGTTCTTCTTCTTCCTCGGGCGAACCCTCCTTAGCAGCGGCTTTCTTGGCCTTCTTGGAGGTCTTCACCTTCTTCTTGGGGGGTGGCGCAACAGCCTCCTCTTCCTCAATAATATCTTCGTCATTGTCGGAAATTGTGTGGACGAAGTCGTCGTCAATTGGCTTGCGTTTCTGCGAGGGAGCCATGTTGGGCGGTTGAACGGTGTATAAAACGAATGGACAGGACCGCGGGGTATCGTCTGCTCTTACACAGGCTCTTCACTACCCAGCTCAATGTTCCAGCGCCAGAAATTTTTCTGAATGGACGGTGGAGCTCAACTTTTTTCTGCCGCCTCATGTGGGTCTGCCTACTAAGGCGGTCAGACGCTGTTACTTCGGGTGGGTACCACCAGATGGAAATGGGCTCAGTACGTTACGTACTCTTGGGCATTGCACGTGACACATTGTTTGTCATCTCATCGAATCGTCCAGTGATCAGCCAGTCAATGTTTAGGGGTAGGGGTTAACTCCCGAGTAATGACCCCACCACGGTTGATTGGGCGACCACTGATTGCCAACAATTTTGGCAGCCTTCACGCCGGGCGGCGACAACGCAACGAGATTTAATTTCTGCCCTTTTGACACTTAACTTGTCTTGTCCTAAGCCAAACTAGGTGTCTTCACCAACCGTGTCCTCCTCTTCCTACGCCATTGTGCATCTGCTTCTCGAGCGTTTCTTACGATTCCCTTTTTCGAGCGCGCATTTTTCAACCCATCAGAAAAAAGATTAGCCTCCAAAAGTCACACAGATACACAGACAAGATGGGCGAATCCAGGTTTGTGGCTTTCCATCCCCTTCTATCCTAGCGCGCCCTTTCCTCCACTACGACGCTCGGCGCGTCGGGAATCGAGCTCTCCCAACTAACAGTAAAGACTTTCCAGGCAAGAACTCATCCAGTGGTTGAACCAGCTGTTGTCTCTCAACATCACCAAGGTCGAGCAATGCGGTACGGGGTAAGTGCTTTGCCTATACCCCTCCCCCGCCATATGGCGATTTGTGGGACCCGATGATTTTTGGTCGTGGTGTTGCTAACGTTGGGCTCGACTGCAGCGCGGCGCTTTGCCAGGTGTTTGACAGCATCTTCATGGATGTCCCCATGTCCAGAGTCAAGTTCAACGTCAACAGCGAGTATGCCTACATACAGAATTTTAAGGTGTTGCAGAGTAAGTCCGCACTCGGAGCTACCAACTCGGACGCAAGGGCACACGGCCACTGACATTTATCTTGCCGCAGACACTTTTGCCAGGCACCAGATCGACAAGCCTATCCCCGTCGAAGCGCTCGTCAAGTGTAAGATGCAGGATAACCTCGAGTTCCTTCAATGGACCAAGAGGTTTTGGGACCTGAACTTCCCGGACCACGACTACGACGCCGTTGCCCGCCGCAAGGGCGGTGCTCTTCCCTCCTCCGGCGGTGGTGCCCGAGCTGCTCCCGCTGCCACCGCTGCCAGACGAGGTGGCACGACCCCCTCGGGTGGTCCCCGTGTGGCCAAGGCTGCCGGCCCCGGCACGGCCGCCCTCCAGCAGGAGAACGCCACCCTCAAGGAGACTGTCGTTGGCCTGGAGCGTGAGCGTGACTTCTACTTCAGCAAGCTCCGCGACATTGAGCTCCTGGTGCAGCAGGCCGTGGAGGAGGACCCCGAGCTCGAGAAGCAGGAGGACGGTCTCGTCAAGCAGATCCAGACAATCCTGTACTCGACAGAGGAGGGCTTTGAGATCCCTGCCGAGGGCGAGGCCGTCGACGACCAGGAGACATTCTAAGCGAATGGTGCGTCGGTAATGGAGTTCAGTTACTTAGTGCAAGGTGTCAGGACAATATGGACGCAGTAGACACTGCGAGATGGGGTTGGGGAGGTGAAGCAAAAGCACACGGGGTTTGCGTACAAATACCCTAAGGCGCGTAATAATCGTATACTGGCGATGAGGCTTAACGGCACTCGCACAGCTGAGGCGGACTGGGATAGAAGGTCAGCTAGCTGGTTGGAGTTCACGGCATTCCCATCCCATATGAACAGTCATGATAGAATCAAAACTTTTTTGTCTGGGAATCTTTTTATTGTCCGAGTCATTTATGTGGATATTTATTGGTGAATTCCAACACCAAGGGCTGGGGCGCGGGCCACGCATTTGAGACGGCTCGAGACGGTTCATGGTGTTTATTTTCGTCTGTCCTGCGCAGTAGCAGACTTGGGCGGTGGTCCTCGGAAGTTTCAACACTGGATCGTCAGAGGTTGTGAAGCTTATGCACGAACATGACTGGGCCGTCTAGTGTGGCTAGGGAGAGAGAACGTCGGATGAAAGTAACTAGAAGCAGCACACTCTTGTCGGCTTCTAGAACGAACAACTGGCCTCTATGTAGGCTAAATCGGTATTACAAACAGATCTTCACGACTTGTAGTAACGGAGCGTTGCATTAAAATGTCTAAAATGGGAACACGTTCGTCAATCGTTAGGCAGAGACATAGAGCGTCCCTCACGGCGTCAGCAGCGTGCCATTCGACTCGTCATGAGCCCAGTCCAGGTCCCTGACCTTTAACCCCCCGACGAGGTGTCCCAGATATGCGGTCATTCCTGCTGCAGGCCCAGTTTAGTGGTTCCACGCATGCGCCACAGGCGTCAAACAGCGCACACGACCTCTCCTGTTCCCCTTAGTGCGTGAAGCTTCCGCCCTTTCAGAAGCAGGTACCTGTGTTTTTAGGTAGTGTGCCATCCTTGTTTTTAAAGGACAGGGCCGCCGACTTTTCCAACCCAAGGTACCTAGCAAGCTGCAGCACACCTTGTGGAACTCTGAGAAAAACGACTAACTAGCTAGAGGTAAAGTTGCTGTTCACCGGGCCCAGAACGTGAGCATTTGTTAGTGTCTCCCCCGACCTGATGCAACCAACTTGCCGATTTCATCATTTCGTACAAACACCAAACTTGCCATTACTACAGCACTTGTAGCCGCCTTGAGATTGTCCTTTGTTTCTTTACCCCCAACCATCTGCTGACTCCATTAACAAAACTTGAACTCGACGACTCGATTGCATTCGACGACAAACAATCTTCCACAAAGCTAATCATCCTCCTTAGACACTTACACTCGTGCCCGACGAGGGGAGCCATCGCCGCACAACCGCCCAGACTCTCACCCAAGCGAGCTCACGCCCCTCGTCCAAACCCGACGAACAAAACATCCCATACTCTATTCTAATCCGTCAGACGTCCGTCTCCTACACACAACCAAAAAAAAAAAAAAACCTCCGCCCATTATGGCGCCCCCGGCCGAGATCTCCATCCCCTCAACCATCCTCTCGACTGGCGAAGCGAAGCCTTACACCTTGTACAATATCACCCTTCGCTTGCCCCTCCGCTCGTTTGTCGTCCAGAAGCGCTACTCGGACTTCGCCACCCTTCACCAGACCCTGACTTCCATCGTCGGCTCCCCGCCTCCGAAGCCGCTACCGGGAAAGTCATGGTTCAAGTCCACCGTCTCATCGCCGGACCTTACTGAGCAGCGCCGACAAGGGCTGGAGGCATACCTCCGCGCCATTGCTGAGTCACCGGACCGTCGATGGCGCGACACCACCGCCTGGCGCGCCTTCCTGAACCTCCCCAGCACCGGCGGCGGAAGCACCAATACCTCGGCTGCGAGCGCGCATGGTTTGATTACGAGCGGACGCGCTGGGGCGGCTGACCCCACGACCTGGCTTGATTTGCATCGAGAAATGAAGAGCAACCTCCATGAAGCACGACTCAGTCTTTCGAGGAGAGATGCCGCAGCCGAGAACAATAACAGCACTGGCGCAGCAGAGGCCGGGGCAGCAGCCAAGAAGTCGCTGGTCAAGGCGGGCACGCTGATAGGCAATCTCACCGCGGGGCTACGGACAATGCAGGAGACGGGGACTCTGGGTGACGGCGAGCTCCGGCGAAGGAGGGACCTGCTCGCATCCGCCCGCGTGGACAGGGAAGGATTGGAAAGGCTGAGCAACAGCATGTCACAAGGCAACGGGCGTGCCGGGGGTGGTGCCCGGGAAGGGTGGGCCTCGACGGGGGATAAGGCGGCATTGCTCGGCGGCGCCGCGGGCAGCAGCAGCGGGGCGAGGACCGGCGGCCGGGTCCTCGGCGCACCGCTACCCGAGACGGAACGCACGAGGGAGCTCGACAACGACGGCGTCGTGCTCCTGCAGCGGCAGATGATGAGCGAGCAGGATGAGCAGGTCAACACGCTCGCGGCGATTGTCAGGCGGCAGAAGGAGATGGGCCTACAGATCAACGAAGAGGTCGAGTCACAGACCAAGATGCTCGATAGGATGAACGAAGACGTCGATCGGGTGGGCGGCAAGATTGGCGTCGCCAAGCGCCGCATCGGCAAGTTCTGACTTCTTCGGAAGGGTCTGGGAGTCGTCGCCCACATCGTCGTCGGGCTGCTGGAGGTTATCGTATGGATGGTATGGATCGGCGGGCGGTTATTGGATGCTTTTGCGTGGTGCCTGGAGTTGGTTTCTGTTCTTGCTACGCATCGCCGGGCGTAAGGGCTTTTTTTCTTTGACTATGCACCGTTTTTTCCCCCCTCTTTTCTTTAACTCTTTATTACACGTTTTACATACAAAATGGTGACAATTATCCGTCGCAGCGAAATCTTGTTTGTTATTCTGTCTTTTTTTTTTTGGGGGGGGGGGGGGGGGGGGGGGAGGGAGGAGCCAGGGTCGGAGGAATTGGGTACTTGTGGCATGATTGAAGCGGTAGATCAGATTGTTACGTGCCTCCAGCGAGGCCTACGAGAAAGGGACAGGGGAAACAGACGTTGTATGTTGGAAAACCCGGTACATAATCTCTGTACAGAGGACTCGGAATACCATTTTGCTTTGCGTTATTAAAGACACTTCATTGTCAAGCGGTTCTCCTCTCTTCACTCTCGCGACATGGTTTACCTAAAGTGCTTGGTCATTACGTGGCCGTCGTCGTCATTGGGAGGCTTTCGCATTCGTATGTAGGCAGCCACGGTGTTGACGCGGCACCAAGAGATTTAGGTAGACGCCTATTCGCCCGTGAAGAAACGGCTGTTGGAAATGTGCAATGGATGATGAATGCAGGCGAAGGAGACCGAATTCGCATGATCGTATTACTTTGCGGTGCTTGAAGACATGGACCTTGCACTCGCATACTGATCACTCGTTGGTCTAGACAGAGAGACCTTGTTGGACGACGCCGGTCACGATATGATGCTATCTTTCAAAGCCATTGGTTAGAGCAGGTTGAGGTTAGAAACAAGCCATCTGTTAAACACTTGGATTGCGAGTGAATCTTGCTTTCCTGACAACCGTTTAAAATCTAGCCGCCAGCGAAGAGCCGCGTATGAAAGTATTTCCGCAAGCAATAGCCGTGACTGAGACAACCGTAAACAACAGCCTTTTTTGCGTACCTAATCACCAGTTAAGCAATACTCCCAGATGCATTCGACTCGAGCTAGTGTTTGAAATCGTCCCAAGAAGGCGGGCGGCAAAGGCAGCAAAAAAAGGGTTGTTGACATTCAACGCGACGGTGTGACCGCGCCGGACCGTTCCTCATGCACATGCAGACGGACTTATGGGTCAACCCCTGCCATTAACGACTGGTTGCATGCAGTCTCTGCGTGTCACATCACGTTGTCCATTTCTCTTTTCGTGGAAAAAGAAACGTGAGGCGATGAATTCGCCTCGGCGCTAGGCCAGCTTCGAAGACAGCCGTAGAGCCCCTTCTCAACAGTCGCCTCCCGAGGTATTCTTTGGATTCACCGCAGTGCGAGCACAAACTGGAGTTACGATTCGTCCGTGTAGCGCAGCACAATAACCGCTTGCCTGTCTCACGTAGCCAGGAGAGCCACCCACTGGTTAAAAGTCCCAGAGCGTCCGTTCAGGTGGGATGTTTGGCAACCCCCACTTGGTGACGTCTGGTACGTCACTCGGCGCAGGGGACAGGCACACCGTGCAAGGGGCCTCCCGCGGTTGCTGGGCAACGACACCGTTTTGGCGAAGACGAAAATCTATGGCAGGTCCACCACACCGCAACGGTTGGAGTCGTTGGAGTAGAGGGTAGGATAAGAAGAAGACAATGTCACAATTGCCGCCCAGCAAGTTTGATTAAAACCTGAGTTTGGCCCCCATCATGAAGGGTGTGGTAGCAGTCGCAATCTTTGCCCGATCACTCGTCACATTCGGCTCACTGTGAAGTCGAGCCCGATCGACCAAGGGAGTCCCAGAGGCTTCTGAGCGTAAGGTGTGCTTTTTGACGGGACCGGCGGATGTCTTGGGAACGGTTCCTGGCCAGCTGGCATGGCTCTCCCCCTCTTCCCATTGTACATCTTCCGTTCTAGCGCAGACAATCAGGTCCGTTCCCCACGAGGATTTGCTGGCACTTGCGCCGACGCCTCCCGGGGAGAACAGCCTCAGACTCCGCGATTCGCCGCTGGGAGTGGATCTTCCCCCAGTGATGGACCGCACAGGGCCAGGCGAGTCGGCAATGGGCCTCTCATAGGCAGGAGGGTGAGCAATTTCTTGGGATTGGGTAGTCGGTCTGTTACAACTGGGAGATGGAGAGAGGCACCAGGTGAGGGGAAGGACAACAGAGACCTGGGTCCTGCGGTATTTGTGGTGCTGCTATCTCGATGAGGAGTTCCTGCTGCGGCTGCTTGGCGGTGGACATGGCAACGGCGGTTTGTTTTGGCGATCTGTTGGTGGTGAGTGGTGCGAGGGGTTGATGATGCTTTGTGTCCTCTTCCAGTTGGATAATGGCGGTGTGTAAATGGGTGTGCTGGACGCAACAGCATCAGAATGAGGCCTGCCCCTCTTGGTCATGGCATACGTAGTACATACAAAGCAGAGGGGAATCCGAATGGGGCCCCCGGGATGAGGGCAGTAGAAGGACAAGATGGGGGCTTTTTTCGTGCTGGCTGCCGTCATGAGTCGGAAGCGGAGGTTGGAGCTTGGTCATCCGTGAAATTGGCTTTTTCAGGGTCTTGCTGCGGCAGGGAACACCCTATGAGCCAAAAGGTCGGGCTGGGATGACTTTTTTTTTTTTCTTTGCTTGCGTCCAACTGTCAACCTCCAACGGTCTCACTTATCCGTAGTTTTGAGAGGAACAGCCAAGGCTTCCTTGCCAACCGGAATATGCGGGTGCAACGGATAAAGAATCATACTTTGAGGCTAAAGAAATCCCAACGGTAGCAGCAGTGGAAGGAGCTTAACCCAGGGGCGCACCTGCCATTGAAAGGTAAATCGGGTGTTGCTGTCTATCAAATGTCACCATTCCCTCGCTTAAGCCAGTTGGTGTGGTTGATGGGGAGGTTAGTGAGTTCAGAGTGGGTCTCTGTCCACTGGAAGCCGTAGAGCTTAGTGGGCTGAGGGTGGGCAATCAACTACTAGACTGAGCAACCAGCCACTAGCGCCCACTCATCATCACCCAAAAAAAACTGCCTAAACCGCCCAAACCGAACCCGCCCGCTCCTATCCAATCCCCCCATCCCATCCCACACCACCAAGTCTCCCGCCCATTCGATCACTTCCATGAGAAATTCCCAAAGTAAACACAAAAGAATTCCTCAACCTTCCCGCTTGCTACCCATTCCCTCACCATTTTACAATCTTCGGCCTACTCCAAAAACGGTCTCCTGATATCATTCCGATCAGCCCTTCGACCTGACTTACTAACCAGCAGGTCAATCCCGACGACAATCCTGTCTCATTCCCCCGCGATCGGACACGATTCATTCCGCTAGCAACCAACAAGGGGAAAAAGTGCGAGGCCAGAGCAACAGCATAGACACTGTCAAATCACCAAATATTCCGATTCTCGCTCTGCAGCTTTGACGCCCTTATTTCTGGGTTTGGGTCTTTGTTTTTGCTTTACTGCTGCTTGTGAGTCTGGTCCCTTTTGCTGTCCAGCTGCTCTACCCGCCTTTTCTTTTTCTTTTTTTTGGTAGTCCATGACCACATGTCAACAACACTCTTGTTACTCCTATTTTTTCTTTGCGGTTGGAAATTTACTCATGGCCTCTGTGCAGACACTTCACGATTTGACGACCACCAATGGCCAAAACGAGATACCACTAGAGTTCTGCTTTTTCTACCCTCGAGACTGAGTCTCCAACAGAGCTTTGCGGCTCTTTCGGCCACGGAACACTCTGTCAACCCGCCCTCACTTCCTAGGGCTGAAGTCTACCCAACATGAGCGGTCCTCCTCCGCCTCCGCCACCCCATGGCGAGTCACCAAAAACCACTGCTGGTTCCCCTCCTCCTGGCGCTGGTTTGGGGCCCGGCAACTACGACATCTTTGTCATTCCACAGCGCGACAAAGGTGGTGGCTTCATCTACCTACCTTCTCTCGCCCCCAATGGCCCCAGCTTCGCAGCCGGCTTTGCTTGCGCCCTCGTCATGGTTGTCCTATTCCAGAGCATGGCGCCTGCCTTTCGGACTTGGTGGGGAACATATCAGGGCATGGGAAATATGGGAATGAGCCTCTTAGTTATTGCTGTTGGTGTAGGAGCATGGGCATGGGGTAAATCACAATCCCAGCCCACATCTACGAATGGTGGGAACGGCTCAAATAATGGCGGCTACCGTCCCGGCCCAGGAGGATATGGCACTTACGCAGGAAGTGGAAATTTCGCTGGTGGCTTCCCTGGAACCGGCGCTCCACCCCCTCCTCCGCCTCACGGGAACCAGCACAATGGCCATTCTTCCAATGGATCCTATGGCTCCGCCAACGGCGGTCCTAGATCATCCTGGCAAGAGCGGCCGCAAGAGCGACCTCAACAGCCTCCGCCTCCCCCTCCCCCTCGTCGAGAGCCGGAGCCGGAACCCGAGCCAGAGCCTGAACCGGAGCCCGAGCCTCGCAAACCTGATCCTCCTCCGAAGGCAAAGCCCGAGCCTAAACCCGAGCCTAAGGCTCAGGCTAAACCTGAGCCAAAGCCAGAGCCAAAGCCTGAGCCAAAGCCTGAACCGAAACCAGATCCCAAGAAGGCTCAAAAGGGTGCTTGGGAGAAAGCCCGGGAGGAGACGAGAAAGCGTGAGGAAGAGCGTAAAGCCAAAGAGGAGGAAGAGAAGCGTAGAGCTGAGATTACTCGTAAGCTTAGGGAATTTCGCGAGAGAGAAGCCCGCGAGCGCGCACGAAGAGAGCAGGAGGATCGTGAAAGGCGAGAAAAGCTTGAACAAGACATTCGCGAGAAGGAAGAACTCAAGCAGAAGCTTGAGAAGGAACGACAAGAACGAGAAAAGCTCCAGCGCGAGAAGGAAAAGGCTGAACAAGAAGCCAAAGAGGCCAGAGAGCGCGCATTCAAGGAAGCAAAGGAGCGTGAAGAACAGGCCGCCAAAGAACGTGAGGCTAAGGAGCGCGAAGAGGCGCGGAAGAAGGAAGCTGCCGAAGCTGCCGCTCGCAAGGCTCGTGTCGAGGCACAACTCGAGGCCTTTCGCAAAGCTAAGAAGGAACGCGAAGAGGCAGAAAAGGCAGAGAAGGCGAAGAAGGCTGCCGAAGAGGAAGCAGCTCGCAAAGCCAAGGAAGAGGCTGCCCGGAAGGCAAAGGAAGAGGCTGCCCGGAAAGCAAAGGAAGAAGCGGATCGCAAGGCCAAGGAAGCAGAAGAGGCCGAGAAGAACGCTCGCAAGGGAAGTACCTATGCTTTCTCATCGGTCGGTGAGAAGACGAGTATGTGGCCAAACGGTCGACCGCCTGCCCCTCCCTCCGTCGCCTCAACACCACCACCCAGACCTCCCCCCTCTGCTTCGTCGTCTGTTCCCCCCAAACCTCCCCCCTCTGCTTCGTCGTCTGTCCCCCCCAGACCTCCCCCATCAACCAGTTCGGCTCCACCAAGGCCAGCACCTTCTGCAGCTTCATCAAACAACACGGCCAGACCGCCCCCGAGGCCATCAGCGCGAACCGTCGACGAAGACCAATATTCGTACCGACCCTACGATAAACCGAGACACAAACCAGCTTCGTCAGTTGGATCCGAGTCATCGTGGGCCCCGTCCGCCACCACCACGAGAACGACGCCGCCGCCTAGCATGCGCGGTCCGTACACGACGAAGGACCCCGATAAGATTGTCATCAGAGCTGTCTATCTGTTCATGAACCAGTTCGCCAAGACTCCCGCCAGCCAGCTCGTGTCGGGGTTTGGTACGGTGACGGATGGACTGATTCTGCGGATAACGACCGAAGGCCTATTCATCGACGACGACGTCCGCGGCGTCCCCCAACGCGAGTGGGACGTCAAGGCCTGGACGCTAAAGCTGGTCGAGGTATGGTGCCCCCCGCACTGCTTGAATTCCACTGCTGCTCCTGCCCCTGCGAATTCTGCGAACCATCCTTCGGGTTTGTTTCAAAAAATGGCGAATCAGCGAGCCCGTACGGCGGACAGAGGCGCCACCAAGATGCTCACGGGGGACGAAGCCGATGCCTACCTGACCGAAATGTTGCGTGCTTGCAAGAGTTGTTGTCGTCTTGGCTTGTGCGAAACAAAGTTCAAAGATACTAACATCCCATCTTCGGCTGGACAGACTGGGGAGTGGAAGAACAAGAGCCTGCACGTGCTGCGTGCCACAGTCCGAGATCAAGAGGGCAAACGATACATGTTTGTGTTGGACGAGGAGGAGGCCTGGAAGGTCGCCGTCGGCGTGCAGAGGCTGCGTAAGGGCACCCAGGTGCGCTCGCTGGGTGTCAGCGGCATGAGTGCCTCGGACGCGAGAGGCACTCTCGAGACGCTTGGCTGGGGTTGAGGCATCTACCTCTGGCTGCGTGGCGGCTTCGATTCGGGTCAATACTTCTTTTTTTTCCCCCTTGGGCGGTTGCGGACCGTTTTTTTGTTGATAATACTTTGTGTGGCTGGGAGATTAATCATGTGGAGATGACAGGAAGGCAAGCTGCTATTTATGTGGCATGACCGAAAAGTCGGGTGACGTGCCAGATGGGCATTTCAGTTTGGGGGGTGTGGAATTTGGTTGCATAGCAGAGCGAGGACGGCACATTCCAGGAAAGCCGGACAAAAACATAGCCATGATTTCTACAGCATTGATGGGCCCGGGCGGGCACATCCTAGGATACCTCCAGTTTTCGTCACTCACACTCGGACAACTCCCGACAGGTTGGGTCTGGTCTGAGAGTGGTGATGGTTCGGATAACGATGATACGATTTTTACAACAATGGCTCTGAACTTGCTCTGTGCTGGTGGTGATTGATTCTATGTTCGATATTTGCTGATGGTGTTACCAGCCTCTTGCGTTTTGGATGCTGACCAAATTTTGCTCGTCAGGCTGGCTTCTCCTGCATAATGCTTGGAGTAAGACTCCATTAGGGATTATCCTTGCGACAACACCAGGCTTTGATGTGTTTGTTTGGGACTCTAATTCTAACTCCTCGGTGACGTTATCCAATCAGCTGAGTCAAAGAAGGTGTTTCAATCCATTGGCCACCAGCTGTAAAAGTATTCCAAGTAATTGATGTCCAACTCTTAGCATATCTCCTTATCATACATAGTAAGTCCCTCCACCAGGGCTATCGTTATTTGATATGCTGGGATATCTTAGCAATCACCACGTATAACGATGACTATTTCGGAGTTTATAATCCACGGTGGCCGCGTTCACCCTTGGAGTCTTTTGAAGCTGGTGGAGAACATTAGGCTCAGAAGGGGTCAAATCAGAGACTTAACCAAGAGAAGACAAGACATTGCTCCAACTCGTATTCTACTCTGTCTCCAACTTCTCTAGGAGCTGGGCTTAGCGTTAACGTCCCACACCCACTTCTGGGCACCCCCCACATTTGGGCACCCCATTTACACCAAAAACGCCGTTTTTCGAAATTCTATATTAAACTAAATACTTTACTTATTAAAGAGAATAAATATATATTAAATAGATTAAGACTTAATTATAATACTTAAGTAGCTATATACTAGTATTATTAATAATAAGTATTATAAATTCAAGGTTTAACATTTATAATACTAATTTACCTAGCCTATATCTTAATATATAAAATAGGTAGAGATATTTAACTAATATGATTAGAATTTTTAAGTAAGATATAGTAGATTTATATATTCTTATACTTAGTAAAAAATTCTTTAAGCTTAGAATAATATTTTAAAATTTCCCTTAAGAAAAGTTTCTATTATAGAATTTTAACCCTTAATTATACTATATTTACTAAAGTAATACTTTTAAATCTCTTTTAGATATAATTATATACTTTTAATAAGTATAAATATTAATTTCCTAGATTTTTTAAATAAGTATATATAAGCGAAAATATATTTTTCTAATGTTAAGGAATACTAGTAAGTTACTAGTATCTACTAACATTTTAAAGCTTTTAGTTTTAAACTTCTATATTATAACTATTATTATATTTAAACCTTTATAAAAAATTAGATGGCTATAATTATACTTAACATAGTTTATATATATTTTCTTTTCTTAGTAAGTATAGTAGTTAGTTTAATATAGAATTTCGAAAAACGGCGTTTTTGGTGTAAATGGGGTGCCCAAATGTGGGGGGTGCCCAGAAGTGGGTGTGGGACGTTATACCGAGGTGTTTCTTATCGGTGGGACCGCGAGGCGGGGAGGTCTGTATCCGAACGCTTGGCCAGCAGAACCAAGCATGGGACTTTTGGATAAGACCTTGGCTCCGCAATGCCGGTTTTGTCTCAAACAGTGCTGTTCTTCGTGTTGGGAATGCTTCTTAGAATATCTCTGCCTCTGGAGGCCTTTGCCCTTAACGAAGGCTGTGAAGACCAGCTGATTCCTCGACTGCGATGCTGTAAACATCTTTCAGCATCCTCCATCAGGCATTGCGTATCATGGGTTCTTGGTATTGCTCTTATTCACACATCTCACCTAGGACCCCGCCGGCAATCGTCCCGCTTCTGCCAATACATCGGGCCCGATGAACACGCCCATTCCCGACATCGGCCGGAGTCCTCAACACCACTCTTGACTAATCCCCTCATCTAGTGAAGAATCCCGACCGATTCTTCACTCCAATTACCGAGCAATGGAGCAAGGATCCCCGCTTTCTACGGCGGTAGAGGTAAGCGAGGGTGAGGGTGCCAATGGGGACGGCATCAACTAGCGATGCACTCGTGGAGTCGATGATAAGCACCCGGCCGTCGAGGCCACCGAATCAGATAAGCCCGTAAAACAGCGATGTTACATACTGCTTCTCAAGGGTTCACAATCCTTAGCACTGAGCAGTTCTATCATGGCGTTAGATAATGAATTCCCTTGTTACTGGGAGGTTCTCCGCTAGGCGGGCTATAAAGATGCCGCGGCCGTATAATCCAGAAAGTTTGATGAGAGCCATTCCAAGCCTCAGCTCTTGAAATGAAAGCCTTTGCATTTCTGGGCCTCGCGGCCTCCGCTGCTGCACAACTCCTTCAGACTGGCGCATCGCTCAAGCTCAATGACGTCTACTATTTCGTCTCCCCGTTCTCTCAAGGCAAAGCCTACGACGGGGCTCTAAACATCAAGAGTCTCCCTCGCGCATTTGGCTTCACCCCGATAACCGTCATCTCTGAACCCGTCGCCAAGAATGACCTAACTAGCCTGTTCACCAACTGGACTATGGAAGATGATGTCTGGCAGCCCGCCTTCCTGTCTTCCATCTTTCTCGCCGGCATCGACTCTCCTTGTCTGACGAAGGAAACCTTCGACGGGAGTAACAAGACGCAGTCCATCGTCGTGCCGTTGAACAAGGACAGCTCGCTGCCTTCTGGCCCGTATTTCTTGGATACCACCACCGGAGACGTCTACCAAGCCTTCCGTCTGTACGACGACTTCGCCGGAGCATTCAGCGAGTCTCTCTTGCAAATCCCGCAGGGCACGTTCCAGACACTCTCCGCGCAAGTCCCCAGCTCCGCTTCACTCACCATCGGCGTACCGTCGCGGCTGTACTTTACGCCAACGGCAGAGAAGCCTCTTGCCGGCGTCAGAATCGGCGTGAAAGACATTTACTCCCTCGCCGGCGTCAAGGGCTCCAACGGTAACAGGGCGTGGTACGCCCTGTACCCGCCCGCCGAGAAGACCGCTCCCGCGATCCAGAGGCTCATCGATGCCGGTGCCGTGATCGTGGGTTTCCAGAAGCCGTCGCAGTTTGCCAACGGAGAATCGGCGACGGCGGACTGGGTGGATTATCACGCGCCCTTCAACCCGCGCGGCGACGGCTACAATGATCCCTCATCATCATCGTCAGGGGCCGGCGCGTCGGTTGCGTCGTATGAGTGGTTGGACATGGCGGTGGGAAGCGACACAGGCGGCTCGATCCGCGGGCCGTCGGGCGTGCAGGGTCTCTTCGGAAACCGCCCCTCGCATGGTCTCGTCAGCCTGGACGGCGTGATGCCTCTGTCTCCTACCCTCGACACCCCCGGCTTCCTGACCAGAGACCCGTATGTGTGGGATGTCGCGAATAAGGTCCTCTACGGGGATAACTATACTTCGTTTGTAGGCAACGAGGTCAAGTACCCCAAAACGGTGTACACGCTTGGGTTTCCCACAGATGATTCACCTGCTGCGAGGCTGCTGAACGTGTTCGCGGACGAGGTTGCAAAGTTCCTCCAGACGAACCTCACGGAGTTCAACCTGACTGAATCCTGGGCGTCTACCGGGCCGGAAGAGGCGAGGAAGGCGAGTTTGGCCGATTTGTTGGGCAAGACGTACGCGACGTTGATTTCCAAGGAGCAAACGACCCTCGTCCGCGATCCATTTTACGCCGACTACGCCGGTAAAGTCACCCTTATCCTGAACTCTTGACGTCGTCCAATAAAGCTAACACTGCAAAAAGCCGCTCACGACGGTCGCCGCCCCTTCGTCAACCCGGTCCCCCTCGCCCGCTGGGCCTGGGGCGACGCACAGCCCGCTACAGCCCTCGACGAGGCCAGGGCGAACAAGACGATCTTCATGGACTGGTTCAACAGCCAGGTTCTCGTTCCCGTCGCGGACCCCGCGGCGTGTTCCTCGGGGCTTTTGTTGTACGTCGGCAGCTCCGGCACCGCGAGTCCGAGAAACCGGTACCCCAACGCCCCGGGCACGCCGCCGCTGGGCTTTTCGAACGGGAGGTTGTCGATTTTTAGCGGTGCACCGGATCACGTTTTCCCCGTGGGCGAGGTCGGGTCCATGAGTTCTGTGACGAATCATACGGAGATGTTGCCTGTTACTGTCGATGTCATGGCCGCGAGGGGGTGCGATGGGTTGATTGTGAGGCTTGCGCAAGATTTGGTGGCCAAGGGGGTGGTGAAGGTTCCGAAGACTGGTGCAGGTATGACGGGGGGTGATGTGTTGATGAGGAGGGATGTTCATGAGTGGTTTTGAAGTCACTGGCTGGCAGTGGTGTGATCATAGAGGATGTGTCAAGGTAATGATACGGGCAGAGTAAGTGAATGGCTTATGATTTGGTAATTGATGATTACCTTACGATGGAGACACCGGAATTTAGTAAATATAATGGGACTGTTACATGATGTACCCTGAGGTATTTGTCGCTCTTGATCGCAAACGAAGGAAACCAGTATGCTTGTGATAGTAGGGCTGGCTTGCCTCTTTCTAGAGCCAGATAGTAGACAGACCAGCTCTTGAATCAAAAAAAAAAGTAACAAAACAAATGCATGAAGTTGAAATTCATGAAGCGCGCAAATGCATCGTGAGATGGTCTGCTGCTCTTAAGATGGCACACTTATGTTCTCATTCCACCAACGCTAAGAAACTTTGCTGGCGATGGCGGTATACGCCTTTAGCTCCTGGAACGCGCTTTCGTGCTCGCTTTTTATTATCCTAGCATGGTCCGAAGATCGAGGCGCAATGGAGCAAGGAAAGGGCAGAGGGCTTGAGTTGAAGCCGTCTGAATATGAGAAGCTGCAATCGTGTAAGATGGTAAAGATCCAAGTAGTAAAAGGCCAGACTTACATGTCTACGTCAATATCTCTGCCCTTTTCATCCTTACCCGGGCTTATGTCGAAGCCCCAAAGAATGCGCGCGATGTTGATTGCCACCGACGCGGATCCGAGGTGCATCCCAGGACAGATGCGCCGACCCCAGCCGAATGCGCTGTGGCCGAATGTGCCGGCATACTCGCGGTTTTCTAGGAACCTTTCGGGTTTAAACACGTGTGGTTCTGGAAAATCTGCCTTGTTGAGGTGGACTAGAAGCATTCTTAGAAATGTGATCGGGAACTTTGAGAGAATGTTGGCTTACTGCTCCACAACGGTGCGATGATGGTGCTCCCCTTTGGTATAAACATTCCCTTGTACACATAGTCGGCAGTACTAGCATGCGGTGTGCCCCCGAGGACAGCAACAGGTCGCCATCTTAGCGTTTCGGACGCCACGGCTCGGATATACTCGAGTTTGTCTAGGTCTTCAAATGTGGGAAGTCGACTATTTCCAACGATTCGGTCGAGCTCCTCCCGGGCTCGCGGGATGAAGGAAGGTCCAAATTTTACGCATGCCATGAGGAAGCTTGCGAGAGATCCGGCCGACTGTTGGTATCAATATCAAGTCGTTCCTCGAAGGAGAATTGGGTGACTTACAGTTTCTACGCCGGCCCCGAAGGGTGACCCCGCGGTGTAGGCGATTTCTAAATCCGACATACCCAAGCTGGCTTGCTCTTGCAAGAGATGTTTGGCAAAGCACTCAGATGAGACGCCTCTAGCAACTTTATCTCGAACTTCGTCCATGAGCTTAGTGTACAACTCGATATCCTTCCGTCTTTGTCTTAGGACTTCGGCTTTCCAAGGAGCCAGAAAGCTGGGGATATACTTTAGTGCTGGATATCGCTCCACTGCAAACTTTCCCGGAATACTGCAAATATTATCAGGAAAATAGTCTACTATATGGGCGTCTAAAGCGCATACTTGACGGAAGTCAGACGTCCCATGGACTCGGCATTGCGCTGTACAACAATGTCGGTTGTAACGTCCTCGACCCTCCGGCCGTAGGTGACGGTTATAATGACCGACGCCGCATATCTCTCTAGATGCCTTCGATAGTTTTCCGGGTCTGTGAGGAGCTCGTGCATGAGAACCTTGGACTCGAGATTCTGGATCGGCCGGTAGGTCTCGCTCTGCCGCTGCATAAAACCACTGTGTAGGAGCTTCCTCCAACGTCTCCAATAAGATGAGTACGGCGCCATCAGTCCTCTCATGCCACCGGAGAGCAGTTCACCGCCCATGATGAAGCGTGGGCGCGAAGAGAAGATGGCGCCCTTCTTCTCGAGGAGGTCCCATGCTGCTTGTGCAGAGCCTAGGATGATGGTTGGTGTTGGACCGAGTTGGAGGTAGACAACGTCGCCGTACTCTTGGCTCAGCTCTTGGAACCAAAGCCATGGTTTTCGAATGCCTGTTTTGATGACTTTAGGGCCGGGTGGGAGATGTGATCGGTGGGAGTAGAGCTTCCACTCCTGTAGCAGCTGGATGAGCGAGGGTTAGCAATGGTTGTTGGTGCTATTCGGGGTGGGAATGTACTCTTGGAAATATAAGTGCAAGATATGAAATGGTCACAAGTACTGCGACCCATGTAACAATAACAAACATTGTCCTTATTGGTTTTTTGTCGTCCAGCAGTTCATGCGAGTAAGGTAACAACACGTCGAGGAATTGGGTGCGTCAAAGACTAAACACTCGTACATCAATAAAACCGATGAACTTTCTGCGCCGAAGCTGATGTGAACCGCACAGAACTCGCTGTTGCAAGAACCGAATGCCCGAGGTTGTTGGTCTGTAATCAGCGAGCTACCTCAGTGGTCAATGTCAAATGCCGACGTCGGTGAGACAATAATAGCTGCAAGCCACTCCCCACTGATACGGGGTCATCCAAGACCGGCTGACCGACTTTTGAATCTTGTGCAAGCGAGATGGTAAGTGAGCTAGCATGATATCGCGATGTGACTGGCATAGGAACCCCGCACTGTGAGCTGTGGATGACGCGGGGAAGCATGTTTGCTACCGGAGACTGGGTTCCCCCATGTATGTTGGGTGCTGACAAGAACCTTACCAACATTATGCTTGAACGGGTAAGTATACCCTTGCATTATGTGTTATATATTTCTGTGAGGTAGTGACGGTTGATGCTGGTATTCAACGAGGTTATATGTACTGCCAAACGGCTTGTGAAACCAGGCTGTTTGAAGGGAAAGTTCCAAATTATAGTCACAGTTCATAATACGATGCGCAGCTCATCGGCTTGGCTAAGTAAGCCGTTTTTAACATCCATTTTTCTAGGAATAGGAGGGTTTCTTTACGGCTAGTAGGCAACCACCCTGGACATCGAGCTCTCCCGTTTGAACTTGTAGTACTGACGTCAGACAGTGATTCCGGCATTATTACACCCAGTCTAGCACTGAAGTCTTTCTTAACATACTTTGGAAACCCTAACGCGCCTTTAAGAGGTGCTATTGTATCTGTGTATCAAGCCGGAGGTACTGCCATCACCCCATCCATATCCTCTACAGAAATCTAACACATGAGATTAGCATGGCTTGGAAGTGCGTCGGTCGGAATCACTAGTGACCGCCTCGGTCGCCGGCGGGCTATCGCCTTTGGTTGTATTTGGGGGGTCATTGGCGGAGCACTGATGGCGGGAGCCGCTCACGTTACCATGCGTAAGTTCTTCAGAAGTGGCATACACTACTTGGACTTACCACATCCTAGTGATCATGGGTCGTCTCCTTGTTGGATATGCTGTTGGTACAATTACCGGCGTAGCTCCTGTGTTCGGCGCAGAAATTGCTAAAGTGAGTTGTCTTGATGTGGATTGTGGGCCTAACTCTGACAGAGATTAGACTCACGAACGAGCTAGAATCACCGCCGTTAACCAGATGAGTATATATACCTTTGTTGAAATGTTACCTCCAACATTGGTTAACCTGTGGCAGTGGTCGCCTGGGGTTTCTTTGTGGCCCTATGGACCGGAGTCGGCGAGGGGAAATGGCATAATCCCAACCAGTGGAGACTCGGGTTCGCGATTCAGAGTATCCCAGCTCTCCTCCTCGGCGTTGGGGTACTTTTCCTAGGAGAATCTCCCCGATGGCTATGTCTGAAAGGCCGCGATGAAGAAGCCGAACGAGCTTTCCGAAGCTATCACTTTAATGGCTCCAATGATGAATGGTGCCGTACCGAATTCACCGTCATCCAGGTCAACATTGCAGAGGAGTTGCAAGCTCAAGGGCGGCTTTCGTGGGGCGACTTGTTCAAGACGCCTGCCTTCAGGAAACGGCTTTTTGTCGGATCGTTCGTATGGGCAGCCGCCATGCTCTCTGGAATATCTTTCGTTCAGTATTACCAGACTGCTATTTATGCCACTCTCCAGTTCGGCCAAGACCAACAGCTGCTCGTCAGCGGCCTGTACGGGTCTGTTGCACCTGTTGCTTGTATTATCTCTCTTTTCTTTGTCGACCGTGTGGGACGCAAGAAGATACTTATCTGCAGCTCCTCACTTCTCTCAGTTTGCTACATGATCATTACAATTCTCGCTGCCCTGTATCCAGCGCGACCCGGGTTCCCTACAAACGAGGCAGCTCAACGGGGCCTCATCGCCTGCATCTTTGCTGTTTCGGCCAACTATTCAGCGCTCTTGGGGCCGATGACATGGATTATTCCGTACGTATTCTGAGTCTACGCTTTTGTATACTCTTACTGATTATGATCACAGGCCGGAAGTCTTTACCACCGAACTGAGAGCCAAGGCCAACGCCATCGTACAAGTAATCCATTACTCCATCAGCTTGATTATCACCCAATGTTCTCCTATTGCTCTGGCTGAAGTCGGATGGAAATATTACGTACGTTAGTTTTGCTTGAATTTAAGACTAGGTGCTAACAGAAGCAGATCCTCTTCATCCTAACTAACGCCGTGTGTGCTGTTGTATTCGCATTATTTTATCCAGAAACAAGGGGTAAGATAAAATCGAGTGAGAGAATTGCTCTTGTTTCTAACGGGTTGCAGGAAAATCGCTTGAGGAAATTGATGAGATCTTTGGGGATGTCAAGGTTGTTCGCGGTGCCGATATTGACATCGTTGAAAAAGCTTGCGTAGACGAGATAGACACCCCCCAGAACACTAAAGCATAGGAGTAATGCCAATGAAACAATAGTAGAGTAGAGTATATACGCTTTAATAGGCATATAAATACTCAATGTATTTCAGAAACCCTTTTCTGGTAGTTTTCATCTCAACGGAAGCTTCCTTTCAGTGACAAAAATTAAGATGTTCACTGTTTAATACAGAAGCCACGCTCGCCAGCGTCAACCCCATACACCAAGCTTCTTACGCTCCAATGGCCTTAAGTTAGCTAGAATCCTGCAACTTCAAAATATTGCATTGATTTTGTTGGTAGTCTGTTCGACAAAAAGGTTACATAGAGCGAGAAACACGTATTTCGATAATCAAAGACGTACCTTAGTTGACCTGCGCAGACTAAAAAGAGACAGGTTAGAAACTAATTTACAATAACGACTTGAAAATCTGGCATTTAGTCCTAATGAGAAGAGAAGATAAGTCTATTATACGTCGACGGCTCTGAAATATGAGGGGATTGGGATTTTCTTCACCCTTGCATGAGGTCAGAATTCTCTGTCAACCCCCAAATTTTTGGAATATACTGTGCATTCATGAAGCTACTGTTACTTATTATACCGGCCTTATATTACAAAGCCTACCAGTAAACGACTCGAGCTAGGTTTCAGCATCCAGGTCATACCCAACGAGGACATTCGCCCATGTTCTAGGCACCTATCTTCTCGCCTTGTTGGTAAAATAAGCAGGCAGCGGCGGCTGGCAGCATTCAACATGTTCGTAGGTCGCCTTTTCATCATCTGCATCCGAGACATCTCTTCCGCCTACATGCTGGCGTGTTGCAGCCACCCTCAGTGTCTCTAAATCCTTCTTTACTATCCGTCCATAGTGCATACGTCCAAGGATGGTAATGATTGCGTAGGCCCACAGGGCCATGGTGGCAATGCTCAAAAACATCCATGCATGAGCCCAGTTCTTCAAGCTTTCTGGCCATTCGCGCTTCCAGAGGCAGTGAATTAAAATGAACCCAAAGCCTTGGATAATGATCCACAGGAAGAAGTAGACGAAGATGGTTTTACCCGGACGATTCGGAGGCGGCGAGATACAACGGTGGGTAATGTAGATGATGAGAGAGAGACATTGGGCGATGAAGAATACGACCGAGAGGGCGATGATTGTTGCGTTCTTTTGGGGCTGGGAAAGGCTGATAAAGATGGAAAGGAGAGCGGCGGCTGTGAACGCACTTATGACGAGCAGACCGCTGATTATGGGCGAGGAATTGACCAGGCTTCTTTTTGAGATTTCGGCTTGTGATAGTGGTCTTGGGCGGTTTTCACACCGGCATAGGTATTTGCGGATGGTTTCAAGCATGATGTTGAATTTGTTGCCAGTAGACAATCGATCTTACGGTATCTCTTGATTTAGAGAGTTAAGGCGTTTTTGATATGGAGAATTTTGCATTAGAAACTAATTGGTGTGCTTGTGTTGACTACAATGTTCAATTCGAAGTGCGAATTGGTAACTTGACGCTCCTTCTTATGGCTTTCAGGAATTGCACAGTAACTGCCTTCATGGCCCAAGTCTCAACAACACAGCGATCATTTTCCGAGGCTTCATGAGAGTTCTCAACACAACGTATGAGGGTTTTGTGGCTTGCAGAAGGCCCTAAGCCAGTCATGACCCGGATGGGAAGGAAAAACGTTCACGGTAATGAATGGTATGAACGCAGCTCGGAGTAGAGGCAATAGAGTCTGAGCCATTGACAGTGATCAGACTGAAGTATTAAAGCACAATGAGGCACAGCCAGCCGTTCCCAAATAGTGGCATGCTCGTATTCTCGTTTACCTTATCGTGGGACCCGGATCATCGCCAAAGATACAAGTCACGTTGACACGTCAGATGGGGGATTAAAAGATGCCAAACTACTGATTTTGAAATGGTAAATAACCTCTTGCACTTAACACCCACTTAAAGTCTGATCATGATGTGAGGCCATACCTTCGACGACAAAAGACCATATGGATATGGTGTTTGCCCATCCTGCTCGACTGGTGGCCCGTCACAGGTTTCCCATGGCTCGGTTGCCCTTCGCACAAACCATCTCGTACAAACACGTAGACGAATGCTCCTCTTTCCCCTCTTCTAGAATACCAACTTTGGAGCAACAATGAGACTAAAGACTACCTTGTGCTGCTCGACCAAACAAATCTCCAGTACAATCGGCTCCATCGCAACCAGGGACACCCCACGCCGGGATCTTCGCCGACATGCCTCCGTGTCAGCTGCGCCCCGAAAAAAGCTTCCCAAAGCATACTTTGGTGTAGTGTACATGCTGTGGTAATTTCATCCGAAACTTTTGTCACCTCCCCTTGGATGTCGTTCCGACCTGTGGGAAGCTTGCAGTAATGTGCAGAAACAACCCCGCAGGAGCATACGGTCTCCGATCAAGTCCAGCCAGTGAAGCAACGATTATGCAAAGTCTTGACTAATGTGCACGTTGCAGCACCAAGACTAAGGGGCTGGCAGTGGACTTGGTGGAGCATTTGCTAGCCTTGGCCATAACCTTGGAGTTGATAGCTTGAGCGTGTTGTACCGAGAAATTCCCTACGTCCTAGGCCACGATTCCTACCATGCAATCTTTCAAAGCAGGGCTCCTAGATGCTCCGTTTGCACACCTACTAATTCTCACTAAATCAGGCTCGGGTCCGCCAAGTTATTACCGCAGGCTTAGCTGCAGAAACAGGCAGCGAAAAAGAAAGTCACAAAGGTCAATGAGCTGTCCAAGCCGCATGTGCATTAGAAGCGCAGATGGGCATTACTCGGATAGGTACTTGTTCTCTATTCGCGGCCCATCCGGTCTCCAGAAAAAACCCAAAGGTCCACCTTGCTAGCGGCCGCTTATGGGCGAGTGCCCCCTGTCCATATCGGCTTTAACCACCAATTTGCTGAGTGAGGGCCTGTCCATCAGCTCCCATGTCGCGTCCGTGTACCTGATCAATGACATCAGCGGGGTTCCGAGATGCCGTCACGGCCGGTACGAAACCCCAAAGCTACCCCTCCATCATGCCACCCGAAAGCCCCTCCATTCAACCCTTGTGAGCTTCTTATTCAAAGCCACCATCCTCGAGCCAGTTCAGCTTTCGGTTCCTCTCTTCTTTTCTTCTTCATTCCAAAACAAACCTTGATACCCCCTTAAACCTTCTTCTTCTTGCACACCTTGACAGACTTCCCCCTCTCTACAACTCCCAAGAACACAAGAAACCGTCACAATGCCTCAAGGAATTCCTACCGCCTCTCGTCTTCTGGACCTCTTTAGCCTCAAGGGCAAGGTCGTCGTCGTCACTGGCGCTTCCGGACCCCGCGGTATGGGCATTGAGGCTGCCCGTGGCTGCGCCGAGATGGGTGCCGACCTGGCCCTGACCTACTCGAGCCGTAAGGAGGGTGCCGAGAAGAACAAGGCCGAGCTGGAGAAGGAGTACGGCGTCAAGGTCAACATCTACAAGCTGAACATCAGCGACTACAACGATGTCGAGAAGACCGTCAAGCAGATCCTCTCCGACTTTGGCAAGATTGACGCCTTCATTGCCAAGTGAGTCTCATCCATCTTCTTGCTTACTCTTCCACCTTGACCCCCCTATAAGGGCAAACAAGATTGCTAACATGGACTACTAATAGCGCCGGTGCTACTGCCGACAGCGGAGTCATTGACGGCTCCAAGGAGGCCTGGGACCACGTCATCCAGATCGACCTTAACGGCACGGCCTACTGCGCCAAGGCCGTCGGCGCCCACTTCCGGGAGCGCGGAACGGGCTCCTTCGTTATCACCGCTTCCATGTCCGGCCACATCGCCAACTACCCCCAGGAGCAGACCTCCTACAACGTCGCCAAGGCCGGCTGCATCCACATGGCCCGCTCTCTGGCCAACGAGTGGCGCGACTTTGCCCGTGTCAACTCCATCTCCCCCGGTTACATCGACACTGGCCTGTCCGACTTCGTCGCCCAGGAGACCCAGGAGCTCTGGAAGAGCATGATCCCCATGGGCCGCAACGGAGACGCCAAGGAGCTCAAGGGTGCCTACGTCTACCTTGTTTCCGACGCCAGCACCTACACTACCGGTGCTGACATCGTCATTGACGGTGGCTACTGCTGCCGATAGATGCACACTTCCATGGGTGAAGTGTATTAATTCCAAAGTTTACTGGGTGGGAGAAACAGGACATGGTACAGGGTATCAAAAGCCTCTGGATATGATGTTATGACTTGTTGGATACATAATGAACAATAAAAAGAAGTAAAATCAGATCATCTTGATTTCTGTGACAGTGCACTTGATTTGGCGAAGAGTATATGTGGCATGTGGCATGCGTGGCATGTATTTTGTGACAAGTGTATGCGGGGGTCCAGCGGTGAGAGGCACATGGTTCGGGATGTGGTGGACCCCAAATCCGATCGGATACATGTGTCCTCCGCTGACATGAGAAGTGCAGTTTTGGGCGGTAGTACGGAATGCCCAAGCCTTACTCCATTGACTGCCTTCGATATGTGGAATGCCGCCCCGATAAGAGCTTGTAGGCGGTTTTTCATCATGATGCGTCGATGATGCCATGAGCACTTAGCTTGTCTCTAGACTGTCACTAGCTCAAGCTTTGCCCATGCCCACTTAAGAGTACACTATTGTGCCCACATCGTTGTTGGAGCCGTTCCACCCCCATTCGCTCCACTGTACGGCTGTATGCTCTGAATCCACCTGCATGGGGGTTTTATTTTGTTAAGAGGTTTAGACGCGACAACGAGTGAGGCCATGTTATTGTTATTGGAGTGTGCATATTTTGATTATGAAAGCTATTTCGAGATAGTACCAGCAAGAGATAATCATTCTAGAACAGGCTGCCGCGTGCCGTCAAGGGGAGTTACAGCTGGCTTGTCTAGCTATTATAGACATGGACGGCAAGAGAAATAGAACAAAGTTTGAAAATAGTATTTGCCTAGGCGAGGGACTGGGGACTGTAATGTCGGCATTGAGCGAAAGAAGGGTCATCGCATGAGGTCGAAATTAGCTGTAGCCCAAGATCGACGTTACCTTGTCCAACCCAAAACAGAAGGAGAAATACCAAGGGGCGGGCAGATACTATAGTTCCCTTCATCTGCAAGTGCTGGGGTACTCTCCTCCACCAATTACCTGCTCTTTGACTTGTTTAGCTCATTAATTGAGGGATCTTCACATATCCTAGATCTCGCCTGTCAAGCCTGGCAATACTACATAAACCTGACAGCGTATTATAATCAGCCTAAGCACATATATGATTACCGACGGCTCTAATCTTATCTGTTCCGCTGATGTACAAAGGGGGCGCAGATACTCACTGGGCCTCACTTCAGTCTAGGAGTTGGAATGAATATACAAAGGTTTGTTGTACCTGGTAAGTCGTGTTACAAACGTCAAGATATGCACTGGATTCTACTGGAAGCTAGCCAGTAAAACCTTTGACTCACTTTAATGAATTTTGACTTGCTTAAGCGGCTGTCAAGCCTCTGCTCCACGACAGAAAATATTCATGCTAAACTCAGCAGAGCTCTTCCACAGCGACGAAGGAAAATCTAATAGGAAGATAACGAACTCTCAAACAGGCTGTCCACTAGATGTAATGGTGTATCCTTTTCCTCCCGGTTGACGCTTTACAGCTTGAGCCGTGTTTTATAAGGTGAGCAATTACCAACATTGCATGCATACATCGTTCACAGATATTATATACTTTGCTGTAATTAGAGGCCTTTCAAAGGCTGCCACCTGCGGAAGCTTATCACTTTTTACACATCTTGTTCCATCATTCCCTCCTTAGCAAGAACTATGTAGTGAATGCTGTCCCCCTCTTCCATCCTTATTCACAACCGTTTTCACACTCTCATGAAACCCCTTCGGACTCGTCATTTATCATGCAGATTCACCAGAAACCGGAATGAGGTCGATCGTAATAGAGATACCGCCCCCCAGGTCACCGCTGATGGATCGCCTTGACGTGCCTACAGCAGTATACAGGGCCAGACGGATGGACTGCTTCGACTTCTCGCCAGCCACGGTCTGGACCTTGATGTATCGAGGATCCTCAAATTGGCGAACCAACACGTCAACCGTCCACTGTCCCCCATTTTCTCCTTCGCCAGGCCGGTTGATAATTCCAGCATACGCCTTCTTCAACTCCTCGCTGCTCACGTCGACTTCAACAGAGTGGATGCCAAGGGCGCCACTAGGATGCTTGATGTTATCTGGAACATGGTTTGGCACCCGCAACGAACGGGGCGTCCGATCGAGACACCAGAAAGGCAACTCGCCCCTTTCTACCTTTCCCTCGGGCTTGATCTGCGCAACAGCCCATTTCAGCTCCTCGCCATCCGGCCTAATCCGTCCGCCCGGAACAGGGTCGTTGTAGGACACAACAGACTGTGAAGCGCGCACGCGCTCTTGAATAGCGGAAAAGCTGGACTCTTCTGCAAGAGACAAGGCCCAGTCCACGAGTGTGCCGTCGGGCTTAGAACCCCAAGGGTGCTTGAGCCGGTCTTCCTGGCCGATGCCTTCAACGAACGAGATGAGTTCGAGATAAGCTCCGTCTGCGAATATGACGAGCTTGTTCTCAGTTCGGCCGTCAGCGTGGCGGCCGCCGTTCAGAATGGTGAATTCAGATGAGAGCCATGTAGGGAGGGAAGCTAGGATTTGAGGCGGGAGGAGGAAGACGATGTGGTCGAGGAATGGACGGTCGGGCGTAGAAGAGGCCATTTTTGGAGATTTTACGAAGAGATATAAATTGCAATGAGGGAAGCTATGAGGTTATTGATAAGTTGAACGTTGATGGCAACGCTGTGTTATGTATTATTTGCTGCCGCTTCATCCTATGTCTTTGGCATTGCTTCCCCGCGCGCCCCACTATGATACCATTGGAGACAGTTATTGCGACGAGAAGGATGCCACTGGAATCGGTGTATTACCAAATACAATGAGGTTAAAAACTTCTACATCGTGAAAATTGGCATAGAAGACGACATTTCACTATTCAATCATTCGAGATCCGACAGTTCGCAACAGTTCTACCCCACAGGAGTATATTGGACTAACACCCCAGTCATCCCCAGCGATGATCTTTCTACCTAGTAGATGAGTGTTACATAATCAGGAGGGGACGGACTGTCGTGTGGCTTGAACGGGACGTTAGACCAGCCTAAATAGCTTCACCTGTGCCAGTGTGTCATTTTACTTTTATGATGAAGGCGAAGTGTTGGGATTATACAAACTTGTCAAAGGGATCAACTACTTGACTTGGCGGCCGCCACTTGTTTCGAAGGATTTCTCACCATAAGAGCAACATTCTTTCTGGTTTGATGTTAATTGCATTTCAGGGGTTTAAGACAATGAACACGCGTCGGTTTTCCTATTAAACATTAACAAGCAAAAAGTTCGCTTGGCTACACGACGCAAACACCACATATTCGAAATTCATATGTTCTATTGTTATACTCAGGTAAAGTTTGCTTTGCAGCTGCCTAACAGTCTACTAGTTATTGGTGACTTTAAACGCGACTGAGCACACAAATTTCCTTTGTGGCTCCATGCTAAGCGCTCTAAAAGCTGCCCAGGCTGCCCCTAGATGCCGACTAACAAGCGCGAACATTTACCCGTGCCCTCACTCGGCCCAGCCCAGGCTTGTGCCAAAACGAAGCTGACAAGACGACACATCCATGGCAAGGACCGTGAAGACCCCAAGAAGGGTTAACTGCTTCCGTATGACGTCGTTCCAGAGCACCCAACCAAACATCCCAGAAAATACAACTAGTCCCACTGGGCAATGTACTACTTGGTAATTGTCCATCACCTCTCTGTGTCAGCATTCTGTCTGGGTCGTTCATCTCATGTTGCCTCAGCTGCGCCTACGCGCACGACTCGTTGATGTGGATCGACAGTTAGCAATTAACATAGAGTAGAATTCAAATGGTAGCATTGTGGCTGAGGCCGTTTACACATTTACATTCGCCAAGCTACATTTAATCCAAACCGTCGACACGGGACACCCGACTCGCCGCGCTGGCGGGTCATTCTACTACCACCTCCCGGCTAGCCCGAGATTCTTTATTTTCCGCTCCCGAGCTCACTAACCAATATGCCTCCAACTTGCGCTCTGCCCAGTACTAAGTTGGAAAGCTTCCCCTTGATCATACACTAATCAAATTCCCCGCGGCCCCCAATCACTTGATTTCCACACAATGTGGGCTGTGTGCTACCACATTCGGCAATTCTCAAGGCCTCCTGTACCCTTTTGGGGGGATTCGCATGAGGGGACCCCCCCGGATCCCTGGCGGCTGGTGGCCACATATGAAACCGCAACCGTCTGATACAGGCCCTCGTCCGACCGGGCACCGTGGCGTTCACCTCATGAATCTGTCACACAGAAACGACTATCAATCGGATGGCGCCTACTGCGTACGTTAGACTGCTCAGCCCAGTTGTGCGCACGCTGGAGCCAACAACATCCACTTTCCCCCATCTCCAGTCCAGTGATGGTTATATGGATCGTGCTATTCTTGGCGCCACTTTCGAGTGACATGCGTGGTACCCCATGGAAAGCTACCGAGGGGGTAGGGGGAAGTATGTAATGCGGCTCCTCGCTGCCGTCCTGCTTGCGAGCGGACTCTTAATTCCTGCTCTCACGACTTCTTGCAACACCAAGGCCCCCTTTTCGCGTCTGCACTTTCGCTTTTTCTAGGCCAAGCGCTTTTCTTTTCATTCTTTTGGATTGAATCCGTTCATTTGGTTACTGAGTAACTTTCTTTTTTCTTTTTTCTACATTCACTTCTTCATTCGCTTTGGTTCGAAAATGGTCTCGAAGACATTGACGCTTTTGGGGTTCGCGGCGGCGGCAGTCGCCAAGGTGCAGTTCTTGGCAAGTCACACGATCTGCGCAACATGGGATGATGTCTAACATTTTTTCAATAGGGAGTCGCTATATCAGGCGGTGATTTTGGATGCGAAATCGATGTAAGTTGTCATCTTAAGGTTGAAAGATGGCCTCAGCGCTGATGATGAATGATAGGGAAGCTGTCCCATAGGCAGAGTTCAGCTGCCTCTGATGTCCCTAGGAGGTGGCGACGGCGAAGGCCAAATGAACCATTTCGTACAGGATGACAAGCTGAACATGTTCCGCCTGCGTAAGTATGCCCTCCTACTACCTTGAAGACCTTCAAACTAACATGTCCAAGCCATTGGTTGGCAATTCCTTGTAAACAATCAACTTGGCGCACAGCTCAACTCTAACAACCTCGGCCGCTACGATCAGGTCATGCAAAAGTGCCTCGCGACTGGCGCTTACTGCATGTTGGACATTCACAATTTTGCACGATGGAACGGCGGTATCATTGGGCAGGGTGGACCGACAGACGACCAGTTCGTGTCCTTGTGGACACAGCTTGCGCAGAAGTACAAGGACAACGACAAGGTCGTTTTTGAGCTCATGAACGAACCACACGATCTCGATGTCAAGATCTGGGCAGCAACGTGCCAGAAGGTTGTCACGGCGATCCGACAGGCTGGGGCGACGAAACAGATGATCTTACTGCCCGGAACCAACTTCAACTCGGCCGAGTTTCTAGTCAGCAGCGGCAGCGCGGAGGCTTTGGCGGCGATCACGAATCCTGACGGAACCACGGATGGTCTTATCATCGATGTCCACAAGTATCTCGACGAAGACAACAGCGGCACGCATAAGCCATGCACAACCGACAATGTGGAGAGTTTCAGGAAGGTAGCCGAGTTTCTGAGGTCCAAGGGTCGAAAGGGGTTGGTTAGCGAAACGGGGGCTTCAAGTGACTCCTCGGTAAGTTTCAGAACACTTCTTCGTCAACAATGGGTAGTCCCAAGAGGAAAAAAATACTAACGAGGCATAACAGTGCTTCACCGCCTTTTGTGCACAAAACACCTTTATCAACCAGAACTCTGACGTATTCATTGGCCTCGTCGGATGGGCCGCTGGTAGCTTCGACACCAACTATGTTCTCAGCCTAACGCCGAAGAAATCAGGCAATGGCTACACCGATAACGAGCTGATGAAGCAGTGCGTTCTCGGGACGTGGGATACTGAGCAAAACGTGACAACACCGACGACGACGACGTCTTCACGACCTGCTGCTTCCGCGGCACCAAGTGTGGCTCCGTCTTCGCGTCCGACTTCCCCGCCGATTTCGAGGAGCGAGGAGGGCATCTCGCCGCCAACGAGCGCAGTTACCATCCCGACAACATTACTGGTTGACACGTCAACACCCACACCGCCAGTTCCGACTGGAGGCCGCGGAAGGAATGGAACAGTTACCACGGGTCCCCCGGCGGCTCCGACCGCAGCCGGTGCGAGGATCGAAGTGGTGGGTTCAATTTTGGTTATGACTTTGATTGCAGCAATCCTGCTATGATGTGAAATTATCTAGACGTTATTGAATGAGAGTGTTAAGAACACAATAACTCGCTGCCTGCCATCTACTTAATCTAATTTGTCACTACAATAAAATCAGGGTCCCAGCTCCGAGGCTCAACAAAGCTGCCTTCTACGTAGTGCAGATAGCGGGGAAGAATGTTGGAGTCCAACCCAGATGCTTGACCTATTCACCAGCCCATCATCCCATCTCAACTGGTCTTGTATTCACACAATGAACGTCCCTTTCTAGAAGAGGAAGAGTCACCGAATTTCCTACGCCTTGGTTCTCTGTATTACCCGAGGTTTTCGATGCCAGTGTGTCTCCCTGAAGTTCTGGCTTGAGTATAGCTGGGGCGTCGTTGCTGGTAGATCTTTGCTTTCTCTTGAGGTATCTGCGCCACAGGACGACGCAGACTATGCAGGTAATACCAACAAGTCCAACTCCAAACCCGATACCGACTTTGCCACCAATTATAATATCGCCTGGAGGCTGAGGTTGGTCTTGTCGTGTGGTCGCCAACCCTATCGCAGTTGTAGTATGATAGGTCGGGTTTCCTCAGTCGTCGACGACTCATCGACGACATGAAAGGGCAGAGAGATAAATTCTGGTGCTGGCTTTAACTCTACTCTATTGTCATGATAGAGCCCGAACAACAGGATACCCGAGTCGGCCAAACGTGTACTATAGGTCTGAACCTTCCAGTCAAACTCTGTTTGCGGACCACTCGTGGTCTCTGGGTTGAGTGAGTAAAAATGATGGGACTCAAACGGTAACAACCTAAAACGTAAATCACTTACCGAAGATGGTTAAACCCCATACCGGATACTTCCCCTCATAGAGCTGTGACACAACGATGGAGTAATTGACATGGGCAGCGTTGTACTGAATCTTCTTTGTTTCTCCAATTTTCCAGACTTCTCCATTCGTAGATGGGCTGAAGAATTGGCCGGATACAAGTGAGGTGATAGACAAAAGCACCACGGTCAGAAAATTCATGGTGGAATCTTTTGCCAGCCAACCAAGTAAATAGGAGTATGGCGTTGCTCAAGACTTAATATACCTGGCGTGACAGCGACCCTTGTTGAGTTGAACCCGACAGTCTGGTTCGAGGCCCACATCTTCGTATCATGTTGCAGTAGCAAACAACAAGGCCCTGTTGTGCTTCAGCCAATTCGAGGTCAAGATAATGTTGTTGGTAATTTGGTATAATGTGAGACGGCCAGGGGTCAATGCAGACATCCATCAAGTAGAAGAATAAAACAAAAGACAAAAGCATTAGATGTACTGCTAATTAAGCTCTGCGCGGTGAGGCTCTTTCATAGGGTTAAAATTTTAAACTAGGCTTTAAGGTATTCAGTGATGAATGGGCTACTAGGGATATTTTAAGGGTGTTGGGAAAAAAAACTAGAGAAGCAATCGTATCGTTGAGTTGCCAGCTGAAATTTAACCAGTGCCGTGAGATGAGCCTGGTCGCAGACTTGGTCAAGGTTCAGACACAACCCAATCAAGAGAATTTTCTCTACACCCTCTGCGGTAGGTAAATCAACCTGGGAACTCGTAAAGCCAAGCGACAGCTCTAACCGCTTCAGGCGTATTCGCAAATACAGCTTTCTTGAGCAAACAACCCCCTCCCCCCTTTTTCTTCCCGTCTTAATGCCTGAACGCTTGAGTTCAGGTCAAAGAGTACTTGCCTTGAAGGCTACCTGCTTTGGGATTCGAAGCCTGACACAGGAAAGTTATGCAGTAATTGACTTCTGAAGGGGAAAAGCCTATCCAGTGAGCAGCCGCTTAATGTATTTGGGTCTAAGCTTTCGCTTGTCTGCCCCGTATACCCATGGCCATCCCGCCGGTTAAGATTTGATTAATTGCCCACACTATGCAGCGAGATAGCACCTAGGTCATTTTATCTCACTTAAGAGGGGCCTCCCGGCGTTCGCGGCTCGCGAGGGGGTCGCATTTTTAAAATTTGGATTTTTTTTTTTTCGATTGTGGTTGGCTTTTCTTTCCCACCTCGATTCGATGTCGAGAAAGATGGGAGCAAAGATGAATATCTTGGCCATCAGACCGATGTCCAGGAAGGACATGTGCGTTATTGGGGCTTTCCTCATGATTGTCATGCTATTCCTACATAACCCATTTCAAGGCCAGCTTGTGCAACGACGGAGTTCGGCATTGGCGAGTGTGATGCAAGATATCAACAACAGTACACTTGGCGTGAGTCTCCCTAAACTTGGTTACTCGGACTTTGTTGATTAACGCTTGAACCGTACCTTAGTTTGAGAAGATCTTTGTCGTTGGTCTTCCTTCACGAACAGACCGCCGTGATGGTGTCCTTCTTCAAGCTGCTCTCAGCGACATGCAGATTGAGTTCGTCGACGGGGTTCCTGGTGAGAAGGTAGTGGACAAAGCTATCCCAAAGACAAGCGAGCATGAACGTCTGAATAACGGAGCCATCGGTTGCTGGCGCGGGCATATGGATGCTTTGGGCGAGTAAGTTGCGCCTATCTTCACCAAAATGAACGGTTTACGCTGATATCCTGTCCTAAAGAATTGTTCGCCGAAATCTGTCTTCTGCTCTGATTCTTGAAGATGATGCCGACTGGGATATCAGGATCAGAAAGCAACTTCATGACTTCGCTCTCTCAGCCCAAGCACTTACCCAGCCCTTGGTAGACGCACCGTCCTCTTACGCCGATCCCACGTATCCGATGCCCTCTGAAAACACACCAGGAAGACTGCCAGATATCTCATTCGAGAACCTTCCCGCCACGATTCCGCCAAGATCTTCCCCATACGGTGACGACTGGGATCTCCTTTGGATTGGGCATTGTGGTATGCACTTTCCCTTCGAGGACAGCAAGACTGTGCCAAAGGCTCGCATCATTCACAAAAACGACGTTACTGTTGCTCCGAAGAAGAACCTGTGGACTCTCAACATCCCTTTCACGCTGAAAGAGACGTATCCGGAGCATACTCGAGCCGTTCATCATGCCCAGGAAGGTGTATGCACGCTAGGATATGCAGTGAGCCAGAAGGGCGCGAGGAAACTACTGCACGAAGTCGCCTTGAAAGATGTCAGTGACGCCGTCGACATTCTTCTTAGGTTCTTCTGTGAAGGCGCCAAGGGGCGGAAGCCTCACAACTGTCTGACAACACAGCCAGCACTATTCCATCACCACCGTGCGGCAGGTCCTCTTAGTTCGATGAGCGACATTGGGAACCACGGGGACGGCATCAGGGAAAAGAGCATGACTGACATGGTTAGGTGGAGTGTACGATTAAATGCGGATGCGTTATTGGAGGGAAGGACCGATTTTGTTGACCAATATCCTGATAATTAATAAAGCGTTTCTTGTCACTATCCCATCGCCCATTCGCAGCGCATAACCTTCGGCTACGTTACGCTTTCTAACTTGTAAACACACGGCATCAGTATGATCGGAGCGAAATAGAAGAGAAGACAAAGGCAAGGCGAAACAAAACGAGACTATCAAAACTTGAACAAAGACTCAAAATGTCACTTGAGCACTGCAAAATAAACAAACGTGAAAAGAAAAACTCTGGCGGAAACAATTGTATCTTACAACTTGGTCAAAACGAACTTTGTAACGCCTCATCTTTAGAACGGGCAAAAAGAATCGACGTTGGCCTGATTCGAACAGACGCTCCCGAAGGAACAAGATTTCTAGTCTTGCGCATTAGACCACTCTGCCACAACGCCCTGATCCACTCTTTGTGGAGTTGTTCAGTTTGCCGGTTTAGCGGACCATGATTGTCGAGCTGGGCTGGGCAACACCCAGGGCTCCATTCTTTCCGACGTGACAATGCAAAAGAGCTCTCTGAAGGTCTAAAGGTAGCCACGATGAGGTAAGTTCAGTCACTGTTTCGAATTCAATATGTATCCGCCAAAATTTTAGCCGTCTGTTTCACGGCTTGAAGATAAACCAACTAATTTACAAACCTATTTTACACATTCGCTAAAGCAAGATCCCTTTGTTCAGCTCTTGAACTTTTCCTGCGCCGTGAACTCCTAAGGATCATAATCATCCAAATCCATCGTTAAACATAGTCCGCCGCTTCATGATCTACAACAGTGCTCCCGGAGCCTGGTTGGCTAGTATCTGATTGGGGAGTCGTTTCCAGACGGGAAAGACCGATGGGTGCTGTTGAACGGCGAGATAGCAGCCAAGGCCGATTGAAAACTTCATTTGGTACAGCTCGCTCTGGCGCTGTATTCTCATGTTGGCTACTACGGGGTTCCTCCCCTCCTGAGATGGTCTTTGAAGGCGAGTCGAGAGGTGATGATGCCAATCGACCACCTAGGTACGGCAGTGAGAATCTCCGTGATTTCGACCCTGTTGACCTGGATAACGATTTGTTTTGGTTCGAGTTGGGCGCGACATCGTTGCTATTCCTTCGTGATTCCAAATGCGCGTTCATTGAATGGGACTCCCGCACGACTTTGGCAATTAGGTCTGCCATGCCCATTTCGATATGTAGTTTTAGGAGGTATGCGAGCGGATGGAATTGAGCGTAACTAGACCGTCAGCCGTCGCAACAAGATTTGTATCACTTGGTATACTAACATTAGGGTGTTTGGTAGTGACATGAGTGCAATGAGTATGACCTGAAAACTTTGCATCAGCATGCTTGGGTCCGATGGTCTTCCTTGCTGGGAACTTACATCAAGTGACATGGACACAGCAATCATACACAGATTGAATCTGAAAAGTCTCGTGTACTTGGTCAAGCCGCTGGCTATCAACCGTGACTTGACGAGGTAGATGAAGGTTAGGTTGAGGCTTGCGTCAACGATCAAGAAAATACCCTTCTCAATTCGATCCCATATCTCATTAATGTGAACGTAGGTGTGGCTAATCTGCAGCCGAGCAGGAATCCATATACAAAAAACACTGATGTTGACGGCGAGGAGGATGATGAAAACCCCCCATTTGAGTCGGGTGGCGTGAGACGGGATCGGCATCAAAATTGCGATTCGGTTGATGATGATTTGCATTAGACATTGAACCTGAAGTCGTGTGAGAAAGTTTCCAACTAGGACTGCACTCGTCAATTGATTGCTTACCTGGATTGTCCAAAGAACGACTGAGAGAGCCAAGTTGTTAATATAATGGGTTTATGGTCAGTGATGTGAGGTGATACATACGAAGGAAAAAGAAGTATTCGAAGCTACAACAGCATCAAGTCAGATAACCTATCCTTCCGGTGACGTTTGCGGCGGGTATTGCGTACCTTGTCTCAAGCTTTCCCGTCAAATAGCACCAGGAAACTATGCCGATAACCATGCTGGCAAGCCATTCCGCCCATATGAACCACACATAGGCATTGATTCGATGTATCCTCCTCCAGCTTGCCATAGTCTGTCGATATCCCTTCACTCCGCTCCAAAGTCCGACTCCGAGGGTGAAACCCCAAAACATACTCGCGATGTTCATGTCGTTGACAGAAGGAGGATGCTCCTCATACCACGGAGGAACTAGTGTTCCGGCCATATTGAATTAATGTCGATGCTCATCGGGGGAATCGCGAAGGGCATACGGTGGAGGGTTAGTCCACATCCATCCCCAACCGGATCGCAGGCTTGAAGAGGGGGGGCGAAAGAAGACGATGGGCCGAGAACGTTTACACAACACACGAAATTTCGGGAACAGCAGTCCATTTGAAGGCCTGGAACTCACTGACCGCCGCTTCTCGGAGCCTCAGGGGAGCGCTAGCAAGATGTTGGATAGGTATGCTTGAGCTGAAAAAGTAAGCTAAGGCCTCTGGTGGCAGCTTGGGGGAGTTTATTTGAAAGGTTGGTGTGGCGGGTGCAACGCTGACGCAGTGACCCATCTTCCACACACACGCGCAGCCAGTTCCCCCTCTATGCCGGACTGGGGAATGTCGGCACTGGATCCAGACTGAAATAACCTTAGACCCTGCAGGCGTCAAGTTGCCCATAGCCGGTGTTCAGACTCGACCTGTTTGAGGCGGCTGTCAAGGGTTGAACGGCAGAACATGCTTGCTCAGATACTATGATCGTCTTAGAGCAACAAGCTTTCCGTCTTGCCGGATGGTGACCGTCAAGAGGAGTCTCCCTTAGTTTTGAGATACATTGGGGTTCGCCACGATGTTCCAAGTGAGAGGGTTGCAACGATGATCTCCGGTCGCTCGTGCCAGGTTGCCAGGCTCTCAACTGGTGGAGACAAAGAGCTACTTTGTGAACAAAGCACGGTCTTGAAATTTGTAATGGCGCCGTTAGAACGACCGCGGGCACAGAGACCGCGTATAACGGGCCAGCGACTGTCTTGCTACTAGCGCTCACACCTCTGCCGGCCATAGCTTTAGATGCTACCAGGAGACGGACCTTACTGTTCCAGAAAGGAATGAAATAATGACAAGCGGTTTGTCTAAGCCTAAGCCCTAGGTAGGGCGGTGAACTGTCCGCTTTGCGTCCGTACCATGCACATGCATCCTCACGATTTCCGGCCCGACAACACAGATGGCGGGACGACAAGTTTCTGTAAGAAGGAGAATCTGGACTGGATCTGGGAAATAAGCTTCCTGCTTGCAGGAACGTGCGTCACTGCAATCGAGATCAGCACGAGGGTGTAAAAAGTTTTAGCGTGCAAATGCGAGTCAGAGCTTGTAATTGTCGTCATTGGGGTGAGGGGATGGACTACAAAGGGGTTCGTTCAAACTGTCTCCGCGGCATCAGCGACCTTTGGATAACACGAAATCGCAGGGGCACCGTGGCCACACTTCAACGGTTTGTGGGGAGAATGCCGACCAAACGGTCTTCCTTAGTCCTACTTGTTTAATGGTCTTGGGCGTCGGCAATGTCGAGTTCACTGAGACTTTCCAATGCTCTGAACATGAGCTCCAAAGGATCATCCCTTTCATGACTCGGATGATCTGGTTCTGATGACGTTTGGGGTTCATGCCAAGTGAGGAGCAGAAAACAACACTTCACGGAGTTCATCCGCAATGTACAATAGGGCGTATGATCATCATTGCCGTCTTTGGTGAAGAAATGTAACCCATTGCTGAATACCAAGATCTAAAACTTGGATGTGTGGTGTCGACTTGGAATAGATGGTCGACATGTCGCGTCCTTCCCAACGACGTATACAGGGTTGTGGCATAGGTGACATGCAAATGCGGTTCGATGGTGGTAAAATAGTCGCCAAACCTCGTTTGTCTTTTGCTCGAGAAGTTATTCTAATCATCTATGGATAGATGGGCGGCTGTGTCCGATAACGGTAAGCTGGGTAATTGGAAATTGGATAATCCGACCATGACATTGTGGAGTATGCCGAAACCAGAATAACAGCGGCCTCCGCCTGCGTGGAAATAGTCCGCAACGGTTGTTAACTGTCTGTCGTATGTTACCGACGAGGTCGGGTTTTCTTGGCTACCAAAAGAAAGTAGAAGATGCGGGCTAGACTGGAGGCATGGACGCATTCATTGGTCTGGGGTGGCATGTTGGCTGTCCCCCCCTTGTCAGTTTGCGGAACCCAGGGCCAAGAGCCAATAGCTAAGCCGCACACAAACTTGAAGCCCGTAGAATCCGATCTTGTCTTTCTCGCCGTTCCTCCCACTCTGGGGCTCTTTATCCGTGCTTTCACCCTCACCGACCACATACGTAGCAGCCGTTGAATAAGCTTCTTCTACCTCTTGCATGCCATATGCTCCCCTCTGGCCATAGTTGACGTCGGATCGACATGGCTACGCGCCCCAATGCGGCAGCCATTGGCTCACCAGTCGCGGGCACTGCGGAACCCGCCACACAGCCGATAGTCCCTGTGAGTTCTCATGTGTACCACTCCCCACCCGCTGGCAGCCCTAAGATGTGACCGGCGATTAACTCGGTCCTATGGTAGGACCCTGACTTAGACGGCACCGGCGACAGCGACTATTTTACGGAAACTGAGAGGTAAGGTGCTAAGAAGGTTGTGGGTACCAGAAGCTAAGGCCTCGTTTCACGTAGCGCTGCGGGACCTTCAACGGTCTCTTTAACCGATAGTATTACCCAATATCGTCGCATACATGGCCGTACATATACCCAAAAAGTCGATTACTGGGGACCAAATGATGATAAACAAAACGAGGCCATGGAGATAAAGTGAGTTCTTGTGCAAGGCCTAGTCTTGGGCTACGAACAAAAAGCTCATGGGCTGACAATGCAACTTGAAACTAAAAAGCCATTATTGGCAAACCCTTTTTTTGGATGACAGGTTGTTCTTGGCCCCAATAGGTGATCATCCGCAGGTGAGTATCCCAACATAAAAATAAACTCAAATCAGGATCAGGATTCATTGAGGAACAGAAAGTTCTTGATCTTGGGACGGGCACTGGAATATGGGCGATGTGAGTCAGACGAGTGTTGTTTTTTTGACTCAACACAAAAAGCCAATGGAAACCCAATACACAATGCCCAAATGGAACTGACACGACACAGAGACTTTGCAGATGAATATCCTTCAGCTCAAGTGACGGGAGTAGACATATCACCGATCCAACCGTCCTGGCTACCACCGAATTGCAAATTTCAAATAGACGACATCGACAGACCATGGGGTTGGCCGTCAGACAGCTTCGACTTTATCCATGCGCGACATCTCGAAGGCTGCGTGTCCGATTGGCACCATCTATATGAACAGGTCTTTAAACATCTTAAACCCGGTGGGTACTTTGAAATTAAGGAATTTGACATCGAAACTCGTTCTCAGACATTGGAGAGTAAGGGACAGGAACTTGACGAAAATCACGTCTACAGAAGATGGGTTGCAGTCATGCTTGACGCATTACAACGAATGGGGAAACCAGGGTCACAAACACGAGACCATGGCATAGCTGACGCTCTTGCATCAGCCGGATTCGTTGACATTACTGAACACAAGTGGCCGGTCCCCATAGGAAATTGGCCCAAGGACCCTAAAATGAAGGAAGTTGGCGCTTGCAATTTACACTATCTCGACGAGTCCCTCGAAGGATTTTCCGTGTTTCTTCTGAAAAGGGTCATGGGTTGGGAGGACTCCGAAATTTTATGTTTCATCGAAGAAATGCGCAGAGCGTTGAGACTTCGGAAACTTGCACCATATATCACATTGTAGGCCGCGCTGACACCACCCATCCCGAAAGTTTATTTGCTGATAATGCCATCATTAGGCATCTAGTTTATGCTCGAAAACCGGGAGAATCTGGGTAAAGAAATGAGAATTGTAATATTTTGCATTGGTAAACACTACTTAATGTATATATACCTTGAGGATGCCTTGGGCTTGTTGGCATTCCTGTTGCTACAGTGGAACATTATCAATTTTTAAGCATAGCCACAACAAAGAGCGTCGCTATAGCGAGAGAATACTTATAAGCCAGACTAATCAGATCAGTGAAACTGCTAAGTAGTCCAAGACAACAAACTCGGCCTTCTTCTGTGTCCATTTACATTCATGATGACACTAGTATTTGTCGCACTGAGTTCAATCTAGACCAAGCTCAGTGTTTTCTGTCAGCAAAACTACGCATCAGTGGCTTTCAAATCCCAAACACTTACAAGCATTTTGTAAAGGAGCTGTCAGAAGCGGGAGACTTGCCTGCCTTTGTTGGCTTCGTGGTACCGGAGCCTGTTCGCCACGCCAACTGCTAGGTCATGGGTACGAGTTTTTCAATCTTCTCGCTTAGGGCACACCAAGAATGATAGTAACGTTTCTATCGTGGCCGCAATGGCCTCAGCAAAATGTTAGGCGCACTCCTAGGGGGGGCCCTTTGTCTGCTTCGTCAGGCAGCCACTACAGGAACCATGTTATACATTTTCAGGAAGACAAGCCGGGGCGTATGCCCAGTTGGATTAAACACCTAGTTTTTCTTGCGTGTCAAAGAATTGTTTAAAAGCTCGCCTTGGAGATACAAGTGCTTTGGAAGTAAACATGGTTTGATCATTGCAGTGTAGAACGTGACACAGACATTCGCCAGGGTCTAAGCGCTTCTATATCATACGTTAGGGGACTTACTTGCATCGTGCTCGTCAGCTTTTGCTCTTTTTATGCATGAAATATGAACAAGAACTAAGCCCCTTCAGTTTATTAATACGTTTCGGGTCTGCTCTCTTAAAGGCGACAATACCTCGAATAGAGTAAGACACATGCTCTATGGAAGTTAATAACACCGAGAGTCAGCAGCCAGCCGCCATTAGACAAAATCATTAATATAAATTCCGAGATTGCTCCTGTTGCGAATGATTCTAGCTTCGTATGGCTCTGGACTTTAAAGAGATGATTTATTTTTGGCCAGGAGGTTTGCTTGAGGCCATTTTGTCTTGGAGTCACACTTAACAGCCAGGGTAACGTCAACCTTGAGCGACGAATGCAAATTCACTGGCCAACACGGATACATATGCAGTTTTTAAAAAAAGATCACACTGTCTTTAGGAAACTTGCTGCACCTTAATGTTATTTGCCCATTGCCTTAGGCAAGGTGTCTGCCTTGAGCCTGCGGCTCAGTCATCGGTCAGCTCACAACAGTCATTCGGACTCGGTGACTTACCACATATTGACCTGTGCGCAATTGAGCAACCCCATGAATCCGATATTTATGATACATTTCCATTGTTCCTGGCTGCAGACATCACTATATATTCACAAGCTCATCTAGTAATTTCACAAGGTGATGCCGCACATGATTTCATGCAGCAGATCACATTACCCCTCAGAGCCTAAAGAATCCGAGCTGAGCTATTTGTGGCTTACACTTACCTTACTTTTACGGCGCGTAGTAATTCTACCCAGCCTGATTTGCTCAGCGAGGCGCGCACATTTGTGCGCGACAAATTCAGGCTCGCTCTCCCACTCCCAAGTCTATTGTTATTTAACGAGTCCTGCATCCTGCTCACCCTCTCGTCACCTCAAAGGTCCCTTTTACTAGGTTTCGGTTTCCCTGGCGTTCAGGGGTACCCCTATTATATTAATCAAATCAATTCAAATCTTCAAGAACCCAAGTCATTAGAAAATGAGGCTACTGCACGCTCGCACACAACAGCTATACACCTTCGCCTATCCGCCTCCAGTGCAGTACGCCATTTTCTCTCATACTTGGTCATCGCCACATGATGATGAATGGTCATTTTATGACTCTGTAGGGCAGGAACATGACTCCATTCGACATGAGATCATCTTGAGGGTTTGCAACCTGACGCAGGGCCATAGCTTGGAATTTGTCTGGATAGACAGCGTATGCATCGACAAGTCCTCAAGCGCAGACATTTCGAAAGCCATCAACTCGCTTCCCAAATACTTTCAGAAAGCTGCCATTTGCTTTGCATTCCTAGTTGATCTCCCATGCGGAACTTCCGTCCCCTGCAAAGACACCTGGGCGCAGTGCCGATTTTGGACTCGAGCATGGACTCTACAGGAGCTGATTCTCCCAGCAAAGATACAGTTCTACGATTCGAAATGGCACTTAAGAGGTGAAAGGTCGTCCCAGCATCTTCCTTCCCTCATCTCCGGCATCACTGGTATAGACGAAGAGATCCTAAGCCGCCAGCGCACATTGCAGCAGACTTCAGTAGCGCGAAAGATGTCATGGGCCGCATTGAGAAAGTCATCTAGTCCTGAAGATGTTGCATACTCTCTTTTGGGACTCTTTGATGTCTACATACCAATTGTCTTTGGTGAGGGATCAAGGAGAGCGTTCCGGCGTTTACAAGAAGAGATTCTCAAGCATAGCAACGACGCCTCTCTCTTCGCCTGGACGAGCAGTGAGGAGGAAGAGTACAGAGGCATCTTTGCAAACTCTCCTCGGGAATTCTTGGCATTTGCTCAACAAGACGTCACTCATCTTCCATTCGACTTCAAAGGCTTTGTTGTATTGGCTAGCAAAGGTGTTCTCGTTTCTGGGCAATTCTTAAACCAACAAGATGGCTTGCTTCTCGACCTCGGAAGTCAGACTGACAGCAACGATGATTCCAAGCGTCTTGGAATATTGTTTCGACGAAGTAATGACGGCACTTTCGCGCGTATTATGGCTAGCGAGATCCAGACGTTGGCTGCAACCGAGAAAACCACTGCCATGCAGGTGATGGTGTTTCGAGGGCGCGTTGACGATGCTGATACCAACTCTCACGAAATCTATTTTGCAGCATACAAGGGAGGTGGTATCAGTGCGGCATCCTGCAACTCCGCCTCATCTGTCTGTTCCTTCGAGCCACCGTCCACGCCCAACAGAAGAACTGCAGCAGAGCAAGGAACGCCGTCAGACATCACACCAACCGGCTCAAACCCTGACATCGCCCAACAGTGGCACCGGGGCGAGCCAGGGTGGATTAAGGTCCATGAACCTTCCTGTGAAGAGTCTCAGGCTGCATCAGACGAATCAGATGGGGAGTGTTCTTCAATGCAGGTATCACAGCAAACCGACATTGGCTGGCCCAGACCGAATTCAGTCATGTCTAATGTAACCACGGTTACATCGCCGTCTAACACTGAATCAGACTTTACGCCTCATGACTGCCAGCAAGGCGACAGTGACTTGGAAGAGCAACAGCATTGTCCTCCGGCCACTCGGGGTAACTGGGAGATGGATGTATTGAACAATCACGATAATATCAAGGAACGTCTTTCCAATCTCCTCCTAGACCACTTTGCAGATTCACAAGTGGCTGCTGGCCGTTTGCGCAAACAACGGATCAAGAGATCCAAGGTCACCAAACGTCAGTTCACAAAAAGGCAGATGAGGAATAAGAGTTCTGCCCAGCACCTCGGCTTTGCCTGTCCGTTCTATAAACGCTGTCCTAAGATGCATGTCGATTGCATCGCAAGCAATGACTTGAACGACATGGCAGATGTCAGGGACCATCTTTGGCACCACCATCGCCTTCCATATTACTGTCCAATCTGCAAGACGCAGTTTCGATATTCAAGTGAAAAAGATGAGCATATCATTCAACGATCTTGTGAATATCAAGACTGCATGCCATATGAAGGCATCTCAGAGGACCAGCATCGATCAATTTCCCAAACTCAAGGCACTAATAATGACGTGATGGAGTGGTTTGCAGTGTGGGACATCCTCTTCCCTGGTATCTCGCCCCCAAAGGACCCCTATCTCAGAGACCAGCGAGCGCGTGAAATGTCTGACTTCAGGACATTCTGGCACCAACGCGGCCAAAAACTGCTAGGCGAACGCATACGAAATCTGCATTCGCCTAGTTTCTTGCTTGACCCGCAAGATGTAAAGAAGTTTTCATCAGATGTTTTCTCCCAGACCGTCAAGGCTGTGGTAAGAGGATCTGTGCACGGGTCTGATATACGTTCTTCTACCGATACGTTGTCCACCCATACAATGTGGGCCCAGGCCGACAGTCAAACATCATCTTTGGTGTTTCAAGCGCGGCACTGATTAAATATGTTATGGATACTTCGGCTCGGCTTTGTCGAACGTTCCTATAGAAGGCTGTTGCCTACCCGCACGGTTTCATTTGTACATGGTGTTCTTACCTCTCCTATGTTGTCTTAAATCTTACACTCCTTTACTTTCGTATTATGTCTTAAGATAGAATGGCACGTGTGGCACACAAATGCAATATGTACTGTCAACCCTCCGCCCGCTGGGCAAACGGGCAGGGTCAACTCCAAAGTTGTATAGTCATTCATTTCTCTCCATTATGGGCACTTGATTGTGTGAGTTTAATATAAGAAAGCTTTGTTTGTGTTTCAAAACAGATAATCGTTGAGTAATATACCGAAATGAGCACTTCTATGAAATAAATAATGTTTCTTACATCTAGCCGCCTCAGTTCAAGGAATCAATAACCAAGCGTGTTCCATTTCTCATAATATAGAATACCAATAAAATTGCTCTAAATAATTTAGGATGTTAAAGTAGATTTCGTTCGGTTGCTTGGTCGTCTGCAAAACTCAAATCATGCGGTCCGACTAGGTAGTCTTCCCATGAGGAAATTCCTTGTTCCTGTTGGCTGGGAGTTGTAAACATTGCATCGATTCCAACATATCCATCCCACTGCGTGCCCACAGCTTCTGTCAGATGTTGTTGTATGTTTATGTCACCGAGTTGAATCGATGGCTGATACAGCGACTCTACAGTCCCAAAATAGTCGGGTTCACTCCTTTCATTCTGAACAGTGCTATCGGCCAGGAGCTCACACCACGGTGCGTTTTGATCAATGATTCCCACATTGTTGTCTTGGTTTATGGAGGGTTCAACCCGGGCTGTTGCCAAATCCCAGTTCTGTGGGGACGAAACCTCTGCATCTGAGATGTGGGAACTTGAAGGAGCACACTCTGAGTTCCCAACAGTCACTTCAGAAAGTGATGCGAGAACCAGGTCCAAGGTTCCGATTGTTGATCCAGCGGCATTATCATCTATCAAATTTGCCGCCATGTTGCGTGGCTCCGGCATGGTATTTGACGACATTTCTTCGAAGCTGACTGTGTGGTTGAGGCTCGATAATGATAATGCCAACGATCCATGTCTAGCCAGAAGATCACGAACCATTAGAATGCCCTCTTCAACTTCACTTTTCAGGTAAGGAGAAGGAGGCTGTTCCAAGTGCGGGAAGATAATCTTCCATACGCTGAACCATTGATCTTTCTCGGTGAGACTAGAAGATGCCCTTACGCCTAGCTGATCCTTTTGCTGATTTGATATACTACTTCCGATAGCTTCGTCGCGTGGCCAGGTGTTGGCTTGGCATGTGATTACTTTTCGATGGTCATCGAGCTCCTGTCCATCTGGGAAGATCTCGTAACAGTTTGAACAGTGAAAGCGGTGTTTCCGGAAGATGTGTTGCTTAACATCCTTCACTCTTTTCAGTTGAAAGTGCAAGCAGTTGAGATGCTTGGCACGATCTTGCAAGAAGAAAGGACAGGCAAACCTCTGGTTTGATTCTGAATCATGCTCTGGAAACTGAGGTGGGCGGTTTCTTTTACGGGATGAGCTAGTTCCATCATTCTTCTGGTCGTTGGTGTCTTTACGCCTTCCCCTTTTTTCAACTCTAGAACTAGGCTTTGATCCAGTCATAGTTGGCGAAGTGTTTGACCTCGACTGCTTCCGCTGATTTCCCACATTGACTGTATATGCTTGATGGCCTTTGAAATCTTCTTGACTGCCAAAATTTGCCCGTAGCTGGTATTCTTCATCTTTAGGATCTAGAGCAGGATTCATCCGTTCGACAGTAGGGTTGGAGCAAAGCTTGATAGGAGTCTCGACTACTGCTGAGGTGCTTAAAGATTAGTGACAGGTTGTATCAACTTCGACAATACGGGAGTTGTAGCTTCAAGAAAAGGCAAAGTTACTAACAAAGATTGTTCTGGTTGACGGAGTAGACCGCTAGGAGTTTCTTGGAGTCCTCGTCTTGACCTGTTGCTTTCTCTACTGGAGCATCACTTGTCTTCAATGTGCTTTCCTGATCGTGAATACCCCGATGCCCAATGTATTTCTTCCCTCGGTTCAATTCAGTCACATTGCTTGAATTACGGTCAATTGCATCTGCTGTTCATATCAGCATGCTGCTAATGATGCGTCATGTGTGCTGCCGTACCTATGAATTCACCATGGATCCCGCCTGAGTTTCTTTGGGATGACCGGGAAGACCGATACAACAGCGAAGGGAAGAAACGAAGTGCCCATTCCTTTGATATCGCTGCTGGACGACCGATCAGGTCGCAAATTCCAGATCGAATTTGATCTTCACCCAGTCGTTTGTGAGATCGACGACTCAACATCAGTGACGACCCGAGATTCATCATCTCCGCTTGTAGGTTCCGTATCGCTCATAGGAGATCTCACTCGGCGGAACGCTTGAATAAGTCTGCCCTTCTGTATGATAAGGCTTGCGGCTGCAAATCGATGATAGATGATGGAATCAAGCAGACAACTGGAAAATACAAGAAGTTCAAGGGAAAGTGCATCAATGTTGTGTCCCATCCCTGCAATCACACCCTCCTGGAAAAGGAGGGAGGGGGGGGCTTATAACGCTGCGCCTCACTTTTGTTATCTCCACACCGCTGACGAACTGGTACGCACGAGGCATCTGATTTGCACCTATCAAAGCATAAATCTGTTTGTCTGTCGAGGAGTGGCATGTCGAAGTCAGACGGACGAGGTAGTGATGTGTCAGATTAGTCTTGTTTGATGTTGTTCGTCTTACATTAATGTGATTCCGTCCGAGTTCAGACTCGCTAGCAATCCACCCGTCCGGAAGCCATTTACCGACCTCGAAAGTCCTTATCCCCTAAACGCCGTACGCTATGCACCATGACACCGCCTGTACAGAACTAACATTTCTAGCTTCGCTTCACCTGCTCCCACCTTTCGTCAAAGTGCGACAGTGCATCACGCGAGGATGCTATTCTATCCCTGCTGCTCGCTCCGGCGAGCAAACGGCCTTGTACTGGAGGGTGCTCATTATTCCAGGCGCAAAATCTTGCATTTCTCGTACTTTGGGCATCTAGACCTGACCTGGAGGGATAATAAGTATGTGAAGGAGGGGGTAGGGGGTGCGTTATTAGTGCAGAACTTACGAAGCACCCCTTGAGTAAGGCGTCTCTGATGGCTGAGATAGCTCTGTGTATGGTGTTGTTGTCTTCATCGTAAACCGGCTGGGGAAGTTATGCCCAAATAATCCCTTGACTGTATTCATAGAACTCATTCTAAAGTCTGTTAAAAAGAGGAATCACCTACATTTATCCAACTTCTAAGTCTCCCCAAAAAGAGCCCTTGGTTACCCATCACGACTCCTCGCGCAATCATCGAGGATAACCTCGCGACCTTGCGCGCTGCCCATGTGGAAAGCTGGGCAATTGCGCCAGCAACCTCAGTTCCTCCGCGATTTCGTTGACAACCAAAAAGCCATATGCTGCCACTGGGGGTATAGGAAGTTCATCTGTCCAAGGTGTGTCTTTATCATCATTGCACGAATCTGGACACTGGCGTCCGCGCAGTTGCGCGGCTGCCAGCGAATCTCAGACGGCCTAAACAGTATTAGCTCCCGCGCAGCTGCGCAAGAGGGCGGTGCTTAGCCCTTAGGTGGCCAGTTGGTGTGCTGATGATGGAAAGGATACGCCCGAGATGTGCTATGAAATATGTGTAAGGCATCCGCTACATTTACAGGGGCTGATTGATGCCTGGAGTGACCGTCGCGGATATGGTCGATTAATAGATGAGAAGTTAGGTGGATCTACCATGGGGCTCTCAGCTCTCGATATTCCACAAAAACCAAAGACCCCCAGGTGACCTAGATGCTAATGAAGAACGTGGTGAAGAGGTCCAAACTATTACACATCAAGCCACGACTTGACCAAAAGTGAGCGGGTTCTTGTTCAAAAATTTGACCACTTGGTATCTGTTTCGGCAGCCCATGATAAACCCCCGCATGGCCCTGGGGTCTAATCTGTTGTATGCCCAGCCATCTAGCTTAGTGCCTATGGACTCTCGAAAACGCCCTCAACAGCATTTTTCACCAATGGAATAGGTACACCTTCACCGAGATCGAACCCCATTCCTGGTCTTGGTCAGAGTGTTTTGTGCAGTTTTGCTGCGGGGTCGGCGAAAAAGTAGAAATATTTCTCATAGGCAACTTCAACACCAGTAGATTTGAGCAAGGCGACCAGGCTAGCAAGCAGTTTTCGCCTCGTGGTCCGCATAATGGACATCACCCATTTACTGCTCTGTCAGGCTGGCCCCCAAAAAAGACATGGATGGATACGGTAGCATGTCTAATATCTTTCGCTCCCTCTTCCTGCCTGCTTGTCGTAACGAATTAACTTGTCTCTCTTTCATTTGAACAACATCGTTGGCGATCCTGGTTGGCAGCTCCGTTCTCAACGACTGGTGTCAACCCCAGGCCACGATAGTTGGTCCAGCGATTGACTGATCCAAACTCGAGCCAAAGAGGAAGAGATCCCAATGAGCCTAACAACTGGAACAGGGCTGGTCCTTGAACCAGACGTTCGTCTCAAGATGTGGATTCAGCAAAACTACCAGTATCTTGAGTCGTGGTGTCCTCTAAAACGAAACTGCGGCACCCTGGTCAGCGCCGGTGATACAGAACAGTTTGCTACCCAGGCAATACTTACACCGCATTACTGGCAGTGCAGTGTCAGTCAATGCAGTGACAGTTCCACCATTGCCAAAGACCTCAACGCCGACCCCGGCCTCTCAACCCCTTCAAGCCCAGTGCGATTCACCGGCCACGAAGATCATCATCAGGCTCTACATCACCCGAAGAATGAACAGCCCAACGCCACCGATGAGTGCGTTGTCACTAGTCTTACGAGCGAACGAGTTTCCCGTAAACCAACGACCACCAAGTCTTGTAAATCCACCAGCGTACTCGACCTAGACCCCGTGTTCGTCTTGTTTGTTGTCGCATACAACACTATACAATATGTCGACTTATCCGTCCTACCATCCTCCCTCAATATCATTTGGTTTCAACCATTCTGGAATGTCTTTCCGCCATATTGGCTTTTGTCAATTTTGGTTGACAACAAGGGTTGCAGGAGGAGGAGATGGATAGCTGCATGCTCCATTCTTTGGGTTGACGACTACATTTGGCGAACCTTGACCAGTGCTGCTCTATGGACTTTTGCTCTTCCGCAGCTTGACTCAGCTCGCCTACAGAAGCTGCTTACACCTGTCAACCTCACTAAATTTGTACCGGGCCCTGAAAGTACTGGGACCCCCAATCAAATTCCCCAACAAACAACCCTCCCGATCCACTCAGGCGGCAGCGACTTCCAGGGGGGAATTGGCGGGCCCTCACAGTCCGGTCAGAGCGGCACGGGCAACTCGCAATTCGGCGGAAGTAGGAGGCCCTCCGGCGCCGGTGGTCCTGGAGGCACTGGCCCTAACGGAAGGGAAGGAGGCGGGGCAGCCGGAGGCGGGCAACGTGACGGCGATGGCAACGAAGAGCCGAACAGGCCCGAAGACTTATTATGGGCTTGCCACTACTACAAGAGATGGCCTTGGAAACATTTCGGGTGTCTCCATCAGCCGCAGAAAGCGCCGCGTTACGTCAAAACTCACCTTCTCAGAAAGCACTTGCAACCCATACACTGCACCATATGCCACGAGGCATTCGGAACTCATGCTGAAATGAACGCGCATATCGTGGCCATGAGTTGTAGCCGAGCGATGGGGCCTTCTCCGTACTGCGATGCAATCTCCAATGACCAAAGGGACCAGCTCAAAACCCTCCAAAGCGCTGGTGAAAGTGAAGTCGAGAAATGGTACAAAATATGGGACATTCTATTTCCAGGTGTGCAACGCCCGCCATCTCCCTACATGACAGGCGACAGCAGCCAGCAGATGTGTCAGTTTTTTGACGAAGAAGTTTATCCCCTGTACGAACAGACTCTCCTCCAGGGTGATGTCCTCAATGGCGGCCAAATTCGATATGCCATGGCCGTTTTAAGAAACATCATAGACAGGAGGGCCGCTCCGCCGACGAGGGGTCATGCCCCAAATGTATTTCTTCCCCAACCGCCCGTTCACCAACAACACAATCCAGAACAGCGTCAACTACAATACCAACCACAGCCCAGCCCGCATAATGAGGCTTCTCGCATGGTTCCCACCAGCGGACCATCGCACCAACCTAGGATACCTTACCAGCCGCTACGGAGAGTTGTTTCTCGGGGACAACCCCGCAACACCAACGCCCGACCCCAGAATGAGGATCAACGGGGTCATATTTCGCCAGGGACTCAACCACGCCCAAGCACTCATCGTCGATCCCTTAGGGGCAATGAATCCCGGCAGTCTGTCTTGCGGAGGCGAGGCAATATGTCGCAAACCCAAATGTCCAGAACCCCCTCATTAAATCCAACTATGCAACAACAACAGCAGCCGCTTCCGGCTCATGACTTGCTCCCCAACACAGGCGCCAACCAGGTCATTATATATCCAGGAGTTGCTATTCCAAGTCAAGTCTCCACACAGGCTCCAGCCCCACGGCCTGTTCCGTTCCAGCCACAGATTCAAAATCTGCCCACTAATTATCCGCCACAAAATGATGATAGTCTAATGGCGGATTACACGGGAACTTTTTATCAATACACCAACAACAGTAACAACAATAACTTCAACGTAGGAGGGTATCCGGCAAGCATGGCCAACCCTCGTCAATCAGCAAACACAAACTCCCAAATGTTGATGGAGGGCGGGTATGGTTCCTTACAGCCATCACCAATGCACAACAGCTTCGGAAACCAAGGACAGCGAGCTTCGGTTTCCATGCAAACGCCCGAGCAGTTTATTAGGCAGCTATCCCCAACTCAGCAGATGGAATCATCCCAAGAACCGACACCAGGGACCTTGCCAGGACAAACAATGATGCTGGGCAATAGTCTTGGCTACTGGAGTGTCGAGAATCTCGAGGCATTTCACACGAATGATGTCGCTGGTAACCTGACGGCGACAGAAGATGAGCCGGAGGCATTCGAGCCCTCTGATACTTCCCAAGTTGGCTCCCCGTCGGATTTTCTGGAGGACTGTGATGTTTGATAATTGACGTCTTGTTTTTCTCATGTCAATTTGTAAGGCTGTAGGTATGATACAGCGTTGTCAAGTATATCGTCAGCATTTGTTGTTGTACTTTTGTAAGAAAATGCGTCAAGGAAAAAGTTGACGGCATCGCAGGCTGAAATGCTGCGGAAAAGGCTTTCCCCAGGTTGATTTCATTGACGGGAACCTATTTCGACATTAAACTGGGGCCAAACAAGATGATTAAGTATTGTTTGTTTATTTTCTCGATTGACTGCCGTGGGGGATCTGATTAAGCATGAGCGATGGTTGTCGGCATGGTAGCGACGGCGCTGCATCAAGACGGTATTTCATAATCCTTGGTGTTTTGTATAGATAAAATTGCTTATGGGCGGCCTTGCAGGACATGAGATGTCCCAAACCGGAGTTGTGACTGTGCAAGGACGGATGCCTTGCTGACAGTCTTGTAAATAGCATGCAAGACGTAGGAAAATATTGCATGGGGTGGAACGAGTAAGCTCTGATATCACAATGAAAGAAATGAAAAAGCAGATGAGCCTTACTCTGTAAACTTCTCAACAGACCGTCACATTTGAAGTGTGACGACGCATAAATATTATTGTTCATACAAATGGTAGATGAACTAGCAATGAAAACACAAGTACAGGATCTGTCGACTACACATCATGTGGTTTTATGAACATTGAGCAAATCCATACTAAATAGAAGCTTTGCTGCTTATAAACACTCATAAACCTGGCCGGGCAGTTTGCATCAACGGGGTTAGCTGGTTGAGATTACGAGATGGTATGAGTTGTGAACCTTTAAACGATGAGTTTGAGTATCGAAGTGCACAACCGATTCAGTTCTAAATAAGCAGATTCGACTATCTTCTCGAAAAGTCACGCGGAAATAAGAATCTACCACGTGTTTATCTCTAGTTTAACCATGAATACATTATGAATCGAAACATGGACTATGTTCATCACTATGACATTCACAATTACTCACTCAATTCAATCATTTGTCCGACCCCGAGACGCCCTAAAACATTTCCAATAACTGTTCCCCTCCCCCGCAATCCCCTAAAACACGGCTAAATACGTCACGTGTTTTGACCAATCCCCCAGTGGCCCCCAATACACGAACCGTTTCGGGGCGGAAACCAAAATGCTCGCCAAAGAGGCCCAAGAGACAAGGATCCGGGCGAGCTTTTGGAGCACAAGCTTTCCTGCTGCGCCAGTGAAAATGCGCTCCAACTACCGCCAGCTCCGGGGGTGTGGGCGCCCCCCTCCATATTGCGACGGCACTCGGATCATGTTTGGTTTAACAGCTAGCTCGGCCAGCGCCCATCCAATCTGTTCATCACCCTCTTAGTCTTCCCGACGGCTTAACTGTCCCCCCGAATCGTACCAGACAACTCGTCCAGGGAAACGCGAATTCCCGTTGAACAATCCCGCGCAGACCGGTTCCCAAATAAAGAACTCCCATCTCGACGACGACGATTTGGAGCTATCCTGAAGCCAATTCATAACCTCACGCCACGCCCACGATGGTCTCGACACGCTCCTCCTCCCGCGCCCTCCCCAACGGCGTCGACTCCCCCCAGTCTTCCGTCTCCCCTCCCCCTCGCGCCCGCGTGCCGCGGGACAACCAGTCCGCGCCGACAGGCTGGTCCCATGCGCCGACCTCGTTGACGCTCTTCTGGCTGCTCGTGTCGTTGCCGCTGGTGGCATGGGACACGGGATACGTGCTCCTGCGCCCGTGGACCATGCCCGGCGGCCACCTCCACTGGCCGCTGTACGTCCCCTACAAGCTGTACGGCGAGGTGGACCACGTCTACGGGTGGAAGGCCTTCAACGCGAACAACGGCTTCACGTCCGCCCAGGGCACGCTGAACCTCGTCGAGAGCATCATGTACCTCGTGTACGTGTGGATCTACTTTTCCCGGGGAAAGGCGGTCGAGGGCCCGGCCGGCGTGAAGAAGGTCGTCGGCGGACGCGCGGGTGCTCTCGGCGTCGTTGTCGGGTTTAGCGCGGCCGTTATGACGTTGAGCAAGACTGTGCTGTATTGTAAGTTCCGCCCAAAATGGTCAAGCTTTGTATAGCAGAGACAGAAAATGTAGGCCGTAAATGCTGATGTAGGGTTTTCAGGGGCAAACGAGTATTACTCCGGCTTTGACAACATTGGTCACAACCCGCCCATGGACCTTCTCTTCCTCTGGATCATCCCCAAGTAAGTTTCACACTCCGTTTTTTTGTTTTCCTCCCCATGGCAAATCTGCAAATAGCGGTTGTTATCACCGGTATATAAATGCTAACGATTTTGCGATAGCGGCGCGTGGCTCCTGGGATCCGGATACATGATCATGTCGCTTGGCGGCGAAATCGTTGATGGTTTGGCACTAGCCTCAAAGACGACCAAGACCGAGTGAGACGAACGTAAGACATAACGCGGACGGGTGTATCTGGTGTCACAAATAAGACAAATTACAAGGTTGGAAACGGAAACAAAGACGAAGGAGGGGGAAAAAAAAATAACAAAAAATAAAAAAGGGTTCAGTGCGGGAGCTAAGGAATTTTTATACAAGGCTTTACCAAGGGCATCATGGGTACATATATATATATATAGTCAAAATGGATGTAAATGATTGCATGCGTAAAAAACACACGTTACCCCTTGCGGCTGGGGCTGCGGCTAGCTTTAAACGATCACATTTGGACCCCCCCGCCAAGTCCCTGGTTTTCTCTGTGAAAACCCTCATCCGAGGGGGTGGCTTTGTTTATGTCAAGGGTCTCTGGTCAGCAGGCTGCAGGGTCTTATCAGCACTAGAACGGAAGCTGCATCGACAAGTGGATGACGGGCCGTGGTGGGCATTCTGCAAACAGGATCAACGAGTCGCCGTCAAATGTGGTTTGTAGGATGTTGTGTCACACTGCCTTGCCCACAACCACGACTGGTCCTTCAAACATACTTACCTTTGTATGAAGGGACTCTGCCTGGTTCATCAGCACCGATGACTGTAGTAGTTGTTTGTAAAGTACTTTTTATTTCAATTTTATCTCATCTTTTTGTCATGTTTTGCAGTGTGTCTCCCTGCCACGAATGTTTCCCAATTTTCCAACCCAACCAAAAGTGCCTGGTGAGATAATCGTACATCGTGTTACAAAAGGAGGGTGCGGTCGGGTATCTCTCATCATGTCCAAAAAAAACCAATAAGTACAAAAGAAAAATCGGAGGATGGACTCCCTTCAAACGCCACCCGACGTGAAATGCATGCTCCCTGCAATAAAAGAATTTTGCCTTGACCGTTTTACATACCATTAAATGTTCAACGGTGAGAAGCTCTTTAGTCCACCAAGGTCTCTAAACTGCTCCCACTCTGGCTTGATATCGGCATCCTCCACGGCCGGGCTTTCATGCTTTATCGAAGCAGAAGCTTTGCGAATCTGCAGCGGTAGAGGCTCAAGCTCGTGTCGGCGGAACACTGCCTCCTGCTCCTTGATCAGTTCCTCGTAGTCGTGCGCGTAGCTCCCTTGCGCAACAACACTGTGGCGCCGGTTTCTAGACCGTTCCGAGGAGCTGGCTGGAGTTGAACCCATAAAGGAGAGCACATCTCTGACGCGCCGGCGGCCACGAAGGGGAATCGGACCCAGGATGGGCGATTCTTGGTTGGGCCAGTTCTTGTCTGGCGCGTCGGGCGACGTTGGTGGGGCCGTGGAGTCGACAGTTGCGATACTGGCGCCGCCAGCAGATGCTTCCGAGACGCCGCTTGATGCTGAAGATGTGGAGTAAGAACGTGGTACTGGCATGACGGTCGTCGGAGAGAGTTCGGGAGACTCGACACGGCGGTCATCGATGCGAATAGGTTGGATGGAACGGGGTACGACGGTGGTTGGGGACATCTCGGGAGTTTCGATGGGGACTGCGGATCGCTTGGTCACCGCATTGGTACCGTTACCGTAGCCGTGTACAACAATCTCGCAGTAGGATGCTTTTCTTGGGGCCGGGGAAAGTTCTTCCTCGTTCTTTCGGAACATACTGAGGGTTCGTCGGAACGGACTGTTGCGAGACAAGCTTCGACTGCGAGATCGATTTTGCGCGGCTGGGGTACCGCATACTGATTGCCGCCGGGCGAGCATCTCCTCGCGGCGTGTCCTGGCCGTGTGGTCGACATCCGGCTCGATGACAATGCTGGGTGAGACCAGGGCAGGGGATATCGGACCGTTGATGGCCCAGTGTGAAACGGATTGAGAGCGCTGCATGTTGGGCGTAAAGCTCGTCCGCCTCGGAAGAAGAGGCTTCAAATCACGCGCGGTCCTCCAAGGTGGCAGCTGCTCAGTTGAAACAGCAATGTGGTAATCAGCATCAGCACTGTCGCGAACTTCGGGAGGAGGTTCTGTGCAGTTGCGAAGCACCTGGTGGACGGCGTAGATTAGAATCCACCGCACCTTTCGGGCGTCTACAAGGCTGATCTTCTCTGTCTTGTCGACTTTGGCGTGGGGTGCAACTGAATCTTCTTCGAACTTGCGGTAAGCGTGGACAAAGTCGTTGTCAAGCAATCCCGCATCGCGTACGTTCATTGCCTTAATCAAGGCTGCATGGGCGACCAATCGATTGTCAGGCTTGAGCTTGTCTGCCCGCGAAGCGTTGCCTAACCATGCAAGCGACATCCGGCGCGAAGACTTATCATCGTTCAACTCCGGCAGAAGAGGCAACGGGTGTTTAAGTGATGGGTAATCGCATCGCTCATCAAATGCCTGCACACTTTGCACTGCGCAGATTCCTCCCTGCGCAAGCAGAGGGCTGCTGTCATCTGAGGTAAATCCTTCATCCACTAGTAGTTCATAGACCGCCCGGAAATCTCTGCGCAGTGTGTCGAAAACATCGGGTTCGAATATCGTGCTTCGCGAGTCCATTGAAAGCGGCGGGTAGTAACCTAGCTTCGTCGTGTAAAACGATAGGACGAAGGAGCGGAAACGGTCCAGGTGGGCCCGGCTTCCGGACGACAGGCCCAAATTAGCTTCGGATAACTCTTCTTCAAGAAATGTTTTCAACATATGGCTGGCTTGGCTGAGCTTGTTGTTCATATCTGAACGTGCCCTGCGAATCAGTGTTCTGGAGATTGAGCTGATATGCTGTGTTGTGTCAGTTGCATTTTTCACCGAGAGACAGCGAATTCCAAACGGGCATACCTGATACTCGGGATTGCAGAAGAGCTCCTCGCTCATTCCAACACAGTGACTGAAGGCGTCAATGTACATATCCCGCATCTGAAAGTATTCGGCCAAATGCAGAATCGCCAGGGCATGTTGCGGTCGGCCTTTTAAGTCCATATAACCCTCCTCGTCGAGATAGGATATCAAGTCCGCCATGTTGTCCACGTCTTTGCTCCTGAATTCTGCCATATTGCTCATGAGTTCGATCAAAGCGTTGCCGAGATGCTCGCCAACCATTGACCGTCTGAAAATCCAGGCAAAAAAGTTACGAGTTGCCAAATGGTAAGCAAAAGCCTGCTCTTTATCGGCCGTAAGAGGTGCCGGGATATATAGCTCAATCCTTGTGTTGGGATTGAGGGCATGCCACCGTTCCAGGTCTCCGTCTTGGTCGCGGGAAGGTCGAGAAGACGTCGGCATACTGCGTGACATGTACTTCTGGATTAGAGGATGGCATTTCGCGGAGAGCAAAGCTTCAAAAGGGACTTTGAAGGCTGGTCCTCTCCGCGATTGACCTTTGCCGTACAAGTGCACAAAGCAGTTGCCGCTGCGAAACCACAATTCGGGATCCTAAAAATGACAGCATCAGTAAAGGTTTAAAATGTCAAAATTAAAGCTGGCAAGCGATCAGCTAGGTAAAGGTGCAGACTCACCCGCCTCAAGTTATCCCAGTCACTGCAAGATCTGGCAGCCCCATCCCATCTCTTGACTTTCGAGGTTTGGGCGACCCGGCCCTCCATCATGGGCACCCCAAACTTTTTTGACTTCCACGCCTGAGTTGAGGTCGACATCGTTGGACTTTGCGGTGGTAACGATAGTCGAGGACGAGGATCGCGACGAATGGTCTTGGTACCAGCCGCATCTTGGGACGCCTTGGGGGGACTGGGTCGTTCATATGGACGATCCTTGGATGGCTCCTTGGACGGCTCCTTGGACCGGTCCCTCCGCCATGAGCCGAAGGGTAAGCCAGCTGGATGCGGCCAAAGCTTCATGATGTGAGGCTAACAGCAATCAATAGTGCCAATGACTGCAGAAGAAGGAAAATGTTCTGGGCCACCGACAAAACGTCCAATGATTCGTCAGGCCCGCCTGGGAGATCTGCGTTTGTCTAGGACGGAAACTGGGCTCACTAGCTTGATAACCACTAGTACGCCCGTAGAAGAGAACAAACGACTTGAGGTCGTCACTTGTCCACAACCTCGTCGAAAACAGCAGGCCCAGCCGTGCCAAAGAGAATTGGTTGGGGGAGAGCAAACGCCGCAAACCTTGCAAAATCGCCTTCAGGCGGGCGTCGCGATGGTTTTATGACACTTGTTCCACATCTGAACAAAGTAACAAGGCTTTCGAAGACTGGTCTAAATCTGCGCCGTGGTGAGTCCGAGCAGTGCAGAGAGACGAAGCGGCAGAAACAAGGGTATGGCCTCACGACTTGCTGAAGGCCTGGACGCAACTAGGTCGATGGGCGAACCCCGTCCACTCAGAGCCCTGTTGTCCTGCGATGCATGGCAGAGCGAGTGCGACCAAGCGAGTGTACCTGTCATTCGCAGCTAGTATGGTTTTGCTGCCAGACTTTCGGAGTGAGAGTGCGTGGGCAATCAGCTCAACCCCGTTTCTCCCACATGCCGCAGGGTCAGCTTCGAGCTTGCGCTGCTGTGCCATAGGTTCCATGTCCGTGAGCGGGGGTTTTGCAACGAGACCTTCGGCGTCCCATAATCCCAGCTTTGCATCTTTCAAAAAGCAAGAGGTAATATCTAGAGGCCTCGACCGGTCTCTGTGACGCGATCCAAGACGACCTTCGAGTGATCGACATACGCAATTCAATAGTTTCCTACAATTGCAGTAGAGGCTTTCCCTCCATGTATTGGAGCCATTCCTCTGGGACCTGGCATGATTCTAGTCTAATGGTGATGCAAAGCGTCCGTACTGGTATCTCTAGACGGCTTGACAGGATGGATCACCGTCCTTCATGCATCTTTCGGCGCGAGCTTGCATCCACCCTGTGGCCCCATAATTAGCGACAACAGTGAGCGGGTCGTCTTCCGGAGTAGTGTCTCATCAAAAACTTGGTACCACTGAGTGTCACGTCGGAACGGGCGAGACTTGCTGATTCATCAGAGTCCCCAAGCCGACTGATGCTGTAATAATCACGAAATTTCAACGGTCTTAGTCGCATGCGGCGAGTGAAGCTTTAACATGCCCGTCTTCATCTGGTCCAGGCCATGTCTAAAATTCAAAGCTCTGTGATGGCTGACTCGCAACTCCAAGGGCTGGTCGACGTCATCCGTAAGAAGCAATAGATCACGGCAGCAATTGTCCGACGGGAATGCACACAATTGGATGCTATGCCATGCCCCAATTCGTTCTCTTTGTCAAGAAAAGGCAGGCAACGACTCCCGTGTCTTGATTTGGCGCGCATTTGAGCGTCTCAAAGGAAAGCCCTAAGCCGGAATACGCTTCCGCTACTTTGCTCTCTAGTTCAAATGTTGTGGTGCCCATAAGCAAGTACTACCAGGGGATAATTGCTAGATGGAACCGTGGGGGCGGCCATGTCGCCGCCGTGGCTTACGCCATCGGCCGAAAGAATACTTTGCTTTATTGTGAAGGCCAGCCAAAGGGCAGCTGCATTGCTGTGTGCGACATCAGACAAAATTTCCCCGACTCCAAATCGTTGTGATCCTCCCAGGAGCGATGGTGCCCTTGTCGGCGACATACTTCGAATTAACTGTAAACGTTCGGCAGGCCAAAACGCTGGGCTGGCGCGGCTGTTACCGACATGACCTCCAAAGTCCAGGCACAAGGGGCGCCCTGACAGCTCCTGTTGAGTGTGTAACGACGGACCAGAAAAGTCGATGCAGGGCGCTCTGCACGGTTTGAGTGGGCAGACCAAACGTCGAAGGGAATCCCAGCCTTGAATTGTATTTCCAGTAGGCTCTGGCTAAAGCCGCAGTGGCGTGGAGGAGCTCCGGAGATGGTCGGCTATCAACTTGGGTCACAATGGCGAAGAAATACACTTCCACAATCCTACACATTTTCAGCTTTCGCTCGTTTTGGGAAGGTTGCGTAACCCGGACCCCGCCCTGGCTCTGGAGCGGCTTGTCGTTGTCACCTTCTAGGCAGGCCTATGCTAGCTCGGTGCCTTTCCGCGATGAAAACGTCGAGGCTGGCGAAAATTCCCAGTCAGGTGGAACCTAGCGGACGGCAAAAGAAAGCCATAAGCGAGTATTGAGCGGCAGATGGTGCGCCAGTTAAGCCTCCTCAGCGGCATGGCGGACGGCAGATCATCACAACGGAACAGACAAGAAAATAAAGAGTTGAGATTATGGGGGACCAGCTGAAGTCTTTCGGACGTGATCACAGGTAGCCAGCCATTCGCATCATAGGCGTTGAGTACTGGAAATTGTCAGTTAAGCTAGTTAGCTTATCGAACGAATAGCAGCTCAAGTGGAATTCGACGCTGGGCAACAAGTGGTGATGGCCTTCGCGAGCCTTGGCGAAGAAACCAGCAATGGTTTGACGTGAGCCCGTCGCCAGTCTTGTGCGCGTTTGACACCTCGCAACACTCAATTGTCCGTCCGTCCGGAGGTGATCATCGAAGTAGTAGCAAACTGTTCGTGCGGTCGAGCGTTGTCAGCAGGCGAAGGATGATGAACGAGCGAACAAAATTACCAGATTAGTGGAAGGTCAGTGTAAGTCGGTTCATCCGGCCGATAGAAAGGATGAGGGTCCCAGCTTACCTAAACATATAGATCTTATCTGTCATCTTTTTTTTGTCCTTTTGATTATCGATAAGCTTCGGCCACGGGATCAAGGTAGGCCCGCACCTTATCGGTCCCGGCTGCTGCCCGCCATTGATATTGGACCGCGGCGCTGAATTGGACGGAAAGGCCCTGTTGGTGTCCGAGAGAACAGCTCTGTGCAGAACTTCAAACACCTCCTCGCCGAGCATACTCTCAGCATTTCTGCACTGCACAGCCGCTTTTGAATCCAACATCAGCCCCTGGAAATCTTCGCGGCCAACCAGTATGTCGTAGCAGACATGGCGCCTTTGACCCCCTACAGCTACATTCGGTGCCCCTGCTCCGAGACTCGTGCCAGCGACGATGGCTCATCCACGCCGGGCAGTCCAGAAGACGACGAGCGCACCTTCGACCCACGCGCGCCGCGCGCCAACTTCAGCCTGTATCCGCTAGAGCATCTTATGTACTGCGAGGACTGTCATCAGATCAGGTGCCCCCGTTGTGTCAATGAGGAGATCGTGACCTACTACTGTCCAAACTGCTTGTTTGAGGTTCCCAGCAGTAACCTAAAAAGTGAAGGCAACAGGTGAGTTGCCGGCGATCTGACATCAGATGGGACGATCTTGCTGATTTTTATTTTTTCCTTGCAGATGCACACGGAGTTGTTTCCAATGTCCCGTCTGCATCGGTCCCCTTTCGGTCACGAGCCTGGATACACCGCCCGACACCAACAATCTTCTCACCGCCGACAGCTCTGCCCCTCAAGGCGGCCCTTACGTTTTGACTTGCTCCTATTGCAACTGGAACTCAACCGAAATCGGCATTAAGTTTGACAGGCCCAATGGCATCTTTGGGCAGTTGGCAAAGTTGCAGAACGGCGGCAAGCCCAAGTTGACCCCCAAGGAGCATAAGGAGAGGAAGAAGGAGAGCGGAGGGGAATACAAACTAAATCCCAAGGACATGGACACCGAGCTGCAATTTGCGCAACTCAAATCGTTCTACCAGACGCAGCTCGCAAACTCTAACCCCTCGGCAGGCGGGCTATCGTCCCTTGGCGACCTTGGTCTCTCCTCTCCTGGTTCCCTCTCACGGATCATGAGCCTCTACAGCGGGAATAACTTCGGGCACAAACAGGCAAGGGGCAAGGTGCAGATTATGCGGGAGGCTATCAGCACGGACGAGGGCCTGAAGACGACCGACTTAGACGAGTCGTCAGCCATTGCGAAGCTACGCCAGACGACGTTCGACGAGACAACCACTCTCGCACAGAACTCTCACCAACAGGAATGTGTGCGGTTTAGGGATGAGCTGCGGCCGATCCCCTATTTGCTGCGAACCAAGCGATCTAAGCGATGTCCTGTCTGCAGACATATCATCAGCAAGCCGGAAGCAAAGATATCCAATACACGCTTCCGCATTCGTTTGGTAGCTGGTAGCTACATTCCAACCATCACAATCAGGCCGCTCAGTTCCGAGTCACAGAACATTCCTTCGACAGCCCGACCACCGATACCGCAGGAACTTTGGCTCGCCCCTCTCAAGCCTGTCCAATATCTCTTGACGTTCAAGAACCCTATCTTCGAGACGGTCAAGGTGTCCCTGGCCACTCCCTCCAGCACGCCTGGCCGGTTTGCGAGCACCGTGACGGTGTTTTGCCCGCAATTCGAGATTGATGCCAATACGGACATGTGGGACGACGCACTCAAGGACGATACTGAAAAGGAGCGCCGTAGGGGCGAGGAAGGCGCGCTGCAGCAGGCCGAGGTAGGCAAGATCTATGACCGTGGCCGCAACTGGGTCAGCATCGTGCTGGAGGTTGTGCCGGCGTCTTTAAAGCTAGAAACGGGGGACAAGAACAGCGAAGACGACCATGGGACGCTACGAGAAGACGAGGACGTGTTGGAGATACCCATGTTTGTGCGCATCGAGTGGGACACTGAAGCACAGGGCGATGTTGGTACGACACACGGCAGGGACAAGGAGGCTAGGGAGAAGAGGGAGTTGGCATACTGGTGTGTTCTTGGAGTCGGACGCATCAGTCAGGATTAGAATCCACATTAGACAATGATACCCAAACTATGATTTCAAGTCACTGCCAAGTCGTCTCATTTCTCATGATTAAAATTGTTGCTGACGGTCACATTTTGATGAACGGAAGATGCGCAAAGGGAGCGGTCAAGTGTGTGGTATATGCATTTTTGGGGCGGCCTGTGATTGAATCCGCCAAGCTACATCCTTTAGACGCCAGACCCTTTTGACCAACCAGTCATTGCCATGCTCTCATTGCAGCAGACCAAATGCCAAAACCCATCATTGACCGACCAGACACCTATTTTTTGAAATAAAGTCCCCTCCCAAACAATCCAATCGTCTCGGACGGATTGATTTAGAAGTCAGAGGCACCGCTCTGGGGGAACTCGAAGGTGACACCGCGGCCGGTGAGACGGCGGTAGACCTCGGAGTAGGTGTCGAGGCGGTAGTCAACACCGCCACGCTCCTTCTCGTCGAGGATGACCTTGAGGAGCTTGGAGCCGTCCTCCTTGGTGCGGAGGCGCTTGCCGACGATCTCGACGGGGTAGACGAGGTCGGTAAGGATGGCGTCGTGGACGGCGGTGAGAGTGCGGGAGCGGGGGCGCTTCTGCTTCTGGGTGTTGCGGGAGCGGGCAGAGCGCTTGGGGCGGGGGAGGATACGGCGGGAAGCCAGGATCAGGACGTGGCGGTCAGAGAACTTCTTCTCGAGCTCACGGGTGAGGCTAGATTGGATTATTAGGATGGAGAGTTCAGCAACGACGGGTGATCAGTAGAAACTTACCGCTGCTGGACGCGGTGGAAGCCCTGCAGGAGGGGGACGGGGACAAAGATGACAACAGCCTTCTTGCCGTGGCCAACCTCGATCTATAACAAGATCACAAGTCAGCATGCGAGCTCCAGGACGATGCCTTGGACCGCTTCCCGTCCTGTTCCTGAGATTATCATTCTTTTCAGTGTTCAAATCTCCGCCGCCACGGCAGCGAGAAAACAACTCACGCGAGACATTCGACATGCGACCATGGTAAGGGCAGTTCTTCAGACCTCCCTTCCTCTCACTCGATGTCTTTCAATCGGATGGAGAAAAGGTGTTTCTTTGACATATCCTTCCAATGGTTCCCACTCGTTGTCGGGTGCGGTTGATTGCGCGGCTGATAACCGTGGCGGCCGGAACAGGATTGTATGTTCGGAAAGGTTTTGGGGGAAATTTTTCTAGTCCAATTTTCGGCTGGTTTTTCAGGTAGTTCTCACCTCGCGGGCAGAGACGAACTGCAGAGGGCGGAGGGCGACCTTGAGGTCAGCGGTGTTGCTCTCGAGGTCGAACAGGGCCTGGGCGATGCTCTGCTCGAGCTCGGAGGGGTTCTGCCTCGAAGGGCTGTTGTGGGCGATCTTGTTCAACGCGGTGCCGCTCATTTTGGCTGTGTTTGAGGGGGTTGCTGGTTGGCGATGGTCGGGTTAGTTGGATGCTCGAACGGACGAAGTCGAAAAATCGAAAATATGAAAATGTTCGCGACACAGGCGGCCCAATTGGGGAATGCGGGCGGGTGATTGGGGCTTGCAAGCCCTGGATTTTGTGTGAGAGAGTGGTCTGTGCGCGGTCATCATTTTTTGACCTTTTTTCATTCTCTGGCTGTGGCCCGCTAACTTGCAGGAGCCCCACTTGTTCTTCTGAGAACGCTATCCCCTCTTTGGTCATTTCTTGGTTATGTGGATTTGTGAACTGCCTTATTCTGCAATATTTGAGAATTTAGTTGGAGCTTCAAGGCAATGGGAGTCTTGAGGTTTACGGTACTCACAGTGTAAACTTTGCATCCACTAAAATTGTTCGCTTTTGGTTAGGTACTGCTGTGGAGTCTTTCTTGGGGCTCTGGTAGCTTAAGTAGTAGTAACTGTATAATGAGCATTTCCGGTTCTACTTGGCTATACATCCTCAATCAGCATATTTTCTCTTAACAGACCCATCTCTATTCCAATCAAAAGACCTTGAGCAGGCGGAGAAAGGACATCAGGATTATCACTTGCGAGGCCGGGACTTTGATATCTGAATCAGCCGCCAAAAGATTTCAAGGTCTGAGCCAGTCTCATACCATTCCGACCCAAGTGACAAATATCACAGGTTTGCGAATGTCTCCATTTTACCTCCCATTATCTCCCTTTGTCGATTTCATTTTGATCTCTATACCAAGTTATGTATCTTACAATGGACACTTTGTAAATAACTCCTCCGAATTATGACATTATACCGATACCCAACGAGTGTGGTTGTTTACAAGCCATGCGGCTAATCTAATCATCATCTCACTTACACCACGTTACGCGCTTTATCATTACGCTCTTGTCTACTCAGCTCCTCCCTGAACGCATTTCCAGTTCCGATACTCGGTGGAGGAGGCCTCGGGGGTGGCATCATCTCCACTCCGCGGTTAGCCGACGTGAATGTGCCGTCCGCAAGCCGCAGACCGTCCGTCCTCTGGCCACGGCTCTTCCCCACGCCGTAACCCTGGTTGCGAGAGGCGAACATGCCCTTTCTCCTGCCGTACCACCACACAAACCAACCAATGGCGCCGAGGGAGAGAACGCCAAAGATGATGGGCAACACAATCCCAAAGACATTAGGACCGCGCCGGAGAGGATCCTCGGACGGTACGTTGTTGACGATGCGAACCTTTGGACCGGGATCACGGGCCGTGATGGTACCGTTGGTAGCAGGCACCGCAAGGAAAAGCTGCACGTCCAGAGCCTCGCCAGGGGGCATGTTGTACCCCAAGACGGCCCAGGCAAAGTAGCCTTGGGAGGCGGGGATGCTCTGCGAGGTGAACCCGTGGCCGACGTCAATGGTGTTGGTCACGCTGTAGTCTCCCTGAACCTGGACGACGGTGTTTGGGGACGGGAAAAGGGAGGCGTCCCAGGTGACTGGAAAACGATTAGCGGACGTTCGAAGGCGGGGGGTCGATCGTGGCAGGGCTCACCAAAGTACGTCTTGCCGCCCTCCAGCTCGTTGTCCTTTGCTGGCGCGCAGAACGGTTGGGCGAGCCCGCCGGAGCCGGCGGCCGGGTTGCAAAGTAAGAACGAGCCGGCACCCGTTGCGTCGGCGGTGGGCAGTGCCGAGTTGGCTGGGAAGGCTGATGTTATCTTGCCGTCGTTGATCACAGGCGCGATAGTCTTTGTGGCACCATCAGCCTCGACGGTAACCCAAGGACGAAGGGCTTCATCACTCTGCCTGGGGAGGATGGCGGCGGTAGCTGCTTGTGAGAAGGATAGCAGTGTGGCGACGACGGCCAGGCCGCGTGATACACCCCAGGTGATCATTCTGAACCAGAGAAAAGTCGAATTACTAAAGGCAAGGAATAATAATGTTGCCAACTAGTGGCACCGGAATTGAAACGAAACGAAAAAAAAGTTCACACACAGGTTTAAAAGTCTGTGGCTCATGGGTGAGGGAGAAGGTTGATTAAGTATCGAGACTCAGCACTGGGCATGCAGGAATGCGACGGAGCAAAGGTATATTTTGCGTGATCATGTTCACTCGGCACCTTAATCTAGCCTTATGAAACCCTCTTTCTCACATGTCGCCTCTCTTCTGTGCGCCATGACCGGATCGCCGTTGGAAATATTCAGATCTTGCCTCTTGACTTTGTGAAATTCAACGGTTGTCTCTATTACCCCACAGTGTTCGCATGACAGCCGACTATCTAACAATCTAGTTGGTGGAAGCCGCCTGTCTCTATTTTGACAGATGCTAGCCTCCGTCTAGCTGCTGAAAATACGTCTGTCGAAGTCAAGCAAGTAAAGCCCGTGAAGCCCATGAAGGAGCCATCTACACAAGCTGTCTAGTCTGCCGGCCTACCAGAAGAAAGCTATAACGGAGCCACTCATTGACATGCAGGGGTTTCCCCTTCCCGGTTTCAGGAAGTAGCCCTGTTTCCCAGAGAATAAGGGATCAGACTGGTGCGCAGAGTGGCCCTACTGCAGGTCTGAACTGCAGCGGATGACAAAGTTCGGGGACCGTTGGGCCCAAGCTCACATTCTGGTAGAAGGGCACTGTGCCGAAGAAGGCCAGGGCGTCCGCTGGGGCCGTTTTCGGGGGGCAGCTCACGTCCCTTAGGAAGCTATAAAGTTTAACGGAAGGGGAAGCACAATCTGCAAGGTTCGGCACTTTGATGAGACACTCCTGAGCAGGCAGATAATTGGTTCAAAGGGAAGAAGGGCAGAACATTTCGGAGCAGATGAGGAAAGGTAAAGGACGATACAATCGGGGTCTTGGTTTATTGATGCCGGTATTCCCGGGGATATGTGGAGCCTGGTCCGGCATTGGCCGGGGCGGAAGGCGCGGGCCTAGTCGGAGGTGCGGCACAATGTTGAAAAGGCAGGGGTAGTGCTGGATGTTGAGGAAACATGGAGACAGACAATACCAAATTGACTCATACCCCAGATCAGTCAATTATCTCCTCAGCTCAACAGCGACCTGTCACAGCCTATCTCGGACAGCTGTCGGTAAGTCTGACTTATCCTAGTCTGGAAAAAAGGTGCCGTCTTGGCTAAAGATCGTCAGCAGCAAATGCAATGCACGCTTACCCATGAAGCATTGCCAGCCAAGCAATCTGTGATTCCAGATTGGAAGGGGGGGCCAACGGCGCTATTGAATGTCTTATGCCGTTTTTGATGGACTTTCTACGGCTTCTGAACGGGTATTGTCGGGGTTCAAGGGTTGTGGCCGTTTGAACACGAACGGTTGACTCGTGCTGTATCCGCAACAGCTGTCATGTTGGGGACTTTTATGAGATCCATTTAGATCGATCGTGTTTGTCCCCTTCGATCTTGCTTTTATAGTTGGTAATCTAGATCAGAACAGGCGAAATTCTGCTCGTCCCCTGTCGCTAAGCTTAATGCTGCTGCAACCTCTTTTTTAGTTTACTCCTAATATTCCCTTTAGTACTAGATTTCCCGTGATATCTGCACTGACCCAGCCTCACTCTTTTTGTTTTTATTTTTTATTTTTACTCTTTCAATCTTGCCCCTCTAAAACCCCCCTCCGCCATAACTTCTCCAGCCCGTTCACATCCCCAAATAGCCCGCCCGGAGCACCGGACTATCACCACCAGAGACCGCACCGTTTACGCACCGTCTGGGCCACCGTCCTGCGCAGTGACGTCTCTAGCGTGTTTATCGGACCTTCCCAACAAATCTCCCGAAGCCAGAACGAAGGTGCGACATTTCTTCACCTTGGCTCCTTCTGCTCCAATCGCCAACCTTCGGACCTGCAGCCGCGTCTCCTCTCTCGTCGTCCGTCGCTCATCCGTTTCCCCCGGCTTATTACCCCTCCTCCCCCTATTTTTGTTCCTTCTTATTCCCATCCTTTCCTTCTTGTGATGTTTAAAGTCAGCCCAGCCCCGCGCTTCCTCCTCTCATCCGCGCGACTCGGCCGTCCTCTTCCCCCTCGCATCTCCCAAAACATCTTTGTTAGACCCCAGCATCTTAGCTTCTCCAAGGTTACCAGCAAACGTGTCCTGAATCAACCAGACTGGACCAAGATGGCCGACAAGGACATGGAAAAGTACCTCAAGCAGACGCATGACCGCGTCTTTGAGCACAACAAGCGCTGGGCCGAGGAGAAGAAGAAGCAGGACCCCAACTTCTTCGTCACTCTGTCCGCCGGTCAGACTCCCGAGTACCTCTGGATCGGATGCAGTGACTCCCGTATCCCTGCCGAGCAGATTACTGGTCTCGAGCCCGGTGAGGCCTTCATCCACCGCAACATTGCCAACCTCGTCAACAACATCGACCTCAATGTTATGAGCGTCATCAACTACGCTGTGCGCCACCTCAAGGTCAAGCACATTGTTGTCTGCGGTCACTACGGCTGCGGCGGTGTCAAGGCTGCCATGACCCCCACGGATTTGGGCCTCCTCAACCCCTGGCTTAGAAACATTCGCGACGTTTACCGTCTTCACGAGTCCGAGCTGGACGCTATCAAGGACGAGAGTGCTCGCTACGACAGACTGGTTGAGCTCAACGTCATCGAGCAGTGTCGCAACGTCATCAAGACTGCCGCTATTCAGCAGTCATACGCCAAGAACAAGTTCCCAATCGTTCACGGTTGGGTCTTTGGCTTCAACGACGGCCTGCTGAAGGACCTCAAGTTTGACCACGAAGCCCAGCTTGAGGATATTATGAAGATCTACCACCTTCCTGACGACGCCTAAGTTTGACGCAAAATTGCGTCAAGAACGGGTGCGGGGTCGGGAACGAAGGGAGCTGGCAGCTAGGAGTGACTCACCCCTGACGGAGCTGCTCTCACCGACCGTATCGCGACATGGGGGAAATTTTTTTTTCTTGTTGAGTAGCACCTGGTGCAGATCCGGAATGGGGTTGGGAGATATTGAACCGAGACATGGCGACACCACCCCACACTGTCCATCGGGGTTTAGCGTTCTTCACACGTCAAAAGGGCGCACACCCCGCTACTGTGCATCTCCGTGGTCGGAAAAAGAGTAAATCGTTATCAAGCTGTCATCGGCGGTTGGCAACGGAGTTGAGGGATTGAGTTTTCTTGTGCAGGAGCTTTGGGGCGGAGCAGGCTTGGTGTAGAGGCAAAGGCAAATGCCGCGGCGCGCTATTCTGATTTTAGAATACCTTAGGAATACTGAAAATAATCAAAAAGTAAAATTGTCTAATTGTTTCTATATCGTGTGTTGAGTCATCAACACCAGATTCTAGAGTATATCGAAAACGGAATCAAGTCCTAATATAAGATATACTCAATTCTTGGCCTCTTCCTCAAGTTGAAGGATATTCCTGAAAACATGTTAGACATATTATAGGCTTACAAGAAAGCAGACTTACCATGAACAATTCCATGCATGTTTACCTCCTAAACTCTTACACATGCCCCGACTTCCCAGATTATCCGGCGCAACATCAGCCGAGCCCCATCCATCTGGGCCATATTCGATAGTGCTCCTCTTAATGAGCTTTGCTGCGAGTGCCTTTGCATATCCCCTCTTACGATACGGTTCCTGGGTCACCAACCAACTTAGCTCTGTTATCAAACTACCATACAATGATGACTCACCTCACAATGAAGACTTGACAATGAGCCATCCGTGCCTGATCAATGTTAACGCTGACCAAACTACCATGCCAGGTACGAAGTTGCAATAGAAGATGTATACTCACCCAAGAAGGACCAAGCAATAGGCGTCCCATCCGCCAGCTTTAATACCAGACTGGGGAATGTCAAGAGAGTTTTCCTGCAAGTTTATCAGTCCGTAAACCTCAACAACTAACCGAACAAACGTACACTTGGCGCGGGATATGCGTCCTCGAAATAACAACCTCACAATCCTTTTCATTCGCAGGCTCCCACGTCGCGCCCTCGGGCAACACAACGTCAAAGTCGGGAATATCCTCAACCCTAAATAACCACTTCTGATACTCGTAATCTGCACGGGGCTTCACCCTCACACCGCGAGCAAACAACACCTCCCTCACAACCGTCGCCAGAGTCCCCACAAGACATCCACCGGGGTACCCCCTATTCTCAGGCTGCTCCTTACTGATTTGCTTCACGGCGTCGATAACAGCCAGAATCTGCGCCTCGCAAGTCTGCCTGTCGTCCGCGGCCGCAGAGGGGTTATCTTCGAGGGTGGAGTACATGAACAGCGACGTCTCCATCCCCGAACCAAAGTCGAGGTATGCCGCAGAGAAATTGCGCGGCGAGGAGTCTGGGGAGGTACCATCTGCGGCGAAGATGATTCGCGCCGTTGGGCGCTGGCCGCCTGGGACTTTGGTGAATTGTAAACGACGCAGGACGGGGAGTGAGTGAGGGAGGTGTGAGGTGAGGAGAGGGATGAGGCCGTCTGGGACGGTGGTGTATATCGTTGCCATTTTTTCCGTGCTTTGAAGTAACCGAGTGAAATGTTTTCAGAAGTGGTGATGCTTGAGGAGCCAAGTATTGCGTGCTTCGTTGATAAGTTTGGGTTTAGTATGGTGTGGTTTTTTTTTTTCGGCGTTAGTGAATATCCGTTTAATGCAGTATTACATCAGACTTTTCTGGATGAGGCAGTTCCTAAGGTGGAAGTGAGTCATCGTGGTTAGGAGTCCGTTACTCAGGGTTGAAGGGGGAAAACGATTAATGAGTCGAATTTTGAGGTTGTCAAAATCTTTCCTTGTTCATGGGTTTTTTAGGGTTGGCTTTCTAATATTATTTAGAAACCAACCATGAGAGCAGTTTTCATGACTGAGGGAGGTCATCAAGGTCAGTTTCTTCAAAGAGAGGAAATAGTATGATTGAGAAATAAACACCTTTATTGACTTGAGCCTCAATTGTGGGAATGTCTTGAGTTGACAGTTCATGTCTTGCTGGATAACTAAGCATCAAACCAAGACAATCTGACAGGCAAGTTTCAGTTTGACTTGGCCAAGAAATTACCAGACAAGTGTTCTTATTATATAGCAATGAACAAAAAGATGCCTGTGGCTTTAGTTTGAAAGTGACTCGTCTTATCGAGAAACCCTCAATGCCATAACTCTTTGATTCATATTCCGATTTTATAAAGTGAAAAAATGGCCTGCAATCACATTCTACAAAGGGCAACACAAAAATGACACAAAAATACTTTCAAAACATCAGCTTCTCTCAAAAACATATTATTAGATACGTTCGTCCTAAGAATGCGTGAAAAAAGAGCTATGGACTCGAATACCCCAACTTAACCATTGGGTCAACATCGGAACCAGTGATTTGCCTCCACGACACGCCCCACACAGGAACCGCTCAGTGAAAATCTCAACGCCGCGACTTTCTTCACCGTCCGACCAGCACGAACTCATCGTAGCCAAGCCACCAAAAACGCATCAAAAATGTCAGTAAACAACAGCACTATCGTTTCCTGCATCAACAGGCACTATGAAACGCTGTTGAAGATGGGTTACATAGACCTTTCGGACATAAGCGTCCCGCCCAACGCCGGCTGGAGCGATGAACAGCTCCACGTTGACGCCCTCCGGGCCATGGGCCGCTCCGAAAAGGTCATTGATCTGCTGAGACTCATTCCCTACCTCCGCGAAAATGAGACGGCGGACTCTGTCGAGATTTACCCCGAGACATTCCAACTGCGTTACCTGCGCGACGGCCGCTGGTTCGGCACGGCTACGGAGGAGGAGTTTAGCAATACGTCGATGCTGGATCTAGGCTTCGCGCCGTTTGACGGACCCGTACCGGCCGACATGATTTCGCTGACGCATGCGGACGAAGGCGTTTGGTGGGTGATTGACACCAACGAGAGTGCGTCTACGTTTTTTTTTTACCCTTTAACGTTTTCTGCAAGACTGACCGTTTCCCTAGATGTCATCTACCCATACGGCACCGAGTTTGATAGCGAACACCAGGCACCAGAGGACCAGCCGTGGCGTGCTGTCGAGCCTGAGGATGTTCTGTCCTACTTTAACCGTATCAACCATCAACTCGACAACTTGGAGGTTGTCCCCGCTCCCCGCTCGGGGAAGTGGGATTCTAGGGTTGTCGATGCTCAAACTGAAGAGGGCCAGGTAAGTTTCAATCGGTTGAAGTTGTGAGTATCTAAGAATTGTTTTCTAACTTGAGTCGCACTCTGTAGCTCGTTTCGCGGTTGTACCGTGAGTTTGGCTGGCACAGTGGTGGCGGGTTCCGAAAGGAAGAGTTTCGCCAAGCTGTTGAGCAGCAGCGCGCGCCTCTTCTCGATGCGGCACTTGGACATGATAGTGATGACGAGGACGAGGAGATGGCCGGTTAAGTTGAGCATGGCTTGGCCAATCCTTACCGAGAGGTCATTCAGGTAGTGAGGAACCGGGGTTAGAATATTGAGCGCACGGCCATTGCGGGCTGGGACTTTACAAGGCTTGGGGATTAGTTGACGGGCATGATATGAGAACAATGATATCACGAAATAGGCACGAAGATAGATGGTAGATATCGGATGGCGGAATACGACTTCGGATGGCGGATCCATGTGCTATCTTGTGCTTCCAGCATCTCTTCGCCCTCTCTAATCAGCACTGCCCTCTTCATCCCCACATCATCGACCCTCAGAACCCCGCGGAAGAGCCGACCGGCTGGAAAGGAGAGAGGTTGGGGTTACTGATCAAGGATTCGGTGCGGGGCCGATTCGGTGAGCTTTGTGAGCTCCTCGTCGGAAGGCTTAGCCATTTGTGCTTTCTTATCAACACCGCTCACATCACTGGTCCCCCCCTCCAACTGACCAAGTGAACCTGAGCTATCGGGCCCCAAAAGTGAAGGCCGACGATATCGGAGGGGAGAGGTGTAGAGACCCTCCTCGCTTAAGCAATGACATCGATCTGCAAGAATCTAGCGTGCTCTTAGCTAGAAGTTCTCCGCTTTGCGAATTGGGGTCGAGTCAGGGGTACGGTGAGTACGGGTTTCTCCAACCCTTTCAGACTCGGGTCAATGCTCTTAGAGTTGCTTTACACCCTTACTTGCCTCCATCGAGGACATCCCAGCGGCCAAACGAAGTGTTTCCTGGAGCGGGTCACCGGGAAATTTGTCAAAAAAACAAGAAAAAGCAGAAAGAGGGGGAAACCAGGAGCCAAGATCGTTGACCATGCGTTTAAAACACTGGGATCTCCGGTGCTGCGCATCGGTCTTGTGTTTCCTCTTCATCTCCTTCATTCACGGTGAAGAAGTACAGCAACACGGAGAAGAGGGACCAACGACAGAGTCAGCAAACATGAAGTTCTCGTCGTCCTTCTTTGCGGCCTCGCAGGTCGTTCTCGCACCGGCAGCTGCCGCGGCCTACAACCACGTTACCCTTAAGGACTACGGTAGCTTCTCCGGCACAGTCGTCAACTCGACTCTTAGCGGCCGTTCTCTCCCCGCACCAGTCGACGCTTGGCTGGGAATCGACTACTCGACCCAGCCAGTCGGCGAGGGTCGCTTCAATCCCGTCACCTGGCCCGCCGCCTTTAACGGTACCAAGAGGGCCACCTCCTACGGCAAGACTTGCGTCCAAGACCCGACTTCGACCAAGGTTGAGACTCAGGATGAGGCCTGTCTCAACTTCAACGTCTTCCGCACCCGCGGCGTGCCGCTGGACCAGAAGACTCCTGTCCTAGTCTGGATTCATGGTGGCGCTTTCTACGCCGGCAGTTACAGCAGCTTCGACGCCGCCGCTTTCGCCGCTTCGTCCAAGGAGCCCATTACTGTGGTGAACTTCCACTACCGCGTCAACTCCCTCGGCTTCCTGCCGTCGGCGCTTTTCGAGGAGGAGGGTCTGCTGAACCTCGGCCTCCGCGACCAGCGTCTGTTCCTCCAGTTCGTGCAGAAGCACATCTCCGCATTCGGTGGTGACCCCGACGCCGTCACCATCGGCGGCCGTTCTGCCGGTGGCCACTCCGTCGGCATTCATTACTTCCACAACTACGACGAGGACGCCGGCAAGCCGCTGTTCGCCCGTGCCATCCACCAGTCCGGCTCTGTCACCGCCCGCGCGTTCCCCAATGCTACCTACCCGCTTTACGTCCAGCAGTACGAGGCTTACATGAAGTTCCTCGGCTGCCCTACCGACGACAACGCCGCTGCTCTTTCCTGCCTTCGTGCCGCGGACGTCAACGACATCCGCAACATCAGCACCCAGCTGTACAACCAGTACGATCCCGTCTTGACCTGGCCCTTCCAGCCGACTCAGGGCGGTCCCTTGCTGGAGAAGTTCGGCTCGCAGTCCGGCTACGACGGCACCTTCTTCCACGTCCCTACCATCACCTCTACGGTCAACGACGAGGCCAAGTACTACATGTCCGGCGATAAGGAGACGAACGAGGAGTTCCTCGACTACCTCCACAACATCTCTCCGGCGTTGAACAGCACCGACCTGGATCTGCTGGCGGAGCTCTACCCTGACCCGGCGACGCACCCCGATTCCCCCTTCGCCAACTCCCCCAACAGCACACAGTACAACCGCCTCTCCGCCGCGTGGAGCGACTACGCCTACATCTGCCCCGGCCAGGAGACGGCGTACCGTGCGTCGCTGGCGGACGTGCCGACCTGGAAGCTGCGCTTCAACACGAACAACTCGTGGCCCGCGTGGAGGGGCATCCCGCATACCGCCGACACCAAGTACACCTGGGACGAGCCCAACGTGCAGTACCCCGAGATCAGCCACGTCTACCACGGATACCTGTCCAGCTTCGTCCTCTCTGGCGACCCCAACACCCACAGGTTCCCCGGCAGCCCGGAGTGGCCCAACTACAAGCCCACCGGCTACGGCCTCGAGTCCGAGCCTGCGCTGCAGCTCGTTGTCCAGCCTAACAACGGCACCAAGGTTGAGGCGGACGATATCCGCAGGGAGGCGTGCCTCTACTGGAGAGATCCCGAGAGGGCTCCCCGGTTGAACAAGTAGATAAATCTATTAGAGCTCGATAAACGTAATTGATAGTTGCTCCACATTTCAATCAAAAAAAAGTACAGCATCCACGGGAGTTTTCGGCGAAAAAGTGAAAGATACCGAAGAGCCCAAGCTAATTCTGCTTAAGCCAACCACAATTACTCCGAGACGATTTGTGGGGGGGAATGATTACGGGCGGGTTTACAGGGTTCATATTGTAAATACGGCAGTTAGTTGATGGGGGGTCAATTGTGCAGTGTACTAGGAATCCTGACAAGCCCCCCACAATATAACGGCTACACCTTCGTTTTCGAGCCTCGTCTTTAGGCTTGAGGAACCTCTACGCGCCCTTTATCGGCATTTCTAATACTCCACCCACTCAAGTTCCCGGCGCTTCTGGATCATCATATCCCTATACTTCTCCGCTTCGTCCCACCTCCCCAACATGGTGTTCAAGCTTATCAGAGACTCGTACCGCTCCGGGGTAAGCATCATTAGGTCCTCCTCGCGCAGCAACTCGATGCTCTCCTCCGTGAGCTGGATAGCCAGCTCCGTCTTGTTCTCCTTGGACGCCATCTCCGCATCGATGTCCAGGTCGTCGATTCGTGTTCGCCTGTCGTCGGACGCGGCGATTTCAGCGGCTGACGCTTCGCACATGGAGCATTTGCATTCGAAGCCCCAGCCTTCTAGCATAGCATGTCGGTATTTACGTTGAAGACCTTCTGGCAGATAATTGATTGTGATTTCTTCGCCCTCGGGGATGTCGCGATATGAGCGGATAATGGCGGTTAATTCGCCGTTTGCGAGGATCATGTGGGAGTTTGGTTTGCAGTGGTGGTTTGTTCTTGAGATATCCGGAAATAAAGCCGCGTTGGGTATGCTCAGGTTGACACCCCCAAACGAGTTCATCGTCATCACGTCAAAGACCGGATGGGACTTTGGAACGTCGGGTCCGCCTCGGGACAAGCCTAGGATTACCTCGGGACGAGGAAGTTGGTTCGCGGCGAGGTCAAGCAGGTCGTAGCCTTGCTTTTCCGTCATGTAGTCGGCGAAAGCCCCGTCGAGAAGTAATGCGACGTGGTCGACCATGATTACTTCGTGAGCGCGGATCAGACGGGTGGCTACGATGCCTCGTCCCTTGTCCTCAAGGTCGACGATTTTGTATGGCTTCGGTTGTGTGAAGGGCTGGGGTTTGGTGTGAGGCTTTGGTTCTGTGAGGATGGATTGCTGAGATCTTTGACAACTGTTGACGCTTTCTGCCATCGTTTTCGACTTGGTGATGATGCTGATGCCATGGTCGCCGTAATCGGCCTTGGTGTACACGCAGAATTCGATGCTCGGGTCATCTGCGGCTCTGATGCACTTTGGTTTGTATGTCCATGGGACCAAAGACTCATTGTTGTAATGAGAGCCGTTCGTGTGGTTTGTGAATGGTCCGAGGCTGAATGTGTTTACAGGGCAAATGGCAGGAAAGAAGTCGGAAGTTGGTTGACCGTGATATTGGTAGTTGAAGATGTCTTCAATGAAGACCAAAGCGCGGAGGATGACATGCTTGAACATTGTGTCTACTCTCAACTGTTCGTTGGGCTAATAGCAGTTGAAATGTGGGGAGAAAAGACAGAGAATAGAAACAAGTGCCGGGAAACCCATCTGTCGTGCTGGCTCCGGGCCTCCGGACCCACTCTGCCGCGTCTCGGCCGCGAGGTCACGTGACCTCGCTCCAGCGACCGTATTCTTAAGCGTCCTTCGCTCCGCTCGCTCACTTAGAGAATACAAGCCGTTTTGTTCCTAGTTGATGCCGCCCGTGCCTGACGTCGGTCACCACACCATCAAAATTAAATGGTCTCTTCATCGCCTGTCTCCGTTAACTATTAAGCCAACCGGGTTTTATCGAACCAGCACCGACGAGTATCCATGGGGAGAGGAAACTTTAAGACCATTCTCCGGAACCTCTCATCCTGCCCTTGTCCACAGCAATAGTACCGGAACAAGCTAATAGACTGTAGTTCTAGTGCTGCTTGAGAGCCTGTATAAACTTCTCAAGCTTGTCAAGACTGAGTAAAGAATACCTTACAGCGACTATGACCAGGTGCGGGTCTAGTGTTTTCCACAAGTGGTCTACTGTAACTTTAATCCCCGATATAAGATAATGTTGGCGAACCGCTGAGGAGCCAACCGGTACAGTGCAAAGTAAGCCAGCCGCCTACGCAGGTACGCAACGGTGATCGCATGCCGGAAATAGCATGCATACCCGTTCCCACTATCACGAATCGTCCTTCCTGGTTGGGACTGTTCCTGCATAACTGCAGCCTGTTTAAGATAAGCAAGTAGCTTTCGCAACCATAACCACAGCCATTTTTACTCATTGGAAACTTATAAATAAGAGGAAACTATAATTATTTATTACAATGGTGCTCCAAATAAAGAGAAAACATAGCGTTATGTGAAAAAGGTGAGATGATGAGAAAATACTGAGATTGCATAAGACCGTTGTGCTCTTTGTGCATGACTTATAAATGACTCAGCAATTAACACAGTTGGCTCAAGCCTGAGGGGCGCATTTTAAAGAATGCCTTGATTAGATTCCTTCTAGAAGTCTCCATATTAAGTTATAAATGACTATCGCTGTCAAATAAGTTGGATTGTTAGACTCAGTACAAGCTTCGTTCACATATAACGTGCGGAGCTACATACTACTAAATTGAGTGAGTGAGGGGCACTTGAGATCGTCAATCAAGGAGGGGTGATGTCACCACACCTAAACTCAGTGAGACATGCAGGTACACACATCCGACACAGATTTCGTTGACGCAATCGTAGAATTGACACAAGTCTTATTCTCATCTGAGCTCACTTGAAAAATGACACCCAGACTCATGCCTCTCTCACTTCAGTTCAATCGTTTCTCAGAAGCAGCTAGATGAATTAATTTGCGGGTCTCCGAATCATCCCCGAGCTCGGAGGGGCTTGCTTAACGGAGCTGGTGCCCCGCGGCTGTTTTTAGTGTTTGACTCATTCTTTCAGGAGAGAAAACTCATTAGAAGGCGGCCGAGATTTCAGATCACAGAATCAACTTTTCACACCGATCTTCAACCCCCCCTCCTCTCAACACCTACCACCCCGCCCCAAACATTCAACATGGCCCCCGCCAAGCACGACCACATCTTCACTCTGTCCTGCCCGGACAAGTCCGGCATCGTGCACGCCGTGACCGGGGTGTTTGCTGAGCAGAAGCTCAACATCCTGGACCTCCAGCAGTTCTCCGATCCCGTCTCGGAAAAGTTTTTCATGCGGGTGCACTTTGGGCCGACCGAGACCGAGTCCACGGAGCACCTCAAGGCCCCGTTCGACGCCCTCGCCGCCGACCTCCAGCTGGACTGGTACCGCATCCGCCCCGTGGCCCGCAAGCTGCGCACCCTCATCATGGTCTCCAAGATCGGCCACTGCCTCAACGACCTGCTCTTCCGCGCAAAGTCCGGCCAGCTGCCCATTGACGTGCCCCTCATCGTCTCCAACCACACCGAGTACCAGACCCTCGCCGGAAACTACGGCATCGAGTTCCACCACCTGCCCGTCACCAAGGACACCAAGGCCGAGCAGGAGGAGGCCATCCTCAAGCTCGTCAAGGAGAACGACATTGAGCTCATCGTTCTCGCCCGCTACATGCAGGTCCTCTCCCCCAAGCTGTGCGAGGCCATGTCCGGCAAGATCATCAACATCCACCACTCTTTCCTGCCCTCCTTCAAGGGCGCGAAGCCGTACCACCAGGCCTACGAGCGTGGCGTCAAGATCATTGGTGCCACGGCCCACTTCGTCACTGCGGATCTGGACGAGGGCCCCATTATCGAGCAGCGCATCGCCAGAGTCGACCACGGCATGAGCCCGAAGGACCTGGTCGAGGAGGGCTCCAACATTGAGAGCCAAGTTCTGGCGGCTGCCGTCAAGTGGACCGCCGAGGGACGTGTATTCCTTAACAAGAACAAGACTGTTGTCTTTAACTAGATTATTATTATTTTTTCTTTGGCGGGCGCACGGGGGCTGTAATGAAAATAAAAGCTGGCGCTGTCTTTCGTCGTTCACTCTGCCTTTTAGAAAAAACTTGCACTTGATTGATTGTCTGCCTTTTGTGTCCTGCTCGCTTCTCCTTGGTTGGAAGAATAAGCCGCGGCCAGTGTTATTCCTCCAACGATCATATCTGTGGCCATTCTTAGTGGTGGCGACCGACCTATTTCTATCCTGGAGGCACTATTTGCCATGTTGTATGCTCTTTCAGCCTAGTCTGACTTGTCATCAACTGAATGGTATGCTCCGTCATATCTTAATTATATATCGCCTTCCTGCTGCTCAAAATTGCCTCCCGTTCTGTAGTCACGTCTATTGTTCCTGAACAAAACTTATCCCTGCACTATGGTACAGATAATCAGCAGCGATTCAAGTGTCTCGACAACCCAGATGTGGAAGATCAGGAAGGATACCTTCATGGCCGGGGTAACGGACGAGTATGGTGTTTGTGTGGACTTGCAGCCATGCTCAGTTGCCAACGCCAAACTAAGCTATGCGATAATTCAAATATGGCTAGCTAGACTTTTCAGTCAGCTGTAACAGGCTTGTGGCTTTCATTCAATTTAAGTCATGTCCAAGACGGACAGTTTAAGGAACGGGTTCACAACAGAATTTAAAATAGGAAGGAACTTGTGGAATAAAAGTTAAGCCTAGAAGTATGAGAACATTCATGTGTCTAATTAAAGAAAGACGGGATATGCCACTATTAGCTTGGACAAGATAGGCAAGTATAACAGATGGAATTAGATGTGTGTCGTGGATCCCGACTCCATACTGGTTTTGTCGAGGCTTCCATGCGACAGCGTTTCAGATTCCTAGACCATAGACCATGAGACTAGATTTGGCGTATAGTTGCACAAATCTGCAACTCGGATTGAGTTTTCATATAGCAGCAGGGAACAAATATTCTTGAAAGCTCAACTAAATATTGACCTGCTTCATGCTTCAACTTTCGAAGCCTTCCACGTCACGTAGAGCAAATATGAAGCGCATTTTCCTGGACCATCCTTAATATACTATTTTGATTATTTACGTTCCTCATTAAAATACGTGACATGACCTCATCGATCCTCCTCAGATACAACCTCCTTGTTACTCCAAGACTCTCGTCTTAGGGTCCCCGGCCCGTTTACTGGACAAGGCCGGCGACGAAAGCAGCAGCAGCAGGAGCATCCTGCTCGTAGTTGCGGTGGTCGGCGGTGATGATAATGCCGCCGTCGCAAATGTTGTCACCATCGTGGCAGATGATCTTGACCTTGGAGGCGGGGATGTTGCCGACGGGCTGGCCGTCGAATGGGTCGCCGAAGATGAGAACTGATGCGCATTAGAACTGAATCGGAACAAAGCATTTTGTGGGATCAACTCGACTCACCAGCAGAGATTTTGTTGGTCAGGGCAGTAGTCAGCTTCTTCGCCGCGTTGTGGACGAGCTGGCCACCCTGGCTGTAACCGGAGAGGACAATCTTCGTGTTGGGGCATCTGGTAGCAGCCTATAATCCAAATTTTTAGCATTGGGTATGTCGACATGAGGTTTGCATTCTAGGTATTTACCTGGGAAACCAAGTTGGCCATCGTGGTGCTACCAGCCGGGTCACCACCCTGGAGGAAACCAAAGATGCTGGCGGAGTAGCTGACGCCCTGAACGGCAAGGTTCGCGGCACCGATGCGCGCGGCGAGGGCGTTGAAGAAGGTCGGGCCCTCGGAGCCCGCCTCACCGACGTTTCCAGCCTGTGTGGTGCCGCGGGCCCAGATGAGAGTGACCTTGCGGCAGGCGGAGCCGTCGGTCAGCTGGTTGAAGGTGTCGCCGTTGTACTGGCGCTTGGAGATGGCGGGGTGGAGTCCATCAGTGTCGGCCGCCTTGACAGTGTAAGCCGTCTTGTAGTACTCCTCGAGCTCGTTGAGAGGGAATGATCCCAACTCGCTACGAGGGACAGCAGCGGGGGAGCTCTCGAGGGGAGCAGCCAGGGCCGTGGAGGCAGCGAGGAGGAAGAGGCTGGCCTTCATTTTGATGTTGACGAGTCAGCTGCTGGACCGGGGTGGTCTGTCAAGTAAATTCAGACGGAGAACTGAGGAGGAGGGATGAGGGAACAATGAAGCTCTGTCGATCTTCCGTGATGTGCAAACCGTGGGCGGGAGCATCTCTACCTTATATGCACCCGGACCAAGGTGGCCTACGGATGCACCATGTTGTGCTCGACTGTACTATATTCTCGTGCCGCTCGAGGGAAGCCAGACCAGTTGACATCTAAGCCAAGGGCTTGGCCGGCGTCGTGTGCATCATGGCCCGCCAGTTTACAAAGTGTCGCAGGCCAGGGACCAGGAACCTACTGCATGTGGTGGTGTTGCGGTCTGCGGGCCAGCCATTCCCAACTTGAAAGCTCTGGCCGAACCTCATGCTGGCCTGTGCATGTGAAATTTTGACTTCTGTCGTCCCAATTGACCATTCAGAAACCTCAATAGGACTGGGGAACCGCCGGCTTTCAATGGGGAAGCTGCTTTCTTTCTTGTGGAGGCAGCAGAAGCAAGTTTGCTCAATGCTCTCTATATTGCTCTTGCAGGACAACTATGCCTACTCCAGCACCTCGGCCCGCACCGGCCCCCCTCCTCTATGAAGTTGGAGTGGTGCAAGCTTTGTAAATTGAATGCACGGCTGACAGCTGTGCAGTGGACTGCGCATGAGTCTCGAAGTCGAAAGGATCATCACCACCTGAGCAGAACCCATGGCGTCATTGTGTAATCTGATAGGTCCGGCAGTTCGCAGTATTTTTCGGGAGGGAAGACATGTCAACTTATCAAGCAGTCCCGTGGCCCCCAGGGGGGTTCACAAGTGTGGGCTACTGGCCGGGGGTTTCAGTGACATCGTCTCGGCGATATCAACCGTTTAGAGGCAAGCAAATCGGCGGTACGTGGTGAATCGCAGTGGAGTTTGCCGCTGATCGCGGGGTAATCAAGGCGCTTGGAGAATTGGGGGTTGGGGATTGGGCCTGAATAAAGAACACGTGGGTTGCAAATTGAGACGGGACCTTCCACTTTGATGAGGAAACCCGGCTCCAAGAGGCTGAAGATGGAAGCTATGTGTAATGATGTGCCCTCCATTGGGCGTCAAAATGAACTTGGCGACACAAGGCATTAGTGACAAGATTCGAGTCTGAGGCCCCCTGTCAGCCTTGGTGGGAGAGCTCAGATCGGGGGGGCTAGCTGATTTTCTTCGGTAATCAGGTCATGAAAGGCAAGTCTCATACTATTAGATATCACATTGACATTCATTTCACTTGCATGACATTTGACAATGCTGTTTGCCCGGGAGGGGGGGCAGTGCCTTTTGTCGCAGAGATTCGTATTCAGCCCAAAAGGTACGGATAATCTGACACAAGTTAACTGCGCGGATCCCTTTTTTAATGAAGATCACCCAGAAAGGAAGGCACTTAAAAAAGAGGTGTACATGGAATTTCATGCAGCCTCGTCGTTTTGTATACATGGTTTTGAAAGCAGGGACAGTTGACGGCAAGGTTTCGTGACTAGTAACTGAGTAGTAGGGACTTTGGAAGCCCTGCCCCATCGTCACCAAACCAGAAACTGCAAGATCATGAATAAGTGGTTGAGCGCACATTGAAAGAAGAAATGTAAGATCCCTTGCAGCATGTTACTTGCCCAGAATCACCGCAGCCTGCTGTCTACTTCGACTGTATACGCGGGTCCGATACGAACGTATGCCGCAGTTGAGATGCTCCCTAATCAAATGAAAGTGGACATAAAAGATTCCAGTTACCCAAGATGAAGAGGCAGACTTGAGCGACAGGCATCCAAGTCCAAATATTTTGGCAGTTCTCAATTTAAAAATGAAACATGTCATAACCAGTCGCTCGGGCAAGGTTGACAACTGCATCTATAACTGGCTAGGCTTGATGCGATCAGATCGCAAGTCAAAAGAAACGTGGAAAAAAAGAAGGAAGAAAATGACAAAAGCAAAATATGTGGATGCTAGGTTCCTTGTCTCTCGTGTTATATGTCTAGGTAAACCAATCAGGACGACCGCATGCTAGTATACAAAATACTCAGACAAAACCGTTGGTAGAACCTACACAATTGAGGCTGAAGGCCGCGTACCTTCCCTGACATCATTAAAACTTACTTTTATTACCTATTTTATCAAACCGTGCGTAGATGCAAGGCACAAAAATCCTTGCAAAGTTGCGTAAGTTTCTTTTGTTGCTAGTAGCCATCCTGCCAAGTATAATCCATTCAGTTGCCTGGCGGACATTTGCGCTCTCCTACCTGATACATATTCCCCATCGTCTTTACCTCCTGCATTGAGCCGCCATTAAAAACCAACTTGACTGTTTGTAAAGCATGGTTTGTCTGGTTCGCTTGATCATTTGTCCGGCCGGTTGTGGTTGGTGGCACATAGATGCAGACATCACGCAACTACCCACATCTACGGCCGTGAGAAATAGGGGGGCGCGTTGACCCTTTGGGCATCTGCTCACCTCATCGTTCACCACTCACTCACTCACTCACTGCTCAGCTAACAGGCCCTTGACTATGGAAACTGAATTCGATGCCTTTGAAATTGACGATTTCGGCCCTTCGGTCCGGGTACAGGTGCCAAGTACCAGTGAGGGCCTGAGCCAGTTCAACCAGGCTTTCCTAGACCCGCAGCAGCGCGCCTATGTCCAGAACATCGACTTCCACGTGGTTCTCCCGCCCATCAGTAACAAACGTCTCAAGAAACTGCAAAGCCAACGGGAAGCAGCTGAGAATGATGCCTGCTTCACACGCGCTGTGACAAAATTCTTTGGGCGGTTGGCGAAATGGGAGCGCCGTCGATATGGGCCAGGGGTCACTCTGAAGCTGGTCGTGGCATCGCCGACGGACTGGCAGGCAGAGGAGATGGAGGAGGACGGAGAACTGACAAACACTCACAACATACGGTCCGCACCGATATGGCAAGTACGAGACCACTTTCGGTATATCCGCTTCGATGAAACTTTGCTGCAGCCGTCCGGTTCAGGCTCGTCGGGTCTGCCGCAGATTGCGTGTGTATCCGATTTCGAGTTTGACGGGGGACCGGGCGGACGGAACATTCACCCCGACGTTATTTCGGCCATTTCAAGCGCGTTGGTATCGGCTAGGAAGATGGAATGGAAATTCCAACTTCCCACACGACGCCTGATGACTGCCAGAAGAGAGATTAGGTCTTCTCTAGGGAACGCTCTGCTCAATACAGCGTTTCCTAGCCTGGTTGACTTCAAGGTCAAACTCCAGGATGCAGACCCCCACAATGAAGCCTTTGAGCCGGGTAGTCTGCTGGAGGATGGAGAGGAAGAAGACAGGCTGAGCCTTGGAGTGCGACGTCTCTGCCAGCTTCCGACTCTAAAGAGGTTGCAACTAGAGTGTCTGTGGGTCTTGTCGCCAGCAGCAATTGGGTCGCAACCGAATCTGCCTGACATCCAGTGTCCCTCTCTTGAATACCTTTACATCGACTGCGCTGTTACAACACCAGATGGGAAGTACTTGCTAACGGGCAATCTCGAAAAGGCCATGATGGATGACGGCGGCTATGCAAAGACCTCGGACGAATTCATGGCTGCTTTTGACTCCGACGACTCGGACACGTCTGACTTCCAACCCGACTTTGAATGGGCGAAGCAAGCTGGCGAGTTCCCTGGGCGATGGTTCAGATTGACGCCAGACTCAGAAACGTTTGTGCCACTTGCGCGCTCCTTTGCTGGCGCGGTGGTCAAGATGCCGTCATTGCGCCGAATGGACATCCACTTTGGAGGGACTGCTACGAATACACGAGCACCTTTGGATATGTCCTATTTTGCTCCTCACGAGCCGAATCGTGGCGCAAGTCAGCTAAATGGCAGGAAGGCATTCGATGAGGAGAATGCTAGCCGTCCTCGTTGGTTCCTTCTGGGCGGCCGGAAGTTTGACAAGCATTGGAAGATACCCTTGGAGCTGGAAGGTGATTTCAAGGGAGGGTCAGGTCGAGGCTGTGTTCATCTCGCCACTAATTAATAGAAGTAATACATGATTTGATGTCAGAGTCCAGCTATCATACTGTGCAACCGCCTGACGAGGGGGGACTTCGGCCCAAATATTGCAGATCATTTTAAACGGTCGTGTAAAAATGATATCAATCCATAGTAAAGTTCGAGCATGACTGGCTCCCGCTCGCTTTTGCGCAATGTCGTATCTGCTAACCGTATTCTTACCCCTCCTGTCTTAAAAGTGCGGGACATATACCTTAAAGGCTTTCCAAAAACCACTGAATCGTAGAAAGGAGCAAACTCTTCAAGCAGTCATCCCGGACAAGAGTATAGTGGGCGGGGCGCCGTCCATCCCAACGGATCCGTCTCAAAAAGGTCCAGGTCATCCGGCCGGCTTCCTGCGGACCGGGGCCATTTCCCTGCATCATGAGCATGGTAAGCATGAAACAAAATAAGACGTCTTTTCCACCGAAAGGGAACCTGCTGAACGATCCGTCTGGCGTATTACTGAACCAGCATAAGTGACGAGGCCGGTTCAAGCGTACAAAGCCAAACACACTGCTGGCAACCTCTTTAGCCGCCGATTTGACTTTTCACCCGACCTGATGGAGCTGTACCCGAACGCTAAAATCGTATTAGAAACGCGGGACCTGCAGAAAAGCGTAGCGCTGTGGGAAAAAAAAAAGTGCACATGTGGTGGCTACCATACTAAATTTGGCCAATTCTGGGCTGGCAATGGTTTCCCACCTTGGCCAACGGGTTTAAGAATAAGGGTACAAATATTCGACAAGCTTACAGTAGACAATCTAATCCCTCCGTAGGTATGCCTTAAGCCCACGGAATATTTCTTAGCTGTCTACTAACCATTTCGTAATACCATTGTTTCATAACTGGGAAGGTTTTGTTCAGGAAATGATTCCAGAGAAGTTATCCGTCTCAATAACAAAGAGAGATGTAACCGCTTTGTAAGTTTTTACATATGGGTGTCTCAAATGAACCCTTTCCGAGGGCAAATGATTCCGCTGCGGTTGAAGAAGTGGTCATCAAGCTCCTGGTGATTTGGAGCATGGTTTTGGGGGCCTTTGGGGCGCTTCATTTCTGGGTTTGGAGTTTGTGGGCGGCCAGGTCTATCAGCTGATCATGTAAAATCGACGCACATGAGCTATTCAGAACTGGTACAAATTGTTATTATTTCATGACGGTAAGCTTGGAAGCAGTGATGCTAACATAGAGGCCTGAGAAAAGCAAGTTGTCCCAGGGTTTTACGGCAGGTTCCCAAGATTCAGGAGCATAAACAAAAATACCGGCCAACCGCTTTCGGTTCCGCTCAGGCGTCTAGCTCATTGTCAGGAGCCTGGATGTTGCCCCTTTTATCTTGGCCCAGTGCCCCTACTCAGTTCAAGCCGATCGGTGTCTAACGCCAACTACATCACATTCAATAGCGGGGCCCAGAACATCTCGTGTTTTCTGCCTGTTTGGCTGTGTCTTGGTGTCCTTGAAATTCAGACGCGGAAATCAGTAAACATCCTTGAGAATATGTTGTAACGCCGTTGATCCCTACCCTAACACCCTTGAATAATGTGCCGCTTCATTTACGCTGGTTGATTCACAATCACCAGCAAGGACTAGTTGCAGGAAAGGACATATGAATTTTCCCCTTTTGAGATGCTCTTTCATGGGGTTTCTCAGCTTCATCCTTGAAATCTACAAGGTGAAGCAGGATTGGGTCGAGTTGTCCGCGAGGATATTCCGCAGACACTACGCCATGTTCCTGCCGCGGAACTACGTCCTCGCATCGAGTCCCTGTGGGTATCCTTGGCGTCTCTTAAGATGACCGGCAAACTTGCCGTGACTTGGCTCCACAGTTGCTATCACTGACGCTTAAAAGTCGATTCCTTGTTAATATTTCACTAGGGCACTACCAAATGCAGACGGTATTGAGTGGGCTGTATGTGAAACGCTTGGCAGCTATTCGAATTCGTCTTAAGGGCCCGGTCATCCAAGATCGTTGGGTTCTCACTGGCCTCTTCCTCTACAGCTGCCCCGTCGCAACACAGAAAGATCGTTCGAGTACACCACAATGACAATGAGAACCGACTCTGCAGCAGTGTTGTCAATGTTAGATTACTAGTTTCGGTTTGAGGGCGTATATCAATGTCACAGTGACTGCAAACCCTTCTACTGCTAGCATTGCAGAGCTCTTTTATCACCGCTTGACCGCGTTTCAAAGTAGACTTTTCACAAAAGCATGTAAACGAAACAAACGGTTGAAAGCGAAGTCTATCGGCGAGCAAATTATGCTTTAAAGTCACTTTAAAGACTACGGTAGGTATGCAAAATCGCTAGAGTACCGTAAATCTCGTTTGCAGCCAGCACGCTCAGTACCTATGCGAATGGTGATTGGTGTTTTCGGGAGCAAATTGTTGTTTAATCTTAGAGGCCGATTACAAACCGAACAGCGGGAGAGACGAATGGTTTTTCAAGGAAAAAGTTTTTGTTTGAAATGAACATTCGGCATGAGTTTGCCGTTACGGAATTTGTATTCCTCCTTGGCGCTATTGCCCACCACCCTTTAACCACCCATCCCTGATCGATGGCACGAGGCGACCGTTCGTCTGGAAAATGATCGCCTCCAACCAAACGATTCTAGTTCGCCTTCGAAGCCTTAGCCTTAGCGCCGTCGACGTGAAACATTTGCAACCAAGGCCCCTGTCCGACATAAATTGCGAAGCCCCTAAGGGCGTGTTCTCGACGGCAAACGCCTCTTTTAAGCAAAAGGTCGTCATCCGCCAGTCCCACGTAAATTACTTCCACGTTTTTTGCACCAACTACCTATAAAAATTTCGTCAGACCGTCGCGCTTAGTACTGCAGGGGCAGTAGAAGAAAGGGGATGCGAGTTAATCGTACTCGCCTATCTGCCTCGGCGCTGTCCATCCAATACCATCGGAGTCTTAGGTGTAACACATAGGCGTTCACAGTCGTGCCATAAATTCATCTTACTAACAAAAAAATGAGATTGACCTCCATAATTGTTGCAAATGTGGACAAGATGATGGAGCTGGAACATGCCAAAGACCCGAGTTCATCGTACTCGGTCGTGCTTACTGGTCGTTTGGTATAGGAGTCGCTTAGGTCCTTGGGGACAAAGTAATAAATAAAAGGCATCATGAGATGCACCGCTCCAGTAGAAATCTTGTTCTCACACACACAATTCATTCTTTGATTGACCCTCCTTTGATCTTCTGTTACCAGCAGGCTAGTCCTCTACATTCGTTTCTCCAAGACTTGATCTCGTTCGCAACCCAAAGATTTGATTGCCAAAACCACTCATTACCATCATCAACAAATAACAATACCAACAAAATGAAGTTCTCCGTCGCCGCTGCCTCTGCGCTTCTTCCCATTGCCTCTGCTCATTACTTCTTTGATAAGCTCATCATCGACGGCAAGGAGACTGCCAGCTTCGAGTATGTCCTTTCCAACACTCGTGCTGCCAAGTACAACCCTACCAAGTGGGAAAATGTGCGTGATGACATGACCCCCGACTTGCCCGACTTCCGCTGCAACAAGGGCGCCTTCACCTTTTCCGGCAAGACCAAGACTGCTGAGGTCAAGGCTGGCTCCAAGCTTGCCGTGAAGCTTGCTATTGGCGCGACCTTCCAGCACCCTGGCCCGGCTTTGGTCTACATGTCCAAGGCCCCCACCACTGCCAACGCTTACAAGGGCGATGGCGAGTGGTTCAAGATCTTCGAAGAGGGTGTCTGCGACAAGTCCAAGGACTTCACCAAGGATGCTTGGTGCACTTGGGACAAGAACACCATCGAGTTCACCATCCCCAAGGACACTCCTGATGGAGAGTACCTGATCCGCCCCGAGCACATCGGAGTCCACGGCGCCCACGTCGGCCAAGCCGAGTTCTACAACACTTGCGTTCAAGTCAAGGTCACTGGCGGCGGCAATGGTACCCCGGGCCCGACCATCAAGTTCCCCGGTGGTTACAAGAAGACGGACGATTCCTTCAACTTCAGCATCTACGGCGGATACAAGCCCTACCCCATCCCCGGCCCCGCCGTCTGGACCGGCGGTAGCAACTCTAACTCGGCTGGCAACGAGACCGAGGACGCCACCGACTCCGACGCCAGCGGTAACTCCGGCAACAACGCTGCTGCCACTACCTCTTCGAGCCCTGCCCCTACTCCCGAGTGCAACAAGGTGCGCCGCAGCCGCATTTTCCGCGAGGCTCGCAACTAGATTTTGTAGACTCAAAGTCTTGGTTGCCACCAAAAGCCCCGGAAGTTACACCAGACATAGACTCCTTCAGGAGGCCATCAATTTAAAAACCTCGAGAAGGTATGAGTGGTCAACGACACGCAGGGGATCTGGGGTGGCAGGACGTGGAATCAATTTAGTGGTGTTTTGCGCTTTCTTTCCTCGCCGAGTGTAGCTGGCACTTGGGTATTCATTCTGTATATATTATCACGACGAAAAGGCAACAACCCTCGTCGTATAGTATGAGTTTCTTCTGATTATATATGTATTTGTACACTCAACACCGGATTGTGTTCACTGTGTGAAATTCTCTAATTGTTCTCCCCAAGTGATGTGTCGATCTTTGCTGCCCATAACACCCCTGGAGAGTAGTGCAAGATAGCGTCGCCAATCCCTTTCAAACCACCCAAGTTAATTAGCTTCTCATCTTACCCTCGCTCTTGTTTGAAGGCACTGTCAAGTATCAATTCTCAAAAAAGGAATATGAAAGATATTACACAGTTTTTAGGGTTTTGGGCTTTTTAAATAAAATAATTCAGCCCCACCCTCTTGGCTTCTCATCTGTAAAGCTGGTTTCCAGCATGGAACGTACAAGCTAGGTAGGTACTTAGAACACTACTGCGAGCTTATTCATGACAGCGAACTCTAAACAGGGCACAAATACGCTGCCCCAGGGAGGTGTCACTATGGTGTGGGCCCTGTAGCCGCCGGGACGTTCTTTTACACGTATTAACCTTTACGCTAGCCAGGTGCGCCCAAGATATGTATAGTTACTCGCTGTCTGTAACCTTACTCTCTAATATCCAATACTAGGTGTTTTCTTTAACTTGCCTATTTCTACGTATGTTGGTTCTAGAAAGGAGCAAAATACGGAAAGTCTAAGAAACTTTTCACATGAGAGATTCTTGTTAAAACGCAAAACCCCTCACTGGCGAAAGTACCTTATAGATAGTCTGCCTAACAAAACCTTGATCATATTCGTAATCTCTTTTAACGCAGCGTGAATGTTTGCTATGTCAGAGTCACAAGTCGTTGTTAGGTACCGATTCTAGCCGATCGTATCCTAAGTGCTGTAGACAACACACGGCCATGACCGATGCACACGATCACTAACGCTGTGGCATTCCATCGAAAGCAGCAATTGTCCAATCACCACGACGAATTGGAAATTTTAGATCGCCAATCGTTGTTTAACGTTGCCCAAAGTCAATTACGACAGGGATTGTTGGAGTCACAAGACAATACTTGCTACGTGGGATATCGGGCTCGAAGCATTCTCCGAAGCCAAAACTTGATGAAGGGATGCCTCCTCTCATCCCCCAGAATCTGACCTCTCTGAACCCCGGCATCAAAGTCACAAGCCCCACTCCGCCTCGTCTTCGCCAAGAATGACTCACTCTGCACCACTCTGCACCATCGAGCCTCCAACCAATCATCGACTGTCCCAGCCCACCTTAAGCAGCGCCAAATGCCTGCTAGCAGTCTTTAGCGAGTTGAATCATCATGTGTGAGACCAGCACTAGGCCGCTAATGTACAGGGATTAGGGAGGCATTCACGATGACGGCCTACACCATGCCCAATCTATCTTGTGCTGGGCCATTATCACCATCACCCGTCAGCCCAACACTAGGCAACACGATCATGATATATATCTCTTCACTTCGCCGACCTTCTATCAGTATACAAACTCATACAATCAGATAAAAACGACTTAGAGTCACCCGGCGCCCTTGCATTCACATCCACGCCCTTCATCGACATCCCTTAATTCCCCCTACACCGAAACTTACAAACTCGACCACATATAAGACACACCACCCCCCAAAACTCGCAATCATGGGCCTGGCATTGCATAACAGCAGTGATGCACTAGAACTTCTTTCACAAGACCTGCCACAGGTCGGCCGTCTGCGTCCTGGAACACATTACAGAGGCGCATACCTCCGTGTTGACGGCACCCTTTCATTAAGTCGAGAGCACGCACATCAGAGGCTCCCCCTACTCGACCTCATCCTCCTCCGCAACCACCAACGGGAAACAACACAACGGCCCCGGCAGACCCGCCGCCGTCACCAGCAGCAAAACCGGTCCATTCAGCAATGGCGATACGACGAGGCCGCCGAGGGCCGCGCGCTCGCGGCAATCGCGAGCGTTAGGCTCCCCGGCAGCAGCTTGTGCCCCCAACGCCGCCGCACGCCATCCCTGGAACGGCAAAACGCCTTCTGTGAACCCCGTAAGACCAACAAGAGCCGCATGGCCCAACGTGCGGCGCAAGAGGAAAAAGACATTGCGGAGTTGTACCGTCTCGGTCTCCTTTTCGACGACGAACATGTCCGCGGTGAGGAATTTGAACTGCATTCAATTGTTCACTCCGAGCCTGGCTACACCATGCGTCCTGCCAAGAAGGCGCACAAGAGCACAGCTCAAGAATACTCCTTTGAAGATGACCTGCAGTTTGCGCTGGATCTCTCGCTTGCCGAGCTCGGCCACGATGAGTCCTTTGCAAGCTATCTTCTCCCCCCTGGTCTGGACGAGATCTCGTCCGCGGACGAATCAACTGATTCGTCGCCCTCACATTTCATTTCTGAGCCCGTTAGCTCGCCACATTCTTTAAACGACGATCTTCCCGACTTGACGACAGATTCTGATTCCGACCACGCTTCATTGGACTCTTCCTCCATTGACGAGTGTTGGACAACACCCCACTCGAAGGATGGAACAAGTAGGATAGGTGACGTGGTAGATCACGATGTCTCCGACGATGCCTGTATAGGGCTGGGTGACGGCTCGTAGCAGGTCCGCAAAGGAGATCCCCGCGCGCCACTCGGATCTCGACTGCGCTCTTGTGGTCGGGTTATATAACCCCCCAATCGGACTGGCCCTCATTAGCCCAGCCCATCCGGGTGTCGGATCGCGTGGTCTTTTGTTACTTCATGTCATAGTATTTTTTAGTGTTCGGCAGAGTGCTCGTAGTTCAAGACTACTGAGCTCGCCGTTTTTAGATGATGCCTTGTCTGTTTGACTGTCAGAGCAGTCAAACAGGTCACGGAATACATTGTATCATTAGCTTTCTCTTCTTATCTAGAATATGATTAAAAATCATTTTTCTCTGAACTAATACTAAACATCGTGATATGCGCTACTCTCCTTTTTACCTTAAATTGACGTTGTGAGACTCTCTGCCAAAAGCAACATGAGTGAGACTAGTTACCTTGGGCAGTGATGTGACATTTGGACGCTAATTATGGCCGTTCTGCGCCAGACATAGGGTAGCCATCCGTCTATAAATTGCTCTTCTGATTATCACATACATACATAATCATTCTAGTTCCGCCTTGCACCAGAAGATTTTTCGCACGATGAGTTTATCATGTAAACAACTTATTTTAAACCTTCAAACAATTCTCTTGTGCTTGTATACCGTTCCTTTCGGCCAGCCGCAAAACGCCCCAGCCACAAATCCCACAAAAAAACACTCCCATAGGCGTAATAGGACTCAATATGCGCCCATGTACCAGGATATACTGAAATCAATGCGGAAAGTCCCTTTCGACGCGACTCTCGCCGCAAACAGAATTGAGTAGGATCCTACAGTAGTAATGCCAGCCCAGTCAAGATGACAGCTAGCATTGTCCATGGTGCCCCAGGCCCATATCGAACACCTGAGCTAGGCTCGCCCTCGGATAATCTCGTCGTGTTTACTCGCATGCAGAGAAGCTCCGTGTCCCCTACGCTTGCATCTCTGAAAGCGTGACTAATCATGAGTATCTGCACCCTATTCGCGGCGGCGAGATATCGCTCCGTAGCGTTCGACCCAGGAATCACTCCGCTATGAAAGCCTAGGAAACCCTCTCCGCTGGTGATTCCCAGCGTCCTATTTCGTTCAGCTGTTGTGTTGCGCGCATTGGTGCCGTCTGGAACGATGTTGATGGTCACGAGACCGAATCCGCCGTACGACCCGAACAGTTGACGACCCAAGTTTGCTTCGGACGCGTATTTCAGAGTAGAGCTGCACTCGGGGAATGACGTCCATATGCTTTTGATTCCATTGCACTTGTCTTCGAAGCTGAGGTTGTTGCCCTTGGTCAGGATGGCACGCACGCAGTCTTCGCCCAGCACAGGCGTGCAGTCGGTACTGTCCGCGTTCTCCTCCGAGTAGAGATCGGTAACGTTTGCCGGGTAGACTTTGATGTCAGGTGCTGTAACACAAAACGGTTCGGTCGTCGTACCCAGGGCGTCCGAGATGTTGCCGCCACCGGACCATTGAAAGTCGTAAGTTGTGCTGACATGATGTGGACTGTCAATCGTTATTGGATTTCCTTTGATGTCGGTGACGTTGATAGCAGGAGGGAAGGCGAAATCGGTTACATTAACACCTAGATAATGTTAGCATCTGAGGAAATAGAACAAGCCTTTTGGTGTTGGGTTCGGTAAAGGTACGTACGCCAAGTCCATTCCCTGTCACCTCTGTTGGACGGATAACTTATGTCGGAAAACGGAGTGAATTTGATGGAGCGTGTCGCTTTTGGGTTAGTAATGGCCTCCCGGTAGATTTCATCAGACCGACTCTCTTCAAATGTCGGGTCGGAGTTGTACGGCCCCCCGGCAATGAGGCTTGAGTTGTAAAAGCTTGCCATGGCCTGGGAGGCCATGAGCATTAATGACACGTGTGCTTTCATGGCGTTGTGTTTTCTTTTACATTTCAATAGAAAAGAAAAATAGCATATAAGACTTCGAGGTCGAAGTTGAGAGATATCTGGTCTTATTATATTTGTGAAAATCATTCTTGGCATGGTCGGGCAATTAGGATCGGTCGATCTTCTCGGCTCCGCGCCCGAGAAGTGTGGAGATAGACGCACTACGTGTGCCAACCCATTAACGTCTCACACGATGACGCAATTCTTCAGCTTTTCAGGAACGGCGCTGAAATTAAGTTGTTAGTGGCTTTGACGACAATAACTACTAGCCAGGAGCTTCGTCTAGGCATCACTCAACACATCGCTGCAATCATTTATCGGCTCGGCCGCAACATCGTTTGTCATTTTGAATTTAACTCAACACAGCGGGCTTAGCGACTGTCTTCCAGTTTCTATAGCAAAAAGAATACGAACACCACAGATATCCTGTTGAATATTTGAGCACATGCGAACAAATAGCTACGGAAATCAACTACATTGAGATTGGTTTGATATTCGGGTTTTTAAGGGTTGGTTTTACTTGGAATACGTGCATGCAATTCCTACCATCAGGGTATCCTTCGTAGTGAGGCAGATATCCGAATTGATCATGCATTTAGACCGTGGAGTCAGTGGGTACTGGCTGTGATATCCTCGTCGATGTATAAGTGTTGGATTAAAGAGTCGCCTAAGTTATATCTTAGCTTTGCTCATTCAGGATTATCAGCTTTCTCCTTCTGGTTAGGAAGACGGGCTATTCTCGAATCCTTCGCAAATGCTTCAAATCCCAGCTAAGCGCCGAGGCCAATTGGGTTAGACGGAGAATAAACAATCAATGCAACGTTGAACCCCACATTTTGCACTGGCACCATCTTAGGAAGCCGCAATTATGTCAAGGACCAGGATGTGACGGATCACCGGCCGTGCCATATGGACGACGTCACAGACCTTCGGGTCATTCTATCCGAACCTAACTTCAATCCAACAACATCAATACCGTAGTCCTCGCTTATTACTGCGAGCAGTCTTTAAGCCTGAAGCCCCTCGACACTCTAAAGACGAACGATCATGGCGGTTGATAATCAACAGGCAGCAATATCCCGAACAATCAAGGTCGGCGATCGGGTAACCTGGCTCGAAGCCTTGAAAACAGATCGGCCCATCCTGGTCCACCTCAACGCCGACACAACATGGCTCATTCAACTACCGTACCCACAGCATGCAGCGGCCCCTACGGGACGGAAACGATTCAACATCCTTATCGACCCCTGGCTCCAGGGTCCGCAGTCTGACGTTTCGTCTTGGTTTTCCACGCAATGGCACGTCGTTGAGCCCAGCGTGAAGACCATGGCTGAGCTCAACTCTCTTCTGGCCAGCCTTGAAACCGGACCCGACGACACTCATGAGACTCAAAAGTCATACATAGATGTAGTAGCTATTTCGCATGAGTTCACGGACCATTGCCACCAAGCCACACTAGAGGAACTCCCAGCATCGACGCCAGTATTCGCAACTGAGAAAGCCGCGGACCTGATCCGCACATGGAAGCATTTTGAGTCTGTAACTACAACCCCTGGATTCTCTTCGTCAACAACAGATTGGAAATCGACTCTGAGCATCGCGGGACTGCCGTCTTGGGTTGGCATCGGGCGAGTGATTACCGCCGGGAACGCTTTGTATTACCATTCTGCTGTCATGATCGCGTTCGACCTCGGCAAACCAGAGACAGTTCTGTACTCGCCCCATGGCATACAAGCATCAGACCTATCTCCAATTCGCGACGCTGGGTTCTCTACTCTGGCTTTGCTTCATGGTCTCCATGATGTCCGAATTTGGATGACGAAGCAGTTGAATTTAGGAGCGTTGAATGGCCTCAAGGCCGTTGAAGAAACTCAAGCACGTTATTGGATCGCCACTCACGACGAAGAAAAGAAGGGTGCTGGCTTTATTGCCCTCATGTTGATGCGAACGCGCTATACACTAAAGCAGGCCGTGGAGGCTGAGGAGAAACGCATGGATGGGAAGGCGCCAGATTATGAATTTGTTGAGTTGGGATCTGGAGATGGAATGCTACTTGAGTAACCTTGTATGAAGCAATTTGTAGCTGTGATTGGGCTTCGTTGAGACTTTCTAACGAGCTAGAGCGCAGCGTATGCCATGGCCTTATATGTGTATATTGTAGTATCAGGTAGTTTAATAAACATAGCATTCTCAAAACGGGTTTTGACCATGGGAGAAAACCTTGAAATAAAACAACCTCTAACGATGGCATTTCGCCCTAACCCACGCGAACAGAAAATGATTGTTGTTGCAATCCTGAACGAGAGGTCAGAGTATTTGTGGGCTTCCTTTATTGATATCTCAAGTGCCATAGGATGATAGCAGAGTACAGAAGACCAGATGATATAGTCTCAGTTTAAAGTGGTATCTAAATTTAAGAAAACGCTATACAAAAAATGTACATGGCCCCGCTACTAAAACAGAATTCTCTTTGTCTTCGAGACTGGAACTTCATCGCTTGTCTCCTCTCCAAGAACCGCCAAACAAGTGTTTTACTAAAGCACCCTCAGGAATACTTCCGTCATTTGTACTACCTGAATGAGGCTGTCCCATACCAAACCCATCAATCGGCAAGACTAACGCGTCACCGAATAACCTCGGCGGTCCCAAAGATGACAAGTTTCTAATGTCTGTCAAAGTTTGATCGGTCTCTTGTAGGTACTCCCAAACCACGTCCGTCCATGCCGCCGGGCCTGTGGAGTTCATGACCTCGAAGCTCGTAGGTTTCCACGTCGAACTGTCCTCGCCGTTGCTGTGTGTCCGTACCAGGTCCTCTAATGATCGAATAACACGAGACACCATCTTCTGGAAGACAGGATGTCCTGGGGCAGCCGCAATAGTCCACTGACAGAATTGCAATGCGTGGGGGATATCAGCCCATCTGCCTCCGTCGCGTTGATCGAACTCGATACCAACAACGAGTCGGGTCTGGTTACGCAGGTTTTCTGGAACCCACTCGTCAATAGGTTTGAGAGCAAGCGTGTCGGTATCAGTATAGACGCCGCCCTCAATGTCGAGAAGAAGGTATCGGAGGAGATCAGACTTCATGCCAACGTTCGGTAGGTTTTCGTACGTCGAGACAATTGTGTTATTGTGGCCAAAGTGACGGCGAATAAATTCCCTGCTGCCGATTTCACCTACTAGCGTACTTGAAAGTGTCAACTTCAGGGAAGAAACAATGCTGCGCAGGAGACCCATCATGCTAGAAGCACCAAGATACAAGAAATCATGGAGACAAGGGCTTTGCACACTACCCCATTGTTACACCTTTCTTTGTGCGCCAAGGGAATTCTCAACGTCGACAGAAGAGGCAACTCCTAACTCCTGCCCTCGAATAACAGTGCTTGAAAGTACTCACTACGTGTAGTCCCTGTTCATCGCCAACCATTTCGTCGTCTCCTTCAAAGTATCCGGGTCAACCGGAGTTGTCTCATCCCATACTTTCGGGAGCATAATCTGCCAAATTTTCGGGGGAATTAAGTGCCCAGCCCGCGGCTTCGTCCAAGGCGATTTTGTGGAGCCATCATCCCACGTACTGTGATCTTTGGTGCTGATGAGCCTGTCGTTGTAAATTCGGCTGATGCTTCGCACGCTAGAAGTGCCGTACAGCCAGCATAGGGAAAGAAAGATCAAAACGAGACCGATATGAAGACGGGTGCGGTATCTTAGGCGGGAAACGAAATGAATAGTTTGATCCCAAAGCGACAACATTGAGCCAGAGTCGCCAAACTTGACTGCCATCGTTGTTCTAAGCAGCGACCAATGTGGAAAGACAGTCTAAGAAAATAAAATAGCACGAGGGCACGCCTAAGCGTTGGTCGCCGGAAGGTCAATGATAGGAGCCTTGCAAAGGTAGTTGACTAACAAGGAAAAGGAAACGGCTAGTTAAACCGCCCGGCTGGGCGAGGGGACTGGTGTAGAAAAGGTGAAAGATTGAAGCTGGGCGGGTGAAATATACCCGGAGTGCGTACCCACGTAGAAAAGCAGGCCGTGAGGTGCACATTTTTCGGCAGGTCCCCAGTAGAAAAAGACACTGACTAGGCGTGGCGCCCTCGTTCCATGGTGTGAGATCACCAACGAGCCAATAGTAAAGTCGTGACGGGACAAATCGTCAACTATTCCTTTTACGCGCCCGCGAAGTGCGCCACCCTCCCCTGCATTTGAACCTGGTCTTCCAATGCGAATAAAATTACAAATGTCCGTACAAGGCAACGGCATGGCCAGAAAAAGAAGTAAAGCGCAATTTACAACCAACAACTGAACCAACAGTGACTTTTTATTGGCTGTTGGTCCATAAAAGATCCCATGCCCCCCTCAGCAGATGAAGACCCCGGACTATTTTTGAATAATACCTAGTATTTTATCCAGTAGAAAGGCTTCAAAGATTTGAAGGCGGGGACCTAAAACCTTGGCTATTGGTGCCAGTTCAACCACGTGTGGCACCAGGACAGACTGGTCAACCAACTTGAGTTCCAGGCTGTAGAGGCTAACCGAGGATCAGTGTGAAACAGTGTCAAAACGAACATCAGAAGAGAACAAGGGGCGAAAGGTTCTAAAATCATTGAAGTCAGTCTTTGAATAGACCTCGTAGTATCTTGGCCAGAATGGGTGTCGAAAATCCGGCTAGGGGGATTTTGAAACTCATCAGCCGACATCATTGGGCGGCGTTTCTACTTGTTGGATGACCAGATCCCTCCAACGTGCACCTTCATTGTAGACTGGAGCCGGCGTAATGAAAAGGGGTGGGCCGGGTTAATGTGCGTTTGATTGATAGAAAATAAAAGGAGAGGACCAACGACTGTTTCTCCAATACCTGGGGGTCTGCTCTTCGCAGCCTTGAATAACACCACACGATCCGGGTCTTGCGCCTTTTGAGTATCGCGCCATAAGAAATCTTTGGTGAATCATTGTGGGTTCTGCATAATTCACAAATGTTGAACTTCGTCTGATACGAATCCCTCTTCTAAGACCTTCGATAACGAGAGAACGAACAAAAAAAAGGCACACGGCCATGTCAACCAACATCGATATAGAACTGTTACCGACTATTCCCTCGTCATGGACTGCTCCTACATCTTGCTTCGCCAGCACCCTCTATTATCGCGTTTTGCTTGGTGGTGGTTACTTCAGTAATCTCTATGGTACTCCTACTCCGGTTCTAGATGGCAATACTCCTATAGGCGACTGTTTCCCTCCATCTTTCACCATTGGCATACCGTACCGAACGGATGGTGACTGTCCTACGGGCTACACTCGAGCCTGTGCCACTGCGGGACCTCTCCGGTCAGGCAAGCCCATAAGTACTGTAACGTGCTGCCCAAGGTAAGTCCAAGTCTCATATATCAGCGTAGCCTTTCGATTGTATGAAGAACTTGTCCTGTTTGTTGACGCGCTAGAGCACAGCGTTACTAGCAATGCATTCTCTTTCATGTGCAGAGACCACGAATACGGCTGCCACGGAACCGGCACTGTAGGTGCCGTATGGACTGGAGTCATCACCGACATTGGGATCTCCCAACCTACAGAGGAACCAGTGACGCGGACGCCGTTCACCAATGAGGGAATCGAGGCCTGGGGAATCAAGTTTATCTCGGTGGGTTGAGTTCATTCTTCTTGATGGAAGTTCAAGGAAGTTAAGCTAGATACTAACTGGTATAGGTCGCTCCGACAACAGTCGCAGGCTCCGCAGGAACCACCGATCCTTTTTTGTCGACAACGAGTGAGACAGCGACGAATAGCGTTTTACCCACAACAAGGGTCGATGGAGGAAATAATAACTCGTCAGCCGGTCTATCAAGTGGCGCCATAGCAGGTGTTGCCATCGGCGCCGCTGTTATCGTAGGAATTCTTTCTGTCGTTGCTTTTCTCGTCTACCGCAGACGCAAAAGAAGGAACAACGATAACAGCTATCCCGCAACAAACGGTAATGAAAATGGACCCCTTGCGAACAGAACTAGCGAAAAGTATGCCTACTCTAATTACCCCGAGGGTGTTAATGACGAGAGACTCCACGAAGCTCCTCCAAGACCGGATCAGAGGCAGGCGTGGGAGTTACAGGGCTAGAATGCAACGGATGCAGATGAAACGATAAGCCGACGCTGGGAAAATAGTAAACCAAGGAAGTTGCTCTTAGATGGCGTGATAATTCAGTTTGCAGCACTATGATTTGCTTAGATACCTTCCTTTTTATTTCGAAGTCAAGCCCCGAGGCAACTACTTCAGGAGGCGGCGGTTGTAAATACATTTAGTACTTAGGTTACGTAGTATCATGATGAAACTTGATCCAGCAGCTATGTTGCCGCGCAGGCTCGTGGACGCCTTGTTGGCGCTTTCAAGTTTCCCGCACGTCGATAAACTCCGGGTTCTGTTCAAGTTGTGTAAGCAGTGGGATTGAGTATATGTCTCCACAAAGCACGCTCTACCCTGCCTTGCTTTAGTCTAAGAGTAAACCGGAAGTCTTTCGCTGACACTTGAGCGTTGTTTATGCTTTCTATCAAGCTAGAGTGCAGTGTATATCAAGATCTCTTATGGATATGTTGCGTAGTAGTTTCTCAGTCATAGCGGTATTTAAGCAGCATTTCTGTCATGGGTGAAAACCAGAGTTTCTGAAAGAAAACGCTTTGCAATAATGGCGTTTCACCTCAGCCGACGTGAACAGAAAAACGGTTGTTGTTATAATCCTGAACGAGAGATCAGAGGATTTGTGGGCTGGGTTTAACAATTTCTTCACATGCCAGACAAAGATAACAAAAAGCACAAAGAGTCAGAACATCACGGTCTTAGCTTAAGGTAGCTATAGGCCCGGATTAATACATTTCTATCCCAGTATTTCTTTTTTGACAGTGTAAGTATCATTCGCTAAATACTTTTTAGAGATAAAGTATACATTAAGTAAAGTCTTTATAGGGGATTGACCCTAGGACATTATATCCTAGGTTCTAATGAGGTTGGCGCAGTAATGAAACAGGCGCTGGACCCGTGGCTACTAACAGCCAACAAAAACACCCAACCTACACAACCACCATCATTCTCAATGATAGAAGGTAGGGGGCGAATTGTCAATTCGCAACCACAGGTCCAGGAACAAAGAAAATAATATCAATCGATAGCTGAAAGTATTCGCAGACCTAAACAAAAGAGACGAACGAAAAAGCTTAAGAATTGGCTTCGCGATTGCAGAATTTCTAAAACGAGTGACTGTGTATGATAATGATGATTATTCCTCCATCTACGATGTCCCAGCCTGTGGCCTCGAAGGCTTTCCCTCGCGCGCCGCCCCATGCCTCCTCATTAGTGGGCCTTACGCGCTTCCAACCCCTTTAGCTACCATACATCCTAACCCTGTCTCAGTAATTCCCTACCTTGCCTTACTTATAACTTTTGGAATGCACCTCCGTAAATAAATCACTGTTCACACGTTGTTACCTACCTGCGCCAAATTGGTTTTAAGCCAGTCTTTCTTGTAGGCTGCCGTATTAATTTCGTAGTCAGGGAAAGTGTTTAGAATACAGCTGCGGTTGCTTGAGGGTCAAAGCGTATGGGCAGCCTAACCACTCTCGGGCCAAATTACCACTATTATAAGATTACCTAATTTCCTGTTGAGTGAATGTCTTGGAAATAAGCCATAGATATAAGTAATTGGAATATGAGTCCTCTGAGGACTCCCAATTCCACTTTATACAACAGAACGCCAGCAAAATGGAAGCGATACGGCGCCTGGTCGGAGTGCCTGCGGCGAGAAGCCCACCGCCAAGAGTAGAGACTGACGACATCTATCCTCTTCATATGCTGGATGACACTAAGACACTCCGAGGGATTGTTGTCACTTGGACACTACGTTTTGACGATGTACTCGATCCGGAAAAGCTGCATAAATCATTGATCCGGCTCCTAGAGATAGGTGACTGGAGGAAGATCGGCGGCCGCCTGAGGATGAAGGTAATAAATCTTTTCCACCTGCAAGGTTAACCCAGCTGACTTTAGTTGCTAGGAAGATGGAGGATTAGAGATTCACGTCCCGCAGGCCTTCACAACGGAACGTCCTGCGTTGAGTTACAGTCATGAACATATATACTCGAACATTGCGGATCATTCAGTAGGAAAGACACTGCCTAAAGCCACAGATGGACCATCTATTCAGTCTGGGCCTCAATGCTTCCGCTCCTTCGCGGCTCGTGAAGGCGCACCAGCCGCGCTGGACGATTTCATCTTCAGTGACATTCCTCAGCTGTCGTTACACATCACCTCATTCAACGACGCGACGCTCATTGGGCTCTCTTGGCCCCATACACTGATGGATGTGATGGGTCAACAGGCACTTCTGCAGGGCTGGTCTCTGGTGTTGGCTGGCCGTGCATCCGATGTACCGCAGGTTCTGGGGGCCAGAGAGGATGTTATATGCGCTGCTCAAAGCGGACATGAGGAAAAGGAGGAATTCAAATTAAGAGATAAAGTAATGGGGGGCTGGGGCCTGGTTACGTTCGGGGTGCGATTCGCTTTGGACATGATGCGCAACCCTGCTGTCGAGACACGGACCATTTTCTTGCCTCAACGAGCCATCAAGAAGCTGCGACAAGAGGCGGAGAGTGACCTGGCACACTCAGATAGCGACAAACCACCCTTTGTCAGTGACGGAGACATACTTACTGCATGGGCAACGCGTGCGGTGGCTTCGTCGCTCCCACAGCCACGGCCGGTGACTGTGCTTCACGCACTCAACTTGCGGTTCCGGCTCCCGTCGCTAATCGAGGCACCGGGCGTTTTCATTCAGAACATGGCAATAGCAGCATATACATTTCTGCCTGCTGATTGTGCGACTAGCCCGCTTGGACAGATCGCGCTGGAAAATCGACATCATCTTTTGGACCAATCGACGGAAGGCCAGGTTCTGGCCTTCATGGAAGAGCTATCAAAGGATTCTAAAGGCGATCCTAGGGTGCTGTGTGGCGATTCTAATGCTCTGCTATTGCCCTTGACTAATTGGGACCGAGCAAACATCTTTAAAACTGCTGACTTCAGCTCTGCGATTCTTACTTCGGCAAATGTAGCGTCTAGAAGCAGCCCTCCGGGAACAATCACGTACCATCACGCGGATTCAATGCAACAGAATTCGGCGGCTAGGAACGTTGTGGTAGTGCTGGGAAAGGATCATAGTGATAACTACTGGATAACCGGAGTTCAACTGACACCTTTAACTTGGGATAAGATTGCAGAGGATATTGCAAGGCTCTAGGAATATCATTCCTTCCTAGCTGGTAACTGTTGGTAATTTCTGGTTGATTAATGTAGGCTTCATTCCAGCAATTTGCGAGATAATCAAATTCACGCGCGCGTGAAACGTTTATGTAATTATTTTTTGAGTTAACTAATGTTCCCTTAAATCAAGCTATACCCTGATTCGCTTCATTCTAAGAGTAGCGACTTTGATCTATCATTATGCCCATGTTTCTGAAAAAAGTCAGCTCGTTCTGAGGCAACCGGCTGTCTGTCGTCGACACTTGAATGACCAAGTGAATGTTACAATTTCTGATGTAAAGCGTTTTCAGCATTTAAACGCAGGGAATTTTAGGCGAGTGAGCTTGGAACACGGGCTTCTAAGTTGGTTTAGACGATGCCTATAGAGTCAATGCAGAGTGATTGGAGGATTGCGCAGCACGCAGGTACTTTTTCAGTCGTAGAATCTTACTGTTGGTATCACAGGGTACCCGTAAGAGGGATACCTGAGGGGAAAACTTTGTCTTTTGTCTGATGTCTATGGAACAAGTTCCAACAGAAGTGCTAGAGGAAGTGGCTGTTGAACTTATAGCCATCTGTCGGACTGCCCGTCACGTGGGCAGCCCGGGTGTCGACAGGATTGTCGTCCACGGAGCCACTTCAACCCAGAGTTCCGGCTATTCCAACTAACATCTTGTAATGTCAAGAGTTGAAAAGCCATGCGTAGGCTGACTATATACCATAGAATTAGTAGTAAAGAAATAGACTTCTTACAATTGTTGTTTAGTTCCCCAGAGCAATTGAATTATGGCCTGCTAGCAGGAAATGATTTAGTCAGAAATGCACTGGTTCTAGTTTCTTAGGTGTTGTATCATGGACCTGAAGATATAACTTGTGGTACCTAGTAACCGTTCCGAAACCGTATCTCCAATTAAAGAAGACTCTGGAATATGGGCATATGACTCGTGGAGGAACAAGAACCACACGAAGGCAGCAGAAATGACATTTCTAGGACACAAAGAACAGGATGCAGGCCAATCACGCATGTTAAAATGCCCAGAGTAACTTCTTAACGGGGGTATCGATTTGCGTATGCAAGCTATATGCAGGTAGAATGAAAAATTTATATACAGCACTTCAGTGGTATCATAGTATGGCACGAAAATCCTGCAATCGAAACTCCCCCAGCTTTCTCAAACACTTGGCACGCTTAAGAGTACCAGTTGTTGGGGGTCCACTTGACCTGCAAAGTTGTTAACACTTGGTCTTCTCCGAAACATGATTCGAAAGGAACTTACGTAGCTGGCGTCGATCTTCTTGAGATCGGGAACACCGAGGTTACCGGCGTCAATGGCGAGCTCGTGCTTGATGATCTTGATAGCCTTGGTGACACCCTCCTCGCCGAAAACGTTGGCGAACATGAAGGGGCGGCCGAGACCGACAGCCTTGACACCGAGAGCGAGAAGCTTGAGGGCGTCAGCGCCGTAGCGGACACCACCGTCGGCGTAGACCTCAATCTTCTGGAAGATCTCGGGGTCCTTCTCGTAGATCTCGAGGGCGACCTCAAGGGAAGAGGGGGAGCCGTCAAGCTGGCGACCACCGTGGTTGGAAAGGATGATGGCGGGGACCTTGTTCTCAACGGCGGCCTCGGCGTCCTCGACGCTCATGATGCCCTTGACGATCAAGGGAAGCTTGGTCATGTTGGCGAGGCGGTGGTACTCGTCCCAGGTGATGAGGGAGTAGTCGGAGTCAGCGGAGCCGACACCGAAGCGAGCAGCGCGGTGACGGTTGCCGTCGGCAGCGGAGTCAACGGTGTAAACAACACCCTGGGCACCAGACTCCTCAATACGCTTGAAGAGAGCCTCAGTCTCAGTGTTGTTAGCGGTCAAGTAGACCTGCTGGAAAGCAACCTGGCCCTCGGCCTTGACGGCGGAGATCTCCTCAATGGTCTTGGAGGCGTAAAGGGCGGGCATGTAGAGAATGTTCTCAGCGGCGGCAGCCTTCATCAAGTTAAGCTCGGCATCAGGGTGACCATAGCCAGCGCGGGCGCAAGGGCTGATGAAGATGGGAGCAGAGAAGTTGTGGCCCAGGATGGTGGTGCTGTGCAAGTCAGTATTGAGACTACAAAGCATAGCCCAAGAAATAATCCAACTTACTTGAGGGTCTGCTCAATGTTGGTGATGTCAACCATGACACGGGGGCGGAGGCGGTAGCGGTTGTAAACCTCCAGGTTGTTGCGGTAGGACCACTCGCCAGCGGCACCGTTGCGGTAGTAGGTGTAGTTCTGGAGGGGGAGGTAGTTGCGGGCAGCAAATTCGAAGTCGGGGAGACCGATCATGTCCTTCAGCTCGGGCAGAGCACCGGCCTTCAGGTCGGGCAGGACAGCCTCGATGCCGGTATCAGGCTCGTTGAGGAACGGGCGGGCGGCGATGGCGCCGGACGCCAGAGCGGTGATGAGAGCAGCACGCATATTGTCAAGCAAAGAATGAATAGTGGTGAGTGATGACAGTTAGCACGTGTGCGATGAGAGAGATCTTCGGATCAGCAGGACGATGCGGCCCTATGAGACTATTTATCGTTCACCCGAATCATCGTACCGTGTAGCCCGCTCCTTTTGCTATAATTCTAATGTTCTTGGCACCGCTTCGAGCTTTCCGGCTTATACCATAATTGGATAGAGGAGCGGGCTGTAGGCATTGGCACCCGAGCTTCGAGCTCCATGACGTGCGCCATGGGGGCTGGTTGGCACCATCTTCGTGGAGCCGAAGGTCCCGTCTAATGTTGGGACGACAGTGTGTTCCCGTTGCATGAAGCCTGGACAGTAAGGGGGAGTCTGGATGCAGGGAACCGAATCTTGGCAAAACGGACATTCTTGGTCCTTTAGGACATGTCAGCGTGGTACTCGGTCGTCCCAGCAGACTTGGATAGGCGGGTTCCACAACGGGCCAAATGTGGAAGGTTGACTAGCATGTCTCTGGAGAGTGACGGAGGGATTGCAGCGATGGCTCGAACTCAGATAAACGATGGTGACCCGCCGAGAAGCGCGAACGTCAAGGGCGCCTCCTAATCCGGGGAGAAGACCGTTATCAGATCTTGCGTGGTGGATCGTCAAATACCGTGCCCGATCTTTTGACTGACGTATCACGTTGATGGACGTTGACCAGGATGGAGTCAGTTTCATAACTGCCCACAGCGTGTCCCTTGTATTCTTACCTGGCCCCCCGAGAGGGAAATGCAGGGATGGTATGGGTAACTGAGTCAATGTGACAGGAGCCACACTAGCTTAATAAGAGGCCGCTATAGCTGAATAATGGTGTAGCGAGGTAATGAGCTGAGTCGTACGGGAGGCCTAGTGGAAAAAATTACTCAATGATGGGACAACTGCGGGCTCATGCGAAGGGTTAATGAGGGTCTAAGTGAATAAGCGCGCGGATGGTGACAGTGTTGGTTGTGTCGCTGGCAAGCGAGTCCCAGAAGTTTGGATGAGAGTGTTAGCCCGGTCCTTGAAGGTTCCAATGCAACGGCCAAATTCATGATCCCGACTGAAGATGATTTGGGTCCCCGGAGAGCTCGGTCGAGTTCCGCTGTCGAAGAATTAAGCCAAGTACATCATACGTAGTGGCACCTTATTTTGTCGTTCACGAGAAACAGGGCACCAGCTTGTCTCAGCGTTACGATGCCCAGCTTTGGTGCGTTGACTTGGGCGTTCATCCCCTCTTGTCCCCCCCCTCATATTTGTTTTTGTTGTTTGTTGTTGAGAGAACATCATGCTTGAATCGTCCGGTGTCTGGAAACAATGATGTAGTTTTTTTTTCCTGTGCTTACAGGGATAGGCTTCCCTTTAGCCACACAACAGGTAGGTCACATTTCTTCCCACTTCAATGCTACCTACCAAATCAGTAGTGACGTACTTCTCAAGCGAAAATTTTGCCTCAACAGCTCTGTCCAGGTTTTAACTCCTTTCGTTTGAATACCTCCTCCGAGACCCAAAAGGAAACATGGTTTGTAAACAGCCAAAACTTCATTTTCTTAACAGTGTTCGCTGAATGAATCGCGAGAACTTCCGATATTGGACAGGGATGCTGTTCTGAGGGGATTGTTCCGTACGGAGACCATCGGAGGTATCCCGCTCGCTACGGTATCTTTCAACCGCTTTTTCGGATCCCGCTTTTTCGGATCCAGATTGCTACCGGTGGCAATGGGTACGCGACACATAATCGTGGCGGAGCCGCAAAACAGACAGAGGCGCAGGAAAATATCTTCATAAAATTTATCGAGCCACGTGAGACAGTTTCGTTTGCCAAGCAGAAGTGAGTACGTGGAAGCTATTCGGAACAGGGCTAAGGCAGGCTGCCAAGTTTTGGCTTTCACTTTTCGGGATCGAGGACGAGGGGTTTGACTCGTTCGCAGATCACGACGTAAAACCATCACAATACAATCATCACTGTGTAGGCCCCGTGGTGCCTTGCTGCCTCTTCATGTCTCAGTTGCTCTTCAATGTCGTAGTCATCTACGTCAGACTGTTTTGCTAGAAGAAGCTTTGAGATATTCAATGAATCCCTTGTCTGTTCGCGTGCTTTCACAAAGGTTAATGTCAGCATTCGATCTCGGGGCGGAACTCCCGACTCCGAGGGGCATTGTTGCTCTAAGGTTTGTATCCGGAAATTTTGCGCCCAGTCTTGCTGCCCTATACATATGAAGGCCAATTACGCGGATGTTTACAATATCTTTGTTATTCGTCTTTCCGGACGATCTTTGCGGTGAGTAAACATGTTATTCCTCAGGTGCATTTCGATAACTGAAAGTTGAACTGACAGCGCAGTTAAGTAGTTGCATCTCAGGTTTCATCACTCGGTCCCCAAATTCAGCAGGACTTTCGTTGCCATAGCTGCAGCCAAGCATTATGACCAGATAGCCAATACAACAGCATTCGGTCCGAAATCGTGCTCACAGGTGTATCCAGTAAAACATGGTTAAGCCGAAATATTGAAGATAACCACTTGCGAGCCGAATACATCTCGGTTGACCGGTCATCGTCCGAACTGTAGACCACCTTTCGGGCGGGCCACCCGCCACGTGTTTTGAATGATCTATTGGATATCAACGGTGTCGGATATGATAGCTGGGTCGCTTCTATGAGATATTTGGGAGGCCCTTATTACCATTCCCCTTTGAGTCCCATTACCAAGTATGAGACGATTTCCTACCAACAGGGACGTCCCTCCGTTCCATTCATCAAGAGTGGAAAGTTCACGACGGATGAATACCGCAAAAGAGTCAAGTGTGCACTTGGATAACCCCCCAGTGATCTAATGGCAAGTGTTCTGTGCAAGGCCTTTGAAAGGGCAAACCCGTAGACGTGGGCAATCTGGGATTGCCTCGGTCCACACTAATGAAACCCATTCAGGGAAGCTGTATATTGATCTACAAATCTAGACCAGGAACCCGACCGTGTTCCCCGCCAGCGCACGTCCAACGAAGCATTTCCGGGTGGGCTCTTAAAAAATCAGGCCTAGGTAACTGTTCCGAGCACCTTCCAGAACGTTAAATCCGCCCTGTCATTTAATTGCGATTCCTTCCCCTGACCATTTGGTTGTGACAATGATACTCTGCAATCGTCCTTGCGCAGGTTTCATCCCCCGCAGCATCCACGACTTGGCGAAATGCACCAGTCTGAACAGGCATAAGTCGCAGATTAATATCCCTTTAGCACATCTTACGCTATTCTAGGAGAGTTGACAGGTAGGTGAATAAATAATGTGAGGCTGCTTTATCTCAAACTCGGGAGTTTACCTATTTTCATACACGCGGAAATCCTGACTTCTGTAAACATGGCTTGACCGGCTTTCTTAAAGCTGGACTCCTAAGAATACTGACTTTTAAAAATCCTTTCGACAATGCAAGAGATCTTTCTCCGGAATTAATGAAGGAATTATTGACGAAGGAGTATCAAACAAGCCTGGTCTTGGAGGCCGCCGGCCGCGGAAACGCCAAGTTTTCCGCGATAAAATTTATATGGTTAGCTCGGGTGCACCGAAAGAGGTAGACCCGTTATCATTCCACGGTAGTTTTCATGTGCCTGTAATTCCCGCCCCCATAAAATGCTAGTTGAATAAACTCTTTCGGACGGCTCGATCCGCCTGTCTCCGATGCGGTTCAGGCAATTTTGGCCTAGCGAAAACCTTTTCACAAGCGTTTTTCAGATGTCAGGCCGCTAGCTAATCGTCGAAGGATCAGGCTAGTCTCTTGTTGTTAACGGGTCCAAACGCTAGTTAGCTCGACTCCTGCATTTAGGAATTCATGCACACATCTGTGGGCAGTTCAACTACACTACCTCAATACACAGTCCAACCCCTATCTCAATTATACCCACATTGTTCAACAACAAGACGGAGACCTCGTGGCAGATGTCTGTATCTATGGGGTATGTGTACACATGTAAAGCTTCATTCCCTCATGGCAAGATGCAGGGGTACAATGAATCCCTTTCCCTCAGCCCAAAGGTTACATCTGCACGAGACTTGCATTTGCGCATACGGGGTAAAGAGGGGACTGCCTTTGCTTCTTCGGTCTCGCTTAGAATTTTCGCCTCTGATTTTGAGCGGAACTGCAACGCTCCAAAGCCAAGAAATAGACCCATGCAAAGATGACAATTCGCTACCCTAAGTCTGGAGACTGCAATTTTTGGTCTCCTCCGCTATGGGCGCACCTTAATCTCAAAAGATATGTTACAGGGATTACCAAGATATAATATTGAAACTCAGTTAATTAATTGTCTACACTTTGTGGGCCTAGCTGCTTGATACCTTGATACGAGTAGCTCGGCTCGAAGCGTTAGCGAATCGACGTCACGACTTCCTTCTTGAATGTTTTGTTATACATAGTGAAACTCCTTTTTTTCATTCTAAGAACCTCCCGTAAGATCACTGGCAAACCAAACGGTCTTGACTGACATATCCATGGAATCTGCCGATATGAGGCTTCGACTTAACTTCCAAGGTTTGTAAGTTTGACAACATCATTGACGTTGGGCGGAGGAGCGAGCCATAACAAGAGCGAATCCAAGTCCAAGTTGACTTCCTAAGCTTCGAGTTCTTGTTACATTATTGGAGCTGTTGATTGCTTGGTTTCCCGATCTGCATGAAACCCAGTGTTCACTAATGTCTTGATTACTCGCGAGCTGGTGCTTGAGTGATACATTGACATCTCGTGTTCTTTAGGAGACTAAAGAATTAAGTTTCTAAAAGCCTATCATAGGTTTCTATCTAGTGAGATGTACTCTTTTATTGCAGTTGGTTCCTGTACCTATTCGCATATGAGGCCGTGACCGAGCTATGTTTCATTCACCCCAAGCCGGCGTCTCATCTGCTTCATGACGCTCGCGTAGCCAACTAAGATGGTCCGAGATTTCCGTCCTGTGCGATACTTCAACCTAGCAGCAAATGTGCCTCCGCTATCGGGGAGGTAACCAAATAGTGAGATGCGCGGATGCGCGGACTCAGAGGATTCACATGCAATAATTTGATGTCAAGAAATCCAGCTATCCTATGCTGACGACAACACAAAATGTTTCTCTTATCATCACTCTTTATTAATTATTTCTTGCAGTTTTGATTAACAATCCAAGCTTAGCGAGGTTTGGCTTCTCCGTGACTAAACCTCTTACACATCCAATTCAGAAGTGATTGTAGTGTTTCCAATTCCACCTCGACCGTTAGAATTTGGGTTAAAGTACATCGTGAGTGGCCCAGACCCCTTTAGCGGCGTACCAAGGACAGCTTGCTGAATTTCAAAAGCTTTAAAAGTCGTCAGCGATGCAATTAAAACAACTGGTAATGGACACACTCACTCTGGGTGCCTAGAACTCTGACCCAGGTAACATTGAGGGTAGGATCATCTTGGGTGTAGGTAGTGTTATCGACCCTAGGATTATAATACCACCTCGCATGGTTGGTTGTTTGGGGAGTCTTCGAGTGTGTGGTATAGATGTCTCCCTGTCGGTCTCCTTGTGCTCCGCCAGCGAGGACGACCTCGACGTACCAAGATCCATAGTCATTGCAAGTGGGTGCGGCTCCGGCTTGGATGGCGATGGAGAAAAGTAGCCAGAGACTATTTGCGGAGACCATGACGAATTTTGCAGGGAAGACTGATCAGTCTGAAGAGAATGGTATTGCGGCAAAGATGTGCACTTGAATGAATGCAGATTTGGTTGACAATCGACTGATTGTTAATTTAGAGCTAGGAGCACAGACCTTTTATAGGACATCGTATTCTGCTTCATACCAGACAAGCTTATGCTGCAGGAACACCATCCTTCCTTTTTCAGCTGAAGTTGATGTGCATAAGCCTGCATCAATAGTTGAGTAGAATCCGTACTACCCCAGGGGGCCCTCGTTGTGAATTTTGATCTTTCATCGTATTATTAGTCGCTTGCATCGCCATGGTCTGTCAAAATACTGCTTTTTGAAGCCTTAATAAACCATAAGTCAATGAGATGCTGGTTTGATCTCCTCAATCGTACTGGGCTACTAGTATTACGGGACGAGGCGAAAAGCATCAGGGGTAGGAAAAAGCAATGAAGAGTAAATGTGAAAGACAAGTGCTTGACATTGAGAGATGTTACGGATAGTAGGAGGTTTCAGGGTCCTATTGCTGTGGCTTACCTTGTGCGTCCCTCACGCAATTGTCTGCAAATGGGATCGTCTCATCCCTCGTATATGCCGCTTAAAACACCGGAAGAACCCTGGATCGGCAGGTCAACATTTCAGCTCCGTTCTGGTCTGCATTAAACGGCTCGCGACTGCCGTTGATAGGTGACTTTCGTTATTCGTGGTGGCCAAATTGTGAGGAATTTTCTGACAGGCTGCAAGGACTGCCATTGAGCAGATTGATTTTGTTCAGAGGGAATTTCGACTTTATCGCTATCTTTATCAGAATACATGATGATGTTGAGTCACATCAAATGGCGTCTATCACCAACAGAATTAATAGATGTTAGAAGTTGGTACAATATATTTACAGCCAAGCTGCACAGTACTTTCAATTATAATAAGCATTTTCTGAGACCTGGGTCTAGGGATACAATTTTTGATTGCCAGTCTGCGTCTAATTTCTTTCTTCTTTCAGCTTTAGTTACAGGATTAGTTTGATGAGGTAATTGTTGCATCGTGAACAATAGCAACTCTTGCTAGTAGTGACGCCACAAAGCAGGACAGCCGAGTAAAAGGTTGCAAAGAAATCCGAAATGCTAATCGCTAACTTTGGTTAACAACAGTCCGACGCACGCGACCTAAAAAAAAAAAAAAAAAAAAAAGAGGGTGAAAGAGAACCGCGATGCAGGAACTGAATAACAGCCATATCTCAACCCGAAAGACGACTTTGGACCGCCTTAATCACCGCACCAGCTTGTAAGACCGACTTGACTAGCCTTTACCTATGCACATTGTTGTCTACATTTGAATAGCGATCTGCAATCACCCTCAGGGCTAGTGTATGTAGCAAGAGCTGCATCTTTGACGAATGTGTCAGGTCTGTTGGCTGACAAGATTGAAACCAGCAGGTTCGGCTCAGGGTGTGTTATTCATACTAAACAGTACCAAGATATGCTATCATTGATATCTCATAGCTATGCAAGAGTACCTATACCCTTCTTTATTCCAAATTCAATACCTTCTCTTCTCTAAGTAGTTGGAAAGAGAGGTTATCTGGTTTGCAAGCTTGGAGTGAATCGAAAATTCTTGCCTGTTTCGACACGGTCAGGCATACTTAGCTGAGAAGCACCTTGCAGACACCAAGCGGTGGCTGAGATGTATGGACGAGGGTTGCCTCGGCATAGAGAGACTGTAAGTTAGGCGATGCACATTCTGCTTTAGTATATGTTTCAGGCTGATAAAGTAAGAAAAATCAAACATCTTACATAGTAAATTCCTGATGAGTGCAGTAAGGGTTGTGATCAGCAGATCTTTGAAGTGGGTTACATCATGTTTTGAGGCGGAGCTGATGCCCAGACTCTAAACTGCACCATTGCAGTGCAAAATTGGCCTGGGTTGAAAACAGGGCGAATAAATCTGCCTTGCGTCCCCTTAAGACAAGCTCACCGAAGCCAGTAACAGGGCATCCGCCCCTGGAGAGACTGAATCGAGAGGCACTAGGCGGCCCGCTAGTGTCTTGAGCGCTAAACCCATTCTTGACATAGGCTCACTTCAGCGTGCGACCACGGGACTGTGCAGGGCATGCGACCAGCCGCATGCGGGATGAACGTGAGACCTCCGCTGGGCAGTCTGGTCTGAGGATTGCAGCTATCAAGGCTCCCAACGGCTGGGCATGTCACGTCTGAAACATTGTCATTGGTCCGCAGCTACGTGTTTAAAGAGGCAACAAGTTGCTCTTCGTGATGCTGTGATTTTCGCCTCTCCAACGACAGACCAAACCGTTACAATGACTCGAATCTCCGTCTTTGAGGATCCATGGTCGAACGACAGGGCCAAGATACCGCTTGAGACCTCCACAATTGTCAGTTGGACTTTTCCATGTCGCGAATGGTTCCATGAGTCGTTAACGATAAACACAGAAACACATTCAACTGATTGAGATATTTCTCAAGCTGCTACCTCACTTTCAAAAGAATGATAAAAACCAAATCACAATAGAGGCTCTTGTCTACTCAGAATGGCGATACGTGAACTATATACGATTCCTTGACTATTACGGCATGGCAGCCAACGACTTCCCGCCACCATGGTAGCTCACTCATCCCATTCTCGGAAATGAAGTAACTAAGAAATAATTAAGGGATGTCGCAATGATTTGGTATTGCCATCTTCTCTCGCCTCACCAGTTTCATCGTCATCTCTGGGACAGTCAGCACACATCTTATGGCTTAAACCATCATCATTTCCCTCTGACGCATCTGCTCTATCTGTACAATTCGGGAAAATGGTCTCACCCCAAAGCTCGCAAGCATTGGAACCGTTGGAATCGCACGAAAAGTAGCCCAGGACTCCCGTTCCAGCTTTGGGACTCTCCTCCATGGGAGACAAAGCGAAAATCCAGCCTCTTTTCCATTTTCTCTGGAAAGCCATCCTCGAAACCAGCGTCCGGTGAAAAGGCTGAAGAGCCAACCATCAGGTTTTATTCCACATGGTGCCGAACGAGCGGTAAAAAAGAATGGAAGTTGTCCCAATACACGGACTTGAGGAGAGGCAAAAGGCCAATGCTGTGCATCAACGCCAGTAGACACAGCAGATATGGAGCACGGTGCGAGTTGACACCATGGCCGTCACTGGAAGATTTTCGCAATGTTATAAATCGACAGACTTGTTTTTGGAAAGCCGTCATTAAAGCTCGCGATTCCGATCCCAACTTTGCCTCAAAGCCCAATCTCGAGATAGGCTTAAGCGACTATGAGAAATTCATCAAGCTCCATGGACAGCCTCCACGGTTACGACAGGTGCCAAACACTAACGTATGGAGAGTCGACATGAACGGGCTCCCCAGCCCCGACAAATGGTCCGAATCAAGAAACCGAGAATTCGTGCCGCCAACTCTGTTGATAGATCTTCTCTGGCATACCCATCGGCTTTATCCAGCCAGCTACTGGACTTGGAGTTTCAATACGGCGGGGAGGCTGATTGACTATGAACACACATCTTCGGCAGTAACAGCAAAGAGGTTCTTGGAAGAGACAGATCTAGAGTGGAAAAAGAGAAACGGGTTTCCTGTGGAAACCCGGCATACTATGGAAGAATTCAGAAAAGAGGGATATCTTTATATACCGGACGCTGCGATTGTTCCACCCGGCTATCCTGCCAGAGTACCAATAGACTGGACGCTGGGGGGCACTAATCCTGTTAAAGGGAGAAGAAGGGGCTATAAAGGGCAATATTATGTATGTGAAGGAATTTTCATAACTTTCGATGGCGGCTCGGGTGACGGTGGCGGCGGTGGTGATGGTGGTTGTGGCGGGGATGGAGGCGGTGGTGGTGGTGATGGCGGAGGTTGTTGACCGTTGTCATACAGTTTAGAGAATATTTAGCATGCAATGTCGACTGTTAAAACTGCATAGTTTCTGCCACGGCAGTCCCAAAATAAAAATTCTTTTTTTCTCTTTTAATCAGGTATGCTCTATGCTTCACAACAGCTTAAAATATGCCTACAATCACACGGGAAGACGGTGTTTGCGAAAAAAGTCGACAATGTACTGCGAGGCATTGTATGATGCCGGCCCGTCCTTGTGTGCCTTGTTGTCAGAGTTTTTACCAGTGTAGGGCCAACTGTGATTCACATCTTGCTCGAAAATATGAGACACAAGCCCTAGTTGATTCCCTGAACCCCATTGATAACGCTTTGCCCGGGTAGTAATGCTAGTCTCAGCGGCCTGTCCACTAAGATTATCACGAAGTGCCCATGACGTCGCCCAGTGAAAAATATTCGGCAAGCAGGCACCTCGTCGATCGCTGGACCCGTTGTACGAAATGATGGTGTCTATCCCCCCATGGAACTCGATGATTGGGATGGATGTGCTTGGTCGACCCGGTGTGCAAGGGATCTCCACCGTGTTAGGATCGCAATTTTCCACATTTTCAATGTAGAATGAGCCAGAAACAGGTGCGAAAGCGGCGAAGCGGGTTGACAGTCCCTTATGGCAAGCAGCAAAGTTGGCGAAGCCACCGCCCTCGGATTTGCCTGTCATGAAGATTCGCGATTTATCGATGCAGTAAGTAGATTCCAGGTCATTCAAAACCGTTTGCGTGTAGAGAATGTCGTTTCTCTTTGTGATGTTGGGAACCCCTTCCCATCGTTTCTTTACTTTTGATTAGCATTATTATTATGATGTGCTCAGAACGCTTACCTGGTAGCCTCGAAGATACACTACAATATGATCGGTGTTGAACTCAGGCGTCTCGAAAAGATCCAGGTCTCTCTGCTCTTCGGGTGTTTTGTTTCCTCCATGATATGAGAAGATAACAGGATTAGGGTTCTTCTTGGAGTATTGTGGCGGAATAAAAAGTAAATAGTCTCGGTCATGACCTTGATCATCTGTGTAAGGAATCAAGTATTCCCGCCCAGTTTGCCGACCACTCGGAAAGGCTTTCCGACATCCATCTGATGACACTTCTTTGTTGACTGCCGATTTGATGCCAGCCGAGATACAAAGCCCTGCAATCAGGGTGACGAAGTTGGAGAATACCATCAGGAAGTGAGTCAATTGGGTCTGAAACGACGAAGGATATGTCTCATCGGCTGTTGAATGTTGGTTGGAAATAACCCCGTTTTAGTAGCCTGGATAATAGGGGGTTTAGTCATTCCAGGCTACATCTAAGCCTTGGATAGCTCAGCTAGTGCCAGTGACCCTTCCAATCTCACCAACCACAATGTTTAGTTCGAGACAGTTGGCGGTGGCTTAAACTAGTCAACCATAGTAGTGTTCAAGTCAGAGCGCCACAGCGCAGCCCTTCAGCTGTTCAAAATTCGTTTAATCGGAGGAGCTTGCCGTATGAGACGCTGCGTACGCCAGCCGCATGGCGCTTCGCGTTTGTATATCGCTGAAGGCGGCCTAGTAGTCGAATGCACTTTTCGATATGGGCTTGCTGTACCGTTTGTTTTGTTCCCAGTTCAAGCTGTGGCTTTCACGGTGTTAAGCTTAGTCTAGAAATCCCCCACGTGTTGATTTTGATAAGACTGGTGTTGCCGAAACCCGCAGCTGTCAATCAGAAACAAGCTTTAGCCCGCTTCTTCGCCCTCACATTTCACTGAAGCATATTTATGAGACCTCTGCATTTTTCTGGCTAGGTGAACTCCGTACTGCGATGATATGAAGACCAATCAATATTCAAATCGAAAATTCGCCACAAGCATTAGATCGTTAATCGTCTAACTTCAGCTTCGTATCTTGCCTATGCCTCAACTTTGTGGCAAAGCCCTTCTTACGTTTTGAGAGGCGCTCCCCTTAAGGTGAGAACAATGAGGCTCCTTAAGAGTGATTTGCTAATAACAGCTGCGCTAGTACTGGCATCAAGAGCGAGTGCAGAGGAAGCGACAGCAACATCTAGTTGGCCCTTCATATCTGAGACAGCAAATTCGATAAGCGTAAGCGGCCCCTCAAACTTTGACTAGCAACTTAATCATATGAGGCCTACACCAGTGTGACCGTCCAAAATCCTTCTTTGTCTTCCTTCTCGGGTTCTTTCCCCAGCATATCCTTGTCCGACAGTAAGAACCCGAGCCTCTCAAAATTGTCTGTTCCCTTTACCTTCTTCACGATCAGCGAATGGTATGTTCCTTCGTCATCAGACGCATCCGGCTCCCAAGATCGGCTCTTGAAAATGTGGAGAGCAAATATATCCACACCTTCTAAGCTTTTCACAATCTTCTTCGCTTCTTGAGGAGCATCATCATCTGTGAAGGCGAAGTCAAAGCGTGAAAATTCACCTTCAGGATTGCCGTCCTTGGTGCGCACTTTAATGTTGTTGTCATACTTGAAGTGGCCTGGCGCTTCCGGGTCCCAATTCTCCAAGACAAGATAAAGTTGCTGACATGGAGCCCGGAGCTTGATGTAGCCATCTGTTACCTCTCCGAACGGGTTGTCACCCTTGAGAGTGACGTTCGCATCCAGAATCTCGGCAATGTCACTGAAATCAACTATTTGGCCAGTTGCCGGGATTCCATCACCGGACGCCCATGACCATGAAGGGGCACGGTATTCGGGAACACGCCGGAAACTGAGACTCTGCCACATCAAACCCTCGATGAGTTGGTCTCTCCATAAGCCAGCAAGATATTGTTCGCCAATCTTCTCTGCGTAGAGACTGGCTATTCCCGAGAGAGCTGGAAGTTTGTCGGATGGACGTGTAAGCTTCCTTGGTCCATACTTCCAGAGCATGTTATACCACCCCCTCAAGGTGTCGTGCTTCGGTCGTTTGTTTAGTGTGAGTCCCTTCAGCCAGCTGTCGCTGTTATTTTCACTTTTGGCGTCTAGACTTTTGTGTACACAATCATGCCGCATCTCGAGGTAGAGGCCGTCCTCTCCGCGGAATCCTTCATTGCACTCGCTGAGCACAAGAAGCCAAGGTCAGCTGGTCCTAGAACCCTTACGGAAGAGGGGAAACGTACAAGAATATCTGGTCGGAACCATATATCAAGACCCGATGAGAGAGCATACGCTCTTGCAGACCCCAGGCTCGCTGAGAGAGAGGCTCATTCGGCAAACCGAGATAGTCGTGCTTTACATGTTCCTCTCGCAGTGGCAAATTGAATGCAAGAGCCTTTCCGCTAATGTCATTGCGGCTATAATCCAGTTCTACGAATCTTCTACTAGCACGGGGACCCAGGAAACCGTCGGAACTGTGGTGGGATCTAACCGCAGCGACCGTCAAGTACGCATTGGAATAGATTGAAAGCATTTTTGCTGATTCCCTTTCCCAATCCGCGCGTTCATCTTGACAGATACATAAAGCGTCGACCCAAAGATAGCGTATCCCGAGCTCCCGGGTAAGCTTTATCACGTCTTGATGCGTCGCTGGCATGTCGGATATGGTGATTCCGGCTTTCCGCTCTTCCATTGTTGCTCGCGTCGTGGTTAACTGTGGAGATGATCCCCAGCAATAGCTCAGAGTGACATAGTGTCCGACCGTATTTTCAGGTACCGGTTCCCAGAGATGTACCTTGGGGCTTCCAAGCTCGCCGACGTCAATGATTCGAGAAGGCAAGAGAGGCTGAGACGGAGAGCAGCCGGAATGACTTTCGCAATCCTTTAGCCACTTGCGGCTTCTTTCAAAAGCAACCGTTTGGTTCGCGTCACCCTCTACCGGTCTGCCTTGGATGACCTCTTCTAAAGGATCGCCTAAGAATGTTAGCATTCTTGAACTGAATCAGAGTTCCCTGACTTTTACCCTCTCGGACGCATATCCCAAGCGCCGCTATGATCCACGCCTCTTTACGGCGTTTCTTTCTATTCTTTTCGACTTGATCAGTGTCAGGGCGCACGAAGCTCATGACCCAGCAGCCATCTCCACCTTCCTGTCTCTTCACCAAGAAGAAGTCATAGGTTGGCCAATCGTACTGATGTATTTCTTTGGCTTCCCATTGTGGCTTCAGCTCTTGGAGCTGTTTCTCCACATTCTCTGCGGAAGAGAGAATGAGGGAACAGAGGGAACATGTCGAGGCCGACTCTCGCAGAGCATCAAGATTATGGTGGTGCTCGTGACCTCGCACGTCCGCGGGCCAATTAAGTAGTGGCTGGATGTATTTGTATCCTGTCAGATTACCACTAAGATCAGGCGGCACTTCAGGAAGAGTTTCCCAAGGAATATTCTTGCATAGATCGCAGAGAGACATCCTTAGGAGTGTGGTAGTAAGCTTTCTCAGCTCTAGTGTTTTGTCCACTTGTCTTGGTCGTGCTATCAGACAACGCTCATTCAAATGGTCCAGTAATGAGAATTATCGTTTTACAATTGCCTACCTTAGGTGGAACAATGACAGTTTAGATAGCTGTTGAGGAGCGCAAAGATTAATGTTAGATGCACTGAAGATTCGATTATTTGATACCTCAACCAGGCAGCAGTGAGGAGGCGAAGCCTTACGACCAATCGGGCTTAGGCTTACTACGCTAATAGGACCCCTGGGCATGTAAGACGTAAGTGACAAACCCCTCAACAGCTGCATGGTGAGACTGCGAACAGAAGAAGTAGTTCGTAAAGTGCTGCCTGATTACTGGACATCCGTCGTATTCATATTTGACTCCCAATTGACTGTTTCAAATACTACCTTCTTTTCCAATCTGCTGCAACTGATAGCGACGATCGGTACTGCACCCAAGAATTGTACAACAGGCTCTTACTAGCTTTCGACAAAAAGGTCCCAACTCGAGAATTCTATTACGGACAATATTGTAGGCATGTTTTGTAGCCTTCGTGAACATGTTCTTTGGCCTGCGGCGCTGCCGCAGGAGTAACTATAGAAGATGTGGACTTGAGATCCAATAATAGCCAGCTTCATCTCTTGTAAGTGTATATGCCGGCTTGTCAACTTAGCTTACTCTGCGAATTGAAATCGAAAAGGAAAGTATAGTATGCGTCAAAGCTACTATAATACGGATAGTTGAATACGGATATGGAAGCTTGAAAATGTTATCTCCAAGAATCTTAAGCTTAAGCTTTGATGCCGTCATCATTTCTTAAAGTAGATGTCAAGTCGTAACTAGAAACAAGCGCGCGAATATTATGTGTCCGGCTTGTTGTTTTTGTTACTTCTGAACAGGTTATCTTACAGATAATTCCACAGCAGAAAGAAAACGAGGTTCGTCAAAGTTGCACGCAAAGTTTATAGTAGTTATTTAGATTCCGGGCAACTAAGATTAGTTTGTGACTTCCGAACTTGGCAATGTTAGGGCATTAATATGATAGCAAGCAGGTACGGATGTAAAAATAAGAGGAGGTAAGTCTGTTTTCAACTCTTATCGACTTCAGGAGCAAATCCAATCGCGATTTATATGTACACAGGATTCTCTAGTACTTCTTAAAAGATTGGCTCGTCTAGCATATGTGCATAGGGCGACCTAACTTTTCCCTTTTCATTTGCAATTGTTGAGCATTAAAACTCTCAAAGATGCCGGGTAACAAAGGCCAAGCCAAATATCACCAGTATCACCCGTGTTGGTTGGATTAGGTAGTTTTGCAGGCTAGATGATAAAGACAATCCTTGATTAGCAGTCAAGTTACATATTCGTTGCTTATGATCAACCTAAGGGCCGAGCAGCCAGCTCCGTAGCACGCATGTATACCAGGTGCCAAGGGAGAAAAATACCATAACAACAAGTATTTAGACCCCCACGAAATGGCCATACATCAACGGGACAACATCAACAACGTAGAACGGCGCTCATACAGTATTCAGACTACTTCCATCGGAAAAGGAGTCTTAGTAACCTGAGAATAATAGAAGCACCTGTATGATAGATTGGCATCGCAGTATGCTGTCTCTTATGACCGTTAATAGTGGCCAGTCCACGCAGAGTTGAATCTGGTTACCTCACAGAGCGATGCCAATTGACGATCAAGAATATCCGAGACAGCTCTAGGTTTTTATTAGGATGCAAAGCTTTTTTTTAGCCTTTCTTCATCAGCTCAAGTTCGATTACTTACGAAATTCATGATTATTTGCACTATCGTTTCTCAGTACCTCCTTTTTCCCGTTACTAATGTTTTATCGTCAGACGCGGCTTCCCTCCTTGGCTTGCTTGGATATGAATGTTTGGTATAAGCTAGTGAGAGCCCGCCCTCATCCAAGTCTAGACTACTTTCAGAATGTTTTGCAGAGTTAGTCTAAAGTGGGAGGTAAAGTCACCACAGTGTAGCCTGATCACAATCTATCATCATTTCCCCGAGTTCTCCTAGTTTTGCAGCAAGTTAACGTTCAGGCCAGAGAACTAGAGGACTGAGAGAACGGATCTTTCATTGAAAACCGGTACAATACCAGAGGCTTCTGAACCTGATCACACGATACACGTGGAACGGTTTCCCGAAAGGGTGGAGCCATACACATGAGCCTCATGTTATTCATAGGGATTCCCCTTTGTGCTTATTTCAACTCGATTACCAAAAAAGGCAACGTTTTGAGTTTTACCCGGTGGCCCCTACTGACTGTGACATTCTCCCAAATAAGGGCGATGAAACTCCGCTCCGCACCCCCACTCCACCACTAGCCAACCTGCGGAGTGTACCCCACCGCCAGTCAAGCTGCTGGTGTGAACTTTGCATACTTTAACTAAACAAAATAATATAAGAACGGAGTACCGATGGTAATCGGTGTCAGGCACTATTTACAAGATTGGTTCAAATTACAGCCGCTTTCTGGCAGAATCACAGTTACAACAAGCCGCAATAGCCATGGGAGAGACAATGAGGACCTGGCAATACTCGACCGTCGATGGCAAACTCGAAAAGTGCCTGACATTGAAGGAAGACGCGCCTATTCCAAACAAACTTGACCTCCTCCAGGACGAACTCATTGTCGAAATCATCACCGCAGCACTTAACCCTGCTGATTATAAGGTCCCTGAAACGGCCGTCATTGGCCGTTTAATGATATCGCTCCCGGCAACCCCAGGCATGGACTTTTGTGGCCGCGTCGTCAGCAAGCACCCATCAAACACAGCGTTCGAAGAAGGACAACTTATTTTTGGTGGCTTCCCCGGTGTAAGCCAAAAGGGCGTTCTAGGACAATTCATCACCATCTCCTGCAAAAACTGTGCGCCTTTGCCGAGAGGAATCGACCCTGACCATGCTGCCGCGGTAGGAACGGCAGCAACCACCGCATACCAGTCTCTCATGCCCGAGAAACTGAAGCCTGGAGCCAAGGTATTCATCAATGGCGGAAGCGGTGGCACAGGGATCTGGTGCATTCAGATTGCCAAGGTGTTGGGAGCCGAAGTCGTCACGACTTGCTCTACGGCGAACGTTGATTTGTGCAAGCAACTTGGTGCTGATGAAGTTATCGACTATAAGAAGGAAGATGTCGTCGCCAATTTGAAGAAACGAGGTAAGATATTTGATCTCGTCATCGATAATGTAGGCGACAGCAACGAGCTGTACGACAATTCCGACGACTATCTGAAACTTACTGGTACATTCGTCTTGGTCGGGGTGGGCCAGAACATGTCACTTTTTGGCATTATCTCAACTTTGATCAAACTAGTTCGATCGACAATTTTTGGTTCTGGACGATTCTACTTCGTTCAAATGAAGAATACAACAGACATTTTCAGTCTCATTGGTGACTGGATGGCGGAGGGAAAGGCCAGAGCAGTTATCGACTCCACCTTTTCGTTCGAGGATGTCCCGGCGGCTTTTGAGAAGTTGAGGGAAGGACGCGCGAAAGGCAAGATCATTGTGCATGTCGAAAGGCATCCCACGGGAAAATGAATAGGGACTTATCTTGACTTCATTAGTCTAAGAAGCATCTGAATCAACAAAGTGAAAGCCGCGGAAATTCTCATTAATTCGTGCTGTTATTACCTTCCAAAGTGCTGGGCTTAACAGCACGTGCTGCCTTAATTAGGTGCAGAACATGAACAAGCAAAGATAGTTGGACATTCAGCTCTTAGCAAAAGATGTAAACCCGATGAGCTGATATCGGAAACGTGTGCCGAAACTGTGCATCTTGCATTCGTGGTTACCGTCAGATTGAGCAGTGATTGCATCTAGTTACAGAGGCTCATAGTCGTTGGTCGCTAAGCAGAAGTATTCTTCTGTGTTGATGGAAACACTCCTCCAACCGCCAGTATATCCTAGATGCAATCTCATTGCATGGACTCCCCACAACCCGAACGATTTGACGAACTTTGCGGATGGTTGTATGCAACCTCATTTGCCGGAACTGCGATTGAGAGACGTCGATGGATCTCATAGCCTTATGATGGGCACATGCTGTGTATTAGCTTACAAGTAACATTGGAACCGACGGAGCATCGCTCGTTAGTGGTGCCACAGGCGTGGGAGAGTGAGACAGGCCTCCATAAACTACCTATCGAACGGTCGCAACAATCAAGCTTGTCTATCCTTGCAATGCAAGTGTCGTGCAGCCAAGATAACCGTATGGGTCTCCCTTGCCAGGAAGATACTCCTACAATACGGCCTTCAGTATCGGCTTGTTGATCAAAGCCTCTCTTTATCGACGCGGCCAAGGTATGTTATGCAGCGAAGGTAGCATTCCCCCACCTAGCAGCGAATCGTACAGTAGTCTACCCAATGCAACTGCGGTGAGCCCGGAGGATTTCGACGCCTTATCCTGCCCTGTTCTAAGCCTCTCGCCTAACTGTACTTCAATAATGAAGTGCCAGGGACTTTGGTGACCGCGTGACTCACCTACCGAAGCCTTGCGTCGGTCTTCCCATTTCGGAAATACTGGACGGGAATACGAGGGCTGTAATGCATGAGAAGATGCAAAAGAGAATACTATATAATGGAAATGCGAAGAACCTCAAGGGCACAATCTAGATAATCATGCTTGACAACGATTCGATTCGCCCTTGACAGCGAGCTAGCAATCGCTCGCAATGGCGCTCTCATTAGCACAGTCTTGTGTTCCCAGCACATTTTCTCCATCGCTCTTCGGTGCTGAAGTCCTTTCTCTCGACGCAAATCTTGTCACCAACTACAGTGCTTCCATCATCGAAGCTCTCCGATTCACCGCCCCCGCCGTCGAACTTCAAAATGCCACGTTTTGCAACGTGACTGTTACCTACACTCATCCAGGCCAAAATGACAACATCATCACTGAGGCATGGCTCCCCATGGAGTGGAATGAGCGCTTTCAGGCCGTGGGTGGCGGCGGCTGGGTCGCAGGGCGGTTTTTGATGTCGTACACTAACATGGGCGGCGCGATTGCGGATGGTTACGCGACGATTACTACGGATGCTGGTCTGGGAAGCGCTGTTGAAGCGAGCCCCTGGGCCCTGCTCAGCCCTGGAAACGTCAACTTGTACAATCTGCAGAATCTGGCGTCTGTATCCCTCAATGACGAGGTGTGTTGCACGCTTTTCATTTTCTTTGAAATGTTCTTCAAAAGCCTCTGTCTGAATTTCTGGCTGACATTTCAATCGTCTAGGCAATTATCGGCAAATCCCTCATTAAGAGTTTCTACGGACGTGAGCCAAAGTACTCTTACTGGAATGGCTGCTCCCAGGGCGGCAGACAGGGTCTCATGCTGGCCCAGAGATACCCCACCGCATACGATGGAATCGCTGCAGGGGCCCCTGCTATCTACTGGAACGAGTTCTTTTCCTACGCTCAGTGGCCGCAGCAAGTAATGAACGAGCTTGGCGAGTATCCCTACCCCTGTGAACTCGACGCTATTACCGCTGCTGCCGTCTCCTTCTGCGACGGACTGGATGGTGTTGTAGACAATACCATCGCGGATATCAAACAATGCCTGGATCGTTTCGACCCCTTCTCGGTCGTCGGAAACTCCGTTGCATGTGCCGAGACCAACGGCACTCAGAAGGTCATCAGCAAGGCTGCGGCAACAGTTGCTCGCGCCACTTGGCATGGCCGGACCACTGCAGACGGCAAGCAGCATTATCATGGTATTGCTCCCGGGTCGGATCTGACAGGCAATCAACCCACAACAAGCGGTGGCATTGTGGAGACGAAATGTGATGAGAAGGGTTGCGTGGGTGCCCCCAACTTGCTTGGGCCGCTCTGGCTTAAGCTTTTTGTGGCCAAGGATCCCAACTTCGACATCTCAAACCTGACCCGCGCCCAATATGATGCGCTTGCATACTCAGGTGGCCAACAGTATGGCTCGTTGGTTGACACAGCTGACTCCGACCTGACCAAGTTCCGCGATAATGGAGGAAAGATTATTAGTTTTCATGGACTGGTGCGTTGTCATTTATTTTTACAGTTCCGATAGAACGACCAAGCTAACCTACCGCCCAGGCCGATTTCATCATCCCCCCGGGAGCCACTGAGGAGTACTACAACTCCGTGGCAAAGGTTACGCCTGGAATACAAGATTTCTTCCGTTACTTCGAAGTTCCCGGTCTGGGCCACTGCTTCGGAGGTAATAGCGCACAGCCGAACAATCTTTTCCAGCAACTCCGCGACTGGGTTGAGAACGGTGAAGCCCCTGATCGCACTCCAATCAAGATGAGTCCCGATGGGAAAGAGGTTCACGAGCGGATTCTCTGTGCTTACCCTCAGAAACCTCAGTTAGTTGCTTCATGTGGTAACCCTGCGTTGGCTGAGTGTTGGTCTTGCTCAAGTTCTGAAGCCCCGGCTGTTTCTGCTCGCCCAGAGCAAAGGGACTTGTAATTTATCGATTTCTGTTACTTAATCATTAGGATTTAATTCTTGTATTTAACAGTTGTTATAGACTTATTTTGGAAGCTTTCGAGTTGTCTTGAACCTGCTTCTGCGTGTGACTTGTTCCCATATTGAAAGTGGAGTGGAGGGCAGTAAACATGAAAACAAACCTGGCAATTCACCCTTTTCTTTTCAAGAGTGAACTTTAAAACTGTAGTCAACACTAAAATATCACAAAGGCAAGTTGAATCACGTTGCTAGATACTAAAAGAGAGAGAGGGGTATTTGGCGGTCACTGAGACTCAACTGATCTGAAGGGTTGGTTTATCGTAGTCCAGCAGTCTGTCGATTTGTATCATTTGGAAACCATACATCCTGACCTATTGTCAGATTCATGTTCCTTGGATGTCATGAAAGTGAAACCATGCTGTGAATCCGCAGATTTGCTGAGGTCTCTCATTGCTTCTTAAGCCAAAGCACACATGCCTGCCTGCCACACCGAGACTTCCTAAATAGGAAAAAGGCTCTCGGTGTAGACCAGCCAACCGGGGTTCAACCGAACCAGCCCCGCACTCCGCACCGCGTCCCGCAGCCTTGCAGCTGCAGGAAAATTTCTTGACCAGACCCTTCTGGCACGCCGGCGCCAACACTCCACCTGCATTGTACGGACCATGAGAACGTCCGCCACTGCAACCCGACAATGGCGGCAGATACTCCCTCAAACCCGGCCGACAGTGCCGCAGCTGCCCCCGCGAGGCAGCCTGCTGATGCAGCAGCTGATGGTCAGCAAAATGGTCGGCAGCGTGGCGGTGGCCGCAACAATAACAAGAGACATCCGAAGCGCAAGCACGACGTCGGCCGCTCGGCGTGGAGGTAAGCGGTGCACTACCCTCGCCAATTGATTGTTTTAAACGCGCCAACACCAATGATTTCTAACCAGATGGCTATAGTCGCGAGGCGACTGATAAGCGCGGACGTAACAACGAGTACCAGGAGTTCAAGCGCAGAAAGGTGAACGAAGACGGCGAAGCCGTACAGACACTCAACCCCTTCACCGCTGAAGAGATTGCCTCCGAAGCCCGTCGGCCGAAGCGCAAGGTCGCTGTCATGGTGGGATACTCCGGCACGGGATATAAGGGCATGCAGATCAACAACGAGGAGAAGACAATCGAGGGAGACCTGTTCAAGGCTTTTGTCGCTGCGGGCGCCATCTCCAAGGCCAACGCCGACGACCACAAGAAGTCGAGTCTGGTGCGCTGCGCGAGAACCGACAAGGGCGTCCACGCTGCGGGTAACGTCATCAGCTTGAAGCTCATCATTGAGGACGAGAACATTGTTGAAAAGATCAACGAGGCGTTGCCTGAGCAGATTCGCGTCTGGGGCATCCAGCGAACCAACAACTCCTTCAGCTGCTACCAGTCCTGCGACTCAAGATGGTACGAGTACCTCATGCCGACGTACTGCCTGCTCCCTCCTCACCCCGACAGCTGGCTGTGGAAGCAGCTGGTCGAGAAGGCTAAGGAGAACGGATACTATGACGAATTCCAGGCTAAGCTGGCTGACGTCGGAAAGTACTGGGAAGAGGTTGATGAGAGGGATATCAAGCCCATCCTGGACAAGCTTGACCCCGATACCAAGGCAAAGGTACTTGAGAGGATACACGCCGACGAGAAGCCCGAGACAGAGGACTCCAAGGCTCCCGAGGAGAAGCCCGCCGAAGTCGCTACCGAGAACACCGATGCTACACCTGTTGAGAAGAGCGAGGGTGGTGCTGCTGCCGTACCTGCCGGTAGTGTCAAGCCCAGGAACCGTGACTTGACCCCGGTCGACTTCGCTCTCCGCGACATCAAGGCGGCCTATATCAATGCCAAGAGGGGGTACCGCGTCACCCCCGAACGCCTGAACCAACTGCAAGCGGCACTGAGCGAATACTGTGGCACGATCAACTTCCACAACTACACCGTGCAAAAGAGCTTCAAGGACCCCTCGGCCAAACGCCACATCAAGTCTTTCAAGGTCAACCCCAACACGATCCAGATCCGCGACACCGAGTGGGTTTCCCTCAAGGTCCACGGCCAGAGCTTCATGATGCACCAGATCCGCAAGATGGTCGGCATGGCCTCTCTGGTTGTGCGTTGCGCGACACCAGTCCAGCGTATCAGGGAGAGCTACGGCCCGACGAGGATCGCCATTCCCAAGGCGCCTGGCTTGGGTCTTCTCTTGGAGAGGCCCGTTTTCGATGCGTACAACCGTCGTGCCCAGGACAACTTTGGAAAGGAGACGATTGACTTCTCCAAGTACGACGATAAGTTGCAAGCATTCAAGGACAAGCAGATCTACCAACGTATCTTTGAAGTTGAGGAGCAGGAGAACACGTAAGTCGACTAACGCCATTGACGCGCCCAGGCAGAACTTGCTAACGCTGTCGATAGTTTCCACATCTTTTTCCAGCAAGTAGACAACTTCAGGTCCGATTACTTCCTGTGGCTTACTGCCGGCGGCATTGATGCTGGAGCTATCCGCACCGCCAAGGGAGAGAAGGAAGACAAGACTCTAGAGGCTGAGTTAGACGACGAAGATGAGGACCCCGAGGGTGGCGAGGGTTAAGCTCCACCCAATGAAATAGACATCACTGTAGTCATGTTATGAATATCCGTGTGGTAGAATAAAAAGCTTCAAAATTCTTTTCCGTCCTTGAATACGGGTATCAGCGTAGTCTTAAGTGAACCCATCGCGTCTAATTCCATCCCCAACGCCGTTTAAATGCAAGTCGTAGCCTCCTCTCCCAATGCATGCGTCATGTGCTGCCGGCACCGTTTGCAGTCGCCGCCGGCTGAGCATTTGCGGATCCTCCTTCACCCGCCGGAAGAGCAGTGGCGGCGGCGGCAGCAGCAGCAGCAGCAGCAGCAGCATCCTGTCTTCCGATCGGCGCCCATTTGCCGCCCACAGCAGACGCAAGGCCACCATACCGCGTCTCCTGGATGGCGTTGAGGAGCTCTGCGCAGCGCACGACGTCAGCCTGGAGCTTGTCGGCCTGGATGCGCGCGTCGCCCTCACCCTGGCCTAGCTTGCCGAAGAGCCAAAGCTCCTTGAGGCGACGGCTGAGAGCGAGGAGGTCCTTGATCGAAGTGTGCTGTTTGATCAAGTCAGCACTCACACATCTTTCGCGACATTCGTTTACGAGGTAGTGTTATGAGAGAACAATGTTGGAGCTGATATTCGGAGTAATGAAAGGAAAAAGGGGGGCGCGCATACTAGTCCCTCGAATTCCATCTGCATCGACATGCCCGTCACTGCGACGGTCTGCGGCTCGGCGTTCTTGCGCTCGCCTTCCGCTTGGATCGTCGCAAGCATGGTCAGCATGCGAAAGCGAGATAAAACGTCTGCTATTAGACGGTTGTGTGTGTCGAGGAGGTTTGAAGAATCTCGTGAGGTATCCATCTTGGGTGGTGTTGTGCGGGATGTGAGATGAGTTGAGGTTCAATTGAGAGCTTGATTGGGGGGGTTGAAGGTGGTTCTCGAAGTTGTTTGGTGACCGTGTGGGGGAGATTAGTGGGGCTCTCGGTGAAGGTGAGCTTGGGCCACTTTGGTTGACCGAGAGCAGATGGCTGAACAGAAGCTGCCAGGTTGAACAAGAACATTTACAATGGAAATGAAAGTCTTTGTTGATCTTTGTCAATGTAACAAACACGGACCTAATATGAGAACATTATGCATATAGTTAAATCAAATTCTTTCTTAATTGCGGTTCATGTCCATTGATCATCGTTCAGGTATTGACAAAGCGAACAAGACTTTCTTGTTCAGGCCATCTTAGGCCCAACATGTGCTTAATATTCTTGTATATAAGGCGGCAAGATTAGTCTTTCGAAATAATTATTCCAGCAACATCATTCAGCACATTCAATCTCAATCACAAGTCCAACAAAACACTTCAGAAGCAGTAAGTTCTCCATCACCAAAGAATCGCTTACTTCATTTTTGCAGAACCACAAACTTGGATTCTCAATGGTCCACTCACGAGACATCTTCCATACCGCAAACCAGTTGGACAACTTCAACTTTACCGAATCTGAAGTTATGACGGCCTCGAAGACCAACAAAGCAACGTTGGCAGACCTGCCCGTTCCACCCAACACCCCCAATACATTAACTACACCACGTGCTACAGCAAAACGGTTTGTCCTTGACGAAGAGAATCTCGTTCCTGATATAACCATTTTGAAAGGCATCTTTGGCGACACTCTTTCCAAGTGCCCCAGATTCAAGGTCATCACCAACGACGTTGATGCCTGCACTTTTGTGGTGGACCTGGAGGGCGAATCCAAGTCGCCTGAAAGCTTCCCTACGAAATTGTCAATTCGAATCGAAGCAGCTCAGCCCAATAAACAGTTGTTTTGCTCAGCCGCTTTCCAAAAGATTGCTCATCGCAGGCTGCCACATCTTATTCCCAAAATTTGGGGCGTAGGTTCTACGAAAGCCAGCGGCGGCCGTGAGCTGCATTATATCCTGAGCCAGCATTACCAAGAGGACGTCGTCACTGTAGAGTCCATATGGGAAAAGCTCAATAACTCGGCCAAAAGGGCTCTCATGGCTGATGTTGTCAGCACTATGTCCGACCTCCAAGGCATTCGCTTGCGTGAACTCGACAAGGAAGACTGGGATATCCCAACAGAGAACCCGCTAACCTCTCAGGATACTGAGGATATGCCAGCCGTTGGAAACTCCCACGTCGGCTGGTTCAAACATATCAAGTCGTTTCTGCTGGAAATATTGGACCCTGGCAAGGCCAAATACGGTCTTGCCGCCGACGACGAGGGCTCGGTCGTACTCAGCACAAACTTCTCAGCAAATGGCATCCCCAATCCGCAGAACATCGAATTCACGTCAGATGACCTCGCTATCCTCCAACATGCCTGCGTCCTGTGCCACAACGACATCGAGCCCCGCAACATTCTCGTCCGTTTGAAGTGTACTGACTTTGGACTAGGCTGTGAGCTCGTCGCCATTACCAATTTCGACTCCGCAGGCTTCTTTCCTTTCGCCTACGAGACCGCACGCAAGGACACGGATTTGGGTAAGAAGAATAGGCACGGAGACTGGTACGAACTCTACAAGGATTTCACGCGTTTGCTTCTGCGCGAACATGCGGACCGTAATTTCTTGAAGATCGAGGAGAAGCTTATTAAAGCAGTTGTCCTTGCGGATCGCGGACAGAGACGGAGCCAAGCCTTCAATGTCGGTAACCGTGTGCAGGAAAAGTGGTTGGAGCGCGAAGGATTCAAGAGAAGTGATAATGCACGGGTAGGTTTTGTGAAAAGTGACGTTGCGACTAGAGTATTTACGCAGGCTGATGATGATAAGTTGGAAGAAGAGGCATTGAAGGAGCTTGGGTACATTTGAGTGCGAGGAGTATGAACTTCGGGTTGGCTTTACGATACTGGTCTAGATCCCATCTTTCCTGGTACCTGATCTCTATAGATTTGTTTCCTCGCTAATTCTCTGCTTAGTCTTTTCAATAGGATGAAACACGGCATATTTATTTTCAGCGGCTAACTAGAGTGAACTATTCAGAACTTTTAGACAAAGCAACACTGTGATAGGTGGTGAGCTGACATCTGTGGGACGGAGTAGCTGCTTTGGTTTTTGGGCGACGGATGATCCGCCGGAGCATCGGATGGTCAAGCACTTAACTCCAGTGCAGCAGAACACCGCTGGGCCATTTTAGGCTAAGTGCTTAGTGCTAATTAGTGTATGGGCGAAAACACAACCAGGGTAGGGGATTACCTCATCCTTCAGAAACCCTCAAATGACAGGAGTAACTCTTCCTTAAGGTAATCTGATATCCGCAGTCTCTTCTCTTATTTAGCACACAACTAGCACCTGTATCGAAGACGGATATTCTAATCATGACTCAGTCAGAACTCCGACAGCCCAGAGAGTCTGCAAGGTCTCGTGAGAACGGCTTAGAACTTCGGCCCCTACCAAGCCCGAGCCGACGCCGCGATAAACCGCAGCTATCATGTAACCTCTGTCGACGGCGCAAGTAAAAAATGCCTTTCTATTTTATCAATGCACCTTTTTGCGATCTTCAAGCACTGATACCCAGTTTCCTCTTTCCAGAACACGATGCAATCGGCAGCAGCCATGCTCCAATTGCTCAGCACGCGGGCACCCCTGCGTATATGCAGAGAACCAGGCTCCCACATCAATGGTGCAGGAATCGAACAAAAACACGACGCTACATGATCGTCTTGTGCACCTGGAGCGTCTTGTTACAACTATGAGGCCGACAAGTAGAACTAACAACGACATTAACTCTCAGGCGACCATACTCAGCGCACCTCAAAGTCCCGATGCTACAATAGATGACAGGTCAGAAACTGGGAGCTTGCGTGTCGGCGCTTCACAACAGTCTTATGTTGGAGGCGACCACTGGGCTGCTATTTTGGATAGCATTGCTGACTTAAAGGCGCACTTTGACCGAGAGGAGGAGGCCAAACTAGTTGAACATCAAGATTCGGCTGTTACGGCCGTAGAAGATGAAGGGAGTTCGGAAATGGATTCATCTCAGAGGCCCCGTACAATGTTGCTCTATGGCTGCCGTCCTGCTCGTTCACGGGCGGAGATTCTGTCCGGCCTTCCTCCTAAAAGTGCAGTGGATCGCTACATTTCTCGGTACTTCAATCAACTTGACCTTGTAGCCTCCTGTAAGTTCACCACATGAAGCAAATACTCACGAGTTGGTGGATTGATATGTTCCCATTTAGCTTCAACGCACGCACCGACCTTTCTACGAGAAGTGAGTCGGATCTTCTGGACGCATAGTGTTTTCTCTAAAGCTAACAGGATCAGTACGAGGCTTTTTGGGCCGACCCGTCCAGGCCATCGATCATGTGGATTGGCCTGCTTTATAGCATGATATGTCTGGCTGTGATTGCTTCAGATTTAACCCTGTCCCCAGAGAGTATTGAGGTGGAACAACAAAGACTTCAGTTAGACTTGTACAGGGAAAAGGTCGTCCAATGTCTTATCATGGGGAAGTATACCCAAGGCGGCCCCCATGCGCTGGAAACCTTTCTCAACTACGTTTACATCGAATTTCGAATTCATCCTGATGCCGATAAAGACGTTTGGTATCTTCTTGGCATCGAAGTCAACCTAGCCAAGCAGATGGGTTACCACAGAGACCCGAAGCACTTTCCACACATTACACGACGAGAGGGGGAAATGAGACGAAGAGTGTGGGCCACTGTATTGCTCAGTGATTGTCTGATATCTAGTCAAATGGGAATGCCCCGTATGATCACCAGCAGCCAATTCGATACGGAGGAGCCTCGAAACCTCAACGATACAGACCTTGACGGAGATATTTCAGAGCTACCTCCTGCTCGCCCGGAGACAGAACATACAACAGCGTTGGGCATAATTGCTCGGCGACGAATGCTGATAGCACTGGGGGCGGTCTCTGATATCACGTCGGCATTACAGGCCTGCAGCTATGCCGAGGTCATGAAAGTTGATAAGATCTTGAATGAGGCGGGCAAAAGCATACCGCCGCCCTTACAAATGAAGCCGATGGCATCCAGCGTGACGGACTCTCCGCAAACTATCATGTCACGTCTGTTCCTCGGCCACATGTTTTACAAAGGCCAAATCATGCTTCATCGGAAGTTTCTGTTTTTGGATTCGCCTTCGTCACAAGATGACGTATTCGAATACTCGCGCAAGGCGTGCTTGCACGCAACTTTGGGAACTTTGAAGATTCAACAGGTCCTGGATGAAGAGACCTGCCCAGGGGGCCAGCTTCAGATGATGCACTGGAGAGTTGGATCCATTATGAACCATCATTTTCTAACGGCCACGATGATACTATGCTCCATGGTCCATCGGAAGAAGATGCTTGGCTGTGAAGAAGAGATCATGACCGCCTTGCGAACTTCTAGGCTTATCTGGATGCGAAAAGAGTCAAGCTCGAAAGAAGCAAAGAAGGCTGCACAGGCAGTTAGTATCGTGCTTGCTAGAGCAGGAGGCCCGAGGTTTGATATGGGATTTACGCCTGAGAAACCCGACAATCTGCGGACGGAGCACGCGCCATTCGAACAAATGTCAACTTTTCACAGGAGTAACTTGGAGTTCGACGACCATCAAGGGTTGGAAGAGGATGCAAGTGTCGATCAAGGTATGATTTAACATTTGTGATGATGAAAATGGGACTAATTTTCGCGACTGGTTAGGTGAATTTTTAATACCTGAGCTGAGTTTGGGTTATGAGAATGACGTCCAGAATATTTCTTTCAACTTAAACAGCGTCTCGGAGGCGTCGGACTGGATGTTCCTCAACAACATGGACTTGGAATATTGAGGTAAGGAGCACATAATCATGGCTGATATGGCCCACGAGCATTCTGCCTGGAAGGAGAATTTGAAAAGCCATGAGTAAGGCCTAGTCGTAACCATAATGCAGAGCCCTAAATTGTTTTATAATGTTTATAATTGAATACCAAAATGTTGCTTCGAAGTTGATGCCGTGTTGCCTCCAACTGGTCATAATTGGCACTGCTAGTGAATACTAAGGCAAGCAAAAACAAAAGTGAGAGGCAAGGAACTAGGTAAGTAGCAGTTAGGAATGAGGAAGATGGCATTTCGAAAGGGCATGCGTTGCCTTCAATGGCGAACCAACTTGCTAGCTACGTGAGATGATGCTCATTATTGATATTCCTGAAGGAAACAAAAACTGTGGTTGTTCAATAGGCCTGTAGAGATGGTGGGGCTAAGGAAAGAAACCTGAAAAAGAATAGCTAAAAAGGAGCAGACAGCGCATGGTATTACCATGCAGTATTCCTTGCAGTTCAACCTTGAGTTCCGTCATCACATCGACAAACAAACTGCCGTCCGTCTTCAGATGCCTGAAATACCTGAAAACCCACCTCCAGCACTATAACCGGTACTTCCGCTACTGTAAGTCATACCTCCACCACTGTAACAGGCACTTCCACCAGTATAGGTGGTTCCAAGTCCATATCTAGCAGTACTTGCACTCGTATAGGGAGGTTTCGAAGTTGAGCTACTAGCACTCTGAGACGAAGCGGTATTCTGAAGCGTAGTCTGATGCACGGCTTTGTATGGAGCTGGAGCAGCCGATGGAGTTGAAAGAGTCGATTGTCTCATATTATCAAGATGTAAAACTTTGAAACTGGGCGGATCAGCAGGTTGGCTCACAGCAGGGCAAGGCTTGTCCTGCTGGGCATTGTGTCTTTTGGACAAGAATGGTAGACACATTATGGCAATAACAAAAGATTATACGAAGCTTCACCTCATGTATGATGCTTCGTTTTTGTAAATAATGCCAGACCGAGGCGACGAAGGTAGCAGGTTTATGCTGATCGGTATGAAACAATGAATATTGAAATTGATATTGTTATGAAGGCAAGAAATAGCAAGTGTCCTGAATCCAGGTTTTATAGCTCACAGACTGAAAAGAAATTTAATGTGTGTTTAGAACGCAGGCAAGGTATTTGACTTCACCCAAAGCCAGCCATCTGGATTGGTAACTTGGTTCGGCCATTTAGAGTCGGGTTGACCATAGAAATGACCACTTAAAAGACAAGCAGTTACATAATTGCACTAAAACCTAGGACTTCAACCCAAAATTGCACTTTGCGAACGCCACCTCGTGCCATTGAACTACAGCCCAATGATGCATAGTTCAAAAAATGTAGAAAAGCCAGGTGACTGGCCACGAGTGTGGGTGCTCGTAGTCTTTTCTAGTCAGCTATTACAAGGACCAGAACGACAGAAGAGCTGGGTTTAGACCGGCACTGGGGTCAGCCAATGAATTACGCCCCCAATCACACAAATTCGGGGCAGCCCAAACACAACACTGCCGGCAGTAAGCCCATCCAGGGTTGGTTGGGTGTGGAGGTAGGCCAATCAAAGTACCTGCCTGACAGCCCGGGGGTGCAAAGTCCGGGTTGTTTAGGCAGACTGGTAGGCAATTCGTAGGCCTCCTGGCCGGCAATCAATCATCAGACGTTCGGCCGAAAGTTCATGAGCTATCACAAAATGTCACAATAGCTGCATTGCTGCCTACATTGATGGCACTCAGACAGGCATAAGATATGGTGAACATATAAGTATCACTCCCCTGGTTAGTCCGCTAATGCAACCTCACATATGGGGAAATTGGTAGAACATCACATGAAGTCCTGCACGTAGCTGAGACTGAACCTCGGAAGCGTATGCTGTCGGCAGCCGAGAGTTGCCTAACTCAAACAATAAGCTCTGCGAGGGTGAAAAGCAGGGTTAAAGATTGAGCCTTTCTATATTTCTTTGGGTTTCCCCTTTTTTCTTCTCCGAATCTTGCCATTTCCTGATAATGAGTCTTTGACTAAAGTCGGATAGTGCAGGGCTGACCACAGAATCTGAATTTGGAATCAAGAGCCAACATGTCAGCATATACCGAGGTCTTTGGTGCAATTTCTTGTTACTTTCGTAGTTCATATTCCCTCCACAACCCAGTCTCTAATATTGGGCTTGAACAATTCATTATCGAGATATGAATTCCATGCGGTCTCCATCAACAGGACGTATCAAAGGGAGGAACATTGACATGCCACCTTCATATTATATTTTACGAAAGAGTCACCCCTAGGGGAGTTTTCTTGTTCTTGGAATCGGCTCTGTCGCTTCCTAGCAAGAACTTAGATTACTTGTTGATTTCATAACTGACTGGTTCAGGTGCTTGGTGATACGCATCCGCGTTGGCTTGTTTCGGAAAGAACAGGTATATGTGACTTACTAACCTGGATCCAAAAGGAATCCTCTTGTACTTGAGTTCTCCGAGACCCAATGAATGAACTAGAAGATCATCTTTTACGTTTACTTCGAATGGCGAACGCCCAGGTTGGTCACTCGAACAGAGCTACGGCGGGTAGAGTACATGATTACTTAAAAAGTGGTATATTTTTGCTCGCGTTCTGTACAACCAACTCGTCTGACTATCCATACTTCCAAAAAGTTCCTAAGATTTGTTGAAGCGAGCAGTAACTTCCGCGTTATCCAGCCTGTGTTCTGGCATTGTGGCTGACCAAGGCCTAGTTTATCGGAACGCCGTCCCTGTTGCGCTCAATTCGCTGCTTCTTGGGTTTGTCTGGATCAGATGCGAAGATCTTGCCCAAGAAGCTCGACTTGACTGAGTTTTCCATCCTTGTTGTCATAGATGGTCCCACCAATTCTTCCTGACGTTGTTTCTCGGCTCGCTTTTCCGCTTTCCTGGCTTCTTTGAAGTCTGCAGGTCCTGGCTCAAACTTGGGCATGGGGCCACGTTCAGAAGGCCAACCGCCCGACGCCTCCATGCCGGCTGTGAATGGGATTCCGGACATTTTTTGATCAAGTGCTTGTTTCTTCCGGGGTTGGTGCTTTGGCGTTGGATGATATGGCGGTGTTAAGAGGTAGCTGGATTGTTTTGAGCTTGTGGTATTTTGAGTTATTACAATGTATGTTCAGCCAAAAGCAAAAATGGCAGCGGCTTTGGTCTTCCTAAATAGTCCAATTTGAGTAGGAGGAATTAGTCTTGGCCTCATGACGCCAGGAGCATGGCTGAGCTTGGAGTCTCACTAATCTAATCAATTGCATCAGGGAAGGATATGCGCTGTGCCGCACAACGCCATGCTGATGCCAAGGCTACCAGGAACGAAGAGCCGTGGTTGGACCAATTTGACGTCAGTTCCAAACCATCAGGGCCATGTGTACCTTTCCCGGTACCTAGTAGTTAGGCCCTTAGTCTCTAAATGGCTGGCGTGACTAGTTTAGACTGCATCTTGTCTCACCCCCGCAAGATTGGGCATCTAGGACTCCAGTCTGTGTTGTAGTTTTTTCCTAGCAGTGTAACATGGTAGCAATCAGTGTATGCCACTTTCTGGACGCTGGCAAATGATGGTCTGCGGATTGGAGATGTCACCGGACTCCCTGAAGACTGGAGTGGGCAGCCAGATGCCATAATGGCAAGTAACCCATGTATTCACCGTATGTAAATAGAAATGTCCTTCTGACTTTGGAATACTAAATAGATACTTTCTGATTACCGATGCTTGCTAAATAATACCTAGTTGATTCATGTGCAAGTGCCCCGATGAACTTCTCAAGAGTGGGCCGTCTACTCAATCTACTAACTGTCCGCCAACAATCTTTTACTCAATCTTTCGAGGCGTTAAGTGAACGTTCAAGGGTCCTTTCTTCCACAATCCGTACAACTCCTGCTCCGTCCAATTTGTGCTGTCACTGGCGACCTTCATATCAAAATTCCAAACCACCCTGGCAAGGATGACTCGCATCTCTGAATATGCAAGGCTGTATGGCGTCCATAATTAGCCACAGTTTCAGTTTTAGAGTTAGGAAAACTTACTTGCGGCCGATACAGTTACGAGGCCCAAATGAGAAGGGCTGAAGGGCGCTCCTGTCGTCATTCTCAAAGCGTGGGTCACCAAGCCACCTTTCCGGGATGAAGGAGTTGGGCTCGGAGAAGTACTTGTCGTTGTGATAGATGGACCATTGAGATACCATGACTTTTGTCTGATTTCATGTTAAAACTTTCTATCCGACAGATCATCTAGTTCAAGTTCGAGGATTTCAACTTACACCTTCCGGCACGTATCTCTCACAGATGTAATCCCCGCCAGGTTTCACAACTCTGGTAAGACCAAAAGGCACTACAGGATAGACTCGCATGCTTTCGTCGAGAACAGCGAGCATGTATTTCAGCTTCTGAACGCTGAGAACATCGATTTCTTTTTCGCAGTTAAAAGATGTGCGGACTTCTTCTGCGAGCTTCGCCATGACTTCAGGGTGCATGGTAAGGAAGTATGTGACGCCAGAGAGAACCGATGCCGTGGTTTCAGAGCCGGCAATAATCAGGGTATCTGCTGTCTGCTCGATCTCAGGTTTTGACATAGCCTGCAACCTCACGTTAATTCATTTGGAGAGTTGAAGGGCACTATCCATGACGTACCAACGGCCCTTCTTTCATCATCATCGATTGAACAAAATCAGGCCTTGACTCTCCCAGCGCCATGCGCCTCTGAACCTTTTCTTTGCTGAGTTCGTTGTGAAAACGCTGCTTCTCTTTCAAATCCTTCGGCATAAGCCACTTGACGAACGGACGCGTGAGAGCGTAACGTTGAAACTGGTTTCTGTAGATGCCGGCATGGATATTGTCAAATATCACAGAAACCCATGGATGGTAATCGGAGCTCTCGAGGCACCCAAAAGGCTCGCCGAATGCCAAATCGCCAATGATGTCGAATGTGGTCCAGTTGTACCAAGAGACCATATTCAGAGCCTTGCCTCCGTCATCACAGTTCTCGTGCAGACGCTGGATTAGTAAGTCAACCTGGGTCTGGATCAAAGGCTGCTGCGCGATCATGCTCTGGGCCGAAAAGCCATGCGCCAACACGCGACGAATGCGGGCATGGTCCTCGCGATTTGCGTTGATGATGCTATGCGGCTTATAGCGCGCGTTTATGGGGTCTTTGTAGTTTTCTGCGCCTCCTCCGCCTTTACTATGGCCCATCAGGTCTTTGAAGGCGGACGGATTGGCAAAGTCCACAGTGTCTGGGGCTAGACGGACCACAGGTCCATATTTGTCGTGAAGAGCAGCCAGTGTCTTATGAGCATGACCAGAGCATATCATACGTGTTAAGGGAAGACGAGTGACGGCGTTGATTTTGGGACCTGGGAAACTGCTGAGGGGGTGAAAGTAAATGTTGTAAATTGCCCTGTAGACCAGTCTCAGAATTCCCTAGCGAGCTTTGTCAGTGCTTTCTCGACAGGAACAAAACAAGCTTTGGGAGCAACAAGATAGCACCTACCAGGGCAAATAGGAAGAGGGGTAAAGCCACTGCCAGACGCATGTTGCTAAGGCCCGTGATTTCGTTTGGAATAATCATGTTGGCTGTAGATGTTGATTTTCTTGTCTTTACACTCCTCTAGATGATGAATAATATCCCAAAAAGGATGCGAGTGAAAAAGGTAATTCTACCAGCTACATCGACAGCGGGTGATGCTGATAATATATGCCCCAATCATGCAAGCACACGACTTGTTTCCGGGAGCAAGCACGCCGAGGCAGCAAGTACCATTTCTACAACCGGAGCCGAATCCGCACCGGGAATACCGGTGTTGTGAAGAGCCAATCGAGCAAAAGACTACCCATATCCTTTTCGTCCAAATTTCTACGCTGACGTTGCGCTCTGTGGCTTTAGTAAACGTGTGTGGTAGTAACGCAGTGTGCACAAGGGGCTTAAGCGCTGTGGCATTTGGGATGAGTGGAACAGCATTGTTTCACACCAGGAGTTGCCACTGATACAGGATGCAACCTGTACGGGCTGGTGACCAAATGCTGGTTATTGTTGCACGGATTTCGGGTTCTCGATGCTCTCCGGTGACATCAGATGGTTTGCCCCCTTGCGTACATTCAATGAGATAACGAATGCGAGAACGCAGCCCCACGTTAGAAGTGATTTTGCGAAAGTTGGAGTTCGCATTGATGGTACTGAATGAATTAGATGACAGCTCCTGAAGAAGTATTCCGATGACGAGCGGCGAAAATTGAGACCACCATTGCAAGACCTCCGCCCCTTGAATATCGAACACAATCGGTGATGCGGGAACCTGTCGGGTGGGACGCGGAGTTAGGGGCCCTGATTCCGATCCAGTCGGGTTTGAGGCCTTTTCGGCGACGGCTCTATCCCGTCCATCACGCAAAACACTCAATGCTGTGTCACTTCGGCAAAGCACAGTTTAAGTACTGGCGAAGCCGAGCTCGGTGGTGTGGACCAAGATTGTACTCAAGACGCTTTCTCAAGATTCCGCATCACGTATGGGGATATTATATGACGTGGAAAATTACAAAAAGTCTATGTGAGGGCCATGGACTTGCTTTCTGAGGTTACATATTCGAGTTTATTGTGCTTTCGGATTCAGCTCCGCACTCTTTGGCATATGCTTAAGTACAAGCATTCCCTGTGAGGAAGCTTTCCACGTTGAAACAGGTACGGGAAGGGACTCACATTTGACAGTTCCTAATGCTTATTTTGGCGCATTGTACACATATCAAATAATTGAGCCAAAAGACGGGCTAGATACAAGTTGTGTAAGACCAGAGCAATCAGAAGTAGCAAGTCCATCCGATAACTGGGCACTACCTTAGGCACAAGAACGAACATGCTGTCCTCATTCGCTCTAACTATGGAATACACGTGGCAAGTAAGATGGTGAAGGATACTGAACAGCATCTTTAGAAAGCGTAATATGCTTCCTGCGGGCTACAAGCTGCTTGTAACCGCAAGTGACATGACACAGGCTGCGGTACCGCTAGTCAAGTGTGTATTAACTTAGCATTATGTCATGGAAGGACTGTATCAGCTTATTCAGAACATGCGTCATCGGTTCTCAGGGCTAAAGCTGACTCACGCAATGTGCTTTAATTCCATCACAACCGAGAGGTTACCTCTTTTGATATGTCACGTCTCCCCAGTTACGGGCACTTCCTGTTGAGAACATACTCTTCTTGACCTTTTGCACCTCCGAAATTAGACCAGCTGCATCTTGAATTCTTTCTTTTATGCTAGTAAAGCTGGGCACTCTCAAACGTGACGGGCCGGCAAAGAAGGTGAAGGCATCTGCATATAATGATCTAGTAGAAACCCTCATTTCAGGAAGAATTGTGGTAGTGTTTTGACAGATCTTATAAATTTTGTCAAGTGATGGGCAAGCCGCATTCCATCACTATCAAAGCAGCGACTCGTGCCAGAAAACCCCTTTAACAGTCACTGTTGATCAGCTCCTGGGCTCCTGCTACTGCTACCAACCAAGCAGTATTATCACTTTAGTGACTGTAACAATCCTGTACTCAGCACTCAGCACTCAGCGCTATTATGAATTGGGGTGATCCAGTACTGCTTACCTTTATGCAGACTTAGCTGTGGCTGCTACATCCTTTCATAGAAGAAGTTGACCACCTCAGGGTGCTGGTTCGCTGCGGCTACAAAGAGCGGCGTCAAGCCTCTGTTGTTTCTAGTTGTGATATCTGCACCGTGTTCGACTAGTATTTCGACCACTTTTACGTGGCCATTTGCCGACGCCACGAGGAGTGGCGTCCATCCATCATTATCGCTAGCTGAAACATCGGCATTTTCTTGTATGAGTAGCTTGACTATATCGAGATGACCTTGTCCCGAAGCTAGGTATAGCGCCGTGACTTCATTTTTGCTTCGAACAGAATGATCGGCGTGATGGCGGAGGAGGAGGGTAGCTACCTTACGGTGCCCCTGACGACAAGCTCCATGGAGTGGCGTAAACCCCTGGCTATCCGTCTTTGTGACATCTGCTCCCTTTTTGAGGAGAAGCTTGACTAATTTATAATGACCATGTTGGGAGGCTAAGAATAGTGGCGTTGTACAATCATTATTCCCAGCCAAGATATCAGCCCCCTCTCGGAGTAGAAGTCTGACAATCTTATAATATCCGTTTGCCGAGGCGCCATGAAGCGCGGTAGCTCCATAAATATCTGTTATCGAAAGATCTGCATGATGATTAAGTAGAAGTTTAACTATTGCAGAGTGCCCTTCTGCTGAAGCTTCATGTAGTGGCGTTGACCCATCCTCATCAACAACGTTGACGTCTGCTTTCCCTTGCTCAAGCAGCAACTTAACCACATCTATATGACCATTGTGGCAGGCTGAATGGAGCGTTGAGAATTTATACTTATTACAAACCGTGATGTCAGCATCATTCTCAAGCAGCAGCTGAACTATATTGACATGTCCGTGTAAAGAGGCCATGTTCAGTGATGTCCACCCATCATTGTGCAAGACATGGACATTGGCGCCCTTCTCGATTAGCAACTTAACCACGCTAACGTGCCCATTCATGGAGGCGGCATGAAGTGGTGTTAATCCATCTATGTTTTGAACTGCGATGTCTGCATGCTCATCAAGAAGTAATTGCACTGTCTCGACGCTCCCAACAAGTGAGGCAAGATAAATAGGTGTAAACTTATGATCAGTCCGAGCTAAGACATCAGCTCCATTTTCGAGAAGCAACCTCGCGATCGTAACATCGCCTCGAGACGATGCTATATGAAGTGGCGTCAAGCCTTCTTCATTCCTAGTCGCAGTATCAGCTGAGTTATTTAATAATAACTCGACTGCTTCGCTATGACCTCCAGAGGAAGCCGCAGAGAGTGCTGTCCAGCCGTTCTTATCCTTTATCCCAGCGTCAGCTTTCATTTGGAGTAGCAGCCGAGCCACTTCCGTGTGACCGTTTTTCAATGCCAGGAAGAGTGCTGTTTGCCCTTCGTTATCCTGGGTGTCGACGTCGGAACGTTTGTCCAGCAATAGCCTAACCAGCTCGAGCAGTCCATTTTCTGCAGCTGATGAAAGTGGCGTCCTACCGAACTTGTTGCAGATCCTCGCGTCAGCCTTGTTTTCGAGGAGAAGCTTCACCACTTCGGTGTGGCCCCTTGTCGTTGCTGCATGCAGTGGTGTCCATCCGTCATAGTCGTAACTGGCGATGCAAGCTCCCTGATCCAACAGTAGTTTTGCAATTTCGAAGTGTCCCCTTCGAGAAGCTGCGTGAAGACACGTGCGCTGATCAATATCTGCAGCCTCGATATCGGCCCCTCTTGCAAGCAAGACACGAACAACCTCAATATGCCCGTTTAAAGCAGCTGCACAGAGTGGTGTCCTTCCAGATTCATTAGAAATCTCGATATCATCGTTGCTTTCAAGAAGCAGTTCGATGACCTCAGTGTGTCCTCCTCTTGAAGCACTGTAAAGGGGTGTTCTTTTGTAATTGTCTTGAGCTGCGGTACACGCATGGTGCAAGAGGAGTATTCGGACAACGTCAGCGTGCCCACAGGTTGAGGCCGCGTGCAGTGGGGTTAGTCCATCATTGTCAACCGCTGTAACGTCAGCTCCCGCTTTCAGAAGCAATGAGACTATCTCTGCATATCCGTCACCCGAAGCGTAGTGTAGTGGTGTCTTGTTTTTGTTACAGCGGGCGTTAATCTCAGCATTTCCGTCAAGTAGTAGTTGAACCGCTTCAATATGGTTACTGCTCAAGCATACATGAAGTGGGGTAAGCCCGTTGTCGGTGCCAGCCATGACATCTGCATTTGCCTCGAGTAATATCCGGATGATTTTGCTGTGTCCATTCCACGAAGCCATGTGGATTGGGGTCCAACCATCACCAGCGGCAATTGTAGGATTTGCACCTGCCCTCAGTAAGATGTTGACTGGTTCTATGTGACCAAAGGCGGAAGCCAAATGCAATGCCGTGAGGCCAGAAGACGTCCCCTCGTCTACATTGTACTTGTGTACATCCAACAAGTGCTTTAAAAGTTTGGGGAATTCCAAACGGACAGAATAATGTAGAGGCCCGCCTCGAACTACTGTTATACTTTGTTCGTCCGCTGGTGTGATGCTACGTAAGTCATACCAGTTTTGCCAGAGTTTATACACATGGTTGTCGGGGTCAAGAAGGGTTTCCATGAACGGCATTAAGCTATCATTAGTTTCGTCCGCTCTCATGGCGTGCTGAAACCATGCATTTGCTGCGTAGTCGCGAAAAGCATTCTCCACGAAGGTGCCATCCTCCGGGATGTTATTATTCCACACACGGGTATGACTTATATATAGGAGGCAGAGTTTCGCGAGAAGTGTGTTTTGAAGAGCCTCGTGGGAAGATCGCAGAGCCTCGTTTGCCTTCAATGGTATCAGCTGAACAGATAGTTTACCAAGCACATATTGCTTGACAGTAAAATGGGCTAGATGGACCGTTCCTAGTCCAATTCCGCCTTGATTATCAGTCCTTCGAATTTCCACTAGGGAACCACAAGGGCCGTGGATCTCGTCGTTAACAAATTCGTTATTGACATACAAAGGCAGATCTTCATATGCGACATTTCCGTGGTTTTCGTCTATCAGTGTCGCTTCGGTGATTTCGTTGACAGTCAGAGGTCTTGTTGCAAAAGCTGTCCAACGTAAGATGGAAAAAGCGCGATCCTTTACAGGTTCGGGTTGTTGTTCAATGGTGCTCCAAACTCGCTCGTATGCGCGGTTGAGACCTAGTGGTGTCTTGTCAATAGCATCCTCAAGCCATTTTGTCCTTCTGTTTGCTTTCAATGAGTTCTCATGTAGTTTAAGCCAGAGAAACAAGCCGTCACACCGATCAGCCATTTTCCTGGAAATAGCATCTTTTGTCGCTTCGTCCTGCGATTCTAACTTCCGATTGACTATACTTCTAGAATAGAGCTTGATGTCGGGTTGGCTATGTTCCTGGGAGACCCTCAGCTCGAGGAAACCTGTCGCCTTGCTAACGACTGCTCCAATTTTTGGCTCCGTCCGAGTGACGAGCATTAATCGGGTGTCAGTGTTCGCAATGGCGTCCAAGACCCTGTGGAGAAACTCGTCGATAGAGTTATCGTCGCCTTGGCTTCTTGCCATCCAGGCGCATTCATCTAACCCATCCAAAACGAATATGCAGCCTGGCACAGTCTGAATGATTCCTCGGAAGAGATTGACAATCGTCTCTCGCGACGCCGTCTGCTCGTTTTGTGATGCCCATCGGTCGCGGACATAGCAGAAAGCAGTCCTGTTGTGGGATATTACCTGGTCGATCCAGACTCTAACGGTTACGAATGGATCATCGCGACCGTCAAAGTCTGAAGAAAGAAAGAAGTGCGCAAGAGGAGTTTCAATCGTCGATAATAAGTGCTCTATCACTCGGGCACAAAGTACCGTCTTGCCAAACCCAGCAGGCCCGTTAATCCATAATAGACTAGGGCTGTTCGACGATAAGGTGGATGATAGCCAGGTCTGGAACGCAGGTTCGTTCAAGATCCAGTCGCAAGTGCCCCTTAATCTTTTGCGGGTGGACTCAATGTAGATATCATTTGGGTTATGCTGGCCTAACCATGCGCGTATTCTCTTACGTTCCTCAGCTGTGGGTGTTAACATCAGCACTTAAGGATATAAAGAGAGCTTTAGTAGTCATACCTTCACTTTCTTTCTCTACCTTTGCAAGGTACTCCCGAAATTCCGAAGCCCATGTCGCGTCACCAAGAGGATCACTCACTAGAAATAGACAAACTGATCACTAATACCGTCGTTAGAAACAAGGGGTATACTGACTAACCTTGTTGATGCCCTGTCTTGCTGCCATCTGTCGATGTCTCAAGTATGATGTGTTTGCCCTTTGTCCTATCTGGAGGGATCAAGTCGTATAAGCTGTCCACTAGGGTGCTGAAGTGTTCGAGTTGAGACGTGCGTTTCTTCTTCTCTCGAAATACCCAATCTAGTTTCACACGAGTCGATTCTTTTGCCGTCACCCGATGAGGCTGCAACAAGCCTAGGGAAGAAAGCTTGTCTTCCGCAGGTTTAGCGTTAAGCTGGGATGTAACCGCATCGTCATCATCGCACATCCTTTGCACATGCCGCAAAATCTCTTCAACGGTGGCTCTTGTCGACGTATCCTCAAGTGCGGGGTGGTGCTGTTTTGGGAGCTTCCCGTGCTGAATACCGACTGCGGAGCCCCATTGTTTGAAGCGGATCTTTTCGACTTTGAACCGGAGTGCGAGAGATTTCGAGTCGCTATTGTATTCTCTGTAAGAGTCCAACTTATCGATGACCTCTAGACAAGAGCTGAAAAGGCCCGCAAGGCCTGCGATCCCAACTGCCAAGCCCACTGCTTCCATGACTGTGTGGAATTATCACCGAGTGTTGGCTTAATGGGATAATTGATGTGTGGAAGTAGAGGTGCTGTATCTTATTGTCTCACACCAGACAACTTCTAGCCTAAACACTTGGGCTTCTCGAGAAATTCCACCCAACCCGTTTTGCTACGCCGCTGAGTAGCATACTGTGGGGACTGATGATTCTTTGGGCTTATTATAATGCACTCTGGTGAATTAGGTAGTCAGGATAGGGCGGATGTCAGACCCTTGATTATTTGTTGGCGCCGAGCTGAGTACAGGGCGGTTCAATACCAATGAAAGGGTCTGATTGGTACATACATCCACATACGAATACGGTGTACTTGGTGCTATGCTGGCGCGGTAAGAATTGAGGAGTGGAGTAGTAGGGAGAAGTGGTATGCACTTCGGGATCTCATTGTACCTATCCATCAGTCGCAGCGTGGCGATGCAACCGAACCTAAGCCTTGCTGCGATGCAGTGCCCGGTGGTCAGCATGCACCATAGGTGGCTATCAGCTTGCGTTCCATCAAGGCTGTGTCACGTTTGACACATGTGCTGAAGGCCATTTTTCCTTTTCCAGTTCTTCCGTCTTAAAGGGTTTTTCTACCTTTGACTGGCACGCCGGTGATAATACCGTAGAAGCAAAACTTCCCCTTGACCAATCACCACATGCTCGACGTTTCAGTAACAATACTCAGGGGAACTAAAAAAAAAAAAAAAAGTTCAGATTTTCAATCTCTTCGATCCTGAAATCCATTTTCTGATCAATCACATACGAGTATACCACGTCATGGGGTCTGCTTTCCCAGGCTTCAGCCTCAATAACGATGCACGGATGTGAGCGTCACTGCTCGGCCACTCTCGGCATAGTCTCATTCGGTGTCGCTGAATGCAACGAATGCTTGCTGAAGACCGAGGACAGATTTATTGGTGTATCAGTGTGGGCAAAAGGGGATTTCTGTTCGCCGTGGAGGCAAATAATACTCGCAATGCCAAGCACATGTACAGATAATGTGACCTCACTACAACCTGCTGAACGGTGTAGCCATGCCGCCCAGCAGCATGATGTAGAGGTCAGGCCGCAATGCGTCTGATACTTAAGATCAAAATCAGCTTCAGGCATGATCACGGCGCTGGCCCATGATTATTTCACTGTGATGGTCTAATTTACTAAGTGGCTTGATAGAGTCAATCGTTGAACTTGAACAAAAGTAACGTTTGAGTCAGCATCTCAGGATCTAACGAGATCTGACTGTTAGCGAGTTGTTCAGATGGTTTTGTCTACAGACATCCTCATAGTAATGCTCCCGTGTTTAGTTAAGCATGCGTAATAAGCATACCCTAGGATGATAACAGTGGTGTTAAAGTCACAATAAGACTTGTTTCACTTTTACATTTAATAAGGTGAGAAACATTCCATGGTTGCTTTAGAAACAGATAGATAATTATTCTAAAAGACTACGTAATATCTGAGTTGCTGATGAGACCTTTAGGGAAGGATACTAATGGCGATCCGGTCGTGTTGGGCAGGCACCAAGACGACTAGGGTGCAAATCACAAGTGTTCGGTCCAGGCCCAGGGCAGACTGGGAGGCGTAGTTTTGGTGGGTGGGTACTTTCATAGACTGTATTATGCTTCCTGTTTTGTAGGTGGGGTGTAGTCATAATGCGACTTTTGATCGCCGGGGTTGGTCTGATCTCTGTTTACCTCGTCGTTGCGGTATGCAAGAAGCTGCTCCACAAACCTTGAATCATCCTTGAGTTGCCTTATCTAATAATAGATAGCTCATTTTTGCAGTATGACAGGTTAACGCTAGAGTGCGAGCCGGGGGTTAAGCTTTGAGTGACGCAAGCACACCGCCGTAGAATAGGTTTCCAGTGGCTTGTCAGGTCGATTCTTGGAAATGCTTGAGCATTTCAACTAGAGTGTAGGATTACAACTTAAAAGCATATTTTCGTGATCTTAAACTTCAAGATACTGCTTTCCGCACTTCCCACATAACAGTAGCCCGTAGATTGAGCGACACAGATAGGGCTTACAATACCCGTGGGAGAGTCCAGGTCAGCCGCACACTAATAATGCCAGCGGACCTGTCAAATGACCCCATGTCTTTTTATTGTTGAGGCTCAGCAGTGCTGAAGTTACGTCCATCATAGTAATGATCTTCAGGGATAGGGCAATGCTTGTATTCAGAGGGCCCTTACCCCCGGGGAACTTGAAGCCTACTTATACCAGCTCGGCGTCTACTTGTATTAAAGAACGGTAATGGCACCGTGAGGTGCTTCTTCTACCCATCCACCAACCCTGCGGGGTCGATGCTACCACTCACCCACCCTCTCTTCCAGTGGCCCGTTAACAAAAACAGCCAACTATTTCTTGCGTAGATGCCTGGCTTAACACCCTCACTCTGCCCCCAAGCTCATACTACCTTAGGGCGGCCAGGATTTGGCAGCATTTATGAAGAAGTCGCAAACTTGCTGCGCTTCCGCAAGGCCGGTCCAAACTTAAACAGTAGCCATGGAATGGGAAGTAACAAGAGGGAGAGAAACGCAAATACACTCCCCGCCCAGTGTACGCCTAGCTTCTCATACATCTGTATAGTGAACAAAGGAAAAACTGCGCCCAGTATGTAACGAAGAATGCCATTGGCAGCCAACGCTGGTGGATTGTCAACCGACAGACATTTCAACTGGAGGAGAGAATTTACCTGATGCGGCTGCTTTTGCGCCGTAGAAATCCACCATGTAGGTAATGACTGACAACTGAAGAATAGTAAGCAAAGACGGCACATAAAGACTGCAGGCAACTTGACTTACGAAAAGACAAAAGGCACCGATGCCGAACGGGATTCCTGCGCCGACTAGGGCAGCCCAATTTCCTCCTTCATGAGCTTCCCAAGCGTACCTGAGACGAAGGTCAGTATTAGAAGTATTTGTGGTGGAGCAGTACCTACCAAAAAAGACCTATGGGAAGAATAACACTGCCGACGAGAGCCGCATATAATCGTTGCTCGGGGGTCGCCGTGCCCGCCTTGATGGCCGGGGCCCTCAACCTGGCGTCAATAACGGCATATATGCCCGTGGCTAGAATGTAACCGATGATAATGCTGATGAAGCTCAGCCCGACTTCCTGAAGAGTGAAACGGTACACCTTCTGAAGAATATAGGAACAGCTGGCAAAGTAACTGAAGACCATCGCATACGCGAACGCCGAATAGATGGCCAGTGACAAGACGATGACTTCGTTGAAAAGCATCTTGATAGGCCGCATAGCTGCTCCCTTTGCGAGGGTTGCCAGCCTTGAAAGGGTGATTTCCTGATAGTCACCCATTTCCTTCCGCAGGATCCAGGGCTTGGACGTTTCCCTCATCAAGAGAGTTCCTACCCAAACCGGGGCGCCGACCATGAGCAGCACGTACTGCGTCCACCGCCAGTCGTACCCTCTGTCCTTGAGTATGTAAGCCCCAGCAAGCGGCCCCAATGTCGGACCAAGAAAGGGGCCGAGAATGAACAGGAATGACGCGCTCGCGCCTCCTCCAAGACCCCAGATATCCGCTATCGTACCCGCTCCGACAGCAATACCCGCCGATCCCAGAGCCCCTGCGAGAAAGCGGCACGCGAGCAATCCCGAGAAGGTTTGGGCGCCTGCGGCACCGCCCAGGAAGGCAAGTAGAGCCGTGCAGGTTCCAACATAGATCCACTTCCGGCCGAAAGCCTCGGAGAACGGCGCGATGAAGACGGGGCCTACTGCGATGCCGAGGGTATACAGGGTCAGGGGCAGGATGGACTGGGTCCTGGAGACGGAAAATTCTTGCATTATGATGGCGGTGGCGGGGACTGTGATGGACGTCGAGAAGGTGCTGGTAAAGAATAATTAGCAGGTGTCAGTGTTCTGTTTGCGGATGGCCGTTGGTTATGGATGGGAATTGCAAGAGGATTGAATCTTACATCACGAAAGATAACAAACACGGAATCGCCATATGGAGAACCTTGACAAAGGAGTTCCAGTTTCGCGGGTTTCTTAGTTCTCGCGGATCGTCCCAGTCTACGGGCTGTTGATCGCCTTCGAGGGACGTGCTGTCCTCTGCGATGTGTTTCTCGAGGTCTCCGTCCGAAGTCGACGGAGGGGTGAGCGCCTGTTCCGACATCGTGACCGCCATAGTGAGGGCAAGAAGCAGGCAAGTTACCGAGCCTACTGCTCAGCAAGTCAACCTTGCCGGACAATCAGTCGGGGACGTGATGAATTTAACAGTTTGGACGGTGGGCATGTGGATTACTGGCGGCGGGAACTGCTAATCCCGAGTCAAGGTTGGTCCTTTAGGTTCAGATGACACAAAAGTGAATCTAGTTAAACCACGCCATGTGGGATCTCAGTCGTCCACAGCGCCGGGACCACATATACGGACCGAAGTTCTTGGATATGAGACTTTCTCCCAGTAGGTGACCACTCCTGGCCTTGCCCGCTTCATACCCTCGGCCGTATCCATTAAGGATTGGGATCTGATTAGTGATCTGCATACATCTCTTAACAGTTCTTGTCATAGTGGAGTGGTAGCAGTTCGTCACATCGGTCAAGAGAGTTAGACGGGGGGGAGAGAACAAAATCATGTCTATTCTGCAACGGTCTAAGACACCAATGTTCACCCCAACGGTGATCCAATCTACTCGGCGAAATTCTGAATCGGAAATCTGAATATGTCTGATCGTTCCAGACATACGGACGCTCATGATGTCGAGGTCTCAGGTTCCTGCCCTGTTTTTTCTGATTAGTGAACTCAAGCCATCGGCCGGCGAAGCACTAATTAGCGCCGACCGCCAGCCGCGGTGTTGGGCTACAGTTCGAGAGGCATATTTCGGCAAATTACAAACGGTGCCCATGTCTTTTGACGAGTCCGCCCGGTGTTCGGTGCTGACGGGGCCCATCCACGTGGTGGCTGGACCGGGATTGCCGAGTTCCGATGAACCGTGGGCGGGGAGTTGCGCGGGAAGCCAAATCCGTCTGATAATGCGAGAGCCAAGCTTTCACGGCAAAGCTTCTTCACGGGCAGCCTTACGACTGGTGGCATGTTCACTCGATTCTTCACCCCGTTCATTTCAAATAATGCCGGATTCCGGCTGTTGACGACTTGTGAAGCTCTCACAATATTCTCGGCATTGGATGCAAAAGGCTAGGTAAAGACTGTATTTCCAACGGCCATGCCGTGTTTAAAATGGCAAACTAACTAACCTAATAAATGAGTGTGATAAAAGATAATCAGGCATGTTGAAGCCCTGGCTACTTTGACTGTGGCCCCCCCTGTTCACGAGAAAACATTCTTCAACGGTGTTGAAACCATCCCTATTGGGTGTATTGAAAAACAACCAATCTTGGTAAACAATCTGGATACCTTACTCAACAAGAGACGTGTTAGAATCAGTAATCGCTTCCGCGACTGATGATCTCCTTACTCGCCTCCCGAAGTAGAATCGTATGCTCAAACTGCGCAGAATACGACCCCTTGACATCCACCATCGGCGGATAAGACTCGAGAACGCCGTGCTGGACAAGACAATTCAGCCCGGCCAAATACCGCTCGACGCCAAGGCGCTCAAGGTACCGACGGCAAAACACAATGGTGCCGAACTGCTCCTTGATAACCTTGTACAGGCGGTTCGCAGAGGCAAACGGCAACGACACGTGCTTCGGCGCGTCGTCGCTCAGCACGTACCCGTAAACGCCGGAGTCGTCGTGCGTCTTGCCGCGGCCGGTCGACCCAAAGGTCTCGATGGCGAAGATTTCACCCTCTTCCATCTTGGTCTCGTCGTTGTTCTTGATGAACGGGATCGCCTTCTCGCCGTGGATACGGTAGTGCTTGATGTCGTGGGCGCAGATGTTGCGCACCGGTTTGATCGGGTACGTCTTGCCGCCGATCTCGACCTCGTAGCTCTCCATGGTCTCCTGGATCTCTGCGCTGACGTCGCAGATACGGACGTCGATTCCGGCCGTCTATTATGCCTGTTAGCAATGATGAAAGCGCGAATGAGAGCATAGGGTATCACTCACCCTGATACCTGTATTCGTCGCGTCTTTGACTGCGGCGAGGAGGTTGTCGTACACCGGGTCAAAGGACATGGTGAAGGCGCTGTCGACAATCCAGCCGTTCACGTGCACGCCGTAGTCGACCTTCATGACATCCTGATGCTGCAGAACAATCTCCCGTTGGCCTGGGTTCGGCGTGTAGTGCGCGACACACGAGTTGAGTGAGAGGCCGGTGGGGAAGCCCATTCCAGCCTTCAACCCATCCCCAGGCTCCAACGCCTGGTTCCCAAGGAGGGCGCGCACGCCTTCCTCGATGCCCGTCGCAATCTCTGTGAGAGTATGACCCGGCTTGACGTTGTCCTGGACCCAATGCCGGACTTGGCGGTGTACCTCAGCGGCCTTGCGGTAGTCGTTGAGGAGTGTTGGGTCCTCAAGGTGCTGGCGGCCGTGATAACGCAGCTCCGCGGCTGTCGTGCGGGCCGTGTTAAAGTCATTAGAGTAGTCCTGGAACTCGCCGGCGGGATACTCTCCGGATGGGAAGAGCTCGGTCAGCGGCACTCTTGGGGGCGATGACTGCTGGGTGGCAGTCTTCTTCTTCTTCTTCTTTGGCTTTCGCTTTCGCTTCTTCTTGTTGTGGTCTGTCAGCGGCATGGAGGCAGCGTCCTCATCGTCGTCGTCGTCGTCATCATCTCCTTGATCCCCGAGGCTGCCATCCCCATCACGCGACAGGTGCGCGCCGCGGGGTTCTCCGCCGGCGGAGCAGGGGCTGGATGAGATTGGTCCTCCTGTGGTGTGTGAGTAGGCCGTAAGGTTTAGATTGGGGAAAGGCCCATACCATTTCCCTGAGGTGGTTGGTCTTCGGATGTTTTGGCGCCCATTCCGACATGAACGCTGGATTTACAGTAAGTGTGTTTGTGGGGTGAGTGATGTGGTGTGAAGATGAGGTCAAGCGTACTTAAGCACTTGTCTGTCGAAGGATTGAGCGGTGAAGGGCGGCAGAATGGACAATGACATGAAGGGCGTCACAAGGGAGCGATGAAAAAGCGATCTACTAAACTAGGATGAAACGCGACACGCGAGGGGTACAAGCAAGTAATTAAAACAGAGGAAGTATATAAAAAGTATTTTATTCGAAAGGTCAAATATTTCAGAGATCATCAATACCTACTGTTCGCTATCGATGTGAGGCACAAAAATGGCCATCAAAATCAAATAGAGAGTTGCTCAAACCCAGCACACCAACATCGTGATACCAGGAAAAAACGACCCGCAATTGGTTCGCTTACATCGTTACTCGCCAGTGCAGCATAACAGTAGGCCATACAAATACCAAAAGAATACCAATTAAACATAGGCAAAAGGAAATGTCCCTGGCAAGGCTCGAACTTGCGACCTTTGGATGTTCCTATCTCAAGATAGAGTCATATTCGATGATATGAGACCAACGCTCTTCCAACTGAGCCACAGAGACAATCTGCTGGATGCTCCTCTATGGCTGTCAGACCATATGAGAAAGATGGCGTGGCTCCCTCAAGCCAAAGAGAAAAGGAAACCATCAACCCCCCTCCTCAAAGGAGGGGGCAAAAGGAATGACCAGCCTGGGGGTCGAACCCAGAATCTCCTGATTGCACGATGAAATCGTAGTCAGACGCCTTGCCATTGGGCCAACCGGCCAGGTTGTTGCTGGATTGGAAGCCAGCTTCTGATGACAGCGGAGGCGGGAAGCGGGTTCAAAGAGCTCTGCTGCAGAGTTTTTTCTATTTTTTTCTTCGGGTTCCCCGCGATGGATTCGGGTGGGTGCAGAAGCGGCGGCGATGTGGGCGAGGTGTGTGGATCAGGGTTGGCGACGAGTTTTTTTGGACGGAGTCATGAATCGGTTGCGTTGAGACGGCGTCCGGGGTGGGGAAGATGTATCTCGGAGGTGCTGTATTAGCGTGATGAGCGGGTTTTCGAGTTGGGTCTTGTGGAAATTGGAGACGGAATTTGGAGATTGCAGAGGGTTAATCCTGTCCAAGCTAGAGGTGAATAAAAGAAGTAGTTGTTGTGAAAACAAAACACTGGCAATGGGTGGTTCCATGAGAATGTCCTCTCAGAGATCCGAATTATAAAAGAAATAAAACTTGATTAGTATTTAGTCAACTTAGGAAGTTGGAACAACGAAACCACCTCCCTGGGTATCCAATCCCCCCATACGCCACTAATCCTCCACATAAGATTCACACAACCTGTTCTCGTACACTAAAGCCAAAGTCCGATCAAGCGTGGATGGCCTGCTGAACACCGGGGTAAACGCGAACCATCTCGTCGTACAGCTGCGGGTGGTCTCTCATCATAACTTGAGGATCCCAAGCCGCGGCAACAAAGATCGTGTCAATGCCACTGGAAATGGGCGTCGTGAACACGTTGGCGATTTGCATACCGATGAGGAACGCAAAAGCGACCACAACGGGAGTGTAGCTTCCGGTCTGGTTGTAGGCAGGGTGGGTGAAGACCATGTACAGGTAGGCAAGGAAAGCGCAGGCATAGCCGATGAAAACGGCGCCAAAGGAGAGGACGGGTCCAATGAGGCATTCCTGGTTGTTCGGTTAGCTGCGCACTTTACTCTGTCACGTATCATAAGAAAACTCACATTGACAAGGGCATCGATGCCACGATCCTTGATCATCTTCCAGGTATCCTTCGCGGCGGGAATGTACGCCTTGCCGTAGAGTGCAATGTGCGAGAATGCATAGCGGTTAAGGAACGACACGGCCCAGTCGAGAAGGCCGATGATGCAGCCGAGAATGCAAAACAGGACATATCCAACAATGTTGCCATCGCCGGCTGCCTGAGACCTGGCAACGGAGCAAAGGTGGCGCAAGAAGTTGATGATGGCGACAATCAAGCTACCGAAGCTAATAGATCCAAAGCTGTAGGTCAAAGATCGCTTCAGCGCGCCGCGAGTCGCGCCCCTGGGGAAATTGTTGACGCAAAAGTACCATGACCCGTACACGCCCGAGATGGTGACGTGGATGACGTTCTTGAGAACCTCGGAGATCCAGTACATGGCAAAGGTGATGAAGACAATGATGCCGATGACCTTGCCTTGACCGCATTGGCCGCTCCTGCACTGTGGGTTGTTGGGAGAGGGCTGGTACTTGGAGTACGTCGCAACCAGAGTAACAGAGTACCAGGCGCCAAAGGCGGCACCAATCATACCGCCGATGAAAGACACCAGATAGACGTGGCCGTACTTCTTTGAGACTTTGATCGAGGTCTTGAGCATCAGGGCCGAAAAGGGGATGCGCGGGATCCAGCTGATGAAGGCGATAACCAAAAACACACCGAAGATCAAGAAGACGATGCCGCCAGAGTAGTAGCGTCTTGAAAGCATGTAAATGGCCGTAACCAATGCGAAGACGATGTTGAGGATGCCCGTGACCCAGATGAAGGCCTTGGGAAACAGGCGCGCAAGCCAGACATAGGCATAACTCAGGACCACGGCGACAGCGAGACAGAAGGCGAAGAGAACGATGGTGTGGGTGCTTAGGCCGAAGGTGTTGCCGCCATCGTAGATGCCGCCACCATTGAGAGACTTGGTAGATGAGTAGCCAGATATCGTGAGCCCAGAGACTGCTGCGAATCCGAGGAACACAAGGATGAACTGGTCACGTCAGAATTCCAATATCCGTCGACCACCAAGTATAGATCACCTACCAGAATAGCAGCCCAGAGATCATTCCACTTTGGCTTCTCAATCTTGAACGCCTCCTCGAAAGTGTACTTTTCCGGATCGTGGCCCTGGGGCGGCGCATTATATCCGTAGCCATTACTCCCATTCTCATAGCCGTAGGGTTGAGGAGGAGGAGGAGCATAGCCCTGCTGGTACCCGTTGTTGTATTGCTGGGCATACTTTGGATCGTAAGGTTGCTGTTGTTGCTGCTGGCCACCGTAGTAGCCAGCTGATTCGCCGTACGGTTGCGACATTCGCGTCGAAATTTCGAGGATGCGAAAACCCGATAAGCTGCTGGTGATGCGAAGACAGCAAAGTCTGTCTGTCGTGAAGATAGATACAGAGATCGGAGTGGGGTTTGGACTGGGAGGAGAAGAAAACAATACAAGAGAGCAGTAAAATTAGTGACGGAAGAAAAAGGGTCTCGGGTGTGGAATGATTTGAGTCAATGACGGAGCTACTCTGGCGCACCTCCTCGTCGAGCTGTTAGCTAATTGTACTAGTAGGTAGCTCCCATCTCTCTCTCCGCCTCTGCCCGTTCGTTTGGTGCAACAGTCTTAGTGTAGCACTTTGTAAGTGCAAAAGGCCAATCTGGTTTAGCTTTTTTGGGGGCCCTGCCCGTGCGCTACCAGTGGTAACGTCATTGGGCAGTCCTCATTCGGCATCGCCGCTAGGGGACGCAAGTGGCAGTCTACCTCATCAAGGTATCCCTACAGGGGAGGTTACGCGTCGCATTGCCGAACATCACGTGCCAAGGCTTGTCTGGGCCTTACCAGGTCTTGGCCTGTGTCCACAGCACGCATTTAAACTTGGCTTACATAAGTCCAGGGCCCCGTCAGCGAGGAGCTGGTTGCGGCCTCCTCTGTTCTGACGGAGTAGATTACCTACCTACACTACGGTATATCAGGTCACTCTATAGTGTACAGAAGAGTCAGTCTGCCTCTTTTGGCGGATACCAATCTCAGCGAAATGCCGATCAATTGAGCTGCGATGAACCGTTACCCCATCACGACGGTATAATCCCTCCAACTACGATGAAAATTTAATCGCTTCCTCTAACTGACCGGTGAAAATGGTGTCACTTCCATGGCAACAATGTGTACATTAAACACTCATGGCCGAGACACTTCTCGGATATCGGCATCGCCCCCTAGTCCACCAGCCAAGCACAGGCGCCAGCGAACAAGCCACAAGCTTAAAGTGTGTTGGCCCGCTGCGCTGCGCCAGGTTCCCTCAGCTGAGGACCCCCAATTAAATACAGAGATGCCCTATACTACAGCAATTATTTGTCAAATGGGTCACAGAATCAAGATTGTTCGCTGAAACTGAAGCATCACACGCTTCTGGGACATTCGAAATACCAGGGGGTGAGGGGCCTAATTGGGCCGACCACTCCAAGGTTCTGGAAACATGAAGCGTCGTTGACCATAGTAGCTAGTAGTGGTGTGGAATGGGAAATGTGCCCAATAAATTCATACAAGAGCGAGAATGTAAAGCTTGCCAGCCAAATGAGAAACTTGAAACAATTTGCCGCCGTCCGTATCGTCCCATGCCTAGCTGAAGGCCGCTGTCTTTATCAAACGCCACAGATAGAGAAGAAGAAATAGGCCCGGAATCGTCCTAAAAATAAAACCCGCCTCTGCCATACACCGCTACCGCTGTTGGCTTCGCTCCAATCTGTCCCTGGCGGCATCCACAACGCTCCTGTCCAGCGCTGGCGTGCTTCTCTGCCCTCCGCTCGCATCCTCCTCCGCCGTGCCGTCGTCAACCGCCACGAGCTCCAACCGTTTCATCCCGGCATCCATACCGGGCCACAGGTCTGTAGGGATAAACTCGCCTATATCCTGACGGAAACCCTCCCGCTCCCTCCTGTCGTTCTCGATAAGCTTGTCGACGCTGTCTTTCGCTTTGCGCCAGATGTTTTGTATCTTGTCCTCCACGAGTCGTCGTCGCTCAACCTCCAAGATCAGGTTGTCGTACGCGCCCGCATACTTTTCGTAAAAGTCTCTAAGGTCGTCCATCTCTCCGAGTTTACCGTAAATGGTGTAGCGCTCGTCCTCCCAGCGCTGCAGAAACTCGGCCTCGCTAGCGATGTAACTCGCTACCCTGCCGCCCGTGTCCTCCAGCGCCGTGAAGGCATCCAGCGTCCCGAGGAAAGCCGCCTTGATCCGCTCTGTCTGCTGTGTTAGAGCTGCGAAGTCCTCTTCCATCGCGTGCAGTCTCTCGTTGATCTCTTGAATGACGCTATCGACTTCAGCTGCGTCGCTCACGACAATATCAAGCATATCCGCACGGTCCTGTGTCGTGGTGGGCTCGAGGTCCGGCATGTGTGACTCCTGGTCTGCAATTACTCCCGATATCGAGACGCCGTCACCACCTTGGGACTGCGTCACTTCCGCCGCCCTACGGCGAGCGAGAGCCGCGCCACCTTCCGTTGTCCGGACTGCCGTGACGCAGAGGTCAAAGTGTTTCGTAAGTGACGTTAAAAGTTGTGCCATGAGATGCGAGTGATCGACGAGGGACACAAGGAGTTCAGGGATCGGGTCGTAGGAGGATGAGTCGGATGGAGATCGAGTCACAGGTGGTGAGACTGCCGTCTTCTTCAGGGCTCGCAGATCGTCGTCGAAACGAAGTAGATCGCCATCAAATGATGTTTGAATGGCCTGGGTACAAAATTGTTAGCCAGGTTTGACTGCAAGGCTATGAGGGGGAAACATACCTGCAGCTCTCCGAGGCTCTGTTTCAGAGCCTCGACCATGACGTGGACGCTGTTTTCGTCCACAAAGTCCATCAAGTTCCGTCGCTCCTCGCCGGGGGGTCTGAATACACTCTCTACTGTGGTATTCTTCAGCATGGCCATCGTATCTTGCAGCTTCTCATTCGTCGCGTCCATCGTCTTGACGAGATTCTTGAAGTCGCGTTTCCCGGCATCGTAGGTCCTCTTAAGCCCGCGGCGAACCTTCATCAGCAGCGCTAATTGCTCAGAGATGGCGCGCTGCAAGAACTGGCTCTCGGCATATAAAACGACTGCCTCCTCGTGGGCCTGACGGGCGTTGGTGGCTATCTCATTGGCACGCAGAACGGCCGTCATCGACGATAGGGAGCGTTTGGCAGCAAGGAGATGTTCCACCAGTGTCTCAACCGGCACGGGGTCGTCGGCAGAGGCGGATGCGGATACGGAGGAGGCTACGGCATCGCGGCGATCTCTGGAATGTGAAAGGGAGTCTTGGCCGCCGGAGGTGGACGAGGCTGGGCTCCGACTGGACTTGTGCGACGGAGAATTCGCCATGTTGAATGGAAGGAGGGAAAGGTGGGCAAAGAAGGCTTCACGGGAGACGGTCAGGAATTAAATCGATGCATATTTGAAGGAAAAGGATACAGTATGTGATACTATGGGTGCAATCAAGGAAAGTGGAGAGCCAGTGATGAAAGACGAGAGGATGAACGGGTAGATGGGATGGTGTAGGGGACGAGGATGATGTCGCGATAAGGTTGGAGCTCGGTCAGGTGTGCTATCCTTATCCTCCTTATCGCTCAACGCCCCACTGTGGAAGTGCAGCTGTTAGAGCATGTGTTGCGCAACTGCGTGCGACCGTCCGCAGCAGCCTTGTGTAACTAGCGTGGAGACCTTCCCCTGAAGAAACCTAGTTTTGGGCATTTCGATTGGACACGACTCAGTGGGCCCTGAATCAGCCCCGGGGAGCTTCCCTGTAACTGGTGAGTCTCTAGCGGTCTGGAGCGCCCATTCTTAGGGTCCAGACGATGCTATGCGCCATCCGGTTTCGCTGCGAGCAGATGCTATGTGCTCATCAACTTCCTCATCAAAGGGTCTCGCTAGACCAGTCTTCTTTGTTACAGCATAAGTGGCTGCCTGAGAGCCCATCTGGTATCATTATTTTCCAAGTTTGAGACCATCAACGGCAACGCTTTAACAGTGATCCACAATTACGTGGGAAATGGTCATACACAGTCAAAGCCGTGATGCGAGGGCCTGTGCCGGCCTTACGCTCTCATCATCTTACGCAGTATTCCTGGCCTACGAGCAGTTGGATCCGACTGCTTTTTTGATTCAGGTTTTAGGTGAGCACCTCCGAAGCTGGCCGAGACCATGCAGTGGCTCAGCAGTGGCGTCGCAGACAATCATGCTGTTGTACGTAAGACTTGACCCGGTGATTCAGCCAGAACCGGACATCGGACGAACTCGGGCGGAACACTCGAATGGCTTGTCGTAGCTGTCCGGTCTTAACATCAGAACGTAATTTGAATCAGTGCACCTGTCTGTAAAAGGTAGCACATGACGTCCCTACTGCTCCCGATAATGCGGCAGCGAAATGACGCCATCGTGTGGTAGCATAACAGCTAGGGGTATTTCCAAGGCTGGCCACTTCGATGTATGACATATCGAAAATGAGACGAATAAAAGCTTCCGTCCATGCACCTTATCGGTATCGATATGGAGGTGAAAGGCCGGACGTACCACGACTATATTCAAGCATCAATAAGGAGCAACCCACGTACTCCGCATTGAGATTTTTTGATAAACTTATTACCACTTATCAAGTCCATCCTGCCACGTCGAGTCTTGGCCACAGTCCATCATATCCTGTTCGGAGTCATCAATGTGTCAATGGGGATCAAGTTGAATCTTGTAGCACGGTTTGGCATAAAGTGTTTGATGAAGTTAGCGATTTTGAGATTCCAAGTGATACACATGCTTACAAAATCCCGTTGATGGAGGTGAGAGTATTATATCAAACCCTCCGATCCTTTTTCCTATTGGAAAGTCATAAGCGTGGTAGCATTCGATGTATCCTTTGTCACGAATGGACTGCAGTCGTCAAGCACTCCGACAACCGAATATTTCTTTTGATTTCTCTTCCTTCGTGCTCGAGGTAGTTTCATCTACACACCCTCTTCGCGTTTATAATGTTGCGAGACTAGTGTGCTTGGTTAGCCAAACTTCTCAATCTTGTCCTCGGGCCGTCCCTGGCTGAACAAGGGGGTTCGTCCAAAGTGTGAGCTATACTCGGGTTTGTATGCAACCACCAGCCACCTTTGTTTCCTACAATCCTCATGTTTCCATTCTGAAGCGCATCGGTTGTATCCTTTTTTGTTCCGCGGCGCATCTAGCTAGCTGGACATGTGGTCCTAGGGATCCCGCTTGGGAGAAGTTTCAGCTAGGCATCTTGTTCATCTGCCCGTCCTTCTACCTCTGACTGACGAGTTACTCATCGTGCTCGTTGATACGTGTTGCGTCGCAAAGAAGGCACCATCACATGTAGTGGGGATTTTCGCTCCATCGGAGAGTTCCATGTGGCGTGTGTCTACATGCAGGGGTATCTTTCCGCCGATGCATCTCATCTAGCCATTCCCACTTCGTAGTCTGAAATCCTTTCCAATTTTCAACTCAGGCCCTTCTTTAAGCCTATGATATGGTGCAAGAAGACTAATAGGTCGGCCAAAGATTTCCAAGGAAGGAAGGAGATGCGTGCCTGCGGGGTAGCTGACCACCATAAGCTTAACGTATCCCTGGAGTTCATTGCCGAGAGTGGCCTGGCTTGCATCGGCCATTTTCCACATCACCAGACGAATGAGACAACACCGAATAAGGATTATTGTGTTTAATTCGATAATCGCAAATCTACCCGGTGGTCGACTCTTGGGGTTAATTTCCGGACGCGTGGCAACTAGTTAATAACGATGCACAATTAACCTCTACTATTTGCATCGTAGTCTCGAACAAACTGGGTAGATATCATCTATCGTACCAAGGCCAAACCTAGACAGCACTATCCTTTGGCAAACAATCCGTCGAACATGTTTCGAGGATATAGTCATCCATCGGTCAGCATTTCCGGAAAGGTGAAGATCATAAGAGTCATCTTATACCTTCCAAGTTCTCATTATATCAAAAGCGGGTCGGGTTTCATACCTCAACCCCTGCAGCCGTATAGGCTGCGTCCGTCCACATCTGGATGCTTGGGCCGATCTGAAGCTCATCCTTCGTCCGATAATTTTTCCGGTCAGAAATGGGATGAATCAAAGAGCCTCGAAGGCTGTTGAAATATTACTAGGCCTACTTCCGCAAGAAGATGGTGGGTGATAATGCATTCAGCGGCTTCCCTTTTGGGTGCTGCGAGCAACACTGGTGTGGCAAGTCTGGTAATTAGATAAATATCTATATTCGAAATATTCCTTCTTGTGAACGCATGTGGTCTGTGCCTCATCATCAACGTCTTCTTTTGGTTTGTACAGACATGGAGATACTGTGACGACTACCATGGCTCAGATCCCTCACGATGCCGAAAGCACCGCTGCCGGAGTGCTCGTCTACTCTATTGTGTGCCTTTTGGCAAGTTGTCTAGTCATCTGGCTAGCATGGCAGCATCACGAACGGATAAGCTGTGCGTTTCCTGATCTGAAGACTGATTCAAGGCATTTGTTGACATGGCAATAGATGTGAACTGCCTGGCATATTTCACGGCGCTGAGCACGCTGTGCTCCATTATACAGCAAATCCGTCTAATTATATACTGGGAGAACATCATGGCAGAACGCTTTGATTATGCTTCGGCCAACTTTGGGAATCCGGAACTAGTAATTTCGAATAGTGCTATGGGGCCTGACTTGGTGTTGTATTACATTCGTGAGGCATTACATCTCAAATGTTGTCGTACCCGTGAACTGACAAAGGTTAGAGTACTATTGCTACAACGTACTCGCACTATTTGAGTTGTTCTGGTAAGAAAAAACTCTTAGCCCGGCTTCCCGCAGTGTCTGACAAGAATTAGGGCCTTTGCATTGGCACAGTCAGTCTACGGCCTCAACGAAAAGCCGAAGCTCAAGAAACCTCTAAAGATCATTAACCGAAGTGGCAAGATATTCTCAATCTTGTTCCCTCTCATCACGACTACTTCACTTCAGTCTCCAGGAATCCGACAAAATTTTGGCGGGTTTTTGTTACTGGCTGGACAGCCATGTAGGTAACCTGTCTCGACCGAGCACGAACGGGATTTGACATGCAGCAGTACTATGGAGTATTGGGTTTGGCAGTCTCGCAATTCTGTCAATCCTCATACGGTACATTCAATCCAGGCGTAAGCTTCAGAACCTAAACGTCGATTATGGCCAATCCTCGTCGACAAGAGGATCAAAGGGGCGCAACCCCCGCAAGCCAGGAATCTACGATCGATGGCTCATGACGCGCTTCATGATTTCGTTTGTCATCCTCACGTAAGAATGGCCACCAGCATGTGCGAGACGGCGAGATAGTTTCAGCGAGGCTAACATCACGAATAGTGTCTTCGAACTTACCATCATTCTATTTTCGATGAGTGCCAGGAAAAACATTGAATCAGACACCCAGAGAGCTTTGCCTGACTTTTCATCGAAGCGGGCCAAGCAAGACTTCCTTCTCTTTATGCCCGGAGTCACGGCGTCGCTACTCGTCTTTTTTGTCTTTGGGACTACAAGGCCTTTTCTCGAGTACATGCGAAAGTGTCTTTTCTCGCCGTGGCGCAGGCGCAAGAGCACTTCAACCGATGCCTTGCCGCTACGTTCGATCCAAAGCAAAAGCAAAGAGGCCGAAGGTTACGAAGTCGCAGTGCCAGAGATTTCGTACCAACGAGACCTTCGCAGTATTGTCATAGACGGCCCCGATGGTCGTAAGACTTATGAAGTCTGGGTCTATGCGGGTAGTCCGAATAGTAGGATAATGGGGGATTATCAACAGTACCCATTTCACCAGGACCGCTCAATGGCGCCTAGCGGAAAGAGGGGATGACAGCAGTCACCAGAATCCGTGTATTTCTCAGTGTGTGTCGGCGATGTAGCTTGTTTGAACTAGATCCCAGGGCATCACATTGGGCGGGGCGGCGAGAAAATCAGATACCCAGGGCCGAAAAGTAGTCATGTAGCAATGAATAGGGAAAATGGCATTATTGCCCAAGGTCTCTCTTGCAGTCCGAAGCGCACAAATCGGAGATAGCTCCGTGATACCTAGGCCGCTTCTCACTCCCTGTAGCAACCGAAATTTGTGGATTTCGTTTTCCAATGATGTTGAATAAGCTTCACAGGAGGCTGGGTGCGTCTGGCAGGAGACTAAACACCGATGGCCGCCTCCATTGGCCCAATTACCCGACCAACTTGTCACCACGTGCCAGTTTTACTCCTCAAAGACCTGAGTTACTGACGGGCATTAACCTAACGGGCACAATACTGCAATGACACCTGCCCATTTTGGTTCCGAACCCTGGCTCAAGCCGCCTTGGGGTTGTATTCAGATAGCGCTAACCTAGAATGGATGAGGGGAGGGCCATGCGTCTAATTCCGAGCCATTCGCTTTAGCCACTGATCTCATAGCCAGTTGGATTAATCATTGCGCAGGTTATTCTAGACTTGCAGAGGAGGGGCTGCAACTTGGTGGATCGTTTGGCTGAAACAAGGTGATGGTCAACAAATGATGAAACTAGGAACCATCCGATACATGTATCATTCCCACCAGACAGTAGATTGTTAGCTAAGCTCGCAGAGTTCAAGAACCCGACAACCCGAAAGACGATCTAATAGGTTATGACCTGAAGAAGCCAATGCGGCTGGTATTTCCACCGAACATCCATTTTCAAAGACGTTATTTGTGGTCGGCCTTGTTTGAGCTAGATACCTATCAGTCCCGCTTCTCTCTTTTAACAACAAAAACCATCAACAACTCGTGGCTTGCGCCGGATCACGAGCTTCATTTCTTGTAGAAATTCAATAGTTGGATTTCTGAGTTGTGCTCGAATCTGGGCATATCCATGTTTCAATGTGTGTAAGCCACACGCACCAACAGGCTGATGAAATGAAGCAACGCTTTGGCTCCGCCACAGAAAAAAAAGAAAAGAAAAAAAAACATGGGATGATTCGCAATCGCCGCCGCCACCAGGCAGCAGCACCGCCACAAATGTTGACTCCTCATCCTTCATGTTTACGCCAACGGAGGTGCTTGACGATCTGCTAGCACTTGACGGGCTCAGCTCTCTGGAATGACATACATAGTTCGCATTCCTTATTGGCTGATTTTATCACACAAGACAGTCTTACAATGTCTCAGCAACCACCAACAATCTCTCACCTAATCTCGTCTTATCCCATTCTTTCCACCCTCGCCGAATACGTCTCAACACTTGACCTCTTTCACTTGGCCCTTACAGATCACGCCAACTACCTGTCCATTCTAGGGTCTTCACTCATATTTGAGAAGTTGAAGCGATCATGTCTCTGCGACGGTCGAGGTCTGGCCATGCGCCAAAACTTTAACGGCCCGCACCGAATCCGCTACTGGAAGCTGAAACTCAAGCAGAAGCCGAAGATTGACTTTGATGAGCCCATCGAAGTGCGTTTGTACAACCTCAAATGCGACGAAACTGGTGCTCTTCCGTGCATCAGATGCGGCATCAACATTTGTGAAGAGTGCAGAGACTACCCCCGCTGGCCAAACCGTTCCATATACTCTTTCGGCCGCCCCCACCTGAATGAGCCGTGCCAGTCTTACAACGTCATGTGCCTCTGTCCACCGTGCGACTCAAAAGTCGACAAGGAAATCGAGGGGAAGTACCTCAATGACAGATGCGACTGCAACGTCTACAGTCGCTGGATCTGTCTGAAGTGCTCTAGGGAATACGACCGTGAAGCTGGGAGATACTACAACGAACACACTGAGTTCGAGGGAGGTTGGGCCGAGGATGACTCCGACGAACCCATCACGAAGCTATTACATGACCACCAACATGACCGCGCAGTGGGTTCTCTTTTCTGGCGCTTTCTCAACGGCTTTACTGACTTGTTGCCTTTAGTTCTGGTGCAAATGCGGTGCTACGGTTCCTGACGAGATCGACCCTAGATGCATGTGGTGTAAACGCCGTCATCGTCCTGAGATAGAGTGGTGGCATGAGGCCACAGAGCTCAAGAGACAGGGCACGTCCGGCAATCCTTTCTACGTAAGATAATTCCACAGCAAAACTTGATTCATCTTACTAATGCCAACTGCAGGACCTTGGCTACCCTAACTGGGTGGCTGATGAGGACGGGAAGTATCCCACTCCGTATCCAAAGTTGGGATACGACCGCCCAGGTGAAGAGACAGCCCCGTCTTAAAGTAGTTAAGAAGACGATACTGTGTATGGATACCATTAGACTAGCTTCACTCAAGCAACTATGTCTTTTGAACATGTGTGGTTCTCAATCACTGGCTAGTCAGCGAAATCAATCAAATACCTAGTCTAGTGCATATTCAAAGCCTCTAACCCGTCAACAAACTAAGCAGCGAATGGAAACTTTTTGGCTGCAGCAAACTTCTTCCGGCTCCTCGACGAAAATTAACGATCGTTCTAATTGAGAAACGAAAAACTGTTAAAGAATCCTGATGATATTCTCGGATATTTCGTTCTCCATGCAGTTTTCTAGTCGTCACTACAAGAAATCTGGCTTGACAACGGCCCGCTATCACGGGATTTCCGTCCTCAAAATGCACTCGCAAGTGGCCATAAGCATACATAAACCTGACTTCCAAGATTGAAAGTATATCGTGGAAGAAAAAAAAAAAAGAAAAAAAAAGATGCATCCGCGGGTAATCGAAACCCGGTCCCAAGCTAGTCCTCAGTAGAGATGGAAGGCTTGGATGATAACCACTACACTACGAATGCGGATTTGTGGTTGAGGGATAATCCTGAATCGTTGAGGAGTTAGGCCACTGGGAAGATTATATGGTGGATACCAGGGCTGTGGATGCCTCGCTTGCGAAGGTGGAGTTCGGAGTGCTCACGATATCTTGGGTGGGACGACCACAGTAGGCCTAGGTAAATGAATGACTGGAGAGAACTGCGAACTGCGAACGTGCGAGCACCTGAAGAATGGCGCTGATCAATGTTGGAGCACGCATCATTATCTCGGGTTCAGGCGTTTAAGACTCCTCTTACAAGAGATAAAGGCTAATCGTAATGGAAGTTGAGGATTGCACAGAGGAAATCAGATATCGTAACCAAGACAACAAGCGGTATCGCGATTAGATATATCTGTCTGAGCACACCGAAGGAACGCCGGCTCAGTATGTCGAAGCAATCAACTGTTCCTCCCATTTATTAAGCTTACTGGTAAGGCGCCTGAGCTTCCACTAAAGTTCTTCTAGTCCAACCGCCCTAGAAAGTCGTTGGCTTCGGACCGAATTCACAAAGCTGCTGTGGCTGGCGCTCGGTAATTCAAGCTCAATAACGCAAAACTAGAGGCTGCAGTCATTTCAGACAATTTTTATTTACGTTTCTTTTAGCTAGCTAGTCAGTTTGAGAATAAAATCAAAGAGGTCTGACGTAGACTAACAACGTGGCCCTGTGTCGCTACTGTTGTTGACACCGGGTGGCTGGATGTTTTTGCAGTTTTCATCCATATCAGGACTATCACAATAGTGCTGGGACCCGTTTATGTGAAAGATTAGTTCCTTTCTGGGCTTCGAGGTCGCCGATCGGCCTACCTTGGCTTGATATTCAAAGGCAACGAAGATCAAATTCGCACGAATTGGCCGCCTCGGTGTAGTGTCAACTTCAACTCTGATGGACCTTGGGCAAGATGTATGAACGCTGTGAAGAATGCTCAACACATCAGGCTGAATTATTCGTTTGGCATTTCTCATATCACATCAAGGTGCGATCCTGTTCTCAATGCACAATTAGCCGGTCCGCGCTTCCCAATCTACTGAACTTGAACCCTGCAAGTGATCGGCGGGTGGGAAGGGAGGCGAGCACTAAGACAACACTAGCAAACCGCCAGCACTGGAAAGACATGCCTTAGTGACCTAGAGTGCTTAGCACGACGCTAAACGCTAGCGTCTGCTACGTAGCAATGAAAACCACTGCTGAGGTGTGCTGAAGCTGTCTGATCTACAGCTGTGCTGGCAACCAAAACATGGGTCTTCCTGCCCTGCGAAATGCCATTTCGAGCCTCTAATGAACTATAAATGAATCCGATGTCACATTGGTCTTAATAGTTTACTACGGTGTCGGGCGGTGCAAGCTGGAGGCAGGGATAGGACATTTTGACAAACAAAAATCAGAGAATCCAATCGTGGGCACTGTCTCTACCATCAGATGACCTGTGTTTCTTGCGCGGATGCAGTACTAAACTCAATTTCATTGAAGATCCGATGACGTTTTCACCTTCTCTAACCTACACTCGTCGGTGTTTCTCGTTCGATCCCACTTGGACAGAGATAATGAACATTTGATGGGTACTACTTTCAACTGACATCTTACGATCCTGGGTCAATGTAACGTTCAGGACTTAAGTCATACTCGGTCTGTCTAAGATGTTGTCCTGTTTCTCCCAATTCATGTCTCTAATGTCCCAGTTTGTCGCTCGGAATATGAGGGTGATGACGGATCCCGAGCTACACGAGAGAAGAGACCTCGGTATGAGCCCGGACGGGCCGAGCCTGGGGACCCCGCACACATAGCCATTAAGCTAATATCAAGCTGCATGAGTAAACGGCGTGATTTAGGTTGAGACAGGCTCGAAATACTGTGTCTAGGGATGGAATGCAGATATGCCAAGTGCTTGAAAACACATCCATGCTTCGGCTCAAGGGAGACGCCCGCTACAAGCGCTTGTGATTAGGTGATTGTGTCTTCATAAAAGTCGACCATCACCTCACTACGTAGCTTTGGTAACTTGGAGAGGATTAAACGTCCCAGTCGGCCAGAAGCTCATAGTGTAAGCCTCAAATCAAGCTTGCGGGTTTCTGACATTTATGCAAGACTGACTGACCTTAGTGCAGCAGCTGTTTTGTTTTCTTCATGAAGCTCACACATCTACTCGGCCTCTTGGCCGTTACAACATCATCGGTCTCAGCGGTTGACCTTACCGGCTATGATTTCATTGTCGTGGGCTCTGGTGCCGGAGGCGGTGTTCTAGCCGCCCGTTTCGCTCTGAACGGTCGCAAAACCCTCCTCATCGAAGCTGGTGATGACCAGGGTGCCAACGAAAATTATACTGTCCCAGCATACCAAGCCAAGTCCACAGAAGATGACTCCATGGCATGGGACTTCTTCGTTCGCCATTACTACGATGATGCCCGTCAGGCGCGTGATTTTAAGACTTCGTATGACACACCTGGCGGTGGTGAATACACTGGTCTCAACCCACCGCCGGGATCGCGGATGAAGGGCACGCTTTATCCCCGGTCCGGGACCCTCGGAGGATGTACGGCGCACAACGCACTCATAGCCGTCTACCCGCATCGCTCCGACTTTGACTACATTGCCGGCCTCACGGGCGACCAGTCATGGGCTGCGTCCAACATGCGTAACTACTTCGTCCGCATGGAAAGGAACCGCTACCTGCTCCCCCTGCAACCTGGACACGGTTATAACGGCTGGCTAACTACGGAGACCGCTCCGCTCACCCTTGCTCTGCTGGATCCGCAACTGTTGAGTCTTGTGTCTGGGGGCGCCTTCGCGCTTGGTAATCAAACAAACCTGGTTGTCAACCTCGCCACCCTTACCCTCGGAGACGCCAACTCTGCCGCCTCGAATCGGGACACGCAGCCTGGATACTACCAAATCCCCGTCTCCAGTAACGGTGCCAATCGTGTCGGATCGCGAGAGTTCGTCGTCGCTGTTCGTGATGCGAAGAATTTTGACGGGAGCAAGAGGTATCCCCTTGATGTGCGGTTGAACTGTCACGTCACCAAGGTACTCTTTAATACCAATGTTTCCCCTCCCCGTGCGACTGGTGTAGAGTTTCTCGACGGCAAATATCTTTACCGCGCTAGCCCACGCTCCCGAAATGCGGGTTCGGGCGTCCGCGGTACAGCGACTGCGTCCAGGGAAGTCATCATTTCCGGAGGTTCATACAACTCGCCCCAGATTCTCAAACTAAGCGGCATCGGTCCTGCCGAGGAACTCCAGCGTTTGGGAATTCCAGTTATCAAGAACCTCCCCGGCGTTGGGGGAAATTTGCAGGATCACTATGAGATCGCCGTCCAGGGCCGCACGCCAGCCAATTTCAGTGCTTTGAATGGATGCACGTTTGGTTTCTACGGGCAGCCAGATCCGTGCCTGACCAGATGGAAAAACCCTATTCTTGGTGACCGCGGAATATACGAGTCTTCTGGGTTCGCGGCGGCTACGTTCTACAAGAGCACCGTGGCGGAGAGGAATGAGTGGGATGTATTCGCGTTTGGTGGGCCGGTTAACTTCCGCGGATACTTCCCCAACTACAGCATTAACGCGACGATCGATCACGACTGGTTCACCTGGGCTATTCTCAAGTCCCATCCAAGGAACACTGCCGGCTCGGTGAAGCTGCGATCAGCCGACCCTCTGGACGTGCCCGATATCCTTTACAACTACTTTGATACCGGCTCCGGCGACTCCAATGCTGATCTGCAAGCTATGGCAGAGACAGTGAAGCTTGCTCGTGATGCCTTCGCCCGTCAACTGATACCCGTTCGTGAGGTTCTTCCCGGCGCCGGAATCACATCTCAGGAAGCCATTAAGCAATACATCAAGGACACAGCTTGGGGTCATCACGCCTCATCTACCTGCGCGATTGGCGCAGACAATGATCCCATGGCTGTGTTGGATTCCAGCTTCAGAGTCCGAGGTGTCGCTGGTCTCAGAGTTGTAGATGCTTCCGTTTATCCCCGTATTCCGGGTACCTTCACGGCTGTTTCCACCTACATGGTCGGCGAAAAGGCGGCTGATGTAATCCTTAGCCAGAACCGATAAGGGTAGAGATTTCACAAGCCTAAAAGAATGCTGGAGTTGGACGAGGTGGATACGCTAATAATGGTATTAATTATAATGCAGCTGTATTTTTTATTTGAACATCATTTGTGACCGCAATATCGAATAGCACGACATTATGGCTAAAGCCATTGTACACTTCATCTATATGCAAAACTAAAATGATCAAGAACATTATTCTAACGCTTTTCTTCCATCAACCGTCCTGTATAACCGGTTCTAAATTAATACTTTTGTTCCGTATTCAGAAAACTTTGGGGAACTACACCCTGTGAATCATGCGAATCTCTTCTCGCTCGTTCCACATTCAAATCCTCCTCACTTTCGCTAACAGATTTGACGTTTTGCAAGGCGTGTGGCTCGTCCTTCTTCGACTTTGAAGGAAAACCCAGACTTGACCGCCTCCTCCCCTTGGATGATGTACCACTCTGTCTCTTGTCACACTTGTAGTTGCCGCAGCATTTGCAAGGGAAAACAGATAAACCATAGGCGTCTTCGTGGTTTTCATGAGGCTGGCCGTTCTTTGTGTGCTGAGTCGTGTTCATAAAGGCAGAGGGGCGTCTGGCAGCTTCATCGGTCACCCGCATACGAGATGGATCCGACGTCATGCCGAGTTTGTAACCGAGAAGCTTGAGGAGGGGACGAACCGTTGCTAGACTGCCGGCGGTAATAGCAAGACCCTGTTCGACTGAGGACCAGATGGCGGTGTCGAGTGTTGCCCCTGCACATTGTCAGACACCAGAAATTCTTTTTTTTCGGGGCGGAATCCTATCGAGACAACTTACATAGGAAGTCTGGATCCTTGAGTTTCATGAGGTATCCAAAGCGCACCAGAACTGCTGAGCTTGCACTGATTGAATTGTCAGATGTGAGGCACACACGAACCATGGAAAGGGCTTTACATACACACAACCCATGATCAACAACGGAATCAGAGCGAGCTTGGCCTTTGTCTTGAGTTGAAGCCCCCAGACTAAAAAGACTGGCAGGACCGCAAAGGTCAGGTCAGAGATGACACTGAAGGAACTGTACAGGAACGCCAAGCCGATGACGATGTTGATATCAATGCAGCTTCCGGGGATGTGCTTGTTCCAGAAGTAGTTCACCGGCATGCACTGGAAGAGTGTGACGAAGAAGAAGACCACTCCAGAAAGTACGGTGAAGAACATTGCGGTGTAGATGACCCATTGGTGGGCCTTCGTCGTGGCGATTCGGAGGAGGAAATAGGCGATGGACATCTTCGACGTGATCATACTGAGGGCATAGAACAGGTAGCAGTACCACCAGCACTAGGAAGCCAACGGTTAGCCCATGTGTTCGTTTGCCAGACTCGGTGTTACAGCAATAAATATATACCTGCATTGCGCTTTGGATATTCTCCACAGTAAGGTCCTTGAAATGCCGGCCGGTGCCATAGTGAACACCTGCTATCGAGAAAGAAGAGTAGGCTGTGAAGAAGGCCTTTTGGTAGATGTTAGTGGAGGTGTTTCGGCTATGCTGGACAGGTGGGATATACCAAAGCCAAAACCATGAGCCAGTCATCTCGTCCAAAAGCCTTGACCAAGAATGCCCTGACGTAACATCTCAACGCCGTGGCAATGATTGCCGTCGTGACGAAGAAGATGTTGACGCCCAAAAGCTCAGGTCCGCGGTTCTCAATCTTTTCAGCCATGGGTGCCATGTGTTCGAATCTGTTGACTGGGGTGACCCCGAAGAAATTGACCCTCCCGTTCCACTACTAAAGAAATCGAGTTTCTGGGGAAGCACGATCCGGGTCCATGTGCTCTTATATCACCTCGAATTGTCCTTGGTGGTAACCGCATACATCGATTCCGGGTGCTGGGGCCCTAAATTGGGATGAAATGGATCCTAGACGTCTTAATACTGGCCTGTATGGAGCCCCCTAGGCTGGTTCTGCAATCATCGAAGCGAGATCGAGTGCTTCCGACAGGGCCGGGCTTTGCCGTTTGGACTTTTCGCACGACATCCCCACTTGAGTTTTCTCCTAGTATCTCGCAGCATAGGGGGAGCTATTGTACAAGAGTTAGGATCTATAGTGCCGAAAACTAGCAACTTTGTTGAAGAATTGTTCAAATTCGGTAAATCCATCGGTCGGTAGGAAGGGGGGCCCGGGACAAATGCCGCATCTGCACAAGTCGAGACTAGCTAGGGACCCTGACCAGAGCCGCTCCGGAAAGTAACTCCGGGTGGACGGACGTTTTTGTTTGACCAATAGCCCGATGGGGGTGATGGCATTCTGGCCCATGACGCTAGAACAGAACCGATCTCGCTTGGTGAGGCGCCACTTCGGGACGTGACCGTGCGATGTCAGTCAACAACGCCCCCTTGGGCCCTACGTTGCAGCCCCCGGTTGTCTCTTTTTTTTTTTTCTTGGTGAGCTGTAAACCCCTACAGTGGTACTCTTCTGCTCCTGTCGATCATGCCTAAGCCTGGACACGCGACAAGGAAGCGAAAACGATGAGACTAGCACTACGTAAGTAAATTGAGCATGCCGATATAAACGGGTATGCCTGCTTCAGCGGGACTCCATCGGTCACTCCCGAGCTCTGAGCTCATCCAGTCTTTATATCTCTGGTAAAGAAACCGGGCCAACCAAGTTAAAAGCTCCGTAGAAGATCATGTAGAGTGCACATGAGATGACCTGAGACGACTCGAGTAGCTTTGCTCAGATCCGTAAACAGTTGACGAGACAAGCTGTCAGTGAAAATTTCTGCTCAAGTGGGCAACGTCTGGGATGCCAAAACACCAAATTTGAGGACGCTATGCTTCGCTCAGGGGCACAACGGGGGGAGGGAGGGAAGAAGACTTGGTACGGAGCGAGCCCCGCAGCGCTAAACATTCTGCGCATGTCTAGCGCGCCACATGGTCAGATTTTCTCGAACAACAAAAATGCAGACGGCGTCGACCCATCTGATGGGGACTCTAGGCCTATGAGGGCTGAAGATGAACAATGCACTCGGAGAATTATAATGAATGGCGGGCTTCCTGATGGTTTGTTTCTAGGCGATCCTGGGGAGGGGTGCTGCATGATCCCTTTGAATCCTTTGTTCAAAAAAGCATGGCAAACGTTTAGTTGGTTCTCCCGGCAGCTGTCAGATAATCCACCCCTGCATACATTCGAAAGAGTCTCTCTCCCCTCTTCGGAGGTTTCTCATCAATGGAGCTTGGGGGGCCAGAAAAAGGGCCACATAGATGACACACGGTCACTAGTATAGAGAGCCCCCCCCCCCCCCCCCCCCCCCCCCCCCCTTCTTGGAGCTCTTTATTGGGTCTGGAAATAGCCAGTCCGGCCGCAGATCCCTGAAAGCCCCATCCAGCACGGATAGAATATGAATCAATGCGCGGTCGGAGGCGAACACGGTTCCCATCGCGGCCTTCAAATTCTGCCTACGCGGTGGAGCAAACCATGAGTTTCGCGGAGAGTGTGGAGTGATACAGCGCTTGGCCACCTCTTATGGACGAACTGGAGCTCGGACAATGGGAGATTGAGCTGCTGTCATGACCGAGATCGACCGAGAATCAAACTTGACCGGCTGGTCATTACTGGTCCATATGAGAGGTTTTTGTGGTTCCTCGCCTCTGTTATAATCAGCCATTTGGCACTGACAAATCAGGCGGTTCATAGAATCTCAGGAGACACCGTAACTAACAACGCCAAAGTGTGCAGAGTAATCTTCATGGGGCGATGGTGATTGCTATATATTAGTCACGGTATCTTGGCGAAGCCCTTCGGATCGTGGTGTATTAGGGCAGCCTGTCATCCTGTACAGCCTCGCTCGGCATGCTTCCGATCTGTCGAGCAGATGGCGCGCCTACTAACGATTATGCTATCGCGCTATGGTAGGAGCTTTGGCTGCCAATATCTGACACTCGTACCACGCCGGATGTCGTTGTCTGCTCTCCGACGATGTAACACCCCGGACGACCTTCAGCGATACACGTATCTAAGTGGGACCTTGTAATGCATTTGTACTCAGGTGGGTTCGGATACCGTGTCTTCCGGCCAACTCCATGCTTCTTTTAAATGCTGCACACTGCAGCAAGGAGATGAGTTAGATGATGCGAATGGAGGCTTCTGAACCCAAACTTACATCTGAACTGTATCCCACCTGTAGACTTCTGCAGTTGAGGTAAATATCTTCAAGAGCGCTTCTTGTTCAGCTGGCAGCTTGAAGCGATCCCCGGCCAGTGTTATCCCCATACATGCCAATCTACCGCCAGGTTAAAGGTTAATAAGTTGAAGACGGTGTTACCAGAGCAGAAGAGAAGTGACACGAGTGCCAAAGGAGAATGAAGCGAAAGATGGAAAAGTGGGAGGGCAGCTTACATATGAGCAGGTGTGCCGCGACCATGGGATTCTGCAATGCCACACATAATCTTCAAGTCGCTGATTATCTCGTCCTGCAAGTATATGGCTGAATTAAATCGAAAATCCTAAAGGCACAATCGGTGTAAGGGCCAATACGAACATCTAACGCCCGAGCTGCAAGTTTCTGATTCTTGCCCAGCCGTGGCATATTAGGGTTGTGTGCCATCAGCAGTATCCGATTCAGATGATAAAACTGTAGTCCTACCACAACGGATTCGGTGAGAAACAGCACCTCGGGGAAGGGAGCATTGCCAGTTGAGGGGTTGAAATAGATCGGCAAGAACGTCTCTGGGACCGATCTCATCCACCGGGCTGCATACGCCGAAAGCTTTTCATACGTCGCAGAACTCCCCTTCGCCCCAAAGCAGTACCTGAGAATGTCGATGGAGTGAAGCACCATCCTCCACATCCACGTCTCGTCGTCTGCGGGCTCTACGCTGCGGTCGAGTTCGAGACGATCTAAACTGAGGTCCAACACCTCCTGCTGCATCACTGCTCGAAACACTTCCAAACGAATCCAGCCCCAGAGTGCCGCCTCGGCGAGTCCACCTTTCGGGATCAGTGAAGCTCGCGATGCGAGTAGCTCCGATATGCTGCTGGAAACTATAAAATGTTGAGTGTCTGCACTAAAAACAGAAACTAGGAAAGTAAGTGAGAGATCTAAAGCCTCCTGTACTGGACGACGAAGAAACGGCACAGCGTTGGTCTGGGGTTGCGAGCATCGAAGGCGGCTAGGATACGGTTAGTTACATACCTTCAATGCTGTGATAAAGCCGTAGCAAAACGGCGGCGGTGACCTGATGGTCATCAACTTCCTGGGCAAGGCTTCCCAAGAATGGCTGGAGCAGATTCAGTGCCTCCCCATAGTAGTGTTCTGCCGGTTTATCGAAAAATGCGAGGCTACCGTCCACATCCTTTGACTTGGCTGCTATGGCCAAGACGGCGTTCAGCAACAAGGGGCTCTTGGCGGCTTGTTGTGGAAGTAGAGTTCTGAATCTATCCCGCGGATCACCACAGTCGAAGAAAGGGGCAATAACTTCAATAAAATACCGTATTAAATTCGCCTCTCGGTAGTCCTTCAGTGGAAAATTTGTCGTGTGGAATGATCGCCTGGGCTCGGGCAGACTAGGATCTTCGCTCCAGCTGTTGCTGCCGATGGAGCTAATGGAACCAATTGGCCCGGAAAGCTGGCTTCGAGGTGCTGGTGAGAACGTCTGAGGAGGTTCATCTATTGACAGGTGGCCTAATGAATCTGGACTGTGAAAGGTGGGATGCGGATGCAAGGCGGGGAGCTTGATGAGGGGATACGGTTGACCGCGCTCAATTGGCAGCGCATCTCCTTCTCCAAGCCTTTTGGCATTTGTTTCTGGAGTCTTGCCATTGCGTTGGGAAGAGTAAGCAACATTGTTAGTGTCCTCCCTTATAGCGCGTTGCGTCGGTTTCGGAGGGCTAGGAGGGCTTTCTTCGTCGGATATAATGTCGTCGTCACTTTCAAAGTCCTCGTTGTGGATGCTGTTGATATCCGCGGTCTCGTCAATGAACCGTATCCTCTTCCCGGAAACTTTACACCATTTTTGGGCGTCAGAGAATTCATATAACTGGTCGCTACGGTTCCCGGTTGTGCCGCTGAGGTTGAACATTCAGTCAGTGGTAACCGATTTGTTTAAAGGGAACCACGACATGAGGCGTACCTTGATACTGTAATATGCCGAAACTTGAGCTTGGTGCCACGGACACACACTTTGTTCTTTTTGACACATTGGCCGCAAGGGTCGCCTTTGTCACCTAAATCGAGGACATTTCATGGTGAATAGTTGCCCTGCAGACGTCTTCGTGTGGAAGTCTAACCCCACACTTACATTTGATATGTCTGGGGAAGATGCCGAGTTGAATTAGCCATCAGAGCAATGGGGATTCAAATCGGGTAATAAAGCGCCACGTGAGATTGTTCCCCGCAGATTACTCTCAGTGTTCCAAGGCGCGACGGAAAGACTTACCTTGAACGGCAGCTATCGCACCCTGGTCTTCTTACGTTTTCCGATCTAGGCATTAAAAGGGCCCCGATATTCTACGCGAGATCATCTAATCTGACGAGAAGGGTTAACAGCTACGCGGAATGGATTCACGCGTTCGTGGGGTTGAGTAATCCGAGAATCTGGGGCAATGGGCAAAATGCGGGTTGGCTGGCGGGAGGTTCTCATAGGCTTTGTGAGGGTGCTCGCTGACTTTTATCCGTACTTGGCTCACTAGGCAAGTTGTCACGCAGTCAATTTGCCCACCACTTATGGGGTAAAAAAAGATGCTTCCATTCCTTAGAGACTGTCTAGGGGTTATTGGGTTGATTATATAACCGTCTATTCGGTAATTACCGATTTGAAGGTTTTCATGCACAAAATGACATCCCCGTTAGTTTTATATGGGAAACAATAGCCGGGTGCATGGGTTGAATGCATGCCCCGATATATGCAGTGGTCCGTGTGACACACCCCCTCAGAGAGGCAACCTGTTGTAGGTTGATTCTCTGTATTCTCATTCAAATACAGAAATGATACTATTCAGAACTCCGTATACTTACTACCAAATTCCAGATTCATACTGCGTTCTTCTCGATCAAATGTTCAATATTCGCCATACCCAATTGGGCGATAAAGTGGTTGTGTTTTTGGGCTGGCATTGCTTTAGTCATACCGTCTGCCACCATTTCGTTGGTTGGAACCCATTGAAAGTCAATTGATCCCTTCTGTAATTCCTGGCGAAGCCATAAGTTGTTGATATTGATATGGCGTAATTTGCTAGTCGCTTGGGGTCTTTCAGCAATCAATAGTCGAAGAGTTTGCTTATTGTCGCATTGCATGATGTATTTATCATCTAATTGGAGATTCAATTGTTCCATGAGTCGAATGGTTGCCATATATTCTCTTGTGGCTGCTGTCAAAGCAGCAAGCTCAGCTTCTGTGCTTGAAGTGACTACTCTTCGTTGTTTGACTGCTTTCCAATGAATTGGACCTCCGAATAGCATCATCACATATCCTTGAGTGCTTTTTCGAGTGACAGAGTCATCAGCGAATGAAGCGTCTGAGGCGCAGTAGAGGACTCCTTTCCCTTTGCAGTTGAACTCGATAGCGAGGTATTTGTTGTCCTCAAGATATTGTAAGCATTCATATGCTGCTTTCTGGTGTTCAGAAGATGGATTTGATAGGAATTCTGCTAGTCTCGAGCTTGTTCGAGCTATATCTGGTCTGCCAATCACTCCAGCATAGTTGATTGATCCAACCTTCCGTTGATAGTAGTTGATTTCCTCTGGCGTAGCCTGACCAGGACTTGGGACCAGGTTATCTATTGCCATAGGTGTTTGGCGTCGCTTGGTTGAGGTTCTGATCTTGAATTCTTCAGTGACCTTAGATATATAGTTGTCGAGACTCATCCATAGTTGACGGGTTTTTCGTTCTCTTATTATTCTGACTCCTAGGAAGATACTCAATTCTCCCATATCTTTCATTTCATACTCCTTTTTGAGTTGTTGAACTGCTTCTTTTACTTTGGTTTCATGCTTTTTATGGTATATAACCCCAATATCGTCCACAAAGTGGAATACTATGAAGTATTGATTGGTGTAGATACAGTCATCTTCTTGGAGTGGGATAAGGCCAAGCTTCTTGAATGATCTCTCCAGATTCTTTTGCCATAGCAGTGGGCTTCGTCTCAATCCATATAGTGCTTTTCGCAGGGCAAGACAGTATCCCTCTTGTCTGAATCCTGGAGGAAACCAAACATAGACTTCCTCATCAATTGTGGCATGTGTAAATGCGTTGACTGCGTCCAATTGAAGAGTCTCTAAGTCAAATCTCGCCACAATTGCCATGAGACTTCGCAGCGATATACCAGCAAGCGTTGAGGCATAGGTCTCTAGTTCATTTGTCGGTTGGAGATCTCCTCGAACACAGATCCTCGCTTTGAACTTCTTGAGATATCCTTTGCTGCCCTTATATGTGAATACCCACTTCAATGGGATAATTCGCTGAGTGTCTTGATCAATATTGCCAAGATCAATCATTTCAAACGTGCCCATTTGCCATAGTGATCTGTTCTCAATATTCATTGCAGCAATCCATTTGTGACTGTATTGGTGTTTGATCGCTTCACTGTAATTCTTTGGAACTGGTGGAAGTGTCTTTTGGTGTGGATTGCCTAAATCATCTGCTGATGCATCCCATTGATCTCTTCCTTTTACTGTATCCGTAGATTGCAGTGTGAAGTGGGATTCTCTTGCTCTTCTCAGTCTTTGTGATGATCTTGTTGCTTCTGGTGGCTGTTGATTTGTTTGACCAAGAGGGGCTGATCGATTGTAGATGTTGTGATTTCTGCTGCCACGAGGTCTTCCCCTTCTCGCTATGTTTGGGATTACTGTGGAGGAATCTTGTGGTATGATTTCTTCTGGTTCCAATTCTATGACTGGTGTCTGTTGTAGTTCGAGTCGGTCTGTTGAGGTTTCCTCTATGGTCTCACTTTGATCCGATTGTTCTGGAGTTGGCGATACTTCTGGAGTTTCTGGAGTCTCCCTCACCCCCTCAGTTGTTTGAGAATCTGACAGCTGTACTGTTGGTGATAGAGAAGTGGGTGTAGGTAATTGAAAATCCCCTGATTCTTTCTCCTGCATCGGTGTTGCCGGTGTTGTTTCTTGAGCGGCTGGATTCGAGGCGGGTAGTGGCCCGGTAATATTATCGCTGAAATCTTCTCCATCCCAGCCAGCTGTGTCTAGGTCTTGTTCAATTGGATTTGTGAATGGGATATCCATTTCTGTGAACTGGAATTCAAGTTCCATTTGGCTTAACTTGCTGGTATCCTCAATCCTTGGATCATACAGCGTGTTTTCGTCGAAAGTAACGTCTCTAGTTCTCATGACTTTTCCTATTGCTGGGATCCAGATTCTGTAGATATTTGTGCTGTCATAACCACATAGATAGCCAATATGAGCTCTTGGCGCAGTTTTGTTTGACTTTTCTATTCCTCTCTTGTAGTTTTGTGTCAAGGGGTAAGCTCTGCAGCCATATCGCCTCAAGTGTGCTAGTTGTGGCTTTTCAGCCCTCTTGTGGGTAGACTGTTGATGAGAGTTCAGCCAAGTGTTGACCAACCCCAATGGTGTCTGCCACTTGTGGCGTCTTCGAGGCAATCTGTTTGACAGATAAACTGCTGCTTTTGCCAGCTCTGGTGCCATCAATTCAGGAAAGCGAGATTGAAATCGAAGTGCTCTCATGATCATAAACACAGCACCTCCAGCTCTTTCTGCTGGGTTTTGAGCACCAGTGTACTCAGCTGATCTTTCAATCATATATCCATTCACAGCTGCCCATAGTTCAAACGCATTGCGTAAAGCAACCTCCCAATCTAGGCGTAGAATAGAGATTTTGATAAAGCACTGTCTCTCGAGGTATGCTGCTAATTCTGTCATAGCTTGTAGTCCCTCCTTTCGAGTACGAAGAGTTCTTATCCAGAAGAACCCTGACCAGCCATCGCTGACCAGCAGGATCACCTTCTCCCCATTGTATGCTTTGCTAAGTGTAAAGAAGTCGAGAGATAGATAATCTCCTACAGCAGTTGGCCAATGGTCTGGGTTTCTGCGGGAAATTTGGCGAGTTGCCTTCCCAACAGCACAGGCATCACATTCCACTTTTGTGATTCCTTTTATCTGTATCCCAAGAGCTGTTTTAAGTAGCTGTTCCAGTCCCTCAGCGCCTGGATGACCAAGTCTCTCATGCCACAACTTGGCTTCTGCTGATGATGTTGGGAGTGGTTGTCTTGTTGACTGAAAACCTTTGGTTGGTTTCCTTTCTACGGTTGGGCTGAATCTCACAGTCTTCTCGGTATTGCTGAACGAGGTATTGTTCAGCAGAGCTGGGCCAGCTTCAATAATGTATTGACCATATCGGTTTGGTGTTTTGAATAGAAGTCTGCCTTTTGAGTCGATAAGACCCGGTATTCCTGTTGTAAAGATGATCCCTTTTTGCTTCAGCGGTTCTGTCCCAAGGAGCGATGTTGGGTATCCAGGCACAAGCCATACATTTCTGACTTTGATCTCCTTGTTGTTGGATTTGCCGCCTTGGTTTGGTTTGATGATCATTGTGCCTTTCGCAATTGCATGTACATCTCCTCCTCCAGTGGTGAAGTCTTTTGTGACTGTGTAGTCGAGATCATGAAGTCTTGAGGAGTCGTTGCAGATGTGGAATCCTGTTCCTGAGTCTACTATCACACTGTCTGACAGTGGGAATCCTGAATAGAGACTTGCTTCTCCTTGATTGACGATAGCGACGAAAGATGAGAGTGATCCTTCTCCATCAGACACTTCTTGAGTATAGTGGGATGATGATTGTGTAGTGTTTCTCCAGTTTGAGGAAGATGTTGCTCGATCTGGGGACTTTTGAGACTGCTGATCGCTTGCCCCTTTTCGTAGTTTTTCAACTATTCTCTTTAAGTGTGGTTTCTTCTGGAGATACTCATTCAATCTTTCCAGTGCTTTCTTATTTTCTGGATTATCTTCATGATAGTTTGGGCCTCGCTTCTTAGGGTTGGCATGTTTGCAATCAACAAATCGGTGACTTTCGTTTGGGCAAGCTGCACACTTTTGCTCTCGTTTTGCCCCCTGTTTTATTCCTTGTTCGTTTTCTCCTTGCCAAGTAGCGAAACTCGTGTCTTTTAATGGAGCAGCATTCAGCCAGTCTGGGTGGAAAGTTCTCACCCAACTGCGGAAATCGTTAGCTTGCTCAATTCCAGCAGTCTTGCTGATCGAACTGTAGGTTGGGTCATCCTTGTATCGCTTTGTGAAGTCGTAAGAGGCAGATGTGTAGTAATCTGGTGCAATTTGCTTGACTGCTTTCAAGAACTCAGAGACTTGAGTAACTGGATCGCTGAGAGCAGGGATTCCGATTGTTTGGGCTTCATCCATGATTTCTCGATAGATTATGAGCCATCCTCCAAGTTTTGCTCTTTTGATTGATAGCATATGCTTGTTATATCTTTCCAATACCATTTGTTGTCTCCCAAAGTTGTCTGGCGCTAGCTGTTTTTCAAGAGCTTTTATGATATCCCTGACTGTTTGCTCCTTGCTGACTTGGCTGATATAAGTGGCTGCTACAGTGTTCATGATCCAACTGTGAATTTCTAGAAGACTTCGCCGAACCTGGTTGTATTGGTCTTTTTCTTCTTGATAGATAGCTTTTCCATAGCTGATAACGTTGCTATAGTTTGCTCGTTCTTCTTGTCTGAGGTCTTTTGGGTCTGGGAATTCCAATCTTGGCTTAGTATTAATCTTGGTTCCTTTTGGATTCACATAGTCCCAGACTTCATGAACGTTTGCCAGCATCTGTAAGTTGTTGAACCAGTGGTTCCAGTCGCTGTCAGTCTGTAGCCGCTGTGTGTATTTTGCAGTTTCCGTAGTTGAATTCATGATCTCTCTTGAAAAGAGAACTGGTCTCTCTCTTCTGATCGTTGTGCAGTTGATTTTTCGCCGTGGCCAAGATTGAGTTCGTGACTAGACACTTCTTGTTTCAAGTTGGTGATTTTGTCGATTGTTGCCTAGAGGTTTGAGGGTATATAGCCAATCTCAACGCCTCAATTCTCAACAAAACGCAAGACGCCCCCCCTGTCTAATGAACCTGCCGTTTAGTGTAGTTGGTCTAGCCACCCAACTTGTAGCTATTCGCAAGGACCGTAAGACTGGCAAGCTCCCCTTCGTGGGTTCAATTCAGGGTTGTGGAGTTTTCGCAATTTGTAAAAAGTCTTATCGGTTCCGTTACACGAAGACTATAAAGTGAACCACCTGTTCGTCTTATCTGCCCGAAGCTTTCAGAGGCATAAAATGAGCAACTAGGTGTCTCTTCCGTTTCGTAATTCCAACCCTCCTGGCTGCGTATCAGTGGTATGGTCGAGCATGAACTTATATAAGGTTCAAGTTAAGAGTCCTGGGTTCAACTCCTCAGATGTGGTAAGTCCCCCTGAGTTGAGATGAACTTTTTGTGATTTTTTGATAAGTGTTGATGATATGAATTGATGACCAGAAGTTCTTTTGTGATTGAATGTTTCAACACTTCAACGTTCAGCCTTGTGTGATTGGAATTGATGTTTTGTTTGGTGGACTTGACTGCCAAAGTCTCATGGGTCGGTAACTTCGTCAATTGAGTGCCCTTGTCTATGGCATAAGTCTGAACTGCTCCCTTCTGGAAGTCGGTTTTTCAATTGGTAATTGTCACCATGAGGTACTGGGCTCATAACTGTCACGCAGTCAATTTGCCCACCACTTATGGGGTAAAAAAAGATGCTTCCATTCCTTAGAGACTGTCTAGGGGTTATTGGGTTGATTATATAACCGTCTATTCGGTAATTACCGATTTGAAGGTTTTCATGCACAAAATGACATCCCCGTTAGTTTTATATGGGAAACAATAGCCGGGTGCATGGGTTGAATGCATGCCCCGATATATGCAGTGGTCCGTGTGACACAAGTCTTTGAGTGCGGGGAAAAGATGGGGTCCGCTGGAGGGGAATGGAGAACACCGAGTATCTTCCGGGCTGCAAGTAGTTAGTTGGAGGCGGTTGGCACATGGTCCGGTGGTAAACCAATAGTCTAATTACGTGGGCGTCAATTTTGACGTTCTCTGTAGGCAAAGAAATGTGATTCTGAATAGGTGATTGGCCATTAACATAACATTTATCTGTTGGTTGTTAGACAGCAGCATGACTACTGCTAATCGTGATTTTGTGCCGGGGCTGCTTATAACCTTAAGTCTGGCTTAGTTTGGCTGATCAAACAATTGTACATCGAATTTGCTATAAAAAAGTACTAGAATACCGTACCTAAATAAAGTCTTTTCCCACGATACCTTACTTACTTGTGCAGTTTACCAGTTTTTCACTGTTGAAAATGTTTTAAACCGAGTTTGACTTTTGACCTCGCGAACCTTTACCAAATGTGTCACAAACAGCAATTTTTGCGCGAGATCTTTGAAGCCCCCACATGACTCGATACTCGCCCAGACCCACTTCCCCGCGGTTGGTATCAAACACCAAATCGCGAGAATTTTGCTGTTTTAGGATTGTACGGCATCATTTTCCGCGGATTTTCAACCTCACAGGTAGATTCGATGTTTATGATTGGTCTACAGTTTGACGTTGGTCGGAGGCATGTCCAGCAGCTTCAGCCTCCGGCCATGGCATCTGGCACTATCGAGCCCCGAATGCCGCAGCACATCAACTTGGTGACTTCGACTACTGCAGTCATGTCGTACGTACATCCTATGATGAGGATAAACACCCGAGCTCCATCTTTGTGCATTCTGTTGTTTTGAGTCGCGTATATAAGACGAACGTTCTTCTTCTCAAAAGTATGTTTTCAGCACGCTAGCCTTCCTCGCATCTTTCCCATCCCGTTACCTCCAAGACTCTCAAAGCAGCATTGTAAACTCATATATACAAACCAGAGTCCCTAATTTCTCACATTTCACAAAATGGTTCAAAAGTTGAAGATTGGTGCCGCTGGCCTTGGCCGTATGGGCAAGCGTCATGCTGTCAACTTTCTGCACCGCACTCCCCGGGCGGAGCTCGTTGCCGCCTTCACCCCGGACCAGAACGAACTCGTGTGGGCTAGAGCCAACCTTGAGCCATACGGAGTCACCCTTTACACCGACTACGATGAGATGCTTAACCACGAGGGAATCCAGGCTGTCGTCATCGCAACGGTCACCAAGGTTCATGCGGAGGAGGCTATCAAGGCCATCAACAGGGATCTCCATGTCTTGTGCGAGAAGCCTATTTCTCTTAGCTTGGAAAAGGTGAGAGCGCCTTTCGAAAATGAGCCTGGAGCCGCGAGGAATATTTACTAATGTGCTACAGTCAACGGAGGTCGTTACTGCTGCTCAGCACAAGCCTCATCTCAAAGTCATGTGCGGCTTCTCTCGCCGCTTCGACGCGTCGTACAGAGATGCTTTCGAGAAGGCAGAATCCGGTCTCATCGGTAGGCCATCAATCATCAGATCGCAAACCTGCGACAAGCATGATCCTAGCGGTTTCTTCGTGAAGTATGCTGCGCTGAACGGTGGCTGCTTTGTTGATATGAGTGGTGCGTACCTAACATGCCTGTGCACCCTGCCGCGTGTCTTGCTGATCTAACATATATACGCAGTCCACGACATTGACCTGGCGATGTGGTTCTTTGGCGAGGATTCCGTTGTGAAGTCAGTCTCCGCTTCAGGCATCACCGCTGTATCACCCGAGTTGAGAGAGCACGGCGACTGCGATAACGCCGTCGGAATCGTCGAGTTCTGGGGCGGCAAGATCGCCTACTTTTACAACTCACGCATGATGGCACACGGACAGGAGGACACCACCGAGATCATCGGCACTGGCGGCAAGCTGACCGTCAACGGCAACCCCCAATCCAACTTTGTCAACATTTACGGACCTCAGGGTATCACGAGGGAGGTCCCTGCGCACTACTATGGAAGATTTGAATACGCATTTGTTGCCGTAAGCTATACCGATGCTCTTGCAGAGTAAATATGAGACTTGAAGCTAATAATGAAAACAGGAGGCAAACGAGTTCACCGCTGCTGCCCTCGACAATACCAAGTTGCCCATTAAGTTGACTGGAGCTGTCAAGGCCGTACAGATTGGCTCTTACTTGCAAGAAGCGCTCGAGACCGGCAAGAAGCTCTACTTTGATGAAATCGGCCGTCGCATTGAGAAGACTACCAAGTTGTAATTAGGGATCAGAGGATTATTAGACAGGGTCATCAAAAATTTTCGTTTTACCAACTACTGCGTTGAGTGATTTAACTAGTTTACGTAAATTCCCAATGGAAATCAAATTAACTATCCATATAAACCTGGAAGAGCATTGAGGAAGGTCGTGAGTTCTAGCTCATCATACTCGGTAATACGCTAATCGTGCAACATCCTTGTCTCAACCAATCATCGCAGCTGCATATTTAAATACTAAATACTAACAACAGTACCACCCCTCACTTTCCCTTTTCTGAAAGTAAATATCCAAATGCACTGCTTCTATCATCTTGTGACCACTGAAAAATCAACTGCTCATTAAGGTCCTTCGTCAGCCAGCCTGTCCTTTTGTGAATTTTTTCCAGGAACTCTAAGCTCTCTCTTTGCTCTTTGGGATTAGTAAGGTAAACGCCGCCTTAGTGGGCAAGTTAGAACGTTTTTGTTTGGAATCCTATGGGCGGTCACTCACAAGCTCTTAATGTGTGGGCTGCCGTGAAGCTGGCGTTTACAACCGAGGGGTTGCTTATAGCCAAACCCAACAACACTCTAAAGTTGTCCAATACCGCTTTCTGTATAATCTCAGACGAGCCACTTACGCATGGACAAACGCGACATGCAGACTTACATCCGACTCTCTTCTTTTCTTAAAAGTGTCAAAACTTGGTTTACTAAGGTACGGGTTGAAGATGTGCAGAACCATACGGGCAAGGCTGTAGTGCTGGTATCCAACCACTATAATTCGGTAAGAAAAAAAGCAGGAACTCGCGGGGGGGGGAAAGGACATCTTCACCATGCGCAGGATGCGTCATCCATATTGTAGGAAACGCGGAACCATTAGCGCTATTGTCGTGCGGTGGCTCCACCCAAAGGGGGTCGGCATGCCAAGGATTAGAGACAAGCCATGTGCCCAGGTCTTGGTTAAGCTTGTTCCACCTGGCAAGGTCTCTTATGCCGACTGGCTGGAACGCATAAGCTATTGCCTGGGCGCAGAGGAACACGGCTTGGTTGGCTAGGCACTCCGGCTCTGTTCGAACGAAGGAGCTGGAGCCTTTATAGCTGTCCAAGTTGATGCTTATTGGCTGAGACTTGACGAGTGCGACCCAGTAGTCTTGGCGGAGAACGATCCAGCTCGCTGCTTCTCCCAGGCCGCCTTTACTCGCCAAGCTGAACATTGAGTTTAAAAGCTTGGAGCTACCGGATAGATGGACGCCAAAGTCGGTATCTAGGCAATGTCAACATGCGATATCCAAGTGGTCATTTCTCAAGACCTACCCGTCATCTCTTCGTATTGCCTGAGTATCACGATAGCAGCCAGGACCTCTTCGTTCAGAGCCTCAAACGAGCTATCCAGGAGTGGAATGAGAATCTGCAGAGCATGGCTGTAATATGAGGAAGGTTTAGAGTCATCTGTTCCGGCGATGGAACAAAGGCTCCGAGATGCGAGAGCAATTATTGAATAAGCCAGCAACGGCGAGTGGCAGGCCCTTTTGGGCACTTCTGTTCCAAAATGACGCTTTGCATCGCAAATGTCGACCTGCACCACCGAGTTACCTTGGAACACCCAACATTGTGCGCTATTAAGCTTACCCACATGGAGAGATCTTGTATATAGTGCATGAATAACCTGGCTTTCTCTGGGTCTTTGAATGGCCGTCCAATCCCATGTTGACTTGGAGATGGTGGGATAAGACCAGGTGTTGTGGAGTTGTGACGGCTTAATGAAAACTGTTAGACAGTGGTGCTTACATGGACATTTGAAAAGGAAAAGGGAAAACGCAAAATGACAACAAACCTGTTCTCATCGTCAGATTTCCTACGCCCTTCTTCTCTGGAGTTGCAGATGTCGAGAAGAGATGGCAATGCGGTCGCCCATGCCTGGCTTGATGCATCATGCTCAGGCATCCCGGCCGCCGCAGCGAGGCGCCGAGAAAATATGACAGCAGCAACTATCTCTTCCTAAAGTGGATAAGTAATCGAAAAAAGAAGACAACTGCGTAGGCTCCGTAACTATTGGCGAATGGATGATGCTTCCGAAGATTCTGCTGCAGGGGAACGGGTGCAGGAAGAGGTGTGCGGGCTTTCATTTCCTTGTCCAACTAAAAAAAGAGGCAATAGCCGCGAGAGCCGACCCCGCATTTTACCCCGCAAAATTTCCCCAATGTCCACCTGCCTCCTCCTCTCCGACAAACCTTGTCGCAAAGCAATTTGGCGAGTTTGTTCACAGCTCTTGTCTAGTGGAAATGAAAATCCATACCGTTCCTAGACCATTCATCTGACCTTTGATCTTTCAAAAGAGTTGGATAATCATTCACCTGCACATGTATTGAAACAGATGCTTAGTTTCAACTCGAATTTAAAACACGAACTTGATTAATTATTAAATTCAGTGTGATTATGACCACTTGAATTTGATGTAATTGGGGACTTCACAGGTGCTAAACTTAGTATCTGGCCGAAGATCTACCTCGAAACCAGAAATCCGTAAAAAACCAGATTATCCTTCTAGCGCGATCCGATTTAAACCTCCTTGGTCTGCGTGTCATTCTTCTTCTTTTGCTCGTCGATAGTAATCTCCGCAGCCTCGGTGTGGGGGCCGAGTCCGACGAGTTGACTGCCCTTCTCAACGTGGTTGGCGCCACCGAACAGAACGTCAATCTCTTCCAAGGGGACCTGCTTGGTCTCGGGAATGAAGAACCAGACGTATGCGACGAGGAGGAAGTTGACCGCCATGAAGAAGAACAAGCACTTGAGACCAGTGTTCTTGAGGAACGTGGGGAAGAACTGCTGGAAAATCGTGTTGGCGACGTTTTGTGACTGAGAGCACATTCCGACGGCCTGGGCTCTGATGTTCATGGAGAAGACCTCGGCAGTGTAGATCCACACGGTTGCGCCCCAACTAAAACGCATGAGAGTCAGTAGATGTCTTTTTAAATAGATCTGGGGTTGGGAGGGCTAGGCTTACCTGGGCTTGTAGAAGAACGCAAACAAGAAGAGCAGGAAAACGATTGCGATGCCAACCGACTGCGACTTGACACCTCCCGGAAGGTCTGGAGTGGTCAAGCTGACGACGGGGACGAGAACCATGCAGAGACCCATACCAACGGCACCGACCATGAACAGCCATCGACGTCCATATCGGTCAGCGGTCCACATGGCATTGAGGGTGAAGAGAATACCAAAGGTTCCGTTGAGCGCGTTGATGAGGTTGATGGTTCTCGTGTCGGGCCAAACCTTGCGGTAGATGGCGGTGGAGTAGTTGTTGAGGGTGCCTTGGCCGGTAAGCTGCTGGCCGACGTTGAGAATCATGGTCAGGAAGAGACGCTTGCGGACCGAGGGGTCCTTGAACAGGGCGGTGTAGTTGGTGCTGATGGCCTCCTTCTCGTATTCGATAGCCTCGCGGATGCTGAGAAGCTCCTGCTCGGCGTCTTCTTCGCTGTTTCGGAGGGAGAGCATGGCCTTGCGAGCCTTCTCTGGCTTGTTCTTCTTGATGTACCATCTGGGGGATTCGGGGATGGTCCACAGCAGGGCGCAGACAATGGTGGGAACGAGGATCTGGAAGATGACGACCATGCGCCAGTCCCAGTCGCCGAGCTTCTCGCGGTTCAGACTGCAGGCGTAGTTGATCCAGTAGGCGATGAAAGAGCCGACGGAGAAGTTGAGCTGCCAGAAGGTCATGACAACACCTCTGATTTCGGCGGGGGTAATCTCGTTGATGTAGACGGGTCCAGCAGCTACCGGCAGTCAGCGACTCAAATGTTCTGCATGTTTTTTTCTTGGGTATGTCTTACTCAAAGCCAGTCCCTGGCCGATACCGATGATGACACGTCCAGCAATAAAAACGCCCAAGTTGTGACGCGGCGCAAACGCTTGCATGAAAGCAGCAACGATGGTGACGAGACAGCCAGTACCCATACCGACACGACGTCCACCCCAGTCAGCCTTTGTTACGCTGTCAGCTATCGTCACCAAACTCTACTTCAAGTGTGTGTATTCCTACCAGGGGGCCGCCCATGAAGAAACCGGCAACAATAGCGCCAATGGTGTAGGCCGTGTTGATGAGACCAATGAGTTGAGTGTCCTCATCCTGTAGTTTGTCTTAGTATTTGGCTGCAATGCAGAACAAGCTCGAATGATCATACCTTGTTGAGGTCGAAGTATCTCAGCCAGTTGTCTGACGCCTGGACGGAATTGAAGACGGAAGCATCGAAGCCATAGAGAACCATGCACATTGCCGCCAAAAGGGCGGAGTACCTGAACAGACGCGAATGTTAGTGAAACGTAGCAAGACAACTTGCTGGGAGGGTGTAAACTCACCAACTGTAAACTTTCCCTGACATCGCCATCTTGCCTGATCTAGTCTGTTCGGACAGGCAAATAAGCAGTTGCAGTTTTCTTCTGGTTGTAGAATGAAAATGGTCCAGAAAAGACTCGTGTGTAGTTCCAACCGGCGAGGCGCCCGGGGAGTATTATACCAACCCCAGGATTTTTATTTATTTATTTTTTTACCCCGTGGAGTATTATCTCCCACCCCGTGGAGTGATAGGCGGCGCAACCTGGGGTAAGGGGAGCAAGTGTGCGCGCCGGCCAGATTGGATGAATCAGGTTGCTCATTGACACATGCGGGTGCATGGTTGTGCGTCCCTCCCCCCCCCCCCTAGATGCCGCATTGGGGAGAGCGCGTCTTGGTTTGCTGCCGCCCCAATGGACTTTTGGTTCGATCCATCGCACGATAGAGGTAATGTTGGTGCGATTTTCGCCGAGCCGGACACAAAATCCCTCCTATCAGAAAAACGCCATGTACCAAGACCCAGGGGGGCGGGCACTAAAAAATCACTATCAGCAGAAAAAACAATCCATCGAGACTTACCCTACTTGATCGTTGGCGGTAATTTCTGCCTCATCAAAATGCGCAGATGAAAAAAAACACACACCTGCAAGGCTCCGGGGAACGTGGTGAAAAGAGCCTCGATGCTCGGCGTCCTATTTAACCGCCTTGGCCGAAAGATCATGAGTTTGACCTCGCACACCCAAAGCGGTGTACTAAGGCCATCCCACCGGGTAATAATGCATTGAAAGATGTAAGCGGCGTTGTCAAAAACATGAATGGCACCAATAGGCCCCTAGGATCAAAGGTGTCATGGCAGTCAACTATAACTTGAAGACATGCAATGCCGCATCACTGCACCCTCAGCGACACATATGAATAATGCACGAGAGTTGCGTATGCCCTGCGGATGTAAGCAAAAAAAAAAAAAAAAAACACCGAAATGGTGCTTTCGATCCTAATGAATTTGGGCTTGAACAAGCTTCCCTGAGATGGCCAAGATGCTTGGCGTGTATTTTGGTCCGGCTCAGCATAAGCTGTGGTGGTCTTGGCGTACAGACTGACCCGGCTTGGTCTCAGCCACCAACCAGAATTATACCGAAAGTGGTGTGAAGGAGGAAAACAACTTCCGAAATCTCTCCAGCTTGGACGACTAGATGTATGTGAAAATGACGACGACTTTTTTTTTTTAATCCATTCACATTGAAGGTTAGTGAAGGCGAGGGGGCTGTTGTGTAGTGGAAAGGCCAGTGCAGCTGACCACTGGATGTACATTAAGCGATATGCAGCTTGTAGATAGTGAGAGAACACTAGACTATTTGTGCTTGAATTGCTCCTTTCGTGTCTGACAAGGATCTCATCCCATGTCGACCTACAACATGGTAACAGTCAGCCTTTTTACGGACATTGTGTTTACTGTTGCCTCTCAAGTCACGGGCTAATGAAACGTGACCGGTCGCCTTACCAGTGGCATTTCACAGAGCGTCCAGCCAAGTTTTGATACACATACTATCGGGTGCGTTTGAAGTATGTACAGATGTACAAGTTCCTATCACGCCGACTTGCCCTGGTTTGGGCCAAGGTTGGCAACGGAGAAATTGCGGGTCTTCACAAGTCAGCCCTTGGGCGACAACTACGAGGCAATCGGACTGTGGGTGAAATATTTTCTCCATGTGGTCAACTATAATTCAAATAAACCGACGGAAATTCACCGTCCAAGAGTTCCAGACTGGATTGCCGGGCACCGAACGAGCCTCGGCGTTGATAGCCACAAGTGGCAAACGCTATCGATTTCCAAGGGCGTGGGACATTTGCACGCTGCAGCTCGGCCGACGACCACCGGCCGAGGCCGGCGAGAGGAGTGACAACTGAATACCTGCATAGCCTTTGACAAGTAGTAATTAGATGCCGTCTGGATAGGCGTTGGGCGACTATTTGAGTGGAACATTGGTTCCGGTGATACTTATAAGCTTAAGTCTAGTTCATACTTTGAACCCACTTTCGATATCACCCCTCTCCATAAGGCCTTTGCAGATTCCACGTCTTCGACTCGAAGGCAATTGTAGATTCGAGGTCCTATCATGGTCGCGAGTGTCCATCCCAAATTCAGATGTAAGCACTCAAAGGAAGGGCATCTCCCACTGCAACCACACACACACACACACACACACACCCATTAAACGGCAGGCCAGCCACGTTGTATTTAACCGGACGATTAGGCCCATGAACCGACCCTGATGTTGGAGTTTTAGGGGGGGAAGGAGAACTGCATGCGGGGGAGTCGCGGGCTAAGGTCATGTAGACTGCCCCCTTTCAGGGCTGAGCTACCCCGCAATGCAGGTCGTGGATGTATTGGAGGAAATGTTGGTGTGCACTTCGCTTCAAGTTGACGCGAACGCCTTATTCCCGTGACAAGGTGGCTGTCTTATAAGAGTTACGAGGTCGCAGAGCGAAACTCGGATGTATTAAAGTACCGGTGTTTCTACTTAACTATAGCGTGTCTGGGACAAGAACTATGGTACGTCCAATACATACTTATACTCGCCGTGATGGTAGAGGTGTCCCATAGTTTATCCCTTAACAATGCTCCGTTACTGAATATTAGTTGTCTCCGTCGAGGAAAACATAACGACCAGTAGGTTAAAAGATGGAGAAGCTCCGGGAAACAAGTTTCGATTTCAGCTACATGACTATGTGATTACCTGCGGTTACCGCAGGTTGCCGATCAACAAATCCAACCAAGCCTTGTTTAGTCCCCAAATTCACCTGTATTTTTGCGGAATGCGGACTCCACAGGAGATAGCCGGACGGCTTATCATCCCATGCAATATCACGGGGACCCCACGCATCGCTATTCTTGGCCGTTTAATTCCTCATGTTGCTTAGTGTGATTGTTCACCAAAACAAACATTTGACGCCTCAAGTCCGCAGACTGGTGACTCAGCAAGCCAAAGCTCATAATCTTACCGCAAACCCTAACTTTCGTCTACGATGGCTACAGTCAATCCCGCCCAGCTCCCCCTCGAAGACCAACTCATCCATCTCCGCACCGTGCTCTCTTCCAATCCCACCCTCATCACCGTCCTTCATCGTTCTGCAACGCTCAATCTCCCCAATTGGTACCTTGCCGCTGGCGCTGTCTCCCAAACGATCTGGAACTTTGTCAGCGGCAAGCCCGCCGACACGGGGATCCACGATTACGATTTGGTCTACTTTGACGATTCTGATTTATCTTGGGAGGCGGAAGACGTCGTGATTCAAGCCGGCAAGAAGCTGTTCGCGGATATCCCCGTCGAGGTCGAGATCCGGAATCAGGCACGTGTGCATCTATGGTACGAGAAGAAATTCGGCGTTCCATCTCCAAGACATGAGTCCGTGGAGGCCGGTATAGATACTTGGATCTCAACGAGCGCGATGATTGGGGTTCGGCTGTTGGATACCGGGGAATGGAGAGTTTACGCGCCGAGAGGCCTGTCAGACTTCTTCCGCATGGTCGTGAGGCCGAATGCGCAGGTAGGTACCAAGGAGAAGTACGAAGAGAAAGCTAGGCGCTGGCTGCAAATCTGGGACCGATTGACGGTGGTGCCTTGGTCTGACGCAGAGGTGCCCCATGAACCCAAAGTCATGATTTATGATTATTCTGCCTTTTAAAATGTATTTCATTATTCCTCCGTCACTCTAGCATCTTTAGAAACCACTCCTATCAACAATCATGGCTCCAAGCATCTTCACCACCGCCTCCCGTCCTTTGTTCGCATACCTTTCCAAATCGTCCCCGTACTTCTCCTCAAACTTGCCGTCAAAAACTTCAATGCTCAACCAGCCCCTGAACCCCGTACTCATGACCGCCTCCAAGAATTGCAAAATCGGCAGGTATCCGCCGTCATACGGCAGCGGCCGGTAGTCATGACTCCACCGGCCCCTCGGCCGCAGCCCGGACTCATCGGGCTTGGCATCAAGCGGCGGGCTGACCTTGTACGCGTCGCTGATCTGCAGGAAGAATATCTTCTCCGGGGGAACCGTCTTGGCCAACTCCTGCAGGGAAATCTCATACGTCAACTTCAGCTCCTTTTCCCCGAGACCGCCCGTCTCGATCCGCCCGGACTCGGTCGTCGGGTCGCCCCACTCTCCGCCGGCAGACTGGAACGTGTCGAGGCAGAGCCCGAGGTTGGGCCGGTTCGCAAGCTGCACAATCTTCCACACGTCCTTCCAGGAAGCTGCGTGCGTCGCCCAGCACCAGTTCTCGTACGCCACCTTGAACCCCCGCGTCGCGAGAAGGTCGGCAAGTTCAGCGAGGTCGGCCACCAGCTCCGAGATGGACGCCGTGATGTCGGGAGAGTCGGACGAGCCCACCTGCAGCATGTCCGTCCCGACGGCGCTCATGATCTCCATCCACCCCTTGGCGCGCTTGAAAGCGTCTTCGCGCTCCTGGCTTCCCTTCGGCCATCCCTCAAAATTGGAAAAGGGTTGGAGGACCATGATCTGGAGTTGCATCTTCTCGCAGAGCTTGCGAAGGATCTTGCCGGCCTCGCAGAGGGAGGGATAGTCATCGTCGGCGACCTCTTTGTTCAGGTGCCGATTGGCAAAGGATTTAAGATCGGGGAAGGAGAGCTCAATGCCGTTGAAGCCGGCTGAGGAGATGGCCTGTAGCTTCTGCTCGAGGGTATGCCGTTGGAGGCCGATGGAGCAAGATGCAAAAGAGAGGGGGTTGCCGAAAGGCGACGTGACTGGGTTTGACATTTTGGCTAATTTATTTATTGCTCAAATGGTATATGAAGCTAGAATGATTGTGATCGGAATTGGAACGATGCACACGTGTAGGGGAACTTGTAGTTGAGGCGGATGTCGATATACACCTTGCGGTCCGATGATGTCAGCATTGTGATGTAAAGGGCATGTCACTCTCAACGCCAACCCCACAAATTGTGGTTTTGATTGAACTCGACAATTTGAAAGTCTCAACAGTCTATTCGAGTACAGACGTATATATGTTTGCTCTATGCTCTATTATCCTTCAGACAAACAACCCGCCTGCTAATGTACATTTATTCGCTGCTTTTACTACCTAGCGCTGGCGGCAAGCTTCTGTGTGATTCATGTATCTAGGTAATCAATCTTCCTTCGGCTGCTGGTTGTTGGTAATTTCGGCCCTTTTCACCGACTGGATAAGTCCAATTGCAGCGGCTGCACTCGCGCCGTCTTCAATCTGCGTGGTCCAGAAGGAATCATGGCCCATGGCACGAATCGACTTGCGGCGCTCCCGTTCAGCGACCGAGAGCATGAGTCCCGCCTGCTTGTTGGCTTCCAGCTCCTCGAGGTGTTTGAGGCGCGTAGCGTAACGCTGCTGGCGCTGCTTGCGAATCTGCTTGGACCCGACGCGTTGCAGGAGGAAGCGCACCATGGCGCGGAGGCAGAGGAAGATGTGCTCGCTGATGAAGATGGTGATTGGCAGCGCCCACCAGGCTCCGTGGCCGATGCTGTTCGCTCCGAAGAGGTGCACGATTGCGCCGGTGGAGATGCTGCCGGCCCAGGTCAGAATGTCAAGAGAGGTGATCCACGGGCCGATGCCGTCTGTTCGGACGGGGGCCGGGCGTTGGTGTTCGTGGCAGATTTTGAGGAAATCGGTGCGTAGCTCGATGACATTGTTGACGAGAAAGCCGATGGGGATTAGCGGCCATACGGGGGAGAACAGCGAGAGGTAGCCGAACTGAAGGACGATCTCGGCGATGTCGTCTTGGACGTTGTACTTGTCGAGTGTCGCCTGGTTGCGTGCGCTTCGGAGGAACCGAGCCTCTTCGGGGTCGTCCTTGACAATTGACAAGAGCATGCTATCTTTGGAGTGTGATCTCTTGTACTCGCGGTAGATGTTTTGAGCCTTGTGTTTGAGAACAGGCATGATGTTCTCGTCAAAAAATCCAGAAATTTGCCCCGTGACAACTAGAGCGATGACTTCGTCCCGTAGCCTGTCGGAATCAACGTGGAAAGTGAGGTCGTCGTCCATGTACTTCTGTCCAACAGCGCCCAGGAACGACTTGGTCATGCGCTCCAGCCAGGGAACGACATCGTCTCCAAAGGGAACATAAATGAAAGCGGTTATAAGGATCGGAAGGTAGTTGGTGATGATGTTGAGAACGAAAATCTTTTGCGTGAGGGACATCTCGTGGTAATCGGCCGTTCGATGGTTTTCATATTTCGTTAGAGCGGTAGCGACATCTTCAAGAGCGCTGCTGATGTAGGGAAGTGCAACTGCGAGTAAACAAGTTGGGACGTATTCCTGCAACCGTGTCAGTCAAGTTTGTGCAGATACTGGCCAGTTGGAGAGATCCTACCATGAGGTTCTTGTAGGGCCCATCATATCCCTCTGAGATGAGGACTTCGATGGCAAAGACGAGAATGATGATGGTGCCGAGCGCGACAGCCGAGAAGAGGATGAATGGTATTTGAAGGAGTTGGCGGGTCACTTGTTTCCATTTGGGAAAGTAGCGCTTCGTTCGTCCAGCTTCATCTGTAATGATCTTTTCCCATTTGAATTGAGGCCGGTCCACTTTGACCTTGCCGATGCCTTGCACGTTCCAGCGAATGCTTAGGTCGACCTCTTGAATCTTCCAGTACTCGAGGAAGACGGTGCACCAGACACACGTCGAGATGGCGTAGGTGAGGGAGTATTTGGACAGGTATACCCACGCAATGACACCGGTGAGCGCAGGGAATGCGAGAAAAACGAGGTACGTCTGGATGAAAGCGAAGTAAAAGGCGACCTAAAAAGAAATGTGAGTTAACGATGCAAGAGATGGTGATGTCGAACAACTGACCTTTGTTCCCCAAAGATCGCGAATGGAATCGAGGTCATCGGTAGTCAGAAAAAGGCGCTTGCTGAGATGCTTGAGGAGAGACTCGTTTCTCTCTTCATTATGAAGAGGGAAAATGGACTTGACGTTTTTCCATTGTCCTGTCTCTGGAGTGATTCCTGCACCACCAAGCGACTTGGGCCAATTGACTAGATGATAGACAGAAAGGATGTCCTCAGCCTCAAAAGCACCGTCAACGATGGTAGTTTTGCTACCACCAGGGTGTTCAGGGATAATCCCATAAAGCCAGTCCTTCACTCTAAAGACACATGTCAGTCGTCGGGTGGGCCGGGATGAGAAAACCGCTCAAAGCACCCTTACCTTGATTTGTAGACGGTGTTTCCAAGAAGCTCACGAGGGGCCTTGACGAATATGAGAAGGGTTTGCTCATAGCCCGCTCTCACCTCGGTCTGGAGTCCAGCAGACTCAAGGTCGTTGAGAAGAGTAGTTAGCTCCTTGACGGCAGTCTCGGAGTCTGAAAACCGTTAGCAAGGGCACATGAAAAAGCAGCGAGGCTATCTGCAAAGACACTCACCGATTTCACTGAAATCATATGCCACAACATATTTGTCGTTGTAGGTTTGCGGATTGCGGGGAAGGTGGTTCAAGGGGTCTATCACCCCTAGCTTCTCCATTATGCCCATCCTCCCCTCCACACGAATCGCGACGGCAGTGGGAGAAAAGGCGTGATTATGTAGGCCTGGGAAAGGAACGTCGGCACGGCCGATGTGATGTGCGTAGTAACCAGACCCACGGATGGGGCTGACGCGAAATGGGGGGCAATTAAAGGGAGAGAAAAAAAAAAAAAAAAAAAGGACGTCAACGTCGGTACGATCAACCGTAAGAGGGATTTGGAGACACTAGAGGGGCCCAGTTCAGGTGTGACCCAGCACGTTGGCTCCGTCCGAAGATCTGAGTTGATGTTGGAGGGCCGACAGTGACATGACCTCTCGTACCTTTGGGTGCAGGAAGAGCGAGAACAGATTTCGGGAAATTGAAACTTTCGGCCCAGGTAAAGGGAGCCGGAAAAAAATGTGGCCCTGGCTTTCCCCCCAGTACCTGGAATATCCGCAGCCCACGCGCTCCGTGATGTCTCTATTGGGGAGGGTTTAACATGAGCTGAACGCGTCAGCGACTCCACATGCCCAGAGTTTACGCTGCCGCAGAGCCGCGCACAAGGCTTAGCTCGCTGGAATAGGCGTGGCTCGCCCATCAAGGCGGTCGCTGATTTTCCATGCGGAGGCTTCTTGGAGTGGCTGAAAAGATACGTGTAGATGCTATGATAGAGTCGCGCCATAGTGAGACAACTTTCAGCTGGGATGTACCACATGAGGAGGTTCTTGGGACAAGTGACTAATGAGATTTTGAGAACATCTACTACGCAAGGCTAGGTAGGGCTGGATGATCAAAAGTGAACATCAGCAAACCGGCCGGTCGGCACAGCTACTCCATATTTCCAGGGTTAGATTTGAGCGAGGGTCTTCCCAGTACTATTTTTAGCCACAGAGTTGCTGATGTAAGGTAAATATTGTCCATCATGTGACATCATCCACTATGTGTGGCTACCTACACCTGGCTCACCGACGTGTCGTAGCTCACCTTGTCATCGACATCCACAACAGCCTCACTAAGGCAAAGTACAAGTTGCGGGCATGATACGTCTTTTATTCTACTGTTACTGTAAACACTTTAGAGACTACTCACTACTATTTCAGCAATAGACACAGTGACTTTTCATAACCGTCTTTTTGGACACATCATATTTCAAATGCATCTTGAGCCTCTTCCGTTTCCCTCATCGCCTTCTTCTTGTCCCACTCAGTTCCTTGCCCATCAACACCTGGCCATCCGGCATCTATCATGATCTGCCTTCTCTTCAACTGGCTCTCATTAGGTGATGCAGGATCATCTATCTGAATCACACCGCCGCTAACGAGATCCGGCAGCCAGTTCAGAACCAGATATTGCTCCATGCAAAAATCGAAGAATGTTTTGATGCGGTAGGTAGGCATGCACTTCCATCCATCTTTTCCATACGGGTCTTCATTTTCGTCGTAAAAGTCCGCATCGAAATTTCCAGTCCAACGAGGAAGATTGCCGTCATTCTTCCATAAAACCACAACTCCACGCCTAGTGTCAATGAGAAGAGTATAGCCATCACGTCTGCCTTCTGCAAAACGAAGGATGTGCCCGGGTAGTCTCTCATCAGTGTCGTCTTCAAGAGGTTCAACGGGAGGCAATTTTTTGACTTCCTCACAAAACTGCGTGTCGATGTATTCGATTGGGCTAGTGGACTCCAAGATACAGGGAACTGCATCAGGGCCAGTCACCAAGTATGGAATATGTCGCAAGAGTTTGATAACTTCTTCTGTTTTACCGAGGCCAGCAAAGGACTCGACCGTAATTTGCGGCCAGCCAGTTGGCGGCGGACGTTCTAGGATTGCCATATCCTCTCCGTGAATTCGCAGCATAAGTTCGTAGAACGATGTAATGCCTTCGACGGTTTCGTCGTGCGAGTAGTATTCGGGGAGTCGCTCCATTGTGGAAAACACAAATGCTAGCACAAAATCTGCTTGGGTGTGCGAATGAGCGAGGCGCGGGAGAGGCTTGTGGTGTCTGAAGGTGAAGTTGGCGGTTGATTTGGACGGGCAGACGATCTCGGTTGATTAACTACCTCGTCCGCCCAACGGTGCGGGGTTAGTGGCTGGTTTAAACTATGACGAGACATTTGCTTGCTTGGATTGAAATACCTGACCAACCCAACAGTGGGGGTGGCATTGTTGGATGAATCCTTACAATCACTGGATAAATGCAGTTGGGAAGCCCGCCAACAGCAAAATGTCCCCGATCAGTAAATTTTCCCTTGGAACTCTCAATCTGAGCAAGCTTGTCCCGCTAAAAAACATGCATTGGAGATATCTATATATAGAAAGCCATGTTTAAGCCCCCGAAGAAAATCAGGAACCCCAACATGATACTTTGTCCTTGTACTGTGTTGGTTCAAATGGAACAAGTACGGCCGAACCAACAAGTTCCAAATGTTTGAAATCGGCCCTGACGCCAATACCATCCGTATTGAAGTGGTCCAGTTGCTTCAAAAGATTGAGCAGAGCAAGAGACGGGCTCCACACACCGGACTTTGGGGGATGGAGGCGAAAAGTTTCATATCGTGGGAATCCATATGGGGGCTTTTTCGGGGGCAGGAATTAGACAGATTTATCGCTGCGTTGGAAGCGAGCCATTGCGACCAACACGCAGCTACTCATTTCATGAGCAAGTTTAGAAATAAATCTCAAGTAATTTTGGTATTTAAAACGTCGAGTATCGGCTAGTGATTAATCTATCAACGTAGATGAAATCATCAAACGCATGTTGTTCTCGTCCTTCAAATCATCACTACTATCTACAGAGTAACGGCTAAGCTCAAAAATGCGAGCGTCAATCTTCTGCTCCTTGTCATTGTGCTTTGTCTCTGTTATTGCACATAAAGATGGTCTTGCTTCCGGTTTAGTAGCCCGCCAGACAACAGATGCCCAAATCATTGTTGCGTATTCGTCTACGGGTCAATGCTTCGACTACTTCAAGAATGGAGACCGAGACAAGTCTCTTGCTCCTTGCAAGATATGGTGTAAGGACAAAGGGTCTGAAAATTACGGCGTATGTCATTTTGTTCCGCTAACGGTGTGCTTTCGTCCGACTAATTATGAATAACTTTGTGTAGTGCAAAGGTTCCGGTATACCGAGAGAAAAATGGGACAAGTCCCTCATTTACAAAGATGAAGCTGGAAACGAATGGGTTCCCGGAAAATGCGAATGCAATTTCGAAATCGCTGAAGAGATTTTGGGCATTGTAGTCGAAGCACTTGAGAATGTGGACAAAATCATCTGCGCCGCCATGCTGGAGTCCTTCAACACCATCTTACAAGTCGGCATCACTGCAGTCGTGCCTGGGGCACCTGCTGTGAGGGCTGCAGTGACTGGGGCCAAGACTTTCCTCGAAAACGGCTTGGATGCCGCCTCCTTTTTCGGTAATTGGGTTGGCAAAGCTTGTGACGTGCCGTCTTGGGACTTTGATCTTTTCGCAGTCTTCAACCCGCTCACCAATGCACCCGACTCAATAGGCAAATCCAAAGGCTGCTTGAAGAAGAATAAGAGCAACTGCAAAAGAATGGAGCCCAAACCAGATCCTCAGCCATCATCTAAGCCAGATCCTGAACCGTCGCCGAAGCCAGATCCCCAGCCAACGAACAAAGCTGCTGCCACTGAAAGTCTTGAAGGGACCGCTCAAACACTGTCACCAGTAGCAACATCAGCTGTATCATCAGCATCTGCCTGTAAGATCGGAAGGCGTGCGAATGACGATGACTCACAAATATTTGGAGAACCGGAGACATCAACTGAGGACTGCGGCCAGGGCAAGACAATTCATATCACAAGCACATCTAAAAACATGGGGTTTTATGAGCAAGAGGTGCCAATGACTTGTTCAAAGCAGTGGACCCAAGCATGTTACCACTACAGGTAAGTCTTGTCCGTGCCTTTTCAACCACCATCGTGAGATCACAGCTTTGACAGTATCGTTTCAGGTCAGTCATGAGTGTACACACCAATACGCCCGACATGGTGCGATGGACTTGTGGCGCAACAGGGGGAACAAGCCAAACCGGTAAAGCAACCGACAAGTGGGGCTCTATAGGGATCGGGCGAATAGTTAGAAATGCTCAGCATTGGTTTCCTTGGGTCAACGGTTTCGTTGCGCGGACAACCTTGGGAGACCCAAACGACAAGACCCCAAAATTCAAAGGCTGCGAGAGAGACGAGTGGCCACCGAGATACTTTTGGCCAGGCGATACGAAAGCAAATAAGAAAAAGCTGGTGCAAAGAATTCGGCTTATTGAGTGGCATGAGAATGGGGGTGCTGGTTCAATGTTCAAGGGGTTTTGCCACAACAACAACGCCTCATACCTAAAGGCAGATCAAAAACTATATCTCCAGAGGGAATATGTCAGAACAATCGGTCAGGCTAGGGTCGAACCACCAGATGCGAAACAAAACCCACCGAGTAAGTAACACGAAAGAAAGTAACCCTCTGACCGAAGCTAAGTTGATCTTGTAGCCATTGTAAGCCACGTATCTATCGATACCATGCGAGCAGTATTCACAATCAAGGATTGGGACGGCCTTCCAGAAGAAAAAGACGGTGCGCCCAAATGGGATGGTTTGAAGGAAAACAAGTGCTGGCCGAGCCTATTGGCCCCCGAAGACCCTGGGTTTGCGTTACTTACAAACGACGAATTTTACCAGCAGGGACAGCACCCAGAGTTAGCTCATCATACCCCAGGGTACCGAGGCCTTCCGGATCTAAGGGTATTGAAGAAGGTGCTGGAGGACCTGAACGATGAGCCGCCTTGGCCATACAGCAGCATCGACATCGACACCTTCAATAAGAGGGCATTTGACGCCAGAATGATTCCTGACGAGTACAGAGGAGTGTTGCCGGGAATCCCAGCACCTCCTAACGCCGTTCAATCCTCCGACGCCGTCCAGTCATCCGGCGCCGTTCAGCCATCAGATCAAGCTCAGTCTTCTAACGCTGTTCAATCCTCCAAGCCGCTTGTTGTACCCCACGTTGTGAGGCGAAATGTAACCGAGTTCACGGAAGATGACTCGGATGACTTTGAGTGGGCCGATCTTGATGTGGACGTGGATGATTTCAATGATCAAGAACTGGATCTCTGGATTGAAAAATACACAGAATTGGTCAAGAGGCGCATCGCTCGTGGGTCCGGTCGGACCTCGCCTCAGGTCGCCATAGCCCAACCAACACCTGTTGTCAACATTCGGACATTGACAACAATGGCTGTGGAGGCCTCGAGGCTCACTCCAGAAATGCCAAAGGCCACTCAAAGCCTCGGCTAAACCGACCACGTTCGTTGTAATGCTGGGAAGGAGTAAAGAGAGCATCGATAATCCCAGTGCGGAGTCTCTAATGCTACCTAATGTGGACTTGTCGAGGGTGTATTGTTGCAACATGAGGTGGTCGCTGGCTGTACTGCGTTCTTATTTGACGGGTATTGCTTTGCTTTGCAAGTTTGTTGGCATATTTACAATGTAGCCACCATAAGGAAGAATTAAAATTGAAAAGAGAGAATCCAATCGGGCAAAGTATTTTGCCCGATTTCACTAAATTTCAAGAGAAAAGTAAATAGAATTCAGTCAAGACCCTTATGGCAGCCTCGCACAGAGGTCACGAAGATGATCATGTGTGTACGGAAAATGGATGAGTATTGCCATACGAAGCCGCAAAAAGTTACAAAGGAGAACGACCTTTCAATCCTGTAACTTGTCAAAGACAATGTGCATTAGAGTGACAAGTTTCTACGACAACTTTATTAAATGAAGTCTCTGGTGTACTTGGTAGTCTAGGTAGTTCACACTTAAGATAAGTCGTGAGACAACCGTCCGAAAAGGATCGTGCCAATGTTGTTGCCGTTGGTGTGCACAACATACTCCTTCTCGTCAATCACCTGATCCCAATTGTCTCTGATGGTTTCAACCATCCACTCATTCCGACGCAGTCCCTGGAAGCCTTTGGTCTCCGCCAACAAAATGCGAGATACAATCCTACCCTGGGCGCCGAAAACCTCTCCATTAACCTTGCAATCTTCATGCGTGAGCCATACGACAGGGGGAGCCGGCTCCGCGACTGGCAGAGCTTTCTTCATCAGCTCCCGCATCTCATCGTTGGGCAGGTTCTTGTCAACTGCTTCGGTAAAAGCAGTTGTGGCCACAGCGTTGACATGGATATTGTATGCCTCTCCTTCAACGGCGAGTGTTTTGGCTAAACCAACAACAGCAAGTTTGGCAGCAGCATATAAAGAAGTGCCAGGCATGCCAAATACAGAATGAGAGGTTATCATCAAGACTCGACCATATTTCTGCTTCTGCATGTGCGGCCAAGCCGCACGTGTTAGGTTGTATGAACCCTCAACGTGAATAGCAAGCAGGTCTCGCAACGAAGCAGAAGTAGTCTGCTCAAATGGCATTGCCTCATAGACACCGGCGTTATTGATGATGATGTCGATCCTCCCAAAAGCATCAATAGCCTTATCCACCAAGGCTTTTGCTACGCTTTCGTCTGAGACGCTACCAACGCAGGCGACTGCTTTGCCTCCGGCATTGACGATGTCGTTTACAGTTGCCTGAGTCGTATGAGGAGTAGTACTGTTGACAACCACGGAAGCTCCCAGAGCACCGAGAAGAAGGGCGTATTGACGTCCCAGGCCGCGACCAGAGCCAGTGACAATAGCCACGCGATCATTGAATCGGATTGAGTTAGAAGTAGGCATAGTGATACAGGTAGGTAAGGTAGTGTTCAATTTGCAAAATGTGCGATTGATTCCAAGAGCGAGTAGATATTGTAGGTGAATGATGAAAGTTGTTGTTGATGGCGAATAAGACAAATAGATCAAACACATAAATATTCAGTTAGAATTTGAGACTCTTTATAATTCTATTTAAGATGATGCTTCTAGCACTTTGATAGTCTGTATGAAAACTCCGTACTATTGTAAGGGCGTTCAGGCAAATCAAATTGGTCCTTTCACTTCTGAGTGAAGGCTATTTCGGGAGCGGATTCACAAAGTGAACGTTTCCCCGTAGACAAGGTATCACCCATACAAGAGCCGTAATGTATTTGGTTACCGGTGTTGTAAAGGCCTTGCTACATCACGAATTTTTGCGGACTTTCCTTGTTGGGACAAAATTCTGCGGACTTTCAATTGAGGAAAGTCTGCCCGGCGGATTTCCTTTGTCTTTACAGGCCTAAGCATGCTCCCAAGTTGGTGGCTCCAGGCCGTGCGCAAACCTAGATTGATACAGCTGGTTCACTTTGGAGCTGGCCCCTCAAAGACAAATGCTGGACTACTCCGTTATGCTTCTGCATTTGCGAGCACATGGGTACCTGCAATCTTCACTTCAAAGCACATTTATAGCGCCCAAGAATAATGGAGTAGTTGTTTGCCAACTTGTCCATTGAGCATTGCACAGCTCCGTAGATCCTGACATAACCTTAGTTTAGTGTAAAGAGATATACCAATAAGAATAGCAGCCGCAGTCAGAAGAGCACCCAATATATTCGGGTCTTCTGATATGACAGTGTGCCTGTTCAGAGTATATCCGCCAGTACGACTTGGAAGATTTGGCATTGGTACTGCTTTTGGCATTAAGAAAGCTTACACGGATTCGTGGTTGGTCTTGGGAAAACAAACAAAGTTAATTAAGACTCAGACTCTCCCTGAGACCCACGGCCAATAAATCCGTTAACTCCATATCGCTTGCTTGCGGAGTGGGCTCAAACAAGCGCAACGGAGACGTCGCTAGTTAAATTCAACCGTTATGCATTGAAAGTCTCCGAGGACGGCTTGATTTTGTCCCGACATCTGGCGGGACTGAATGGATCCTAATTCTATCATGTTCATAGGGTTTTGATCGTAGGTACTTACAAAACACTCGCATGGACCTTTATAGATAAATACAAGTGCCTTTGCCTGCATTCTGGGACTTTCTCTTCATCACATTCAATTCATTTGAAAATCAAAACATTTTGCATCTTTACAATCACTTTGTGTCCATATCACCATGGCGCCCACTTGCGATTCCAACACCAAAGCCAGCGAGCTTGTGGAGTACTACGCTCCTCGTATCGTGGGAAAGACCATCCTCATTACGGGCCCCTCACCTGGAAGCCTTGGGGAGAGCTTCGTCAAACATGTCGCAGCTGGGAAACCATCCACCTTGATTTTGGCCGGTCGTTCGGTCTCCAAGATGCAGCCTGTCTGCGATGATCTGAGATCTACACACCCCGACATCAATGTAAAGCTTCTATCAATGGATCTTATGTCGTTCGAAAGCGTCCGACAAGCCGCTAAAGCGGTGATGTCTTGGCCTGATGTGCCTCATATCGACCTTTTGGTTAACAACGCTGGCATCATGGCCGTACCCTACAAGTTGACCGAGGATGGCTTCGAAAGCCAATTCCAAACCAACCATCTCAGCCACTTTTTGTTCACCAACCTAATTATGAACAAGATACTGTCCTCTAAGGCTCCTCGAGTTGTGTTTGTTTCCAGCGGCGTACATCGCGTCGGCAACATTCGCTGGACAGATTATAACTTCAATGGTGGTAAAAACTACCAACGCTGGTTAGGGTATGGCCAGTCAAAGACAGCCAACGCACTGACAGCTCTCGCAATCGCCAAAAGGCTGGGGAGCAAGGGCCTCTTATGCTTCGGCATGTGTCCTGGAGTCAGTTACACGAATCTTGCAGCACACGGGTTGGAAGACCAAGCCGCCTTCTCAGCAGATCTCACAGAAATGGACAACATTTATGGGAACAAGTGGTTATTTGGCATGCAAGATATGCAATTCAAAACTCTGGACCAGGGAGCTGCAACCCATGTTTTCGCTTCATTTGATACCACTATCAACGACCATAATGGTGTGTTCTTGTCTGATTGCCACATTGCGGACCCAGACTTGGAAGAGGTTTACTCATGGGCAACAAGCGAGGTTGATGCGGATAGGCTATGGAAGCTCAGTGAGAAGCTGGTTGGTCAAGAGTTCAATTATTAGAGATAGGTGCATCATCGAGTAGCTGTGTACGCGGGAAATTGAGTTGTGTATTGCTTGTCAAGTTTGACGAAGCATAGATGGAATCTTTACTCTTGACTAAGACAAGTAGTTAACAGATTTATTCCTTTCACCAGGAAGCCTTGCATACGTGAAACATAACCGAGATTCTAGCGCTCAATCTTTGCTTCAAACTCACAATGTTTGAGACTATCCCGATCATATTCTAAGTCCACGTTCTCGGCCAGGTCTTCTTGTGCAGACTTTGAGAAGATAAGATGAAGTTTAGACTAGCAATGATGGATGTCGAAAGGATGCGTGAAAGATGCCATTGACAACCATCACTACCATCACTTAGCCCACGGATGCCAGCCAAGTATGATCCAGCGTTTTCCATAGTAATGTAGCTGTGAAGCAAAAAGCAAAAGAGTTAATCTTAGGATCTGGGTTAGATTGATTTTTGAATGTACAAAGTAGTAATTACAGGTGAGAAGGGAAAATATTATGGTCCAAATAAAATGGCACTAGTGTCTAGAGAAGCCGTAATTGTATGACTTGGTGCTGTGGTGGAGACTTAGGGTGTTCCCTCCGAACAAGACCAACAAGTAGTTGAGTTGGCGATGTTGCAAGAGGCATCGAAAATCGCCTTTTGTGGATAAGGGCAGAGTACCTGCTGTTGCGTCGTATTATCAGACCTCGTCACGACGACAGGAGAAGACTGCGGTTCCGTTCCGTTCTCAACCCAGGCTCTGAGCTGTGAGAAGATTGCCTCCGGTTGGCCGCCATTACCCCCCCAGCAGTGTCCAAGCCCAGGCACGCGGTAGTATTTATAAAAGGATGTGACGTTGCCCACGAAGTCAGCCACCTTGTTATAGTAACGTAGAGTACCTCCGGGCGAAATGCTCTGGTCCGCCTGCGCATTGTTAGTATAACCGAGATGTCGAGCATCAAGAATCGCGGGTACTCACAAGTCCGTGGTATGTCATGAGTTTACCACCAGCGTCCCGGAAGTCTCGCAAATCCACCTCGTCAGTCTCGAGGTTTGACGCGAAGACCAACTTGACTGCTCGGTAAATGGTGTCAAAAGTTCTATCCGTAATGTTCGGCAATGTAGCATTGGCATCTTTGGCGACAAAGGCTTGCCAAGCGAAGAGAATGTTTGGAAGGCCGGCGCTCGTGCAGACTTCACCACTGCAGCTCGTCGGGGCGATTGTTGGTAGATCGCTGCCAATCTCATAGCCGTCATACATGAATCTTCCATTAGAGAAGCGAGGTCCAGTCCAGGACGCGTTGGCCACTGAGGCAGCAGCCTGGCTGATGGTGAGCGTTGAGTTGGAGCTGGAGCATCTGAACGATTCCCCGACATGTTCGAAAACATTAAACTTCTCTCGGCAAGCTTCGGGATCGCTGATAAGCCCATCCTTTACGCCATCCAACTCGTCGCAAGCGTGAATAGCAAGCGAGGTAATTTCATTCAGCTCACAGTCGCGGGGGAATTGCTGCGTCTTCTCCATGTAGAAGCTGGGCCAGATGGAGTTGATGTAGAACTCCGCCCAGTTAATTGCGGGCGCAGCAGACATGATGCCGTCGTAAATATCCTCGTACTGCTGCGCAACCTTAAGGCCTTGACGACCACCTTGGGAGCAACCGTTCCAGTAGGAGTACTCGGGCTCTTTGCCGTAGAAGGCTGCGATCAACTGTTTTGCAATAATGGCCTGGCAGAAAAACGAATTAGCATAAGTGGTTAGCGACACTGACCTTACTTACCTCGTCTTTGAGAGCAACCTGTCCAAAGTTTTGCAACGAAGTCGTATCGAGGTTTCCGGGGCTGGTCAACAACCAATCGATCGGACTTTGAGTAGTGGGAATGCCGGCATCGGTAGTGACCGTCGCGTAACCGCCTGCCACGGCGTTGATCATGGCTGAATAGCTCAGAATGAAGCGGCCAGGTGTCCAGCCACCTCCACCGACAGATTGCAATCTCCCATTATAATTTTCCTCCGTCGGAAGCCATGCCTCAACGTTCAGCGTATCGTTCTGACCGGTGTGCGTGTAGGTGACAGTGACGTTGCAAAACGTGGCATTCTGAACATCCAGAGCTGGCTGCGAATACGTCCATCCTTTCGGAACGTTGAAGGAATAATTGGTAACAATATTTGCCTCCCAAGATAGAAACTCGGCCCCTAGAATAGTTGTCGCGGCAAACGTCGTAGTCGCGCAACGACTTGCATTCGTAGGTGAAAAGACCATTGTTGCTGATTGAGGCGACATCGGCAGTTGAGTCCTACATGATTGACACTGGAAATGGGATTTCAAAGGGATATAAGTACTCAAAATAGAAAATGGGACTTGTAAAATTTTCATGATGACGACAATGCGTAAGGAAACGTTGTCGCGAGCTGGAGAAAATTCGATGTTGACTTACACGCCAGTTGTTGCGGTCCTTTCCCAATTTGGTGAGAGTTGTGGACACAGAACAAAAGCCGTATTCGATACGACGGGAAACCCCACTCAGCACAGTCAGGGCAGACTGACCAAATTACTCACAAAAGCCTCGATATTACTTGTAGTACTGCTTTCACGGCATGTCATTGCCGGGCAATGGCATTTGAGTATGGCTCGGCATAAAACCAATCAAATATAAGGTCCACCGCTCCTATATTTTGACGTCAGACAGTTATTTACTTGCCGAGGTTGGATCAAAGATGGGAGTCGGAGTCCTGCGCTCATGTTGACATTCTCTTCTTTGCACATGATTGTAAAATGCTAGATGAAAAAAATACAAAACATGAGTTCATGGACGAAATAGAGGTTTCCTAGTCAGGTACTTGAGACTAAGAATACGATGAACTAAAACAAGCTGGATTGATGAGCATTTTTGGATACTTACAGTTGGAATAGCTTTCGAAGTGGCATCGAATGTATGTTGCAGAGTGCCAATGGGTCTAGAGGGATTAATTCAGCAATAAAAAAAAAAAAACGTAAAAGAATCTCTATGTGAAAGATATTGGCGAGGTAAACGACGAGAAAATTCATCATGAAGCCTTAAACTAAGGATCCGTCGATATTCGAGACTCTTGGTGGCTTGGTGGCAGCTTTTGCCGGACTTTTACGTTTGTTCTTAGATGTAGACCAACCAGCAAAACCAGCCCCTGAAGAATTTAACTTGTCCTAAATGGAAAGAAAGAAATGAGAGAACAGAAGTGACAACATTCGTGTCTAGCCTTGTTCATCGTAGTAACCCATGCTTTGGTGGTCTGTAGATTGATTTGCGTAAATAATGCATGATGTTTTCATTTCAGTTCACTCCGACAACTTTGATGCATGCTAAAAGTTGCAGTAATCAGAGAATAACTTATAGAAAGTATATAGCAACCCAAACTTACAGCCAACATCATACGTCTCACGATGATACCTGGAGGCTTAAATACTAGGTAGCCCTGGTTGAATCCAAGAAGGGTGATCTTCCAAATGAAAAAATTAGCCTGTTTAATCCGAAATCCCATTTTGACCCGGTACTTCGGAAACCTCTGCCAAAATCGCTTCGTACGCCCTTGCTGCCACCATAGCCATGCCGCGGAAACGATGTGTTTTCTGTGCACCACAGCTAATCCGAAAACCTGGCGCGATTCACTGAGTGCAAAAGTCACAATCACTGGAAGATAATAAAGACACATTTCCCAGAACTTCAGTTGATACAAATGTTCTAGCGGTTTCGAAAAGTTGGTAACTTAAACTTCAATCTAAGTGCGTTTGTCGACGGCTCGAACCGCAACCTTATTATTCCTATCTTGGGGTTCTAACCATGGTTTCCTAAACTTTGCTTCGGGAATCGAGTCAAAGCAAAAAAAAAAAAACTAGTAACGTGCAAATTGGACTTTAAGATGATCGCGGTTACAAATCTGCCGCGCATTTCCGTCGAATAACGTTGAACGGCATTGATCATTCTCGTGACTACATACGACTCCGCAGTCGTAAGGCGATTACTGCCGAACCAAAAGTTCAGTGATGGCCGGGATTACCGCTCAGTCCAATCAATAAGAAAGACTTCTTGCATTAAAATGGCTGAATGGGACTGTCGCCTTTTGTGAAGACTTTCTAGGAACTAGATGCGAATACATTCTGTGTTGTTTCTTTACCTTGTACTTCTGAAAAAGCGTTTTTGGATGCTGTTTCTGGGGTTTGCTTATTGTGGTCATACTCAGCTTCCTCTTGAGCGTTAAAAATGAATCAACAATGTCAAATTGTGTCACGTTTGATTCCAAAATACAGCAGATATTGTTGGCGGGCCGCCTGCTACCTGAGCCGGCTGCCCACCGTGGAGGGCTGTTCCAGCCCCCCACAGACCACCTGCACTCACTATTCTGAGCGTTCTCTGCCGGTTTCGCCCACAGATACACTGACAACAAGTCAACGTAGGTACCGAGCATCAGGTCAACGAACACAACAACCTCATAAAAGGGAGACAGTCATAAGATAAAATTGAGTTCGAATGGCCTCGATGATGTATGTCTTGCATTTTAGGAATGATCAATTCATATTTTGCTATATTAAAATCTATCATGATCGGGATATTCAGCTCTATACAAACGAAACGAACATGGCATTTACGGACACTAAAAATGTTAACGGATTCGAAAATAGTATTGGAGAAGAGGGTCTGCAAATCACTTACGCAGCGAACGAACTAATCAGGTGGTTGTCAGCAACTATCTCAGAAACTGTATACGGGATGAGAGTGCTACGTACTCCGCTTCCCTCGCAGGACTGAAGAACCGGGCGCCCGTTGGCATGCGGGTCAAAACAAGGTCTCTCCTCCTGGAAACTGCCGTGTTTGGAGCCTGGGCTTTCACACTACAAGACAGAGCTGTCAGTTACAGATCGATATTAACCGGATGGCGAAGCCCGTACGCAATATGTGTTGGTCTGTAAACCGTTAGTATATGTCAACCTCGCGAGATGTACGGACAGCTTACGTAGCCAGTGTAGCATGAAGCGCCCGAGGGCTTGCCCCAGCCGTGATTACACCATGCAGCATTTGAAGCTGCGACAAAGCTTAAAATGATTGATAGATACTTCATGTTGACTGCTGATGAGATTGGATTCAAGAGGATGTCTATTGGTAGCCGGAAGGTATGATTCACGCACTTATCTGCCCGGGGCATTGTATTATTTATCTTGGAATCTCCCACATGGCGAAAACCCATCCAACATAACGGGCGCCCACACCACGGACAGCGGGTGACTGAGTGCACCGATGCTGTGCTATCGCATGGGAAGCGAGATTGCCTGGGTAGCTTTGAAGGTGGCTCTTGGCAAAGTCTCCAGTCTCTCTCCCATGACAATGCCCACATCCGCCCTGGTTTGCTTTGTGACCAGTTTGACGTCGTTAACTTGAGGGGATTGGGGTTACGTAGCCACCAGATAGACCAATTGCCATCATCATACGGGAATGCCTCCGATAAGTTTCGACTAGGCTCCCAAGTAGTTATGGGTCCGGATTAATATATGCACATCCCAGTCCTTCCACCTCTCGGAATCACAGGGATGAGCCGCTAAGTCTTTGTTTTCAGGATTTAAACATACCAGGAGTAACATTTCCATAGAAAACCAATTCGAGGGCATGGCATCCTAGGTGCTGACAAAGTTGGCGAGTAGATACTATACATCGACCCGGTCATAAGCTTTGAGAGTCACCTCTATGCGAATACGTCGTATCTGCGTCTAGAAAACAAAGCTGTTGTCTCCTGTTCACTAGCACACGTTCTGCGGGAAGTTTGTTGTCGGATTAATTAGTTAAAGTTTCGCAGTAACCCACCAGATGGGCTGTTTTGTTCATGCAATAGGCTAGCTTTAAAGCCCGAGACCCACTCTTTAAGGGCCATCATTGCCTTACTTGTCCAAGTCCTGGCGCAAATCAATGCTAGTCTGTTCTGCCGACGGTAAGTCCGTTAATCGTCTATCCACAGGTATTTGCGGAAACACTGGATGCCCATGCTGGAGTTGACAACGGTGACTTGAACTAGCATACTATAACTGGGCATAAAAGATGGACTGTCGCTAATCTCGGCCGCTGCTTGATCCGATATACTTACCTTGCCGTCGTTGAACATTGCTGACGTCTTCACTTCGTGCGGGTTCCGACACCTGATGGAAATATTTAATGAACGGTGGGCGATCATGGGTTTTAACTAGTTGCCTTCTAATTTCGAAGAGTATAGCAGACTTCTTCAACGTACAACCTTGCTATTATATAAAAAAACAGTGCGCATGAACGTGAGAACAAATGGGATAGCATCTAGGATTGATAGTGGCGAAAAGTCTCAAGATATCTGGGTGTACCACCTGTCATAATTAGTTATTTTCAATATCAAACAATCATGTAAGCTTAATTACATTGTCCAAGTCGCGCTGATACAAGTTCCAGCTCGGAGACACCTTTCTCGACTGAATTGCCCAGCCTATCAATTATGTTATACGACTGGGAAACTTGCTTTCAACAGAAACCTAGAACGCTGCTGAAGGTGCATCATTCCTACGCCATTTCTTCCTAGGCCAGACGCGGAGGGACGGTATCTTGACTTTAGGTCAGCTGATGTCAAAGTATCCAGCGCTATCATTGCGCAACAAGAACTAAGCAACACAATAGGGCCTCGGGCGCTTTGTGGGCCGAAAGGCCGAGTGACTTTAAATAAAAATTTAAATATCCTGGATCACAGGTGGCATTATAGAATGATCAGCCCACAAACCATCTCTTCTGGGCAACATGGCCAAGATCCTGGTTTGGTGCCAAGGCGCCAATCAAAAAGTGATAAAGAGGAAGGGTGGATTTCGTTTTGAGTTGCAATTATCTGCTCAGAGGATACCTTGAAATAGGCCCTTCCAACTATCTTTAATGAATATCAAGTTGCGAGTACTATTTTTCTCCCTCAAAGAAGTCAGCTTTGGTAGGGCAATAAGAAGAGCAACCTTGACGGCGACACTTGTCTTGATGACTGATTGCTGGCTGATTGACGAGTAATTTACTACTGACTCAGGAGTGTGGGCCCCATATGCACCCTGAGAAGAACTTCAGGAGTGATTAATCATCACTTGTAAATGCCTTGAAGTGCCTTGATTGTCAGCTTTGGACTTATTACTGCTTAAGATGTATTTGGCGTTTACTGAGCCTGTCCCTATCATGTATATATCAGTCTTGACATACTTGCTTCCAGAGCCAAAGTCCTGGTTTGCCGTCAGAAGGCGTTGCGCAAGCCCCTCCATCCCAAAGCTGCAGTCAACCAGGAACAGTCTCAGCCCACTGATTTGCTCCCCTTCTTCCGAGTCACGTAAATCGAGACATGCATATGCTGGGTTACCAGTCCCGTAACTTTATAAGCCCCGCCTAGGGTTAACTCCCGTTATCGTCAGGGGCTATGCAGAACGTAGAAAATGGTATCACCACGGTGGTTCAAACACCATATAAATAGCTTCGTCAAAATCTTTGAAGCGACGAAAGGTATCAGACAAAAATGAATCATTACTGTTCTTTTGAACCAATGCAAAAAGGAAAGACATGAATGTCTGTAGCATAGAAAAAGTTATCAGGTTGGCTTGCTGCGGTTTCTGTGCGCGTTTGTCCGACATGACCAAATTAGATATTGAAGTTTAAACCCGAGATATCCGAAACACGCGTATAGCCATAGAACGAACTTTGCAGTGCTGAACTCTCCATCGCCATTTATCACTCTATGTAGCTTGCTCATGCTGATCAAGACTCTTGGCCAAGTACGATAGCATGCAAGGGCTTTGCAACCTTAATATTTTCAAACATTCCAATTAGCTTATTAATTCTAAACCACCGATGCGGGATGGTGATGCGTGGTCCAATGCTGTCTGGGCAACACTGATTAATGACGTTCGGCTTAAAAACGACGAAGTGCTCTATGTTCAGGGCAGCGAACACTCCTGATTTCAAAAGAGTATTCCCTTTGGTCAGTCAGTCGATGTCTTGGATACCACTTCTCAAAATGATCGGATTAGTCTATCACTTTCCAAGTTGAATTTTCAAGATCTTGTTCGACCGATGCAATTTCAGGTTGAATGAGCATAGTAGGAAGATAAAAATTATCCGTGCCGTTGGCAGACCTGTCTATTGCTGAGCCTTTCGGGCAGCCAATGTGGGATCTTCAACGCCAGGTTAGGGAATCCAGGGAGAGCGCTTAGTCACCTCCAAGACACGTGGCCCTCGATGCTCATTGACAGCAAGTCGGCTCTCACCAAAATGTAATTTTTTGTCTCATATGCCAATGTACTGAAGCTGTTTGTATTCTGCGTTAATGTTAGCATGCGTTCTCTCATTCCATAAATAACAAATGTTATGTTGATTGCAGCAATCGTTCCGTCTAGAAGCTTTCGTTGGCTCAACACAATTTATATGTAGGTGCAGAAGCCGGTCTGCTGGAAATGTCTTGAATCCCTACGCGAACAATGCCATCATACATAAATAATGGGGCATCCAGCGGTTACGTTACTCCAGCCTAAGGAGTGTTGTTACATTGAAATATCTTTGTGCGGGGTATTCTTATCTGTGTACCACTGATATGGCTAGCGGGAGACCAATTATATGGAAATAAGGGCTTGAAAGGCAGGCTATGGGCAATCACATTTATAGTTTTATCTACGTCAGGCCAAACTCAAACAAGACTGAGGCTGGCTTGCTACCGAAGTTCACCATGACTATTTGTCTGAGTACAGCATTTCTATCGCTCTCAACGTTGACTTGGGGGTTACAACTGCTTCCCCCTCCGCTGTCGACCTCCAGTTCACCCGCTGAAGCTGTATGGGATGTTGTATCCAGCCCTAACATCTACATTGATAAAAGCTTCGCCGACCTCGCCGACACGGACGGTCTGACTCTGATTCCACCCAGTGGCTATGATTTTGCCACTCTCTTTCAGAGAGACATCAGCCAGCTCACAGGCGTTAACTGGACTCTACAGCACATTGAGAACTGCTCATTTGATGCCAACCGTGGCGGTATCTTACTCGGTGCATATAACGGCAATGCGTCTTCCATTACATATGAGAACGGTAATCCCACATCCGAAGGCTATGAGCTCGTAATCTCGCCTTCCGGGGCGTTCATTGGCGGCACTGGCGCCCGTGGTATGTGGTGGGGAACAAGGTCACTTCTCCAGCTTCTACTTTCGCAGAACGGTAGTCTGTCGGTGGGACGATATGTCGACACGCCTGCATATGGATCGCGAGGCTTTATGCTTGACGCTGGACGTAAATGGTATGCGCCATCGTTTTTGAAGGAGCTATGCAGCTATGCATCTTTCTTTAAAATGAACGAGTTTCACTACCACCTCAGCGACAACTACCCGCTCAATCGTGGACAGAACGAGTCCTGGCAGGATGTTTATTCACACTTTTCTCTGCGGCCCGAGGATGAATCACTACTGCCCATTCTTCATGGCCGTGAGAATGAAACACTAACCCGGGAAGACTTTGCTGATCTTCAAAGTCATTGCGCAGCAAGAGGTGTGACAGTGATTCCAGAAATCGAAGCCCCCGGTCACTGCTTGTATTTGACCAAGTGGAAGCCAGAGCTTTCTCTCCCCAAACGTGATTTGCTTAACCTCTCACACCCGGAGACAATCCCAACGGTTAAACGCATTTGGGCAGAGTTTCTGCCATGGTTTGAAACCAAAGAAGTGCACGTTGGTGCCGACGAATACGACTCAACGTTAGCGGATGTGTATATCGGATTTGTGAACGAGATGTCGGCCTTTATCAACTCAACTACCGGCAAGCGAACTCGCATCTGGGGCACCTATGAGCCTTCGGAAAATGCCACAATTTCAAAAAATGTTGTTATCCAGCATTGGCAATACGGCCAGTCGGACCCGATCCTACTTGCTGACACAGGTTACGACATCATTAATTCGGAAGATTGGTGGGCGTACATGTCCCTCAAGAACGACCACATGCCCATTCTACCGGCCAGGTATCCGCAATTCTTTAACGAGAGTCGAGTGCTCAACTTCGCCGACGTAACAGGGTGGCAGTGGACGCCCGCGGATTTTAACCCGTTCAACAAGAGCATGCAACTGCCGAAAGAGTCGCCCTCCAACAAAGGTGCCATAATTGCGGCGTGGAACGATAACGGCCCTGATGCCTCTACCCAGCTGGAAGCCTATTACGCAATGCGACGGGGTATAGCCCTCGTCGGAGCTCGCGCATGGAGCGGCAGCCGTGGTCCTCAATTAGAGGAAGACAGCGTCTCATCTAGCATAGATTTCTTTTCGCCACTAGCGCCAGGCCAAAACTTGGATCGGGTATTACCAAAAGCCGATGCTTCAGGACCACTGTTCTCATGGACTCGTTCTTCAAAAGACCCCGAAACTGTGCATTTCGATCGGGGTAGTAAAGGCATGAATTACACTCTGGTACTGTCCGCTGCTGGACCTTTTACTCTCTCAGGTCCGGACAACACACTCTCGCTCGACAGTAATGGCAGCTTAGTCTTCAACGCTGACGGTTATGTGTATCCCCTACGCAATGTAAGCGAGAACGACGCACAGCAACTTGATCTAGGACATCCAGGACGAATTTGGGTCAATGTATCCACCTCTACGCACGAACCAGTGAGAGTAACAACGCTACCGGCCAACATTACTATTAAGACAGATGTGCTACATGGTAGTATTGTCTGGGTTAATGAGCAATTTGCAGGGCGATTTGAAGTGTTTGTGTACGGGGGCCGTAACACTCAGTTCAGCTGGAGCCAAATGGCCTTTGTTGCACCTCTTGAGGAAGTTACAGGGTCGGGGCTACAGAGTTTGGTTGTTGAGAACTTATAGATCTTGACTACACTTTCATTTATCAAAAGCTTCTGTACAGAAAGCCTCGCAGCAGGATTAATGGGAGAAAGTTTCGTAGGGTGTTAGTCACCATAAATATGCCCTGGATAAAAAACATCGTTCATGGGCTAATAGTTTCAACTAATGCTGCGTACTATAGTAGAACTGCGATTCCAATTCAGGTGTCTGAAGCATGTCTTCGTCGAGCTGACAGCCCTATCTGTACGCCTTGTACAAGAGGCGTCCAACGCAGAACGAGAATACGAATGTAGGAGCATAACTCCAGGTTTTCCTACGAAACGAATTCGTAGATAAGGCTGCCTATTCTTTTGGTGGCATTTCCAAGAGCCTCTTCGACATCGAGAAGGGAGCAGTGACGAGGGCTAAAAAACGCCACGGCACGTTTGTTTGATTCAATTATGCCAGCTCGGAGTGCATTTGCGCAGTACTTTCCGATGACTTTGATGCTCGTTTGCCGTTTACATCACCACTTTGATTTCTATTTTGGAAGTGCTTGCGGCAGAAGCGAAATATGGGGTATTCGATGTCCTGGTGTGGAAACTTAAACCCACCTTGACTTCTGATGTGATGGCGTGTTGGGTTTTAACAAGAAGGAGATAAAAACCACGATAACCCAGTTGGATGAAAACACATAAGGTGCGGCTGGAAAGAGGGACCAGAAACCATTCTGACATGAGTACAATAAAAAAAAGAAAAGATTTCAGAGCCATTGATGATTGTAGTTGTGCCACTCTTTTTGATCGAAATTCAGGTGTCAAGACCCTTAGCAATAATATGACCAGGAAACGCTCCTCAGGTTCGGCTGCTTCGCACATGACGTGGCACGAGGGGACTTGTACCCTCTCACGACGGTCTTTCCACTTCAAGTTCCTGCTTTTCCAGTCACTGATCTATCTCAGACCTTGGCAACAGCAAACTTGCAGTTTGTCAACGCTATGTCAGAACATGCAGTTTTGATGCCAATTTATCTAAAACCCAATTTCACGATGCAACAAATCTCTATCCTGCCATTCTAGCTTCTGCCATACCTACAAAGCGCCCTTATTTTCGACAATCTCATTATACCCAATCGCGGCTCATGCAAAAGCTATTAGTAAATAAAAGTCCCGCATCGTAACAAGGTAGAATGAGAAGGAAGAATTCATTGATAGCGGCTGATAGGTGTCTGCTGTTCTCGTTCATGTCCTGCTCGCTGGCCGAGGCCGGGTAGCGCGGAAGAAAAGTCATTTAGTGGCGTGTCCTGCTTGGTATAGGAACGGAATCCCCGCCCTCAGAGGACGTCTTTATGAATACATGAGCCGACAATCTTCTTCTTAGTCTCAATGAGTGGTTGAGACAAGGTGGCCGAATGCCGGGACTGATCCCTGTTCTCTCCCCGTTTTGTTAAAGTTTAGGATGCGGAAGAAAGGCCGTATTTAATACGAGAGGAAACCCTACTTAGCGCAACCAAGGGGTTGTCATGAGCTAAAACAGATTGACCCAATGAACGAAGTTACGCTGTACTCGTAATTTCAAGTGACGCTGCCAAGAACGCTATCCTCGATGCTCAGCTAAAAGTAAAGAAAGGCCGAGGTTATCGCGAACTTCCTAGGTGGCGTTGAATGTCATCAGGAGGGTGTCAATGCACTAGGGTTCCCGGAGCCGCACAGACGGCGCATCCAGAGCGTGAGTGAACAAGTTGGGTTCCCTCGCTATCGGAAGGATGATTACTTGTTTTATCTTCCGAATGAAAGGAATCCGGGTACTAGCGTACAATACTTTTAATTTTCTTGCTCATCACATGTTTCCTGTTAAGTAATACAACCCTAGTTACGCCACGACCCTGAACGTGGTTGAAATTCCCTAAAGATGTCCCTCGTGGGATTCCCGTGTTGATGTACGCCACCACGGAACCAAGTTCTCACGGTAGATTCACTGGAGTCTTAAGCTATACCGACAGCAACTTTGAAGCAGGAAGCTTACCAATGTTACAGTATCGCGGTTCTAATTCCAGATACGACTAAGTCAGGTAATCAAAGTCATGATTCGAGCCGATCTACCACAGCGATATAAAGACTCTTTAGTCTGACGTTACCAAGGGTTTTCTAAAACTCTTTTTGATTGAAAATAGCGCAGACAGAGGGTGCACTTTCCTAAAACCAAAATATAAAGAAATAACCAAATAGGAAATTATACCAAAGAGGAAAGGCGAGAAAACCTTATTCTAAAGTCAGGGGCTTAGCTTCAAGTACAAGGTCAATGGTACAAGACCACAGTTGGTAAGGCCTCTTTACCCATACGCTGCCGCTATGCCGTTAACATCCTACGCGATTGGCTATTGTGTACCTATATAATATCATACAGGGGACAGTGACAATTTCATTTCATTATGCCCCTTTATCAAGGAAGCTTTTACTCTGTGGATCAGTAGCCTTGACACTCTTGTAACGGATGCTGAAGGCAGGGACCAGCATAGTCCTCAGCTACTGCACGCTTTAATTAGCTGCTTTACTGAAAGGGCAGCATACGACGTAAGCGCAACAACCGGTCTTAGCCAATCCTTTTATGAATGATTACATTCTCCATGCCGTATCAACCAGTCTAGCTATATATAAATTCAACCTTGTCCATCTCGCTGTTTGTTGTCTGAGCAGGAACACAACTCAACTTTTCGTCCAAGTCAGCTCCTGCATTTCTACCCGTGTCTTCTCCCGGTATCTTTCATAAACCTACCCCATAGTGTTTTACATCTCCTACAAAAGTCACCATGCAACTGCGTATTTTCATTCTTGTTGCCGCACACATTGCTGCAACCGTTGCCCAAGGCACATGCTACTGTATTTGCGGAGGGGATGCTTTAAACGCCGAGTGCGCCGCCCTCCCGCAACCAGCTGGCAAAACGTGCCCGGAGGTGTGCCGTGCTGGCGGAAGGTGCCCGAATGCTATCGTCTGTGGAAAAAAATAAGGTTCTACAAGAAACGGTAAGGTTGTCATGATACTGTTCTAGACCTCTATATCGCTAACAGGGACTCAGAAGGTATCAACATACTAGTTTGACAGGATACCTGTACGAGTGGATGAGCTCACACGAAGGAACTCTGATGGTTCAGTAGTGGCTGTATACTTTGAAAGTTTGGTAGGATGGGAAGGTGAAGAAGAATGGATAGATAAAACCGTTGGGCTGTCTATTGCACGGATGACTACGTGATTGCACTACCTAACCTTTGCAGGAGTTAGGAGACAGTTCGTGGCTGGTTGCCAAACGTTCTTCTCGTGGGGCAGTGATACGACAGTCTCACTTTGTTACATACGCCTAGGGCAGTTCGAGCTCGTATTCATTTTTGAGTTTACCTTTTTGCCTTACTTTAACAACATCGTTGCTACCACTAGGATTTATCGTTTGTCATTCATTTGCAGTAAGCTTCTCGTACGTGAATTCCTTGTAGAAACACCAGTCTGATACATGGCTTGGAGAAAGTATGTAACAATGTTTCAGTAATGTAGACTCTCGTGAACGAATAGCCTTGTGCAGGTTGTGCATGACAGAATCGTAGTCAAGCTCAATGGTAGGGCAACAAGTCATTTTTCAAGACCGTTGTATACAACGGTCAAACTAGGTAACCTGAATGTATTACAAGTTCTAGTTTCTATACACGCTTCTTATCGAAACATCGTACACTCTATAATCCAACTCTCTAGTCTAGACATAACCACCACCTAAACATACTCACCTAGGAATCCACATACCGCCATTGCCATACGCCCGATCCCTCAGCGCCGCACCCTCGGTTCGAACGCCCGCCAGATGAACAGGTATCCGATCAACCTGCTTCTGCACCCTCTCCCTCGTCTCCAGATACCGATCTGCCAGGCTCATCTCGCTCCGCATCGTCCTCATCCTTTCTCTCGTCTCAACCGGTCCCCAGTTGTCCCTACTCAAACTCGCCACCGCAAGCAGCACGTCCGCACCGTACGCCGCAAGCGCGGCATCCGAGCCGGCCACAGGAGGAGCAGCCAGCCGCAGCTGCCCCATAACCAAGACTTTAAGCTTCGTGTCGAGGAAGAGAGCGCCGCCGAATTCGTGGATCAGGTGCACCGTAGCGACATTCGTGGCCGCAACGCGAGGCGTCGCGTATGGCGCGGGCCCCACGGTGATGATACTTTCGTGCCAATCTGTAGATATTCCCTGCAGTCCGGTGCGAGGGACGACCCGCGCCCAGCCAAAGTACACTCCTCGCATCCGCATCTTGACGTCCTCGGGGATACCTGTGAGATTTGCCGTCGGAATGCCCAGCTCCATCCCTCCTCGTCCCGTGCCACGGACAATCTTGCCGTCGAATTTGATCGGGAACGGGTCCAAGGGGCCAGAGTCGGGACCAATAACCTCCGGCGGCGCCTCCTGGAATCCTGTCTCGCCGCCATCTTGCCATGCCGCATACCCCCCGCTTCTCGAGGCGGCATATTGCTCCTCGTAGGCTGTCACAGTGGTTTTGATACCTGACTTGTCGAAACCAGACTTGGCGGTCGCGATGTGGGTGGCGTGTTTGGTGACAAACTTGGCCTGCTGGAGTTTCTTCGTCCTGGACTGCACGACGGCAGCCGCAGGGCCAATGTACCTGTTAGCGACAGTCGTGGCGACGATCGAACCGGCTTTGATACCCATTTCAAGGGGCATGCTGGCAAAGCTGGCGCCGCGCATAACGCTCGCATCCGTCGAGGTGCTGGCAATCCGGAAGACAGGGCTGGGGCAGAGAACTTTTCTCTTGCTGTTCCCGCCGTCGCCGCCGCCTGCACAGAGGACAAGGCGGAAGTATCCGTCGTCCGCCGCAGCAGGAATACGAACGACGTGCGTCTCCCTCGGAACATGCTTGCTGAGGTTCTTCGGGGCCTTTTTTAGGAATTTTTTGATGTCGCGCTGGCAACCCCTCTCGTCGCCTTCCGCCATATCTGTAGGCAAGGCCTGTGCCGACGGCGTGACATCAAGCCATGAGTCGTTGGCACCCACAAGAGACTTCAGGTTCATGCCCATGTTTCCTGAGAAACCCTTCCGCTGAAGCCATACCGTCCGTGTAGGTGGCAGTGGGGCATCGGAGAAAATGGTGACAGTGACGGAGGTGGATGGGCCACGGTACCAGACTAGGGCGGCGGAGTGGCGGAGGATAGAGTAATGTTTGGTGTACTCGAAGGGATGGCTTATCAGCCCTCCAGCAAAGTATTTGGTCTCGTCTAGTGCAGTCTGCCAGAAAGTCTTTTCTTTTGACTGTGTGTCCGTGGATGGGGCTTCTGAAGGGGCATAGACCGGTGAAGCAGGTGGACGTGGTCCAGAGAGAGGAAAGGTTTCCGCAGTTGGGGGAGGTTGGAACACTGGAGATGGGGGCGGACGATCATGGGCTTGTACTGGAAAGGTCGCAGCATTTGAAGGAGGGTGAAAGACTGGAGAGGCCGGAGGGCGGTTATGTGCTTGAGGGGGATATCCTGCTGCATTGGGCGGAGGTGGAAAGTACGGCGTTCCAGTAGACAGCGGAGAAACCGGAGAAACGGGAGGACGATAATGTGCATGTACTGAATGAGATTCCGCGTTAGGCGGAGGGGGGAAATACGAAGAGGCCGGAGAAACGGGAGACACCGGAGGGCGATATCCACCAACGGAGAACGTCTCTGCAGACTGGGGAGGGCCAGGGAAGAAGGGTCCTGGGCTGGGAGGAGCAGGCGAAGGGAGCCGCCCGGGGCTAGGGGGAGCGATAACAAGGCGGCCGTTTGCGTCTACGCCAGGAAACTCCTCATAGGCCGGTGGAGGATCGTAAATGGACGGCACGGCAGACTGCCTCAGGTTCGGCGTCGATCTGGCGCCGCGAAGGACCTGTCGGCGCTGCGGAAATGGGTCAAAATCAGGCGGCGGTGGCATCGGCGGCGGGCCGGGCAGCTGGCCGGGCAGGGGTTTGCGCCTCAGGGCCGCTTTTGGGGCCTCCATGACTCTTGCAGCAGCTCTTATGCCCCAGAACTGACACGTCTTTTCTTGATTGCTGTGGGGAACTCGGTGAGGGCGAATCTCAGCTCATGAGAGAGTGAGTGTCCGTGTGGTGAAGAAAGTAGAGTGGAATTTCCACATGGAAAAAGATGAGATGTTTCTGGGAGAGTCTTGGGGGAATTTGGGTGAAATTGTAACCGGAATGAGTGCTCGTATTCCAGAATTGCAAGCCCCTGAATTGAGGATGAATCTGGAACTGTCTCATCACGTGTCGCCAAGTCGTTAGGCGGTGGTTAACGTTGGCATGGGTCCGATAAGTAAGCAGCATTCCAATAGTGGTTCTGGGGGAGAGACTGGCCAAAGCGTCTGCTCGTTGACATGATGAGCGGGTTGAAACAGGTCAAGTAAGAATGTGTATGAGATGTGATTTGGATTCAGTGAGTTGCTTCTTTTTGCTACATAAATATTGCTTAAAGACCAGACTATTCATTCATAGGCTTTGTGTGCCGACTCGGAAGTTCTAGTAACACAAGCATTTGGTTGGCGTGAACATAGCGCATCCATCACTGAATGCGCTATAATGAAATCAAGCACATCATATCCGTAGAAATGTCAACATTCACCTACTTACTCAAGGGAAACCAAGTAAACGCTTGGATGAGAAACCCCCCACATATTAATACTGGACTTGGGAATCTCAATTCTGCACTTCTCAGTAGCAGCAACTGAGCCTAAACCGTCACGGCTGAAGTAACGACAAATCAAGACCCATTATTTCATCTGTGAAACCCGTGTAGTGCTCAATTGAGTATGTATATAGAATGCTCTAACTCAATATGAATAATTGAGAGTTTTTACCACACTAACGGCTAGGTTCTTGCTTTGAGGTGCTTACTTATCAGCGTCGATATGCTCTGCGCTGCAACATTAGTCGAAATATATGAGATTCACTGCTAGAATAGAAAGGTAGCCTGTGCCTTGAAAGATCAAACTCGGTGGCATCAATGAAAGACTCGTAGCATAGTATCGCAAACTACATGAGAAGAACGTCTGATGGTATCAATAACAGTGCAAATACCCCCCCGAGATCCTCTATGTCCTCCTCAAGAGCTGTGTCCATTATCCATCCTTTGCATGATACATCCAAAATGACACCCGGCAAACTAAAACCCTCTAAACGAAAGCAAAGACTCACTCAGAATGATACCCGACAGAGATCTAGAGTGAGCTGCTATCAACAAATGCACTCTCTTTCAATGTCGATATTCAGACAAACCTTCCATCCATCTCAAAACCCTCACTGACCCTCTTTTATCCTTCTCACCCAATTACCTCTTCCGGGTCACTCTCACTTTTCTTCGAACTCACACTGACCCCTCTACCATATCTCACCTTCCATACCTCATCCAAACCGCAGCCGCGCCGACAAAAAGACATCCGAAGAGAATCAAATTCGTCAGCGCTCCCTCAATCCACCTCTTCGTGGCCATCTCCTCCCGCGCCTTCCACCCACCACCCATACCAGTCGCGTTCGCATGTGGGAAAGGCTCATCTGGAATCTCCTTACCCAAAAACTTGCACAGCGGCTCCCACCCCTCGTCGACAGACCACTCGAGTAGACGATCAGGCGGGACCAGGCCGCGGATCATATCACAATGTTCTGTCATCGTCAGCATATCCCAGATAAAAACACGAACAAGAAACAAAGCGTAAAATAGTAAAAAAAGACAAGAGACAAACTAAACTCACCTCGATAAATCCACTTGCCATTCCGTTTAATAGCCCCCGCCATATCCCCGTCCGGCGCTCGGAAGAATAAAGCCCACAGGAACCTCTCATAGACATGCCAAGCCCAAAACGCCTCGCGGTCAAGCAGACTCGCGATCCAGAAGCTCCAGCTCTCGTTGACGTGCACCAGGGTCTTGACGGCGCTGTCGTGCCACCTATCCAGGTCCCTCCGCACGTTCAACACCACCTTGGCATCAGGGTACGCGCGAATCATCTCCGCCGCGAAACAGCTCGCCGCCGCGTCAGTAACGGCCACGCAGTGCCCGATGAGCTCGTCAAACTCCGCCGCCGTGATCTCGCAGTCTCCCCTGGCTTTCGGTGACGCGGAGCCGCTGCCGCTGCCGTCGGCCCCGAACCACTTCTTTCGCGCGAGTCTGACCCACCCCGGTGCCGGAATCGGCGGGTCTTCGTATACAATGTCCCAGCCGTGGTAGGTGTAGTCGTACCCGAGGGTGAGCAGGGCCTGCTGGAGCGACTCGGTGCCGCTTCGTGGCGGGCCGACGCAGAGGACCTCCATCGGTTTGGTGCGCTTGCGCGGTGCTGAGGGCGGGAGGGCGTAGACGTGGTTCTCGAGGATGTGCCACCACCAGGCGTTCATGCTCGATAACGGTGTGAGCATGATGCCGGTTCTCGCAACTGTTTCTCTTGTCACAGTACGTTGTGGATGCCTCTTGACAGATGTCTCTGAAAGTATCGGCTGGAAGCCTTCGAGTTGCGTACAGTCAAGAACCACCAGCGATGTATGTGTCTGTCACTCCCATGTAAATGCAAGAGACGACAAGTACTTATACGGAATCATATGAAAGAACTGAAATCGCATTTCCGATTGCAAAAAGTCACATCGAAGCGACAACGACACGGAGATGTGTCGTCATAGCGCTTACGCAGACAGACTTTCCCTGCAACGTCCGCAACATATGCGCGGAGAAATTCGCATGAATCATCCCTACGAGCACCGGATTCCAAAAAATGACAGCCTTGCTTTGCATGGCAGCAAACGGAGGGGGAAAAAAGCGAAGCATGAATGATGAGGAAACAACCCTCTGCACGCGCCCGTAGTGGGCTCATTCGCTGAATCTCCCCCACATCCGTTTCCTTCTCCGCAAATCGCGAGCTCTTGCGAGGTTCGTCTGCTTGAACCATGAGACCGCCCTGGCCGGGATGTGGTACTGTGAACACCGTTCGTTTTGGAAGTCAAAAATGCTATTACAAGAATCGTCTTCTTGCCACAATTGGGGCATGCCAGCGGGGTGTAGTACACGAATCCGGGCCTGTCAAACAACCAACCGCTTATAAAATTTATCAGACTGACCGCCCCATGTCAGCCATGTTTACATACCCAGTATCCGGCCTTTGAATCTTCCTCGCTCTCCAGCGATCGCCAAAACTTGGTCCACCCGGGCCGCCCATCGTTCCTAAGATGCTCAACTTCCTTGACCTCGTCACCCGTACGCTTTGCTTCCGCAGCCACCAGTGCGGTGTAAAGCGACTGGTAGAATAGAACTTGTTTCTCAATTGTGCTCGGCAGCACGTCAATAGGCCCCAATACCAACCCCTCCAGCTCATCCGTGTCGACTTCGCCGAGGGTGGAGATTAGCAACGTCGTCACATTAGGCCGCGGTACGGGCACCCGCCTCACGGAGCCTTCAAAGGAGATGTGCAGGCGGCGGAGCGCCGGGAAAGTGGGCGCGATTTGATTAATGATGCGCAGGTACTGGTCACGGAGACTCATATCGCGGAGGTCAGTGATGAGTGGAGCACCCGTGGACGGCCGCGGGGCTTTATCGAGAGTGCGGTCGGTAAGAGACTCGTCACGGTCTGGTATGCGAATTTCCAGCGACGTGATCCATTGGAGGTGAGACGTGGTAATGGCGGAGGGAAAATACATTGCCTCGAGCTTCTGCTCAAATTTGAAGGTGTTGCTAGCGTACAGCACTTTGATTGTCTCCTCATAGCTGTAACCCTGTTAGCCGACTCGTCTGATGTACCTGTCGTTGGTCTCACGAGCATGGTTGGGGAACTTACGCCCTCCGACATGTCAATAACCAAGGCAAGATGCCCAGGTATGTCTCCTTGGGCCCGCACGTCTGAAAGAAACCCCTAGGACACTGATAACCCAGCTTCGTCTCGAGCTTTCGGTCTTCTGGGCCGCACACACAGCTCCACCAGTACCATTGCGGTGTCATGGTTGCGTCTACGAATGGCGGATCCATTGGCGATACGCTGGGTGAGTGAGGGTACCATGCTGGCACGGGTTGATGACCCTTACGCCATCGCACATCAGGTTGAAGGCTCCGTCTGTAGAGGAGATAGAGATGGAGGGTTTTGCTTCCAAAAGCGAACTGGTAGATTTGATAGCGCAGGTCGAAAGTAAGAACCTCGAAGAACGGGCCCAGTGATGTGTCATCAACGCCAGAGTGGACGTCTTCGGCTAGGGGTCGTGATCTAACGGCCAGGGTCGACGTCTGGGACCCGGTTTCGGCGTTGGCTGAGTTGGTACCCTGGATCGCCGTTGCCGAGGCTGCTCCATCCGCATCCGGAGCGGTGAGAGGCGCGTCGCGCAACGGCGGTGGTTGTGAGTCGCGATCCGGGCTTGGTACTCCTAACTGGGGTTCTGGCATGGCTGCAGAGCGCTGCATGGGGGACAGCGATTGATCGGCCGCGGGGAGAGGCGATCGGCTGTTCCTGGTTTTGCTCCCCTTTGGGCGGATGTCGTGAAGCTCGTTCTTCGAGGATCTGATTTCTGCACAGAGAACCAATTTAACGTGGGTGTCAGGTAATGTAGGTTGAATTGCTTGGTGGTGGTCAGGTACAAATGATTCCAAGCCACCAGTGACACCGAGCAAGTACCGAGCCTGCGCGGTCTGCGGCTTCCCTGAAATTGGTGATAAGGGAGATTGGTACGTACCGAATCTATCACACTTTGGTCTCAGGTGGGGGGTTGGCACCGTATGAGGTTACGGTTAAAGGGCTTCATCTACTGCCGAAAATAGAACCAAACTGCGCTGTGGAGGTATCCACAGGGCATTGTGTTGCACAGTTTGATCACTGTACCCCTGAATCTGACCGCTATACGAATAATGAACACAGGGTCAGCGCCAGCCCAAGAACGTAGGTGCGTTTTGTCTGACCGAGGGACTGGCATCCATAGAAAATAGTTTGGTTCTCGAGCACTATTTGGTCCCTAGGGCAACATTATCACGAAGCGCTTCTTCATCCTGTCAGAATTCGTACCTCTTATTTTTTTTATCACGGAGTCGAATCTCTGTTTTTGGATGAGACAGATCATCTTTCGTATTCCCGACCACGGAAAGGGCGAGACCGTTCTGTTGCTGAATCTACTTACAAGCCCCCCTCCTAGCATAGACAGTCATAAGCCGAATCTTAGTCATTAGCAGGCCTTCAACCTCCAAAATGCCCCAAAAACACAGATGCACAACTTCTTATTCTTACTGTTCATCGCCAGTATCATTCTCAGTCATCCTTTGTACATCAGATGCTCGCAGCTAAGAAAGCAATCGCGACAATGCCAGCTATACCGGCGGTGGCACGATGTGCTTGGGCAACAGTGACGACTGCGGGAATGAGCGTTGTAGCAGTTGCACCAGGATCATCAGGCAACATTGTACGAAATTCCGGTCCCTCAGGGCTGGTTGTGATGGTAGCGTTGCCGAAAATAGGGCCAGCTGGAATGGGCGGATCCCCATAAGGTATCAATGTGGTAAGGCTGAGACTATTGGATGCTGTTTGAGGAGGAATGGCATGTGTCTCGGCAGGTGGTCGCGTGGGAACGGGAGGATCTGACCGAGTTCTGTCGTAACCTTGCAGTCCCGAGGAACTCTTTGGAGGAACATGAACGACGACCGTCTGAACGACAACAACAGGGTCCACGGGATGGCCACTGATTGTTGGGGTGGGAACGTGGTCATGGTTCAATGGGCATGAAGTTGAGAGACTACCTGGTGTGACGGTATGGATCACCACGGTGGACTTTGTAGCGAGTCGAATCGTACGGGTGATGGTCGGAAGCCGGATGGTCGAGAAAGTGATAGCGGGAGGGCTGGCAGTGGTTACTGGGTTCCAAGTGGAGGGGAAGTCGTCACAAGCTAGATATATGTTGGCATAACTGCAACCAGTCGGGCTCGAGAAGCCGCAGAAACCAAACTCGGCATTTCCATTGCACGGGTTGGCACAGAGAGACTCCTCGACCTTAGGAAGACTCTCGATTTTGCGTCCACAGCGACAGCCGCTGTTGAACACGACATGTCAGCAAGTGTTGAATACCAAAGCCGTGGAAGACATACTCGGCAAAGGCAGCAGCGATATCGAATCCTGTACAGGCGGACTGACACTGCTCCGGGGTATAGGCCGAGGGGAAGTTTACAAAGGCAGTGAACTTGTCAGAGGTCATGTTGACACATGCGAAATACTCGAAGCCATGTATGACGTGGTTGGCTTGGGCTGCGACCAATGTGGCCAGCAGTATGATGGAGAGAAGGAACGACATGTTGGACAGGCGTCAAATGGAAGAAATGTGATCTTTGGGACAATTCTAAGAAAAAGATTTGGGAATGTTGGCTTGTGAGCGAGTGATGTGGCCGCTGAGGCTCGAAGGCGATGATGCTGGGATAAAGTGGAGGAGAAATCATTGAGGGGGGAGTAATGGAGGGAAGCTTTATAATGGGCAAGAATAATCTCTGATGGAAGGCGTGACCAAGTTGATAAAGCAATAGGGAAAGCAGGCAGCTTCTCCTAAGTAACGCCTTCCTGTCACAATTCAGAGGCAAGAGCAGCTATGTCCATAGCAGCTCGTACCTTTCTTACCTCCCTCACCAACCCAGCCAAAAATTCGGCACAAAATCACATCTTTTGGAACTCTAAATGGGCGAAGTATACGCTTTTGATGTTCTGCTGGGTCTATCTTGGTATCTGAGGTTGACTGTCATAATCCATCACTTCTCCGACACACCACCACAGCAGACTTCGCAATCGTCAGGGCTCTCTTTGATCATCATGATGCCAAAAAAGGCTTTCTAGAGCCATTCGTGACAGATCAACAGCGGTTACGCAGTTTTGCGAAACGCAGCGTATCGATCGCCCGTGGCCGATCGAGTCTCATCATCCGATTGCAAGCATGTCTTCTGCATTCATAGCTTCCGTAGAGCTGACCGTTTTTGCTTTGAAGATGACTGGTTTAGTGCTTCTTCCTAGACGACGACGATACCAGCTTCTTCTTCACGCTCTTGGGGATCTTCTCCTTGCGCTTCTCGCGCTTGGCCTCCTTGACCGCTTGCTTGTGCGCCTATACCATGGTCAGTAAAACTGAAAAAGTCAAACACAAGAGAAAATGCTTACCTTCTTCTCGTCCTTGTCCTCGTGTTTACGTCCTCTAGGCCGGCCCTTGTCGAACTTGGATTCATCCTCATCGCCGCTTCCAATGGATGCTCCGCTGCCGGACTCATCCTCCGAAGTTTCCTCCTCCTCCTCTACCTCTTCGTTATCCTTGACAACAACGGTATCGGCAAGCAGGTTCTTGTAAACAAGCTTGTCACCTTCGCCTTGTCCGATTTTGGCAGCGTCCTTCTCGATGTCGTAAACCTGCTCGAGCGTCTGGGGAATGTACTGCTTGCGGAAAACCTCGTTGTCAACTTCAGTCTCCGCTGCAGCCTGCTCCTCGTCGGCCGGCCGGCTCTCGTACAGCTTCTCGAGAGCCTCTGTCAGAGCAGGCTCCTCAACCGGGCCCTCCGTCGCCGTGATGAAGTCATAAACGACGCGGTCAGCAAGGGTATCAACACCCTTGCGTCTGAAGAAATCGCCGACGTTCTTGATATCCATGCGCAGGAATTCCAGGGCACGCGGGTGGTCAGGTTCGACACTCTGCGAGACGTCGATGATGTACAGCTTGTTGTCGTTGTAGAGAATGTTGTACTCGCTCAAATCGGCGTGAACAAGTCTGCAAACCTGGTATATCCGGCGGTAGAGGCCCAGAAGCTGGACATAGAGACCTCTCCACTGCTCATCAACATCATCTCCAGTCAGCCTAGCATCCCTAAGACGAGGGTAAGCCCAGCCCTTGCGATCACCGAGGAAACCCATAGCCAGAACATGAAGCTTCAAGCTAATGGGCTCCGGGCAAGGAATGCCGGCAGCGTGTATTCTCCTCAAGTTACGGAACTCCTTCTCAGCCCAAAGCTTGACCATGCTCCTGTTGCTGCTCTTGTCGAAGCCCTTCTGGAATCTGTGCTCGCCAGTGATGTACCTCTCGCGGTCCTTGAACACCAGAATGGAGGTCTTGTACACCTTGATGGCACGCTGCACGACGGGCCCGTCGTTCTCGGGGTGAAGCACGGCGTGATAGACGTTGGCTTCCTTTCCTGTGCTGATTGCACCGTGAATCTCACTGACGACACCACGGTTGATCATCTGCAACAGGATCATGCGTGTGCGCTGGTCCAGCACCTGTTCGCTCGTCGCGCGGTCTGCCTTATCCTTGCTCTTCTCATCGTCGCCGCCGCCCTTGACGCTGTCAAGACGGATCTTGGCAGCGTGCTTTGAGAGGGCAGTGATCTGATCGTCAACACTCGCAAAGGTATTGGCTGTCGGTCGTTGGGCATTGGAGCGCGGCAGGGCGACGCCGCCGTCGCTGTTGCTGTTGCTGTTGCTGTTGAACATGCGCTGGCGGTTGTAGGACTTTGTCAAGTCGCCAGAGTCGGCGGTCCATTCATCATCGGGGACATCGTCGTCTTCGCCAAAGATGTCCTCCATGTCGTCCTCGACATCCTCATCGAGCACAGGGTCATCGCGGGGCACGTTCTTGAGCTCGGCGGGGATCTCCTCGGTCTGTTCGTAGCCCTGGTTGGGGCGATATGTGTAGGGTGGCTCGTGGGGAGCGGCGGGGGATTCGTTAGAAGCCATTGTGTGCAGTCGCAGTCGCAGTCGCAGCCGTTGTCGGATCTATGACTATCTGGCGTCTGGTACTGGCTTGGTATTTGTTACTCGAGAGCGCTCGAGATGTGGTGTGCCCCTCTGCCCCTCCATCGTAACGGCTGGGATTTTTCGAATTTTTTATCTTATCAATAGCGTGGCGGCCGTGGCGGGGTTTCCGAGTCATCGGTGAGCTTTGTGGTCCGTGCACAGGTGATGAGTCAACAAATGACTGGCATCAGCCTCTGATGCAGAATGAATCACCTCTGTGATTTTGGTGATTCAGATGCTGACAACTGCTAAAAATTAGCCGAAAGAAGACGCCACATCCAGTATTTTGTGGGGCCTCCCGCTGTCGTTTGGGCAGTCCGTAACACTGAGGAAATCAATCCTGACCGCTGGAAAAGCCTATCGCCTAACCTCCACTTCACATCCACGAGACCCTGATGGGCATCCAGCTCCACTACAGAGGGCCTCGGCCTTGCAAGCTACATGGGATGTTCATGTATACAACATGTATGTATATGCCACGGTATTGAGAAAATGCCTAGCCGCATCTGCCGTTACTTTGGCTATGTTAAACATTGTACCGCTTAAGCCGGTACAAAAGCGTCTGCACCACGCATCAATAATCAAGTTTTGGAGTTTTGGATTGGTTTGCTGGTCCCAGTTTGGCCTTTGCTCTAGTTTTGTCAGCAAACAAACAGCTCGTAGACCGCCATAATGACATCGCCACACGGACAAACACCAAGACTCCTGTTGGGCTCTGCTTTTGGGTATCCGTATGTAATATCCACCAACCCTGAAAGTGTTGGCTGATCCCCTGAGCTGCTGACAAGATATCGTAGAGTTCCCTATCCTGTGACAGGTCGAACTCATCCTGACGATTGCCCAAGCCAAAGCACTTCGACACTGCCTGTTCTAGAATTTTCTCTGCATCAAACATCGAGAACAAGCCACTTGCCATGGTCGACCTCGCAAAGAATCTGTCAGCTCAGTGCCGAGCTGAACAGTAACATTGCTGCTTTTCTTTAATTTGTTCCACGTGCGACTAGATCCAAGTCAACGCATCCTACGACACGAGTGTCATGACCTAATTCTAGGTAAGCATTTTGTCAAGGCTCTAATGAACTGACCCTTTCCCCGCTCTGTCTCGCGCCTGAGCAAAGATGTTCAAGGTTATTTCCAGCCGGCCTCACTCTCGCCCCCTCTCTTGGCCACCATCTAAGTTGTTGGAGAGGGAAGTGGTTGGGCACGAACCTGGGCCGTCTTCACAGCGATGCATCCTGGCAATATCCAAGACCTGTTATTATTGTAACCTTTTAACTCGTGCCTCACTTGAGGCCAAACTTTTCAGGTTGCCATCAAGAATGATACTCGAAGACCCAGTTAGGCTCGTCCCATTCGACTTCCCAAGTTTTAAAACTATTCAAATGGTGTTCAAGTTATTAGACGACAGAACCATCCCTCGTTGTTCTACAAAGACCTCTACTGCGGCCCCTGACGGACGTCCGCTTCCCTTTTCGAATGATGGAGAATTACGTGTCACGTTGACAAGTTGTCAGATTTGTTCATGGTGCTCGTTGAAACGTTGACATTTAGGTTGCGTGGGGAGCTGCAGGCACGGTCCTTAGTTCAAGAACCGAAAACTCAATACAACCTTTCGCTCACGCTCCTCGATGTCCTTCTGGCGAATGACAGTTCTGGCTAGCCCTCTTTTGGCAAATCACTGGGTCATCCCGCCCATCAATGCACAAATAGCCTCTGTCTCATCGGTCTAAGGTAGGACCCCATACTTTGTTCCTGATCTTTTCATGAAACCAGGTGATGGCATGGATTTGCCTTCCTTGTCAAATGCGAAATAGCTATCGTTTATATCGTCGCCCGACCTTTGCCAACGGGATAGATACTTTTTGACGGGTAAAGCCAAGTTGTCCCATTCTTCTTCGAGGGAGAATCCGTTTCTTTTTCTTTCACCCAAGCTGGCGTTATGGCTTTCAATTTTCGCTGCGGGTGTCTGTTTTTTGTTATTAGCGTCCTCCTGTCCCTTGCTACATTCGTTGCTGCTCATCATCGACAACCAGAAGGCGAGTTTACTCAGGATGATATCGACAGTGGGCGAGCCTTGGCAGAACTTAACAGGAGGGCGCTGGGAAATGCTCGCAGGTTTAACGCCCAGCCGGCCATGCGGAATATGACCAATGGCTGTCAGGGGCACAAGGTATTGATGAGAAAAGAGTGGTAAGCCAAGCACCATTAAAATTGTCAACGGGACAAAATCATCGTTTGTTACTCTGTACTAAAATCCTTGGTAATCAGGAGGGCTCTGTTGCCACAGGAGCGCAAATCTTTTATATCTGCAGTTCAATGTATTATGACCAAGCCGGTTCTATCGGATCGTAAGAGAGTCCCAATGGCAAAGTCCCTCTACGATGATTTCGTTGCTGTGCATTATACCAGCTTCAAGAACACTCATCTTACAGTAAGAACTTTCTTATCTGTTTACTTGTTTCTACACTTTTCGAGTTGTTGAACCAAAGGCTAAGACTTCCCATAGGCTTCCTTCTTCGCATGGCATCGATACTACTTGGCAACATTTGAGGAAAAGTTGCGCGCAGATTGCGGCTACAAAGGCGCCCTTCCGTACTGGGAATGGGGCCTAGACGTCAAAAACCCAGCCGCATCGCCTGTCTTTGACGGCTCCGACACATCCCTAGGGAGCGATGGCGCTTTCATACCCCATGATGGTCTCCGCCTCCGTCAACTATTCTCCAAGAATCTTATCGCTCTTGAGCCAGGATCGGGCGGCGGATGCGTCTTATTGGGACCCTTCTCAAATATGACGGTTCACATTGGTCCAGCCGCCCTCGCGCAGTACGGCTCCGAAGTGCCATTTAACGTCACAAATCCCCTCGAAGATCTCCCACGGTGTCTCAAGCGCGACTTGAACAAGTTTGTCGCATCGACATACTGTTCTTTCCGGAACACGACCACTCTCATCACGGATCAGACTACCATCAAAACTTTTTCATCGCTCCTCCAGGGAGACGACAGATTTTTCCCGAATACGCTTGGAGTCCACGGTGGGGGACATTTCATTATCGGCGGCGATCCTGGTGCCGACGGATCAATAGCGCCGGGTGATCCCGCATTCTGGCTTCATCAAGCGCAGGTCGACCGCGTATATTGGATCTGGCAGAATCAGGACTTTGCGAATCGGCAGGGCGTCTTTGGGACGTTTACACTGCAGGATAATCCCAAAAGTCCAAATGGAAGTGTTTATGACCAGATCGACCTGACACCGCTCAACAAGCCTGCCAGGATAAAGGACCTTATGAACACGGCTGGAGGCACCCCGTTATGTTACATGTACCAATAGATAACTGTTAATGTAGTGAGACAAAAATATTTAGATCCATGATACCCTATAAATGGGCGGGTTCATCGTGTTGAAGTAGTGCCTTTGACGAGAACCCACTTCTAATGTACCAGCCACTCACTTATGACGAAGGCAAGCGTCATACTTCTTTGCTACCCTTGAATGAATCAAAATTAATATGAACTAGTAAAAATATTTTAACGGCGCCAAGAAGCAACGCCGGAGATGTTTAAAAAAAAATCCCTTTCGACATCATCAGTTTCTGGATTGATAAGAAATGTTCTCTATCCCCATTAGGACAGGGAAATTTCTCGAGGCTAATGCACAGTATGATCGGAAAAGTCGGCAACCAATCGTCTTAGTACGAAGCATGTTTGCGCAATGATAGCCGAAATCACAAGCCAGAATTACCCGAGTACCGGAAAAAGGCAGCAAAATTTAACACCAAGTATACATTAACTGGAGCCGCAGTGAAGTAAAAACAGCTACACTAGCTCTGGAGGCTGAGCTCAAATCGTGACGGATGTTTGTAAGCTTAGACCCAATCTTTCTATCATGGTAACTACGGAGTACGGTGTACACTTTTATAAATGGGACGACAGAGCCTATCATGCACGAGATACCAACACTTGTGGCATCCATATCCATGTCCACGCTCCCGCATTAGGCGGGTCTCGAGTCCAAGCGCCGTAGTCTTGCGCAGTTTATGGCTCTTGTTCCTTGAAACATCAGGTAGTTTGCAATTAGTGCGAGGTGTGAGCTCAGAGGTACGTTAGAGGTGACGTTGATAACCGTGCTTCGCTAAAGTTTGCTCGCTTCCGCAGTTGAGATGCCGACGATATTTGCCCACTGTATTAAAAGCCTGGAGTGTGGGATGATTGAAAAGCGATGAAATTCCATGTTTTTTTCGTCTCATTCTCGTGGAGCTTTTCTGTGGTGTTGTTGTTCCATCTTCTCTTTACGGCAATCCCGTCATCACTCGCGCCACATGGTGTAGTTCGGATCGAAAATCGGCTTGAATCAATGACCAACAAAAGAAATGTGCATGAAAATCAAACCCAGATTTTACGTATAAACCAACTAGGGACGGGTAGACTGATTGCTTGAGGATCTGGGAAACTGCAAACTGATTGCTTTAGCAAGCAGTCACTTCCTAGTCGATCAACGTCAAGACTTTCCCAGTGACAGCACAAACAGACCGAGCACAAACAGCATCCCAAACCTGTTGGGGAAGGCCCCAAGTCTCTGTTCGAATATTTGTAACACCTTCCTTTGTCAAAGGGAGTTACTGCTGCGAAACAGCCGACAAACCAATCAAGTCACTCTCGCCTTTGACTTATTCCTTCTCAAGTCTATCTTTCATCTGTTGAAAACATCATCTCGACTTACCTACATCTCGACACCTACCGACACCGCTGGTTACGAATATTCGCTTTATCCCTAGTTCAATATGTTGTCAGTAGCAGCTCCTCGACTGCTGTCAATAGTATCTCCGCGTTCACGACAGCAAATACCGCTTATTTACGTCGCATTGGCCGTTTGTGGCCTCTTCTTTCTCATCCAAATAACGTTCGGCAGCACCATCTCCGGCCTATTCCATCACACCTCCCCGACATCGAATGTTGAAAGCAGCACCTCTCAACCGCTACCGAAGAAACCCAAATATAAACCGCAGCCAACATGGGTTCCACCTCTAGTCAAAGACCCGTTTCCCCTGCTTATGACTTCGAAACCACCTCCCATTCCCGCCTGGAATATGCCGAAGCGCCCGAATGTCTATCAGAAATATGATCTTCCAACTGCTCCACCACTGCTCATTGGCTTCACGCGTAGCTGGCCGTTGCTGCTGCAAACTGTCGTCGGGTATGTCACAGCAGGCTGGCCGGCGGAGCAGATATACGTGGTGGAGAACACGGGCGTGCATGATTCCAACGCAATGGGGCGGTTGTCGCTGCAAAACCCGTTATACCTTAACCACACACAACTGCATATGCTTGGTGTTAACGTTATCCGTACACCTGTGTTGCTCACTTTTGCGCAGCTGCAGAACTTCTTTGTTTCGCTGAGCAAGGATAAGAGTTGGCCATATTATTTCTGGAGCCATATGGACTCGTTTGTGTTGTCTTTGGAAGAGGGAGTCGAAGGCGTCTCAGGGCCAGTGAACACACCAGAATACCAGACCATCTACGAACTCGCCACGAGGGAATTGAACCACACGCTACGAACCGACTCCAAATGGGCAACCAGGTTCTTTGCGTACGATCACCTGGCGTTGGTGAACCCGAAAGCCTACGAAAGTGTGGGTGGCTTCGACACCTTCATACCCTACTACATGACGGACTGCGACATGCACTGGCGTCTGGGTGAGGCGGGTTGGAGCATGAACGATGCTAAGGCAGGCATCATTACAGATGTTGCAGCAGTACTTGATGACCTACGAGTACTTTACCGCGAGGGAGATATCCCTGGCGAGTTAAGTTTCACAGATCCGAATCCACCACCGGAAAAGGTCATAAGCGAGCATCCGGTAACGAAAGCCAAACGCGGCCTTGAGGAGAGTCTTGCCCGTCTTCCAAACATAAGTGACGGCGCAGGTCTGAACGATCCTAACCCATCATCCAAAACTATCGACCCGCTTCTTTCTTTCAAGAAGCTTTTGCACATCGGCCAAGAGATGTTCAACCACAAGCACGCCGATCGCGACAGAAACACGTGGCAACTTGGCCAAAGAGGTGGCGATCCCAGCGAGCCATACTACTACGATGCTATGGGGTTTCAGATAGGCGTAAACGTAATTACAGAAGCTGGAAGAGAGGTTTTCAGGCGTAAATGGGGACACCGAGGGTGTGACTTTGGTGCTGCGGGCTTGCACCCAGATGATGCTTGGAAGGTTGAAAAGGATTGGGAGTAGTATCCATGGTCCTTGTGGAATGTCGAAGGCTTAAAACGTTGATGACTTACGACTAGAAAAAGAAGAATTCTTTATCTAAAAATTTAATGTATTAAATGACACGAGTCGCATAAAACCTCATCAGCTATCGTGATGATCAGTTTGTCAGCGCCCTAGAGGACAAGATTGTAAACGGCTTGCAGAGCACGTTCTGAAAACCCTTCAATCCACTTGCACGTTGCAAAGCTTTCATGTTTGTTTTCGGCTAAGGGTATCTGGACTCATACGGGCTTTCATAAGAATATCTGAGACATCAATCCATGGGAAAGTTGCCTATGATGTTTGATGGTAGTTGTGGAGGGTAATTAGGTACGTTAATCACCTTCACATAAGCCGTTCTTCTTGTTGGGGGCAATTTTGGTGGATGAGGTAAAAGCGGGGCATAGGCAGCCATGCGTCAATGCGGCACCGATAAAGAAGCACCACAAACTCCCAACATCACACCTGAACACCTGACGTCCAAGCTCTGAAGGAAAGACGCCCACCTACCAATGCGATAACTGATTGGACCGATGAATGACTTAAGACTAGACGCTTTGCCATTAGAGATCCTTCAAAGTGTTTGCAGATCACTTTGCGAAGATGATGAGGGCGATGGCATACAAGGCCTCCTTTCATTATCTCGAACATCCAAACGCCTACGAGGTATCGCTATTCCTGACTTGTTTAAAGAAATCAGTCCTTTGCTTCCATCATTTGAATCCTCTATCGGACTTGTTCCGTATACTGCTTTCATCCCACTCCTTCGAATTTTCATCACCAATGTGGACATCGCGGCAGAGGTGAGGGACATACTTATTCCTAGTGGACCGTTTGGCAGACGCCACATGCCTGCAGACGACTTCCAAATCATATATAAACGAGCCTCCGCCCTTGGGGTCGAAATACCAGGTGCTACATATCCAGATGCATGCAAGAAGTCTGCTGAATCCGATGAGCACTCTGACGCAGCAAACGATGATGGAACGGCCGAACAATTCCTCACCGAGATGATCCTTGTCCATACGCCCAATGTCCGCACTATTGATTATCGGGTTCGCAACCGGACCACCATATTTGGGACACTCTGCTCAGCTTCGAATGGCATGAAACGAAAACCTCTTTTCCCCAAGCTGATCGATTTCCGCATGGAAAATCTCGGATCGGCGCAGCGTGTTAAGCCATTAGCCGAGTGGGCACCGAGTCTGGACTCTCTATGGTTGGAAACTGCCCAAGGGCCTGTCGCAGGGTTACAATTCAACACGGTCAGGGTCCTCTTGCTCACCAAAGCCCAGTTCAATGATGCCGAAATGAAAGAGTTGATACGAGGCTTTCCTAATGTCAAAAAGTTCTGGTTCACCTGGTCTATCAATGAGCGTATCCCTACCCCCAGTGATTACAACCAACTTCTTTGTAGTCCACAAGGGGTAGTGGACGCATTGCAGCCGCTCAAGGCACAATTGACTGAGCTGACCTTGCGATTCGACGACTGGCAAGGCTTCTTCTGCAGTCACATAAGGACCGAGGGCCCTGTTAATGTGGTCGAGTCGTTCAAAGACTTTGAAGCGCTGCAAAGGTTGGATATTGATGGTGCAACTTTGTACGACCAGACACGCAACGCAAACGAAAGCTACGATGCACACATAGCAAGGCCGTTGGATGGAATACTGCCGGGCAGCCTCAAGTCTTTGAACTTGATGGATTTACGGAGAGGGCCTGTTGATGATGACTTGTTAACATTTGCGTCTTGTGCGGGAAACTGCTGCCCTGAGTTGCAGAGGATTGACTACCAGCGGAGCTTTAGGAAGGGAGGCATGTATCGAATTCCTCCCGCGGAGTTGAGCGAGTTGAAAAATGAATTTGGAGCAAACGGCGTCATTTTTGAATCGCACAACGACACTAGTCACAAACCGGTTTCATGGAGAAAATAGAAGTCATCGTCGGTGCTTGATTCTCACAGCTTGACAAAAATAGGCCAGTTGCCCGGAGATGCTAAGTACAGCGTGTATTACTGGATTACGCTTTAGCGACTAAAAGTGACTGGACTTATCCGCCGACCTCACGAATCACAACTTTGTTTTTCTATGACAACGACATCTTCTCGACAGATGCACTTGGGTTGCCCTTCTAGTTGGTCACATTTGGCCACTTTCTAAACAAGCTTTGATTGACTGGAAAGTTTTCCGGAATAGTTTGTTAACTTTGGACTTGTTTTCGTCAGTTTCTTGTGATTCTTGGCGAATAATGCCCAGCACGAGGTGGTTGATTTTCCTCTTGGCTTCCGTCTTGGATCCTTGGCAATTACTCATCGTCTTGTAAATCACTGTTTTCACTGGATTTCTGGCCTTTCCCCCCCTTCGCCAATATTTCCGCGGAGCCGATATCCATTCCAGTCCAACCAATTTTCGAGTCAGCTGCCAGTAGTCAGCAAAACTAGCGACAACAAAGACAGGTCGAGTCTACGACCGTAACTCCTACGGCACACGTTCAATGGCCATCAATTTTGTTTCATAATCTCCTACATCACCTCGACGCTTCTCGAACAAGCCACAAAGGCCATTGTCAGAAGAGTTTGCCAAAGATGGGTTGGATCGTCCGTGTGGAGTTCCATTCGGCTGGAAGCCCCTAGGCCGAAAGAGGCTTTGCAGATCGGCGCGTTCCAATAGATAGCTTACACACTAGCAACCCAAATGCCGCCTTCGAGGGAGCTTTAAGCTTAAACCTTATGGGCAGGTGGGAAGGATTTCGAAGGGTTGCGTGCGAGTTGCGTGCCCGGCGCAGCAGTTTGAATCCAGCAGCTCGTCGTCACCTCTCTCCTCCTCGTTGCACCTTTTTGACCAACAGGAGTTTTTGCCGAGAGTATAATCATGAAGGCCGTCTTCTTGGCTACTTAAAAGGGTGGCTTGCTCGGCAGTCCCCTACCTGCTCGTACAGGAAGGTCCTAGGATAAAATATTGGTGACAATGAACCCGTGACTCCTTAAAGTCGTTGCGTCCTGTTAAGCGACGCTTCAGCTGGCCACCTGTCAAGCTCTCCCAGCTGCCCGAGCTTCCCGAGCTGTCGACTAACTCCTCTCGCCATCTGCTCGGTGGTGGAGTTCCCCTCTCTCGGCAGTGGCTGGCCATACCCCGGTCGTTCGGCATTGGCTCCCCAAAGAAGCTGAATTGCAACACTCACAAAGGTCAGTCACACACATGTCGGCTTGCCTTTAGCCCATGGCTCCCGCTGTAAATCAAGCTGCTCGGTGCAACTTTGCGCTTGGAGAATATGAACTGATCTTGCCAAGGACCGCGCGGGGTTTCTCCTGCAAGCCCAGCCCTGCAGCTCTTATCAATCAACGAGACGGTGCAGCCACGAATCACACCTACCATATTCTGCAAAGAGTGGTGCTAGTACAATTTATTGATGCTATCTTGGCCAGTCCTGGTGTAGAAGCTCGCGGAATTGGATGTGCCATCCGATATCCATAAAAAGAGCGGATGGTCGACTGAGGTCAGCTTTTTTGGTTGTCCAGTGTTCCCGTGTCCAGCCTCAGTACAGAACCAAGCCCCGAAGATGAAGCTCCTCGCTGGTCTCGTTAGCGTGCTGCCTTTGGCATCCGCGGCAGCCGTCACTCCTCTCGAAAAGAAAATCACATACGAGGGCTTCAAGGCTTTCCGGATCGCAACGCACGATGACGCGGCCTCTATCAAGGCACGGATTGCCAACATCGCTGCCATTCCTTTCAACCTGGACAACAGCGAGCACTTGGACGTAGCTATCCCTGCTGAAGACGTCCCGAAGTTCGAGAAGCTAGGCCTTGAGACCACCGTCTTACATGAGGATCTTGGTTACGACATCGCCCAGGAGGGTGATTTCACCCCCTACGAGAGTAAGTCTTGGATCACAATCGACCCTCACTTATAGCTTAACAAAGCTGACCTGATTAGGAAATGCCGAGGCCACTTTGCAGGCTCTGCCTAACCCCTCGTGGTTCAACTCCTACCACACCTTTGCAGATCATCAGCAATTCATCCGTGATCTGCAGGCTGAATTCTCCTCCAACTCGGAGCTGATCAACGCTGGTACCTCTTACGGCGGACGCTCTATCTTGGGAATCCACCTCTGGGGTAGCGGCGGCAAAGGCTCCAAGCCTGCCATCTACTGGCACGGTACCGTCCACGCCCGCGAGTGGATCACCACCATGGTATGATAGGAAATGAGCTTAAAGAGTCCATGAACATTTTTGGTTGACAGTGAATAGGTTGTGGAATATCTGGTTTACCAGATTATCGACGGTTACCAGAAGAACGATGCAACCGTGAGGGCGATTCTGGACAAATATGACATCTATGTGCTGCCAATCGTCAATCCCGATGTTCGTGAAGAATTCAACTACTCTCTACTTCATAGCTGACGTATTTAGGGTTTCGCCTACTCTCAAACCAATGACCGCTTGTGGCGAAAGAACCGTCAGCCCAGATCAGGCAGCACCTGCATCGGCACTGACATCAACCGGTAAGGACAACACGTCTTGAAGAATCAAATGACGGACCAAGATACTGGACTAACTCCTCATAGAAACTGGCCATTCAACTGGCAACTCCCGGGTGGTGCCTCCACCAGCCCCTGCTCCGAGACGTACAAGGGCCAGGCTGCCGGTGATACCCCCGAGATGGTTGCCCTGAAGCGTTTCACCGACAGCCTCGCCGCAGGCCGCGGGATTAAGCTCTTCATCGATTGGCACAGCTACGGCCAGTACATCCTGCTCCCCTACGGCTACGACTGCTCTGCCCGCGCCTCCAACCATGCCCGCCAGATGACCCTGGCCGGCAACACCGCCTCCACCATCGCTCAAGCTTACGGCACCCGTTTCACTTACGGCCCTAGCTGTTCGACGCTGTACGCGACCACTGGCAGTGCTCCTGACTATCTCACCGGCGCTGCTGGCGCTGAGGTCGCGTGGACGATTGAACTGAGGCCTTCGGGTTCTGCTGGAGGTGGTTTTGTTTTGCCCGCTGCGCAAATCCTCCCTAGTGCCATCGAACAGTGGAACGGCATCAAGTACCTGCTTGCCAACGTTTAGATGGAAAGAATAGGTCGTTGCTAGCATACTTAGCTGGCACATTGCACTACCTTAGTGTGAAGCATTAGAAATCTAAGTTAAACAGATTTGATATCATTCCTTTCATATGCCGTGACTTATCGGCTTGAATCAATGTCCATCTAAAATTGTGTCCTGCTGCTGTTAGAAAGGCGGCGTATACGTCTTGACTGTAAACCTTTTGCTACGAAGTGGTGCCTGGCTAACCATCACAAAACAAAATAGACAGTGCCATCCTTCTGAATAAAGGTCGAGTTCCCTCAACTTAAGATTTCTGAAGTGCTTCTCTAATTTAAATTCTTTGGTGCAATGATGTCGATGACCTTTCTTGGCATCCTTTTCGCACGAACACAAGTTGGCTGCATGCCTTTGTTATTGGTAAGATTGTGATATGCGAAACATTTCACTGATAAGACCTGCAGTGAGTGAGTTGATTAGGCTATCGAGTGACTCTGTCGGTATGGAATTACTCTTAACCATGACGATTATGTCAAGGACTTAGCAATGATATCAATGGCTGCAGCGTGGAGGCTGAAAGATCAATGCTGCTTAAAAATTCACGTATGCGCTTCGTGGAATTATTGCTAACTCTACAACCTTTAGCCCGATCCTAACTATACCGTTTGCATCTAAACATGGTATCCATGTGGTGGGTAATGATTGACCTGATATCGTGTCTGTATCAGCCGCTGGAACTCGGCAGGCGTTTAGCTAAAAGCCCGTTGTGTCGCGAACCGCTCTACACATGGAACTGATGAGAAAACGACTTACATGAGATACATGTTTTGGTTCATTGTCTATGGTTACGAGTTTGTTTGTGCAGATAATGAAAGCAATCGACAAATCTGTTGGAAACGCTACTCACGTATTGCCCACCCTCGAACCGCTCAGTCAGCCCGCTAAGTATTATCACCACACAAACATAAAACTCAATCATTCTTGCAAAACCAGCAATCTTGTCATAAGGCTTACAATGCTGTCAAGAAGTCCACATGCATTCACAGCTCTAACTACCCTAGTTGGGAGCCCGAGATCAGGTTTGGTGTAAGCTCGGTCTTGACTTTCAGCTCATCGCTCACCAGTGACACAAGCGGGAGCAATGCGAATGCCCCTGCCAGCTGGGTGAGCAAGAGATCTGCCAAGTTGACAGGTACTTACACTAACCGAGAAGGTCGGTAGTGGTGAAAATTGGTTGAAACCCGGAAGCGTGGATATTGATCCTGTAAGCTTACGCTCATCAGCTCCAGGCACTGGATTGGATAAAACGCAGTAAGCAGCCATATTAGGCCAAAGATGGTATATCGTATCACGAGTAGCAGCCCTCTGATTGGTGTTTACTGGCCTCAAGCCGGGGTTGTTGTCCATGGGGTGCCGGCCCTCATCATCGCCTCTTGAATGCCCATCATACATAAGGCATCCCCAATGCTTCCCGTCAAAATGTGATCTCTCTGAAGCACCCAAAATAAACCGTAACTTTAAATCTTTCTTAAAATCACAAGTCCAAGATAGACATCATATAGACGTCAGAGCCTTGACAGCGACAGCGCAACATGACTACTCGCATCCCTACAATTTACAAGGCCGTCTTCCTTTACTTTGACCCGCCACGCGCGCTTTGGGGTGCATTCATGTACTACTTCACGCGCGACTACGCTCTTCAAACGTTCTTTCTCGAAGGCTTCCAGGGCAGCCGTGATGCGGCTCATGACCTACTCTTATACCATTCAGGCGGCGCGGTGCTTGGGTCTGCCATTTTGAATGGCTTGCTGCTTCGATATACGCAGGACATTGGCGTCTGGAAGTTCGTGCAGGCAGCGATCGTGGCGATTGATATCTCTCTCCTTGCTGGCATAGTGGAGGTGTTTGGCAAACAGGGTCGGCTGTCCCCGGCCACATGGCAGGCAGGTGATTGGCTTGGAGTCTCTATCACCACCGTGGTTACAGTTGTAAGGTTGGCGTTCATCGCAGGAGTTGGACTAAAGGAGAAGACTAAGAGGACTTGAGTCGTAGCATGATGGGGATTGCAAACAACGTTTGCGACAACGCAGATGACCTTCAGAGCCAGTGAATCATAGGCAAACAAGAAATGTGTACGGTGGCTGTAGATAGGGCACACATGAGCCAAAATGCGAAAGCACCTGATAAGGGCAGAGGGAAGAAAGCTGCAGATTGGCAAGAATGGGCCGGACGACGAAGGGCCATATGTATATGCATGCGCATTTGGAGCCTAAAACCACGAACTGAAATGTCTTTTGGTAAACAAACTACAAACATATGCCGTCCGTCCACCCGTTCTATTGGAAACATCACAACTTGCTGAGCATGTGGCCCTCCTTCTCGCCTTTCTCGCTTGGAAAAGTTGGGGGGTTGGTGTCCACGGGCCCCTGAAGCCACCGGATGAGCCGCTGCGTCGCCTTTCTTGGATTCATTCCATCGGCTAGTATTGGATTAGTGATTTAGATGTTGGTGATTCCCTGAAAAGCATAGCTGAAACAGCAAAACCACTTACCATATCCAATGAATGGAATTGCACTGCGATACCCCATCATGTCAACAATCTTCTTCGGAATCTCCCCAGAAAGGGCCCTTCTTGGATCAATGCCGATCATCAAATTCTCGAGCGGCCGGATATACGGCTGGCAATACTGAATCGTTGCCGCGTACCTCGGCTTTTGGGACCTGTTCGCGCCACCGGAGTGCCACGTCGTGCCCAAGAAATAGATGATGCTTCCCCTAGGACAAGTCGCCGGAATAGCCTCGTGTTCCTCTCCAATCCTATCGGTGCCCCATAGGTGAGAACCGGGAATGATACGGGTGGCGCCGTTAGTCTCTGTGTAATCGTCCAAGACAACCATTATTGCCGCCGTGACGGGAGGTCTCGGGCGCGGCATGTGTGTAAGGGCGTCGTCGTGATGGAGAACCTGGGCCTTCTCTCCCGGGTTGATAACGATGCTCTCCATGATGTACAAAAGATAATCCTCTTCCAGGAAGTAATCGTTGAGCGCAAGCACCTGTGGCAGCAGCACGAATTTATCGAATGCACGGGTCTTGCCTAGCAGCGACAGGATACGGTTGGTCTTGAAACCATCAAAGGCGTGCATCCCAGCTTTGGGCGCTTTGCCATGAAGCCTATCAATTTCGGCGATGGCTTCTTTGGCTTCCGCGTCACTGAAGGCGTTCGGAATAATCACATAGCCGTTTTCGAGCACACTCTCCACATACGCTCTGACCGTTGGGTCCTCGGGAAGCGGTCTGTGCCTTCGAGTGTAGTAGTCCACAGGGACGGGGTCGGCAGCCTGCGGGTCATTTTCTGTTGGAGGGGCCATGTTGAGTCGTTTTGGATATACCTTGGAGAGGATTCCGTCAAGAAAGAGTGCAACAGTGGGAAGAGGAAAGTCCATGTTGAAGGAACGTTTGTTCTAAATGTTGTGTCCCGAAAGTGAGTCCAAGAAAGGCTATTTAGTAACAAAAGGCTAACGAGGCGTTTAAATGCGCCAATCAGATCATGAATGTCAAGAATTTTCCCGAATGGTATAAAATGCCATTCTGGGGTGCCCGTAAGCTGATGTCAGATCGTGCCGTCATTTTTTCGGTCTTGTAAGCTGGATAGCGTATGGTTTCAAAGTAATGGATAATTGGCAGAGATGACAGTGATTCTGCTGCAAACCCCTTCACTCGCAAACTTGGTCATTTTTGGCCTATCGGTCCTCGTTTGGCCGCCCTTATATGAACCGTGCCTCTGATATCAGAGTGAGTGGGAAATAGCATTTTATGGGTGGGGAATTTGTTTGTTGCCGACTTTCTTCATGATGCTTCAAGCTCGTATGATGACTGCTATACTGGAATCACGATTGCCTAATCAAGAGGAAGCTCGACCTTCAAGCCTCACATGTACACTATTACATTTGAACATCGCGAGTAGCCTGCTGGAAAAGTAAAGTGAAATTCATCTGCCAGCAGAATAATCATTCGATGTATGTGACATTTCCCACAATAGACAACGAAGAAAAATCGACAGCAGATCTGCTATTTCTACTAATTTCGATGGACTATGCGGCTGCTATCCAGCAAAACCTTACACCTTGGCTTAAACAAGAGCAAAAACTTGACAACAATGGAAAAACGGAAATGATATAAACTAGGTCAACAATGACCAGAGACTACAGCAGTAACCAACTTTTGAACAGTGAAATCCAATGACACCAGCAGAACTTACGATTTTCAGAACAAGGTTTGTTAACCCAATTAACCTTTTTGAAAGCTGCGCTGCTATGCATAATCAATCGCTATATAAAGTATCTATCGCCAATCACGTTATTAACTTGACCCCTTGTAGTGTCTTACCCACTATCCCTGTTAATCGGAGTGCCTGCTCACTTGAAAACTGCTTCAGCCTTCTCCAAAATCTCCATCATCGGCTCTTTGAGTCTTGCCTCTACCTGTTGCACAGACTTCTCTTTCGCTGCCACTGCTAGTAGATAGTCGCTTCGCGCAGTTGTGCTTATATGTTTGAGCTTGTTGTAGAGCAATCTCTGGTATTCGTATAACGCTTGGGATAAGGAATTGTCAATCTGTTCAATGGTTTCCGAGAACATGGAATGCTTGTTGTCACGAACATGGCCAGTGAGTGCCTTTTGCATATTCTTGACGGTACCCCTTCCTGTCACACAGCAAAACGTCACTCGTTGTTATCTTTTAATCAGGAGAGGAACTTTACCTGTTATTTCCATGCATTCTTCGTACACGGGCACCATTTTCTCCGTAACGGCGGGCGTAAGTGTACGGTTGGCATCTTTTTGGGCTGCGTTCATCTTCTGCCGGCCTTGAATCGCATGGCGATGCAGGTCTGCCTTGTGAGTCTCTAGCTGCTCCCAAAGCCTTTTGACAGCCGAATCTACCTCTACTAATAAATCATCATGGCCAAGTCGTCCGATGATGCCTCGGTGAAAAGAGTCTAATATGTTGCTTGAGTTGACTGCGAAGGTTTTCAAAATTGTTGGTAGCTCGGTCTGAAAAACATCTTCCCATTCATTGGCTATGTTCATTTTGAACGGGCTTGACAAATCCTCGTTAAAGTCGTGGGTGTGGTAAACACCATTGCGGCTAAAGATAGCGCGAAGGGTCTGACAAGGCAAGCTTTTCTTCCTTGGAGGTGCGGTCCAAGCCTGGGAAATTGGCCCAGCTTGCGAAATGGCAAGGCCTTTGCATCTTTCCATGGCCGCGAAAAGCCTTGTCTGCAATTGTTCCTGTGCCGCCTGTTCGAAATGAAAGAATGCGTCCATGAGGTTCTACCGAGAATTAGTCAATGGTAAGTTGTGTTTTAAATGGAGATCTCAGCCATAGGAATACCTTCTCCAAGTCCCCAAGTAGTGAGCCCAGTGACACTGCGTCAATTGTGTTTGTGACGGCTGATGCATCCTGTGTCCATAGTGCAATCGAGTTCAGTATCTGGCAGACGCAGCCCAACACCTCGCGACTCTTGGTTATGCGAAGCTCGATTGTTAAACCCTGAGCATGTTTGCGCAGCTTGGGAATTTCCGTGTCTTCGGTGTCAGTAAAACCAGCAGTTGATGTACTGTTTTCATCGATCAGTTTTTCCATGATCTGATATGCATGGCTACTGACACAAAACACCTTCAGTTCATTGGCAATTTTCTCATGACGTAGTTTCTGATCTTGTCCCAAGATCATCTTCGGACCCTGCTGGCGGGCGGCCTGTTGATCAGCCCTATATTTTGTTAGTTGACTTAGAATGAGCAATGAAAGTTGTATCTCACTCTTTCACAACACGCATAAGATATTGTCTTAAAGCAACCTTGGAAACTTCATTGCGCTTCTGTATACACTTGATGTGGACCTTTACAGACAGCTGCCCCTCTTTTGTTCTTGTGTCGTCAAGTTCTTCGGACTTTAGTCGAATCTGCTCCTGGATGGCTGGGGCTTCCAGCGTGTCAGGGCCGCCGCTGCACAGGGTTTGCATACTTTCATATAATGAATGCTCGACCCTGTGCCATTGAGGTCGCAAGTCTTCGTTGGAAGCATAGCTGCCATCGCGAACACCGTCAAGCCTCTTTCGAAGTTTTTTGATGTCATTTTCAAGCTGCTTCGCTCGTGACGTGCAATTCTTCATCTCGTCCCATGTTCTTGGAGTAAATTGATCAACTTTCGACCTAAGTCCCTTCATGGCTTCGCCAATCTTGATATCGTCGGTTTTGGAGCAGACAAAGGTAACGGCCGAAAACGATCCGTCTAGTTTGAGCTGACGTTTGAACGCATCACCCATCAGGTCTTTGGCAGTTTTGTTGTCGACAGCTCTATGGATCGGGGCAACTATCCAGATGCCAGCGCAAGACTTGATGTACTCGTTTGCTACTGCCGTTCTTGCTGCATCCCAATCCTGATGTCCTGGCTGTGAAACGAGTTAGACATGCGAGAAGTAATCGTAACTTTATGGACTTACCAGGTCAACGATGGTGACACCATTAGACAAAGCGTCTGCCTTGGTGTAAATCTTGACTGATTTAACTAATGGCCAATACGCAGCGTCGCCGTCGTCCGAGGAGCTTGGGTCGACAAACGGTTCGATCATGGAACAAAGATCTCCTCCGATTTCAGCTTTGAAAGATCTTGAATTTCCAAGAAGATCTTGCACTTTCCCATGATTCATCAGTTCGTCAAGGCTGCTTTGGGCAAGCTGTTCATAATCCATATCCGCGTATACTGCTCTAACCTTGGCTATAGCCTTGGCAACATCAGTTTCGGGCTCGACATCATCCTCATCGAAGCTTTCATCATTTTCAGCAATCGCTGCAAGAGACATCTCGATTTCTTTCCTCCATTCTTCACATGAGATAAACTGAACGACCGCTCGATATTCGTTTAGCTCATCGTTATCGTGGTTGTATGACAGCTCAATAACGCAGGCTGTGCAGGCTCTCATGCAACTGGTCGGAAGCAAGCTGAATCATGTTAGCAAGGATTAATCAGCCACCAAAGGTGATTCATCTTACCTTCCCTCGCCCAATAGGGCGTTGATAACTGAACTTTTGCCGTCACCTGTGTTACCAATAACGCCAATGATCGTCTGGTTGGTGCGGCTTGCGCGCTGCCGGGTATCTGTGATGAGCTCCTGCCAATGTTTTGAAGCGTCTTTGACTTCTTGACGAAGTCCGGGAGAAGACGCCATCTTCATGCAAATCGGCTCGAGGTAATCTAGGATCGGCAAGGCTCTGACGACGTGCTCCTCCCATACCTTAGGATTCTGCTCTCCCTTCAGCTTCTAAGGAATGGTGAAGATCATATGAGGAGTGACTGTGGCAGATGTCTTCATCTTCTTGTTACTGTAGCTGTAGTAATTATCGCCGCTAAACTCACGCTTGACAGACGGGAAGCGGCCCCAAGCGTTTATGGTAGCAAATAGATGCGAGAGCTGGTGGCTTGTAAAGATGTGTGGATAATGTGTAAGTGATGGTTGAAATTGCAAGCTGCAGATGAATAATGTTTGGCAGTGAGTTTGTGAGATAAGGTAGTTATGTGAAGGAAGAGATGATGAGTGGTGAAAGGTAAAGGACGTGGTAAGATATTGAGCAAGATAAAGCTGGAGCGGGTATGAGAAGGAGACAGGAGCTACCCACTTATTATTTGTGGCCAACAGAAAGTGCGAGTGGGCAGAGAAACGATTGTTCAGATCAGATCTCACCACTTGGATAAGAAGATTGAAAAACTTTGAGTCACTGAGCTCAGATATTAGTGCACCTGATATAGAGGATACAGAGGGCTGGGCAGCAAGACTTAAGAGGAGGTGGAGTTTCAAATTGCCAAAAACCGAAGAAAGTTTTGCGATGAGAGTGAGAGCGACTGTATGGAGAGATGAAAGTTGAAAGTAATGATTATGACAGGGAGAGGGCTTGGATAAATGAGTAAGAGAAAAAAGCTCTTGTAAGTAGATCGAGTCACATGAAGTGAATGAGAAGAGATCGCAGTTTATGTCTGACTTGTTATCAGTCTTACTCCAAGAAAAGTAATTGACGATGAAAGAGTAACTCGAGGTGGAGTAAAGAGCAAAGAAGCTGTAGATAATCTGAAGAATGGAGTTGTAAAAGTTTGGTATGCTAATAGGCAGCTGATTTGGTTGCGTTTGAGGTAAATTGTTTTCTCAAGATGGTGCTTTTTGTTGTAAAAGGATATTCTGGCCTCGGTCTACGAGGAGAAACTGTTTCGATAAAAACGTTCTTTCACTTATTGTTTCGAACTATTTCCTTGGACCTTCCCGGACAGCTCACTCTCAACAACTGGAGGCAGGACCGAACTACGCAGACTCCCAAACTAAACAAATGGAAAGTCCAGTCCTCCTCGCTCACCGAGAACTAGGAACTCGACAGTTACGTCGGTGAGGCCGACCTTTACCACGTCTTCACCGATTCACCGAGATCTGCCAAGAGTTTAACACCGCTGAAACATGCCAAATCTTATCAGATCAAACCCCCCCATCTATCCCACTTTAACCCCGCGGTCCGCCGTCGCACCCGCCCGCGTCATTCCCTCCCTTGCCCCCCTCCCACGTCACAAAGCCGACAATATCCCTCAGACCACCTCAACTCACCTACTTTGCGATAACTCACCTGCTGTGCCGCATCTACAGTGCCTCTCAGCATTCGGTCCGAACCACAAACTTAATTTTGGCTTCAACGAGAACAACAAGACCATGGCAAGCGCAGGCGAGCTTTACACCAACGGTCGCATCTTCCTTCACAATGCTTCGGCTACTTTAGAGACCCAGCCCTCCTTCGCGGAGGCTATGCTGGTCGCCGATGGCGTGATTAAAGATATTGGCACCACGGCAGACCTGACAGCCAAGCATACCGCCTCCAACCTCAAAACACAAGATCTCGCCGGAAGAACGGTGCTCCCCGGCTTTATTGATGGTCATATGCACCTTCTTCTCCTCGGCCAAGGCCTGCGGAAGCTCAGTCTCGAGGATTGCAACTCTCTCGATGACATTCGCGCCGCTATCAAGGCTTTCGCCGCGGCCAACCCCGACGTCCCCCGCATCATGTGCAAGCTGTGGACGCAGCATGTTACCCCGGGCGGCGTGGACAGGCATATGCTAGATGACCTTGATCCAAGACCTATCTTTATCGACACCAAGGACTTGCATTCCACGTGGTGCAATACAGCTGCAATCAAGGAGCTTGGGATCGAAGACATGAAGGATCCTGCAGGTGGCAAGATCCATCGTGACGCAGATGGGAAGGCGACCGGGTTATTGAGCGAGGCAGCCGTGCTCACTCTCGTCTGGCCTCACCTTGCACAAGTTGCCCCCAAGAGGGACCGGATGGAGGCAATCAAGGCAGCGGTGGAGTCATACAATGCGTCCGGGTACACGGGGCTCATCGAGATGGCAATGGACGAGCCGGCATGGGATGCCGTGTGTTCTCTTCGAGCAGAAGAACCGGATCTGCCAATGAGAATTCACGCCTACTGGCTCATCAAGCCCTCCGAAACCGAAGAAGAGAGGTTCAAGCAGGTGGATAGGGCGATTGAGCTGCACACGGAGCTCAATAAGACAACATCCCCTGACCTGCGTATTGTGGGTATCAAAGTCATCACAGATGGTATCATTGACGCCTGCACGGCTTATCTGTCCGAGCCGTATGCTACAGTCGGCTCGCCTCCTCCCTTTTGGAGTGCAGAGCAATTAGGTCCCGTCGTGAAGAGGGCCGACTCAGCAGGGCTGCAGATTGCGCTGCACGCCATCGGCGACGCAGCAATCAAGATGGCAGTGAACGCGCTTGCGACGCACGCGACGCCGGGCCGCCGCCACCGTATCGAACACATTGAGATGGCATCTCCTGAAGACGCGCGACACCTCGGCGAACTAGGACTGACAGCCTCGGTGCAGCCCGTCCATGCGGACCCCGCGATCCTCAAGGCATGGCCTCGACTCATCGGCTCGCACCGCTGTGAGCGCGCCTTTGCATATCGCGAATTCGCAGACCACGGCGCGCTGCTCGCACTCGGGAGCGATGGTCCAACGGCGCCTTGGGCGCCCCTGCAAAACGCATATGTAGCGACGACGAGACGATCTGCAAGAGACCCGGGCTACGACGTGGTTGTGAATGAGCATTTCAAATTGGGTGTCTGTGAGGCCATCACCGCTGGGGCGTTCGGAACGGCTAAGAGCGTCTTTGCGGAAGATCGGATTGGGAGCTTGCAGGTTGGTAAGGTGGCTGATTTTGTGGTTGCGGATATGGACTGGACGCCTCAGGGTCTGCTGAAGGGCGAGATCAAGGCCACCTGGTTCGCGGGACGGAGGGTTTGGGCTTCTCCCGACTTTGCATAGGTAAAATCATTCAGATGATTGTATACAAATTATTCTGTCGGCTCCCACATGTGTTCGGCTATTCGTAGACGAGATGTGATGTTTATGTGACGCGCCGTAGTTGGTTTGGTTTCATCCCATCTCTTGAATGTTTCCGAGTCGGCGGCACCATGGCGTGGTGCTGTCCGCCCTATCACAACTATGTGAGTCTGAGCTCCCTCGACACTTTGACCTCTTTGGGACAACTTTGCGGAGGGATTATTCGTAGATGCACCCAACTCGGGGTAAGTTCGCGCTTGTGGCAGTGTCAAGGGGTCAGGGCTCGGGCCAGTGCCAAACTGTCAGGTCTCATGGTTTTAGCAGGTTGGGGGTGAATGTGGCGTGCCAAATCCCAAAACCAAACAGCGTAAGACCCTGGAGTTTCTTGATAGTGGAGCTTGCGATATCAGAGGTTGTAATAGAGTGTACTGCCATTCGCTTCGCATTCGCACCACTGCCACATGGGATAACAACCACAGATGCCGCGGCTATATATCATGGATGTTGTTGCAGGTTTTGGACGTCTCATACAAGAAGGCTGCCATGACCGCTGGAAAATAAGGCCAAGATCTCGCTCTAGACCCTCTGATCCAGTATTTTCATCTCGAATCCAAAGTAATTCCACACACGGACGCCTGTATCCCTCGTTAGCAAAGCCAAGATGCATCACTACCTCAGAAGCCTGTCGGTACTTGCCTGCCTTGTCCCTTGGGCGCTCGCCCAGCAGCCATGCGCACCAGTGCAGATCATCGTGGCACGCGGTAGTCTTGAGGCGCAGGGTGCTGGTCTGCTTGGCAACATTGCCAACAAGTCTTCGATGCAGATTCCGGGTTCTATTGTTACGCCGCTGGTGTACCCAGCCCAACTCGATCCTTACCCTCCGTCCGTATCAGCCGGCGTAACGAATATGACGAATCTCCTCCTTCAGCAAGTCCAGGCATGTCCTTCCACAAAATTTGTGTTGATGGGATACTCCCAGGTATGTCGTTCCAATATGTCGTTAAAACGGAGACACTGACAGGTTGAAGGGAGCTCAAGTGTCACTTGATACTCTGTGTGGAACAGCTGACGGACCCAATTTCAACGCAACGCAAGCTCAGGCTCCCATGGTCGGCAACAAGAGTAAGACTCGTCTCTCTGATACACCTGAGTATGTAGCTGACATGCCCCATTAGTTGCTGCCATTGTCCTGTTTGGCGACCCAACCAGTATCGCCAACCAGACCTTCCAAAAGGGAACTGCAAAGAAGAATGGAGTACGTTTCCATTCATGGCCCTGTCTGTCAACATTGCTGACATTTCCCAGATCTTCCCCCGCCAGGACTTTTCCGCATGCAGCGGCTTGACTTCTAAGATTGCTTCCTTCTGCGATGAGACGGATCTTTTCTGTGCCTCGGGCCAGAACTTGACTGTTCATCTCGGTTACTTCCAGAACCAGCAGTACATTGACCAAGCGTCGACATTTATCGTTCAGAATACCAAATAGTTGATGATTGGTGTAGAAATGAGCACGAAGAGTACATTCTGACCGAGAGCTGGAACCTCGGCTAGAGGATGGCTGTCTGGAGCTGACATAATTCTTGTTTATTGGCGATCATAGGAGGTAACGTTGGTTTTTTGCTGGAGCATTCGATCTAGATGATCGACGCCTGGAGTTTCTGGGTAAAGAGCACTTATGTAGCGTTGGTTTTCAAGGTCTAGGATAACAAAAAGAGGTCATTGAGCCGGTTGAATGATTAAAAGATGTCATTTCAAGACGCGGGGTCAGAAAATTGCTGTTCATTGTTTCGTCACTATTCACCCTGATGGTCAAGTCCATGATTATGTAAGGACACTTGCTGGGCAAGGTAGGCCCGTGCGCTAGTCTCTGACCGAAACCACACCGAGCAACTCCTTGACTTTGAACTTTCTGTCTGTTGTTTTGTTTCTAGACTAACTTAATTGTTTCCAGATGCTGGGAAGATCACATCAAATAATACCGTGTTTTATTATTACCGTACCATATCTCTTTGTTGTCTATTGTCTAATATCTCTCATTTCTCTGGTACGACCAGAATATCATCCACATTTACAACCTGTCCCGTCGCAATGGACCGGTTCGCCGCAATGCCCGTCAAGATGGAGGCCGCGCCATCAACATGGCTTGCAGCCCGCATGTATTCATCCGAAACCGGCTCACCGAACAAGTCTCTCAGAAGAACAAGGTCACCACCTCCATGAGCCCCCTTGGCCTCGCCTAGGTCGATCTCTTCAGGCGGTCCAAAGAGCGGTCGAAGCAACATTGTCCTCTTCTCAATCGCACCCTCCAAGGCTTGGCTACCACCGGAGTTTACGTAGCTCTTCTCTACAACCTCAACTTCGAGCCGTCCACCAGTGCCGTTGAAGTTCACCCTGAATCCCTCCCAGGGCGCATATGCCGTCAGCGAGTATGTCATGACTGCACCGTTACGGTACCTGATGAGAAGATTCATTGTGTCCTCGATGCTGATACCGTCTCCAAAGACACTCTGGTCGCGATAGTACGCGTCCTCATGCTCGGCGTCGAGATACATCGCCTTAAGCTGTGGGTTCTGGTCCAGTTGCAGAGCGAAAGGGTCATCCTTTGCCGCTTCACTGCCGTGCGCGCGCGAGTAAAACTTCGTCACGCCTCTCTTCTCTGCATTCTCGCGACCATAAAACTTCAAGTCTCCCTGGGCGTACACCGTCTGCGGTCTTGTCTGCAACCAGAAGTTCACCAAGTCGAAATGATGAGTGGACTTATGTACCAACAGGCCGCCCGAGTTACGCTTGTCCCTGTGCCAGCGGCGGAAGTAGTCGGCGCCGTGGTTCTCGTTAAGCATCCACTCAAAATGCACGCTGGTGACGGTTCCGATCTTGCCCGACTTGATAATCTCGAAAATCTTGGTGTTGTGCGGGGCGTAGCGGTAGTTGAACGTCACCCGCACCTTTTGGCCCGTCCGCTCGACAGCTGAAAAGATCTCGCGACAACGCGGGGCGTCGATGGTCATCGGCTTTTCGGTGACGACATTGCAGCCGAGCTCGAGGGCGCGCACGATATAAATATTGTGGGTTCGGTCGACAGTCGTCACAATGACCTCGTCAGGCTTCGTTTCAGCGATCATTTTGTCGAAGTCGGCGGCGGGGTAAGTTGGCACCTCGCCGTGGCCGAGCTCCTTCAGTTTCGAGTTGGCATAGTTCATGCGCGTCTGATTAGTATCGCAGAGACCGACAATCACGGATGTGCTGCTATAGTCCTGGGCGATGGCCGTGTAGAAGAAACCGGAGCGACCACCGGTGCCGACGATGGCGTACCGCTTCTTCTGGGTTGCTTCACCCATTGTGAATGTCGTCGCACGATATTTTGACGGAGTGCCGAAGTAGTGCTTGCTTTCGCCTAAAGGCACGGTAGGCAAAAGAAACCTACAAAGGAGTAGAGTTCGAATTTGAGAGGGGAATAAAAGGGGAACGTCGTGAGGTTATTGAGGGGTTTAGAGTCTTGAGTGCTAACGTCAAGACTCTGAATAGAGGCAAGCGCATCCATGTAGTGCGGCACACCGGCATAAAGATCACACCCGATCTCGGGCATATCTACTCCATCTACCGAGTTTAGCCAAAATAAGACCACGTTTTTGGGTTGCGGCAGTAACAATACCCGAGGCCACTCGCCCAAAGACTCCCCATCCCCACACGATGCGGGGGTGGTGCGATGGATGCTTGGGGGCGGGGTTGTTTTGGTGGGTTTTGGTTGAGAGTAAAAGGCGGAGATGTCGGGGATGTCGGGGGTACGAGAATGCGGAGAGAGTTTGGGGTTGAGTGGGACGTCGGCTTCGGTCCCCTCAGGCTCAATGCCCAGAGATAACTGCCAGCCACCCGCTCGACAATCGCTAGGCAGAGCAGGGAATTGCCCTTCACGACTCGCGAAGGATCTGCCACCCTCAGGCGCTGAGCCAAGACATGATTCGATGACCCAGTTGATCATCTTTTGATGTCGCAGTCTCGCATTCAGGCTGAAGTTTTCCCTCCAATGGGGTCCTGTGACGGCGGACAGGGATACATGTGCCTCATCTCTTGGATGTTGGTTCAAGCAACATGGCCAAGGGCTTGGACAACATTTAATATCCGGTGGTTACGTTTGCCGTATCCGTTGTGCCAGGACCACACCACGGAAACGTTGCAACTCACGTCAGGTGTTTGATTCGATATCCATAATGCCCCATTCTTGTACGTGTTCTCTAAGTTCGGCTGTGGGTTTGTCTTCGGCTGAGAGGAGCCCGGATGTTGGGGGTGGAACAAGGGTGATGAGCCGGTAGAAGTTGATAAGACGAACGGGTCCCAGAACCTGTCTCTCGCTACGAGCCTATATTCCCTAGTTTCCATCGCCGTGCTGTAGCGTCACTTTCTATCGGAGGCATCTCCATCGATAAAATCATTGGTTCGGCAAGTGTGACATCTTCACAGCCGGTTGTCAAAGCGAAAGTCGGCATCATGGCTACCAATGTTCCGCCACTGAACCCGACGAGCGGTGCTCCCGCCGACGTCATCGAGCCAGTCCGCAATGATAATGTCCAGGGTGACGATTTGCAGGAAAGAGCGGCTCAGTTCCTGGCGCAGCATGGAGGCGGCGATACCGCGTTCACATACGAAGAAGAGAAAGCGGTTAGGAAACGCATCAATTTTCGGATTCTCCCTCTTCTTCTCGGAGCCTACTTCTTCCAGCAACTCGATAAGAGTTCATTGAGGTGAGTTTCTCTATTCTCATCGACGTAACATTATAAGTTACATCGCTACATCTCGTCCAGACACTAATAATCTCCTTCACAGTTATGTGTCCATTTTCGGCATCACAAAAGATGCTGGCCTTGTTGGTCGTCAATACTCATGGCTCGGCTCAATCCTCTACATCGCACAGCTCGTCTGGCAACCCGCAGCCGCGTGGATTCTCGTTAAACTCCCCAACGGAAAGGTCATCGCCGCCGCCATCTTCCTGTGGGGATCCATGCTCGCAATCATGACATCCTGCACAAACTTTGGCTCGCTTCTCGGTTTGCGGTTCTTGCTTGGCACATTCGAGGCCATGATTGCCCCTTCGTGTCTTTCAGTCACCACCATGTGGTGGAGGCGAAGCGAGCAGACGCTGGTCACCAGTTCGTGGAATGCCATGAACGGAGTCACCTTCATCGTTGGCAGTCTGGCGACGTATGGACTGGGACACATCAAGAGCGAGACTCTGTTTTCATACCAAATTATTTTCTTGTAAGTCATGATGTTGCTTCTCGTGTTGAGAACTTGACGGCTGATATTTTGCACTTTAGGTTTTGCGGTCTTCTCACCGTTACATACTCCATCATAGTTCTCATTCTGATGCCCGACTCACCCATGTCTGCTAAGTACCTTACTGAAAGAGAAAAGGTCATTGCTGTCGAACGTCTTCGAGCGAACCAGATGGGTATGCAATCCGGCCACTGGCGCTGGGACCATGTCCTGGAGACGTTTACGGACTTGAAGACCTGGTGCTGGTTTGTTCTCATCATCGCCATCTCGTAAGTTTCCTAAAGGGCCACTGTTATCCCATTAGTAAATGAGTCTAACTTGTCCGGTAGCATCGCCAGTGGTGGAATCTCAACTTTTGGCAACTTGATCGTCAAGTCCTTCGGCTACGACAGTTTCACCACGATTCTCTTCAACATTCCTTTCGGTGCCATTCAAATTTTTGCTATTATGGGCAGCGGCTGGCTCGCGACACGAATCAAGAAGAAGGGCATCGTCATCGCGATGCTTTCCGTGCTCCCCGCCATCGGTTCGATCCTGATGCTGACGGTTCCCCGTGAGCACAAGGGCGTCTTGCTCTTCGGATACTACCTTGTCTCCTTCCTTGCTGCCATCACGCCAATCATCTTTACCTGGCAGGTGCAAAATACCGCAGGCGACACCAAAAAGAAAACCACCTCTGCCGTGGTTTTCATTGGTATGTGCGTAGGCAACATCATCGGACCGCTACTCTACTCTGTTGATGATGCGCCGCTTTACCGACCTGGTTTGATTTCGAACTTGATCATGTTCGTCCTTGTGGGCATCATGGGAGCGTAAGTCTTTTCTGTCATTCTGTAGTGATGCTGGGATCGTTTACTGACACTGTCTGTTACAGCCTGATTCCTCTCTACCTCAAGTTCCTTAACAACAAGCACGCCAAGCGCCGTGAAGAGCTTGGTAAAAGTGCCCAGGTCATTGACGAGTCGATGTTGCGCAACAAAGAAACGGAGAATAGCAAGGCAGTTGAGATTGAGGGGGACCAGAGTGGACAGCAGCACAGGACTATTGAGGAGGACAACGCGCTGCGAGACATGACCGACCTCATGAACGAGGACTTCATCTACGTTTACTAATTACGGAACGCATTTGTGGTCAATTATAGCTTGGGCTAGATTGTGTTAGAAACTCTTCCAAATACATCGGCCCGCTTTTTAAGCATTCTCTCTTGAATTGCCTAGTTTGCTTGCTTGAAACGCATCTTCTCTAGCGCAACTTTTACCGGACAAGAGAGATTTTAATGGTCTGAAGAGCTACGGCGAGGCAATTGAATCAAGCATAGAATGTGTTGCTTAAGCGGGATTTAAAAAAAAAAAAAATTAAACATTACGTACAGACGATAGCCCTAAAGACACTGTATTATCTTAACTCAATCTCCCGTCCATATCCAGGGGTTACTCTTCTCCCGAACCGCTGCCGTTACTATCGTCGTTTTCGTCACTCTCTCCATTCTCGCCGCTCTCATCACCATTGTCGTCGTCGTCGTCGTCACTATCGTCACTTGTTTCCAGTCTGGCCAGTCTGGCCATCCTTTCTTCCATTATTTCATCAAAGCTGCGAATCTTTCCATCTTTGCGATACTTTTCAATCCGATCCAGAATCTCTTCACAATCCTTCCAAATTCTTTCGCGATTTCTTATTCCCAGCATCTTTTGGTGCTGCTTCTCTGTTTCGACGTAAATGCCGTACCAGTCCGTCTGCGTGGGTGACAGAACGGGAACCTCTACATATTTTTCTCGCTCAAATAATTTTCTACAAAGCTCTCCATACTTCTCCTTGAGTTGGTGTTCTAGAGTACGAGTTGACTCGAGGTACTCGTCTGGTAGATTGTACAACTCGGCAAAGCCGTCTTTGAAAGTCTTTTCAAAGTCCTGTGCCGCTTTCTGCCACTTTTCATCTTGCCTCCGAAGAGCGGTTTCTGTAGTCGTCGTCCAGTAAGAGTATGGTAGGTCGCACCAAGCCTCCCAAATCCACGGCTTCTGACGCAAAAGAAGCTCGCGGAAGAAGGTTTGCGGGAAGGCGCGAAGCACGCTAGATGCCTCGAGTAGATTGACCGCCTCTGATGGTTCCAATTCGAACAGGATCTGTGTGAGCAGCTCGTACGGCAAGGTGGTGAACGGGTCTTGGTTTGGACTAGAAGGTGGTGGTGATGCGTCGTCTTGGCTGGCGTCTTGGCCGATGTCTGTGTCCTCGGCTTGCCCTGTGTGAGCCCGTAGAATATGCTGCAGCCGAGGCACAAAACAAGGGTTGGCAGCAAGGAACTCATCACCTACAACGTGACGGAACCATTGGTCTCGCCCTCTGTTAACGGCAGCTGAGTGTGACACGGGGTTATGCGTGCTCCAAGCTGCATCCAGGCGGAACCATTCCATTAGCCCCTGCACGTCGATACTGCCAAATCTGCGCAACGAAGCCCGCTTGAACACCTCGAGACACGCGGGATGGAAGGCCATGGCTGCTCGTTCCATCTGATCGTCATGGTAGAAGTTGCAGACCTGTGGTTCATGGCAATCATGGCGCTCGGGGAACGTATCCATATCATCCAAGTCCGGTGAGGGAATGTCGTCACAAAGACCGGTGAGGAAAAACCCGTCCTGTTCAATGTCGTCGTCGTCGTCCTCTTCGGGCTCCCAGTCATCGGGCTTGGGAACGAGGGCTTGGGCGGTGCAGCAACCATGCATTTCTTGCACAGAAATGAAGCGGCCGTGGTATCCCCCTGTATGCCCGCAAGCAGGGCCGGCTATGTGTTCGTCCATCTCCCCGGTCCCGCCTGGCAGTGTGTACTTCCGGGACCTGCAACCTTCCACATCTTCGCAGCGTTGAATAATACTCCAACTAGCATTTTTGATATAGATGTCCATGTTGACCAGCATACTGGGTGGTAGGTCAAGTGGTGTTTGGACTTCTTCCATTGTTCGCAGGCGTCCAATCTTAAACGATACACCGCACAAGTAGCATTCGATCTCGGAGTATCCCATAGTTGTTGTAATTGGAGAAGGGTGAGTTGATGCTGTCGAATCTTTTATGGAGCCAGTGGTCACTCAAAGGAATGTTGGATGGAATCACCACAAGTGTACAACTCCTGGTCGGCGGTTATATACACATCCCGAGAACAATGTCACCTCAACGTGCTTTGCTGTGCCGCAAATTTCGCTTCCCAGCACTCGGCCCAGAATTTTAGGCAGATGTTGGCTTCACTAGACCAAATAGAAACTTTTGCAGCTTGGCACGAAATTTGGCAACTCAAGTCGGGCGCACTGCCTGAATTCACATTTCATTAAAATCTAGCCGTCCTGGTGGTGTGGCTGATGGTGATTGCTTCTAATCACAAGCATTTTGAACAAATAGAATTCATAATTTCTCAATGCTCAAATTGCAGGGTTTTTTTTCTTTTCTTTTTCTTATAATTGACGGAAGTTGGAAAGCCGCTGCGCTGAGTGTCAATTATCTTTTAGCAGTCTCTCGACGACTGGGTCATCTCCAGCAGCTGCTGCCACCTTTCAGTGGTCTACGTCCAAGTTCAATAAGAAACCATCAGGGAACACAGCTTGACCTTTGAGCCCCTGTACAAGCGCAGGAATAGACTAATTCTACACCAAGTCATTAAACCCTCTGCATGCAGATTTATCATACAATTGATGACTGATTGTGAAATTGGCGATTCCACATTGCTGCTCTAGAAAGTCCCCCTAAAGTATTCACTGACGTGGGGCGGCATTTCGCGATACGCCTCCAGTTTCCCCCCTGCAATCAAACCACTTAAAGTCGCCTTTTCATAGCCTTCAACCTCCCATTTATCCTCTCCTACCATCTGTGACTGCTGACCAGTACCCCAAATCTTTCTGCAGTACCAGGCCAGGGTGAAGAGACTTCCAGTGCGGAGTCCATTTTCCACCTCTTCGTTGACCTTTTCCAAGCTGTGAGTGGAAATTGTAGGCGCCGTTCCATGTTTTTCTTCAAGTGCTGCCGCAACATCTCTGCCTGTTGGCGCGAGCTCCGTCAATGCGATGGCTCGGTTCCGAATTTGGGTTATGGGCGTGCGCGCAAATAACAGGACGTATGCTGCTGCCACATAGTCCCTCGTGCTAAATATCGAGACGTCAATAATTGAGCCTTTGAAAGTGCAAAACAAGGCAAGGTTAGAAAGAAATGGAAATCGCAGACCAGATATTCAGTCTTCTCTCAGCACTATCCGCTGTGTAGATAAGCTTGTTTCCTGGTATATCAACACCCATGCCCCTAAAGTAGGTAGTAGTAGATTAGCAAAGCATATGTAAAAAGCCATGTCCGTATTCTCTCACAGAGTGTTGAGTGCAAACTCGGCAAAGTTTCCGATCAGGACGACTGTAGTAGGAATGCCTGCCTCCTTCGCTGCTCTTTCAACCTCATCCTTGGCCTTGTTAACGCCAATGCGCATGCCTTGCTCGTCATACCGCGCAGCTAGATCTGAGGGCGAAAACAGCTTCACATTCGTTTTCGGGATAGCTTTGACGAAGCCATGTTGTCTTTGGACGCCTTCATGCCCCACAAGAGAGCTGTAATCGCAGTCAGAATCGTTCCAAAGAGATCAGGTAACGCCAGACGTCGGATGTAATCAACCTTACATTACAATATCTATGTCCTGCAAGGCAGCGATCAAGGCCTGCTCGTCATTAACGTCCACTTCCACTTTTTCAACTGTCTCTGGGATGTTGGAGATGTCTGATCCAGCGCGAAACAGCACCCTTATGGGAACTCCTGAGGAAATGAGGGCGCTGACAATCCTGGAACTGCCCCAGCCGCGGTGGCCATAGACGGCAATGCGATTGACTGACATGATGCAGATATAAGAAGGATGCGCACGTCACGTAACCTCGGAAATTGAGCAGAAATCATATCATGATCGGAAAGAAAACGAAAAAGGGCGAAAATGAGGATTTGGCGGTTTTTATTCTCGCTGTAAGTTGAAACTGTGATTGAGACATGCATTCAGCCTCGTTCTCGTTCTCGTTCCTAACTGGAGTTCGTCGGCTAGTGCCTCCAGTTCTTGCAGCAACCCACAAGGTGCGCCAAATATGTAGGCTGAGATAAGCAATTACGTTAAAGACTAGCAATAGGATGATCAATGTAGTCGAAAACCCAGTAATACAAGCTGTAAGTAAAATGTACGTCCGGGCGGTAGCATTTTGCTTCCAGCCAGCAAAACAACAAACGTCATACGACACAACGAGATTGGTCGGACGAAAAAGGCGGGTTGCACATAAGCCTGTTGGGTTAATTCTTCATCTCATTTTCTGTTCGTCAATCTGTTTCTTCGTCCTTTGCACATTCGCAAAAGCCGGATACACAACATCATGGGATCAGGGTAACAACGTTATCCAGCCTGATGCCGGGACTTTGGCAGCGCGGAGGGTGCATGTCAATATCAAGACCGAAGCAACGCAAGCGCAGAAGCATGTCTCGCGACCAGTGGAATAACAACCTATCCTAACACGATGATAGGGGTTACTTTAGATGCCATACGTCAGAGAAGGAAAATGTGAGGCTGTGACCAGCGCTGGGTAATCATTTCAACATGCGTCGTATTTCATCTACTCAGCACGAATGATTGCACATTGCCCGCACGGATGCAACAGTGAATAACTTGTTCCTCTCCTTCCATCGATATATCAAGATACAGTTTAATATGGAAACCCTATTGCCATTTAACTTGTGGTCATATTCGTCTTATTGACAAGGAAGAACTTCTTCCCTGTAACCTTCATCAACTATGTATTATTGGCTCAATGATCTAAATTCGGCCGCCATGGCAGGGCAGCTGCCGCCCGCTGTAGGCTCTTGGCTGATAATCGGCCCTTGTAGCGTCACTGCCTCGGCTCAGTTTCAGACGCGACTCAGCGATGATGTGGTCTTGAAACACACGACTATTTGTCCAACTGAAACCCCCCTTCACCGAGTCCTCACCGTCGCCTATATAGGGCAAGTCAGCGTAAGTCCATGAGCTATGACTCCTTGCCGAATCACGTGCATGGATGCTGATGGTAGGCGGCCTACAACTAGAACATTGCGTCCCGCTCGCATTTCCACGGCTTGTATCACGAGCCAACAACGGGCAAGGTACACATTAGAAACTGTGGGCGATGTGACATCAGAGGAGGGCCAAATCTTCGGACGTCCGTTCTACTGCCAAAGGTCAATATTGGATGATTCGTTCTGTTGTAACTACACGCTACTTTCCGGTTTTTAAAATCGAACTGGCAGATCGTTTTCGATCGTGGTCTCGGATTTAAAAGCGTTCGCATCCGCAGATTCAAGCAACAGAAGCACAAATCTTCATCCCGATTTGCGTCACACACACCAACATGAAAGAAACAACTCGCCGCCTGCGATACAATGTAGCCACGTCTTTAGACGGCTTCATTGCACCCCTAGATGGATCGTCAAGTTGGATCGTGCATGACTCTAGCATCGATTTCGACGCACTCTATGCACAATTCGACACCTTCATCATGGGGCGCAAGACGTACGAATGCATGTTCGCTATGGGCGAGCAGAATCCTCTACTCAAACAGTCAAAAGAAAATATTGTCGTCTTCAGCCGGACGTTGAAGAGTGAGCATCATCCTCATGTAACGATTGTGTCGGGCGATTTCACGGCGTATGTGGCCGAGTTGAAGAACCGCGAAGGCCGGGATATCTGGCTTATGGGCGGCGGCTCACTGGCCGGGCCGTGCCTTGATGCGGGGATGCTGGACACGGTGGAGGCGGCAATCATGCCGGTCATTTTAGGGAAGGGGACGCGGATGGTGGAAAATACGTCGCTTACGCCTCATGGCGGGTTCAAATTGGAGTTACTGGAGAGCACAAGGTTGGAGGGCAGTGGGATCATCATGACTAAGTACACTGTCAGCAGAGGCATGGCTTGTTCACTTGGGGATGCATTATCTTTTTGCTGAGGCACCAGCGGCATAGAAGCGAGCGGTAAGCCGTTAGGGGAGGCCCTATGATTTCTGCTTTGCTCTAACAAGAAATTTCAAGTATCTTGATCGTAGTGCAGGCCAATCATTCCTCTGTCTCACAAAAGGTATACAAATTCAAACAAATGTCGAGACGATCCATATGAGAGATTTATAATCATGGTGATTATCGGGACAACTTCAAACCGTTCCATAGCCTACATTTGGCGATTTGGACTCGTATGAAATGATGATGAGGGGTTGAAGGATTCATGGCCACCGCCGTCGCTTAAATCCGGGGCGAAGACTTTGGCTTAGCTCCGTTAAAGCCCCCTCAGCCGTGATGAGAGCGAAGACAATCAGCATCCTTGACCATTATAAATATTGCCAGTTTGCGCCGTATTCTGTCATCACAAACCATTAGAGAAAGAAACAGTCCTCTGCGTATATTATTAAAATGTCACCAAACACCAACCAGAAGACAGTCCTTATCCTGGCCGGATTTGGCAAAATCGGTCGCCAGCTCACCAAGCTTCTGGCCAGCACCGACATCCCGACATACCAGTCATCCCGGAAGGGGGAGTCCACTACAGAGCCCGGTGCCGACAATGTCAAGCCGATCGCCTTCGACTGGCTAGATGAGAAGACATGGGGGCCGGCCCTGGATGTAAATGCCACGAGTGTGTTCCTCGTCGCGCCACCCGTGTTGGACATGCTGCCTCCGATGCAGTCCTTCATCGACCAGGCGCGATTGAAGGGGACCAAACGCTTTGTACTGCTGAGTGGAAGCCCCTGTGAGCCGGACATTAACGGGCAAGCAATGAGCCGGCCGCATGCATATTTGAAGCAACTGGGCGACAAGGGGGAGGTGGAATGGGCCGCACTGCGCCCGACGTGGTTCCAACGTAAGCACTATTCCCAGCGCAATGAACGTGAACAAGTTTGCTGATGCGCCAGACAGAAAACCTTGTTGAGCAGCGAAACCACGTTGACTCGATCAAGAACGAGAGCACAATCTACTCCGCGACAGGGGACGGCAAGATTCCGTGGATTGCGACCGAGGACATTGCAGCATGTGGGCTTCAGCTTCTCCTCCAAGAAGACGCGCCCAATGATCAATATCTCCTCCTTGGACCGGAGTTGCTCGGCTATGACGATGTAAGCCTACCATTTCCACAACAATTGTTGAATTCATATCTGACTGCAACAGATTGCCAATATACTCACCGAAGTTCTCGGTCGTAAAATCATTCACAAGGACCTGTCAAGAAGGGAACTGGAGGATCGGTTCGTTGACCTGGGGATAATGCCGCGGGATTACGCAGAGATGATGGGGGGGATGGACACGGACATCAAGAATGGGAGCGAGAACCGGACGAACAGTGTAGTTCTCGCACTGACAGGCAAGCAGCCCCGGAAATTCCGTGATGTGGCCGAAGAATCCAAGCATGTCTGGGCGGAAGCGTAAGGGGGGGTTGATAAGGGACGCTTAATTTTTCCAAGATACAATTGCTGCCACTCCTGCCACTGGCAAAGGTCTATCTGGGCAAAGAGTTCTTCAGGGGTCCCCCCATGTGGCTTTTCTTTTCGGCTGTCGAAAAAAGGTTTAAGAAAAAGGTTTTGTTTGCAGTTAGCGGCCACCCGCCGTTTTCAGCCAAATTGTCCACGTACACTCGCGTGCGGGGATCTGCGCTCAGGTTGAAACAAGTTATGAGATCACAAATGTCCGTTCTGTACTTGAACATCTGCATAGCAGAAGAACCCTTTTTTTCCAATAATATCTCTGGGCTTTCATCAGCAGTCAATGTGAATTCTGGAAACTCTGCTCACCTGGAAGGAATGCCAACATGGACTCATCTTTCGTGGCCATAGAAGGTGACGGAGGTGTCGTCGGTGGTTCCCGGACGGAACGGGCGGATGTGGAGAAGCCGAATCCATTGACCTACCCGAAAAGCGCCAAACCATTTCGCCAGGCCCTGTTCAAGAACCCGACGGCAGAGTACCGAGGATGCCCGCTTTGGTCATGGAACACGAAGCTCGACAAGAAGAAGCTGCTCCGGCAGATTGACTATCTCCAGGAGATGGGAATGGGGGGATTCCACATGCATGTCCGGACCGGCCTTGACACTGACTACATGGGTCCGGAATTCATGGACCGAGTGCGTGATTGCGTTGAATATGCGGAAAGCAAGGGAATGCTCGCCTGCCTGTAAGATTTCTGGATCACCATCACAGGGTCTCTCGCAGAGTGCTGACTTTTATCAGGTACGATGATGACCGATGGCCATCAGGTGTTGCCGGTGGAAAGGTGGTCAAACAGTATCCTCAACATAAGACTAAGCATATTCTGTTTACTCCTCATCCTTACGGAACCGTTGAGCTCGGAGGGTAAGTTTCTATGGACCAGTAAACGACTTCCTGCTCACGACTATCAGTGGTTGTGCTCCAAGTTCGGCACAAGCCTGCCGAAGCGAGGACGGTTATCTGCTTGCGAGATACTCCATCACGCTCGATGAGAATGGTCGCCTCAAGTCTAGTCGCAAGCTTAATGAAGGAGAGGGTGCCGAACCGGGTGGACGTGTTTGGTACGCTTACGTTGAGATCAACCCGCCTTCTCCTTGGTTCAATGGCCAGACCTACATCGATACTATGAGCACTGAGGCTATGAATCGCTTCTTGCAAAGTACTCATGAGGTTTACAAGAACAAGATCGGCGATAAATTCGGAAGCACGGTGCCATGCATCTTTACAGATGAACCACAAGTTGCAATCAAAACTCAGCTGTCCAGCCCGGATGGCGTCGAAGATGTCTTTCTTCCGTGGACAGCTGACCTTCCAGACACCTTCAGAAAGACATATGGCGAGGATGCAGACCTTGTCAGCAGTATCCCCGAGCTGATCTGGGATCTTCCAGGAGACACCCCGAGTCTAGCTCGTTATCGCTTTCACGACCATGTTAGCGAGCGCTTCGTCACCTCGTTCCTCGACCTCTTAGGAGGGTGGTGCAAAAAGAACAATATTCTTTTGAACGGACACATGATGGAGGAACCGACCTTACGACAGCAAACTACGGCACATGGTGAGGCCATGCGATGCTACCGTAACCAGTCTTTACCCGGTATGGACCTCCTCAACGACTGGGTGGAGTACAACACGGCCAAGCAGTGTACCAGCGTAGCCCGCCAGAAGGGCATCCGCGGGGCCATGAGTGAGATCTACGGTTGCACGCACTGGTACTTCACCTTCGAGGGCCACAAAGGCTGTGGAGACTGGCACGCGGCACTGGGCATCACTTTCCGCGTGCAGCATCTCAGCTGGCTTAGCATGGCCGGAGAGGCTAAGCGAGACTATCCCGCCAGCATCAACTACCAGAGTCCCTGGTACAAAGAATACAGCTATATCGAGGACCATTTTGCGAGGGTTGGGGTGGCTTTGACTCGCGGCAAAGCCGTCACGAGGGTGGCAGTCGTTCATCCAATCGAGAGTTTCTGGCTGTGCTTCGGTCCGAACAACAGCGGCGATGACGAGATTGGCCAGCGAGATCAGGCTTTCGCCGAGTTGACGAATTGGCTTCTGCATGGGCTTGTGGACTTTGACTTCATCGCCGAGAGTCTTTTGCCGGGCCAGATTGACGAGGACATCTCGGCACCTTTGAAGGTTGGGCACTGCACGTACGATGTCGTCATTTTACCGAGATTGCGCACAATCAGATCGACGACGTTGGACGTTGTCAAGAAGTTTGCCGCTGCGGGGGGTAGAGTCATTATTGCTGGCGACGGACCAGTCCTCGTCAATGCTCAAGCCGCACCGCCAGATGTCAGCTTGGACGTCAACCCTTGTACCCGAGTTGCGTGGGACCAAAATGAGATCTTGTCGGCTGTCTCTGATACCAGGGACGTACAGATTGATTTGAAAGACGGCAACCCAACTCAAACGCTTCTATACCAGATGCGTGAGGATAATGATGAGCGCTTTGTCTTCATTTGCAACACTGACCGAAACAACCCTTACGATACCTTGGTCAAGATCAAGGGCGACTGGGATGTTGAAGTTTTGGACACATTCACGGGTGAGAATAGCCATCATAAGGCTCATTATGCAAAGGGATGGACCGTCTTTGAACACAGGTTCGAAGGATGCGCAAGCCTGCTTCTGAGGCTCTACCCCGTCCCGGCCGAGGAGTTGTCATTCGTTGATATTGCCGGTGCAGTGACTCTGGCGCCACCAAAGCAAGAGGCCGTCGAACTAAAGCTGGAAGAAGTTGTCTTGTCTGAACCAAATGTTCTCCTCCTAGACTACGCTTCGTACAGAATCGACGATGACCCTTGGGAAGATGCTACCCGTCAAGAAATCCTCAAGATCGACAACGAAATACGATCTCGTCTGCGCTTGCCTGCTAAAGGATCGGCCTGGAAACAGCCTTGGAGCGTACCGCAGTCTGAGCGAGCAGCCAAGGTTTACGTTGATTTACGCTTCGAATTCGACTCGGACGTCGTCATCAAAACACCCACTCGTCTTGCGATGGAGAACCCTGAAGCGGCTAGGATTACCATCAACGGCCACAAAGTGCCCGTCGACGAAAGTGAGATGTCTTGGTGGGTTGACGAGGACATCAAGACGGTGCCAGTGCCGAGGAAGATGATCCGCAAGGGAAAGAATACCATCGACCTCAGCATGCCTTTTGGCGTTCTCACGAACTTGGAGAGACTCTATCTACTTGGCAGCTTTAGCGTCGACCTCAAGGACAACTTGCCAATATTGCGAGAGCGTAGACAGAGTCTGGGTTGGGGCGATGTCGTAACGCAGGGACATCCATTCTATGCTGGCAACGTGACTTACAACTGTTCGTTCTCACTCAAATCCCCATCTAACGTCACGCTTGCTGTTCCGCAGTTTGCCACCCCTGTGGTCAAAGTTCGGTGGGGAAAGAAGGACAGCGGGCACATTGCGCTACAACCAAGGAAATTATGTCTGGGCGAACTTGAAGTCGGGAAGCATGAGATTTCCATCACTGCATTTGGATACCGGTACAATTCATTTGGCCACATCCACCTGACTGATGGTATTTTTGGGTGCTGGCCTGACCAGTGGAGAAGTAAGTCATACATCAGCATGCGTGAACTCAACTAACATGTTGTATAGCTGGGGGCTGGGCTTGGAGTGAGGAATACAGATTGAAACCAACTGGAGTTTTGGAAAAGCCAACTCTGCTAGTTGAAGCGAAGGCTGATTCCGGTGAAGAATGGGTAGTGTTGGATGAGTAACTGGGTTGAGGTTTGTCGTGGTTGTGCCACTCAAAAGTTTGGTCTGCTGATTACAGCCTAAGTGAAATATCCAGTGGATTTATAATTATTATATTTTCTTCATTGGACTATTTGTGCAAGGGAATGAGAATTCTACCACGTCTTCTTCAGTCCAAACATAGCCGCCCATAGTTTGAATACCTGAATAGCGAAGGTAGACTGTCAATTCCACTTTCTAGGTAGTTGTAGCTAAAACCCCAGCGACGTTACGGGTTGTAAACCCCTTTTGCCTTTCCAATGAGTAGATCTCCGACAAAATCGTCGAACTTGATGTATGGAAAGTCAGGGTATAACGCTTTACCATCTAAATATCCCAAGTACTCAGCATTCTCGGGTGTGTTATCCCCGCGAATGGCGATAGAATGAAGAAGCTGGCCCTTCACAAATTGCCTCACGGCATCGGAGTTTTCGGGGTTGGTGTTAGCTAGTGAGCGTGCCGCCTCAATATTTGACAGTAATTCTGTTTCGGAAATCTGATGCACACAAGAAGGTTAGGTGTGCCTCCAAGAGGCGGACAGGGATCTTACGTATTGCCTTTCCAGTTTCTCTCCGCTGGCCTTCTCAAATGCTTCATATATCTGGTTTTGAGGCAGAACCTCACTGTAGACAAAAACCTTCTTGTTGATCGTTCGAGGGTCCGCGATGACTCGGGCAACATAGCGACCTACGTCACGAATATCGGCCAAGGCAATCGGAACATTTCCGTCAGCACCAAGAAGATTTCCAGAGTAGTCGGAAGGGATAGCATAGTCGATTTTACCAGAGGGAAGCCGTGGAAACGCGATTTGATACCACCACCCAGCGTCGATGTATGTGTAAGGCAGGCGAATTTTGAGAATGTGGCTCAGAATATCGTCTTTCTGCAAGGAGTTAGAACAATACTAAGGTGTTTTCAACTGAGAAAAAAGAAGGGTTTACTTGCCTTTTCACGAAAATCAACAACTCCACGCGGTGGAATGACAACCATCAAGGCGGACTGGACAAATCTCTTAACGCCCGCAGCCTTTGACGCATTGGCGAGTGGGATTTCGTCCGAAAGGCTAGTAAATGCGATGGCGGAGACTACAACATCAATCCCACGTAGGACCTTTACTAGGTCGTCTTGTGGCCCGTTCAAGTTTGCCGGAACGATGGTGACACTTCGTTGCTTAAGTTCTGTGTATGCCGGCTTTTGGATTGACTCCGGACGGGCGAGAGCAGTTACCTCCTGACTCCAAGGTTAGTCGTATGCATCACCCCGCCCCCGGGAGACCGGTATGGCCAATAACGCCCACTACTACTTACGAATTTGACATCAGTCGACTCTAGCAATGCGTTGGTTATGGAACCACCGGTTTCGCCGGTAGCACCTACAATTGCAACACGGATTGACATCTTGTATTTTGTTTGGTTTTTGTTGGGTTGAAAATAGATACACATAAAACCATAGTTCAAAAGACCTGAGTACTTTTAAATGCTCTATTTAGGCAAACAATAAATCGCAAAACTCATCATTCATCAACCCAAAGTAAATCACGCCATTTTACTGGATGATAAATCCATATTCCAAGTTATTCTAAAGCGTATCCATCTGACTAATGTAGGACTACCCTGTTGCGCATGATGATCCACACGGGGAAATTTTGATTCCTTATGTTTGGACTTACTTGTCTCTGACTCTTTATGCTAACCGATGGATTGGTAATAGAAGGTTTATCTCACAGTAACACGCTTTCCAAATGGAATCTTATCATTCTGGCTTATGTTCTAACTCGTTAAATTAGTATTGGTTCACACAAGTTAATGCAACTAAAGGAGACATCTGTATCTCCTGTAATGTTGCCTCCCAGATCGTATCATCATTTCCCCCATAATATGGCTCCGACGATGCTAAATCCAGCAGATTTCTGACCCTTGAAGCGATTTCTGAATGATTAGAAACGCTGAGACAAAGCGGAACATGGATTCCGCTTTGTCCCACTCGGCCCGTTCTCCAAAGTGGGACTACAATGGGAGGCAAATTCCGTATTTCGTTCGATTACTCAGCCTTTTAAGCCAGATGTCTAAAGAATTCAGAAAATTACTTGCAGGAATAGTAGAACATACGAAGGAGATGTTGAAGTGCAGCTGATCCTGTGGCCTTGTAAAAGTAAATGAAATGCATAAAGAACAATTGGGCTGACCATTTGGACATTATAGTTGAGAGAAGCTACCTACTGTTTCATTGATAACTGCTACATTCATGAGAGCTTAAGGCATATCGTCCTGCCATTTGAGGCATTGTGTAAACAGGGCTTCAGGTCTTTACGTTGAATATCTGACTGTTCTTCGAGTGACGCGGACTTACATGGAACGTTTGCAGTAAATGTGTCTTACGGCAAACGAAACTATTCTAATCTTCAGCAAATTGATGATTCCGACTCTACCGGAGCCGCCATAGATAATTGATTGCTGGTTTAGGATTCAATTTGAAGTGATGTGTTTTGACTGGAGCGCATGAAAGTTACTCTGCATCAGTAGAGCTTCCCACTTTATTATTTTGCGAGTTTTTGAGCCCCATAGCGACATTGGTAACTTGGAATAACGTAGCACGATAGATGTGATATGAAGCTGCATTGCTACCATGCATTACCTACCAGAAGTCCGTTGTCTCAAAGCGACTCACGGAGTAAGCATAATGAGTTGTCTGTGACTAAGTGAATTCAATAGTTACACGGCTTTGAAATGATGCTAGAAGGTTATGGCTGGCGAAAGGTTGTGAACTCTGAAAATCTTCATCCACGCCCATCTTCTTTGCATGTGATGATGGTACCTAGTCGTGTCACAGAGCAGAAAGTTGACCAGATGAAATAAGAGAGTTTAGGGGGAGATAGTGAACAGAGAGTGGGTCCAAAGTTTGAGCCATCGCATACATCGGGGCATGCAATCAACTCCCTGTATTGCTCATCTAAACTACCAGGGGGTCGGTATTCTGTAGCCGAAACTTCCGATGAGACAGATGTCTTTAAATGGGCATTCAGGCACTCTTTATCTTCTCCGCCTCACGCAATTCATCCAATGCGCTGGTGAGCCATACAGCCGTAGGACAGTAGGCCACGTTGATGTTTGCTTCACCATTTCACCTTGGATGCTGCGAATTCACAAAAAAAAACAACCTGATTACTCATATTTTCCCCTAGTCATGCCTTGAAAGTAGACGTTTTAAACTGCAAGAGAAACAAAAACAGCAAGGGCGACCGCTTCCTGTGGTGGGTTGACGTGCCTGCCTACTCGATATTATTTGAGCGTAAACCCGTGCCTCATCACCTTTGCCTTTTCCATTTTGCCCCCCCCCCCCTTAGTTCTTCTCTCACAAGGCTGAGCTTAGACTCAGAATATTGCCTTCCTCGTTACACTCCTGTCATTGTTTTTTACGAAGAGGAAAAGATCAACATAAATCTCTCATTTCTGTCGAGGTTTTCCTCTAAGCTTGAGAAAAGAACAGGCTTTACAAAGCAATCGTTGGTAAGTCGGATTCTTCTGCTTCATCAGCGGATTGGCACCGCAGACTAGCAAATCTGCTGCTGCAATCTTTATCAACATTAGGTTCAAGAAGCCAATTGTCTTTATGTCTCTAGTCGACTGGGTTTTTTTCTGCTTCATCTCATCATCTCGACAATGACCTTCACTTGCGGCACGTGCTGGCGCCAATTCCCTGCGGGATGGCACTCTCGTGAGCAACATCTCAATGCGACCGGACATGGTATTCCTCTCTATGAATGCGATACCTGCGACCGCTACTTTAATAGCCAACATTCTGTTGACCAACACATGAATGCCTTGGATCACTGGGCACAGCCTGCCACCCCGCACACCTACTGGGAATGCGACCGCTGTTCCGACTGCTTCTGCGACGAAGAGGAACTGCAGGAACATGAACTTGAGGATCACTGCTACTGTAAGCCCTGTGGGCGCTTTTTCCAAAATCGGAACAATCTTCAACAGGTAAATCATCATTGGTTGTCGTTCGAGTACGTAGGCTGAATGTTGTAGCATCTTAACTCCAAGCTTCACCGCATCTCGGACCTTCAGTGCCCTTTCTGCAAGGAGTTTCGCAATACCGCAACTGGCCTTGTATATCACTTGGAACAGGGTTGTTGCCCAAATGCTCCTCTTGACCGCGACAAATTGTATCAAGCCGTCCGTCAGCGTGACCCCAATGGAGTCCTTGCCAAGAAGCTTCTTGACTGGCATGGCTCACCGGTGTACAGAGCAACCAGCAAGACTTGGAACCCCGAGTATTGTGCATTCGAATGTTATCTCTGCCATCGTCTTTTCCAGCAGCTGCCCGGCTTGACTCAGCATCTCAACTCTCCTGTTCATCAAGAGAAACTCTACCACTGTCCGAATCGAAGTTGTATCAAAGAGTTCACCACTTTGGCAGCCGTCATCAATCACCTGGAAAGTGAGTCATGTAACTTCATGCGTTTTGCCAACGTCCAGAAGCAGGTTGGGAGAATTATCGATCCTGGTCGCATGATTTCATTTTGATTGTGTTAGCAACCCTAATATCGCCGCTTGAATGACAACATCAATGATGTAAGGTGTTGTTGCGGGATATTAATTACCGGTCCATTTCATTCAGTTAAGGTGAAGAATGGAATGTACTTGCAACGATGAATTGTGTGGCAGATTAGCGAATACAGCTTAAGCATGGATGATACGGGGTTATTTGGCATCTTTTTCAGTCGGGCTAAGGTATGCAAGAAAGATGTTCAAGGAGCTTTAAAAGATCTCTATTATTACGGGTTCCTGCGGCTCCCTAATCAACACGATGCACGCTCGCAAAGTGTCATTCTTGGCAGCCAGTGGCATTGACGCGGATGCAAACGAGATTGAGTGTCACCTGGTGTGGTGCGCCGTTGCATCGTTCCAGCAAACGGACTGACATATTCCGAAAAGCAGACCAAATTGGTGCGGGGGTCGGTATGCGGATCACGGAGCTGCTCGCGATTGGTGCCATAATAGGTATTTTGCCAGAATTGGAGACGTGATCCAAGACCGCGCCACGCCTATTCGGAGCTGCCCTTAATCGGAAACTATCCGAATTCACCAAAATGGCACCTAAGAGGAACGTTTTCCATGGAATCTCAGCCTTTCTTCGGGCCTTGGTTCCCGATCGCTGATACTCATATAAGTCGTGGAAGTAACCTGACCTTCTCTCCCAGCCCAACCCAAAACCGACTTCTCGTCAAACTTCTGCGTCTTCGGAACTAGACTTAAGCCCCGCCGAATACTTTGAACCATGGCCGTTGACAACATTGAAGATATTGAGACACCCGCTGCAACAGACCCGACTCTCAACACCGTAGACTTTGGCCTCCAGATTGGAGTCGAGGAGATCCTTGTCGACGTTGACCCTGATGTATCACTAGAATTCCTGAAAAAGGCCGAGGCACATGCTGGGAAACCACCACCGACACGAGTCCCTCGAGAGATCCTTTTGGAAACTCACAATAACTATGTCGAGCAACAGCAAAAAGCCGGCCAGGAGAAGGCCCCGCGGATGGTAAAGAAGGTTGTTCTGGCGTTGTCTTATCCTCCATCAACAAAAGCGATACAAGACTTGTCGCCAGTGAGTTAAACGGCCTGCAACCTTTAATTGTCTAAGGTACTGACAATGGCAGATGCGGCTGGATGAATTGCTTGTTGAGAACCATCATGAAGATAAATATCTGGCGGTGAAGACAATTTCCCTGCCTTATCGGGGCGCTGGCACAATCACTGTCGTTGAAGATGAGCACGGCAACGTGGACAAGATGGCACTATACAACCAAGGTGATTCGAGCGTCTTGCAATCAATCCCGGAAGGAACCGTAGTCATCATCAAAGAACCCTATTACAAATTCAGCGGCGACAACGACTACATGCTCTGCATCGACCACCCCTCAGATATTGTGCGACTTCGGCAAGGCCCTGATGAGTCGCTCATTCCAGAACCCTTTAAAGAACCTGAAGAATTGAAGGCACCAAATGAGTGGAGTAAAGCTGGTGATGAAGCTTTCATATCCAAGAACTTGCCATTGGCGGTTGCAAAGTAGGTTACTTGACCTCACCTTCTGAGCATCTTACTCATGCTTTCCAGCTACACGAGGGCTCTCGAATTAGCACCTTCAAATGACCAAGCTTTCAAAATTGGTGTTCTCTCAAAGCGCGCCGGGATCAATCTCACACTCAAGTGCTTTGACAACGCACTCTCCGATGCTCTTGAATCTAGGGGTGGCTCATCAGATTGGAAAGCGTACTTCATCGCCGCAAAGGCTTCCTACGGACTCACTGATTTCAAAGCGAGCAAGGGGTATTTCGAGTCAGCACTGGAACTAAAGCCACCCACAGCAAATGTTCAGAGGGAATACGAGCGTTGTCTCGCCCGTCTTGAGGAGGAAGCCGGCAACTACAATCTCGCCGCAATGTCAAAGGACGTCACCGCGAAGAACATCCACATTGACCGTGCAAGCTTCCTTTCCAGAACAGAGATCAGAGACTCACCTCACCACGGTCGCGGTCTATTCGCCACAGAAGACATCAAAGCTGGCGAACTCGTCTTTGCAGAGAAGGCTACCAGCGTCCCCAACGAATTCAACCCAGAACACAACTCTGCGGCAGCTTACGCCCAGCTTATTGAGCTCTGCGCGGATAACCCTACGGTTCACAAGAAGGTACTTGACCTCTACGGTGGCTCATACAAACGCTCTGGTCTGGAAGGGACAGAAGTGGATGGGAAGCCCGTCGTGGATGTCTTCCTTCTCGAGTCAATCCGCCGAAAAAACTGTTTCAGCGGCGCTCAGGTCTCCGCGGAGGCTGCGAATGCAGAATGGAATATGTGGAAGCAGGGCATGTCGCGCGGCCTCTGGGTGTATTCTGCCTATGCCAACCATGCCTGCCTTCCCAACTGCAACAGGTCCTTTATAGGAGACATGCTCCTCGTCAGGGCGACAGTCGATATACCCAAAGAAACGGAAATCACACACATCTACCTCCCGCCCAAGGCCGCATACCTTCTTCGCGTGCCGCAATTTCGCCGAAGTTGGGGATTCACCTGCAGCTGCGTTCTCTGCGCAGGAGAGGAAAAGTCATCTATAGAGCAACACAAGAAGCGAGTCTCTGCGCTTGCAGAGCTCCAAGCTGCTATGAAAAAGAGGAATCCCGCTAGGTTTCAGCCCGACGCAACGATCCGGCAGATTGAGAAACTCGCGAATAAGCTCGCTACTCTTCACGAGCCAGAGGTGTATGACGAGCTAAATCTACCTAGGCTGATGCTCGTATGGCCGACGATGTGGCTGATGGAGGCGTGGCATACGAGAAAGCAGTGGAACAAAGCGATTAAATGGGGACACGAGGTGTTCCGCAACTTTGGGTTCGTGGAGCCCGTTCGAGAGGGAAGATTATGGATGTACAAGGATACACTTGCCGTAACAACGTTCGAAGTCGTGAAGGCACTCAAACTAACGGCACAGGCGTATGCTGCTCTTGGGCAGGATGTTCTGTCGCAGGATTGTTTGGACGCAGCTAGGGTTGGGTTGACGACCATGGTTGGGTTTGTAACGGACGAGAGTTTCGAGACGTTTAAGTAGGCTTGAATCGCAAAGTGGCTTTGTTCAAAGGGTATACTAGGCAACTCTTGCTATATCTGAACCTTCGAATTCTAACAAGCATGACTGCTGTGTGGTTTCATTCCAGCATTAGTGGTTGTCACCACATTCTAAAGCTTCATCATCTTCTCTGGCCGTTGGCGTTGGAGCCACTCATGAGGCAAACACAGGCATCATATCTATCCCACAGGATTAGCCGAGGCACAATCGATATGATACGCCTTGTAAAACCTTTTCAGAGTTTTTTTTACTGCGTGATTTTATTTTGCTTTCCTGTCAGTGGCCGAGAGGTAGTAACGTCTTGGCAACGACGCATGTCTTGGCAATCGGCCAGCAAGCATGATTCAGGACCCGCGTTATCGGTGTGGAAAAGAAATGTCTGCTTGGCAAATTGGAGAAGAATTTTGGAGTCACCCAGATCGGATGAACCCGAACCTAACGTTCTATTCGACATTGTATCGGACTCTACAGGTTTGATTAGGGAACCCTTACAAAGCTTAATACAGTCGACGTTCTTCTGACACCTTCTCGGGGTCTCTCTTTTTTCGATCAAATATTTTCATTGCAAGTCATTCATAAACCATTACGTATACGCAGGCTCACGGTACTACAGTATTAGGTCAGTGTGCATAATACTCATGCATCAACCTCATGCCGGGAGATGCAAAAGTTCAAGAAGGATCAAATTCCCCGCGAACCTCCGAGCCCACCCTGCACAACCGTTGTCTCAAATTTTTTGAAAACCGATGCCAACCAGAAAAGCACCACCAGCCTCCCCCAACCAACTTGGTAATTGCTCGTGTGCTTATCGTTAGTTAGTGAGGGGTGAAATCATCACTGGAGCGGGGTACGCAGCAGCGAGCCTGCAAGCCAAGAATGATCCTGCGCACAAATGCCTGTCTTTCCCCTCCTCTTCAGTGGTTTTCGGACGACGCCGATCCTGTTGCTCGTGATATGTCTGGCCTCTCGTCACTTAGTCTGAGGGTCAGTCCCCGTTTTCCCATGAGAACCCCGGGATTTCCTGTGAAGGTTGCGCGGCAATTCAATTGACCTTCTATGTTGAGTTAGTCGAAAAAAACATGAAGAAAAATCAGGAAAAACGGTCATGAACCGGACTTTGAGTAACGTAGTTATGTATATGGCCTTGAACCCGTCTCTATCTTACGCCTGATCTACATTGACCTATTCACTTCCTCCATTGGCCATCGCTCACGGACTGCCAATCCTCAGATCATCTACGATGTCTGCCCTTGCCTTGGTTCTCTTGGCAACGGCCCCTGTGGCAATCGCCCAGACCTTCCAACGTCTCGGCGCCTGTCCCGACCTTGGTTGTGTTTTCCCTCCAGACCAAGCCAACTTCCTCCCGGGCCAGAAGTTTGACATCCGTGTCGAGGTCCATGCTCCAGTCAACGGCACTGAAGCCTTCAACAACGGCGTTCCGGATACCGATTTCACTGTCTCAATCGCGAGCAACAGTGAACCATCTGGCAAGTCGCTGACGGACTTTTTCGGCCTTGACGAACCAGACCTGGAGACATGGACCTTTTCGTGGTATGAGGATCTGTTTGCCGAAGATGCCGGTACCAAGTCCGTGGTGAATGTCGCGTCCAAGGCTTACCGCGATCTGTCGCTGTATGAGCCAGGAAACTACACTGTCGAGCTCAGCTATTACAATGGTACCAAGAAGACGCTGGCCGAGTGGTTTGTCAGGCCACTCGCTGAGGAGAAGAAAGCCAAGAATGTGATTTTGTTTATCGGTGATGGTATGACAACGAACATGATTACGGCTGCTCGTCTGCTGGGCCACAAGAGTGTCAACGGCAAATATCAATCGAGGATGCAGATGGACCAATTCCCTATACTTGGACATCAGATGGTGAGTTGGGTCAACCTCAGATCTCTGCGGAGTTTGAATGCCTGTACTGCATAACTGACAATTACCAGACGCATTCAGTCGATAGTTTCGTTACTGACAGTGCCAACTCTGCATCAGCACTCTACTCCGGACACAAGGGCACCTCAGACTCCATGGGGTACGTGGTTTTCTCACAATAGCATTCTGCATGACTAAAACTGGGTACAGTGTCTACTCTGACTCTTCCGAGGATGATTTTGATGATCCCAAAGTCGAAACCATTGTTGAAATGGTAACACGTATTTGGGTAAGTCGTACCTCCTGAATAGTACCTCTACTCCAGCTAACGCTTCCAAAGGGATCTGCCTGGGGCGCGGTGACAACAGCTGCCCTCGACGACGCAACCCCAGCTGCTCTTACCGGCCACAGCAGATCAAGATCCAACGCCGGTTCTCTGATTGACCAAGCCCTTAACGGCATGACGAACTACTCTTGGAGCGCTCACCCTGGCCCAGACGTGTATTTCGGCGGCGGTGCCTCGACCTTTCTCCCTGGTTCCTCCTCCTACTTGGGCAAAGACTACTATGAGGAGTTCCGTAAACAGGGTTACTCCGTGAGCTGGAACGCTTCGTCTCTTCGCGACGCGCCGAATGATTCCCCGGCTCTGGGCGTCTTCTCTCTTTCTCATCTGCCTGTCTGGCTCGACAGAAACATCCTGACTGATAACATCGCCGCGTTGAAGACGCATCCCTCTGGTGATGGCTCCGCACCTCTTGATCTCCCAGGGCTGAAAGACATGACGCTGAAGGCGGTTGATATTCTCCTGGAGCGCAGCAACGACACCGGTTTCTTCCTCATGTCTGAGGGTGCCTCAATCGACAAGCAGATGCATGCGCTCGACTACGACAGAGCTTTGGGTGATCTTTTAGAGTTTGACGATACCATCCGCGCGACGGTCAAAAAGCTCAAGGATGCTGGCGAGCTTGAACAGACCCTCATTGTCGTCACGGCAGACCACGGTCATGGCTTCGACGTCTTTGGTGTTGCCGATACCAAGTATCTCGCCGCGCAGGATACCGACCGCAAGAAGCGCGATGCAATCGGTATTTATGAGCGTTCCGGATTGTCTCATTATACAGTTCAGCGGCCTGATGGCATCGAGTACGGAACTGGGCCGCATTTCCCGTTGAACTGGAGCCCTCGGTATGCCATTGCTCCGGGTTTCGGAGCCAACCCCGACCGCCGAGAGAACTACCGCCTCCACGAGTCGCCTCGTCGCGTGGTCGTCAGCGACCCGGAGGATGGATATGTCGCAAACCCCGAGGATGGGGAGGATGGATTCTTTGTGGAGGGAACATTGCCAGTGTCTTCCTCGTCTGGTGTTCACTCTATTACTGATGTGCCGGTTTTCGCTATGGGTCCTTGCCAGCAGACATTTGCTGGCGTGTATGACAACACAGACGTGTTTTTCAAGATTGCATCCTGTCTTGGATTGGGACAGTCTTCAGCTACCCCTCAAAGGCGGTAAACGCCGAGGGAGGTTTGATCGAGGACGTAATGGAGATACCCGTTGGCATCAGACCAAGTCCGCTTCTCGGCGGCGGTTAAGCAGAATTACTCGGCAACAATCCACATTTTCCGTTCCAAACTGTAGCCGTGCCGCATCTTTTGCTTTCCATACCTCTATCATGTCTTGTTGGACCCGTTTCAGTGATGGTAGGTGCCGATTCTGATACAGCGCTTCGAGCCGCTCCAGGGCAAGCTGTCGTAGTTGAGGGTCAACCGACTCGCATCCAGCAGTCCACAGGGGCCATGCATGGGCTGAAACGAATGACGAGGTGATGGGGACTTTCAGGAGATATCGAAGGCATTCTTCTGCATGTACCGGCTTCAGATGCTGCGTGCCATCCTCCCATAACCGGTATAGATAAATAATGGCAGCATGCTTGCACGCTTGGATCGTGTTCTCGATGTCCGGGTTCCCATTGGGAGACACACCAACAGCCAGTAAATTCTGCTTAATGTTGAAACCGCGCTGTTGATGAGCCTCACCGCTTTTCCCTTGCATTTTACTTATTGTAGCAACGACTGAAAGAACAGATGTAAGCTTCGCGAGACTTTCAAGTCCTTCAAGAGGTGCCACGTTCGTCATGGTCAGTAGTGGCTTGGAGGTGCGCGATATGGACGACATGACATCGTGGTAAAAGCAGAGGCTGAGAAGAAATTGGGCAGTCGAGCTTTTCCAGTTGCCTGGTCCTCCAGAGTGCATAATGACAGCTTTGGCACCGGCTAGGTGGTCAATTTGGCTGTGGGTGTTGAACAGTCGATCTGAGATCTGAAGCATCAAGATGGTCGCTAGAGAAATCTCAGGATGTTCCGTCTGAATACTCTCTCGGAGTGAGGATACCGCCATAATCATATGGCGGGATGCCAGAGTTCGAAGCGATTCGTCATTCCGAAGAACGGAGAGATGCCCCGCTGCCATAGAGGATATGGAGTAAAGAAGTGCGTTCGAACGAAGTGTCATCGGCGTAAGATGAAGGAGGAACGGATTTTCTGTGCCAGACGCCATCGAAATGACACCTGCGAGTGACGAATTCCAGTGATGAAGCAAGAAGTGATTCATTGGAGAGATGTCTGGTGAGACGGACGGGTTTCTGATCAGGCTTGCATGGCCAAAATAAGGCTCAGTGGGGGTTACTGTGCCTGTAGATTGTGGCTCAGGAGAGGATGATGAAGTGCTCTGCTGAGAGAGCGCAGCACTTCTAGCCCTTGAGCTTCGCTTTTTCGTTACTTTTGAAGAGTTCGCGAGCGCTTCGGTCGTTTTCCATCTCACCCTCAACCCGTACCCTTTGCAGGTCTTACCAAGCCGGATGCACCGGTCGCAACTTGGTTTCCCTTCATCGCACTTGTACCCATCGTCTCTTCAAAACATGTCAGCCACAGCAACCTCACCAGATGAAGATAACATCATACCTGCAGGTTAGGCAACCTGTTCTACTCCTCTTGTGAGGCATCGCGCAGCGTGGTGAGTTGCAAGTCTCACAATCGAGATGACGTGGATGAATCTTTACCTCAAGTGGGGTGAAAGAACCCACTTCTAGGTCCGAAACTGACCCACTAACTCCGAACGGCTAGAGAGATGGTGGCACGTACAATGCGGTGAGAATGGTGACATGGCGACATTAAATAGCTTTTGTAGTTGAAATTTCTTCTGCATGAAGTAGCGTTGTTGGCAGCTGAGGATGCGCTACTATGCACTCCGTTGCAACCTCTTGCAAGCAAGGGTTTCTCGTGGGGTCATCATTACTGTCATCATTGTCATAATCCATTTTTGGACGACTCAATTTTGAAGTTGATTTCATCAAGAAGATATCTCATTCGATACTTTCAAATGATAATTTTATCGTTATCTTTTTCAGTATGTTAAGAAGTGTCACTCGGGTCGCTCAGAGAGCAACACGGTGTCAATCCGATAGGTTCCAGCGCCAAGGTCTTAGCCAAGCACATATTGGTAAGCGTGATAAGTTCCATGCACTCTGGGTACTTGGGGTATTTGGAATTTGTGAGCTCGCCCTAGTTGAAGTGACAGTCGCTGACGTGCAAACTGATACCAACTGCTATGGGGTTGTTGTACTGTGTCTCATGAGCCTCCAAACCTCCCTTGAAAAACCAACGTGAATTGCTGGCATTATTTGTGAACCAACATCCTATTCAGAATGACTTTTGTATAATCTCTTTGGTGCTTCCTATGCTAGGATGCCTAGATATCTCGTGTGCAGAACTCACCTAACTTCTGCGCCAGTCCAAGGAGTTGGCTCTAACCACTATCTTCGACTGTCACCGTCTCTTGACAGCAGATAATCCAGGGTAGTGTTGTCCCATCCAATGAAGAGGAGAGTGACCAAAAGGAATACCAACTCCCATACCTGTTCGTTTATGCCAACGCTATCCCAAAACGAAGTAGCGCCAGTATCACAGAAGGTAGGTCGATGAATGGTCACTCCACCCGGACTGCGAATGAATCAATCCACCACTAAATTCATGAGTGTAAAAATAATGGACCTTCCCAAATCAAATCAGCTGGTGTCCACGCTATTCAAGTGTTGTTCAGTAAGCTGTTTTGTTCCACAGTAATCCACACTTTGCGCTTCAGCAAATCTATCCTCGCCAACTGTGCAGAATCACTAAGCTGTTCTTTCAGAATCTCAGCAACTTTGTATCTGTGCTGCAATGGCAGAAGCCTACGCCGAGCATAACGTCACGTCATTGGCCGTATTTTAATTAGTCCTGCAGTCATCATACTAGTTTCTCAATCCAATGTCATTGGGTTGATTGCATTCGCTGGCTTATCTGGGATCCCTGGTATTCCAGCTTCCCAAGGCGACCATGCTGGTGCTGTTTTGCAGGGGAGTAATGCTGTTGGCTCAAACGAAAGACTATCTGCTACCTTAGTGACACACATTTTAGGAACTTGATTTGTATTTTTTTTCTTTTTTTTTCGGCGTTGACCGTCGCCTCTATTCAACTCATTTTCTAGCTTCTGCAGGTTGGGCTTTGATCATGAACAAAACAACCTGCTCTTTCATGTGCATTCCTGGTATCTACTGAAGCATCTGTTAGTGGATTGCGATGTAGTTCAACCAGGGGGGGGGTGTTTGTTCCCATGCATCGTGTTATGGTATGTGGGGCGGTGCTATTTTCGTGCTCGGTCTTTTCGGGCCAAATTCCTCCTCTAGTACAATCTACGGACATGATGCCTAAATCAGTTTGTAGAGCTGCACCAGCCAAGGTTCTGATCCATTGTTCTCGTTTGAATTGTTGCTGCCTTATTATTCTCTATTTGTAGTCATTTCACGAAAGCTGGTGTTTGGTACTTGGTTACTTTCCCACAGAGACTTCAAGCTTTCATCTTGACTTGCATTGAACACATATATCGGGTCTGAATTTCATAGCTGATAGATGAATAGGTCATGCCTCCGGGAACTGCAACTGTGGGATGAGATATCCATCCACCATTTTCTTACAGATTATGATCCTTCCAAGCCAAAACCCATATCTAACCTGAGTGGTATTTGTTCATTTCGAACTACAAGTTAGTCCATGATTTAGACTTCCACCGATTAACCCCGAATCTCAATTCTTGCACTCTGTAAGCGAAGTGATGTGTTTGCCTTTGTTCAGAACAAACTGGCCACTTCCTCTTAGGGAGCTTTGATTGCCCCCTCTGATGCGGAGAATACTGAACAGCCATTGGACGGATGGGCGAGCATGCACATAGACATGAAAAGGATCATATTGTTCGTAGATCGCCATGGACGAACGGAGGTGACCGATGGTATAACAAAATGGCAATGGTTGTCCTCCAAGAAGTACATGATAGCAGAGCAGGTCTCAAATCACTTTTCGCCTGACTTCAGGGCCTGCTTGGTCTGTACCCCTTCTTGTTTTCTATGCGCCTTTCGGGCTGGCGCTTGTTCTTCGACTAAACATACTTGGCCATAAACGCGAATGGATTCGAGGAAACCAGCCACTGCCAAGTGCGCTCAAGATGTCTTTCAAAGGCTCCGAGGCCTGGCAGGCTGAGAACAGAGGCCCGGGCATCGTCTCAGCTTGCTGGACCATGGCGGGCCTAGCGACAGCTTTCGTGTCTGCCCGGATATGGTGCAGACACAAGGTGGGGAGAAAAGTCTACAGCGACGACTATTATTGCATCTTGTCCTTGGTTCGTGTGATTTCCCTCTCGGCATACTACCTGTCTTCCGGCACTTTAATTTAACCAAGATTACTGATGTTAGATTCCCATTAGATATGCGCGATCGCTTCATGCGTAGCTACTACTATTGCTGTAAGCTACGGGTACGGCAAACATATGGAGGTCCTCACACACGAGCAACAAAAAGGTGCCATCATGTGGGCACACATCGGCTTTGCTCCAGGGATCATGTCCTTTGCCATCCCCAAAATGGCTGTTGTCGCTCTGTTGACACGTTTGATGAACCCAGCCAGATACCATCTGTGGTTTCTTTGGGGAATAACAGTGCTATGTCTACTTACTCACATCATTGTCCCCGGCCTGCATTTCGGACGCTGCGTGCCGGTCCAAGCGATCTGGGACAACACCATCTCAGCAAAATGCTTTGACGCCAATATCACCGTGGACTATTCCATTTATGGTGGAAGTAAGTGAACTTGACATGCGCTCAGCAAGGTGAAATGATTCCGCTACTGACATTGACTTACAACCTAGTTTTGTCAGCTTTTGTGGACGTTTATCTAGCCATCTATCCAACTGTTATTCTCTTTGGCCTCCAAATGTCGCTGAAGAAAAAGATATTCCTATCTTGCGCTTTAAGCGTTGGCTCCATGTATGGCCGACTTCCTTATCCGCTATCCTCCCGGGTTAGAAAATGAAACTGACTTGATCAGTGGCGGCGGTGTTGCTATAGTCAAAACAGTCCGTCTCCCTTTATTAAGGGAAGATGACTTTACTTGTAAGAACTTCTCAGACTCTTCCTTACGAATTCGTTTCGACTGACTCGTCTTGCCGGGAATCAGATCATACTTCTGACCTGCAGATAAGGACAATGTACGAAATATTCCACTATCTCGGCAGGGCAGTTCCGTGGTGTTGTTGAGGATTTCCGTCGATCATACAAGACTGACTAGAGCTTGCAGAATAGAAGGTAGCACGATAATCATTGCAAGCACAATCCCTGTCTTGCAACCGCTCCTCGAAGTCATTTTGCGACGCAGCCCTTTCAGCACAGCCAGAAGCGCGTTAGAAGAGACACCGAAATCCGACGATAACTTCGTCCCGAAGAGAGAATCAGACGTTGGCGGCAGAATCGAGCTGGGGCAACGGAGACCAAAACCGAAACTCAGGGACAACCTCGGCCTCACCATTATGGAGGACGACAGCAAAGAAAACATCCTTGTACAAGAGAACACAACTCCGGTTATCATGTCAGACAAGGATGAGACTACTCAGCCTCAGCCGACGACTTGGGGAATTACCAGAACTGACGTTGTGTGCGTTTCGTTCGAGGATAGATCCAAGCTTAGTGAGAAACCGGCATCCGCCAAATGGGACATTGTTTGAGCTGCAATATGACTTAGTAGACCCTTTGAGAGTTTGTGATCTGTACTATTTGGTGTGTCCCGATGTTTTGCTTGTCCTTCCGGATAAGCAGCGACTATTCCTTTCCAATGCATCTGTCCAGTCTACCACACCACGCGTGCCTCTACAATGTTTCATTAAGCATTGCTGTGAAAGTCTCGGAATCTTTGGTAGCGCATTACCTTGCTCTTGTTTCTTACCTGAGAACACCCCTTTGTGACAGCTGCCAGGTTTCAATTAGTCAATAATTACTGCAGTGTCGTTTTACTCACACAGTTTGGAGTCAACATGGGCTACTATTTTGTTTATTGTGGAAATTTATGTTGTTACTTCCAGAGACAGGCTTGGTCCTCAGTCCCAATAAATAAAGATACTAAATAGTAGTCGGATATCTGGCATTCAAGTAACCTATGGGCTACTCATCCCGGCTGAAACTCCGTCGAGGATCAACATCGCCCAGTCCCAGCCTACCAGTCCCGGTCATTTAATCTGATTAAAAAGTAAGTAGGACAAAGCCTGTGAACGCCGTTGCCCAATCCAATTCCGAGCACCATCGCTTATTACCATGATGACCGCTTTGAATCATGCCATTCTCTAGCAGCCAGTAAGTGCCTACAGTCGTGTTAGTCACTTGCAAAAACCGAAACATGTTGAGATGTGACCTACAGCCTGTTGGTTCTTCATGTTCTGCTGGATACCTCCGGAGAAGTCCATCATCAGCGACTGGACAACTGGGTTGTCTTGCTGGGGGTTGCCAGTAAGACCGGCGACCTTCTGAAGTTCGGTAAGCTGGGCATTGGCGACCTGTCAAATTGTCAGAAAACTTCCGTCACGTAGCTCTTCATTGTGCACTCATACCACAGCCAGTCCCTGGGTGGCGGCGTTGCCAGAGGGCGCAATAAGTTGGTTGGCCTGGCGAACCTGGATACCGTCGCTGACGAAGGAGAGCAGGTTGGACTTGGCGACCTGGAACTGCTGCATGTTGACGGGGTTCGCCTGGAGAGCCTGGGAGACGGCTGCGAGACCAGCCTGCTCCTGTTGCTGAACCTGGATGTTCAGGGCGATTCCACCGGCCAGAATCTTAGCCTCCGCGCAGGCGGGGGTATCTCCTTGAGCGGGGGCCGGGGGAGGCTGAGGTGCCTGGCAAGCAGCCAAAGTCGCGAGGGAGAGGATGACAGCGTAGGCCTTCATTTTTGCGGTTTGGTTATTTGATGATTATGGATAAAGATTGAACTGTAGTTGAAATTATGTTATGTTATATAGAGGAGCCTGCCCGTAGCTGGTGGAGTAATGACCGTAGCTGCTGCTTGAAAACGATGCCGAATCCAGATTCAGTGGCGTAGCAAGATATCTGGATTTTGGATGGGTCAGCCGGTCTTTAAGTAAGTTGCAACCACGAGACGGCACTCCGTCTAACGCCGGCGACGTTCACGAAATAATCATGAGATGATGCCGTGGTGGGGGGGGACCCATGAGCGGCGGCACAGCAAAGTAGGGCGGTCTAGCAAAGGAGATTGAAACTTCCGGATGATAGACTTTCTAGAGTGTTTTGGTGCGGTCGCCGAGTCGCTCTGCTGCTTGTTTCGAACCTTGAACACGGTTGGGACGAGGGAAGGATTTCCCTGAATGTCCAACCGCACAGACGGTGCATTGAAGTGCAGGGTATCAGAGTAGCGACACAGCCCGCCAATTAGCTCCCCTGTAACAAGTTACAAGGCTGGATTTCCCTTATACTTCCTGACCCCTCCGCCGACTCATGGCCAGGTTTGGCTAGGCAGGATGAGCTGACTGCCACTGTGAACAAGCGGATATCGTCCGTCGTTATTGAGGAGACTAAAGGGTGGATGGTCACCAACCAGTCACCAACCAGTCACCAACCAGTCACCAACCAGACGTCACAATATCACGTCTCGAGCTTGAACTTAGAATCGATTATTGTGCTTTCTCCCTGCTGCCCCTGCTTTATATCGTGGGCTGTTTTCCCTCGGTTTTCCTCGCGGTTTAACGAATATGGTCACTCTTGCCGACGGGCACCTGGCCATATCCATGACTCGTCTGAATGATGTTTCTGCTGCCCAAGGTCAATGCTGAAATCACGCCCCTTACTGAGAAGCTGAAGGACTTCCCCTCCACTAGATTAGGCTAAGCTTTTGTTTAGGCGTATTCCGTTCCTGGGTGATGCTACTCAACATAGTCAAAGAGCGGCTCCATTTTAAGGCAAAGGAACGGATGGCAGTTGCAACACCCGTCCTCAAAATCTGCAGGATGACAACTTATTAAACTTGTTTTCCTGCATGAGGTCTTCGTTTCTTTTCCTCTGAAGAAGCCTAGCCTGCGGTTTCAAACACAGGTTACCAACTTGAGCGTATCATCTGCCGCGGCTCGGAGAACACGAGAAAAGCCATTGGCACAGGCCCTTCGCCTAAGTACCACTCCATTTCCATGGTCCTATAACACAGAGAAGCTACTCTCCGGTTGCCATTGACTCCGCTACATTACCCACCTCATGGAAGCCTTATGAGGCGTTCGGCCGTCCTCTTTGGAAAGGTTTCCTCGGACGATTACCAATCCCCTCTTTTACGGTCCCAAATACTTGGATCACATTGATCAGACTGGACGCCATTAGGCCCACGAAGATTAAGGCTATGCCGCTGGCCTCAAATCTATGTACAACTGCTGAGCTTCATCCAATCGAAGAGAGCAATCAAGTTAAAGGTCGTCTTCGATGTAACATGTGCTGGTGAAACCGTCATTTTATGACCAAGTCCTATTAAGTTTCATAGACTTACCCTGGGAATTCTCATGAGAATGACCCAAGCTGCGTTTCGCCGTACCACATCATGTGTTGAAGATCATGCATAGCATCTTAACGACGAAATTTTAGTGCTGCGATATACGTTTGCCTTGCGATCAGCGAACAGTTTTCTCGGCGCCCTTGGCAGAGCCCTGGCCCCGTGGAACAATGTGTTTGAGTAGGAACCATCCACGACAGACCGCACGGTTTCCAACCAGGTCGGTAGTCACATATTGCAAGCATTTAGTATAGAGTTGGAAATAATGTCGTTTTGAATCAACTATAGCATGCATTGGATGCTGAAAATGTCCTGCGGGATCATAGATGCCGATGACTGACTAATATTCACACCCTTCAAAGAGCTGTCATGGAAACTGAAGCTTTGATCACAAGCTGAACAGAAACATCCTCCCGCAATGGCTGCGGTTCAAAACACGACATGATTTGATCCTTTCACATAAGCTCCTGGGCTGGAGAATAGCGAAGCCGCGAGGAGCGATAAGCTCGCGTGCGAGCTGACAAACACAGTGTTGGCGCTGAGCAATAAACTCAAGCTTGCGGGGGTCCGCACCTATGATGGCCAGGCGGGAGGGCCAGATGGAGGGTATCGACAGGCCACCTCTGTCCTGAAATTCGTCTGAAGTGTGCATAAGGGGCAAGTCGCATTCGTGAGATGTCTCGAATGTGAAGTATCCAATCGTTTTGTGTCTCTTCCGGTGGGGTGGTTCTGTCAACCAAAGTGCGGAGTGGTGATTAGAGTCGAGTCAAGGGAAGGCTGACCTGGAGAGTTCCAGCCAGACAAGATCCCCAAGACCCGACAAAGCGTTCCCCCTGCGTTAGCCTGAAGTATCTCGGAGAATATCCCTGAATTGTACTTAATCTTCACTGTGTCTGACTGCTCGACATCATTGGAAGGCTGATATTCGCCGTCTGAAATCCGGTTTCTGGTTCAATTATCCTGCTTGGACAATCCGGCAGTTGACTACATCTCCCAACAATTGGACATATTCTGAACAGTTTTTGCATGGTCAAGAAGGTCAACATGACCCTCAAATATAGTGAAGGGGTATCACATTAATGATTCGTGGGCAAAACGACTGCTGTCGCGATTTGCCACGAGTAAGGCACACTGGCACGGAATATTTCCCCGATTAACATGAACAGAAGCGTTCACCTCCTCGGGGTGCTTCGGGATAGTACCCAGCTTCCGCGGAAGACTCGCGGAGTTTGGGTACACGGGGTCTGTGCCTTGGCAAGGATCAACAATTGTCCCCGGCAGCCCAGCCCGTTCACATTGCTGAGAACTGGCTGGGGAAATATTCCAATCCCGGAAGTTCTGGTCGTTTCTACTGCCCGGTGGAGGGGCGGCTCGTTGCAAATTCAATGCCGGAGGGAGTAAGCGTTTCCTTCAAAGTATAATATCGAATACACGTGCAAACTGATGGTTGAACCCTTGGAAGTTACATTGTGGACAGACGGATGGCGAAATAGCTGAGCAGCTGCTGATATTTGCCATAGCGTAGATTTGATGACAAAACATACTCACCAAGGCCTGTAGGGCTTGCGTTTACTTACTTTCAGCTCTGCCAAGCCAGCCGCAAGGCACATCAACTATGGCTGGACGGTAACATTAATCGCACAATCACCTGCTTTTTTCGTGGGCAAAGACCGTATTAGGCCTAATGCCGTGATATAGGTGGAAGACAGCGACGCGTTGTCCACGTAATTATGGATCGAGCTTACGAGGAAATGAGGGGCCTATGTAGTTTTAAAGCAACGAAATCCGGCTTCTTGTCAATTGAAGCAGTTGTTTGCATTCGGGTGCCTGACAAGCGACAATGATGACTCTGCTGCTCGGCATTCATTTATGCGCTGCATTGGCTGCTGGCGCCATTTTTAACGCTTTAAATGACTTATACCAGCACCCTTTGTCTGCGACATTTGACAACGAGCCTGGATGCAACGAGCGCGAATCCAGACATTTGAATGAGAAGACAAAGAGTGCGTTTAGATCCACATTGACAAATTGAAAGTGTGAGTCGATGACAGTGGAGTTCTGACCTTGACAAGAGTTCAGCGTGAATGGGACCGGTATCCCAAATGTTAGTTTTGATGTCGGAGAGTCATACGCCGGTCTTCTTCCACTTAGCCCCTTGCCGACAGAGAATTCTGTCCAAGAGCTCTTTTTCTGGTTTTTTCCAAGCGAAAAGCCATCAGCCAGGAAGGAAATCGTCATATGGTTGACTGGTGGTGTAAGCTTCTCTACTGTTTCCTTGCTTTCAAAAACATATCTGGCCGGCCTATAGACTAAACTAGCACGCAGCCAGGATGCTCCTCGATAGGAGAGCTTCTACAGGAGAACGGCCCCGTGTCATGGAAGCCCGGGACATACGCCCCCGTCCGCAACCCCTGGAGCTGGCATCGCCTTTCGAATGTCATCTGGGTTGACCAACCCGTCGGCACGGGATTCTCACGGGGTCCCGTCACAGCTACTGATGAGCACGATGTGGCGAGCCAGTTTCTAGGGTTCTGGCGGAACTTTGTTGACACATTCGATCTGAAGGGGTACAAGATCTTCATAGCCGGCTCATCCTCTGCGGGGCTCTTCTGCCCTTATATCGCGAGCGCCATGTTAGATGCGGAGGATAAAGACTACTTCGACTTGGAAGGGATGATGATCTTCGACCCGGCGATATCGCAGCGCGGGCTCGGTGAAGAGTTTGGGGTAATGAGAATGCTTGAGTACTGGGGTCCGGCTTTCACTCTCAACGAGACGGCAAGGAAAGCCGTGAAACAAATGGACGACAGATGCGGCTACTCCGAATACGTTGAGAGATACCTTACCTTCCCGCCTTCAAGCGTACAACCGACTAATATCCCCGGCGCGTACACTCCACACGGTCACGTTCCACAATGTTCTATTCGCTCCTTCGTGGAAACAGCAGAAAAGGACGCCAACCCGTGTTTCAGTCCCTTCAACATCTTCCGCACATGTCCACTTGCTTTTGATCCCATAGCCTTTACCGAGAACAGGTTCTACTATCCAGCCAGTGAACCCGTCTACTTCGACCGACGAGACGTAAAGGCCGCCATCAACGCGCCTCTGGACCGGGAGTGGCGGTTCTGCAGCAGAGAGCCTGTCTTCGTCAATGGCACCGACAACTCTGATATCCCGGGGCCTGGCAGCCAGCCCAAAGTTGCGCATGTTGCTGAGAAGACAAGAAACGTGATCATCGGACACGGTTTGCGGGATATGGTCCTCCAGTCTACCGGCGCACTGCTTGGGATACAGAACATGACTTGGGGAGGGACAATGGGTTTCCAAGAACGACCAAAGAAGACGTTGTTTATCCCGTATCACAGTAACGAAGACTTGGGGACATTGGCTGCAGCCGGCGACTTGGGTGTGTGGCATGCTGAGCGTGGTCTAACATATTTTGAGACACCTTTGTCCGGCCACTTCGTCGGGCGCGATACGCCTTCCATTTCCTTCCGAGTGCTAGAGGTATTACTAGGGAGAGTGAAGGACTTGGGATCACGAGAGCCGTTCACATCAGATCGGTAAAGGGCCAATAAAACATGAAGGACAGTTGTGGAATAACGCTCGACTTACAAATCCTGAAGAAATACGTCAAATCCCACGATTAAATCATCAAGCAGTTTCTCATAATCTAAAGTAACATCTCATCTTTTTACCATTTACAAATCTCAACATCTTCTTCCACACTCCCCCTTTAGTGCACGGATCCGTTCCTCTAAACAACCCATCACCCACACACTTACGTCCTCCACCGGAAAGCAGGGTGCTTCCAGTCCAGGTTCTGAATCTCCTGCTCCGACATACCCGCCAGCTCCTCCTCGATGCTGCGGTCGTCACGTCGCTTGTTGTCCCACTTCATCCACAGCCACGCCGCGGTAGCCACGATGAGAATCATGCTCGCAGCCCCAAGGTTCAGGCCGTTGCCGATGTGGTAGTCGGGAGCGTCCCACGAAAGATACGACCAAGTCGAGATGAGTCCGCCAATATTGCCGAACATGACCTGAAGCACCGTTGGTTAGTACTATTATTCTTTCATGACGGAAACGATATGTGGTGGTGGGAAACTCACGTTAAGACCAATGGCACTGCTTCTCGCCGTGTCACTCAGGACATTGGCGCTGATATGCGCGTTGGACATGGGTCCGAGAACCATGGCCGAGCTTGCAATCAGGAATGTCGCCGCGTATCTGATCTTGGCGACTTTGGACGCGAGGAACATAATGTACCCCGCCATAACCATCGGCGCGCTCAACGCGATCAGCACCTGGCGCCTGTCGAGGTACCAACTCAGGCCGGGGAAAGCGACTGTGAAGAAGGCGCCGACGACGTAGGGCGGCACGCTGTAGAGCTGCTTCTGGACAGTGGAGAAGGTGGGGTAGATTGAGCTGACGATGGTCGGGAGGAAGAAGGCGAGGCCCTGGACGGTGATGTTGTTGAAGAGGAAGACGACGGCGATTTCGAGGGTGACGGGGTTGAGCATGCCGCGGATGAGCTTCTTCTTGTCGATGCCGTCGATGACTTCGGTCGTGCCGACGCGCTCTGACTTGACGCGGGCAATGCAGAGGTCCTTTTCCTCCTGAGTGAGCCAGCGTGCCGTCTCGGGACGGTCGGTGAGGGTGAAGAAGGAAATAATGGCGAGGATGATGGTCACGATACCTTCGATCGCGAAGATCATGCGCCAGCGGTGGAGTCCTCCGAAGTGGTCAAGCGTCAGGATAGCCGAGGCAAGAAGACCGCCAAAGGCGCCGGCCAGAGGGGCCATGACCATGTACAGCGACAGTCTAAAGGTGAGCTCGGCGCGCTGGTACCATCTGGAGAGGTAATAGGCGATACCCGGTAGCATACCGGCTTCGAAGATGCCGAGGAGGAAGCGCACGCCGCAGATGGCCGCCCTGTCCTTGCAGAAGGCTGTAGCGATGGAGACAATACCGAAAGCCAGTGAGGTTGCGGGCAGGAACCAGCCGGGACCGATCCATTTGCAGGTGACTGTGGCAGGAATCTCGAAGAGGATGTAGGAGATGTAGAAGGTTGAGAGGATGATGTTGTAGTCGTAGCCTTTGAGGTTGAGGTCCTTGTCGAGACCGGCGATTCTAGCATTTCCTAGGGTAGAACGTTAATGAATATTTACGAACACATCTGTATGTATTACGTACCAATATTCGCGCGGTCGATGAAGCAAAAGAGATAGAGCAGGGCGACGGTTGGAATGGTGTACAAGTCGAGCTTCCAGCGCAGTTTTCGCTCGGCAACAGGGTCAAACTGGATAAGAGAGTTGCCGTACCTGGTCACAAATCATTAGCTTTAAGTATATTTACAAAAGGCTTTTCGATTGACTCACTTATCAGTAGCTACCTGGCCCCGTCCAGCGGCACTGGAGATGGTTCCGTCGTGAAGCGGTGCTTTGGTGATGGCTTGGTCATCGTTGGCGGCTTCCACGTGGGCGCCTTGCGGTACCTCCTTTTCGACAGAAGCCATGGTTGGAACTAGAGCTTTTTTTTTGGTATTGTTGCGGCTCAGTGGTGTTGTGTTTCTCAAGAGGGATATGAGATGAGATATCGACGTCGAGAAACCTCACATTCGGTGTTTCATTCGGACGTATAACAAAGGGCGGTGTGACCACTTTGGCACCTGAAAAGGAAGAGCACGATAAGAACACCTTCAGCGTCGCAGCCCAACGTTGAAGAACTTCTAGTGTAACGACTCGAATACTCTTCAAGACCACATAGCATGGGACGAACCGGAGAGTAAACAAGACGGTGACAGCACCTCATTTAATAGCTGCGTTGGTTATGGGCAATGCAATACATCCCAGGCACCCTAGAAGAAGTGCCGAGCCTGCGTTCCCCAGTTTTACCAAGGATACATGCGCACTTTGTGGGAGAGCTGCAGTTCTGGCTTTCCGCGCCCTCCATCTTGATCGGGGGACCCATGAAGGTGGGATTCCCTGCGGGGTAAACGGGCACGCTGAGCAGGGTAAGAGAGAGAGATGCTGTCTGCAAGACGCTGCATTAGATACACCAGCTTAGCCTCCCCAAACTGATCATTTACCAATCGCCTTTAGCAGTGGGTGACGTGACATCGACCATGGATGCCGAGGATGTCCTCGTCAACGGGAGATCAGCAATGACAAGGCCCAAAGACCGTATTACCCCTTCACCAAAGAGGAACATCGTGAAAGAATGCCATTATTCAGAGCATATTGTACCCCTCAAGCCCGCCCCTGAAGCTGACTTGTGCCGAGAGATGCAATCTCAACACGTCTCCGCTTGTTCAATTTTCCCCAGATTCCCCGCTGAGTTGAATCTGCGTAGCCGTGTTCCCCGCAATTCTGGGGATGGGGATTAAAACACCCAAATCCACCTGGGCCGTCACGGGCTCCACGTCCCAACACGGGGCCCCAGCTCTACTTGAGGAGACGAAGCCAATCAGAGGTGGTTCATTGCAACGAAAAGGTTGCTGCCGTGGACACGCCAAGCGGGATTGAATATCTTGACTTCGGCAACTGGGATCGGCAACTAGAGCGCAGCCTTTTAGTGCGAACTGGTGTCCGTTGCTCGTGGAAAGGAGCAATGTCATGTTCCGAGTGTTGCGCAAGACAAGTTATTGGGTTCCGAGTTGTCGGAACATCTGTGCATGAAGATTTAAGACGTTTATTATGATTTTTAGATGTTTTTTTTTGGTAATTTCGAAATAAGGTTGGTTTTCGGAAATGATGTTTGTTTTTTCAAAGTACCTGGTAATGTTTGTTAAGCTAACAAGCGAAAAAATGTTTGCCGAGCAAACATGCGAATCTTCATTTGCAGCAGATACCAGCGCCCCAGGATTGCTGGAATTCCGATAGCGAAGTAGGTGGCTGACGGCCTATATGGCCAGTTCTATATGTGGTCATTGGACAAGAATCCTCACACGGAATTCGATGAAAGTATGTCACTGGGACATGAATCATTCTAGCTGACATGAACAAGAAGCTTCGTGGGATCAGCCACTTGAAAGTGCAGATCAACATCCTCCTAACGATAAGCCCTTGGTTTCCGGACCTTTCGGAAGATGAGCTCTGGCATGGCTCTGCAGCAATGAGTCGGACACCCAAAATTACCCGTCTAAACTTCGGTCGTTCATGGGCGGCGCAGTTCGGTAGCAAACAAACCGGTACAGCCCTACGACGCCCGCGCTCCGAGTCGTCCGAAGAGCTGGGGAAACTTTTTTATAAAAAAGTTGTAAAGCCAACAGGTTGGGTCGGGTTGTACCGGCTTCCGAGCTAGAAAGCCTCTGTGCAGAAACCTACCTGCAACATCACGCAACTTGCACAGAAAGTCTAGCGTTGCTCTGCAGTTGGATCCCAGGGGATCAGGTGTGAAACAGGTGCCTCGGTCGAGTCAGCCACATGGGGAGCATGCGAGCTTGCGACAGGTCCATGTGGAATTGACCGGCAGGGACTCGCTTGGCATTTGCGCCTCTGCGACGTCTGGTAGTGGGAGGAATACCTATGAGTTTGGGGGTCATGACCAGCTTCGGCCGAGCAGGATGCGAATGCCTCGTTTATCTGCAAGACAATCTAGATACGACCAAGGTGCAGAGGAGAGCAGATCAATATTGAAAAGTTGCATTTGGGGAGGAATCGCGTACAATACCTGAATCGGGAAAGGCTACTACTAGGAGTAGTTCCGCTGTAGGCGAGTGTGACGTTGGTTTGAATTTGGTGCTAGATGACCAATGCTGTCACCATCTACTGTCTAATCTTTGTAAGCCCTCCTCTTGGATAGCTGGAATGCCGGGCACATGGGCTAGAATGCGTCCCCTCCTCTAGGAAAAAAACCAAAAAGAAAATGTGGAGTTGCATGCATTCTGCTGACAGTCAATTATTGCTCAGATACTTGGGACAATTTGATGATGCCAAGTTGTCCGATCGGTCCTTTTAGGCGGCCAGGCTTCGATAACAGTCTCACACTTGCTGCCGAGTGGCTTCGGTGCGACAACATCAATGAATCAGTGGCTGCGGCGGCAGAGGAGCTCAGTGAGCTTGGTGCAGCTCTAGCCAAGCACGCCAGGTAGATGAGTCAAGCAGGAGTCAAGACAGCCAAGCTTCTCAACAAAGCATTGTTGCTACCACCCAATGGCGAGAGTTCCGCCTCCCACGGTTGATTAGCTACAGCGGATAGGGCAGAGTTCAACGGGCCAAAGCCAGAACGGCCCAACTCGGATGGCACTCTGTGGCTCCGGCGATGGTGGAACTTGGCGCTCCTAGATCGGGGCCGAAGGCTTGGTGGGTAGGAATTGCAGCAGATCTGGTCGTCTCCGGACATGGCCACCGTCTCAGACCCCCGAACCGGTGACGTCCAAGCCTCGAAGCCCTCCTTGACAGCTGGAGATAGGGTGAAGATCAGGGGCAAGACCCGTCGAGAATGGGAATACCATCAAACGGTGTGTCGTTGTTGTTGTTGTTCCGCAATGAGGTAAAACCAGGAACAAGAGCTGAACGAGCTAGGGAACTTGCTAGACAAGGGAGCTTAGGTGACATTGTCAGCTGTCGGGAATGTCTCGGAGGACCCTGTCTGTCAGGCTTAGTGCCATCGGTGATGGGTTTGCTGGCGGGGGATGTGGAGGGGAGCTGAATATTGTTTTCCACAGACATAAGGCGGTGACAGCGGTTGGTGGTGGAGAATTTGACTGCTTGAGAGAAAATTGAGCCCGTATTTTGGTTGGGAAGGTGTTTACACAATTACGGAGAGGAATGTATTAAATGTATAAAAATGCATAACTGATGATAATCAATGAGTACGTATCATTTGTGCTAGACATTCTTCATTATTCGCAAGGACACTCCCTCCACTTTTAGCTTGGATGACAGCACCGCCACTTGATTGGCCGTTGATCCGAGCGTACGGATAAAGCGCCATGTATCCGTAGAAGAGCCCTGTATGGATACACACGACATACCTACGTAAGGCATTTGTTGTAGTGGTCCTTCGCCTTATCTTAGCGGGAGAACTAGCACGAGTACCCACTGAAAAGCAGTAAAATCTACGAGCAATGCCCCCCTTCAACAGTGAATAACAACCATTGCCGATTTTGATAGGCAGTAGGCTTTCTGTAAGCCCTCAAAAATGCTCCTTCAGAGCTCTAAATTCCAACCCTCAGGTCCGGATCATCTGTACCCGTGCGCCGGATGACGTGAGACTCACCCCGACCCTGCCACCCTCCACGGGGTCCCCCCTCCCTGCACCCTGCACCTCCTTGCCTTGCCAGATGCCCACACTAAACCGTGAGTCTTTGCGTATCTTTTCCAAGGGGACGGACGTGTGTTTGTCTGTGTTTCGCTAGCTCTAATAGTTAGTGTACGGACACATCCCACATGCTTTCTGGATCTTCCACTCGACGCCTCCTTCAGCCTTGGGGCTAGTCGAAACCCAACGAGGGGTCCCGGTCCCGAGGGGCTGTGGCCTGCTTGGCTTAAGCAATTGGCTATTGCGATGAGCGGCGCCTCCGTCAGCAAAAAAAGCCCTTAGGGAACCCGCCGGCCTTTTTGGTGTTGGTTTAATATTTGATTTTCTTACTTTTAGCGGACTTGCGATCTTACACACACCACTCTTAATATCGACAAAGGGACCACAACCAACCTCCCATTGACACCTACAAGCGGTCACTTACACTCGATAATAATCAAGAGGTGGGAAAACAACATCGAGAAATGCTTCGCAAGAAGGAGGTCTACACGACCGTCACCCCCATCCCGGGCTTCATCCCCCGCCAGCTCGCCATCGACATTCTCCATTCTCACTCCGAAGTCATCACCCTCAACCCTCTCGTCCTCGACCACAAGCCCATCAAGGCGCCCCGCGATGCCGCCTCCGACGAGTACTACTCGACATGGTATGAGATCACCGAGCGCGTCCAGTTCATCCCCGGCATCGGCAAGATGGGCTCCGGCAAGATCTCTTTTAACGGCTGCTTCCACGACATGCCCTGGGGCCTGCAGACGCACACCTACGCTCCCATGAACATTGACATCCGCATCAAGTACCGCATCGACGGCAATCAGCCCGGCGTCGAGCCGCCCCAGCAGCCCGAGATAGGCATGTCCGGCCTCGGCGTCCCGGCCGACGGACTCTACCTGCGCGAGGACATTGAGATCCGATGCAATGTCACCATGACGAGCTTTGTCAAGACCCAGCTCAAGGCCGCGAGCAAGGAGATGGTGTCGCGCATCATCAAGAAGGCCGAACTTCTCGACGCCGGCGTCCTCCAGGCAATGTTCGAGGACGGCAAGCTCAAGACCATCAACCCCGCCGACCGCACCAACACCGCTCTGCGCTCGCCCACCTTCCCGCACAACCCCAGCGGCAGCCCGCGACCCGAGTCTTACTCCCCCGGAAACCCGCGCTACCAAGTCCCTCGTCCGTCTTCAGTGCAGAGCCAGGGGCGCCCGGGATCGCAAGGGAACTACACTTCTTCCTACGCCAAGCCGATGGAGCTCCCCTCCCACCAGAACAATGCGCCAGGCCACAACTCATTCATCGCCGAGCTGCCTGGCAACTTCTACCACCCGCAGGAAAACAAGAGTCTCCATCCCCCGCCGCAGCCGTCCCCAGGACTGTCTGACCAGCAACAACCACCGCAATACGACCGCAACTCCATATCCCAGCAGAGCCAGCTATCGCCTGACCTCAACAACTGGCGGTGGTCGCAGGGCCAGCGCAGCCCGTCACAGCAGAGCTCCCGCCCGACGAGCATGAGCTCCGACGGCAGCGGCGGCGGGTTCTCTAGCCCGGGGCTCGACCACAAGGGTTTCTCATCGGAGCTGCCCACACATGCCGAGACGCAGGAGGAGCACCGCGGGGACCCGATTAAGACCGTAGATGTCTCACAGCACCGTGTCAAGGGCCCACAGGCGTACCAAGCGTACCATTACAACCCCCAGGATTACGCGCAGGCAGGACGGTAAAGGGGATTTCTACGGAATTCGGGGGCTACAAGGGGGATGTTTCTGTAATTGTATCGTCACGAACTTGGGAAATGGTGTTTGGGATTATGCGAATGGTTTTGGGGGATCGATCTTTTCCATGATACCGCTACGTTTTTTTTTTTTTTTGGGGGGGGGGGGGGGGGATGAGGGCCTTGTAAGAGATATCTCGAGCGACTGGGTTGTGACCGGAAAAAAGGGGCTATGATATCCACACTGCAAACGAATACTAAACCGTATACCCGTCAGAACTCTCGTCTTTATTTTTATTTTGGCAATGTTGCTATCGTGGTCCTGCCCGGATGAGACAAGCTGCCGTGTGTAACAGTGATGACGTCGCCCCAGTCAGCTGGGTGACACCACATATATCACCTGCTTACCGACGGATAGGCAGCCGTTTACCAGTAGTGAATGAGAGAGTGAGATTGTCACTCGGCAGTCATGGATTTTCGTAGTGCATATGTCCAAGAGTATGGGAGACATTTCGCTCCGGACAGCCCCCAACGCGAAAGGCTCGCACTCATCGCGACTCGATTCTCATTGAGCTTCTACTAGTACTACTGACGCGTCAGCTTCCCCCGTGCCGAGCCGGTTCATGAGCGGACTTTTGGTATTTAACCGCTTGATTATAGCTTTACCTTATTTCCCCGTCACCCACTATCTCAGTACTTATTCATCATCCTGCTCCAGCGCATCTCCGTAGTCCGGTGCCGTCAAACCCCCCTTTCCGGACGTCGCACGAAAGGAACATCTGAAAGATCTTTTTTTTTTTTTTTGTATATTCTGCCGTAGAAGTCTCACTGAAGAAGTTGAATAATCAACTGGAACATACTAGTCATAATGCCAATATGCCAATCAGAACATGTCATACCCTGCGCTACGCCATCGCCCCCGGCGACCCGAAATCTTGGGTAGCGGTGCTCCGCCAGTTCACGAGGTGAGTTGAGTAGGTGGATACCTCGACACAACCTTTTTTTTTTTTCTAGGAGCTCGAGATTAAGCCTGGATCGTGGATACGTCTTAAATCCCGCAGCCCGTTGGGTGCGCCAGATTGAATACAGTACAGTACCGGAGTTACCTGGAAACTTCTCCCCGCCAAGGATGAGTATCCCTGGTGCTAAGGGACGACGTTGGGTGTAATACGGCTTCGGGCTTGTTCAGCAAATTACGAGCTAGCTATGTCGTCCGTTAAACTTGCCTGATGTAGTTGAAAGTTGTTTGGATAAAGTAGAGACATCTACAGGCACAAAATTGACATTAGTGACGAGTCGCGTTGTAAGAAACCCAGGTCAGAGGAGCCTTGATAGGTACTGCCACCGCGACTGCTCCTAGTCTTGCACTGACTCTATTCAAAACATCACTGTTAAACGTTACTTGCCCATGAGACGAGACAAACACACAAGGTCAACATGTGGCACGAGTCACAATTCTAATCTGGAGCCAAACCTTCATAGTATTGATAACCACAAATCGACACGCCAGAGCCAAAGAAAATATAAGAGACAACCTACAATACACAATCCGGTGCCAAGCCATTGTCCTTTAGGCCAACGCCCGTCAGATATCAACTCGAGGATTCCCGCTACTCCGACGAGAACCGTCATTCACACGCGGCACGTCTTCCTCAGGCAGTCCCCCGTATCTATAACCCTATACACCGACAGCTAGTTGAATCGCCACTTATGAAACGGGGCTCCTGCGGGGACGACCGCGCCCGCGCTTCTTCACGCCTTCTCCATCAACCTGTGCCTGTTCCTCTACGGACTTCTCCGCCTGGTCATCTCCCACAACCGCATCATCCAAGAGCCTCTTGCGGCCCTGCCTGGCCTTCTTTTGAGCGGGCTCCTTCAGGGCTTCATCAGGCTCCGAGGCCTTGCGGGGGCGACCGCGGGGCTTCTTCACAGGCGCGGCAACAGCCTTGACAAGCTTTTCACGTCCGCCTCTGGAAGCCCAGTAGTCCTCGACCAACGGCCGAGCGACCTGAAGCATGTTCTCCTCGGGTTCCCAAGACCGCTCCCGCGATCCAGTCCAGCAGACATACAGCTCGACCTTTCCGTTGGGCTTTTGCTTGTGCTTCTCAACCCTCAGCGCGTGCCAAAGCTCCTTGTCGGCCATGGCGCCTAAACGGCCGCCCCTGACACTGTCCCAGTAGGCGAACAGAGCTTCCTCCGCGTCCTCATGGATGTTCGACTCAGGCTCCCAGGTAGGCTCATCATGCTTCCAGCGGACCTGCAGTTGGAAAAGTGTCTTGTCCTTGGGATCGCGACGGTGAGTGATGATACCGTCAAATACAAACAAGCCATTCTTGGCATCGTTTTCCATATCCACATCCTTGTCTTCGGCGGCGGCGGCGGCGGCTGAGGTGGCAGCAGCAGGCTTGGTAGTCTCTGCAGCCTCAATAGTATCCGCATTGTCAGAATTGTCTGTCTTGTCGGTATTGTTAGCGGTAGTGGTGACATTGATTTCACTCTCTTCTGCGGCCGGAGGGGCCGGAGCTGCTGGGATTGCTGGAACTGCTGGAACTTCCGGGGCAGCTTGGGTAGCAGGCGGTGCGGCGACTACACAAAGTTAGCAGAGACTACTAGTATTGGATCGTCTTCTTACCTTCAACATCCTCCTTCACAGGGCTCTTGGCTCGTTCTGCTGCGACATCTTCCTCGATCTGGTTGCCAAGCTGGATGGTGGTGTCGTTGATATCGGCGGTGACGTTTGCGGCCTCCGCTTCCTCTTCGGCTTCTTTCTCTACAGGAGCGGGGGTCGCCTCGGCCTCGGGTTCTCTGCTGCGCTTGCGGCTAACGATTGTCTGCTCAAATGTTGACGTGACAGTGGCAGTACCGTTGCGCACTCCAGTGAAATTGTTAACTACGCTCGAGAGTGTCTTCCTGACAGACGACACCATACCAGGTCGGGGGATTACGGGCTCAGGAGTAGCCGCGTTGACTTCCGCGGCGGGAGAAACCTCAATATCGGCAGCGACGGCTGTAGGCGTAGGTATGGACTCAGCAGGTGTAGACTCAGCGGGTGTAGACTCGGCAACAACGGCGGGTGTAACAACGTCGGCGGGGGTGCTGCGGTCTGCGGTATCCATATCGTCGGCAGCGGTATCGCTAAGAGTCTTGCGCGTGGGGGAGGTGAGAGGGATCTGGGAAGACAGGCGTTGGGCAGGAGGCGAGTGGGAGCGCGAGGCGTCGGATCGCGGGCTGCCGGTGGCCGTGAGGCTCTTGATGCGCTTGTTCGGGAGCGGGGATTGCGAACCGGAGGGTTTAGCGGGGGACGACAGGAAGTTGCCAAAGGCGCCGTTCTTTAGGGTAATCTGATGTTTGTTTGCCGACTGAGGGCCGGGTCCAGGCGACTCGTTAAGCCGGGCCATGATCGGGTCGTCTTTAGCGTGGGGGTATTGGTTGCGCCCGCGACGTCTGCGCCGTCGGATGTCGTGGAATCTCTGGCTTGCGCCTGAAGAACTCACTCGATGGGAGAATCCGACACTGCGTTAGAAATAAAATAAAATCAAATCCTCACGAAGCGTGACTTGATGAAAAGCAACAGTACAAAGCCAATTGGACCAAATGAATGCCAACGACGCGGTGGAATGGGAGATGACCTGAGTCGGGGGTCGGAAATGGAATCAAGGCTGAAGACCGAAAGTCAGCTTGAATTCGAGAGGAGGAGCTTTGGCCCTTCCTTTTCTGGCGCTCTTGCTCTTGCGGAGCTGCTGGTAACGTAAGAGGAACGCGACGCGGTACAAGGATAACTTATGTAATACGCTTTGCCTGTTTCATTGGCTCGCTTCAGATGTCAACCATGGCATTCATGCACGTGATCTCCACTTTGTGGGGCTGTACCTGTTGTCTGGGACGGAAGGCGGATGTTCTCGAACAAGCAAGAACACCTGGAGAAGGGGCCGCGGAGTACCGCAGGAAAGCACGGAACGCACCATTCTTTAGCACGGTGAATAGGTAGGTAGAACAAGCTTTTTCTTCTACGTACGGAACCACCCCTATGTGTGTGAAATAAAGCCGAAGAAGACAAACTTTCAATTGAAACGTGCTATTCATTACCCTAGTCAGTTTGTCTCTCTTCATCATCTGTTGCCGCATTGAATTCTGCTTCGAGCGATGTTTGTCGGTGCTTCGATGCATCAGAATTGAAAAGCCCCTGCTGTTTAGGACTGAACTCTCAGCCACCTATTGAAGAGCACTGAGGTAAGAAGCGTGCCTTTTCCCTGCTCAGTTGGTATGTTAGCACCACTCAACTAGTTCTACGCTACATAACTACACAGTACGCACCGTCCAGGTAAATCCATGGTCTCCTTTCCTCTTCTTCAATCAGTGGATCCACACATAGTCGCTCCGATTTGTGATGAAGATGTTGACCATGATGAGGGAGTTGAAGTGTTGGTCAGAAGAGAGAATCCAGAAATGCCAACTTATGAAAGCTCAAGGTGTAGATTGATAATATTGTCATGCACAAAAGCTGTTGGTGTTGCATGCAGCGTCCTGCAACTGTGGTAGCATGTCCTGCTAGCAGAAAAGGGCGAAATCATTCCTCCTAATTACCCAGGCGGTTAAAAAATATTGACTTTGGTTGGGGCAGGGGCTAAAGAAGGGAATGCCTCTCGTTTGTGACGTGGAGAGTTATGGAAATGATACTGGAACAGAGCTCCTTTGTCACATTGACCGCATTTTAAGATGGGCTCCTGTAGACTGCAAACCGACAGGTCATCATCGCCACTCTACCAGAGGCCGCCTGACGAGAAGTATCTGGGCATCCACCGAGCTTACCTCAAGATTGTGCTCTAAGTCTCTGCTAGAACCTAAAGATGCCACGATTGTCTTGGAAGTCTTGTTGACCCGAAACCTCGCAAGAGCATGCCCACACCTAACGTGGTCATCTCGTTGATCTCTTTGATGACTTCTTCTCGAAACCGCATGGATTCTTGGCTTCCTCCAACATCCAACAAAGGCATTTTAACTCCAAACAACCCCAGTAAACGGTAAACAGGATCCTTTTCCCGCGTTGTCGCGCGATCAGTTGCCCACGTCACCCTGACTGCTACGGGTATGTCAGTCAACTTTTGTCAATGCTCCGGCCTGGAAAAGATTCATATAACAAAACCATCTTTCTCATGCTGATGCGACACAAATAAGATCGCAATGATGACTGTGGGTTCCCGTCGTTTTCCAATTTCCGTGAAAGAACTCTAACTTAATCTGGTCCAATAAGCTCCCCCAGTCCATCCCTGAGTAAACCATAGCAATTACTCGCAATAATCTGCATCTGAAACTACACATAGTATACTGTCACATTATCATATCGTTCGAACTTAGATCTGACAGCCTCTCTGATCTTGGTGGAGGTCTACTCATCAACACGACACATGTCAACTCAGATGTACCCATGGCCCTTCGCAAGCACAACATAACACAACTCCCGCATCTTCACCATCCAGCCTTTTGGTCTATTATTTTAAAACTTTAATTTCTTCATAGACTTCTTCTGTTTCTTCCCTTCTGTTGGAAAGAAATAACGTAGCACGGTGAATTAATGGGGCCAAAAAGCTCGTCGATCTCAAAAGCTAAGCAGTAAGTGCGTTTCAATGGACCTAATAAATGGATCTAACAAAATCTGGCGACCGCGTTGGTGCGAGTGACAGAATGGCAATGCTTCATTTAACCAACGCCAACGGTGTTTAGGGAGGGCACTCAGGCGTTCATGACAAAAGATCTGGTCATCCTGTGGGAAGACAGTATGGGAAGCCAGGCTGTTATAACTCACGTGTACCTGAGGCGCCCTTGTGGTTGCCGTCCATTTATCAGCCAACGGTCAGCAAGGCATCGCTGGATCAACCCTAGTCCCACCACAGATTCAGCCTTGTTACACATGATCTTGGATTGTGTTATCGTAGCTGGCAACAAGTTCCGTGAAAACTTCTTAGCGCGTATCAAATGTAAGGCAAATGAGGCAGAATGAAACGGGCCCATGTAGTTGAGAATGCCACCATAATGAGAAGGACTAGAGAAGATTAAAGGCTGGAGTGTCACGACTGGCAACGGGTGGTTGTGATGTAATAAAGTGGCGTATCAGTGCCAGATTCTCAGATGATCATGACTTTTCATTCACGATTAGACGAATAGAGAGTGCATCAGTTGGGAGACTCCGCAAGCCCATCCTCATCAAACAAGTTTGATAGGCGAAGAAGAGTAGACCATGAGCAGCCATAGCTATTGTTGTGTCGGACATATAATTCATCTCTGGACATACGCATTTTCAATGATTAATGACTCAATTCGAATGCAAATGTCTGTCTATTTGGAAGACTAGTTGCCAGACACTCAATTGCAAAGTATTTCGCTTGCAAAACTTCCCCTCCTTTATGCCATTCTGACAACTATCGTATTCCCGAGAAAGAGTATTGAGGAGACAAAGATTTGTTTCCAGATGCCAGATGTAAGAATAAAGCGTAGCAAAGATAAAAAGCGTCGAGTAACCAGTTCATCGAGGTTCCCACCTGATAGAACTCTCAACCGTGTCCATGAGAACATCGAAGTTTGCATTTAAAATCCAGTCTTGGAAAATATCGTTCCAAACATGCTCGTCGACAGCAAACTCTTCGATATAGGTAGATGCTTTCATTGGGAACGACGTTGATGCGGCGTTAACGCGGGTGTCGTAATCTGTGATACACAGGCATTTGATGCTCTGAGGAAGCGTTGACAGAGGCCCAAATGATGAAGGATCGGCCATTTCATGGCCATCGGTGTATACGATGCTATCAAGATCCACCCAAAGGTACTCAAGATTGACAAATGCTGCGAAGCTGTCGGGGCGTAGCATGCCATCAAGGTAGTGCCATGAACAATTGATGCAGAGCGTGCGCAAGCTATGAGCGTGCTTCGACTGGAGGCCGCGGAGAAGATGCAACGGGTGCAGCATGTCTTCAAAATCATAGCCGTCATCAAATAGCCAACCGTCGTCAGGAATATATTTGAATAGAATCAGTGGTGCGCAGCTTTCTATAATGTGTAGGACGCTGGAAGGATCATTCGGCCCACATTCCAACTCAACGAGGGTCAGGTGAGTGACATTTTTGAACATTGTGGGGTGCGGATGGATGAAGATGTTGTGAAACGGGATTGTAAGGGTGCCGCAAAGAAACATATACGACGGATGAACTTTAATCATGGAAAGAAATTCGTGCTCTATGTTATCGGAGACCAAAAAGTGTGTTGCTGGTCTCAAGGCAAGATACTGTGTACTGGAATTGACGACTGGAAAGTCTCCTGCATATTCGTCTTCCTCTTGAAAAGGCGTGGAATCGGGTTGGCTTGGAAGACCTAATCCTAGTTGTTCAAGGTTCTTCAGCTTTCCAAGCACAAGACTGGCGATGGTCAAAATGCGTCTGTCACAAATATCCTTGGCATGATCGAGCCAGTCGTCCTCAGACCATGGGATGGTCGCATTCTCTGCCTGTTGACGAATGAAGGCGGCGTCGTATTTGTCAATGTGATTGGGTACGCCTGCAACCCGCTCAAGACGAATGTAGATCTTGGTAACTCTTTCAGCAATCTCGGGCCTAACAGCAAGAAGCTGCAGGAAACGGATGGATTTGTGGAAAAAGTCTTTGCCGTGCAAGCTGATGGTATGATGCAGACATTTTTCGAGACATTGATACTTGCGGCAGGTGAGAGAGAGACTAAGAACATCATCCCAGCCTTGCTGAAGTAGCTGGCCTACTTCTTCATCGTTGGATGTTTCGGCAAAGGCCTCGATCACCGTGATGCCTCGAAGACGTAAGAAGTCGCAAATATCCATAACCATCTCCATTGGGAGATCCGTGAAGCGGGCCATGGTGGATTGATGTTGACCTGTTTAGACGTTGATCGAAAGTTGTCGACGACTGAGGGACGTATGGGAAATAATGGAATTGGCAGAATTTTTGAAGGTGAATGGTTGCCTGAAATTTCTTTTGATCTACCCCTTAATAACACAAAGACGCCTTGGGGAGTATGATGCCCGGAGAAGGTGCGATGTGGCTCCTGGGTGGTAAGGAAAGAACTTGGGTGGTGTTGCAAGGCACGTGTTTGAAAGCTGCCTTCCATTTCTAAAAAGCAGCTTAATCAGAAAAACATTCACATTGGTAAAATTTTATTTTTCTTGCGGAATTCGAGACGCCTTTTCCTTCTCAACCAACCTAGTTGTTTTTGAAACCTGACCTGCTCCTTCCCTCTTGGATCTTAAAGTAAGATCATTTCGGAACCTCATGTATAAGGTATTATCTGGAGCACGACCTAGTTCGCCCACCTTCTTTCTAGAATCAACCTTGCATTTAGCTCACTAATAGACCATGAATACTCTTAAGACTTTGGTATTCTTTGATAATGCTACTAACAGGCCTTCTGAGTTTAGGCCTCTCCAGTTACTTGCATTGGTAGGCTGATGACGTAGAGAGAGACAGTTGCTTCTCGAAGGAGAAAGTGTGATTAGAAGATATCTTGTTATGGGGCCTCATTGTAAACATACCTTTCATCTCTCTGCCGGTAAATGATGGCAGTTATTGCAAGCCAAGAGATGTGCTTCTCGTCTATCATGGTGAGGTTCACATTCACCATACACCTACCTACTCTACCTACTCCGTACCGCTATCTAAAGCCCGACAGGCCAATCAAATCGTGTAAACCAGTAGAAAACAGACACACCGCATGCTGTCTCACTCACGGCAGGACACATCCAGTCCAATGGTGCCACCTTCCATCTATTTTAACACGCGGTATCCGCATCCTCTGGCTCCCGGAGTGGACCCCCCCTGTGGAACCGACCTGAACCGGGGAGGAACGAGGTGCCCAGCCGTTGAAACTTGGGCGGTTGGGAAGGCGCTACGGGACGGGGCCCGCGGGGGATGGCAGTTGGTGGGATGGGCAGATTTAGTGGGGACCCAGCCACTGAAATTCCCAACCCGACATGCCACCAAATGCACGTAATCCTTTGTCTTTTTTGTCGACCAAATGTGGGTAGGAAATTGTTAGTGCTTTCCCAGCCACTTGGATACTACAGTTCATATAGATAGAAAAAAAATAATAGTCGCCGGGCGACCTGAAAGTTTTCCCCAGAAGGAGGAGTGCGTTTGTCTGTTCTTTTTTGGCTGCTAGTTCCCGTCCTTCCCGAGTCCGATCCCCCTTTTCTTTATCCTAGATCATTTATTCTGATCTTTCGGGGCCTCCAAGAGTCCACCAGCCAGTCTCTTCATTGGGGATTGATTACAATCCATTGTCAACCGGACAAAGAGAAACCCGGCCGGACATTATTGTCTCAGTTTCAACCCCCGAAAATCATCAAACGGCAGCCTTCATCACAGTCATGGCCATGGGCATCCAGCAACAGAACCACCAGGGAGAACCGCCCATGTTCCCTGGTGACTTTGTCGAGTATAACGGCCAGTACGATACAAACGACCGACAGCCGCGCGAGGGCGGTCGAAACGGCCGTTATCGACGAGTCCGTTCCCCTTCGCTTGACGACGACTCCCGCTTCACTGCCGGCGCACCTAGTGAGCCGACCTCAGAAGGTGTCCTGCACGATGCCGTACTTGCGCAGGCGCCCCATCAACAGGTAAGTAAACAGGAGTGAAAAGAAATTTCCGTCGAAGGAAAAAAAATGAAATGAAAAAAAAAAGCACCTACCACACCCACCACCACTACCACCAACCCCTGAATTTTCCCCTCCCAGCCTCTCAACACAAACTCACCCTCCTTTACACTCACTGAAGGATGGACGTATGAGCACTCACTCAACCTCCCAACCTTCACCCCTTTTGTGCGCCCCTCTCACCCACAGACCGACCGGACCATCTGTTCTCACTCAACTCACTCATCAGACGAACACCTTTTTGCTGACACTCATTTCTTCCCCCTAATGCAGCAAAAAGTTGTGCCAACAGCTCAAAGCGGTCGTGGGCAGCCTCGCGCAGCAGGACCAAGAAGCGGACCGCCCTCCATGGCCAACGCATCTCAGAACCGCAGGTCTTACCCCCAGCCACCTCCAGTCAATTCCCAACTGCCGCCGTACGCCTCAGGCCCCGAGGATGACTGGTCCCCTGTGTCCCGCGGCCCGGCCGCCGCTGCCGCCGCGGTAGCAGCAGCGACAGGCGGAGGCTACTCTCGCAGACGCACAGAACGCCACGCCCGCCGCCAGTCATCCACCTCTGGCGGTCCGCCCCCGGGTGCTTCGGATCCTCAGTTAGGCGGCGGCGCATCCCCGCGCACTGCCGGACCTCCCGGCGAGACCCTGAACCAGAACTCGCCGCGCGTCCCCTCGCAGCAGCACCAGCAGGTCCCCAACCCGGCCGGTCTCCGTCCTCCGTCCCCTCCCATGGGCAACCTCGGCAGCCTAGGCGACGACATTAGCCGCCTCCAGAGCCCCAGCATCTCCAAGAGTGTCCTCGAGCCCCTTCAGCGCAAGATGCTTCAGTACCACAACCTGATGGAAGAAGCGCAGGGCCAGATGACACAGCTCGACGACGAACTGCGCGCCCTCCAGGAGCGCCGTAGACAGGCCGAGCAGCGCTTCATCGACGCCAAGGGCAAGCACGACGAGTATGAGCGCCAGCACCTGGACGTCGAGCGTGCTCTGCGCGGCGACTATGGCCCCACTCACCACCAGCAGCTGCCTCCCCTGCAGCCGCCGCCCCCTCAGCAACAGCAGCAGCAGATGTACAGCAACAGCCCGCCGAGGACGGTGGGGCGGCCGGCTTCGAGCATCATGAGTTACGACGACAGGCCGATGAGCGGGAGGAGCTCGATCCAGGGCAAGAAGAGCAAGTTTCGGATTAGCTTGTTTGGGAGGTAGATGTTGCTGATGTTGCACTTTTGGAGGTTTCTTCATAGGTTGCCGAGGATGGCCTTGGGGACTGTCGATTCTTGTCTTAATATTTCTTGACTCTGGCTGGAATGAAGGGAACTGGATTCATGTGGGATGAGGCAGGTGGAGTACATATAATGACTGGTTAATGCGTATCATGGAAGAGTAGAAAGTTGTCGTCAATAGACTGCATTGTCTTGAGGTAATTCTTAAAGTTGCTGTCGTCTTGGGGGCTTGGTTTTATCGATCATGAGTCCCCTGGCCATAATGCGTGTGTTGCTCCTCAATTTTGAGTCTCTTTCCGAAGCTGCTCCGGTTTATCCAGCCAATCCGGCCCCACCCGGAGCTCGTGGCGGAGCGGGGCGGAGCAACTCCCTAGCAGAGAAAAGAGATTACTTCAGCTATCGACTCGGAAGCAACATCAACAAAACAGGGCAGATATAGCATGACGCTGAATTCGAAAATGACACCCACCATGTAAGCTGATTAGTCTGGCTCATACCCGCCAAGTCACACATCAAATCTCCATCGTACAACCTATGAGGCTCTGCCGCACCATCACATCACGACCCACCGATACCCCGAACCGGCAGATCAATGTCATCTCCCCTCCATGCGATACCCCTGTCCGCATTCAAGCATCAGAAAAGTCGAGCAACAGTCTATCCAATCTGGACGAGTTCGGGCGGTCCTGAAACGCAATCTGAATCACGGGCAGACCACCCCGCGACCTCACTCTCATAAAATACCCCAGTTCGGCACGTTACATCGAAACATCCGATCAAATCTTGACTATTGAATTCCCCCCTCGCCCCTGACTAAACCATGCATAGCAGGATTCAACCAGACGATATATGGTCCTAGTCCGCGTGCCCTTGGGACGACGCATCGAATTAGCCGTGTCCCCCTTTCGTCTTCATCGCATCTCAAGCGGTCCGCCAACCCAGGGCGGTCCCCACAATGGCCAAGATCACGACAGCCTCTCTCCTCGCGTCCCTATGCGGGCTTCTCGTGTCCGGGCAGGGCCTGCACGAGTTGGCAGTCAAGAACGGCAAGCTCTTCTTCGGCACCGCGACGGACACGAACCTGTTCGGCGATGCCGCGTACATGGCCGTGCTCAACCGCACCGGCGAGTTCGGGCTGGTGGTACCCGAAAACAGCCAGAAATGGGACGCGACGGAGAAGACGCAGGGCCAGTTCCAGTTCAAGAACCCTGACGCTGTGGTCGCTGTCGCGCAGGCGAATAAACAGATGATGAGGTGTCACGCCCTGACGTGGCATTCTCAACTTCCTGCTTTTGGTACTACTCCTTTTCACTGAGACTCACAGAAAAAAACGTACCACATAAAAGCTTGTCACTGACATATAAGTAGTTTCCCAAGGCACGTGGACCCGCGAAACACTCACCCCCGTCATCGAAGCGCACGTGTCCAACGTCGTAGGCCACTACAAAGGACAATGCTACTCGTGGGACGTCGTAAACGAGGCGCTCGCCGACAACGGCACGCTCCGCGACAGCGTCTTCTCGCGCACGCTGGGCGAAGACTTCATCCCCATCTCCTTTAAAGCCGCCGCGGCCGCCGACCCCGGCGCGAAGCTGTACTACAACGACTTCAGCCTCGAATTCAACTCCAAAAAGACGGACGGCGCCGTCAAGATCGTGTCGGACCTCAAAGCGGCAGGGGTGAAAATCGACGGCGTCGGGTTCCAGGGCCACTTCGAGGTCGGCAAGACGCCGTCGCAGGACACGCTGTCCAAGGTGATGTCGCGGTTCATAGACATGGGTCTCGAGGTGGCGCTCACGGAGCTGGATATCCGTCACAACAAGTTACCTGCCGACGACGCCGCGGTGCAACAGCAAGCAAAAGACTACGCGAGCGTCGTCAAGACGTGCGTCGACACGAAGCAGTGCGTCGGAGTAGTCGTGTGGGAGTTTACGGACAAGTACAGCTGGATCCCCTCAACATTCCAAGGGCAGGGCGACGCGTGCTTGTTTGACAAGGACATGCAGCCCAAACCGGCGTACGCGAGTGTGATGGCGGCTCTGGGTGCCGCCGGGGCGAATGCGACGGTGAAGACCACTACAGGTGGTGGTGGTGGTGGTGGTGGTGGTTCCTCCGAATCGGCTTCGGGAGCTGGCGCCGGTGTCGGGACCGAAGGCGGAGGAGGATCCTCGGATGGTGGGGCGGCTAAAGGAGCTATGGCCGCTGTGGAGTCGGCACCTGCCTCTTCTGGCGCAGTGCGGTCCAGATCCCTGGGGATGGTGGTCTCAGCGGTGAGGGCGCTGAAAGGCCTCGGTAAACGGTAACCGTGGAGTTGTTTTTTTACAGTGGTGGTAGCAATGCACATTGACACTCGGACACTTGGGGACAGAGTACGGTTCTGCATAATCAATTACCTTTCGATTTCAATTGTGTGCAATTGGATCAATTCCCCCCTTCCGACCCAACCAAGCGCGATTGACGTGCTCGAGCTGTGACATTGCACGTATCATTGAGACGGCGCGTGTGGTGTAAGTGAGGGGATGGTTGATGTCATGTCCCTGTAACCTCCACAAACACGCAATAAAACAGCGGGGCTGGGGGGGTGGATGATGCGATTGTGAACAAGGAGGGGGAAATCCTAATCAGATAAAAAAGAAAAGGGAAAAAAAAAGAAGATTGTAAAAGGGTCGGTTTTCCAGTTGAAGCTTCCCATTCTCCAACATCACCAAAACACCATCACCCAGCCGCCAATTCCCATACCTCAACCTCAACCTCAAAATGGTGTTCCTCAAGGCGCTAACAGCCACCGCCCTCGCTGCGGGTCTGGCCCAAGCTTCCCTCCCTGGTCTCGACCGGATTCCTCCCCTCGGTCTGGGAACCTGGTTGAGCGACAAGTCCAAGGTCGCCCACGCCGTGGAGTTTGCGCTGGGCGAAGCGGGATACGACCACATTGACGCCGCCCTCATCTACAGTTTGTGTTTCCTCTTTCCCGTGACTCAACTCAATCGAGAGGCCCCGCGAAACTGACCCCTCAAAAACAGGAAACGAGGATCAAACCGGCAAGGGCATCGCCGCCTCTGGCGTCGCGCGCGAGAACGTCTGGGTGACGTCGAAGCTGTGGAACTCTGACCACCGCGCCGAGCAGGCCGAGGCCGCCATCCACAAGTCCCTCAAGGACCTCGGCGTCGAGTACCTCGACCTGTACCTGATCCACTGGCCCGTCGCCTTCCTCCCGGGCGAGGGCACCAAGCTCGACAAGGAGACCACCATCGTCGACACGTGGAAGACGCTCGAGGGCTTCGTCAAGGCGAACCTGACGCGCCACATCGGCCTCTCCAACTTCGCCAGGGCGGACGTCGAGAAGATTCTCGAAATCGCCGAGATCAAGCCCTACGCCCACGAGTTCGAGACCCACCCTTACCTCCAGCAGCAGGACTTCGTCGACTGGCACAGGGAGAAGGGCATCGAGGTCATCGCCTACTCGCCCCTCGCCAACACGAACCCCACCTACCGCGACGACGTCCCCGCCATCACCGACGACGAGTTCTGGAAGGGCATCGCCGAGAGGAAGGGCGTCAGCGTCTTCCAGGCCGTCCTGGCCTGGGGCGTCCAGCGCGGCACCAGCGTCATCCCCAAGAGCACCAAGGACTCACACATCGTGTCGAACCGCAAGGCCCTCGAGATCAAGTTCACCGACGAGGAGCTCAAGGAGATTGCCAAGCACGACAAGAAGCACCGCCTGAGCAACCCCAGCAAGAACTGGGGCGTAAAGCTGTTTGCTGACCTTGACGACCCCGTCAAGCACGAGGAGGAGAAGAGCGAGGAGTTGTAATGTACTTGTAATTCGGACGTATGTCTATTCTAGCAGGACGTGATTTAAAATCATTACCTGTCAACTATCTAATCTGCCAACTGTGTGAATTCTTTTTCTTTTTTTGGAAGACTGAAACCAAATCCAGCATCTGAGCGCGCGAGAATCTAAAGTGTCTCACTTCGGGCAATGTATCTCTGTCTAGCCCAGTAGAAACCGACACCAACCAACCAAAGCACAACCAAAATGACAGTTTGGGCAGGGGCAAAAATTGCACCTCTCACGACGACGAAACCGCTCACGAGAGCGAACACGACGGGAATCAAGACAAACGGCTTGTAAGGTCTACGCAGCTCCGGCTCCCGGACGCGGAGAATGACCGCGCCGAGGACCGTCAGGAAGAAGAAGGTAAACTCTCCCAACCCATTGAAAGTCAAAAGGGCTCGGAAGTTGCCAAAGAGGATGTACACCGCCGACAGCATCGTCGACAGCAGGAGAGCGTTGATGGGTGCATCAGACTTCTCCTTGGCCAGACCGGAGGACTCGTCGGAGGAATCGGCGGGGGAGCCGTCGTCCGCCTTGACGCCGACGCGACCGACGAAGCCGAGGAACTTGGGGAGCCAGTTAGAGTTGGCTGCGGCGACGGTCATTCGGCCCGCCACGAAGGAGTTGCCCAGAAGGGAACCTGCGACAACGAGGCAGATGAGGATGGCTGCGACAATACCGAAGCCGGGGCCGAGGAGGCGGTTAATAGCAGTCTGAAAAAGTTAGCGAAGCCATCAACGTACCGGTAGGAATACTCACCACAGCTACGCTGTCGGTCGTGGAAACAACAGACCACGGGAGAAGGATGTAGTAAGCAGCATTGGCGGCAATAAAGCAAAGAATAATCGTAGGGATAGCCGAGTTGATCGCCAGAGGGAGCTGTCGGGCCGGTTCCTTCAGCTCTGCCGTGACGTAAATCGCCTGCAAAAATGTCAGATGAGCTCGTCTCCATAAGCCGACACCAATAATCTCACCTTGTCCCATCCCGAGTACGCCCACAGCGCGCCGTACAGCGCCGCCGAGTAGTACCCGAGCATATCCCACGCGCCGACGTTGCTCCAGTCAATCTCCCCGCCGCCCGGCAGGATCGTCTTGCGGTTCTCGAACCAGGGCCTGTTGAACCAGTCACGACCGCCCACGTCGCGGTCGTGGTCCGACACCTGAAGAATCACAACAACAATGCCCGCGAGCACTACAGCAGCGATGCTGACGAACTTAGTGACGACAAACAGGTTGTTGAGACGGGTGCTGGCCTTGGTGCTGATGGAGTTGGCGCCGTTCATGATGATGAGGATGAGAATAGAAAACAGCTTGTGCGACACGGCGCCGGCTTGGTCAGTCACCCCGCCCGCCGAGTAGATGCTCTCGACAAAGACAATGGACAAGATAGCGAGGGTCGCCGGCATCACAGCCACGATCCAAGTCCAGGCGGCAAGAAAGCCGAACACGTCGCCGTAAATGTATCGGAGAAAAGGCTGAACACCACCTGCCGCTGGTTAGCCTCGTCCATCTGCAGAAATCAACACTGCAAGCATCGACTCACCTTCACCTGGGATTGCCGTGCCCAGCTCAGCCATCGCAGTCGCACCCGTCCATGCCAGAACACCACCAACCAGCCACACAACCAACGCGGCACCGGGCGACGGCACATTGGTGTCGATTGAACCCGGAGATGTGAAGATGCCGCTGCCAATGACAATACTGATGACAATAGCAAAGGCCTCAATGGCACCGAGGTTGCGCGTGAAAGTCCCCGCCGCCCCGCGCTCCTCTGCGGCGACGTCGGGAGGGGCAGCGGCGCGGACCGGGCCGTCGGTCGCGCCATACTCTTCGCGAGCATCGGCCAAAAGAGGCCGCTGGGCTTCTTCGGATTGCGTATTCGGTGGCATTTTTTCCGTGTTCCTGGTTTGTTTGGGTTTGGCTTTGCCAATTAAACGAGAGATTCCTGTGTTGTTGAAGGGAAGCTTTGAGTCACGGAACAGGGATGGCGCCACTCGGGGCGGCTCAGTGGGGTCCGAGCTCTGACCAGTGACGTACTCCAGAGGCCGGGATCCACTTTGTTCAGTGCTTGGTCTCTGTAAGATGCTCACCTTGTCTCATGTTGGAGGCCATAGTTAGTGACGGGTTCATTCGGCTCAGCAGTTTTATGATATCGTGTAATTGCTGTTGTTTGTAATGTTTCTTGGTGTAAGCTTATGCGGAAAACTTTCATCAACAGTTACTCCTTGCATGAGACTGATATTTCTTTCACCAGGATCTTGATGAAATGAGGTGAAACGGCATGCGTTGAGTTGCACAACCTGCCGCCACTCAAAGCCAGGATCACCAACAAAGAACCCGCAAACCATACAGTAGAAAGGGGATTATTACTTCAAAGTAATTAACCATGCAAGTAGCCCGTTCTGCTATAAACACCTCTGCAATGCGTCAATCTGTCCACAGCCAGTCTGACCTGTCAGTGAGGAAACCACCACCACCCTCCTCCACTTCATTACTGAGGATTCTCAACTTGAAGACACCAATAGCTCAAATCTGTTCCAAATACAATCACCAATACCACGCCTTCAACACCATACGCTTAGATGGGTCACAGTTCACCACCAAAACAAACAACCGAAACTGTCGCCTCCACGGGCTTCTGTCTCACCTGCAGATACCAGCTCACCAAACGCCGGTGTTCAAAGTGCCTGGGAGTCTTTCTCTGCAGTCGGGAGTGCGAAAATGATACACCAAAAGCACATGCCCAACACTGTTACGAAATTGTGGCCTGGGAGGAGAAAATCAGGCGAGAGATGACGAGTCGGCAAAGAGACGATGGAGATGAGATCAAGAAGGTGATAACCGATGTATAGATTGGAAATAGTAATTGCAAGGCTAAAACTTTGGATGCAGGAGTAAAGATAGAAATTTCTCGAGGAATGAAAAGCTGTGAATGGAACGCATGAGAAGTACTTGAAGCTGTGGAGTATTAGACGAGCAGTAAAGTAGTATTTGCGTGGGGATTGAAAAGCCTCGAATAGTTGAATAAAATATAGTTGAATACTTGGTTTCGCCACGTCTCATCGCCAACCAGGTCTTCATCCTTTACATGGAATTAACCAAACAAGGTGTGAAATACTCGTCATGTCCATTAAATCTCAAACCCAAATTTCCAGTTTTCCAACCCAATAAGCTATTTTACCACAACGTCTCATCGCCTTTGTCTATTCGTACTGCAGGGTTGCGTGATGACCACGCAAATCCCTTGGTGCGTTGGCCAGTGAGATGAAGGTAAGCATCTACTAGCCTTGAACGATTCAAGCCTTGGGCCCTGTTAACCGCATACGGTCGCCTAAATCTTTTCAGTCACTCAGCCTGGACTTATAAAATGCAGAGGAAATACACGATAGTTCGGTTGATGTGCACAGAAGTGGTATCCGACTAAGGAATTAGCAAGGGAAAGCCGAAAATGGAACACCACAGCCTAAAGTTGAGCGACAAGCATTCCTAGTATTTTGCATTATCCGAATTATTATTTCGTGTGCGTAAAATCATCGTGCTGCCATATCTCATAGCTTCTGCAAAGTCCGCCCTCAAGCTGGCTACGTGGGTATCTATGCAAGCGGGCCCTTCCTTGTCCGCGCTCATATCTTTTGCATCACATTATGCAAGATCCTTCGTCTCCAATATCTTGCTCAACTCCTTCAACTTGACCGGCTTCGTGAGGAATAGGTCAATGCCGCTCGCGAAAGCCTCTTCCTGGGCACCGGCCGACGCCAGGCCTGTCAATGCAAAGATCTGGCAGCGCGGAAGGTTCTTCTTGGTCTCAAAAACACGAACTTCACGTGTTGCCTCAAAACCGTCCATCACCGGCATCGATATGTCCATGAAAATGCACTTGTATCTGCCCGCGCTCTCCACAAATGCATCCAGTGCTTGTTTCCCGTCCATGGCCGTGGTGTACTTGTGACCCAGCTTCTTCATGTAGGATGATAGAATCTTCAAGTTGATTTGGTTGTCGTCGACCAGTAGAAAAAGGTCTGAGCTTCCATCAACATCTACAGGGGATGTGTCAGATTCAGGGTGGGCAGGCGTAGGTGTCGACGACCGATAAGGTCTTTCCGCCAGTGACATTATGCTCGGACGCGCCTTTTCCTGATGCTGAATTTGGCGCAAAGGCCCTTCTGGTGGTATATCTGCCGCATCGAAATACTCCGTCCTGTCGGCAACCGCGTCTGTGCTCACTGCGGACGTGGAAGTCGGTTGTTGCAACCACGACATGTCCCCGTAATCTGCATTTGAATGTCCGGCGCTCACTAAAGACATGGCAGTCGGGGTCTGGATGACAGAAGCTTGCAACTTCGTCCAGCGCCTAAAGCTGAGTAGCAGGATTCGAGCAAGTTTCCTCGGGCCAATTCTAAAATTTCCCCTTCTGTTAGTTCATCACTTTTGGCAGGGACTGCAAAACTCACGGCTGGCTAATAAACTCAAAGACCACGCGCTTCCCGGTGAATCTTGGAGAAGTCGCCAACTGTCGCGCAATGAGGGCATTTCGGCAGACAATTACAACAGGTGTCGCGACGATTCCATGCCGTCGCTCGAAGAGAAGCCTGTCAAGATGCCGCTCCGTCGACAGGATACAGTCGGGCATCACTTTCTTTCCTTGGGCGGACTCGTCAATGACTTGCATCTGGAGCCACTGTCGGCAAACATTGGCGATCAGCTCGCCCTCGCTTAATACGTGTGAAGAAAGATCTTCGTCTAATGGAACGTTGTATTCGCTGGGAAAGCCAAGTAACCGTGCTCGAAGCCCTTTTAACTCACTGACTTGCGCCCTGAACTCGTCAAAATTGACGGCCTTTGGGATGCTTGTCTTGGGCGATGGTGGTCCAGCCTCTTGTAGGGGGAGCTTAATGGTCACTCTCGTACCTCTACCAGCCTTGCTCTCGACTCGGATTGACCCTCCAAGTCGACGAACGACCTCTTTGACGAGGCTCAACCCAAGCCCGGTGCCGGCAGAGAGGGTGTCTTCCTGGTAAAACGGGGAAAACAAGTGATTGGACATGTAGTCTTCGCTTATGCCCTTACCAGAATCAGTGACAACGATGTGGATTTCTCGTGAATTAGGATTGGGTCCATCCAGCTGAAGAACGTTGACATTGATGAAACCTTTGCTGGTATACTTGAGGCTGTTTCCCAATATGTTCATCAATATGCGACGCAAAGCGCCGGGCTGCGAGTAGAACCTCCAGTTCATTGCGGGATTGATGTCAAAAGTAACACTGACCTCCCCCAACAAGAGTTGCGCGTCTCCAGTCCTATTGTTCTCAGAAGCCATGTTTTCGAGGGCCTGCATGCCGTCGAGCCTTCGAAGGGCATCGGTATCTGCGTGCTCAGACGGGCGACTGCCAGCAAGCTGACCAACAGCGAATCGTTGGAAACTAAAACCAGCACAAACGCTTTCAATCACCTCCTCAGACAGTACATCTATTGCGCAGTTGCGTTCGAGTGCTATCATTCCAGCCTCAATGGTTAATTTCTTGTCGTTGCTGCGAAGCCCGCGATCGGCGAAATCGGGGGCTTTGTTGGGTTGTTTCGACGTCGGTCTCAGAAAGTTGCCCAGCTTTGAGTAATCCAGCAAGTGATCCATGGTATCGAGCAAGGTGTGGCCACAAGTTTCCACGGAGTGTAGCACGTCTCCCTGGAAGGCATCAAGTGTCGTCTCATGAAGCAACTCGCTACCTAGGAGGATCCCATGCAGCGGCGAGCGAAGCTCGTGAGAAAGGGAGCTAAGCAGATCGGACTTTGCTTTGTCGACCATTTTGGAGTTGGATCGGGAAACTTCGGCCATTATTACGGAACCAAAAGCCTTCAGATAGCTCAATTCTCCCTCGATGGTTAGTACACGAGTGGGAGTCTTGGTATAGACAAACCCGCCCGCAAACCAGCGCTGTTTCTGGCCGTCCCATATCGGAACCAATGCGACACTTCTAGCCCCTGAAAATAGCGACATGATCATTTTCCCTTCATTTCGTCTCGAGAGCAGCCGTCGGTTTCGTTTGCGGGCTCGTTCGGATACTGGGGGCTGAAATATTTGATCTTCGACTAGTGGTGACAACGCTTTGGGATCTTCGTCAGAGAAATCGCTAGTTTGTAGTGAGCCATTTTCGTCAAAAGAGAAGATTCGCCCCTCCGGATATCTCTTCAAAAGCTTGTGCAAGAACTTTTCCGAGACGTCAGAGTAATCGCCAGGGGCCGGACTCGTGTCAATACTTGACGAAATGGAATTGGAGTGTGCCAGAATACGACAGGGGACATCGGGTTCTGCTGAGTTGTCGCTGTTTATAGCCGGCGCATTACTTGCTTTTTCATCGCCACTCGAGGCAGATGAACTAGTGCTGCCCGACGGGACGGCCTTCGTAGCCAGACCAGCGAAGGACCCGATGCTTGCATCTAGAAACACGGCACCTTCTACCTCGATTGCCTCCCGGATTATGTTAGAGGCTTTTGAAAAGATGTGCCGAACTTCGGACTGGTAAAGGTCTGCGCCAGGTGAGGCGCTCGTCACAGAACGTTCTGACCCGGAACCATCCAAAGATCGACGCCGGCTTCGGTGCGGCATGGACGGCAGTGGCTTCGGGCTGGGGATAGGCGAAGAAGTGTGTGATGTGCTTGCGGAAGTGCTCTCTTGGGTAGCTACCCTGGCGTCCTCGTTGTCTTGTATTTGCTGTTGGTTTTCATTCAAGGCACCCTCAAGGGAAGGGTCTTCGTCTTGGGACCCAGTTCGGGACCAGGATGCCCCAGAAATTGTTGCTTTTCCTTCGACAAAACTCCCCATGCCACGGACCATACGAACTGCGCGGCGATGTCCTTCGCCGCTTCGTTTGGCATCGAGATGCTGAATAATGGTTTTGCTAAGACCCCGCATTACTTGCATCGACACAGGGTCCAGCTCCTGGCGAGGTTCGTCGGCCCAGATGGAGAACACACCAATGTTGACCCCCTTGTTGGTTTGAATGGGCACACCTGCGTAAAAGCGAGGCCTAGGCCACTCTTTGTGCTGAGACTTTTCTGAGGACCTGGGGTCTGTCGTCAAATCGGTTATAACGGATACAGGCAGAGGGGTTTTCGACGAGATATTCTTATGTGTACGGGGCTTGAGGAGCACCTGTTCGCACAATCCATGATCTCGCGGTAGCGCCGTGCCGCAAAGCCACAGTCTTTCGTCGTCACCAGAGCCTTCTCCGGTGGTTGCATTTGGAACCAGCGGCAAGGTTGGGGTGGCTTCGGCGATGACATACTGAAACTTGCTATCGAATAATGATATCAAGGCGCGTGAAGCTCCCAAGCGCAAGGTACCAAGCTGGGCAAAGGCGGTCAGGGCAGGGTCGAAGCATGATCGCAGCTGCGACGAGGGGATGAGGTTGTTGGTGTCGTTCTGAACGCAAGCAGGAATAAAACAGGTGTCGTATCTGCGACTGCGTTAGCATCGCAATATCGTAGTAGAGAATCGATAGGCGGACCTAAAGGTTTCGCGCTCCCGGGCGGCCTCGATGAGGACTTCCTTGGGCTGACCACCAACCATGGTTCGTTGAGAGAAGCTCTCTCTCTCGGCCGAGCTTGCACTCAAACGTCGAGATATGCAATTAGTCCGCAGACCTAGTGCAGCTGCGACAGGAGATAATGGACGGTTCTCTAAGGGAAGACAGAAAATCGCATACTGGCACAGGGTGTTGTCATGAGAAGAGAAGTTGACTGCAGTGGCAAAAGCCAGAAGAGGGACACTTTGACGGGGGCCAAGACTGGGCGTGGAGAGTGGATGACAGGGCAAAAATCGGAGAATTGGATGGCAAAGTGAAAAATAGCATGGGAAATCTGGGCGTCGGAATCAAGGAGGACTCTAAGTCCTGGTACACCTGCTGAACGGCACGCTAGCCCTGCCCCGGTTGCCCAGTCCTGTAGATTCACAGGTCTAGACCAGTTAGTTGTTCATGGTGCCAGCTGGCACCCTGTCAATTCCCGACTAGACTTGGAAATAAAAACTCAATGGGCGGGCGATAATAGCGATGCTATGGTGGGAGAAAGAGGAGGGGGTTCTAAAGGAGGCGAGGCCGCGGGGTCGAGAAAGGCTGTTTTGCGCTCCGTCTCATTAGTGGTCGTTGCGGCGGATCGAATGAGGCAGGGGAGGAAGAGACTCTACTAGAGTATGTAAAGTATGGCCACGTGGTTTTTTTTGTTTTTTTTTTCATTCTTCTTTATCGCCAACCTTTTTGACCCTCATCTTAATGGTAACTATTCGTAAGTAAATAAATATGAGATGAAGATGGCATTGTTATCTTTGGGGAGGGAGGGGGTGGGCTAGATGCTAAGAGAAACTGAAGGGGTACGAACCTGGATACTATGTGCTACTATGTATTTCAAGGTATTTCAAGGTGACTGCTGAACCGGCAGGTGGCAGGTAGGCTGAGGTACGTACCGTCTTGATCAGGCGATCACTGTGTGTGAAGTCACAGTTCGCAACTTCTAGAGTCCTTAGGATCGTGAGACTGGAAGTCGGAACGGAGCTGGCTGTTGTTGCCTTTTGCTCTGTGGCTCACGAGCCTTCCTCTCTCTGTTTCTATACTCTGGTGGTTTCTGCAAGCACCAAGGACGGTAATGTTCCTGCCTACAGTCGCTACACAGTGTGGGATGGCTTTGGTGGAATGTCCTAGTCTAGTGTAGCTCTTCCCTTTTCTTTTCTGTTTTTTTTTTTCCCATCATCTTTTGCCCCACTGAGTGTCGTCATGATATTGTCAACACTACCATCTCGATCACTGGGCCTTGCCCCTTATACTAGCATGTCAATTTTTTTTTCCTCCTTGCTATGATTTGTACGCCAGCTGGTGGGCCACAACATAGCATCCCTTAACTTGCTCTCCAAGCAATTAGCTGCTTACCTAGCTGTGCCAGTCAGTTCAAGTCACGTTGGGCGGCACGCTGAAGTGCGTCACCCAGCCACTCACTCAATTCTGAGTGCTGCCCAGCCACTCAATTTGGTCCTTTGCCGTTATCGACACAGGGCATATCATTCCAGACGGCAATTTTTCCCATGTGGCTGGCCCATGGTCAAATCGCGCAAGAATTTAGCGACCGGCACTAGAGCAGATCCAATGCTGGTGATGTAGCATCAAAGATCAATTCAACCCAGCACGATGTAACCCTTGATGGTTGAACTCTGTCTAGGCCCACGGGGAGAGGAAAATCGGACCATCTTTGGACTAACCTCGTGTTCTAGGCTCCAGTACATTTCTCCCAGTTCGCTGGTCATTCACGCTGAGACTAAACAACACCGAGATCGTAATACTTTAGAGCCCTAACCCTTGCGAAAAGCTACCATTATCTGGGTTTGTTTATTTTTTCATCCCAGTATGAATGATTATGTACCTGATGTCTGGTTTTCATCTAAACTCTCTGGCAAGCCTCGACACCGATATCCGCTATCAAGCCTTACGTGGACGAACAATCGACGATGCCGTCTTCCTAGCTAAGCCTTGATTGACCTTCGTCACCCTCACCTTAATGTTTCTTCTTTTCTACGAGGCTTAGCCAGCCACTTGTCGGACGATAGGGGCGAATGACGAATTGAAGTCTGTCACCGGCCGTTTCCCCGGCTGTGGCTATGCTGGAGTTTGGGTGAGAGACGACTTTGACCATGTCGTCCAGGACATCTTGGACACGTCAATGCTGCGGGAGAGGCTGGCGGGAGATCATCGGAAACTTTCAACCTCAACCACAATCCATTCTCCGCAAATGGGTCGGGACCGAAAGTCATCGTTGCTATCCGATGGCGATGCCAAGGTGGCGCCTGTCAAAGTACCGCTATGAACCTGCAGCGTGATCAAACTCACTTCCTGGAAAATGGCGCCACAGCACGCTGCGGAACGGAACAACATCAGAGTCATTTGCGTGATCAACATTGAGCACGGATGCTAGATCGCCGGCAGATTATCGGCTGGTGGTTTCGAACCGATACCCAAGCTTTCAAAACACCTGCCCCAAGACAAGACAAATTCTCTTGGCCCATGAAGGGGCGATGGACGATCCAGTCAAGACGTGAGGGCTATGTTGGTCAAATCTTTTTGGCTTAAACGGAGAACGAAATAGGTCCTTCCAATCTCCTTCTTCACGTACAGAGCCCGTTGCTTTGATTTTGATACACGCGGAGATTGCCGCCTGATGAATCTTAGCGGAAACACGACCATGGTTTGACGCGTCACAACTGTTGTCCAAATATAGTCGTCCGAATTCCAGGCAGATTTCACCTCATCAAGCGGCATGTGAGTGGCAGATGACAACCAAAAGCTCAGCCACGATGGTGATGTCAAGCTGCCTCACTCAGTCCTGTCGGGTTCAAACTGGGCCCTCCCGTTTGATTGCATCCTCATCGAACTTCCATTTTTTCAGATGACGAACCACGGCTTCTTCCGCACTCGCACGGTTTCTTTGCCTCTGAAGTAAGCTGATAACAAACCGGCCTAGAATTCCGGACGAAGCGGGACCCACCTTCGGCCGGTTTTGGCGGGTCTTCTCGGCATACCTCATGTCAATCCGTTCCTTTGAGCCTTCTCTTGGCGGAGGAGCACCGGTGCAACATCGACGCGACGATCAAGTGACTAGTTCAGATTCTAGTTTAGGACCCTTGGTCAATCATGTTGCCACATCTCTTGTTTAGTGGTTGACGGGGCTTCCAACGCGCGGCCATGGATGGCATTGTCGATCAGGAACTGGTTCAAACTGAGGTGAGTCAAGACCAGAGACATGTGGTAACTTGAGGTTGGAAAAGCAAAAAGATCTCCTGAATATCGCAGGCCATTTCTGGGGCGGAAACTCCCTTCACAACTATTTTTTTTTGCATTCCTTCATCCCTTTCGGCTGCATTAGACGCCGCATGGATCGCGGTTGCGTGGACAGCAGCAAGGTTGCTGAAGAATAAGAAAGCAGTACCGCTTGGCAACACCCTGCAGTCCGATCTGTTGAAAATTCGTGCAGCCTTTCGTAGGCGTGTTGATCTCGCCAACATCGAACGACACTGTTATTCAACGACACTGCATAGTCTGGTTCTGGCCGTCAAAAATACGCCTGAGTCGTTGTGCTCGGGGCCGTTCATGCTCCAAACTCATTTCATATCAAACAGCGAACTAGCGAATAGACTCATCAACAAATAGATTGTTGATGGGCTAGAGGGGCGCGCTATTTTCATGTTTATTTCTCCGTGTTACGTTGACAATCAGCTTTGTTGGTCCCTGAGGGGTTTTTTTTTTCTCCCGCTTTCCCCTCATTATCTTACTCTGCGCCTTAATACAACTCAAACAAGTTGAGACGAAGACTTATGTAGGAGCACAGATGGGACAGTTGTCGAAGCGCAAGACCAAAGGGGCCATGAGGAGGAGGCCCGTGTCCCGGCTTGGCCCATGGTTCATTCTGGTGCATCTTCCACCCCGCGATGCTCGGCTGACAAGCATGACACTTCTAGGCGTGGTTTCCGCGGGGATGTTGTGCAATGTTGTGCTCACGCTCCAATTTAATGAAGAGGCGTTGATGATGAGACGAGGTGGCGCGCTGTTGTCTCACCCAAGGATCCTGGGGCTTGTGTGTCATTAAGAGCAGCCGGCGGTGCCGTTCTGCTTACTGGCTCGCAATATGCCGGCACCTCAGTCCTAGAATCCTCCCGATCCCTCTCTCAAAGCGAGAAGGGGGGAAATTATGCACTGGTAGGGGGTTCAGAAGCGTTTATTATCTGGCGGCCCAGACGGCCGGTACCGAGGCTTTGTGTATGATGGCAGACTGTCGATCTCCTAGCATGGATGAAGGCTAGAGGGCTGCGGGTGAGGGGTTGGCAGTAGTACGGTAGTCCAGGCTATTCTACCAGGGCCGGAAATGAGAGGCGACTATAGTAAGTGTCTAAACCAAGGCACCAAGCGTACTCGGCAATGAAAAACTATTGACGGTCCCGAGAGCTGAGCCGGAATAGGGAAAGGGAACTGGCCGTTGACTCAGTCGAACAAGGTTCCCGTTGCCACGACCACCATCTCAAGTGTTCTTCTGATCGAACGACGCCAAAAGGAGGCTTAGAAGAAAAGACGAAGAGCTTCAGCTTGCCGCCTAACACCCCCCTCCCGTCATCACCAATCGAAGGTGTTGCCACCCACTGTTCTCATGTTTCCTGCGGCAAGCCGCGTCGACAGAAAAAAAAAATGAACTTTTGGATGCCCAAAGACCCAACCAGAACCCGTCCTTGGGGAAATGGATCACTTTGGCTTGGCTTGATGGCTGGCGCCTGGCCCAAGTCCATGCGCATTCCTCTAGCCAAGCTACTCTGATACCAGACTAGATTGATTAGCTCTAACCTTGCGTTGTGTAGCCACATTCTGAAAAGACAATCTTAAAAAAAGCAATAATGAGCCATTGGTTATTGGGGGTTCAGGGTCGTGTTGGCATGAACTCATCAAACTGCAGGTGCAGAGTGTTTTGTGAGTCTTCCTCCTTCACAGCCTCCAAGGATATGCAGGCTTGGCTAGGCTATGCTGCCCCCTTTTGCCCCTCTCCTTTATTTTTTCTTCATCACTTGACTTACTGCACTGCGATCTTATTGGGAAGTCTTGGCCGAGTTCACCCCGCAGAGTTTGGTGTTGGCTGAGAAGGGATGATGCCGAATGGCTCCGTCAGTGCGGCTCCAGGAGGCGCCACGACACACCCTGTTCAACCACTCGGGTACGGTTATCATTGCAGTTAACCGAGCAGTTCACGTAGTGCGTGAAGCTGCGTGACCTTTTAGCGGGACGCCACGCCAGCCCTACATGTGCAGCGCAGTAAACTTTTGCTAGCAGATGAGTAACCAGAGTCGACGTGTATCCATCAACCACCTCATTACACGACACAGACGCTGGTCTGGAAGAGGGAGCAGCGCCCGAAGCTTGAGTGGACTGGCTGACGCTAGCACCGCGCAAGCACGGAGCAGCCACCATCTCATTCGGCGTCATTTGCTACTAGTTGTGAAGTGTTGTTATGTTTTGTTACCACTCCTGGAATGGTTCTGGGATGAACTGGGGTCCTCGTTGATCTCACGCCCATGCACGTGGCGTTCGTCTATCTGAAGTGGCCACAAGGGAGGGGTGGCTTGGCCAGAGGCAAGTAGTGGGAACGCCTCCCATTGAACATAGATATATGATCCCCCCCTCTTCTTATCCCCTCGCACCGGTTTCCAGACTGAGAGCTTGATACTACTCATCAAGCAACCCAACAAAGGAAACTCGACTTCCCTTTTTAAACCAAGCCGTACTCGTTCCTGACGGACATCCTCCACTAGTTCCCGTCGCCAACGAACGCCCGCCCGAAACGGCAACACCCTTATTCAAGCCACTTACACACACACTTACAAGAATATCAGCAGAAACCATGCTGTGCATTCTCCCAGACGAGCTGCTGCTCATTACCGGCGCGACCGGTCACATTGGTTTCTGCGTCCTTCTTCAGGCTCTCCGAGCTGGACACACCGTCCGATGCGCAGTTCGCTCAGAGGCGAAAGCCGCCTTCATCCGTTCGAGGCCACAGATTCTCGCACTCAACCTCCCCCGCGCCAGGCTCAACTTCTCCATCGTGCCCGATATCACCGCTGACGGTGCCTACGATGAGGCCATCCGTGGAGTTTCACACGTCATCCACGTCGCCTCGCCCCTGGCGACATCATACGCCGTCCCTCCTGAGAAGCACCAGGAGTTTTTCATCCAGCCCGCCATGCGCGGCACCCTAGGCATGCTTGAGGCCGCCAGGCGAGCGGGCACCGTCCGCCGCGTGGTCATCACCAGCTCTATCGTTGCGCTTCTTTCAGTGGCGCAGATGGAGGGTCACGAGCGCCGCGAGAAGGCCGTTCTGCCCACTGAGAGGGCAGGCTTCAAGCCAGAGCCATATGAGAGCGAGTTTGCGGCGTACGCCGCCTCCAAGGTCGCGGCTTTGCTGGGCGCGGAGGCGTGGCTCGCGAGGGAGAAGCCCGACTTTGACGTCGTGCACTTCCACCCGTCTTTTGTCCTGGGACGCAACGATCTTGCCACCAGCGCAACTGAGGCGATCAAGGGAACCAACGCTGTTGTTCTCGCTACGATCTTGGGCAAGAAGTGGGGATGCAGCTTCGCCGGTGCGACTGTCCACGTCGACGACGTCGCGCGGGCCCATGTACAGGCCCTCTCTCCTTCTGTTCCCGGCAACAGGAGCTACATCCTCAGCACAAAGGCCCGTTGGAACGACGCCAAGCTCATCTCGAAGAGATGTTTCCCCGAAGCAGCCCAGAGGAAGATGATCAGCAGCAGCGGGTCAGTGGGCACGACGCCCCTCGACTTTGACGCCTCCGCGACTGAGGAGATCTTTGGGTTCAAGCTGCAAAACTTCGAGGAGCAGGTGAAGAGCGTGGTTGGACACTTCCTGGAGTTGAGGTTGCGTCGGCCGGCTGCTTCATCTGGCGGGGAGCTGAGAGAGAAGGCCTCTGCTGGGGCCTTGAGGTCTGGGATCGTGGCTGCAAACGCCTAGTATTCCTCCCGGCTTTCGTTGACGACTAATATTCTTATGAAAGAGCATTGCTACACGGACACACACACACACAATGTTTGACACTAGCAAAGCTCATGAATCTTTTTTTTTTTTTTGTTCTTCTGGGAGGCATCACAGAACGGTACATCAGCGACAACTTTTGGGGGGGCTGGCCCATTGGCAACAACTTTTAGCATTGGATTGGGATACCCAGCGGACATAGAATTCCGCACTTAACTTCTTGGTACATACTTAAACATACATATCCGTACACACAAAAAGATACATAGAATAAGAAATCAGACTATGACTTATCCAATACTCAGAGAGAGCCACTTTCCATCCTTCACATCCATCGTGCTTCCCGCATGGCCTCTCAGCCCAAAGAAGGCCCCCCCTCCAACCCTCTTAGCAGCGGCGCATCACGGTGAAAAACGTCCGAGTGGTTTTTTTCCCACTATTGTTCAGCTGAAAAAGCTAGGCCGGCCATTTTGGTCCAGCCTCGGCCGTTTCCTTCTTTCTCGAGGGGGGTCGTCGCTTATTGGGGACAAGACACACACGGCATGATTGGGTTTGTTCCTGTATCACCCATGGCCGCGGTACCCCGGCACCGGCCCGCAGACCCAGTCGGGCAAAACCTTCCATTTTCTTTTCTCAATGCTTCGATTCATCCCACATCTTTTTTGGGGTGGGGTTTCAAGACCAGTTGATGCAAAAGGGAGAGGGACTTTACTTGGGGGGGAGGGGGGGAAGAGACAGAGAGAGAGAGAGAGATAGAAAGACCCTGAACCTGAACACTTTTTTTTTTTTTTTTTTTGGTCCCCGCTTGTGTCTGAGCTGACCCTGCAGAAACAATGGGCGACTGGAACGCGGCGGGAATCCCGCGTGGGTTTCTTCTTGGTGGGATGTTTACTGGGATTGGAGCTGCGCGAGTGAAACAGGGTACCATCCTGGTTTTTTTTTTTTTTTTTCTTTTTTTGTTAGTTCTCCCTGCCTTACTCGGCTGCTCGGTAGCTCGGGCTGGCTGCATCCCGCGCGGGAGGGTCCGGCCCCCGACCTTGGCGATGCCGCGGTAGAGAGTGGCGTTTTGTTGTTGTTGTTGTTGTTGTTGCTACTGCTGTTGCCGCGATGCCCTTGACTCAAGGGCTGGACTTGCAAGAGTAGCACCGTTGAAAGTTAAGTGCTTTAATCTTCAACCCTTGACGATTTCGCGGAACGGCCTAGACCCAACCTTCGCAGATGGATGCAGCGGATGGACGACGCCCATGTGGTTTTTGCCGGCTAAGGTGATGGGCGGCGCTATGACGTTACGTGCAAGGCCATTGTGAATACAAGAGCGCGGAAAGGGAACAAGCTTCGGTGCAGATGGATGTAAACATCATGTTCGGCCACAAAAAGGTAAACCCCCCTTCCCCTTCGCAGTTCTGCTTTGACCGTGAATCCGAGGGAATGGGAGGCTAGGGAACGCCATGCAGCCAGCCTGGTGAGATGGCCGTGGGGGGAAAAAACCCAACAAGTCTTATTTACACGGCAGTTGGAAGTTACAGCTGATGATGACTATAATCGACCCGACTTCATGATGAATGAAGACGATCCGCATCACGCACCGGCGAAGCTTAATATGCTTGGCGTGGATCCTTTGACCCACAGCCTACGTTCTACCACATAGTTCATGATCTAACGGATGCCTTTTACCTTTGGAAGTGAGAAAACCGGTTAGATTTCTGAACATCACATATTCAAGATTGCAAAGGGGCCCAAGGGGAAACCGGCTAAACAAGCCACGATCACCATCGCTCGTCAGCACCAAACTTCCTACGCAGGGACCAGCCACCGCCACCTCTTGACTCGAAATGGAATCGTCCGGCAACCAACGACTCATGCCTTTATTTCTCTCTCCCCTCATTTTCATCTAATAAACCTCTCAAGGGTGTATGCCCGAGCCCATGGAGGAGACCTCGAGAATATCCATAGACGAGGTCAGCCGAAATCATTGGTACGGAATTACCCTTCTCTGCCCGGAAGCACGTTCGTCGCGTCCCGCCCCCCCACCATCCGGGGAGGTTCGCCGCGGCCGAGGTCGACCCTGTGAAGTGGCCAACACAGGACGATGCACGTGGAGGCACAGACAAACCATTCGGCTGGGACCCTAGCGGCGGCCACACATTTCGCCTCTTCACGCTGCTTCCCAAAGAACTACATGATAAGGTTCTGCTCATGAGCATCGACTTAGTCGTGGTCAACAACCGAGTAAGAGTCGAGCTGGGGTAGAATCGAGATCCACAGACTGGCGGTTCTTCCTGCGTAAACTCTGAACGTGGCGTGATATCGTGCTGTATGCCGTCAACCAGGAGACCAGGGCCCTCGTCTGCCACGTCTTCGGCGCCCCGGGCCTGCTAGGTTTCCTGTTCAGCCCCGCACGGGACATTGTTTACATGCATGGGAACGTGTCGACTCTGTTTGCGGGGTACAGGTTCACGGAGGACTGCAGGAGTCCCGGGTCCGTGGTCACCGGGGGCGTGGAGAAGGGGTGGCCCATGCCTTCGGGGCTTCGGCGGGCTTCGGCGGGGCATTCAAAGGGTGGTCGTGGAGGGCGGGTAGGGGCGTTTTGTTTCTCAGAGAAAAGGCCATGGCGTTATCAGTTTAGGGTCTGTAAGTAATTCGAGGAGCTGAGGGTTCTCAATGTGAGCATGTGGGACATGGGTGATGGCGGGTTGAAGGGGGTGTACGATGTGGACTCAAAGGATCTGTACACGGTTGATCAACTTAATATGCTTGACAAGTTGGAGGATATGGCTGACGATGGCGTCGTGCTTTTTCCGAAGTAGACTTTGCTGGGGGTCAGGCTTGTACTTCCTATGCAGGAACAGGTGAAGATACGTCTGATATTTCGTAAGGTGAACGGGAGCCATTTTGTAGTGCCGAGGGGAGAACTCTCGATACTAGCCTCCAGGGCTTCTGTTTATGATTATACGCTTGTATCTTCAAACTGTGTAGGTTACTTCACTTATGATATACACGAAACGGACGGTGTAATGTGACTTAAGAAAAATGAAAATAAAAAACGCTGCCCACAATACATTAGAAAACACAATCAGTAATATACCCCCCTGAAAATGGAAGTGATATGTCCAGTGCCATTCATGGCTTCTTAGTACAAGCCTTGTAATATCAACACTACTGTTGCAATCAGAATTCCAAGTAAACCAGGTGTTTTGAATTCCACCCTACACCTAATGAAGCCTTATGCCTTAGGCCAAATAATTCCTGTAATAATATCATGACTATCTAAGGCAAGAGATGTATCCTCACACATCATCTCTCTTGCCCTGCACCGTAACTCTTTCTACATCACTCCCTGTTTCATCCGAGCTTTCTAACTCATCATTCCCACCTTGATTCCAGTTTCCAAAGACGGCAAGAAGCGTAAAGGGGATGGTAATAGCCCACAAAGAAAACCCCAAAATCATTTGGTTCTTGTTCGGCCAATGCGTCGCTCCCACGGCATATGCAATCGTGCTTCCGATAGACTCCCAAGATCTGAGAATGCCTGTAGTCCTTGCAATGTCTCCGTCTCCCTGTGCGCCTTTGATCTCGGCCATGAGCCAGTAGATGTACGTCTGCAGCATCTCATAGAAAAACTTGAAGAACATGTAGACCGCAAAGGCGGAGTTGAAGAAAGATCCATCGCCGAGGTCAAAGGATGGAGGATCGACCATGGAAGATAGACGAATCTCAATCACGGCATTCCAGATCCAAGCAGCAGTGATGAAAACCAGGACGAGAATGTAAACGGCCTTTGACTTTGCTGACCTCTCGAATCTTTTGACATCCAGAATTGCGCCAGTGATTATGTTTGCGGCTGCGCCCACAACTGCCGTGAGAAACGATGCCAGAGCTCTGGACCGAACCGTGAAGTAAGCTGTGTACTCGGTCAGTATCAAGATCAAGAACGAAAGAGTCAATACACGTACTTGTGAGGTAATTGCCTTGGTACGTGGTGCCAAATTGCCCAGCCAAGAATACGGGAATCAACAGTAGCATGTACTTGTTTCTCAGCTGTTTCCAGATTGCGCGTGCTTCGGTAGCGAAGTTGGTTTTCTTCATGTAAGGAATTTTGGTGCCATCGGTTCTGACAACCTTTTGAGGCTGTGACAGAAGCAACGCGAGCGGCGCTCCGAGAGACGAGATCGCGACAAGGCCCAAGTAGGTGGTGTAAGTGACCTTGCCTTTTTGAGAAGTCTTGATGTTCAATGCCAAAGAGATTGCGCCACCGACAAGAGGGCCCATTTGCCGGATGCCCATCCAAATTCCAACGTATCTAGAATCAACTCAGCTAGGTTTTCGAAAAACTCCCTTGTGATGTGAAATGGATCCTCACCGGCCTCTCTTTTCCGCCTCCGGGTAGCCGACGGCGATGGCTGCCTCACTTGCCCATAGAAGCGATGCTCCAATACCGCAGAGACCAGCCCCAAGCAGTAGAAACCACTGGTTTCCATAGCGGTTATTGCAATAGAGCCCTGCAGCGTATGGTGTGTAAAATGCAGCACCGATAAACAAAGTCCATTTTGCTGTGATCTTGTTCGTTACGCCTCCGGCTATGAAACAGCCAACAGACATGAGCCCATAGGTAAGGGCATTCGCGGCATTGTTTAGAAACGGCTGTAAGTTGTGAGTCAAACAAGTCTAGAACACCATAGCCAGGCTGGGACTTACCGATGCGTTTCCTCCAGCGCCGAGGTTATTCAGTGCTGTCCAAATGCCAGGCTCACAGAAGGCTACAAGCCCAACAATGATGATTTGGAAGAGGCATGACCGATAAATCTGCTTTAATCGATCGAGAGCCATGGCTGTATGCGCTTCAACTGGATTAGGACCAAGGCGAAAATGAATGCTGCTCAGAGGCACCGCTTTGAGTCGTTCTTACGGCCGATCAGCGAGTTTATCATCTTCGCGTGGCATTGGAGTTTATGAGCACGTCAGGACCCATCAGGAATGCGATATTTCAGAGTTTTCATCGGTATTGCAGGACTTAAAGATAAAAAGCATTAGCACGCAATTGATCAAACAGATACAACTGATGCACCGCAACTGCACATTGAACACTTAATCTAGCTTTCCTGATACTAGGTGGCATCGTAGGTGGACGTAGACAAGCTTCTCGCACATTAGCCTTAACGCCAGACTCCACTTAGTCTTGCCGAAATGGATCCTGAAGCGGTGATAAGATGTTTGGCCAACTAGGAGCTGCGGGTAGGAGGAGCGGAGATAACAGCGAGGGAACAACGATCAGGGTTTGAGATCACGCAATACCCCACGCATATGATGTTGAATGTTCCTGGAGATCATTATATGACCATGCCGACGTAAGTCCGTTATGTATGTTGGCAACGTGAATTTACTCCTATTGCATATTTCATTTTTGTTTAGGACGACAGTTGATCGTTTCTACAGATATATGACACTGCCCATAACCATTTCTTTTTTGACTACCTGGAGACATCAGAGCAAATAAGATGCGGCGTAACATGACATAACTGCAATTAACCCTAGTTTCTTTTCTGTTTTATTTTGCTCGCGGAAGACCATGCAAAGGAAAGACCGCAAACATTTCCAACACTTTGACGGTGACCGGGTAATTGATACAGATAGAACCGCCCGTTTGTTAATCCAAGCTCAATGCTAGGCGTAATCACTTGAAATTCAAACCAAAAAGGCCAAGACTTTCCAGGCTTGCAAACCTTTAATGATCATGACTAATCTATAAGGTATACTTGATGGCTTTGAGCTCTTCTTGCTCCTGCCTTTGAATATGTAACTGAATAGACTTTCACGGATTCCTGCTTTTATTCATTGATCTTCTTAACTTCCACTGCTTCGGCGGCTCCCCAAACTCCGGAAACTTGGTGGGGTTTGGAAATTCCACCTTAGTGAGAGTGGTGATATCTGAGGGGGCAGCCACCCTAGTTGTGGGGGAAATAAGCCAGCTGTCAGACTTTCGCCTCTGTCTTCTGGTCTTGTCTGTGCAACGTTTTGTTCGTCAGCCTAGGTTGGTCTGTTAGTTGGAATAAATCGTCACTGTGGCCATGCTATCACAAACCCTGATCTTAGCGGACCACTCTTCAGGAGTACGCTCCATGGTCCTTCGAAATTCCTCGCTTAGGTTGATAGCGGAGGGAAATTCCATCATTGCTAACATCGGACGATTGTTGTTGCCCTCGTCAACTGCACTCGATTTCAAGGTTGAATTCGTCTGTTTGCTCAGTTGTGGCAATGGTGGCGGGGCCGCCTCCAAAATCCCTTGCGGCGAAGTGATATCTGTATCGGCGAGAGGGTTTTGAGGTGCTAGGTTATGCGCTTCGCGGACCTGACGGCTCGTCTCGTTGCGTCGGGCTTGTTGCCGTTGGCGCCATTGATATCTTCGAAAGCCGCTTGAGGTTGCCCGACCCATTTTTGCAACAATGAGTTGGTGAAGTGGTCGTAACGTAGCAATGGATGCCGCTATCATCCCGACGCCGGGTTCGACAGTACTCCATATCGCAAAACCTGCTGTCTCGTCTATGCTCCCATGTCAGGCTCCAGGCAATTCAATCAGAGCAGACCTACTCACGTAGAAAGTTTGTCTCCTCCAACAATGTAGGAATGTAAAAGGCTCGTACGATGGTGGCTGTGCTTCCTCTGCATCCTGCGCCGTTAGTCATGGTTCGTGTCAAAGTGTCTTCAGGGAGATATTCTGCCCTACACCGCAGCGAGACCCAGAATGCAAACCACCACGATCTTAGTCCCAAGTGGTAGGTTCATTGACCGAACGATGAACCAAGGAAGGGTACCGAATGTGAAGTCCGCACTGGTGTTGATAACTGTGGCGGTGATAGTCATGACGTAAATAACCTGCCGTGGCCAACATTTTCCTGGTGTTCGTGGTCCTTGATCCCAATACGTATTTACTGGGCGACACTGTAATGCAACCATGAGTAGATATGTTGCCCCGAAGAATATTGTCCCTAGCATCAAGATCCGAATGATCCAGATGTGTGGTCGGTCTATAGCAACTCGCAATAGGAAAAAGCCGACAGAAATCTTGAGGAGACACGTTAAACAAACATTTAAAAGCTCAAGCACCCACCATAGCTGTGTCAAGAATAGTCAGCAAATCTTTCGTACTAACTCAACTTCTAGACGAAATAACCGGGGGTATTTACCTGCAAGGCTTCGCGCTTCCTCTGAAGGCTTATCTCACTGTCTAGAAATCCAATTCCTCGTGTGCCCCCGTAAATCTGCAACCCGAGGTAGACTGTAAATAGTATCTGATTGCCATCAAGTTATTCCATGGACTGACACATGTGGCATGGCGGAATGATTGATTTACCAAAAGAATAACCATGACTCTGTCGTCCTTCCCAATTGACCGTATCAAGAAAACCCGACAGTAAACACGAAGACCAACCGCAACCCATGTCAGAAACAGGAATACAGCGGCGACGGCAATTATTTGGACGTTCTTATCCGCCATGAAATAGTTGTCGAGCTATTAGAAGAAGCCATGAGAGACCGGAATTGAAAGATTCCTGATAAGACGTTTGGGTGTTGAGGGATGCGGTAGGAGTGTCGAACTTCACATTTGGTCCTCTTCCGTTAGGATCTGACAATTAGACATTTATCAGTGGGAGAAGGGAGTTACAGGTTTCTGCAGATAATGCCGTGGTGGAAGACATTGAAGATGTGCAATGACGCATGGGGAGTGGGCGGACGGAAAGATGTTTCGTTCTCTTATTGTTTAAAGTTTTTAAAAAGCCCCATCCATGGTGCCCAACGAAGTCGAGGAGCACCAAATGTACGAACAGAACGCCCAGACCTCGCATCTCATGTCTAGTGATTGGCTAAAAAACGACAGGTAAACTCTGTCTCGCGTGGCTTCAGGGAATATGAAAAGGAAGGGTGTGCAACGCGGAGTTTATCTGGGATAGCTAACTATATGGGCGCCTAACATTGTTCAAACGGACTCATGGCCATAATAAGACGCGGGTCTTCCGAAAAGTAGAAACACTGGCGGGACAGCAAACTTATACTTATTCTCATCAGAGACTGTATAATCAGCACCATTGAACGGAGTTCCAAGTCATAATAAAAAACGGCGGACTAGGCGAAGATTTCCCTTTCAACCTGAAGCAAGGGTCAGCTTCACAAGTCCGGATCTTGGACCGCCCCCTCTTGCTGAGAATAACAAGTAAAACCTAAATTCACGCGTTATTGGTTATGCCAGCAATGGTTTGGAGGGGACGCTGGTAAAGATGGGTTGAAACAGACACTGCCGCACTGACAAGATGTTGAGCAGAGCCCGTGAATTGAAGGTTCAAGTGGGATGAAAATGACTAGGAATTGCCCGAGCTGAGCTCGTATCGTTAGACTTAATTAATAGTTAGACCGGAAAGTCAATATGTTCATGGCAATAATCCGGAGGTAACTAAATATTGCCAAAGGGCCTAATGTAATGATTTCATCCTTGACTGACAGGAAGCGCTCCAACCATGTTCATATTATTTCGAGATTCCTCACTAGTACTGCTGCACAGAGAGACTTGTGAGATCAAAGGATGATCGAACTTGCCAAAACATCGGGACTGGTCACCATGCCCACGACTCAAAGAAGATTAAGGCGAATTGAGGTTGTTACTCACAATATGTCACTTCCAAAACAGCACAGAATGTTAGCGTAACCTCTCATTCACCAAGAATACTCTCTGGACTCTCTTGATTGTTGAGAGATTTAATTCGTCCACTGGGAAAATAAGTCATCAATTTCACGATCCTTATGATTTAACAAGATACTAGACGCTGTATGCCACTAATAGTTTGTGTGTTGGCTCTCTCTTTATTACTTTTCGCTTTGCATATATTGCTTCTTACTTTCACATCTAATAACGCACCCCTTTTCCCAAAATTCAACAAATCTTCCTTGTTTCTTCATCTAGAAGTCTGGCTTGATAAGGCCAATACTGCTCAGCAGTGGCCTGTCGCTTACAGCGACAAGATAAGCAGTTGTGGAGAGGTCGTTGATGTGTTGAATCTTGGACCAAGCAGGAACGGCGAATGTATCTCTCTCAGACCATTTAAAAATGACACGGGGTCCCGAGGGAGGTTCAACGATTGTCTGACCCTGTCCCTCATAACAGTGGTAGAGGAAGGATGCCTGCTCACGCACCTCCTTGGTGGTGTGATTTCCATCGATACGCTCAGCTTGCGCGCCAAGAATAGGAGACAAAGGCTTGCCGTTACTGGTGTAGTGGTAGATGGCGTAGGGGCCCTCTTGGACCTTGAGCTCGGCCTCGACCTTGTCCCATGGGTGCCGCCACTCACAAGAATCGGTCAATCTTCATCGGTCAGCTTTTGCTTTGCACCATCTTCGGTACATAATTTGAACTTACACGCTAGGGTAACGGCTTTCATGGTATTGTTCTGCGAAATGAACTGGTGTAAATCTGAAGAGAGGGAGGTTGAGCGCATCCAACCAGATGACAGGGGCGTCGCTCTCATTGCCATGGTCGTGCCAGTGCCATGTCGGCGTAACAACAACATCGCCACGCTTAAGAGGCATTTTCTTTCCCTCGACAGCGGTGAACCCCTCACCATCAATGATGAACCTGAGGGCAAATGCGATATGACGGTGAGCTGGTGCTGTCTCTCCAGGGTTAACGATTTGAAGACCGCCGTAAATGGTGTCTGTAGTGTAAGGGGATTCTATGTCATGTTAACATCGTATTGGACAACCAAACTGAACGATATGTCCGTACGCATATTAGGGTTGACCAGCATCAGAACTCTTCTTTCAGCCTGCTTCTCGCCGACCATCTCAGCGGCCTTGTGAAGGAGAGGAAGGTTGTCGGCGTATTTCCAGATGTGAGGCTTCGCTACTGGCGCGGGAGTGGGTGGAACCATCACGTTCATCTGAGACCACAGCGGCTCCAAGTGCTGTGCGGGGAGCTGCTGCAAGTAATCAGACATGGCCTTGGCCTGCTCGTCGTCATGATGGGGAGAGTCCATGGTGTGCCGGACTTTGAATTGTCAGCTTGGTCGGTCCTGTAAGCTTGTAGATTGAGGAGACAGCTAGTGTACGCAAAGCTTGATGGTGGCTCTGGGCTGAAGCAGGATAGAGGATCGGTTAAGAGGTACTGGTAGTTGATAAAATGAGGTCAAACTTCGGGAGGGCTGTCGGAGGAGGTTATCAAGAACCATTTCCCCGTTATCCCCGGATTGTTGAATCCCCTGTCTTCTTGCTGTGCGACGGAGCTAGCAGCACCATACGAAGGAGTCCGTTGCGGACGGTCAACAGATTCCGAGTTCCGATGCGTCGGACGGCTCCCTGACCACGCATGCCGGAACGTCATCTTATTGGTCAACCCCACAAATACCCATGGCGTGAACCCGCGAGGGGAGCACGAGCTACACCATCAGGGACACACACTTTAAAGGGCCAAGTTATCCAAAACCACTTACTTCATCACAGGCTTCTGATTGCCAAATTAAACAAAACATCTATTTTCAGTTACTACCTGCCCATTATGTCTTGGGATCGTCTTATCCGCTTTGTCGACGACAACGACGTCGAACACTTTGGCGAGCCTGAGATCCAGAGCGAGACGGAGCTTGAGGAGCGTCTCGAAAAGAATGATCTGTGGGCCATTGCTTATGATGGTGCCAGCCCCGTTTCACCCTTGACCAAGGGTGAGCGAGTGCATGTTAAGGCTCTACGTCCTCTCCTGACGCCGAAGGATGTTCCGATTATTCGTTGCATTGGCCTAAATTACGTCAAGCACAGTATGACACAACTTTCGCTTAAAGACAAGGGCAGATGTAGATGCTAACCACATTCTTTACTTTACAGTCAAGGAAGGTGGCAGAACACCTCCTCCTTACCCCTCAGTCTTCATCAAGCCTGCTACCTCTGTTGCCGCATGGAACGAGGATGTGCCTATTCCTAAAGTTGCACAAGACGGCACTGTCGATTATGAGGGCGAACTGGTAAGTGTATCCTATGTCATGGATAAACCGAACTAACAAGACCAGGCATTTGTGATTGGGAAGGCGGCCAAGAACGTTCCTAAGGAGAAGGCTTTGGAATACGTAGCGGGCTACCTTACTGCAAATGATGTTTCTGCAAGAGCATGGCAAAGAGATCCTGCGAAGGCTGGCGGCGTTCCCCAATGGTGTTTTAGCAAGGGGTTCGACAAATTTGCTCCTTTGAGCCCGATGCTGGTTTCTCCTGCGGTTGTTGGGAACGCCAGTGATCTTTTGCTGCAGACATTTGTCAACGGAGAAGAGAGACAACACGAAAGCACTGGTGATCTTCTATTTGGGGTTGAGGAGATTGTCAGCTTCTGCAGCCAGGGCACGACATTAGAGGCTGGAACCGTTATCTTGACCGGCACACCGTCAGGAGTCGCTATGGGCATTAAGCCGCCCAAGTATCTGAACGACGGGGACGTTGTGGAGGTGAGGATAAGCAAGCTGGGAGGTGTCAAGAACAAAATGGCCTTTGAATAATGATACAATAAAAATTGGAGTGTTCTTGTATGCCTTTTTCTACATAGCCATGGGTGCCCTGAGGCCGGGTATTTCTTCAAGACAATTTGTACATAACAGGTAATGCCCCAAGCAGACCCATTCATAGACTTCCTGGCATGCTGTTTAGCCAAGAAAAGTCGTTTACATCAAAGGAAATCGCGTCCATGTCAAATGCTGCGTCTTGCGCTAGGTAAGGGAATGGCATGTCGAAGGTTTCCTGTTCGTTGGGAATGCTCGGAACAGCCGGGTTGGCCTCGGAATCAGGAAGAGTGGTTGGCTGAGGCTGCTCTTGGAAAATCTTCGTTGACAAGATTTGAAGGGCCGCAGCGCATCTTCGCGGCGATGGACCGAGATTCTCGTGGTCATGCAAGAGAGCCATGGCTTGGTTCCATGATCTGGAAATATCAAGCGAAGAGAAGACGGCTGGTCTAAGTCTCGCTGCGATGAGAACGGTGGCTGCTGTATAGATGTAAAATACGCGATACCACCATGCGGGAAGGAGACCAAGTGTGCCGTCGTGCCGTTGAAATTGCACAATGACTGATATCAGATTTTGGGCTGCTTCGACACAGACCATGGCACATTGCTGAATGACACGAGATGAGAGGTCATCGTGCGCCTGAGACGAATCCGAGCAATTAGACAAACAAAAACGAGCAAGCATTGGCCTGAGAAGAAGCATACGTGCATGAAAGAGCCTCGACATAGATCAGCGACTGCCGTTCATTTCTTGGAATGGGGCTCTTACCGTATGCGCAGTATAACCGCTTGCCTTCTGAAGACTTCGTCCAACTGAGTCTCCGGCTCAGTCATAGTGAGAAAACTTGGAAGACTTTTCTCCCATTTAGTAAGCCGTTGGTCGAGTTGCAGGGCTACACCAAGATCCAATTCATGTCGTTCTTGGGACCGCTGGCCCAGGTGACTAATCGATGTCGGTGATTTTAACCCGGAAGTAGTTGTATAAAAGGCAAGAACTGCTTGGTTGATGACTTCGTACAGTTCCAGGGACTTCACAAAGAATCCTTGATACCTAAGGCGATGCAGCTGAGCTCCATTCTGGTCTCGCGCATTCGAGTCTGGTATCGATGGCAAAACCACGCTGGAGGCAAGCTGATCTGAAATCATTGCGGGGCGGCCATGCGTGATGGCGATCATCCTATACAAAACTGGTAAATCAAACCGTGCAATTAGTTAGAATAAACATGACTGACCTGTCCATAAGGATGCAACCATGCCATATGCGCCTGACAAGATCTCTTTCGGGCTCACTGGAGAGCTCCATGACAGTGTCAGGAAGATGAAGACCTAAGCCCTGGGCAATCCTCACGCAAGAACCAACAATCATCCACGTTTGGTGCGGGTTGTTGGTGCTCTGGAGGTACTGGCTCATTATAAGCAGGCATTGTATTAGTTCGATGGAACCGGTGTCCCACAAACTAAGTTGTAGCAAGTCCTGGGCCCGGGTGAAGTAATCTTGGCTGGAGGAATCCCTCTGGTCGGGAGACAAGGACTCTATCAACTGAGTAGACAGTGCAAAGATGATATTGAGTATGCTCACGAAAATTCTCTCGTCAGCATCCAACGAAGTACCAGCAAAGAGAGCTCGGTAAGAATGTTCGAACCGTTGCCGGTCAAGGAATGGGTACAAGGGGTCGACATAGTACCAGTAAAGATCCATGAGATGATCGGCTTGTTTACGCGCCGGTAAGACATAGTCAGCCTGGCCTACTGGGCCTTTGCTACTCAGCGGCACAGATGAACGGAACAATGAGCTCCTTGAGCCCCTGGCCTCCGTCGTTGATCCCAATCGTGCATCTATCGCAGCCTTGATTTGGTTCGTAAAGGAGCCAGCGCTGCTACTGCCAAAGTACTCTCCCGTAACCATGCCATCCTCTCGGACAGTGGTCATCGAGTCAACCGCCGATGGGCTGGCATCAGAGGGGGTGATGGGGTGGCGGTCCATCCGGCCTCGTCTCGTTAAGTCTGGCCCGGAAGAAGTCGTCGACTTTGGTGTCACATTAAGTCGAGCGGCAGGAGGTATGAAAGGCTGAACCACGTTCGCCTCGGGAGTATGAATAATCTTAGGGAGTGCTCTCTCGGGTTCATCAGGACTACCATCAAGTCTTTTCTCTCTTGAGGATGCTCTGTCATGCTCGATGCTGTAGGTGCAACCGTTCCTGAGATCCGTTCTCTTCCAGCAATTCCCGCATGCTGCATTCTGTCATTAGCATTGAAAAGGCTACATGACATCACACCCAAAGCGCCATGCGAAACGGCTCAAGGGAACGGCTCGCACGATCCCTCTTCCGTACCAAAGCACGCGAGCCAAGCCCCTCGGAGCTGATGGCCCTCACCGTCAAGACCGGAACGCTCACCGATAACTCACCTGGACGGGCCCCGTCGCATTTGACTTTCCGCCTCCGACACGCCTCGCATGCCACATCAATCTTGATTCGCTTGGGCTTCGGCTCCATTGTTTTCTCCATCCTTCCGGCTTGTTCGGCCGGGCCTCAGGATAGTAGGCGCACACACATGGGGAGGAATGTCCCTAGCTGCAACGCCCCCTCCCCAGACAAGGAACACGTTCGGAATGACAATTCAATGTCTCGGAAGCAGGTAAGGTCTGGAGTCCAGAGCCTGATCAAGGATCTCGGACAACCACTCGTCGAGTAAAAGTGATTGCGGAGAACAAACAGAGCTTGGGGAAGTTTGGATGGAGAAAGTTGAATGTCTGAGTGCGCCCGAGTTCCGAGGACACTTGAAGAATGTCGAGGGCTGAGAAAGGCGTGGGGTCGGAAGATGAAGTTAGTGGGGTCACGGAAGACGGAGTGATATTTAATTTGTTCGGCTGCCTTTCCGGACGTTGACCGAGTCATGTATCGGAAGTGGACTATTATGGTATCGCTCCCAACTTCTGCTTATCTTCTCATCTCTTCCCATTGAACAGCTCCATCCACCGCACGTTGCCAAGCTGGCCGCGATTTGACAAAAATCTCCGCACGTGGCTGTAAGCTGTCACAGTCCCGAAGCTTGTCAGCGCTGAGCCTCAATTGGCCTATTCCGAGGGAGAGATTACATACCCCTCGTCCAAGAGACTAGTCCTAATCAAGAGGAAGTGCCCCTTGGCTGACGACGGGGTTGTCCAAAGTGGAGTTCCACAAGTGCGGCAGAAAGCTTTTTCTTTTGGAAGACCACTAGAGGTGTCGACGAGGGTGAAGTTGGAGATGAGGTCTGATCCGGAGAGTGTTGTCACAGATGTTGAGTGAAACTTTGCGATCTTCCCGCAAATGGTCAGCAAAGGTTGAAACTAACTTCTTCCAAATGCATCCTTACCACTTGGTGCGTTCCTCCTGCGGCTTTACTGCAATGTCTGCAAAAACATGAGAATACCGCGATGGGATTTGACGTGACTGTTATCTGGATACCGCCACATAGACAGGAACCTTTAAGAAGTGATGCCATGTTTTCCGCAATGTTTGTTTGGGGCATTTCTATCTGAACCTTAGACATTTGCTGGTACTCGGTGCCTGATGCGCATGGATATATATACATTCCTGCAAACAAATAAAATGGCAGATCCCTTCGGAAAAGAGACGGAACATGTGAAGCCCATGCTAGTCCACGGATCCGCCAGTTTACAGCTGCCAAGTTGCGCATCTCATCAACGGCGTATCCGAGCTAGAACGGCCCATTATGCAATGGAAACCCTGCACCTGATTTCAGGTTCGATGCCGATGAGATATGCCACAATATGGGGGCTACAGCTCATAACGTGGTAGTTGTCTGTCATCCAATGACGAATCAGAGGTAACCATTAGTCTTCAAAGCTTTCAGGGATTGACGCTAAATAGCAACATATTTTATCTTCCACATCGCCATTTCTTTTGACATGTGTGTAGTAGAAGTTGGAGTAGAACCCCCTGGCAATCCGGCGTTCTTGTTCAAGAACGATGTCGCAAATCGAACTTCAAAAAATCATAATTCATACAAGAATGTAAAATTTTGTCTAGTAGCATCTATGGTTTTGTCACTGCTCGCGGTGGAACGGTCGCCTCTGGGATTTTAGACATTTACGAACACGATCTAGAACAACAAGCGGAGACGACTCTCCAAATCACATCAAGTTACTGATAAAGTGGCATGATACGGCCTTGTGGACAATTTAATCGGATGACTGTGGTCTTGTTCTGGAAGTTAACTTATTAAGGCCTAGACTGCCTCCGGAAAGGCAGGTGGAACGGTGTTTAACGCTGTTGTCACATGGTCATGTATGTACTCTAAAAAGGAGGCCATCACGACAATAGAGTTCAGCTACCGTTCAAACCTTCCTGTCGGGCACATTCTCGACTTCCACAAAGTCTTCCAATTTTTCTTGTCCGATGAGCTTGTCACCAATGGAGTGCTTCTTGCCCTCGAAGACTTCAGCAATCTGCTCCAAGCTGCGTCCCTTCGTCTCAGGGAAAAGGAACCAGACGAGAGCCAAAAGAACAGCCAAGATGCAGCAGAAGACAATGTAATACATCCATCCCAAGTTTGCCATTCCAATAGGATTGACAAATTGGCCAATGATGAGACCCACGAATGTTGATCCCAGGGATATTGTCAGTCCCCTTCCGCGCAATGTGTACGGCATAATCTCGACTGGGTAGCACATCAACCTATAATTGTCAGCACTTTTTGGTCTTGAAACTTTTGATGTGTAAATACTCACAAGGGGCTGTAGGCTATATCGTAGAAGAAGTAATAGATGAAGATAAACGCTACCACGGCGTAACCGGCTTTGTCGTCCTTGGTTCTCGCGAAGACACTGGTGAGGATGGTCCATATGACGTAACAGCCCAGCATACCGGCAGTCGAAATGAGAAAGAGCTTGCGACGGCCGATACGGTCGACCATCATAGCACCAGCGAAGACGGCTGCGATCCAGTTGAAGACCTGCAGAAGTCCATTGATGAGGGCTTGGTCTTTGGTCGCGGTAATGCCGACCGTGTTGAGAACGAGAGTAAGATAGTAACTGATTACTCCAGACCCCGACCATTGAGCACCGAGACCGACAATGACTGCGATGAGGGTACGTCGGCGATTGGGAGCAGTCTTGAGGAGGTCGAGGTAGGAAGATTCTTTCGAAGCCTCCATCTCAATGCGGAGGTTCTCTTCAATCTCCTTGATCTCATGTTCGACAAGACGTGAGGAAGCATCACCGCCGGCATGGTAGCGAATAAGGACCTCTCGAGCAACGTCGGTCTTTCCGTTGGCAACCAGCCATCTTGGAGACTCGGGCACGAAGTAGAAGAAGACGCACTGAATTGCAGGGAGAGCACCCTGCAAGATGGACGGGATTCTCCAACTCCAGCTCGAGGGCAGACGGAAGGTACCATAGGTGGACCAAGCGGCGAGAATAGCCCCAAAGAACTGTAAAGATCAGATTAGGCCAAGCTTCGGGTAGTTGGAGGTAGACTTAAGGGAGCGCAACTTACGAAGAAAGTGTTGTAAAGCGCACTGATCTTGCCACGCTGAGTCGGATAAGCAAGCTCGGTGACAAGAATCGGCGCAGGTTGCGCAATGAAAGCTGTGGCAGCACCAAGCAGCCAACGTGAGACAATGAACATGGGTAGGCTGACACTCGCGCCCTGGAGAGCAGCGCCTAGAAGAAGGAGGAAGAATCCCACCCACATAGGCGTCTTTCTTCCATACTTGTCTGCCAGCCAGGTTGTGGGAATCAAGCCCATGATTTTGCCGATGGGATAGACGGCGTTCATTGTTCCGAGGACCGGTGGGCTTGGGTTACCAAAGTAGCCGCGCCATGTCACCAGCGTCTGCAAACCGTTCATCATGGCTCCGTCGAAGCCAACCGAAGCTGACGAAAACATTGGAACCAGGAGTGTCAGGTTAAGCAGAAGCAGGTGCCTGGTGCGGTACCATGGTGCAGGGTTTTCGGGCAGGACCTTGCGTCAAACGTTAGAGTTTATTGTCACGTATTCTTCGAGGCATGTCATCTAGTTTTGGCATAGCCTTGGAGATTGGGAGGCTAGAACATACTGCTGTTAAGTCGGAACCCACGGCCTGCTCGGCCGTTTCTTTGGTAGGTTTCGGCTTGGAGAAGCCCATCTTGGATTTGGTCGGGCTGCACTTGAGTTGTACTGGAAGCTGTCGATCCTTTGCTACCGTTGCAACTGACTTTGGGATCAGTGAAGTCGCCGAGCCAAGGATCACCAGGTAGCCATTAGAGTTTGCGAGTGGGAGAGAGAAGATATATGCAGATTTCAAAGAGTCATTGGCTTCCTTAGTCTCGGAAGAGTGCCTGTTGTAGCCATCGCCCCTGTCTACCCCAGTTACTCCCAAGGGAATGCTGTTTCCCCACGGGCTGTGGATTCTTCCCCAACTTTGCGCGTCTGCTAGTTTGTCCAGGTGGCGTACCTGAGGTCCCGAGGGAAAGGTTCTTTGACGGAACTCGGGAGTCGGATGACAGCTCTGTGGGGATGAACGCCAAGTACACTAGGACTTAAGAGAATGTTTAACGCCGTCCGCAACCTGGAGTCTCGGTGAGCCATCATGAAGATTCATTAGCAAAATCAGGCTCACCGACAAGCAATGGCATCTAGGAGGCTTCTTCCAGAATTTTCACCGGGGAACTTCCCCGATTACTAAGTTGCCTGTGATTAGACTTTCTGAGTTACGGATAGGCGAGTCATGGTAGAAATCCTGAACCCAAAAATGTTCCCTGTGGCCTTTGCGCTAGCTCTGAAACGGTTCTGCGGGGAGCTGAGGGATCAGTGCTGCACAATAATTAAACTCGAGATCTCCTCTCCCCCCAACTCCGTCGCTCTTCTCCCCGACACGAGATACTTCCGAAGAACGTCGTTCCAACAGGTCACCCATTGTTGCAATGGATCCACCACCAAAGAGGATGAGGATGGACACCATTCGGGGTCTCCCCGACATGGGACATATGACTGGCGGCGGCTCGCCTCCTTTCGTTCGTCCTAGTGTTGATCAGGGCCATATCGAACAGGTAGATCCCAGGATTCCGAAGCAGAGAACATGGTCCCGCGCATCCTCCGCCTGCCAGACATGTCGTGGGCGGAAGACAAAATGCGATAACGATCGCCCGATATGCGGCTATTGCAGGAGAGTCGGCGCAACATGTACTTACATAGAAGACTCGACCCCGGCTATGTCATTGTAAGTTGCCTTCTCAAGTCCTGCAGAGAAGCTCTGTTCCGTTCCGTAAATCTATTTTGGGACTGGGCAAGGTAGGATATATCGGACTCCTACTAATGGTTTTGTGGTGGCCACCAGGTGCCAAAGCGTGGGCCCGCGGCTCCTCGGTGCAATAGAAAACCTGACCAACCTTATCCAACGCAATGAGGAGAATTTCCGCGCTATCCCTCAGCTGAGCCGCGACCTGTCCCGTGACTCTAGCGATTATCCAGACAGTCCAACCGGCCAGGGTGGGCGTCACGAGAACCTTCTACCTGGTCAAGATGGCAGTGGCTTTGATGGACACAGAACCGGGCAACTTTCGCTTTCGGACACTGCCGGCCTGGACTCTGTACTTGAGTGGCCGATATTTCCCAAGCCGGTACCCTTTGCGATAGACCCATTCAGCCATGCCTCCCCACGAGGCGAAGTGTTCTCCCCTAGATCACCGCCAGCCATGGAGTTCTACGAACTATCCAGACTGATAGATTTATTCTTGGCTAATGTCCATCCTATGAATCCTGTTATCGACGCGTCTATGCTTCGTCAAATGCTGAAGCAGGTAGCTGAAAACGGTCCTGACTGGTCGGCTGCCACGTGCCTCGTCGCGCTTACATGTGCCCTTGGAGCTATATCCCAGAGACCAGGACAACGGACACCAAGTGGAACACCTCGCGGTTACTCTGTGGAACCTAACCGTCACCTTGCGTCTAGGTATTGGTCCGTTGCGGAAAAGCGACTGGGCTTTTCTATGGGTCAGCCAGGGTGGGAGTCTGTACAATGTCTTTGCCTTGCAGGGTATGCACCGCTTCCATGATTCCTGATTAAGCTTGACCAGTGAAGACTGACCAACGCAGGATATGGCACATGTACAACATGGATCCCTTACAAGCATGGAAATGTTTCAGTATGGCGAGCAACACATGGTATACTACTGCGCTCACTGCCAAGTAAGAGCTCGACACACCGAGGAGAACACTGTTTCAATGAGCTAATCCCCACATCAAGGATGACAATGCCCGCCGGAAAAGCTGAGACACCGGAATACCCCCAGTCATTATCAATAGAACAGACTTTGTACTTCACGTGCTTCAAGTCAGAAAGGTAAGTGCATGGACTGACTTCACCTCGCGTATCTCGTATTTTACATCATCTAATGTAAAATTAGCGAGCTCGCTTTCGAACTTTCACTTCCTGGCTCAATTTTGGCTGGAGTGGACTATCCGTACAGTTTTCCTTCCCCACCGACGCTGGGGGTGATGAATCTTGAAAACAAAACGCTCATGATGGAGCAGAGATCCTGGTATTACTATATTGCCGAGATCTCCGCGAGGCGTCTTATGAATCGCATCGTACATGCCCAAAAGCGCACCCCGCCACACCCCACAGAGCATGGTATTGATCGGATGCTCGAAGTCTTCGAGGTTTTTGATGCCCAGCTGACCGACTGGTACGAATCATTGCCCCCACCGATATCTTTTCAAATCCCCAATGGAGATGTTTCCCCACTAGCAGATGACATTTGCCAAATGCTCCGTGGCAGATACCTTGTTATGAGAGAACTGTTGTGCCGGCCTTTTGTGCAGCTTGCATCAACTATATCAATTGGCATCACTGTATCGGAACACATGGTCACAAGAGTTGCGGAAATAGCCTCTAGAGGCTTGCAGTACTGTTTACTTAGAATCCAGGCTGTATCTTCAACGCCTCATCATGGGCTTTGGCTGCAGTTAAGAGGTTTCGTCACTTGCTCTTTAATCTTAACAGCAGCGGAACGAGCCCAAACCGTACCATCCTTAAACATGCCATCAAGGATGGTTTATCCTCAAAACTGGAAAAGATCAATCTTGGCACAGAAGGAGATTTTGTCAAACTGCTGGGAATATGAGGAGGGAGGCATAAGTGACTGCGCCAGGGTCCTAGACTGGGCACTTGCCAAGTTCTCCGTATAGCTTATGAGGCCATTAGCCTGGTATATAGTTGTCATTAAAGTCAAAACGTGACAAGGGACATGCCCATGCCACCATGGTTTGAGCTGGATAGCTGTATTGCCAGTCTACAGATGCGGCAGCTCTTTGCGAAGACCCACACTAGTTACGGTTAAGGTATGATCAAAAAGCTCGTTTACAAGCTTAGAAGCTTCTCCCTTGCATCCTGATGAAGTAACATCACATTGCCTTAGGCATGGTACTGTAAAGTCTCTCGGGGAGAAAGATTCATCGGTCTTGACCCCGATGAACGATTGAATCGGGAACTCGTGCCGTCCGGTACTCACGGTTGTCAACAACATAGCTGTAGACTTTACCAGCATTAGCGTATCCTGTTGACTTTGCTCCTGCAGAGTGACCTCTGATCAAAGTTATTTAGTCTCATAGGCGCAAGGTGAACGGCTACAGCCGTAAAAGCCGAGACCAGAGCTATAGTGCGTAGTTGCAAGGTTTGCCCAAGCCCACGCCTCTCGGGAGCAATGCCCGACCCTTTACCGGTGTTTCCAGTTCAGGGAAGCACACCAGGAGTCGGCGATACTCCCCGATTGCCCCATCGGCCTAGCTCCCCGTGTACAGACCCTGACAATCTTGTACGCTGACTTCCCCGAGATTTTGAGAGATTCGAGGTTCCCTAGGCCGCCAAACCTATGATCTCGGTGTACCGAGAATGTCTTGGTAAGGTCGAGGAAATCAACGTAGGTCTCACGGACCATCTGACGTGTCTCACATGTGTCTTCGCCGTTGAAAACCATGCACGGGCGTTGAAGGAATGAATGTACTTCAGCAGTTTTCCAGCAATTTGACTCTTGCAATTTGCATCGCATCTCAAACGCTCATTTTTCTCTGCAAAAGTTCTCTTACGATTTACAAGAATGTCTATGGTGAGATTTATTGAACGTGCAATCCAATTTGCAATGGGAAAGATGAATCACCTTGACTCAAAAAAGATCTGCTTTAACCCTAGTATGATGGTCAATGCGTTTCAGCCAAACCATTGTTCAAATAAAGCTTTGGCCATTTACCCAAATTCATATGTGGGCTACGATATTTGGGAATATATGCACGCTATTGAGCTCGGAGTGAGACGACACAGGTAGAGATATCGAGTACTTTTAGGACTGCCCCTATCAAAATGAATTCCAAACCTTACTGGCAAACCTTCAAGTAATCTATATAATGCCCCCATAGCATAATTGATGACCATCTCGATTGACAGTCACGATGGTTTCATGGTCTCTCATAGACGAATTAATGACAGCAGAGCTGCCTTGCCACCCCCGGTCCCGGTCGATCACGCCAACTGGGTAAAATTGCTAGCGAAGTCAGCATGACAAAGTAAAAGCTACGTCATGGAACTCAAATTTGTCGCGAGTCAGTCCAACATCGGTCTTTGGCCACTATGATTGAGCAACAGTCTTTGTATTCACGGACCTTTCGTCCATACAATTAGTGTTTTCGGCAATTGAGCCCACTCCCACCTTCCTCACCTTTTTGGTGCCTAATGTCCGAAATATTTTCACTCACTTGATGACTGAATCTTCTGACATCAGCTCATGACCAAAAGACACATTCCAAGAAACACTAAAATGTCAGATCTCATAGATACTCACATCCATGTCTTGCCGCCGGCCTATGTTGACGCCATTGAAGCGGCTGGAGGCGACCCGTCCGGGTTTCCATCTCCTGAGTGGTCTTTCGGGGCTACGTTGGAGTCCATCAACGCCACCGGAACTTCAGTTGGTGAGTTAAACTGTGTAAATGTATTTTTTGTGCACAAGCTCATGCGGGTGGCCCAGCAATATTGTCAGTCTCAGCTCCAGGTGTCTCGATCGCTGGAACTGGGGAGGTTGCACTGAAGCTTACTCGCGACTTGAACCAATACTTGGCCGAACAAACGAGACGAACAGAAGCTAAACAAAGGCTTGGTTTCTTTGGTGTATTGCCAGACTGGCAGGACGTTGAGGGCACTATTGCAGAGTTGGAATTTCTTTACCAACATCAGAAGCTTTGCTTCGGCGTAACCGTCTTCACGTCTTACGGAGGAAAGCTTTTGGGGGATCGGCAATTTCAACCCATTTGGGAGAGGTTACAGTCCTACAAGGCACTAGTTTTCATCCACCCAACATCCCTCGAAGTTGAACCGCGGCATATCGCCAGCAACCTTCCGCAGCCAATCGTCGATTATCCTTTAGCGACCACTCGAACGGCGGTTGATCTTGTTTTAACCGGAACACTGAGCAAATGTCCCGATGTTGATGTGATTTTGTCCCATGCAGGTGGGACTCTGCCCTTCATAGCCAACAGAATCATGGGCAGTCTACAAAGCCATTCAGTCAAAAAGATGATGTCAATCGACTTTGGAACAGCTAAGGAAACATTTTCCCGGTTCTACTACGATATAGCCCTAAGTTGCAGCTCAGCTCAGCTTAACGGATTGCTTGACTTTGCGGCTCCGTCACATATACTGTTCGGTTCTGACTTTCCCTATTGTCCTCCATCCGTCATTGGCAAGCAAGTCCAATTGTACAGTGCCTTCGTCACAACTGAGCCCCGAGGAAGAGTAATAACACCTCACATTGTGCGCCAGAATTCGCGTCGCCTTTTGACAAAGCATCAACAGAATCAACAAATCGACTGGGATTTCAAAGTACATCTAGACAGGAGAGCCGTTTCGAAAATATAAACGCTTTAGTATTTCAGTGTTATCAGATTGGCGTCTACTGTGTTTGGCGATACAAGTTTTATCCATTTATTGTAACCAGCGTGACCGGGAGAAGTGTATCTTTTATTCGGAGTCAATCCAATCAAAAGGCAACTGATTTCCCAATTGGTGTCGATCAAACCTCTCCCGCTCCTCAGGAGACATATCGGCGCGTAAAGCAGCAGCCTCGGCGCTCAAATCGTCAACTTCCATGTCTGCGACAGCATCCTCGAGTCCAGAGGTCCCCACGTCTTGCTCCATATCATCGTCACTGTCTTCCATTTCAAAGTCTTCATCATCCGCATCATCTACGTCTTGAGATATACGATGCTGTTCTTCTTCGTGAACCCGTCGGCGATAGGCTTGCAACGCAATGATGCACTCATCATGGCGGAAGGTTTCGCCCGGCCAACCGTGTCGCTGATAGATATCCCACGGTTCGGTCGTGTGCAGTGAAGAACGGCTCAAGACGTCAGCATCGAGCTCTTCCGTCGGCGGTACCGGGATCAGATTTGACCCCAACTCGGCTAGAAGCTGTGCGAAAAAGTTCGCCGCAGGGTAGGACTGAGCTGTCCGCCATGGCTTGTTACGAGGGACCTTCCCGACGCTGTAAACTCTCTCTTGGAACGGCGAAATGACCCCGCGACCGCAGTCAACAATCCACCAAAACGGCTTGGTACTAGCCGTCGGTTTCCAATGGTCGCCGAAGGTAAGTGCTACGACGTCCGGAGGTAGGTTCATCGGTCCGGCTGGGGTCTCACTGAGTTGAAGAGCTGCTAACTCTAAGAGCCCCGCATCGCCGCGGTCTGACCACCGGCAAAAGTCACCCATGTGGCGGAGGTAACGCACGGCTTTTGATTGTGGTGCGACGTTCCATGGACCTGGGCGTGGTCCATCCTGCATAGCTCTCGGATACGGAAGATGGCGCAGCAAATCAATCACTTTCTCAGAGCGTTGGAGAGCACGAAGGGCACCAATGTCAAGCTCCATGTCGGTCCAGCCTCCTGGGGGAGGGAAGTCGATATAAGATGCCGGGATATAGGCCATACTGGTTAGGGCCAAATAATATTGAGTAAGCCCTGCGACAACATCGTCTCGGTTGTAGGTGCAGTCGAGGGGATGGTGGTTTGGAGGGAGCTTAGACATGATGTCTGCGAGTGTTCGTGACTTTAATGACTAGTGAACAAGAGATAGACGGTTGATATCGATAAAATCGGCGGAGGAAGATTTAAAGCACGCAATGTTTTTGCTGAAGTTTCCTTGATACTGCGTTGTTTGCGGTCCTATGGAGGAAGTTGACGCGACGCGTTGGCCTGTTTGTCACCCCGCTCCAACAGGCACGCCTTGGCAAAATCATTGGTAGATGACTATCTATTTTGAGAAGGTGGTGCGGGAGGCAGACAAAATCATTCCTCATTGAGATGGCTAACCGATGGTTTTTTACGGACGTCGACAAGGGTTTGATAGGCTACAATCAAAAAATGACAGGGGCTTTTCAGACTTCAACCATGGGAGTCTCACACAAACAATGTCCTTAGTTTTGAGATCTATTCAGCATGAATTTGGAACTTGGTAGCACAGAATTATGGCAGAGCAATGAAAGCCCAGCCTTGTCTACATTACTGAATGTGTGGATGACCTTCTATTGTCTTACTCAGCATTTAATCAAGGTAAGTGATGATGTTAAAATGTAAGAAACTTAAAACGAGTTTAATATGATTCCTTAGTGATGTAGAGATGAGTAGTTGAATAAGAATAGTTCAAACATTATGATGATTTTTACCAGAACGCCTCCCTATTTCAAAAGCACGAAAACTGAAATAGAAAGATGTGTCTCGTTGTATTGTCATATTCAATCGAATAGTGAGTCAATACACTCGAAGCTCAACAGAGCAGGAGGCCAGCCGTAAAGTTTGTGTACACAGCATCTTTTGGGGCCCCCTTTGATTGCAGAAACGCTCGTCGCCAACTTATACGCACCCAAAAGAAAGTGGATGAGGGTTGGTGAGGTTATATTTGAGTGCTAGAACGTTTACAGCAAAGAGGAGAAAGACTCAGTGATAGGATATCATCCAAGCACTTCCAAGAAGTAAGCCTTGGCCGATGTGGTATTGAGGATATGATGGTGGTTAACTAAGGTGCGATGGGTTAAAGCTCTTGAATAGTTGCTGAGAGAATATGACCACACTAACTTCACAGTTCATAGTTCACCGCAAAACTCCAGACGCTTCTCCTCCGTCCATGAAACTGTAGATGACGCTAAATTTGTGAGATTGGCTGTGTTACCCCGCGTGGCTACGAAGGTGCAATCCCGGACCAATTGACAAGTCTTGAAGATCACGATGAATTCTGCCCAAGTCCAGAAGTTAACTGAGCTGCAGCCCAGTTCCTCATTCTAACTGTCGCGTCTCCAACACGTCCAATTTGGCCTTCAAGCAGGATGAAGTCATGAGCTTCACGTTCTGCCAGTTCAACAAGCAAATCTAGGTCGTTTTTGCTGCAACTGATATGCTCCGCGAACGACCGAATATCATCTCTGAATGCTTCTTGTTGACCACCGGTGATGTAGAGACTCTTAGTCGCGATTGTTATATCGTCTACCCAAGTAAGGTCTCCGTCCATAGGCATTGCCATGGCCAAGTCACTCTCATCGGACTTCGTTTTGGCGGGGAACCGAGGATGAAGCAACTCTGCTGTGGCGTGAGACATGCATTTTCTGGTGAGCATGTCAACGTAATTGTTTTCACGGAATGCAGCCGCAGTAACTTTGCTGCTGAGCCAAGGTGAAACCAAAAATACGCCCGCGAGGCGCCCGTTGAGACTAATGGGTGGGATTTCCAGGTGGCAGGGATGGCAAATGTGGCGGATGACTTGAGACGCCAAATTACCACCCGCCGAATCACCACCGATGATCAAATCACTCGGTTTGATCCCAGACTGGAGAAGGTGATTGAGGGCCGCGATGCCTTGCCGGAGCTGCGTCGGATACCGCGCTTCGGGAACGAGGGTATATTGCAGAATTGCGACGGCTACCTCGGCATTCGCTCCAGGACCGGCGGCGACGTAAGCTTGCCAACACCACTCGACATGGCCTGGGAGCAACGGCACGACATATCCACCGCCGTGGAAAAAGAGAACAAATTTCGTGGCCTTTTTCCGGTTTCCCAGCCACATTACTGATCCATCATTATCTGGGAGCATTTCGACGTCCCTAGTCAGCCTATCGGCATGTTCTGGATGTGCTTTCCTCTTCTTCTCGATCCATCTCTCGTAGGTCCTGAGAGAGGGTGAACTGAGAAATTGGATCTCCCGCGGCCGCATGCAGCCCAGCACGAAGCGGTAGAGGGCACAGAAGACAAAGAAGCGGGGGGGAATGCCTCGCGCAATGGCGAAGGGCACTCCATAGATGAAGTTGAGAATGAATTGGAGTGGAGCTGGGCATGAACTCATCAACGGCGTGACCATTTCAAGATTATTTTGAGATAACATACCACGGAACATCAGCCGTAGGACCAAGTGTCCTTTCTCAGATAATGACAGCTGAGGCCTCGACACGCGTACTGACATCATGTGCGATATTGCCACGGTCGCAATATGAAAATTATTCAAGATGTAAACTTATCAAGGTTCGTCTGGTGTAAAGTATCATCAAACCAGTTGAACAGGTGGGTTAAATGGGCCAAGATGATGATGTGGACGGTGAGTAGACAGAAAGCACAAAACTTCCAGTGGCACTGATACTTCTTCGACGCAGTTGAAGTGGACTGCCTGATGCAAGGGACCTGTAGTGCTGCACAGAATGTCAGTGGGATGTCCGTTCGCAAGAGCCCACGGGGAAAAGTGTCAACGTGAAGTACCGAATGCCCCGACCGAGGCATGAATAAAGGGAAGAGCTGCGTCAACCAATTCTCGCACTCGTTTACAAGCCACACCAGTTGTTTCTGTCTTGCAACTGGTGCATCAAATAGCCATATCCCAGTCAGGTTTAGGTCCTTGCTTGGCTGGCACTCGCTTGCTATGTTTGCTGGCCCCCTCATTTGACATGCCGTAAACAGAAGCACGGATCCCGGAAGCTCATGCTCTGGCACATTATCGGCAACAGATCGGCCAGTCTGATCTCGTGGTATACTGAATTGCCTCGGCTTGGCAGTTCATAGGACACGGTATACAGGGATTGGAGCTGTATTCGCTTCATGTTGAAACATGTTCGATTTGACTACAAAATCGAAGAAATAACCCTCTATGAAAAACTTGAAATGTTCCTTAGTACTGAAAATCATTCAATCCCTCTCAAAGTATTGCCACTCCACCGCTATGAAGGAAAAGCAGCAGAATGCAACGATGGCTTTCTCACGGGAAGGTTTTACAATAGATGTTATCGCCCAATGGGTCAGGAAATCAATTCTTAACCCATTTTTGATCATTCCTATCGCAGGTTATCTGGCTGCATCATCACGAAGCCACGGTAAAACTATAATATCTGGACTCGGAGCTGGAAAGCTTCAGCAGATGGTATATTTGGCAGCTCTTGCAAGCGTTGTCCTCTCGACAACAGACTATCTCAACAAATGGTCAGCCAACAACTGGGTTACCGATAAAACATGGGACTGGGACAATGAAATCATCGTCGTGACCGGCGGAAGCAGCGGTATCGGGGCCAGCATAATACAGCACATCCTTTCCAGAAACCCAAAAGCAACCATTGTCATTGTCGATCTCGCGCCGTTATCATGGGAACCTCCCCGGGAATCTCAGATTCACTACTTCAAGTGTGATCTTACCGACAAGCTAGCTCTTAAAAACCTTTGCGATGACATCCGAAACAAGGTTGGAGATCCCACGGTCCTTGTCAACAATGCTGGAATCGCAAGAGGAGTGAGCATTATGGAAGGTTCATACGCCGATATCGATCTGACCGTTAAAACGAATCTCATTGCACCGTTCCTGCTAACAAAAGAGTTTCTGCCCTCAATGGTTCGTCAAAACCATGGGCATATCGTCAACATTGGGTCAATGAGCTCTGTTGTACCACCACTTAAAATCGCCGATTATTCCGCAACTAAAGCTGGGCTTACAGCTATGCATGAGGTACACCAAATTGTCTTACTCTACTGTAGGATGAGTTATGACTGACAGACAACCTTCAGGCTCTTCAACTAGAGTTAAAATACATTCACAAAGCACTCAAGGTTCGGCAGACACTAGCCATTTTTGGGTTCATACGAACGCCACTCGTTCCATTCAACCCGGGCCAGCCTCATTTTATGATACCATTACTTCATGTAGACACTGTTGGCGAAGCAATTGCCAATGCTCTTTACAGTGGATACGGCGGCACAATATACTTGCCAAGACTCATGTCTCTGGTTACTGCTTTGGTAAGTTTGCTGCACCGCATACTGATTTGCAGAGCTGATGATGTTCAAATCAGAGAGCAGGACCTGAATGGCTGTGGCGCCTGGTTCGGGAGACGACTGCAAGCGCCAAAGATATTACATACACGCCGCGGCAGAAGATTGATAGTGCCACAGGGCGTTTCGAACTGAGAACAACTGTCAATAGTGCAAAAAACGATAGAAAAATGGAGGAGCTGTGATCAGCATCCATTTGTCATGTCTGTGTAACAGTAATTACCTAGGACGATTTATGCATATCAAGCGAACAAGCAATTTGAAAGACGGCATGTAACGTTACTATCAATTAGTTCGCCATCAGTGCTACAGGACAAACCAAAATTCGTACGACAAACATTAGTATTAAGCAGCTACCATGTTTTTAGAACCGAGGTAGTATAGCAGTTTGCAGTGTAGGTGGGTTAATTGAGATGCAAAAGCCTGTCATATTCATTCGGCCTACTGGCAGCGGGGTCGGAAAAACCTCTCTGAAAGACTTCGTAATGAATGTCGAATCACTTTAATCACAGACTTAACCGTGCTCCCTTGTTTACCTTTGGCCAAAGTTGCGAAAATATTCCACAAACTCGAACACCTCATGTCCCGCACGTCAATGGAATGTGATCATTTGCTGTTCGATGAGTCAACATATCTCGCATGGGTTAGCTGGTGAATATCGGACGAGAATTCCGGAACAACTGAACAAGCCGAGGCTAGAATAAGTAGCACAAACCAAGACTCTGCATCATGTACTACGTAGTACGGCATGTTTGAACCCCGCATTCATATAAAGCCGGTGGCAAGGCGCGTCTTTGACTCTTAAAACAGCCGGTGGGCGTGGTAAATACCTTTTTCGAGGTTTCTTCTGATACTTGTTCTTCACCCATGAAACTTTAACTTACCTAGATCTCAAATCCCCCCGATGAATTAACATGACATCAACAAATTCAAAAGTGGCTAGCTACACCCAGTTCGCTTGCATCGGTACCGGATTCTCGGGCATCGGGCTGGGGGCTTCACTAAGGAGGTGGTATGGCATAGACGATATTCGCTTTTTCGAGCGAAACAGTAATCTCGGCGGCACTTGGTTTGTCAATAGGTACCCGGGTATGTTGAATGATGCTCTCAATAGAAACCTTCTGACCAGTCTAATAACTAGGCTGTGCTTGCGATGTTCCGAGCGCATTATACAGCTTCTCGTTCGAGCCCAACCCCAACTGGACTCGGGTTTTACCGCCACATGATGAGCTATGGGAATATCTCAACGATGTTGCGAAGAAGTATGAACTTATAGACAAGATGACTTTCAACGTTAATGTCGAGCGATGCGAATGGATGGAGGAGCGCAAGAGATGGCAGATGACGATACGGCGAAATGAGGATGACACCGTCACACTCCACGAATGTCAATTCCTCTTTTCTGCAACAGGCCAACTGATGAAGCCGAGACCTATTGATGTCCCAGGGTCAGAAAAATTCAAGGGCCAAATCTTCCACTCGTCCCGCTGGGACAAAAATGTCAAAATCGACGGTCAAAAGGTCGTTGTCTTCGGCAATGGCTGTACCGCCTCGCAGATTATCCCTGCTATTGTAAGCAAAACGAAGCATCTAACGCAAGTCATCCGTACGAAACACTGGGTCCTACCACCAGTGGACTCGAAAACCACAAATGTTATGAAAGCGGTATTCAGAAACATCCCGGGCACCATGATGATCCAACGATTCTTGATATTCGTCTGGACAGAGAATGCCCTCCGCGGATTTTACATGACTAGGTCTGGGACCAGCTACCGCCAAAGGGCTCAAGCCCATGCAGAGACATATATGAAGAAGATGGCTCCAGAAAGATATCATAAAAAGTTGATTCCGGATTTCGAACTCGGCTGCAAACGTCGCATATTCGATAACGGTTACCTCGAGAGTTTGCATGCAGAGGATCTGACTCTGCTGGATGATCCGGTGCTCGAAATCATACCGGAAGGTATTCGAACCAAAAATGGCGTTATAGAAGCTGACATAATTGTCATTGCAAATGGTTTCGAGACAAATAATGCAGTTGGAGGATTGAACATCGTGGGGCGTGGTGGTGAGACAATTGACCAACACTGGGAGTCGTTTGGCGGTTCAGAGGCATACAACTGCACTCTTGTCAACAACTTTCCCAACTTTTTCATCCTTTTGGGTAAGTTGTCAGTACAGATTCAGTATGCTACGAGCTAACTGTTTCCGCAGGCCCGAATTCTTTAACTGGGCACACATCAACCATAATCGCAGCGGAGAATTCCATCAACTATGTCTTGCGTATTATAAAGCCTCTTTTAGATGATCAAAGTACAACCGTAGAGGTCAAAAAAGAGGCAGAGGAACATTATGTGAACCAATTGCAACGAGACTTGCAGAACACCGTTTGGGCCACAGGGTGCAATAGCTGGTACCTGAGGGGGTCTGATGAGAAGAAAAAGTGGAATGCATCAACATATCCCTACTTCCAGGCATACTTCTGGTATCGTTGTCTGTTTCCCGCATATGATGAATTGAAGATAACTGTAAGTCCATATTTTCAGACCACTGAAACTCGCTCACAGAAACTAGGGGACAACTAAACCGAGAGGGAAAAAGCGACGATGGCAATTATTGGCGGCTCTAGCTTTGGTGGGATATTTAATATCGTTCACCTTAGGTATACTTAAAACAAGGCTAGTAGGTAACTTGTCCTGGCACCAACTTATGTTAGGTACTCAGCTCCTGCTGTCAGGGTTTGTAAGGAAGTTCTCGGGCAAGGCAGCCTGAGTTTGGAGGGAAGAAAGTTTAAGCAGCATAGTGGATGTGTTAGTATTTGCGTCATCAAGAGATGCCTTATAGAACATATGTATTAAGACGATAACGGCGTAGCGTATGAACTAAAAGCAAACACTGTTCGTGATATATTTGACGAAGATATCCTCATCAAAGGGGTAAGCGGTTTTATTTAGTACGGCTGCTCGCAGTGTTGGCTCTCGAAGGACTTCATTACGGAGTTGATTGGCTAAAATACGAACCTGCCGTCGTAGCGAGGGTATGGTCAAGGCGACCATTGGGGGGGGGGATAACCTGACCAATTACCCACTTATTTAAATGAATTATGGGTCTATCTGACCAATTTCATGATTGGCTGTATTGAGGTGAAGTGGGTCCACCTGACCATGGAATTTTTAATCGGTCAGGTGCACGGACCAGTTACTGATTGCGTCCCACTACTGATTAGGGTGCATACCCCATATTAATATTTAAATCCCTATTCTATTCTGATTCTCTTCCTTTTCCCTCCGTAACCCTTTCAAATCGTATGCGCCCCCCCCCCCCCCCTGGCGCACCGATTCCTAATTACTTCCGAATCAGTTCAGAAATCCGACATCATGCCTTCATACAAGGATTCTGTAAGTACAATGGAATCGGTTTAGGATCGATTCAGAACTGATTCAGAATCAGGACGATTACAAGACCTACAAAGAAGGTCTTCTCCAGGGCGGCAAGAACCACCGCATGGAGGATCTTCCTCCCTTCGAGTTCAACGAGGTAAGTGATTCAGAAGCGATTCCACAACGATTCAGAAACAGTTCTGAATCGATTCAGGCTGGCGAAGTCAAGCTCGCCCCTGGCGAACTCTACTGCCGCTGGGGTGGTAGATCCAGCAGCATCACGTGCACCAAGGTAATTCAGAATCAGTTCCGGATCAGTTCAGAACCAATTTCGAATCGATTAGACGGAGCGGTTCTCGAGCGAGTCGAACCTCAAGAACCACATCAAGAAGCACAAGCTCGACGGGGTCCCGGCCAAGGTTAAGAGCCGCAAGTCCGGCGCGAACTCCGTCGAGGAGAACGATGATGCAGCTGGTAAGTGATTCTGAACTGATTCTGTACCGATTCTGAACTAGTTCTAAACTGATTATGAATAGAATTCTACGACCGCATCCACGGCATCGCCATCGGCGCTCGCGATGACAGCGAGCTGCAGACTCCTTCCAAGAAACGGAAGGCGCAGACCCCTCCCCCCCTTCTTGCCGTGCAGTTCAGAACTAATTACGAATCGATTCAGAATGTCCTCCCGCCCTTCGCGATCAGGAATGTGAGGTCTGGGCCCGCTTTGAGGATGATGAAGAAGATGAGGCCTGAATCAATTCAGGATCGGTTTGGAACCAGTTTGGGACTTCTTTCGGGACCGATTTGGAACCGCTTTAGAATCAATTCTTTATAGATACCCGGGGCGTTCGGTTTTTAAGCTTTTTTTTAAAAAAAAAGCATTTCTAAATCAATACAGAAATGATTTAGAATCGATTCTCTACCTATCCTATATGCTATCAAAGTCCTAACCTTCTCCGCCGCTCTGCTAACTCTAGTTCCTTTTCTTGTAGTTCAAGCTTCTGTTTTTCAACTAGAAGTTTTCTTGCTTCTAATTCTAATCGCTTTTCTTCTAATTCTAGACTTTGCTTCTGTAAGTCAAAGTCATCTTGTTGTCCCTGTCTGATTTCGTTTCTTAAGTTAGAAATAGATGTTCTTTGGAGAGTATTTGACCTAATAACCCCAGAAGATGAAGCATGGGAAAGACGAGGGGATCGATTCCGAATCGCTTCTGAAAGACTTCGGGATCGATTCGGAATTGAGGATGGACTTCTTGAATTAGTACCCCTTGAGGGACTAGACGTAAAGAGTCGGGTTGATAAAAGCCTTTCAACACGTTCATTATCTAGTTGCTCACGGGATTCCCTCTGGCGTTGGCGTTTAAGTTCTAAAATAATTTAGAAATAATTATTAATAAATATTAAAGTATTTTTAACTTACGTAAACGGCTTGCAGCTGTATTATAACGGCCAATAATAGAAACATCTTTCCAGGAAAGCCGGATTCCTAGTGTTGTAAACACTGTATCCTGCTCTAAAAGATGGCGATCGTATTCTGCACATCTAAGTACTTTTGAATTAGTTCTCAACGCATTCCAAACCAATTCCGAATCAATTCAGAAGGGATTCCAAACTTACTTCTGGATACATGTAAGTAATGGTAAATACCGATTACTCCAAGTATATGAGGCTTCATGTAAAACCTCAACAGTATTTGTATTAGGTATGAATTGACTCCAATCTGATAAGGGGATTTTAGAGCAGTTCTGATTAAGTCCAGCTGCAATTGTTTTTCGGGCTTTATGTTGAGCCCATGCTTTTATTTGAGGTTCAGCTAAGTAAATTAGTTCCCAAGTGATTCTGAAGCGATTCGGAAGCGATATAGAATTGATCCTTACTCTCAAATGCCTGACATAAAGCGAAGTAGTCTTCTGAGGAACGGCAGAATAGTAGGCTGCGCATTTGATTCCATAGAGAGTCAGGGCTACGGTCTTCTGTACAGTATGCCTCAATCCCTCGTTGGAAATGAATTAAACAGAAGCGTACAGAGCGTTCAACCTGCCATGCCCATGGTCTATGCTCTGGGTCACATTCCAGAGATAGATATTTCCCAAACCCTAGATAATTAGTTATAAATCGGTTCTGAATCGGTTTAGAAACTATTAAGAACCCATACCAATAAGGTTTTTATGGTCTTGATCAACTGTAATACCTAGTAGACCCCTACCATGAAGGTGTTTCCACTTGACTTTATATCCAAATTTCTTATAAAGTAGTTTAAACACAATTGTATACATCTGCTGATACATTTCTGTACTTTCAGAATTGGTAAAAACTCGGATAAGTGGAATTGCTAAAATAGTTAGGAATCTGTTAAGAATCCGTTCTAAATCGATTTAGAAGCGATTACGCACCTTTCGAAGATATCGAATTATACCATCCCCAAATAACCTCAACTTCCTCCTTTCCAGCTAGATGTTTATAGTTTGTATCTACCTGGAAAGTATTAAAAGCCTCTTTCTTCCATAATTCAGCTTGCTCTGCATGAAATACAATACATAGGTATGTATTGCCGTCATCATTAAAGTACTGAATATACTATAAGTAAATTAGTATTGAACCCGCTCAGAACCGATTCAGAATCACTTCATACCCGAATTTGACGCCTAGTTTGAGCATACTGGTATTCATACCAAATCGCTAGACGTGAACAGCCTGCTGGAAAGCTAATTGCTTCTTGTTTACGGATAATTGAGCGTAAGAAGTCTGTATTTGCTAGACTTTGATGAACGCTTGTAATAGTCTGGCTATTATAAGTATCACAGAATTCCTGAAGTTCGCGAGATTGTAGGAATGCATCTAGAATCAATACTGGATTAGTTCTGAATCGGTTCGGAAACGATTCTAAAAGGATTCTCACTTAACCCCGTTCTAGGTTGATTGATCTTCTGGACTACCTGTTGCAGCCCAGATATAATACCAGCTGGGGCTCTAACTGGTGGTGGTGGTGGATGTAAATGGACCCCATGAGAAGTTAGAAGAATAACTGGGGTAGCTTCTAGATCAAGCGGGACCCAGAAGTTCCATTTTACTGAACACGTAATTTGAAGAATTGTTTCAGGAACGATATGATTAGCGTCTAGATTGATTCAGAATCAGTTGGGAACCCATTTGGAATCGATTCGATACTAATTTACTTACCGCATCGTGTAATTCTCCTCTTATTGCTAGCAAAAAGATAACAGCTATCAGTAGGGGAGCTTTCTTCTATACTTCCCCCTTGAAGTATAGTTTTGATTAGAGGTAAATATAGCTGGAATTCGATTGGAGGAAAGCCAATATAATGGTTTTCTCCTTGGAGACTTTGTGACCAGCAGATGCAGCGGGCTGTAATCTGGGAAGTTCCTGGAATATACTAAAGTGATTCCGAATCAGTTCCAAATTGATTCCCAATCCATTCAGAAAGGCTTCTTACCCCATACTCTGTATTAACTACTTCAAGACTACATCTTTCTGTAAACGGTCGGCAGGCGGTATGTTGTTGGAAACGTTTTATCTGTGCTTGTGCCCATCTATTTATAAGTATTAGTATATTATTTCTAAAAGGGTTCCGAACCCGTTCGGAATCGATTCTGAATGCTTACGAAACTGCTTTCCGTTTGAGATCATACTGTAGTACCTCTGTTCGTAATGCTTCAATACTTTGCAAGATTTCTGGGGTAACTTTCTGATGCTTCCAGCATGGAAGATTCTGATCGAAATAAGAGCATGCCTTTCCACCTGTACAAGTGTAAGTTGAACGTAAACAAACAGCATTTTGAAGGAATGCTGAAGTCGTCCGTTTTGGTGGGAATTGCCGGGCATGGTTGTACTGAATCTGTGATGTAATTAGTTCTAAAGTAGTTCGGGATCGATCCCGGATCGATTCAAAAGTAGTTCGTTTACCATTCTCCAAGGCGATTTAATATCCTCCTCATTTAAAGTCCTTATATCAATAACATAAAGGACTCCATTCTCACTTGTTTCTGGATATTCTATAAATGTAGGTAGAAAGATTACTTTTTGAGCAAGTACATGAACATCCCTGAGGCTATTATGCCCAGAACGGGTTGCCTCTGATGAAACAAGTGTTGGAGGTATTTCTGAATCGGTTTCGAGTTGATCCTGAATCGATTTAGAACTAATTCCAAAGTCGTTCTCATATATCCCTACCTCCTCATTTACTGGTAAGCCAGACTGGGCCTGGGCTGGTAGTTGATAGTAAAGATTTAAGTCTTCTTCAGCTTCTGCATCAAGACTAGTAGGTTCTAATAGAGGACTTATTCCCTCTAGGCGAGGGAAGAGATTTTCAATCGATTGAAGAGCCATTGTAAATCGATTCGGAACGGATTTGGAAGCGTTTAAATGTCGTATGTTCTTACAAAAAGTATGTCAAGGGTGAGGTTTCAAACCGCGCTAAGGAATTTCAACCTGACCATAGCTAACTAGCTGACCATGGTCAGCTGATCTCAGGGTAGCCCCACAAATCACAAAATAAGTGGGTAATTGGTCAGGTTATCCCCCCCCCCCAATGGTCGCCTTGACCACACCCTCGTCGTAGCAGAGATAACACCGGGTTCTTACCCCTGCATACTGGCCTCTCCAGGACTGTATCAGCGTATCGTTACATACCTGCCTTTCTCTGTTGCTCGCCCCCCCTGTGCCGCTCTGCAACATAAGCTAGCCCTCTTAGCGAAATTGCACTGGCCTGGCGTATTTTCTTCGCCCAGGAGATTTTGGTCCTCAGGAGCATGGTTAGCCGTGATAAAGCTTCACAAGAAGCAATCGAGCATGCCACAAATGTTATAGCAAAAGCCGCTACTTATTTACAGTTGAACAGGAGGCTTTCTAGTATATTACGAGTGCTGTTAGCAATTGCGTCTCACGTCATGTTTCCACTTCCTGGCGTCAAAAGTAGGTCCACATACATTGGTCCACAAATTGCTTAAATGGTTGGTTACAAGGACTTTTGTTGGCTTGTTTCTCCCCGTGCCGCTCGTATCGAACGCTCTAATAGTGGGGGTTTTCAGTGCACATATACAGTGCCAATTGGCCGACGGTCCTCTGTGATATCGTATGGAGGCTTGGCAAATTAAGCGTGTTCAATAAGGCATACAGCGTATCGAGTGCCTCTTCACCAAAAACCCCCCTTCCCCCTTTTTTGACCTTTGCAATTACAGGAGTCGGTGGGATCAGTTTATAGTATCTATCGCGGTCGTAAATCAGCCTCGCGCTGAGCTGATCTAAGCTCACCATGGACACTAAACTCCATGACTTTTCGATTGCAGCATCTATCTTGTTCCTATCACTGCTCCCGTTCCGATTGTTTAACCTTCACCATGAGAAGGTTAAGACTGTGCCGGGATACCATGGTCTTTTCAAGTTGGTACGCAACAAAAGATCGACAGAAATACCCGGGAAGCTACTAATATAAAGAATAGACACTTGCAGTTGCGTTGGTAGCATTACAGTCAATCATTGTGGCTACTACAGTGCTCCCAGTTTTCCATTTCAACATCGAATTCTTGTCTACTATCGTTACCCTCGCAGCCTTTATAGGCCTCTGTCCTTTGGTGTTCTTGGAACATGCACGCTCTATCAAACCATCAGACCTTGTAGTTATCTACCTCCTTGTGTTATCAGCATACGATTCTCTTAGTTTCGGAAAAGCATTCCTCGCCAACGAACCACGTGCGGCTAGCTCCCTGGCTGCATCAAGCCTTTGCCTCAAACTGTTATTACTAGCTTATGAAAGCCAAGGCAAAGAAAAGCTGTTGAGGGAGCCCAGAGGCCAGTGGTCTCCGGAACAGTTAGCCGGTGTATTGAATAGGCTGTTCTTTTGGTGGATCAACACGATTCTTCGTTATGGAAACCGAAATATTCTCAACGGAGACAAGCTTCCGCCTATTGATGATAAGCTATCATCGGACTTGTTGCGCCGCCAGGCTTTAAAGGCTTGGGACCAGAGAGGTAAGACCCCGTTTTCGAAACATGAGACCATTACTCACAATTACTAGCGAAGCCTGAGAGGAAAACAACGTTGCCTCGTGTTTTGCTTCGAAGCATGTTGTCACACTTCGTGGCGCCAGTTATACCTCGCCTTTCTTTGATTGCTTTTCGCTATGCTCAACCGATTCTTATCAGTACGGCAATTCGCTACATGAGCAATTCTCCAGTTGAAGACCCAGCGGGAGGGTACTCTGTGATTTTAATGGCGGTTGCCGTCTACGTGGGCTTGGCGGTAAGTTATCCTAGCATTCATATGCATGACAACTAATCGTTAGTGCAGATATCCAGCGCAATGTACTCTCATAGTTTGAATCGGCTGAAAATCATGATCCGGGGCGCAGTTGTTGGCCTTATCAACAACAAGTCGCTAAGGCAAAGATCTGGCGGCTATGATGACGGAAGGGCCGTAACGCTGATTACTACAGATGCAGAGAGCATAGGCCAGACTGCGCGTATGTTTCACGAAACGTGGGCTCAGGTCATTGAGGTTGTAGTGGGTACTGTCATGCTTGCCGGGAAAGTCGGATGGGTATGCCTGGTCCCTTTTGGAATGATATTTTGTGAGTTTTCATCGCCATTTGCATGGTTGGATACTGACCATTTGTCTCAAAGTTTGCTCTCGCATGAGTCGATATTTGGCGAAAAACTTACAAGGCCGACAAAAGAACTGGAATGCGGCTACCCAGGAACGTCTGGCTACGATTACTTCGATGCTTGCCTCCATGAAAAGTTTGAAGATGCTGGGAGTCTCAACTTATACCGAATCACTAGTTTGCAAATTAAGGCTTCGGGAGCTAGAAATGGCTAACAAGGTGCGGTGGATGATGGTTGCTTATAATGCAAGTGGTGAGTTGCCCCCTTAAATGCTGCGCTTCGTTCGATTTCTGACCAATTGATAAAGCGAATGCCCTGGGGATATTCTCTCCAATCATTACACTGGTTCTTTATGCGCTTTTGGCCAAGTGGAATGGCTCTGCGTTAGACACCGAAACGGCTTTTACAACTACCGCCCTTCTCGGATTAGTGACCCACCCAGCAAACATGATTATGACGATCATACCTCAAGCAGTAGGAGCCTTGGCTGCTTATGAACGGGTTCAAGACTTTCTGTTGGAGCCGCCTCGAAGTGATCAAAGATTACTACTTCAAAAGACAGACAATGGTCCCAGCGAAGCTACGCCAGCCATTCGCGTAAACAATGTCACGATTAATCCCACTCCGTCAGCGGCTCCAATTCTAGAAAACATCAATTTTGTCATCAACAAAGGGTCACTAGTTATGTGCTCCGGACCAGTAGCGAGTGGAAAAAGTGCAATTATCAAAGCAATTTTAGGTGAGCTTCCTACGACTGTTGGGGAGATATCAGTGTCCTCGAAACGAATAGGGTACTGCGAGCAGTCACCGTGGCTGCCGAGCGGAACTGTCAAAGATGCTATATGTGGTTTTCTGCCAGAAGACGCTACTTGGTATGAACGAGTTCTTCAACTTTGCTGTCTCAAGGAAGACATCTTGTCACTTCCGAACGGAGACCACACAATGATTGGTAGTCGTGGCTTGAACCTCTCTGGAGGACAACGTCAACGCGTGGTATGTTTTGTTCTTCTTATTTGTTACTTCGAAATGAAGTCCGATCTTTCTTTTACTTTGAGCCATATCTATTTGCCTTCACTCTTAGGGCAACTTCAAACTTGGTCCTTGAGGCAATGTGGTCCTCCAAACATTTACATCCTGGAGCTCATTCGCTGATATGAACTTAGGCTATTGCGCGCGCTGTATATAGCCGCTGCGACATCGTGCTTCTAGATGATAGTTTTAGTGCCTTGGATGGTAAGACCGAAACTCGAATTGCAGACAATCTTCTTGGTCTAGAGGGCTACTTCAGAAAGGCTGGAACAGCTGTCCTATTCATAACCAACTCTAGTAAGTTTATGATCACCTGATAAACCTAGAAAGCTTATTTACAATGTACAGCTGCACATTTTCATTTGGCAGATGAATTGATTATCCTTGGTAGCGGGTCAGTTCAATACCAAGGAACCTGGAAGAACTTAGCACAAAAGCCAGACGGTATCCTTAAATTCAACATCAACGACAACCACAACAACAGTATCGACGAAGACCATCAGCTAGACAAAACTATGCAGAGCAAGAATTTGAAAGTAGCGGAAGCCACTTGCGATCTCAAAAGGGCGACAGGAGATGTTTCTCTATATGGTAAGACACCAATTCAATTTCCAAACAGTCTCAAATTGACTTGGCTCGTCCCACAGATTACTATTTCCGAGCTGTTGGCTTTCGAAACATCTTACTCCTTCTAATTTGCACATCATTGTACTCGTTCTTTATAACGTTTCCCCAGTACCTGTTACAAAAGTGGACCGAGGCGCCAGCATCCCAGACAACGTTCTACATAGGAGGCTATCTCATTTCTTCCTTGCTGGCCTGGATCTCGACTAACGGTTCCATGTGGTAAACCATTCCGCTTACCTGCAAATACCTATGTATTGGCTAATCATTGAAGGTCTACTCATATCCGTGTTGCGCCGGAGTCAGGAGCCGAATTACATCGCCGACTTCTCTCTACCATAATTGGGTATTTGTAAACTAGCCCTTCTATGAAGCCTTTTACTCATGGACAATAGTGCACCGCTGTTGTACTTTTCAGCTACTGACAACGGAGTTATCCTGAATCGGTTGGTCATGCCATATTGAGATGCTATATACTACGTACTAAGCTGTCACAGTTTCAGTCAAGATATACAAATGGTGGATAGGCAGTTGCCGCCAGCTATTTTGTCACTTTCAAATCGTGAGTCCGTCTCGAACTCTTCAGATCAATTCACTCATGATTTCAGAAATTTTCAAGCTTCTTGTGCAAACATCTTTGCTTTTTAGCGCACAAAAGCTTATGGCATCCACACTCCCTCTCTGCATCATAGTGGTATACATTGTGCAGAAAGTTTATTTGCGCACATCGCGCCAACTGCGATTACTTGATCTGGAGTCTCAGTCAGCCGTTTATTCGAGCTTTCTAGAATCGGTATTGAAAGCCCATATAAATAACACGTTTCACATGCTAATGTCAAACAGACGGAAGGAATCACAACTATTCGTTCTTTTGGATTAGAGAAGCAAGTTGAGGACGCAAACATCCGATGCCTTGATAAATCTCAGCAACCTGCCTACATCTTGTCCTGTCTTCAGCAGTGGCTGTGTGTTGTCCTTGATCTAATGGTCGCTGCTATTGCAACTGGCCTCATTGCTCTTGCAGTTTTAATGAGGGGGACAACCACAGCTGGACAAATCGGCATGGCACTAAATCTTGTGCTGGTTGCTAACTCAACTCTTCTGAGCCTTGTGTCGTCCTGGACCAACTTGGAAATATCTCTAGGTGCTATGTACGTTTTGTTCCTGAGCCAGTGCCACTTTCTTTTCGCAACAATTGCTTCTTTTACTTCAATGGCAGACTCTGGTGCTTGGTTGCTAATTTAGTGATAGATCACGGTTGAAGAATCTCGAAGCTGAGACACCTAAGGAGGACAAGCCCCATGAGAATTACAAGCCTGCTAAATCCTGGCCATCATCCGGAGTTGTCCAACTGGATAATGTAACAGTAGCATACAAGTAAGTGTAAAGTTTGTCGGTATTTCCTAAGCAGAGCTGATTTTTCTACCAGTCCAGACGCATTGGCTCTTGAGAATATCTCATTGAAGGTTTCAGCAGGCCAACAATTAATTGTCTGTGGCCGCACTGGCAGGTATGTGGTTGTAAAAACAGTGAAGTCTAGAAACTTCTAGACTTTTGCTGATCGTGTGTACGAATCTTTAGTGGAAAGAGCACCCTGTTACTGACTCTCTTACGTCTTTTGGACCTTAAGAGTGGAAGTATCAAGATCGATGGGGTTGATATAAGTCTGATACCACGATCCTTGGTTAGGCAACAATGCTTCATCACAATCTCACAGGATCCCTTTTCTTTTGGCCAAGCTAGTCTTCGCTTCAATTTAGATGTGAGAGAATCCTCTAAATCTTAATGCCCCTACCGTATAGAATACTTCTGACATATGAGTTTTTCAGCCTTCTGGTTCCCTCTCAGACGAAGCGCTAGTTTCAGCTCTTCAAAAAACATCCCTATGGACACATTTTGAGTCAGGACATTATTCATCTATGTCTTCAAAGGGCGGTCAAATATTAGACTGTAACATGTCATCACTGCCGCAGATGTCCACGGGCCAGTCGCAACTTTTCGCTGTGGCCCGAGCCATCCTTCAACTTCAAGCTTTGCGGCAGCGAACCCGCCCGTCCGAGTCCGAACCCACCTATGAACACGTTATGCCGATTCTTTTGCTTGATGAAGCCACATCGTCACTTGACTCGCACAGCGAATCAGCCATACGTAGTATTATACATCAGGAGTTTACAGAAAAAGGACACACTGTTATTGCCATTGCGCATAGACTGAACGGAATAGATGACAAGATGCGAACTGGACAAGATATTGTCGCTCTTTTCTCGAAGGGGAAGGTCGAAAAGATTGGCAATGTCAATGAGGTCTTGGGAACTACAGATCTGCATGGTTGATTGTACAAGCTCCCATGCATATGAAAAAGCGGCATTGATGTTCACGAGGACCAAATCTCAACGACCTCCTGTGTGTATTTTGCGGCTGCCAATTTACACGTACCTATAACCTCAACTTTTTTATCTTTCTTACATGTTTGGGTTTTCTTTCTCAATTAATTGATCATATGATTATTCTGCATTGCCTCTCTTGTACCAATTGTCTTACTCCTCAGAAACCACGTACTGGTTGGCTTTGAATATCCAGGACTTTTCCATTTGTTCATCTCGCTTTTCAATCGACGCGAATTTCTGTATGCTATCTTTTGGAGATGAAAAATGCTTTCGGCAGAAGAGTGTTGCGTGGTTATCAGTACGCTTCTCGGCAGGTGGAACAGCCTTGTTGTCGATATGGCCGAATGCGCACTTCCCGCCCTTGAAAGCAGCAGAGGCGGCGGCCTTCCAAACAGTGGTGATATCCGTGAGCATTTCAGCCTGCCAGTAAAGCCGGCAGTCAGAATTCTCTGGAACAAATTGACGTGGGACCCCGTCGCCCCAGTTTTGACTTAGAATCTCGTCTCTGATATTTATGCCGGCAGACGAGACCCGAGAGTCAACGTAAGGTGTAAAACGGTCAAACTCTGCGATCGCGGCGCTGTCGTTAGTCAGAGTTCTTCCCCATCTGCATAAAACGATACACATCCGATAAATAGTAGTTTTGGGATCCTTTGGTCCCACCAACTCCCTGGATCTTGCCCTTGACGCCAGGCCGGCCACCCATTGCTATACTCTTAACACCCGCGTCCCACCTCATGAACTTTGAGAACAGAGCGCAAGTTGATGAACAGGCGCCGTCGTATAAAAGGACGATGTTCTCGGGTCCACCAAAAGGCCGAGTGAAGTTCTTGCGCAAGCCGTAGCCTGTAATCTCAAAACCATACCCATGGGTGGCGTTACTAGAAATAAGCGGGTTTTCATAATCCCATTCGATAAGTTCAGTGTACTCATCATCGTTGTATATCAGCTAGACATGTCTTATCAGCTTGATTTATTCAACAGATCAACTTCCTTGGATCTATGACCAGTAGTTACTCACAGGAGGAAATTTTGCTTTGTATGAAGTGAAGTGATTATGGTTTACGTCGACATCGTGGCGCCAGTAATGGAAATTTTCACATTGCGTAATGAGTGTCTCTGATGCCGTGATAGGATCGTAGCCCTCACAATTCTTGGAAAAGATTTCTGAAAGGGCCTTGAAGCTTGAGGAATACCTGAAGCGTCCGGAACCCTTTTGGACAATATCAGGAAATATTTGACGATACCTGAAGATGTTGTCCTTAGCACATTGTTTCATCAAGTTTAATGTAGAAAATAAAAACCAAAACTTGAACAAAACGGACAAGTTCATACGTGTCATATCCTTGCATGATATAGCCGCCAGCATTGACTTGAATGTCAACAACGAGTTTGGTCTTCCCTGATCGGGCAGCAGCAACGAAGAATTCCCCAACGGCTTCCTGGAATCTTACAAGGCTCCGAGGTGCGAATGACCGGATGGCTAGAACAGCGACATCGTTGAAACCTTGCTCATCGATAAAGTAGCCGGAGACAGATGAGTCGCTCCCGATTACTACCGGTTTAGGATAGCCATCCACTCCAGTAGAGTCTGGGAGTGGCACAGTAGTGGTTGTACTTGAAGGCGTTGCACTAGTAGTGGAAGGAGCAGGTACTTTGTTAACGGCAGCACCAGGTGCAAAGTTCTTAAAGAACGTGAGGCCGTCAACAACGCCATCTCATTTGTTCTTGAGCCTAGCCACATTTGGAAGCTCAATGGTAGTTCCATTAACGAAGGTGAAAGACGTGGTCTCGCCTGGATAAACATATCGCGTACGGCCTCCTTGCTTGAAGTAGCCGGTTCCATCATATGCTCCTGAAGCTTTATGGTAGAACATGGAATTATAGGCGGAATCAGTGTCACTATTGCTCGTGGCTCTGAGCGCTTGTTCCAGAATGAAAGTTGCCGCATCAACGCCGTTGATTAGTGAAAGAACAGGTGCGTTTTCAGGTGATGACATAACATCGTCATAAGCCTTGACGACTGGGGCAGAGTTGCCATCTTTGCTAATTGAGACGAGAGCAATGGGCCTCGCCCATTCAATGGCGTTAGTCAAGATATCCGAGAAGACATGCAAGTGTGAATCGTAGGCAGGATTGAAGACGTTGAGATACATGTCTTGATGCCATGTGAATTCGTTGGAATAATGGTCCGCCTCTAACCGAGCCCTGAGGTTGTCAAGCGCCCCAAGAACATCGTGGGGCGGGAACGGATAGTCGGCAGGTGGGTTCTTCAAGAAGGCAAGGCTGGACTGCCACTCGAGGTACGGCCTCAACTCGTCGACAAATTTTAGTGCAGCGGCTTTATCCAGCGGTACCGAAGTGACACAATCATATGCAAGTTTGGCACTGACTGTAGGTGTTGCTGTAGCAGCAATCTGGGCCGCCCAAGCAGAACTGACAGCGGAACAGGCAGCTATTGTGGAAGTACCTTTGATATGGCAGCCTTCCACTTTGCAATCTGTTGCATTGGTGAGGTGACTTATCATAAGCAGAAGAATAGCACTACACCTAACAGCTGAAAGATTCATGGTTATGTTTGTTATGATAGATTTTGGGGGAGTAGAAAAGCAAAACTTTGAAGAAGGAGCTGGCAAGCGTCAATGAGTATGAATGTTGAGATTACAATAACCTTACAAAACACTTTCTGAGTACCACACAGGTGATCCAGCCATTCTTATAACTACCTGCATGGCCCCATTTTCAGTCTTGGTTTACGTGCTTTTTCGCTTTGCTTGGCTCTTGTGAAATGGATATGAGTGATAGCTTAGGTCAAGGTGTAATAGCCACACTGCCAAGAGCCTACCTGGAGCTATGTAACTTAAAGTTGATTCATTAAATCAACAGATTAATTTTCATCACCTTGCTTATTTGATTTAATGGCAAATCATTTCCCGGCATTTTCCAAAAGGACAGCCAGAGCCAAGTCTCACATCACAGAACCAGTTTTATTTCCATCATTTTATTTGCTTCCTATTCTCTAGTTGTTCAGGGCCGTAATTATCTTAAGATCTGGTTTATCTAGATTCTCAGTACATTTGGAACCCCAATATCTCATTCGCTGACGCAATCCTTCAACTTTGCCCAGTATTTCCTTGTGCACTCTTTGCTCGGACTACTCCGTTTAGCTTCTCGGGTAGTCCCGATCCCGTTGACGACGGTACCTGCCTTCACAGGTTAGACTCATGGAAGAAACCCACAAATGCTCCATACCTTATCTTTTTGACTTTCTTGGTCGGCAGTTCGAGTGGTTAATGGTCGTCACGCAACATGTCTTCTGAGTGTTGTAGTTCGTCCGGAATTGCCGGGACTAGGTAGCTTACAAGGGCGACAAAAACAAAATCTGTGAACCGTATGTTATAAAGGCTGATGAGAAAGAGTATGTCACGGAAAAGAATCTACAAACAGAAACAAGGGCCGAATGACGTTGCAATAGAAACTAACAAGGTTCTTTGTCTTAAGAAAACTGGGGTTTCAACTTGGTAGGCGACTTGAAAATTATAGGTACCGTCTTCCCTTCCCTTCTTACATTCTTGCAGCCTTTCTGTCCATGTCTTGAATAACTTCAAAAAGATCCCCAAGATCTAGGCGAACACGTTGCCGATGCAGAGACTGACTACTCAGCGAGTAATGCCTTTCTTTTCCATGAGTTACCTGGAAGGTAGAGAACATAATGGCGCTAGCATTTAACTCGTAAAAACAAGACCAGACACGTGTAGCCGTGCAATCTTCAACATGACTTGAGATAGACGTTTCAATGGCTCCTATTGGAAATTTTCAGGCATATGTCATGCACGACGGTTTCTGTCTTCCAATCTTCCCCAGTCCATCGATGTTACTGATCTGACACAAGGGAATCAGGAAACACTATTCTGGGATAATGAGACCCTAAAACTGTATTATATGGATGACAGTTTTGTATGGATAATAATCACGGCTATAGGATGCGCCGACCCAAGTATCGCACTTGGATACTGCCATGCCTAAAAGGCTCAAAATGAGGCACAGCTTGTCCCTGGTGGAAAAGCAAGAGATTCTAGCTATCACACAGCTACCATTTTGTTGCATGACAAGCTAATAATAACCAGTTCACCACAAACTTGCGCATATTTGCTCAAGCGACTATGTCCGCATGCATATTATGCTCAATGGCGCATGTGGTGTCTAGCCACTTTAGGAAATATGTCACATTCAGCCTGATGTACATTTTCGGCAGCTGAAGAGACCTTCTCACTCGGCATGAGGGGAATAACGTGCAAATGCTCAAAGCCAGGTGTTGAAGGTCTCTCACTGTCAAAGATGACTAATGCCTAACATCTTCCAATTCTGTCGTTTCACATATTGAGCAAATCCAAAAACCAGGTAAACATTTTTTTCATTATAGATGCTTCTGATATCTTGAACATGAAGATGAATTTTGAGGCCTTCATAAACAATATTTTGGCATATTCAGTTAGCCTAATAATTTCTCCTCTTATTCCATTTTACTAGCAACCCTTCCTATATCTATTGAAAGGTAATTGTCAACCAATGTTGAATATTGAAAGAATGTAAGAGATATTAAGTCTTGAGCAACATGAATTATTTACTGAATCTATGCTTCACTTATACATACTGCAAAGACCTTACCATATTATCTTGTCACTAATACGGTTTTTGCTAATGTCAGTCACTGTGTTTGAGCAGTCGGAAGCCATAACTGTTGATCATTGGCCTTGTCTTTTCCTGTGTCACCTAACTGCAGCTTGGGCACGAAAAAGTCGTATTTCGTATTGAGGGATTTCTTCGAGGGGATGACTACACAGGCCCATGTGACTTCTCTAGACTGGGTAGTTAAATATGTGCCCACTACCCAAACTGGTACCACTTGTGTAGCTATCTTTAATTCCTCAGAATACGAGTTTTTCAAAAGAGCGATTCAATATGAAAGCAGGCTATATCTTCAATATTAATTTGAGCGCCCAGGTCTTGGCTTCTTGGGGAGTAATGGCACAGAATGTGACCGATCAACAACGGCTCAATACCTTACGAACCGTTTCCATTGGATTTGTAAGTTGTTAAGAATCTAATGCTACTCTTGCTATCTGACGCAACTAACGGCCTTCAGATACTGTTCCTGGGTTTGAGCCGCTTGATGTTTATGGGCCTCTTGAGGTTTTGTACTCTGTAAGCTTGGTAATTACACATAAAAGTTATCATTGTCCCTTTCTAACAAGCCGGGAGCTCTCTTACTCATACAAAATGAGCTTATCACTCATCTCTTTCAACACGGGGCCGGTGACCTCTCGGATTCCTCCTCACAGAATGGATCTAGGAATGCCAACTGAAGACTACGGGTACGGCTTCGGTCCTTCCACGGTAGCAACTCATACCTTCGCAGATGCCCCCGCTCTAGATGTGATATTCGTTCCAGGTGGTATGGGAAATATCGCCCTAGAGCAGGCAAACAACACTGAAATCGAGAGCTTCCTTGTTCGAAGATATCCTCAAGCTGAGTATGTCTTGAGCGTTTGTACCGGGGCCGTTGTTTTGGCAAGAGCTGGTCTGCTTTCAGGCAAACGGGCCACCACTAATAAGGGTTTGTGGGCATGGGTCACAAACCCACGCCATGGCGCCAACATTACATGGGTCCCCAGCGCCCGATGGATTGAAGATGGTAATATTTGGACAAGTTCAGGGGTTGCAGCTGGTATCGACATGACTTATGCTTTTCTCAAACATTTTTATGGTACCGAGATTCTTGACTCGGTGATGAACGCCATCGAATATGCCCCATACCAAGATTCGCATTGGGATCCTTTTTCACTCATCCATGAGGTACGACTTATGCGCAAAATCTCATCTTTCACATTTATACTAAATAACAAAGGTTCCCGGAGCAAACACGTCAGCTGGGTCTGGCTGCGCTCTCCCTGTTGGAAATGGAAGCGGCACTACTGGCAGCGGGGGACATCATTGAAAGAAAGCATTAAGAGACACCTTTCTGCTTGAGAGTCTGTTTCAAGGCTGGTGTTCTGTCTACGTTCAATAGTTCTATATGCTAGCCTAGTCATGTTCTTGCAAGTCAGCCATGACAACATATGTCCTTGTCGTATTTTTGGGATGTTGTCAAGGATGAGTGGTTAGTCCGACTATTTAAATTGAAGTAGATAGAACAATGCTTCGGCTCAAACCAAAGAAATCAGGAGCTCTTGCATCCGACAGCTTTTCCTCCCTTAATCTTTCCAAGTTTGCCTCAATCAATCTTTCGCATTATGTTTTCGATGATATTAGAAGCTTTGCCTGTACCCCATCATGTGAGTTGCTCGCGACTACAGCCATGAACCCCGCACGGCAAATGCATCGGGTCGGGGAGTTAAGTTTAACTCCACCTTTGACGTAGAGTGCTTAGGTTTCTCTACAAGACCAAGCACATATAAAAACAACATTTTCGCCGATAATCGGTTTAATACTACTTCCGCTCGACTCATTAAGAACGATTCCCTTAGTCCCCAACACGATGTCAGAAGAGACGGACGTGTTGATTTGCGGCAGTGGTTCTGCTGGTCTCTGTGCAGCTGTATGGCTAGCTCGTTGCGGGGTGAACTACAAGATTCTCGAAAAGCGAGACGGGCCACTTCAGCAAGGTCAAGCAGACGGCGTGCAGTGCAGAACCGTTGAGATATTTGAAAGTCTCGGCCTTTCCGAAGACCTCCTAAGAGAGGCATACCACGTACTGGAGCTCGCATTCTGGGCGTCGGACGGTGATGACGGGATTCGCAGATCTCATCTTGAGCCAGACACTGAGCCGGGTCTCAGCCACCTGCCCCACGTCATTCTGAACCAGGCGCGAATCAATGAACTTATGATTAGAGACATCGAACTTTCCTCTGGGCAGTCACATATTCAGTACGGAAGCGATGTCAAGGCTGTAGAAGTAAACAGTCAATCTGCGAAAGACCCAGCAGCACATTGTGTAACAGTTACGGCAGTTGAAAACGGAGTTGAGCGCATTTACCATGCAAAATACGTCTTAGTAGGTTTCACGAGTATTCACCCTAAAGATTATTCGACCGCTAACATACTGTTTAAGGGTTGCGATGGAGCACACAGTGCCGTCAGAAAATCACTTGGGTTCAAGATGGTAGGAGATAGTACCGACACAGTCTGGGCAGTGATGGACGTCTATCCTAGAACCGACTTCCCTGATATTCGCAAGAAATGCGTTCTACAATCTGCGGCAGGTAACCTCGTGATAATCCCGCGAGAGGGAGACGAAAAAGTGCGCTTTTACATGGAGACACCCGGCTGGGGAGCAAACAATGTCACGATGGACAAGGTCAAGAATCGTCTTGTCGAGATATTTCGCCCTTATACCATGGAAATCGCAGAAATCGCTTGGTTTTCTGTATACTCTATTGGGCAACGACTTGCAGACCATTTTACCAAGGAAAACCGAGTTTTTCTCACTGGTGATGCTTGTCATACCCATTCCCCCAAAGCTGGGCAGGGAATGAACGTCAGTTTGCAGGATGGGTACAACATTGGATGGAAGCTGGCTGCCATCATTCGCGGAGAGGCGCGGCCATCGATTTTGGAAACATTTGTTTCCGAGCGGCAAGAGACTGCCAAAGATCTAATCGAATTTGACCGTCATTTCACCAAGCTTTTCTCTTCGTCATACCGGAAGCAGCACGGCATTACTCCTGATGATTTTCAAGACTATTTCATCAAGTCTGGAAGATACACAGCTGGTTTGGCAATAAAGTACAAGCCTTCTGCGCTCACGCAACCGAGTGAGGCGGATAAACTAGCCACTGGGGTACACGTAGGAATGCGATTCCCAAGCGCACAGGTCGTTCGTTTATTCGATGCTCGAGCGATTCAGCTTGCCAAAGCTTTGTTATCCGACTCGCGATGGCATCTGATCATTTTTGGCGGAGATATAAATCAAGGCGAAGACCGCATAACAAAAGTAAGCAAACAATAAAGTCATTTCACCGCATTCGTTAACCCTTTTCGAGGTTGCCAAGGAGCTGGAAGATACACTTACACAGCTACCAATTCTTCGAGAGGATCTCCACAGATTCATACATACAGTTTTGGTTCTCAAATCAGATCGAAAGGCCGTTGATGAGAGAAAAATACCACGCTTTTTCACGCCAAATAGCGGGGCTCACGGCGTCCGTTGTAAGTGCAAAGTCTATCTTTACCATAAGAGCGTTAGTAAACTACTAGTAAGCAGCCACTGACGAAGTCTTTCTGAAATAGGCATTCGAAATGTACTTGTCGATGATGAATCTTATCACAATGGCCATGGTAAAGCGTATGTGAAGTACGGCGTAAATCCTGATATTGGCGCCATGGTGCTTGTTCGCCCAGATCAGTGTAAGTCAATGGTAACTCGAAACTATGTGAGTTTCACTAAGCGATTTCAGATGTCGCCCAGATTTGCGGATTGGAAAGTTCGGCTGCCATCAAATCGCTCTTGAACGGCTTCTTTAACCCGGACCTCAACGTGTTACCTTAAAAGCACAGCATGTAGCACTGTAGCGAGGGACAGCTTCATATTGAAACCGAGCAGTTTAATAAGCATTAACGAGTAATTAAATTTTGAAATATTTAGTATACGACCTTATTTTGGGTATCCTTCGATCTCTCAGATGTCGCTCATTCTTCGCCAGAGCCCAACATGATATAGTCTCAGTTTGAAAACCTCCGCAAGTTCCCGCTAGTAACTTGAAGATTTGCAAAGGTTTCGTTGGCTTCATATTTTTGAATCCGCCTTTTCCGTCACCTCAGGTGGAGTCTCGGTGCCTGTAGAATGTCCTTCGGTGACAGGCTTTCCTCCGCGCATTCCCAACAGGTCCTTGAACATCATCCGCGTAGTACGAATTACTGTACTTCGAGACTCAAATATGGGCAGGAATACGACCATAATGACAGATGCAAAGAGCCAGGTGATACCCACCACGACCCAGCCAGTGAAAAACTGTTTTAATTGTCAGAAATTTTCCATAGCGTTATAAATCAGTTTCTTGGTCACTTACTGGCTTGCTGAAGACATAGCCACTGCCATACAAAGGCATCGGCCATAGAATTAGTAGTACGAGTGTAACGCCTACTGTAAGCCATCGAGCGATCTTGGCAGCACGATCTAACTTGATCTTTTCTTCCTCGGTGTTTCCGACAGCGTGCGATGTTGCTTGAGGGGCATTCTCCAGATCGACGTGGGCAGCATCAGTAAGATCATCATCATTCCCTTGTCGGATGTTGAGCATGCTCTGCCAGTCATATTGCTGGTGCTTGAACGGCGGGATGAATGTCAAAAGAGGAATGAAGACGACCGGCGCGAGTAAAGACGTAAGGTTACCGGCCAACATGGGAGTGTTGGCACCAGTGTTCTCAACACTGAGCTCTCCGTATTTTATCTTCGTCGTGACGAGCCAGGCTGTCATGGACAGCACGAATCCAATGATTGGGCTAAAGGTCGCAGCGGCCCAGGACTGGCCAGACCACAGTAGGGTCAGGGTTGCGGGGAGAACAGCAGAGGAGATAATGACTCCCATCAAGAGGTAAAGGTAGCCCATGGAGATACCAATGTAGTTGAACCCCGTCGCCAAGCCGGCCATGACCACAGCGAAGATTCCCATGCCGATGTAGTTGATGCGCATGAGCTGCTTACCGGTCGCAGCGGGGTTATAATACGTTTTGTAGATATCATAGGTGCAGATTGACGAGACTGCAATGAGTTCCGAAGAGTAAGTGCTCATGATGGCCATAAACTGGTAGTATAAGATTAGCACAGATGAACAATGGAGTATCAGAAACACCGGCTGGGGCCTTACTGCGAGAATGAGAGTCGCAACAGCACCTCCTTTACCCAACAAGGCGACGGCGACTGTAGGTAAAACTAATCCTGCATCGACGTCTGCAGCCGCCATTCTGTTGGGATACGAGGGCCAGATGTCGTACCTCTCCAGGGCGAGACCGGCGAGGCCCATGGTCGTTGCGGTAAGCCACGGGACGGCAAACCAACTCACACCACTGTCAGGCATGTTAGTATGCTACCAAAACTTCATACGGTAACGTTCATACCCCATGACGTATCCAGGTAGTGCATCAACTGGGGAAGCTGCAATTGCTTTGTTGTAGTAGCCGTTGTCCAGGAAGACAGTGCCGAAGTTTCCGCATAGATTGATGATGAAAAATTCAGCTATGGCTCATTTAGTAATTTTCCCTTGTTTTTATGCAAGATGGCGTAAACTTACCTCCACCCTGTGATCGCATTGTCAGGTAGCTGCCGCCAGCATTCCCAGCTTGCGGGCGTTCGGCTGCAAGTTCTGTGAGTATCTCCCAAACTCGCCCAGGGGAACCGAGAATTTCGTTGGTTGTGTAGACGGTGAAGGCGAACACAAATATGATGACCAAGATCACCAATCCATTGATGTAGTCCGTAATGAAGGTTGCCTTGATGCCGCCGAATAGGGTATACACAACCACACCTACGGAAATGTCAATATTCCTGCTGATTGCATGAGGACCTTTTGTTTCTGAAGATTGACTGACCAATTGGAAACAGAAATACAGACGCCGCTACAGGTGCTCCGGTCAAGTTCTGGATAACAGCAGAACCTCCAGTCAGAAGCATTGCCGTGACTGACTCCGGTGTCAGTAAAGGGTCAGAGATGGAACAATTTTAATCCTACCCAAGATGTTGCAAAAGCAGCAAAAGACAATGTAGACGCAGTGGGTGACTGGGCCATATCTAGCCTTCACGACCTCGAGAACTAAGAGTTTCGGTCAGTGAATTCGTCTCTCAATCAAGGATCAGGAAAGCTTTTACAGGTATGAGCGTTGGGCGCGCGTCTTTTCAGCTCAATAGCCAGCGTAGCAAACAAGATGATTTGTACGGTAGCTCCAGATGCATACCATACTGGACCAGAAACTCCGCTATCTGCAGTTCAGCATACAGTTACAAGCAGACTGTTACAGTGCATCTCACTATTTGTAGGCGACCGCTGTACTTTGTAACAGCGTTGCTGCCCATGTCCAAGTTGACAGGACCGACGATGCGACCTATGCCGATTTGGTAAGTACTCCAAGCCTACCATAGAGTTTGTAATACTTACAAGACCAGACTTAAGTGACCGTCCCGCAGTGGTGAACATTTCTGATGTTTGGAGCTCATAGTTGTACCTCTTCAAAGCCCATGTAATGATGATCATGAGAACCCTACGACTGGTAAGTCCATCGCTAGGGTTTTGATTGAATCTGTTTCACCTACGCAAATAGAAGACCAAGACCTATCATGAGGCCATAACTAGGAGACATTAGCCACACTTCCATGGGATGGATGCCAAGGGGCGGGAAAATGGGAGGCGCACCCCCAGCCTTGATGGAGAACCGGAGTTGATTCCATGATCAATCGAGACTCCTGGACTAGCCAGCAGAATATGAGAACCGGCTGATGATAGACTGTATTGGCCCAGAAGAATAGGAGATTTCCAGGAGCTAAACTTTCAGGCACTCATCTATCATACCAAGTCAGAAGAGAATTCAATGTCTATATATATGAATAAATTACATCACATTCATTTGCAGCGGCTTTAAGTGGCCGGCGGGCACAAAGCTGTGGTATCAGTAACCCCTTGGATGCGGTGGGCTAGCGCGTGTACCTATTGTACCATTCGGCATGTATAAGCCATCGGATGGAGCTGATAATGGCAATGGGCCAAGACTATGTGTACCAATCCCCCGGAGCGAACCTGGCCATCCCAAGAGATAAGGTCATCGGAATAGGATAACATGTGGGCAAGGGCAGAGGCGAGATGCAAGGCTGCTGAAGTCGGTGCAGGGTGCCGCCGCAGCTTGGCGTGGATAGACGGAAACCCCACGAATGCAAGGAGTTCCAGACATGCTTGCTCCTTGCGCCATTGAATGGGGGCCAGCAGGGATACGCTACAAAGATCTTCTTGATTTTTTTGGTACAAGGTCAGAAGGTCTCGTCCCTATCGCCATCTCCAGGTTTGTTACTGATACTCTGGGGGCTGCAAAATGCTTGTTGCTCGATTGCGGGTCTAGAAATCATTTGGCGAGAGACGCCGAGACTTTCGTAATGGATTCTCAGTGGCTCGTTCTGGGGCAGCCAAGGCATTAGCAGTTCTTGGAAGTCAGACCTCCTTATCAGCCTCCAATCACGCAGGCAAGAAAGATAAGCCTATGCACAGCAGGGTAGCCAGGTCTCCTAGGAATTTGGTTGTTGATTTTCCCAATTGCAAAACGTAACGAATGTCGAGGGTATTTGCAGTGGTCGCTTCCAAAAGAATACTGAGCATCGAAATCTTCGGGAGGATTTCTACCATCTTCAAGTTGTGCGCGTCTTGCCAAAGGTTTCATCGTGCTCTGCATCAGTAAAAAGCAGTCGACGATCTTCTCCCCAAAACAACCATCATGCAAGTCAATCTCATGGCTGACCCAAGGCTCCTAGCAAATGTCTCCTTAGTTAATACCGTTATGGTTCATCTTCTCCCAGTCATGCCACTACCTTAAACTAGCTCTTAATGGTGTTCAGCTGGGTCGATGCGCATCGGCGATCATATGATAGCTGACTTCAAACCTGGCATGTGAGCATAGGTTTTGCGGACGCAGAAACACTCGAGTACAAACCATCCGGAACTACTTGGCACACAATTGAAAGGCTTCAAAGTAGGTAACGTTCGATGGCGTCCGATAATGGTTCATGGTATTCAGGAATTTGCAGTGCCCTGTCGGCCGCAATATTTATGAGATACCTTCCTCAAGCATTTGTCTCTACTTCATGAGGCCCTTGGAGGTATCAAGAACCTGGCGATGTGACTGAATAAGCTTTGTAATCCCAAAATTGTTGATAGGCCAAGTGGAAGACTTGTCACTTCCAGGCCAAAAGGTTGGTATCGACAGTGGCGTGGAAATGCAGCCAAGTAACATGTCGGCAGAATGACCCCAGGTCATGGTTATATGGGTCCCCAGGGGCTTGTTCGGTAAGATTCGGCATTTGAAAGACATTTTCAAGCCGTTGGTAGGAACTCCATGTGGGAAGTCGTGGTGTGATTCCTCTCAGGTTTGTTCGTACAGGTAATGCAAGCATCATGGCGAGGCCTTGCTCGCCTGAACGTGCAGACTTTCGAGTCCGATCTGATATTGATACTGTTTGCCAACACGAGGTGTAACTTGAAATGATTCTTTAGAAAGAGCTTTACGCGGGGTGAGTCGGCCGTATACCAGTGTGTAGTACTCTGGTCTGATGAAGAGTCGCTATCTTATCACAATAAATGACTTTTCGGGCATGCGGCAGTGACGTTCGATTTTCCTTTTGAGACTCCATCTTCCAAAAACGATGGATGCGGTTTTGGTCTTCCAGCGATTTCGGTGCGAAGAGGTACCTGCTGATCTGATTGAGTAAGGTCTCATTCTGGAGATTAGACGCATGAGACTCTTGGAATAGTCGCGGTTATAAATTGCGAGAGCTAAGGCTGCATACTTTAGAGAAGATTAATTCTTATTAAGGTACTTATCCAGTCGGTCTGACGCCGTAGAACTGAAGGTACCTAGTAGATTGCATTGTTAAGACCATCAGTTCTTGATAAGGAAAGCGACAATCAAACGATTACATAGAATAAGTAGTAGAAGTTTTACTGTTAACATCTACTCTAACTTTATGATTATCATAGGGCATCACTGCCTTTCCGTTATCGGGATTGGGGTGAACTGAGCATTTCCGATTATCTTTTCACTTTTCGTCTCTCTCTCTCTCGTTTTGCCGGCGGCGCCTTGGCTTTTGGCCTGTCGCCGGCGGGCGCCCGTCTCCACTTCCACGGCATATGGCTAGGAATATGAAAGCATCAATATGTATATGACGTCTCTACCTCTCTCATAGTGTGTTAGCTATAGTTTTGGGAAATCAAATTTTGCTCCAATTCGTACTCTTTTTCAAGGGTTGACAGCAATCCCATCCCATCAAACACCCGTGCTGCCACCGTGACTTGCATGTACAACATCACCGGAGTCCCCCTATAACTCATCCTTGGCAACTGAAGGAGCATCAACAGGCGGCGTAGCCATAGAATCTTCGCTCGATTCCGCTAACTCCATTTTCTCCTCTCTTATTCGAGCAGCGCGAGCTTCCGCAGTCTCTGTCAAAACCTGGGCTTTGATCTTAAACTTTATGTCGCGACTCTTCGAGTCCCAGTCTGGCACGGTCCGCTCAACAACCCAAGCAACCACACTTTCATCTTTGGGAGTCGGGCTGTATTTTGATAGATCCAATAGGTCAGCTTTGCAATCGCTCTCTGCCGCTACCCATAAGGGCAGGATCTCATAGATGGCTCCGGCCGCAAAGAGGACTACCAGATCCTCCGGCGCCAATCCCGCCAGGTCGTCAGATGTCGATCCTATTTTTGCCGTGCCTCCGATCTTGCCTCCGTTCTTTGGCTTCTCATATATTCCAAAGAGCCACTTCGTGTCACCATCCTCTTTTTGTTGTTCCAGAATCCAATCTTTGACCGCTTTCGGCACCTCAGCATACTCCATCATGATCACCTCCCGGTTGATCCCCCTAGAGTCGACCCCATCCCAGCTCCCAGGAAACGGCCGACCACCGAAAAAGTACTTGATCGCATCAATCCATGGGGCAAGTCCCACGGGCGGTGGTTGGTGGGCTTCTCGAATGACATGCTGAGTAGCATGGAAGTTTGCTGTCGCTTCGCACTTGTTTTCGAAACCTGGCGGTGTGGCATATGCACCGAAAGGGTCGCTCCAGGCGAAGTTGTCGGCTACGCGATCGATGACAACTTGCGCGTTTGCCATCTTCAGCATCAAAGCTGTTATCAATGAAGGTAGAAAGTGATACATTTTGCGAAAGAGTGAGAGTCGACAGGTGGTAGTGTGAAGATGATGAGATGGGCCATGGGCGTAAGGGGGATTCGGACTTCAAATGGCTTTTTCTTCCTCCGAGTTGGACCTTTCAAGGTGACATGGTGTCTTTCTGGCATGCTCCGAATTCCTAATACGCCCCCGTCTATGACATTATTGTTGTTTTGGGGTCTTGAAGGTTAATTAGCCAGCAACCGGGTAATCTGCCTTACCCAGTAACCGGTGCTAACATTGCCTTTTTCACGCCGACCAACTCGGCACTTCGGAAGAGGTCGTTCCAGCACGCGTTTGGTAAGTTCTATTACTGCTTATTATGAGATCCCTCACTTGAGCAAGCTTGATATACCAAGACCTACGACGGCCGACTATACCCCAGTCAATCGATAGCTCAACTTGACCAATCATGAACATAGCTCCTATGTTCTTTGCTAAGTGTTTTTGTTTTTTGAATTAATCTCTTAGGTTTTGAGAGTATACAAAAATTAGTAAGTGTTAAATACAGTCATAGATGCCCACGTACCGGTCTTCAACCCAATCAGTATCAGATTAAGGATAATCAACTTAGAACTGGATGTCAATAGCCTCCGATCATTCGTAGACTACATTTATTCGTAACATAAGCCGATCAGTAATGTTTGGAGCGAAAGGATTCTCTTGGGGCGATGGCCCTGTTGCAGGGCTGTAGTTGCATGAGAACAATGTTTACTCATCCACACATATCAGTCCTTGGGTAATTATTGCTCAGGACTTCTATGTGTCACTTATTAATCTGACAAGCAAAGAGATAACGAATCTTAGTTAGCAACATGAAGAGTTGATTATCATTGTCCCTCATAGGATCTGTCACTACTTATCACATATGCAGCTTAAGTTTCATCACGTTACCACCATAGTCTAAACACTCTTCTTGGCAACAGCCACCTGGGCCGCCTCCTGCAAAACACCACCAAGAGCCTTAGGCATGCTAAGGAATGGCGAGTGACTGGCCGGGAGACTAGCCGTAAATGATTCAGCGGGGAACTGAGATGCCATCAGCTTCTGCAGATCAAGCGGTATGGCTTGGTCTTGTTCTGCGAAGATGTAACCCATTTCGAACCCGTTATTCCAAGGCTCGAAACCGGATTTATCTTGGAAGGTCTTAAACGGCTGGGGACGGAGCGCTTCGACTGCTTTGGCAGCGAGGGAAGGCTCGACATCCGCATAAAATGTCTGGATTTGGTTGAGAGGCGAAATGAGACCATCCTATGTTGCAAAACGTGTCAGGAATTGTTCTTAAATTTTAAAATGCTGTTGGTTTTCTCACAGTGACGTTCCACCATGACGGTAAGCCTGCGCCATCAGACAGTGCCGCCCCAGCAGAAAGAGCAAAAGCGGTCATATAGATGGACATAAGGACACCGCCTGCTTTCTTCTGTGCCAAACGGTCCTTGTAGTTGAAGCCCTCAACAGCATTCGCGACAGGAACACCCCCGTACGAATGCGCAACCACGACGACTTCGCCTCCGGCGTTGACAAGCGTCTCCAGCTTGACACGAACAGCAGCCGTATCTTGCTCCAGTCCTACGTTGACATCGGTGTTGCCCACTCCAGCTAATGTCACAGTCTCAGTAGGGAAGCCACGGTCGTGGAGGTCGCTGCGTAGCAAGTCGTATGATGCTGGACTGTGCCAGGCTCCTGGCACCAACAATATGGTTGGAAGTGTGGGAGAGCTCATTGTGTTGACGGTAACTGCGATTATAGGACGATTGTAATCTATTGTAAAATGGAGAGAAGAAGAGTACACGAGGAAGGACGAACTGGTGAGGATTAGGGGAGCAAGGTAGTTCTGGAGTACCCTTGATCAGGGGGATGGATGGATATACCTTTGTGCGTATTCCACAACGCGGGGCCGCAAGTGCAGAAGAATTTGTTCCCTGTCATTTTGAGGAGCAGAGACGGCCCATTTGGGCCAGGTATAGCAAACTTTGTACTACAGCGAATCCTATTTTGTCCAAGTTTGCGATGCGGCATTTCGGGCTGTCCCAGTTGGATCGAATATCACACCATCAATAATTGCCTTGCATGGTATCGAAGATGGAGCATCTCAAGCTCACTTCCGAGTGGCTTAAATACTCGCATCCTGTTCGCACTTTACCTAGATCTTCAGAACCCTTGTTGTGAATCTTTCAACTGACTCGGGGTACCAAGCGAATAAGATTAAAGGCTATAAGTGGACAAGTGGGCTAGTGGATTATCGTTTCAAAGAGTGGTGTGATGAATAAGTGTTGGTTTGTAGGCTGTGCGTACATCGTAGGACGCTCAATCTTGAATTCCCACTTGGCGGCCCCGTTTCCCGGTAAAAGGACCCTGATCCTGAACCGGACTCGGGTGCATCGCGTGTAAGGCGCCATGTTGGTAACCATTTCAGGCAGTCCTCCGATGCATATACATAAGCGCATCATTTCCCACCCCACAGATGACAGACGTTGAAGAATTCGGATACATGAAGCAGATGAATCCCTTTCTTCTTCACCTTAGCTATCACTAAGCGGAGGAAAGATGGCCTCTCCGCCGCTTCCTCCTGGCATAGACCTCGATGAATCAAGAGTGTCTAGTATCATTGGAGCTCTGAGTTTTACGTGGGCGCTTGCAGCTGTCGTGGTCTCTCTGCGTTTTCTTGCACGCCGCCTTCAGGCCAACAAGATATGTTTGGAGGATTGGCTGATCACAGCTGCACTGGTAAGTCACATAAGCTTGCATTTCTATTCTATCAGATCTCTTATACGAAGGACCGCGACACAATGCTGACAAGCATTCATTACAGGCTGCCGCCGCTGTTCATGTGTTCACTAGCATCGGATACAGTAAGTAGCTTTCTGCATATTTATGACATTATTTGGCTTGAGGACAGTATTTTGATACGTCACTGTTGATGATAGTGATACCCCATGGCACCGGCAAACATCTGTGGGTTGCACCGCCCTCGGCGACAAAGGCATGGGCCGTAGGCCTTTTTATCTCAGAGTTGGCATACACAGCAACCTTGTCGACAGTCAAGTGGTCAACATTAGCACTGTACTGGCGCATCTTCAACACGCGTAGAAGCATTAGATTCTTCATTTGGACAATGTTCGGGATCGTCCTAGCATGGTTTGTCGCAGTGGTAAGTTGAAAGAAATCTTCACCCGTGCGATTAATGAGGAAGCTCATCCTGATCATGTTATTGGCTGCTAATATTAATGACCAACCTTGGCAGATACTTGTCACCATCTTCCAGTGCCTCCCTGTTCATGCCTTTTGGGCTCGTTACGATCCGGTTAGCCCCATGTCGCCTGATCAGTTCCACTGTGGCGTGGATGTGAAGATGTTCTTCAAGGGGAACTCTATACCCAACATCATCACGGATGCACTAGTCATCGCGCTGCCGATCCCCTACATATGGCAACTGCAGTTGCACAAGGCTCAAAAACTTGCCCTTGCTTTCATTTTTGCACTGGGTATTTTGTGAGTTGAGCCACGGGTAATCTCTGCCCTAGAGTAGAGCTTTATTAACGGACATGTGAAACCCAGTGTTACCATAGTATCAGTGGTTAGGTTATACGTAATCCTTTCCGTTGACCTCACGTCTCCAGACATCACCTGGAATTTCATTGATACAATCATCTGGACGAACGTGGAGGCTAACACAGCTATAATTTGTGGTACGTCTTAGGTTCTTATAACTCAACTCCCTTCGAGTTGGGACGTCCAGCTGACTGATTTTCCCGTCTGCAAGCTTGTCTTCCCACTCTCAAACCTCTTCTCACCTTGGCACTTAGCGGCAAGCTCAAGTCGTCGGCCAACCCAAGCTTTCCCAATTCTTCCAGCAATTACATGTTGAAGGATCGATCTAAGCCAACGTCTAGCCGCGTTGGCAATGTGGGTGGTTCCACAGCAGCACAAAAAGGGCCCAATAGTCGCCCCTTCGATGATGAGCGCCCATTCACACGGCTGAGTGAGCAAGGCTCGAGTATTGGCAACGATGAAGGGGACAGTGGGAACGAGCTCGGTGATGTCGTACGTGCAAAGGGCATTTTAGTCACTAGGGAAGTTGAGGTGAATGGGACCTCCAAATGACATGAAACGTTTCTTGTCCTTCGTTCACCGCAATGACTACCTGCACAGAAGAATTAATCAGGTAATAAAGCAAGGCAAGATTGGTGCATGTGGAATCGCCTCATTCGAACGCGTGAGCGCTGGCAACTTCATGCTTCAACTTCAACATGTACGGACAATATGTAACATGTTCTAAGATATGTATTTTGATCGTCTGTTTGCCCATTAACCCAGAGTCGCTCAGTCCCTGGGGCAACAGGACTCATCCATGTAAACGTTGCGACATGACTAGGGCTAGAAGATACGTATGACGCCGTAACATTCTGGTTAGCTGACTCTTTCTAAGCGATCTTATCCTTGCTTGCGTCACATTGTCAAGAGCCACAGCTATTCACATTCAACATAGGGGTTCTCTCAAGCAAGATTACATGACTCTGAATCATTTTTACGGGGCTTATACTGGGTCCTGATGAGGAATGTTCCAACTGGAAATGTCACAAGATATAACCGACGGGCGCTTGACGTACTGGCGGTGAAACTCTAAGCCTGGGCCAGCCCGAGCTGCAAATCACGGACTACTCCGTGAGAGACTATATATCCAGATTGATTATATGGCATCCAAAGATTTAGGATCGAACAACAAGCATGCTGTGCATGGATACTCAAGGCCTTCTTACTTGCGACTAAATTATACCTATTGTTCCTACTACTTTCCCTTCGGCGTCTCATTAGCCACCATGCAAATCAAGACACTCGCTGTCGGCCTTCTGGCTGTCCTTGTCTCGGCAGTCTGTGCGGAAAAATGCAATGGAAAGCTCTGCGGAACTACTGATTGCAGCACCATGCCTGGAAACCCCAACTGCGTCGACACTCCGGGCGGTTGCACCTGCCTTCTTCCTTAAGGCATACCTTACAGTCCGTTAGCGTAAGTGATTTCTATCGTATAGTTGCCGTAAGGCTTTTGAAGCTAATCTGCACTCAGAGCATTGGTTGGATGTTGTGAGTGAAAAAGCCAATAGAGAATGGTTGTTAGACCGACGTAAAACTATTAGACTGCCAGTATAGATTGAAGAGTACAGTTCATTTTATTAAACCATCCAGTTATTTGCAATGTGTGTAGCCACGGGTAGTAAGGTACTTAGGCATATAAGCTTTAGTTACCTCTGAGGATGTCTGAGCCAGCAACGCTGAAGTTCGTTTCTCAGTTCTCTGAACTTAGTGTCCAATGACCAGGTGATTCAAGATCCGCCGGAGTTGACTAGGGTTCCGTAATAATAGTTTCAAAAGCTCAAGGACAGACAGCTTTTCGTTGTACTTGTTGTGAGAATCAAAGCTTTTTTAATGTTGGCAATAATTGTCAACAAAAAAAAACCCTATGCTAATCCTCATGCATCATTGTGTTTCAAGGATGACTTTGCCAAAATTTCACAACAATTCTACCTACTATGGCTATGTGTGAATTATGGCGAGTTTTCTTCACTTCGCTGTCGAGTTTGTACTCAGCCATTCTAGTACTTTCATCAGAGGTGTCTTCCCAATAGTTGGTCCCTTTCGCACGCGAATCATGCAGGACACAGAATCTTGACCCGAAAAGCCACATAGTCTAGACCAGGCGTACGTAAAATAAGTAAGCAGTGGAGCCACATTTCCAGGTTCCGAGGCCATCGTAATTCGTATCGGAGAATCGCCGCTGCGCTGAGAGACATGGTTAGCAGCTGATGGGCTGCAGCCCAATCACATACCAGAGCAGGTCATGTATGCTGCGAGATTGTCATCCACCCTTTTTCCGCCGGCTGAGAATTTCAGCCTGCCACTTGGTTGGGTAGGTATATTCCCCGCTTCACCTCAGTGAACTCGCGACATTATCTACGGTTTGCTGGTCTCTAGTGGTATAGGGAACTCGGCGGCCATGAAGCAACGCAGCCTGGGTTGGCTCAGTAAACGGCTTGGTGGGCTCAATCTGACCGACAAAAAGGCTCCTACAACCGCTGAAAATGCATCATCAGCATCACCCGAGCCGGCATGCGTAGCTCCGTCATCGCAGAATGGGCAACGCTCGTTCTCAATGATTGATGTCGTAGCAACTGGCCCCAGCAACGGAGAAGGCATGGATGAACCGGGAAATAGTGCGGTAGAATCTTCAGCATCCGTACCGCGCGGTAAGACTTTTCCTCTTTATCTTCAAAACCCCGTCTCATAACCCATAAAGGCGAAGTCGGCGTAGTAATCGACCATAAACGATGGCCAAAAATCCGAGATGAAGTCGTGAATTGCACACGCAAGCATTCCTGCTACACCACAAACGACACCTACGTACCAACACGACTCCTCGATATAAGCGACTACGGCAACAACAACATCATCAAGCTCGTGTCGCCAACCACAAACCACAAACCCGAGACGAAGAAATACGTCACCTTGTCATATTGCTGGGGCGAATCCAACAACTTCGTCCTCACGCAGTCCACCCTCGCCGACCGCCAAAACGGGTTCTCTCCGTCCGACCTCCCCCGCACGCTCCGGGACGCGGTGCAAGTAACCCACGAGCTCGGGGTAGACTACCTCTGGATAGACGCGCTCTGCATCATCCAAGGCAGCGCGGAAGACTGGGCGCAGGAGTCGTCCCAGATGGAAAGCGTCTACAGAAACGCGTACCTCACCATCGTCGCGGCGAACGCAGCGGACTGCGCAGATGGTTTCCTCCAGCTGTCGAAGCAGGTGCAGGAACATCCCAAGCGGCGCGAACAAGCGCCGAACTACACCCACAGGGGCGAGATCGTGCCGTTCCAGGACGAGCCGCTCAACCGCCGCGCGTGGGCCCTGCAGGAGTGGCAGCTCTCGCCGCGCCGGCTGGTGTTCTCGTCGTACAAGATGGACTTCATCTGTCCACTCCTGGACCGGGACAAGGTCCGCATCTTCAACGCGAGGTTTCGTCCTCTGCTCGACGAGGAGGGGGCGACTATCAAGGACTGGACGGTGATCCTGACGACGTACACGTCGCGCAGCCTCACCAAGCCCAGCGACAAGCTTCCGGCGTTGGCGGGCATGGCCGCGAGGTTCCGAAGCATAACTGGTGGGAAATACGGCCGGTATCTGGCCGGTTTGTGGGAGGAGGACCTGCTGAAACAGCTTCTCTGGCGCCAGGACGACCCAGCGAGGTACTATCCGCCCACGAGTAGAGGGAAATCCGAGCAGTGGAGGGCGCCGTCGTGGTCGTGGGCCTGCGTCGACGGACACGTGGACTTCCAGCTCGCGGGGAAAGCCACAAAGGTCGACCTCGCGACGGTGGTAAATGTCGACGTCACGCTCGCATCGCAGCAGAATCCGTTCGGGGAGCTTCTTGACGGACAGATAACCATCCGAGGACCTCGCAGGGTTGTTCGAGACCGCATAGATTTTCGGTTCAAAAGGGATGCTGGTATAGCTGGCTTCGTACCGATTCAGCGCCGCGGGACGGAAATCGGTTGGATCCATTTCGACAGTGATGACAGCAGGGAATTCTGCCTCGTGTCGAAAGCTATGATGCAGTTCCTCGGGGTCGGCACCGTTGACGATGTTGCTACGATCGGCCTCGTACTGAGAGCCACGGAAACAGTGGCCGGTTCGGAACCGAAGCTGCAAAGAGTTGGCTTGTTTTACATGTACGACAAGAATGAGTTTCAATGGAAAGACAAGGCGAATGTAGGAGAGTATACCATTTTCTAGGTGAAATGAAGATTTTGAGTATGAAAACGCCGGATAAGGCTTCGGGTCTTCGACCGAGAATGTCTTTTTGTATCTCAGGCTACTCATACGGGCGTAAGAGGGATTACTCTCGAGGTGTGGTGAAAGTCATGTTCATTTCTATAGAAGAAGCTGCTATACAAGGGCAGTTTGAATAAGGTGGAAAAGATACATCTCTTCTAGTTGCCTGTCATGTGTGTGCCCGGGTTGAGGTCGCCTGCCCATAAGAGAGGCCTGGTTCAACATCTAGACGGCCGAAGATCCACTTCAGCCCGTAATTTCCGACTATTTCGACAAAAGCAACCCATCTTCCTGCTACAGGGCCAGACTGCCTTGCGATTTGTACCATGAAAATCGCTCTAGGCTGTTGAGCGTCGCCAGGCAAGGAGGATATATCTATGCAGTACGGCGTTGATGGGAACCTAAGCCCGCATAACCATACTCGGTTTTACGAATAAGGTGTTGCGCTGGGAGGTCAGAATCCTAAATGATGCCTCCAAGGACATTACAGCAAAGCGCCAAAGGCAACTGAGACCGATAACAAGATACATGGGACGGTTAAATACTGCTGACGGGCATACCGTCTTACTTCAGCCGAAGCTGAATGCCTCTAGCTGTTAAGTTCGAGTCCTCGCATCTTCAACTAGGCACGTCACTAGCAAAGGAACCAATATTGAGCAATGGCAGTTTTGTCTTTCCATGCTACCCTAACTAATCAAGCCAAACCAGGCTGGACGCTGTTCGATTATGATTGCGTCATCCTTCCAACGCCCATTGTATGAACCAGTGCCGTGTCCGTCGCAAGCGAACGAGTCGATGCTTCAATCTCTCAAGACTCAGTTGCTGAACTTTTTGCCCATCCCAAGCCCTTGTCCCCCAGGTGCCCTCGGACACACCCATCGCTGCAGCGCTGCAAAGACCAGCGCGGAATCGATCGGGGCGGCCGACAGAGGCTTATGCCGGGTAGTTCCAGGCTACGCTGCCGTCATGGTGCGAGCCAAGCGTATGAGCTGGGACATTCCCTAATCCCATCCTGGGGACATGCCATTCCCTGACCAAAACACATGGTATCCGATATCCCTCTAGACCCCCTTAACCGTTTGCTGGAGGCCCAATAACAAAGCAGTCTCAGCGAAAAACAAAAACAAGAAACAAAAATCAGAACAAAAAGCTCAACTTCGATAACAACAGCCGCTGATGAGGATCAGGAATGAGGGCGCGAGTGATTATGCATTAAAGGAACTCCATGTATGCCGTCCGTTCCTATGTACCATCCGAAAGGAGAATCGTTTCCCTTGACGTCGCGTTGAGCTCATCAAGCATGGGCAACGAGAAAATGATTGAAAAGCAAGGCTGTGTTTTTTTTCCGTTCGACTCCAAAATCCCTCGTCATATGCTTTGGGGGTAGTCGTCAAATCGGTGTAAAGGCCGAGAACTGCAAATAACTCTTTGAACGCCCCGCCATGCCATGGCCGTCCCAGGCCGTTGGTGGTCGAAACACCCTAAACGCCAATGCTCAAAAGAGGAGCTCCAAATTTTGGTCGAAAAAACAATCGAGAAACGTCAAATGACAAGTCCGCTAAAGATTTGCGGTAGTAAGGTGGGAGTGAACGAAGAAGCTGCACTTAACCCCTGATCGCTGTCGCGGAATGAGCTTCGGAGTTGAAAAGATATCGCTCCGGCAGCTGCTGGGCATACGGATAATCATTCGGCGACGTACCGGCGAAGGGGAATCCACCCACAGGGGCAGCCGGGGAGGCCGATCTCATGGTTGCTGGGGCGGAAGCCTGACTCGCTCGCTGGTTCTGGGGTTGGTGGAGTGGAGATGAAGCAGGAGACGAGCCATAGGCTCCCAGCTGCTGAAAGTACGGGTTGGGGTCCCGGAGGTGGATCGCATGGTGCTGGGCGGGACCGGCATGCTGAGCGTGATGGGCCATGCTGGGGCTGCTGTTCGAGCTTGAGCTTGAGCTGTTCAACCCGTCAACGGCTCCGTCGTATTTTCCGCTCTTTAATGTGCCATCTGTGATCTGAGGACTAGACTGCTTGGAGCCAAACTGTTGAAGAATCCAATGTCAGTACAAGCTTTTTGGGCTGAGGTTGGGCGAGCGCTGATGATAGTCGATGAAAGGGTCGGGCATCTGTGATTGTTGACCAGGAGTACGTACAAAGCAGTATTTGTTGACCAGTTCCTCATATGAGGAGGAGGCAATCAAAGCATTAGGGGAAGAGTTGCCGGGAACCGTAGTAGAGGGAGCGGCGGCGGGCTTCACTGCAGGCGCAACGCCGGTGAATGACGTGTTAGAGACTGGCTTCTGTTGCGGTGGCTGCTGGGCGGGAACTTGGATCTTCCGGTGGCTCTTCATATAGAGATCATCAGGGTTGCGATCCTTGCCCATGGTATCCTTGGCAGCCTGAACAGCAGCAGATAGAGAGGCACCAAAATCATAGCGGTTGGCGAAGGCTTGTCCGCTGGGGGCGGAGAGCCGGCTTGAGAGGTTGTCGCTAGCGAGGTTGCCAGTGGATTTGTTGGTCTTGAGGCGAAGTCCGCTGTTAGGTCCTGACTCTCCCAGGTACTCATGAATGGGCTGGTCAAAGTGCACCTTGCCTGCGTCACCAAAGTCATCAAAGCCAACAGGCATAGACTTGGGACGAGGGTTAGAGGAAGCTCCGGTTCGACGATTGCTGCGGGGAAGGGCAGGGCGGCTTGCCGCGCCTTGCATTCCCCGTTTGCCGTTTTGAGGAAGATACTTCTTGCGGAAATCAACCTGGAAGTTGGTGCCGTTGTTGTTGTCCCAGAATTCTTGACCATTGACGTTGTATCGGATGCAAAAGTAAAGAGTTTTGCTCTCAAGGTTTGCTAGGTCAGACAACTTGATGGTAAACGTGAAGCGGTCGTAACTGGAGCCGCCATCGTGGGGTCTAATCTCGTGAGAGTACTCCGCGCCGACCTCCGAAGTAGTCTTCCAGTAGTCGAGGGTGAACCTGCAGGTTACAGATTTCTGGAATGCCAAGTTGGCGACAGAAATGGAGCCCAAAAGGTTCTTCTGATCACTAGAAAGCCAAACCCTTTCAAGACGAACGGGGAGGGCCTTCCTAATAGGACTGTCGACAGGGGGGTTCGCGGTGACGATCTCCCACTCGTAGGGTGGAGATCGAGCGCCAGGGCGCTGCTCATCACCAGGGAAAGGGTACTCGGTATCACTGTCGTAGTTATCGGCAGGCGAGGATCCGGCACTGACAGCAAGGGGCCTGTCGACCTGGAGGAAGTGTCGCACGTGCTCAAGATGAGAGTCGAAGTGGACGGCCTTTGAGAAGGTCGGGGTACCAGGCATGCTGGAAGGTCGACGGCGAGAAGGCGGCCTCAGCGCGGGTCGCACAAGCTCACCAGACTTCTTTCGCACCATCTGGGGCTTCCGCGGTGCCTCCTCGTCGGATTCCTCCTCAGATCCGGTTAAGGATGCCTCGGCAGACTTGGACATGACAATCTTGGGCTCAGTGCTCGACCTTGCGTGGTTGACACGTCGAGCAACGCTCTTTGCTAGGGCATCCAATGAGCCGGTGCTGAAACTGTGTGAAATGCCGTCGGTTTTTACGAGTGCCACGGATCGCTGCTCAGGCTTCGGGCTGGGAGATGCCTCTCGGTGGACTGGGATCTGGCTTATGGCATCCTTCAGCTCTTTCAGGTTTTCGATCTGTCTCCCACGCACAACGACATCCTCTTCTTCGCTACCCGAGTCCGGAGGCGAGATGATGGCACCCTTAGGCATACCTCGCTCATCCGTCAGCGGCGGGGGCGATTGCCTTACGCTGCTACTTGTCGCCATGCCTTTGAGGTCGTCGGATGTGCCTGGCGGTGTAGGCTGATTGGAGTTTCCATTTGTGTTTGTTACTGTCGCCGCTGCGGGTGTCCTCCTGTGCTTGGTAAGGTAAGACGCGGATCTTGGTAATGACGGTCTCGGGCTGGATTGAAACGAAGAGCGGCGGCTCACGTCAGGGGACGAAGGTGCTGAGCTTGCAGGGGAGCGGTGGGAAGGTGGTGTGTAAGGCATTTTGGAATGCTTGTTGTGTGATGAGAGAAAAGATGTGTGATGGTCGAAGTCGTGCACCCGGCACGTAAGACTATAGCGGGCTCGGGCAGATGCGGGAAAATGCAAACTGGTATCAATTCATGCGATTAGGATCAAGGACGACTCGGCAAAGAGGACGAAGAAGCGCCCGGTTAGGATAAGGTTCTGCAGCGTTGAGCGGTTCTCGTCAGCTTGATTGCGCGGCCATAAGGAATCGGGGGTTATTGTTTTGGGCCAGGAAATCCGTGCAAGTGCATTGGTTGAAAGAAGCCAAATGAGAAAAAGAAAGTAGGGAGCATAGGTAGAAAGAAAAAGAAATTATGAAGGTACTGATGCTTGTGTAGATGTAATGATGCAAATAGAAAAGCCACGCGAAACGAAATGTGTAACGATTTGAAGGAAAGATGTCAGGTGTTGACCAAGGTAAGGGATGACAAGAATGAGAGCGATGACGGAAGTGGTGATATAAATGGTTTTTTTTGTTTCTTTTCTCTTTCTTTTTTTCTTTTTTTTTTTTGGGAAGGGTTTGAGTCGTGGTTGGTTGGTTGACCACTTACATGATGGTTGGTGAAGTCGGAAAGAGGCGGGCGAACCAAGAGTTTTTGCACTGGCAATATTCCAGCAACAGGGCACAAAACTCTTGTTTAGCAACGAGGAATGTCGGTAGCTGGGGAGGAGGGTCCCGTGGGAAGAAGCCGCCAAAGCAGTTGGAATGCAATGACGAGCCGGTCGAGGGTCGAGATGTCTCGCAAAGAAAAAAGACCCGGCGGATCGTGTGGGTGAAAGAAGGACGTCAGACCAAAGGTGGCTTGCGACGTTCGTGGATTCTTCGTGGGTCCGGACAAGACGGGGGGGGAAAAGGCAGCGAGTATGACGAGCAATGTGCTTGCCGTCGAGGGTCAACCCTTCAATGCCTATGATGTCTTTCGTTCGTTCTTGCGGCCAGCTCTGGCTAAGTCGTCAAGAAGGGGTGGAGGTGGATGTGGATGTTGGACGACTGGTCGACTTTGGTGTTTGGAGCACACAAAGATTGGAGAGAAGGCGAAGCTGATGGGCGGCTCCGGAGGGGACGGAGTGGTTTTGAATGGCAAACCAGTCCCGAGCACCGCGACCGCACCCAGCAAGAAAAAAAAAGCTATCAGGCAGTTCAGTTCTAGTGCGGTCTCCCCCCCTCCCCTTCCCCCCAGGCCAGACTGGGGGCTGTTCCCAGGCGGCGGGAGTCGCAGTAGCACGTACCTGATGGTCAGGAGCACCCCTGCAAGGTCGAAGGACGGCGAAGGACAAGGATACCAAAGATGGGTGGCAGTCGGAAAGAGCAAGAGGGTGTGAGAGCGTGTGTGTGTGTGTGTGTGTGCGTGGAGGGGGGCAAGGAGCGACGTGCAAGGTCTCCAGGAAGGGCCGGGGGGCGACGGCGTGCAAGGTAGGAGGGGGTGTGTTTACAGTAGCCAGGCGAAAGTACGTACCGTATCTTATTCAGTGCACCCCATGTTGTACCTCACTGCAGGAGATGGGTGGTGGGCAAGGAAGGAGGGGTGGGGCAGACGAGGCGACCGAAGCGTGGGATAGTGGCACGGAGACGGCAAGCCGGGCGGGCTGGTCGATGCTGCTTGCAGTTGAGAAAAAGAAGAGACTGATGAGACGGAGAGAAAGAACGACTTTGGTACCTGCCACTGCCGCTGCCTCTGAGAGGGGAACTGGGTTACCGTCACTTCTGATGGAGGAAAGAGGGTGGGAAGGATTAAGGTACTCCTACCTACCCCCTCCCCATCAGACAGAGTCAGGTTTGCTGTGTGTTGGTTGTATGGACTAGGAAACGGACACCAGACGCATAGAGTGAGCACGACACGCAAGACACCTTGACAAACATGTAAGGTATCGCCAGCCAAGTGGAGATGCTTGACAAGAAGGAAAGGGCATGTTGGCGTGATCATGGTGCAAAAGGCAGTGACGAGCACAGAATAGGGAGACACGAACGACACGGCGAATACACAGTAGAGCGGCAGCAGGAGCAGTAACAGCTGGATGCAGTCACACCCTTCTTGGCTGCCAGTTTGGTCTTACAGCTAGCCATCTGCTTCTGTCTTTTTCCATCTATTTGGTGTTGTACGAAGTCGTGTACGGGAGATGGACAGAGACAGCCCGTTGCAGCGCTTATCCAGGTCTGGTGAAGAGCCGTGGTGGTGATGATACATAGCTGTTCCCGCTACCGTTGCGTTCCTGTCACGAACCAGGTATCCACCTGAGAAAGAGAAGGAACATCTGGGTGCGGAGAACGTTGAGATTTCCCAATGCTCCGTAGACTCAAATCAGATCAGCGATGACCGGCCCTGGTCAAATCACATACCCCTCGATGCCGGAGCGCCGGGAGCAGAGATAGCTATTGAAACCAGGTCAGGGACATGGTCAGAGCCAGAGTTAGCTGTCTGGTGAAAGCAGGGACGTGTGACAAGCAGTGAGTGTTTGCGTTAACGTTCACTACTCCTTTGCCCTGCTTTTCCTCTGTTTTGTCATCATTGAGTTGAATTACTGCTGTCTTTCGTCAGCTAGGATTGGGTTGGGCCGCCTGAGAGGAAGGGAAAAAAAAGAAAAAAAAAAAAAAAAAGGCACAGCTCAGCGAAACCAAACACCACCAAACACACACCGAAGAGACGTCCACTTCACAGTGCACAATACAGAAACAATTTGTCTGGGGTGGGACTGTGCGGACAGTAAAATACCTTTGATGGGACGGTACTCTGTACGGTGCTCCCAGTTCCACTCGTAAAAGATAAAAAAGAAGAGGAAAAAGAGGTGGGGCGGCAAGAAGCGCTAGCAGGGGGATGAGTACGTACTGATTGCTCACCCAAAAAGGAGAGAAAAAAATGGCGAGAAGACTGGAAAGAACAGGGACCGGGGTATGAGCCTGTTTAGCGTTGGTGTCGATTGAGAATAATGGTCCCATCATTCCCTCATCAGAAGCTATGACAAGCCCAACTGAGAGGGCTAGAGGGTAAAATCCGTACAACGCTACATTACAGCGAGCCAGTCAAATAAAACTGCACTACATCTCTTAGGCCTCACCCCCAAGCCATTTCCATGCGTGTGCTGGAAGTATGAGCTCGCCTAGCCCGTCACAGCAGGGTAGTGATACAGGAGACTACGGATTACTCAAAGCTATAGTGTCTTGAGTCTGCCAAAATAACACCTGAGGCATGGGGACAACTGCCAATGCAACATTGAGAGTTGCCAATGGGGTTGCTGGGCGTATAATTGGCGTTGGCTACATCCTCATCATAGTAGTATTCATCCCACCTACGGACCTAAACGAATATCAGAGCCCTCCTTCCGAAGGCACGGCGTTGTATACATAGCAATGCCCCAAAGTGCAGGACTGGATGAGAGGAATGCTGAAGACGTGGGCTTTTGGCATTGTTGTCACTGTTGTGCCGATAAGATGCGATTCCATACGGTCCGCTTCTCTCGGCTGTTGAAAAGTAAGAAGCTCAGAGGAACGTGTTTGCGGTTAAGGACAGACATCTGTTCCAGCTGGAGACCTGGAGTTCCTTGATTTCTCTTTCTCTCTCCCTCTCTCAACTCTGTCTCGCCTGGTAACTGGTCTTCGGCACCCTTGTGGCCTGTTTCCGGCTCGTCATCCTGAATCAATGAAGCCAACAAACCGTTTGACGTTTTTCTCATTTAATTGCTGCCCTACTTTGCCGGCTAGACCTCCCCGACCTTGGCCCATGTCGTTTCTAATCCGGAGCAGGGTCAGTTGGCAGGGCGAGTGGTATGAAGAAAGGTGCTGTTGTCATCGTCATCGAACTGGGGACGGAAATTGTGGCGTTTCTTGTCTCTCTTTCGCTTGCTTACTCCGTTTACTGTGCGCAATGAAGGTCTCCACACTGTCCCTCTCGTTTGTCATGTTCATTGGCCCTTTCCCCCTGAAGCAGGGCAAAAGAAGCAGGCAGGTAGGCGCAGGCACAAGCAGGAACGGCACAGACAAGCAGGTATGGGGAGCTGTGTTTTAAGCCCTGGCCCGTAGTTGGATTTGCGTGCATGTATAGGTCCGTAACAATCAATTGCGCACTGCTTTTAACAGGAAAATCTTGTAATAGACGAAACGACTCCCGGCCGAGGAATCCTCGATCGTGAGTTTGCCTCATTGAGGTGAACCGAACCCACGGATGGGGAAAGGGAAACCCTCCGACGAAGCACGAAGGGAAAAAAAAAAAAAAAAAACTCACTGAGATGAGAAGCAGAATGATGTCATTGTTGGTCCAGGTGGCGGCCAGTTGGGTTAGGTGCACCTACCCTCTTCATCCACCTGCCCTTGATTCAATTCGTTGAAGGCTGAGGGCTTTTGCTATTTCCCGGCTTACTACGGTACATGCCTTCCTCACGCAATTATCGTGAGTTTGGAAGTGGGGGGTGAATGGGACGGACGGGAGCTTACTAACCGGGCCACTTCCTATCCCTTGCTCAGCTTGGGTCCGTTTCCATCGCATCCGCATCATGTCTCTCCACTACTTATCACAGCCCTCCCCGCTTACCTCACTTTCCTTTCCGGTCTACGGATGGTCTTATCTTACAACGATTGACTTCTAAAAGAGGCATCGCGTTAAGAGGGGAGGGGGTCATGAATTTAGTGATAGTATCATTTGCTTTGACAAGGTAGACAGGCAGTTGTCGTCCGTCGAAGCGCGTCGCGTCTCACCAACCGCATACTTTGCTTTATTTTTTTCTTCTTCCCTGTCTTTATTCTGCCAACCTGGTCAACACCACCTATACTACAGATGGATGGGACACCTACTACATTATACGGTGCAGCATCTGGAATATGGACGCCACGGTTGATGACTCGAGCCGCCGTTTGATATTCTGATGGCCCTGGTGTGCTCCAAACCTTATGTACCGGTTGAGAAGGTTGATGAACTCAACTCAATTGCATTGGTGTTGGCATTGGCATGCACCACGTAAGGCCCCAGCCCTGTTGCGACGATCTG